TCGTCCTGGCAATATACGGCGACACAGAGTATAGCTCGCCGGCAAAGTGGCGACGCGCCTCGACAATCCAGTTTGCGGGCGAGTGGAAACGGTGATAGTCGCCGGGCGCCAGATAAATGACGCAAAAGTACAGCCTCTCGTGATCACGCAGGGTGGCTCCAAGTGACTGCGAGGCAGGCGCCAGGGCGTCTGTGCTGCCAATCATAGAGTCCAGTGTGTAGGGAATGCTGTTGACCACGGCAAACTCGTCGTCAGTCGCGGCATTGTGCGAGTTGGAGAGCGAGGCATCAACCAATGTGGAATTGGCAATCTGGCCCCGTTCCTGGGCGGCAGCCACGGCGGGCTCGTCGGCTTTTCCGAAAAAGGCATCCAAACTGTACGTCAACCCCTTGACTTGTTCGACCTCGCGCTGCTCGACAACGCCAAAGTGCAGAACCTTGCCGTCCGATGGCGAAACTACAGCCACTTCGCTGCGTACATCGACGGGACGAGTGCCATCGCGCAGCTCGCGGTAGAAGAAGGTGGACAAGTTTGGGTAGTGCGAGAGATCAGGGTCCTTCATCTCATCCAAATTGCAGCCAAAGGCCCACGCGTAGACGTGAAGCAGCGGTTTGCGCAGGGCACAAGGGATTTCGATTTCGTTGAACGAGCCAAAAAGCCGCGACATGGCCTTAAGGGGGAGCGCTGAAAGAACGTGTAGCTGCCATGGGCCGGGGACGGCTACTCCCTGGATTGTCCGAGCCTGCTGACTGGCCTTATCGGACTCTATGTGGTAGAGCCTCTGGAGGCCGATGTAGGCGATGCCGGCGCCCACGGGGATCCAGTACCATCCATGCGCCGATGTTTTCTTTTCATCTGGCTTTTGGTCGCCTCCGTTGCTTTGAGGGCCGCTGTTACTGCTGTATTGGCTGCGCTGCTGGAAGGTGACTGCTAGGCTCTTATTTGCGGTCCAGTGCTTTTGATAAGCAAGCCTTGACAGAGGACGCGATATTGCGGGTGTCCGAGCACCAGCTGTTGTGGTGGCGGCAAGAATGCAGCGACTAAATGCCAAGCTCATTTTCCAATTATAATTTTTTTCTTGCGTGAAGAGTATAAGCAAATAAATAAGGGTAAATTGAAGAAAAAGTGGGATTTTGTCATAAAACAAATGCAAAGATAAAAAAGTAACACAAAAGTGACCCAACTCCTAAGCCAAAAAATTTTCACCCCGCGCAACAAAAAAAAGAAGGACCGCGGCTGCTGACTCTCTGAACAAAATCGAACTGCAAAGCCCAAGGGTTGGTTTTTTTACTGGTTCTTCTTCTGCTTCATCGTCGGCATGTTCTTGGGTGTTTGGATAGATGCCATCCACGAGATGCCCACGGATATCAAAACGACAAAAATGAGACCGACAAAAAGGCCCGAGACGAGGCCCGGTGTGACCCAGTCGGTGAAAATGGTGTCCTCGTCGAACGGATTCAGGGTCGGGGTGGTTGTAGTGGTTGTGGTGGCTGACAAGCTCAGCAAAGTAGATGTGGTCGACATTTGGATGGAGCGTATGAGTATAATTGATTCGTTTTGGATTTTGACACACGAAAAGTAAAAAATAATACAAGTGTGATAAGAACAAAAATAACAATACAATGGCTGACGTTGCCATTAATGCAAAAACTTTTCTTCTTCATTTTCGGGTGCAGAAAATCTATAGGCAATTTTTAATTTTGATCGTTTTCTTCCATTTTTTTGTTTTATTTTTTTCCTTTCTCTCTCTCTCTTTTTTTTTTGGCACGCGTAACTTTTTTATTTTCTTGTTTCTGCTGTTTATTCATACTTGCCCGACCCTTTCCCTTTTTCACACCTTTTTATTTATTACAACAACAAAAAACTAAAAGACAAACAATATGGACTTTTGTAAGTAGCAACTGCAACTGCATTTGCAAGACAACGAACGGTCTCGGGCCAAAAGTTTGAGCAAATACTTTACCATTTATGAATTGTGACTAATAATTTGTAACATATATTTTTATCCTCCTTTTCTTTAGCTGGAAGACTTGGTGGTCGTCGTGGGGGCGGCAGTGGAGGCGGCGGTGGCGGACGCAGAGACGTTGACGAATTTGGACGCGAGCGCCGTGATCGGCCGCACAACCGCAAGCCATACGAGCGTCCCGGCCGAGGCGGTGGGCGCGGTGGCGGCCACGGGATGGGTCGCGGCGGCATGGCAAGCGGACATGTCGGAGGCCATCTGGACGAGGCCAAGGACATCGAGTCCCGGCTGTCCTCCCTGATCATCAAGGTCGGCGATAAAAACACGCCCACGCTGCAGAACAACTTGGATGCCTTGAGCGTAGTCCTCGAGAAGGACTTTACAAAGCACGAAATCACCGTGCTCCGGACCTTCCGGCAGTGCGTACTGGAGCTTCCTTGGAAGGTCACCGTGTACTCGACGCTGGCAGGCCTGCTCAACGTGAAGAACAGCGAGACGGGTGAGAAGGTCATTACTTTGATGCACGCTGTGCTGCGCGAGTCTCTTGAGAAGGGCAGGTGGGGATCGGTCAAGGTTCTCATGCGGTTCTTTGCACTCCTGGTCGGCACCAACACGATCTCGGCACATACGTTTTTGGCAATGATCCAGGTGCTTCTGGGCCCCGTCGTCGACGCCGCTTCGCCCGTGACGGCCAGCGGAAACTGCTACGTGTTTATTGTCATGTCGACCCTGCTCTGGGCCGGGCGCTCGCTCAAGGAGTACGCGCCTGCCGAGCTGGACCAGGTCCTGACCATCGTCAGCAACTACGTTGAGCGCCATTCCCAGGCCAACGAGGGCGTCACCATCACGACGGTATTCCACGACGCGCCACCCAAGGGCAGCAACGTCCTGGCATATCTCTTGGACATACTGCGCACTGTGGCCGCAAATGAATGGAAGATCGACGCCATTTCGGCACCACACGAGATGTTTGCCGCCGAGTTTGCGCAGGCCAAGAAGCACGAGCTGCCGCTGCTCGAGCTACCCTCGAGTCTCGCGCCTGGCGCCTTCTACACGCCATCAGAGTTTCTGCAGCTCGTGCCGAGCCCCGCGGAGCACGCCGTGCGCAAGTACATTATGCAGGACTTTATTGCCGACACTTTGACGCAGCTCGAGGGCAACCGCAAGGACTGCGCCAAGCATCTGATGCTGATCCATGGCCTGTGCGGCGAGGACGTTTGCAGTGTGATGACGACGGCGCAGCACCCCGAGGATGTCGACCCTGAGGGCACGCTTGTCTTCGAGTACATGGTGGCTGAGGTGCTTTTTAGCTTCCTCATGCAGCTCCCCGAGGGCCTGTACCGCGAAATGTACTATACGTCGCTGGCCATTGAGCTGCGCAAGGCTGAGCCGCAGATCCTGGCCACGGTCTTTGAGACCATGGTAGAGAACATTATTGCCAGGGTCCAGGTCATTGATGTCGAGTGCATCAACCGCCTTTCGAACTGGCTTGCCGTGTACATCAGTAACTTTGGCTTCCAGTGGGACTGGAGCAAGTGGGAGGGCGCCGTGGAGGAGCCGGCCGAGTCCCCCCGCCGGTGCTTTGTTCAGGAGACGCTGCTCAAGCTCATGCGGCTGTCCTACCTGGATCGCATCAAGGCCATGCTGCCCGATAGCTGCGCCTCCCTGATCCCCGACAAGGCACCCTCACATAACTTCAAGTTCACAGTGCAGGCCATGGACGAGCGCACGCGCGACGTGTCGGTGGCTATAGGCCGGTGCCTGAAGAACAAGGGCTCGGTGGACCAGGCCCTGGAACTCCTGCAGCAGCATTACTCGCAGTGGACCGATATTGACGACAACGAGAGACAGGTTTTGGCGCGCGAAATGCTCGTCGAACACGTGCTTTTGCTGGGCAGCAAGACGTTCAGTCATATGCTTAATGCTATTGAAAAGTTCATGCCTGCTTTGCAAAAGTTTGGCGAGTTTGCCGAGGCCAAGCTGGCTATCGCCAAGGTGACGGAGGACTTTTGGTTGCGCAATCCGCAGTTCTTTGCTATCACCATTGACAAGCTGGTCAATTACCGTGTTATCGACCCAGCCACGGTGGTCGAGCTCATCTTTGATGACTCGCATGTCGGTCAGTGGAGCCACTTCCACTACTGGGAGATCCTGCGCAACACGGTCAACAAGGTCAATATGCGCGTTGTGCAGCTCCAGGGACGTGTGGAGGCAGCCATTACGGCGGCCAATTCAATGAGCGATGATCCTGCTGAGGATGGAGCGGATAAGGCTGAGAGCGTTGAGAGTGTCGAGGCCACGTTGGCACAGATGTTGCAGGAACAGAGGGAGGTGGTTGTTGCCACGACTAGGCATTTTGTTCGTCTGCTTAGCAGCCACCAGGGCACCAAGGGTGATCTTGATCGGGCGTGGTTGATGGGACGGTTCAAGGAGTTTTTGCGCACGTATCGGGTCCAGATCATGGGCAATTTGGACACGCTGGAGAGCTTGGTTTTCAACGAGGCGAGTACCGAGGATACACGCTTGGTGTTTGCTAGTATGCGCAGCCTGTCTGCTTAAAGTTTTTTTTTGTTGGGATAATGATAATTTACTTTTGGGTTTTTATTGTGTGCTATTAGTGAATTAAATAAATTAACTTTTTGATTGCACAGGGTAAAGTTATCAACTTTTGAACTTTTTTGATGTTTAATTTATTCAGACAACATGAATAGAACGAAAAAAAAAGTCTAAACAATCAGTAAAGTATTTTTGTTTTTTCGAGGGGGCTAAAACTTTTCGAAGGTTTGTGTGCCAACTTTATGCTTTTCTGTCGTTGCTGGCTGCCTGTATTGATTGATAAAATTGGGAATAGAGGTACCAAAATTGCTTATTTATATACATTATATATTTATGAATGGTGTTATCATAAAGTGAGGGTCCTGTATGTCGTGCTCTATAAAAATGTGGGTCTAAATCGATATATTCAAGTCTTAAAAATTACTTAACTGAAAAAGGGGGCAGCGCTGTAAACATCATGGTGTTCCTTGATGTCAGCCAGCAATAACAGAAATGTGTATAGTGGCCATGAGGGCAATCTTGATTCTTGAAAAGGGAAGATAGTGGCTTGAAATGTGTGTTGGGCACCACAAAGTGAGTTTGGGGGTGCAATCAACCAACAGCATTATTATTACTCCCAAAAGTAAATATTTGGTATACCAAACATTTACTTTTTTAAACTAAATTTGGAATAAGCAGGTGATACATGCTATGCAATGAAAAGTTGCCAGCAAATAATTTGTGGTTGGGCCTATCTTTAGTATTATCGAATTTATTTGCACCAATCTGTGGATGTATATATTACAAGTTGTAAATAATAGAAAAAGGAGGATTATTTCCCCCACAATAACATGGGACGGAGTACTCCACCTCGTCTATTTTATATGTTCTCCTACGTGGTTAAAACAAAAACAAAAAAGCATTGATTCCTTCGTCGTTAATACTTAATTAAACCCTGGGTGTAATATGTATGTGGGTGGAATAGCACAATTGTATTTTGCACTCGAGGGCATTTATCATGTGGTTTTCAAATAGTGTAATTGGACGCACAAAAAAAGGGGGTGTGGACTGAGCAAAAAAAGCTTTTGCATGCACTTTTCACACTGAAGCGCAGTAGATTGAAACTGTGAAGAAAAAAAAAGAAAGAAAAAAAAAGTTGAATTTAAAGTGCAAAAAAAAGTAATTGATTTTAGAGTGCTTGTCACTATAAATTTTTTATTTCTTTGCGCGAATTTCAATGCATGCATATTCCGATTCAGTTTTGGGCGAGTTTCGACGAGATGCGGGCCAGGATTTTACCACACGCACAGGTAGTCGGCGCAGCACAGTGCGCCGGCCCACAATGCGCCGTAGAGCAGCCAACATCCGGGCAACTACACACCGCGACACACCCGCGGCATTCCCCTCGCTAAGCAGTGGCCATGGGTTTAGCGCGCCGCATTGGGGCGAGTGGACAGAATGGACAGAGCCAATTTCCGCAGGCCAAAACAGACGCAGTGCAAGCTGCTACGAGCCGCGCGGGTTCGGCAAACGGCGCTCCCACTACTTTGACGCCGACGCCGACGTTGACTTTGGCTTTGGCGTCGATGGGGCGCACCAGGGTGTGGGCCGGACACTGTCGATGGGCGAGATCCACGCGCTGACGGCTTCCGAGCCTCCGATGCACTGCAACATGGCCAGGCTGACGCCCGCGGGCAATGCTGCTGCTGCCGCCACCGCTGCGGTGCCGCCGCGGCAGTTTCTGCGGCAGCTGGGAGTTGGCGGCGCGGAGTCTCCCGCGGACTGCGCTGTGCCGCACAGTGACGATGGATGCGGCGAGCACCACGTGCCGGAAGGCCCGCAGCACAGCGGCTCTTTGCTGATGCCCGCCGAGGCGGCCGTGGCGACATTCCAGGTGCGTGATTTTGGCAGTGCAGCTTTGGCGCCCACGGCGCGCGTGTCCGCGGTGCTTGGGCGGCGGATTAGGGACGCTCGGCATCCGCTGCTGGCGGTGCGCGCAGTCAGGGCGCTGCCTGCGTTTCTCCTGCCCAGCCTCACCGGCTTTGCAAACACATCTCCGGCGTGCGCGTGCCTGGACCACGCCCAAGTGGCCGGAGCTATGACGCCGCCCCCATTGGCCATGCGGCCGGCATCGGCGGAAAGCCGCAGCACGTGGGGCGTTGAGATACACGCTGGTGAGCGCTCGCCGCCGATGCGCAGCGCGCCGGCGGCGGCGGCGTCGGCCGCACACGGGATGCTCTGCCGCTTGGCGTGCGCTGCTGGGCCGGATGCCGGGGGGGAGGATGGCCGGTGGCGAGGCAGGGTGGGTGGTGCGGCGCAGGCGCGGCGGACGCGCGAGTTGGCGCGCCGAGGCGTGCCCGACGGTCTGCGGCGGCGCGTGTGGGTGGAGTGCGCGCGGGCCGGGCGCGGCATCGGAACCAGCGGGGCGGCCGGAACCAATGAGACCGGCGAGCCCAGCGGGGCCGCCAAAGCCGGCGAGCCCAGCGAGGCCGTCAAAGCTAGCGAGGCCAGAGAGGCCATCGACCTGGACGTGCGGCGCAGCAGCGCGGAGCTGGAGGCGCCGCTGCGCCACGTGCTGTACGGCTACGTCGCGGGCAACCCGCACGTGGGCTACTGCCAGGGCATGGACCGCGTTGCGCGCGGGCTGCTGCAGGCCGGGCTGCCTGCGGCCGAGGCGCTCGAGGCGTTCCGGTACCTTGTCGACAGCGTGCTGCCGCCGGGGCTTTTTGCTGCGCCGCTGGTGCGCGTGCAGGAGGACCAGCGCGCGCTCGAGTGGCTGGTGGCCAGGCGGCTGCCGCGCGTGCACAGGCATCTGGCGCGCGTGGCCGGCGGGCCCGTGCACCTGGGCGCGTTCACGGTGGCGTGGATGATGACGCTGCTGGTCGATGTTCTGCCCCAGCCCGCGTGGCTGCGCGTGTGGGACTGCCTGTTCGTCGGCGACGGCGGGTACGGCGTGGTGGTGCGCGCGTGCCTGGCGGTGGTCGAGGCGCTGCAGCCGCAGCTTGTGGAGTGCGCGCATGCCGTGGACGCCTGTGTGCGGCTGCAGGGCGCCCGCGAGTGGATGGAGGGCGCTGATCCCGAGGCCTTTTTCGCTTGCTTGGCCCGGAAATAGTGCGCTTTTTCTTTCTTTTTGCTTGTGATTCATCTGTATTTTCGGTAGTACCAAATAGCCGCATGCAGCGCACGCACTGGCTGAAACAAACGGCCCGCCTGCGTTGCACAGCAATAAAAGGCTGGCGGCTCCCCCTGCCCCCCCTTCCTGCTCCCCCTTCCACCCCCTTTCTCTTTGTTTTCCAATAAAGACAAACAACGCCAGCCAGGCTTTTTCTTATCACCCCCCGTCCAATTCCCCCTCCCCCCCCCCAAATAAATATGAAGTATCGTTCTACGCGCGGACAGGTCTCTGGCCAAAGCTTCGAGACCGTCGTCCTTGAAGGCCTGGCCTCTGACGGCGGGCTTTTCATCCCCGAGCACCTGCCGCAGCTGCCGTCCGACTGGCAGACATCCTGGGCGACGCTGCCGTTTGCGTCGCTCGCAGCCGAGATAATCTCGCTCTTCGTCGGCGACGACCTGGCGCCCGCCGAGGTGGCCGACCTGACGGCCAGGTCCTACGCAACCTTCCACCACGCCGACGTCACGCCCCTCGTCCAGCTCCCCTCCGTACACATCCTGGAGCTCTTCCACGGGCCGACCTTTGCGTTCAAAGACGTCGCGCTGCAGTTCCTCGGCAACCTCTTCGAGTTCTTCCTCGAGCGCAGAAACCGCCAGGAGACAGCCGGCCGCGTGCACCGTATTACCGTCGTGGGCGCCACAAGCGGGGACACCGGCAGCGCGGCGATCTACGGCTTGCGTGGGAAGAAGAACGTTGAGGTGTTTATCTTGCATCCGCACGGCCGCGTGTCGCCGATCCAGGAGGCGCAAATGACCACCGTGCTGGACGCCAACGTGCACAATGTCAGCATCGAGGGCACGTTTGATGACTGCCAGGACATCGTTAAGCAGTTGTTTGGTCGCGAGGAATTCCGCCGGGAGCATTCGCTTGGTGCCATCAACTCGATCAACTGGGCGCGGATCCTCGCCCAGATCACCTACTATTTCTACGCGTACTTTGCGTTGGTGCGCGAGCAAGGCGCAGAGGCGAAGCCGGTGTTTGTTGTGCCGTCGGGGAATTTCGGCGATATCCTGGCGGGCTTTTATGCGCGGTCCCTGGGGCTGCCCGTGGCTAGGCTGGTGATCGCGACGAATGCTAACGATATTCTGGACCGCTTCTTGCATTCGGGCATCTACGAGAAGAACGCGGAGGCTGGGGTGCTGGCTACGCCGTCGCCGGCAATGGACATTCTGGTGTCGTCCAACTTTGAGCGCTTCCTGTGGTACCTCGCCCATGATAGCGAGGCCCAGGAGGAGGAGTCTGATGGAAAGAAGAGGGAGGACGAGGCTGGGGAGATTATCCGCCGTTGGATGGACCAGCTCAAGGCCACGGGGTCGTTCAAGGTCACCCAGAAGTCGCTCGACGCTGCCCGCCGCACTTTCTGGTCCGGCCGGTGTAGCGACAAGGACACGTACCAGACAATTGCCCGGTATTACGCGGCCACTCCCTCGTATGTCCTGGATCCGCATACCGCCGTCGGCGTGCATGTTGCCGAGACATTGCGCCCGAAGATCGAGGAGCTTGGCGCCCAGAACCATGTCATTTGCCTGTCTACTGCTCACCCGGCAAAGTTCTCCGAGGCTGTGCTGAAGGCTGTGGATGAAAATGGCGGTGTGCTGGATTTCCAGGCTATTCTGCCAGAGCAGTTTGTTGGACTTTTGGATTTGCCCAGGAGATGTCTGACCTGCGATAACTCGGCAGATGCTGTGGCCCAGCTTGTTGCACAACACACAAGCAAGTAAAAAAAATAAATTAATGGGGTTTTTTTTTTATATTTCGTTAAAAATGAAAAACTTTAATTTTTTATTTAGAAGCAAAATATATGAAGTTATTTTTAATCTCTTCCTTTTTTATTTACTTCTTTCCCTCCTCGACCTTCCAGTACCAGCCGAGGAAAGGTGTCTTCTGCAGAATGCTCTCCTTAATGATAGGCACCTGAGAGAACAAGAAAATACCGGCAACACCGGCGAAGGCTCCCCAACGAGCACTTGTACCAACCCTATAACAAAAAAAACCCCTTTTTTTAGTCCCTTTTGTTGAATCAATTTCTTGTTGGAATTTAATTTACACGTATTCCCTCACATTCGTGTGTAAAATAGTTTTATTTCTTAAGGGAACCCTCTAACTTACCAGCGCAGAGCAGACTCGGCAGAGTAACCGCTGACGTTGGCGCGGAACTTGGGGCTGACAGGAGGATAAGCCATTGTTAAACTATAAAAAAAAAATATATATATATATATAAAGACGATTTGATTGATTGATTGATTGGGAAGGAAAAAATATATAAATTTGAATCGAAGTGAAAAAGGAAAAAAAAAATACAAGCACTCGGGTTTTTTTTATCTTTGTGATTGAAATTGCCACTTTTCACTTGAGCCAAAAAAAGATATAGATAACAAAGCACGTGATTGCACTTTTTTTCTTCTGGTTTGCTCTTTTCTCGTCGCATTGTGTCGTCACTGCTAAATCAATATTTCTTTTGTTTCGTTTGTTCTTCAAATAACAAAATCCCTTTTCCATTATTATTATTATTATTATTATTATTTCTTTAAAATGAGCTCTTTCAAAATTGCACTCATTCAACTCGCAGCCGGTGCCCAAAAGGCCGCCAATCTAACCAAGGCGCGCACCAAAGTTCTCGAAGCCGCTCGCAACGGTGCCAACCTCATAGTCCTCCCAGAGTGTTTCAATTCACCCTACGGTACTCAGCATTTCGCAAACTACGCCGAAGAATTTCACACCACAGTAGCGGGTGGAAGTAGTGAAAGCACCCAGGCATTATCTAAAATGGCACAAGACGCTCAAGTTTATCTTATCGGAGGGTCTATTCCTGAGAGATCTCGGGAGGGCGCACTCTTCAATACATGTACCGTGTGGGATCCCCAAGGTACCCTAGTGGCTGTGCATCGTAAGATACATTTGTTTGATGTGGATTTTCCGGGTAAAATGGTATTCAAGGAGAGTTCGGTGCTGGAGGCTGGGCGGGATATGACGGAGTTTGCGACGCCCTGGGGGAAGGTCGGATTGGGGATTTGCTACGATATGCGGTTTCCTGAACTCGCCATGGTGGCGGCGCGCCGGGGCTGCATTGCTATGGTGTACCCTGGGGCATTCAACACTACCACTGGTCCTTTGCATTGGGAGTTGTTGGTGAGGGCAAGGGCGGTGGATAATCAGATTTTTGTCGCTGCTTGTTCCCCTGCGAGGGATCCGGAGGCCGGATACCAGGCTTGGGGTCATTCAATGGTTGTTGATCCGTATGCTAGGATTATTGCAACTATGGAGGAGGGCGAGGGTATGGTTTATGCGGATGTCGATTTGAAACTTATCGAGGAGGTACGCAAGGCTGTACCTGTATATGAGCAGAGACGGTTCGATGTTTATCTAGATGTTGCTCGGTAATATGCCCCCCCCTGCTTATTTTGGTGGGTTTTTTTTATTTACTGCTTGTTAATTTGTTAATCAAATTTTTTGGGCATTTTTTTGTTTTAGCGTTATTTAACGCGTCTATGACACTACTACATTATTATTTTTTTTTTACGTGTTTGTATCAGAGTATGTGTGCGTATTTGTTTTGTTTTCTTGCGCAGCCAACTTTGGCATTCTCATCAGTTGTAATTTAATAGCCAAGGGTGCGTTTCACACTTTTTCTCTTGTTCTAATTTTTTATTTTTATTTTTATTATTATTTATTATTATTTGGTATTTAATACATAAAAAAGCAAGATATTTTTGTCAGTCAATCGCAATGAGTATGTTTCACTTGATATATTCCAAATTACTTCGTGTTTTTGTTTTTGTTTTTGTTGTTCATCCACCCCCCCTTCTCTGCATTTGAAACTCCAAATGGCGAATTCCACAACCCTCAATCAACTAAATCACCCTTGGCTTTTTTAATTTATTTGCTTTGTTTTGCTTAGGCTACGGAGGATTTAACCAATACAACAGCGGCAGCGGAGCCAACGACTACAGCTACGGCGGTGGCAGCAATATGGATGCCAAGCCATCATTCACACCCAACCAATCCGGCGGCTGGATGAACAGTACCAGCGGCGGTGGCGACGACGACAACAAAACCCGCGGCGGATACAAAAACCAAACTCTCCGCCCAGTAACCATCAAGCAACTCACCGACGTGACGCCCGTCAAGGACGATTCCCCAATCATGATTGACAACGAGGAGATCAAGCAAGTAACGTTTATCGGCGTCGTGCGTAGTTTCAGCCGCCAGCAGGTTAATCTGAATTACTCGGTAGAGGATGGAACGGGGAAGATTGATGTGAGGGTTTGGTCTAATGAGGATGAACCGGAGGATATTGACCCTGGGGTGATGGAGGGCAGGTATGTGCGGGTATATGGGGATTTGAAGTTCTTTAATGGAAAGAGGCATGTTTCGGCGCATAAGGTTCGGCCGGTTGTTGATCATAATGAGATTGCGTATCATGGAATGGAGGCCATATACGTTCATCTGACGAAGACTAGGGGAGTGGCTCCGGGCCTCCAAAAGAACTCTGGTGCTGCTGGTGCTGGTGCTGGTGCTGCTGGAATAACAGCTCAGTCGGCGTATGCTCCGGCTGGTGGAAACGCTTTTGGACAGATTGGTGGCGGTGTTTCTGGAGTCACTCCAGCACAGGCGGCTGTTTTGGAGGCTATAAAGATCACACCCTGTGGACATGAGGGTATGTCTGTTATTGCTATTAACAACCTGCTGGCTAACAGGTTTTCACCAGACCAGATCCAGTCCGCTATGCAGTGGCTCATTGGCGAGGGTCATCTCTACAACACCATTGACGATAACCATGTTCAGACGACCAACATGATGTAGTGTTTCCGTTTTCCATTTCAGTTTTATTGTTTTTGGTTCAAAAATTATCTTGCTCATAAAGAATATGAAATTTTTTGTGAAAATATATATGAGGTCTCGACAACCTTCATCTTGTTCAAAAATTTTTTTACAGTGTCTAATAATACAGCTACATGTGGCGTGTACAAGAGTATTAAATTAAGACAAGGCTTGGCTTTTTTTTATTATCTTTTAATTTTTTTAATTTTTTTTTGGTGGCTCGAATTTCAATAAAATCACATGGTTATTATTTTTGCATTAACAATTGGCCTGACAAGAATCAGAATTTTTGATAGAAACGAAAATCCCTTTTTTTCTCTTATTTTTTCCCCCACCAAAGCAACTTGTAGCTAACTAAACAAAAAATCAAGCACAAAAAAAACAAAAACACTTTTTTCTTGCTATTTTTTGGCTTTTCTCATTTCTTGAAATCTACAATTTGTTTAAAATCAGACAACTTCCCTTTTCTTTTTCTCTTTTTCTACACTTTTTTATTTATCCTTTTTTCTAATTTCTCGTAATTGCACACAAATCTCATATTTTATCATTCTTAAAGATGCCCTTAATGACTTTTAAGACACCCGAGCGCGTCAGCTGGAACGACGACGCGTCAGGACATACCTTTTTTATCGTTGTAAAGTCCGACACAACAAGCAAGTGGAGAGCAAACCCAAAGATGCCCTTGGACGAGGTTGTTTACTGTAAGTGTAGCTTGCTTGAGAAGAAGAATAAAAAAAGCATTATTTTTTTGTAACTACACCACTAATTAATTTTCTTTTTCTTTTCAAAATTCACATTTACTTTTTTCTTTCTCTTTTGTATAGCCAACGACATTCTATGCTTCAAAGGACCCTCGGCCGGTATCAGTCTCGCACCATCGAGTGGTTTACTCCAGACGGCGTTCAAAACAACAGATAAAGCGACTATCATTAAGAGTATACTTTCGGTCGGTACCATTGCCATGAGTGAGTTTGAGCTGGACGTGGATTCGCAGACCACTAATGCTATTAATGCCGCGTCATCTGTCGCTAATGTCGCTTCGGGAGCTGCTACTAATGCGCTGGAGGGCATGAAAGGGTATCTTTCGTCATTTTGGTGATATATCTTTCTTTTTTATTGTTGGTTTGTGTATTCGTTGATAAAATAATTAGTCATTTAGTGAATGATGTCAAAGTAAAAATCAAGGGAGATGAGTTGGGGGGAGCCTTGCATTGATATACGTATAAAACAGGGACAGTGCAATGTCGTGATTCTATTAATAAGGAAACCACCTAAAGTATGTAAATGTTTTTAGTGTGTATATAAATTTTATTATACACACTGTTTTCAACGCATCGTTCATGGAATTGCTCTAGAATATACATATTGATTTTATGTCTTCCATTTAGCACGTTCTATTACACCAAAAATGATATTGGATATTGTTAATTGATTGCGTTTCCGTCAAAGAAGCAGCATGGATATTTTAATTGGTTTATTAATACGAGTGTTAAAATAAACTAGAGTTCTCAATGAAGATGGTACACGACTTGAACCGAGCAAGTGAAAAATAGTTAATGCAGGCCTCCTTCTCTAGATCCGTGGCAATACGGGCGCTATTTTTAAATTATTCAGTGGGATATATGTTAATAACATCAGTTCTGCCATTATCGGTTATACAATCTACATAAATATTGCTGTTGAACATTTTTATTGCATGGGAAATATTATGTTGATTGAAGTCAAAGAAGGACTTGTTTAGAAGAGGAAAAAAGTTACAAAGTGTTTTGGAAACGTTTGTAAAACTTGGCTAGTAGATTGAATGTGTAATGTGTAATGTGCAATTCTTTTTTCTTACTGAGGTGGCAATTTTGCTTTTTATATCCCTGTCGACCGATTTTTTTGGGGTTGTAATAATAAGAAGCAGCCAGACATTTATACATAATGAAAATGTACTAATAAAAAATTAAGCTATTTTTGGTCAAATTTCATGTCAAAAAATGTTTTTTTTTACTGACCAGCAGATGCATATAAGAAGCGGCAAGCTTAACATTTTTTAATTGTTTTTGGACGCTGCTGATCCTAAATTAATTACATTTATATATAGGCAGGGGTGCCTCCATAAAATTGAGGGTGTTCTTTTTTGTTTGACACTTTTTTTTCGTCATTTTGCTTGTCACATTTTAGTTATCACGTACCACTTGTTAATTTTGTAATAAATAAGTCAATTATAGCATCCCAAATTATACATAAATAAGAAAGTGACAAGACATCAAATTAAGCAGTGAGGAATAGTGCTGAACTTGTGTTAGGAAGCACATAGTCGCCGGTGAACGTTCCCGTAATCTTGAAAAACGCCGCCATGTTCTTATTGCTCTCCCGAGAGACATCCGACCTAATAGTCACAGAGCTCCCACTGGCACTAACTGACCCACGGCTGGTCGTCTCAACAGTCTGCCCGCTGGGAAGATTAAAGGATATAAGCCAATTCCCGCTGAATGCGTCCTGATTAGACTGGATCTTGATAACTGTCGAAAACTTGTTGCCCGCAATCTCACCAGCTACAAACTCGACGCGAGCAGCCACGTTGCTCTTAGCCTTGACGGGCTTGGGAAGAAGATTGGGCTTAGTAATCAGGGACGCGGCTACAAAATCCTGGCGCTTGCCGAGGCTGGATTTCCCGCTGACAGCGCAACCGTCTGTCGGACGGCCGTTGGACCAGTCACAGGTCGCTGTGGACCCGTTGAGGTAGCAGTAGGTTCCAGAGGCGCAGGGAGATACTTGCCAGGATCCATTATCACAGACTGCAAATTTCTGACCACTGCATCCCTGTTGGCTAGTTGTGCACTTGCCGCCGCTGACCGGGCAAGTTGATGGCAATGGTGTGCTTGATGACTGGGTTGTAGTTGTGGTCGTAGTTGTAGTCAATGTGGTTTTGCCAGTATCTGTAGTTTTGGTAGTCTTTGTTGTTTTCGAGCTAGTAGAGCTAGTAGAGGTCTTTGTTGTCTTTGTGGTGTACATAGCTGATGTTGAGCTGTTATTACTACCAGAGTTGCCGCACGTTCCGCTAGCATTCAACATTGCACGAATGGAGCTGGCAAGGCCGCTGGTGCGAGATTGACTAACATCCCAGGTCATAATGCCTCCCAGACTGGAATACTTTGTGCGCACATCGTTGTATATAGTAGATAGAGCAGATCCAGAAACATATCCAGAAGAAGCAGCTGTTGGTGAACCTGGAGCGCCAATGTAAATCTTAACATCCTTGTTGACAGATTTATTATTTGCCCAGGTATCCCAATCAGCATAGTTGAACCAACCAGGATAAGAAGTAAGACCACAATAGTTGTTGTAAAACTGCACAAACACCATGTCAAACCACGCAGAGTTTAATGTTGATCCCAGGTACGCGTCAGGGAATGGGCACTGAGGGGCAGCTGCAATGTAATATTGTCTGCTTGGGTCGGTCGCATAGTGGGAGCGCAGTTGGTTGATAAAGGCTGTATATCCAATGGTACTGCCACCCTCGATATCCAGGTCGACACCGTCCAGAACGGCATCGTCAAAGGGGCGCCTGTCAGCAGTTCCTTTAAAGAACATGCCCCACACCGTGTCTGCAAAGTCTTTAGCTTGAGCATCGCTGGAAAATCCGTAGGATCCTGATGCACCACCCATGCTGAGAATAACAATTTTGCCCTTGGACTGGCAATACTTGATGTCCTCGGCAATCTGAGGACAATGGAGGAGTGAGCTCCCAGGGAAAGTTGACTCGCAGGCATTGGCAAAGTTGAGCATTACGTTGGGGAATCCATTCATAAATGCTAGGACGATGATATCCTCGGTGGTGTCCTTGCAGTAGTTTCCAAGAGTCTGCTGGTTGCCGGCGGAGTTCTGGCCATAGTATGAGACGTAATTGGAATTGCAGCCTGGGTTGAAGGCGACGGCGGTTCCGGCGGAGACAAACAAGGCAGCGAGTAGCCACGACAGAACCTTCATTGCTCGAACAATTAGATGACAGCAGCTGAGCTGGTAAAACAAAAATAAAGATTAATGATGGATTGATGCTATCGGTAATGACGTACTTGATAAGTTTGAAAATAGACTAAATGTAGAGCCGGCACAATATCAAGTTGTTTGTAGTGCTGTGTTGTTTTTAATAACAAAAATAAAACCAAATATTTTCTGGGATATTTTCACCTCCTTTTATAAAGTTTCATTTTAGTTTTTCTGACAACACACAAGCAAAAAAAACAAATTGCACATGTAATGTAATGTAATTCTCGGAGCATTTTTTCTTTACTTTCCTTCAGTTCATACTGCGCAGTCGTAACCTATCGCACAAGTTAGTTTAGTGGGATTTGATTCATTGCCATTCAAAATTAATTAAACAAGCTAATAGCAGCTGAGTTGCCACGTGGACTGGTTTTGTCTTGGGCATTGCCAGAAAATTGGTGGGGATAGAGAGGCTGACATATAAATCGGAAGGAAAAATATATCATGTCGCATTTGCTCATGACCCATGCTAGGTAAAAAAATTAACATTTGCTCTAGTCAGTCTTTTTTCTTCTGATACAAGAATATTAAAAATTCGGAACTTATGCTTGCTGGTGTCCATAGACATGTATTTTCTTTTAGATTTATTGCACTTGCACATGTGATGTGCCCTATTGATTATTCGGTCGCAATGCATAAAAAATAATTTTTGTATTATTATGGTGAAATTTGTAATAAATAAATCTGTACCATTCAAGCACCTTTGTTCAGTCAATCATTTAGACAAATCTGCGTATAGATGAAATGAAATTTTCTTTATTACAAGATGCAAACATTCTTACGTTGTGCATAGTGGCTGGTTACTGAATATTGAAAATATCCTTGAATATAGAATCCGCTCATTAAGAGCAAATCTGTTGGCATTTTGAAAAATAAAATTCCATACTTCCAAATAACGCGCGGTGCTTTTAAGTTTCCAAACAGAAAATTGGCATCGCATATATCTTTCGTCACGCAAAAAATACACAGAATGCACTAACATGTGCACTGCTTTTAATTTTACAATAGCACCAAGGGCGGCTTGCATGGATAACTCTGTGATATTGGACAATTACTGGTCACCCATCATCACAAATGACTTTGCACATTATCAAGACAAAACATCTTTTAATTATGTATTGTAAAATAAAATAAAAAACACCCGGCTATCCACCCATTAATTAATTTTAATTGACAAACTTGTGCAGCACTGCATTGAATGCTGTCTTGACGGGAATTACCGCCCATCCCTGTGGGCGCGTTATCGGCTCATCAGCATTGTCGGGGCCAAACACCTCCTGCAGCACTTTGTTTGCCATGACCGGCTTTGTTTTTCCATCCCTGCACAGGGTGACATGAGGGATCAGATTCGTCACCGCCAACCTTCCGTTATCACCCGCAATCAGACATTCGGGCAACCCGGTGGTATCCAGGACCTTGATCGATGAGACACGTAGTGCCATTATTCTGCCATCACATACGACATAGTCGACCTTGCAAGATACGGGCAAGTCATGGGCCAGTTTCTCGTCCTTGAAGAGACTAACGTACCCATCGTAAATGGCCTTCTTGCGCTCATCTTTGACCGACGCAACGTGGGCTACAGTGATGTGGTGCTTGTGATTACCGCCGAGATCATTGGCAACCATGTCGCGACAAAGCGCCCAGTCGTCGCCCGAGTTTCTGGCCAGTTGGTCCTTGAACCATTTGATGGCATTCAGATGGGTAGGGACAAGACCAATAAACGCAGGGAGCTTCGGCTGCCTCTCTTTAGTTTTATCGGCAGCCACCTTGTTCCGATTTTTGTCCTTTCTCTGGTTGGTTGCGAGCTGGATCTGCTGGGGTCTTTCGCGAGCCACCGGCACATACTCGAGGGCGCTCTCCAACGCCTCCTTGATATCGCTATCCGAAGGCCGCTTGAACAAATCAGAAAACATCCTACACAGGGCATCGATGGTCACTCGCAAGTTTTTCATCGCGTCCGCCAAAGGGTCCAGCTCAATGACGTCCTGTATGAGACAATCCGCCTCAGAGTCCGTGTCCAGCGGCACCATGCTATGTACAAATCCATCCATCACCTTGCGGAAACTAGGGACCTTTTCCGGCGTCAGTGCCTGATGTTTTTCAGCACGGTTTACGACCCGCCCAATTGTCTTCTTCAAGATAACCGCTTTTGACGCGTTTTCGTGCGACCAGTACAACGCTACCACCCGGCACCCAGGCCAATTGTTGCGCACAGCGGTGGTCAGGGACTCGCGCAGCATCGGTATGTGGTTGTTGCGATCGGCAATCACAACGCTGTGTGTGTCAAGCTCGCCCAACACAGCGGCGTTGAATGCAAGGGAGGGCTTCTTCTTGGTCCGTACGTCGTCGCTCTGAATATGGCCACACCCAAATAATTTTGAAAGAGCCAGTGAGAGTGTGGTCTTGCCGCAGCCGATGGTGGCAACGGGCATCAGCAGGACCTTCATAAACTCGGGCTCCTCCAGAACCTCTGCCGGACTGCGACCATCCAGGGACTGGTGATACTCGAGAAACTTTTTTCGCGCACCAATAATCCCCTTTGATTTGAAATTCTCAAAGGCCTCCGGATCCTTCTTGATCTGCGTCTTGACCCAGGCCACGTAATGCATGGTCAGATCATACTTGGACTTCCACGGCTTGCCAGCCAATATTCTTCCTGTCACTTCGCGCCACTCGCGGAACATCAGATAGGGCTCGTCGTACTTGATCTTGAACATAAAGGGGCTTGTGTCATTGTTAGTACGGCAACGGACCACGAAGCCTTCGATTGCACGACCGTCAAGCATCTGGTCCTTGCGCACCTTGTTGGCAAAGTCGCGCCCCTCTGCAACCGATTCAAACACAAAGTAGTCTGTCCGACGGAACCCGTACTCCTCCGTCACTTTTGCGACCTCTGAGCTGGGCCATGTCTCTAACTCAACAGAATTCCGGTTAATGCCATGCAGATAAAGGCCGCGCATACGCTCAGGATACTCCAATATGTGCTCCTCGAACTCGTCATCGCAGAGCTCGAATACGGCGGTAGCATTGTTCTCGTGCAAAAAGGCAGCAAATTCCTCGCGCGTTTTGCCGGCCTCCTTCAAATGCTTGTCCACCCAAGCAGAGCCCGTTTTCGAATGCGGCACATCAATTGAATGTTTGCTGGTCACCAGTAGATCCTTGCCGTCGTTAATACCGGAGGCCAGAATCAGACACCCATTCTCTTTGACTGTCAGCTCGTAGGGGCCCCGTGTGTTCTCCTCGATCCACTCCCAACAAGTGTGAGGAACCTCGCCGACGTTGAAAAACTTGTTGTAGCCGCGAGCCAAAATGGTCGGCTCAGCGGAACCCTCATCGAAGGGGCTAGTGAAGAAGCCGCGGGCCTGAGTGGGCAGCGGGCATGGGTCCTTTTTGTAGAGGAACTCTGTGCATTTCCAGCTCGTCACATTCAACTGGTCCTGGAAGTTGTGTGTGGTCTGTCGGACGATGCGCTTGGACGACGGTGAGATAGTAGAGAGCTCCTGCATTTTGGTAAGCAGCTGGCGGACAGACTGCTTCTCTTCTCCAGTGAGAGGGCCGAATATGGTGTTACTGTTGGTGAGCATTTTTGTGCTGTATATTCGAGTAAAAAGAAGTTTGATATTCCAAAAATAAATAGAAGAATAAAGAGGCCACAAAACCTTGCGAATTTGCATAATGAAAAGAAAAGTTGAATTGTGGGGGTTTTAAATTGAATTTTTTCTTTTAAGGGCGTGTTTGATTTTTTCTTGGCGACCGCAGCATCCGTGGTCTATAAAAAGAAAAAGAAAAAGAAATATTTCGTTACAAATTTGCGGCCATTACGGCCACCGCAGCATCTACAGTGTTCAAATGAGCTGGGTCTGCATTTTATAAAGAAGCTCGTGCTAATTTTTAAGCAAAAGATTAATAAACTGATTTTAGTATCTGCAGCCAAGATCCATGCATTGACTCGCCTATTGAGAGAAAAATACAATATCATTTGGTTTCCATCCTTTTACAAAGTTTGTTTTACTCTGTTTATGGCAGTCTAAATTACATTGATAGAGAAGAGTATTTATTAAATTGCAGATGGCAAATGTAGCCAGCCGAATAAGAAAAAGCCACTCAACCTAAGCGCTTTAACGAGCAACATTGAAACATGTATATATGTGCAGCACTGCAAACTACTTTAAAAATTGCCTAAGAATATTACCATTTGAAAGCTTTGGGATTCCCTGAACTTCCTTGCACTCGATATCGAATTCCACGCGAGTCTGGATCCAATGATTAATGCCTTTAGGAGATACAATGCCTGGCGCCAGCACAACAAACAGCAGCACTTGTGCTGCGTCCCTTGGGCCAACTCCAATAGCAGCACAGTCCTTGGCCGCAGGATGCCCTGAAGCCATGTTCTCAATATCCGCCAATGCAATTGGGCCATTCTTGGTATGCACAACATCAACTAGCATGCCACGAACAGATACAATTCCATTAGCTGCCACCTGAGCGTAGTCGCCCGTGTGATATAATCCATTTACAAATGGCGACCTCATACCCTTACCAACATACCCAGCCATGACATGGGGTCCCGAGATATAAATATCCTCATATCTATCAGTCTCATTGCCATGCTCGTCAATTACCATGGCTGAGGAGTTGGGATACAAAACACCAGGCAAGCCAAGCAGTACTTCTTGGCCTGCACATGCGGTTATCAATAAAGTTGTTTCGGTTGAGCCATACGCAATTATCACAGCTGTACCGCCAAAGTATGCTGTGTACTCTTTTAGCTTAGTGGGTGGAATGGATGTCCCCCCACATAATATTGCTTTAACAGAGCCAATGTTAAACTTGCGCTCAGGATTAGAAGCAACAGTGACCATACATACCATCTTTAAGCATGCTCAAATTACTAACAAGGCCGTAAATTGTGCCAGGAGTTACACACAGTCTGCTGATTCCAAATCTCTCAATGGCAGCGAGATACAACGCGGGCTCGAACTTGACAAGCTGCACCATGCACATAGCAGAAAATAATGGATGATAACGCATTGCAAATAGCCCAAAAACATGACATGGCGATAGCGCCGATAGTGATTGTATCAAGCAGTGTGGTTGTTTACTGGGTTCTGGGGTTGTTGTAGCATGGTAAAGATATGATGTGTAGCTTTCAAACATAACTTGCTTTGCAATAACATTGCGGTGTGTCGGCATTACACCCTTGCGTTTTCCAGTTGTTCCTGGTGTGTAGACTATAAGCGCCACCTTGCGGGCCAGCTTTTGCTCAGTTATTGAAAAATCAGCGGCTCTGCAGACAAATCCACATGCTCGGTAATAATATCAGCAAGCGAAGTGCACCCTGGAATGTCTCCCTGAGTAATGAAAATGCGATATTTGTCAATTGACACACCAGACACCTCAAAGGCAGATGACAGAGTGGGAAGAAGCTCGGCAGTCACAAATGCCGCACTGGCATTTAAATTAACAAGGTGGCTACCCAGAGAATTGGCATCCAAAGTTGGATCCAATGGTGCAAACGTGCCATTGGCCATCAGCGTGCCGTAGTGAATGACGCCCATACATATGTCCGTATGCGAAAACACAATTGCCAGACCGTCAATCTCAACATCAGGGTTCTGGTCATTTCTCTGTTCGTAATTAAACCCCTGTGCTTCAGGCCATGTGCAATGGTCGTTGACATCTGCTTGATATCGGCAAAATTGTAGGATTTGCCGGTGCTGGCGTCAGTGAGCAGCAGATAATCCATGCTTTCCTTCTTGCTGAGCCTCGCTTGAGTCAGCCCAAAGAAGAACAATACAACATCTTGTGCTGGTGTGATTACATCGGATAGTGGTGAGCGAATTGGAATTGTTTAAATTATAATGTAAAGTATTGAAAAAAAATATGCCAAGCTATTGCTTGAATTTTTGCTTTTTTTTTGAGTGGGGCAAATTACTTAGAATTTATAAATATATATATATATTTAGTTTGCAATTTTATTATTTGTTTGTTTTATATTTCATATTCTGTGTGACTCGCGTAATTAAATAAATTAATCACCTGAATAAATGGGGAGAATGGCTTATTTGGGCATAATATCATTTCAATGCTAATTTATATATATCCCTTTATATGTTCCTAGGAGAAACAATGAAATTTTTGTTCGGCTCATCTCATGAAATGCAAGTGTCACAAGATAATTTCAAAAGCAGCTGCTGCAAAAAAAACAAATATTAAATAATTTGGCTGGCATTGTATCTTTCAACATATTTATTTGCAAAAAAAAATTAAGCTCGTACAACAATAAACCTCTACTGGTGCATATTGTGCGGAATTGGTACATACCCCAGCGCACTCTGCAATACTGCTTCTATTTCGCTGTCCAGAGGCCGCTTGAACACATCAGGGTAAAGCAAGCATAGCGCATCAATAGTAGTCTTCAAGTTCTTCATTGCATCGGTTAAGGGATCCAGTTCAATGACATTTTGCACAAGGCACTTTGCTTCAGAGTCCATATCCAGCGGCCCCATGCTATCAATAAATCCACTCATAATTTTACGGAAATCAGGCACTTTTTCCGGGGTCAACACTTGATGCCTATCTCCACGACTAATGACTCGCTCCACTGTTGTTTGCAAAATAGTATCTTTGGCTGCGTTCTCGTGCGACCAGTACAGTGCAACCACCTGGCATGCGGGCAATTCCTTGCGCACACCAGTGATTAGATTCTCACGCAGTCTCCCCGTATGATTGTTGCGATCAGCAATTACCACATTGTGGGAGGCAAACTCCTTGACTATGGCAGAATTAAATGCATTCGAGCGCTTTTTAGTTTTCAGCACATTGTCACTCTGAATATGGCCACACCCAAATAATTTTGAAAGAGCCAGTGAGAGTGTGGTCTTGCCGCAACCGATGGTGGCGACGGGAATTAGCAAAACCAAGTTGGATTCTGGCTCGCCCAGAACCTCTGCCGGACTGCGGCCATCCAGGGACTGGTGATACTCGAGAAACTTTTTGCGCGCACCAATGGTGCCTTTTACACCCATATTAATAAACGCCGCCGGATCCTTCTTGATCCGCATTTTGACCCAGGCCACGTAATGCATGGTCAGGTCATACTTTGACCACACTGGCTTTCCAGCCAATATTCTTCCTGTCACTTCGCGCCACTCGCGGAACATCAGATAGGGCTGTTCGTACTTGATTTTGAACATAAAGGGGCTTGTGCCATTGTTAGTGCGGCAACGAACTACAAAGCCTTCGATTGCACGACTGTCGAGCATTTGGTCCTTGCGCACCTGGTCGGCGAGCTCACGACCCTCTACAATCGAGTCAAATACAAAATAATTGATATGATGGAATCCAAAATCAGCTGCAACTTTTGCAACTTTGGAGCTGGGCAAGGTATCCAGTTCAACAGCATTCCGGTTGATGCCGTGTAGATACAGGCCGCGCATACGCTCGGGATACTCCAATATGTGCTCCTCGAACTCGTCGTCACAAAGCTCAAACACAGCGGTAGCTGTGTTCTCGTGCAAAAAAGCGGCAAATTCTTTGCGCGTTTTGCCGGCCTCCTTCAGATGCTTGTCCATCCAAATATAGGCGGTCTCTGAATGTGCCAAATTCATTGCGTTTTTGCTTGTCACCAGTAGGTCCTTGCCGTCGTTAACACCAGAAGCCAAAATCAGGGACCCGTCCTCTTTGACTGTCATTTCATAGGGCCCCTGTGTGTTTTCTTCAATCCACTCCCAGCAGGTCCACGGAACTTCATTGATATTGAAGAACTTATTGTAGCCGCGAGCCAAAATGGTCGGCTCAGCAGAACCCTCCTCAAAGGGGCTAGTGAAGAGGCCCCGGGCCTGGGTAGGCAGAGGGCATGGCACTTCCTTGTACAGATGGTCCAATGCTTTCCAGCTCGTCACATTCAGCTGGTCCTGGAAGTTGTGCGTGGTCTGACGAATTGCTCGTCCAAATGAAGGCAATACAGTGGAGAACTCTTGCATTTTAGTAAGCAGCTGACAAACAGACTGGTTCTCTTCTCCGGTGAGAGGACTGAATAATGCGTTATTTTCGTTAGTTTGCATGGGTAGTAATTTCATTGTATAAATAATTATTTATTGTGAAAATAAAAGTAGAGGTTAATATATTTTTTATTTCTTATAGTTGTGGCCATGGGATTCAGACTAAAAGCAAGGGTCCTTTTTTACATTTACATTTTTTTCTTTTGGCGTTTCCTTTTTATATTTGACTGTGGTATATGTTGGTTTGATTTGAAAATGATCAACATTAATTTAATTCGATGACGTTTTGCGGATATTTTGTCATCAAAAAAATTAGAATGCACTTTTTCTCTCTCTCTCTCGCTCGTCATATATATATATATATATATTTTTTTCCCTTTTATTTCCTCTAATAATAATAAAAACTTTTAACATTAATGGAAAAAGCACAGCAACTTCTTAAACAAAAAGCAGTGCTTGAAAACGAGCTTATTTTGCTCGACCAACAGCTACACCAACAGGGCGCAACCCGCACAAGCAAATTCACTGACAGTGAAGGATTTCCTCGTTCCGACATTGATATTCTAGCAATAATAGAGCTCCGACGCAACTTGAACTGCAAACAAAATGATCTTAAAGCATTAGTAGGAGAAATAGAACAAGCTATTTACAATGTCCACCAACAGCAGCAGCAGAAGGAGGATGGGAAGGAGGCAGTAGGTAGTGAGAAATTCACTAAACCATTTGCGCGTGTAAACATGGTTGCTCCGGGGTCACCTGCGTCAGAGGCTGGGTTGATGGTGGGGGATTCAATTGTGGAATATGGCAAGGTGAATGAGAGCAACCATGAGAAGCTCAAGATGCTGATTAAAGAAACCACGGAGAATATCGGATGCCCCGTCAAAGTAAAGGTTGAGCGCGTGTTGGAGGGCAAACCCAAAATGGTGTCGGTGGATTTGGTGCCCCGACGTGGATGGGGTGGGGATGGTCTACTTGGGTGTTTTATTCTGCCAATTTAGAATCAAAATTAAAATTAAAAAACCAAACAATAAAAGCTATTATTGTTTTCCCGAGGATGTCAGCTGGCATGTCCAGACCACGGGCTGTGTTGTTTCCACATAAATTTCGTCTTTGGCAGTGATGACATTGGAGGTACTCAGCAGACCGGCAAACGAGGATGGCTGCTCTTGTAGGTCCCATTTCAGGCCCCTCGTGGTCAGCACAGCCTCGGCCTCCAACGGCAGCAGGCCGCACGCCGGGCCATCCATCCCCGACACCAACACCCGGTGCTTTCCCTCCGGCAAACATATGGTCAGGTTCTCCTCCGACACCACAATCATGTCTCTATCTTTCTCCCGAAACAAGACCTTCAACGTGCTCAGAACATGATCCAGCCTACCACTCAGGCCACCAAACACCACCACTGTGGGTTTCCGGGGTCCCGTAACGGTATCCAGGTAATAAAGGGCCTTCATCAAGTCGGTGGTGTCTTGGTCGGAGTAATGCTGGACTAGGGTTCCCATTTGTTCGTAGTGGGATTGCACTGAGGGCATGATGGAGTCGAGATCGCCGATGATGGCGGTTGGCGGGGGCAGGAGGGAGGAGTCGGGGAGTGCGTGGAGCTGGTTGGCGCCGCCGTCGATGCAGAAGCGGTGCTGGGCGCGGCGCCAGAGTGGCTCGAATATGGTGGCCGAGTGGGGGATCGGCTGGTTGAGAACAAGTACGGCCAGGCCGTTGGCCTCGAAGCAGGCGGCGACCCGCGGATCAGGCTCAGCATGGCTGCTGTTGCTGGTGCTGTGGGAGGGGCATAGCAGGTGGCTGGCCAGGTGCGTGGTGACGGGCTGTGGCAGTGGCGAATCCATATTTTTTAGTGTATTTCTGACGAGAGCACCGAAAAGAAGCGATGCCAAAAGCGATTGCAATAGAAAAAGAAAGAAAAAGAAAAAGAAAAAGAAAAAGAAAAAAGGCGGTATCGTTGTCACTTTACGCTTTTTGCGCTTCGCGGTTACCATTCGTCGCTCTCGATCATGCGGCGGATCTCCTGATTGATGGCTGTAACCCACAGCTCCATCTCAGCATTCGATCTCGCCTTGAACACGCCCAGCCTTTTCTTTACGCCGGACCCCACGGCCATTCGCCTGGGCGAATGCCTGCCCTCCAGGCCAACGCGCACGTCGTCCACGGTGCCGCGCCTCCCAGCAGACGACTCGGACGACGCGTAGCCGTCGACGTCCGGCCTCTGCATGTCGCCCGACGACCTCGGGCTCGCCGGCACCATCTCGCGCTCACTGGCATCCACGCGGTAGCATGGGGGCGGCAGCGCGGCCTTGGGGCGCCAGACCGTGAAGATGCAGTCGTCAATGAGGTCGTGCGACACGGTGCCATCGGCGTACAGGCGGTCGGCCAGCCGCAGGCCGCTGTAGTTGCCGATGTCGGTCATCACCCAGGGCTCGCACATGATGTCGTCGGTGGTCAGGTCGTCGGCGCGCCGGCTGACGACGTAGCAGCGCCGCAAGGCCAGCGTGCGCGAGCGTGCAAACAGCAGCCGCGCGCTGCCGGCGTTGGCCGAAGGGCTGCTCAGCACGGAAAGGCAGCCGGCGCGCAGGTGCTCCGGGGCGCTGCTGGCCAGGCGGCCCGCGTGCGGGTAGTCGAACTCGACCAGGCGGCCGCGCGCCAGCACGCAGAACACGCGGCGCATGCCCTGGTGGCGGTGCCGCTTGCGGTACAGCATGCCGGCCATGATGACCGCGCGGCAGCCGAGCAGCGCGCACGCGTGCCAGAGCCCACGCGCGGCCACGCTCGCCAGGCCGTCGGAGTCCGGCGGCTCCTCGCGGCCGCGCCGGCCCTGCTGCGCGTAGCTCAGCATGCTCAGCCGGCTGCGCAGCAGCGAGTCGGCCGCCGCGCGCTGCGCCCAGTAGTGGCGCAGCGCGCTGAGCCGCCGCACCCACTCGCGCTGAGCCGCCTCGCTCTCGGCCCACAGCTCGACGGCGCCGCCGCCGCCGCCGCCGTCGCCGTCGCCGTCGCGCGCGGCCAGCCGAAACCTGCACTGCGGCGGCCGCTGCTGCGCCGGCCGCAGCAGCCGCCACGGCCTGCGGCTGCCGCCGGGGCTGCCGGGGCCCGCCGGCTCGTCGCCGTCGACGGCTGCGATGGCGCCGACGGCCGCCAGGCTGACGACGAAGCGCGCGCAGCCCATCTGGCGCGCGCAGCGGCGCGAGTCCGGGTGGTAGAAGCGCACGGCGCCGTGCGCGGCCGCGCCGGCGGCGTCCAGGTGGCGGGCGCCGCGCGGCGCGTGCACCAGAAACAGCAGCCCGTCGTGCACCGCCAGCAGCACCGGCCGGTACGCGGCCATGGCGCCGCGCGCGCGCCGCAGCATCACAAAGCCCTCGACGCCCAGCGGCTCGGCCACGCCGCCCGTGCCGCCCGGGTAGTGGCTCATCGTGCGCATCTCCAGCACGTGCGACCGCTCGGCCAGCGCCGGCCCGGCCACGGCGCTCTCCCCGCGCACCACGTGCAGCTCGGCGCCGGCGCCCGCCACGCTGCCGCTGGGCGCCACCCACGCGAGCCGCGAGCCGCGGCGCCACGCCATGCCGACGCGCAGCAGCCCCTGCCGCTCCAGCGCCAGCCACTGGCGCACGCCCGGCGCCACCACGACGTCGCCCAGCAGGGCGCGCGCGCACGCCGCGCGCACGTCCCACACCGAGCGCGCGTGCGCGCCCAGCCGCACGCGCACCTTGACGCCCAGCTCCGGCACGTGCACGGTGACGCCGCGCGGCACGCCGGCCGCCGCGCCGCTCGGCGCAAGCAGCGCGGCGATGCGCACGTACCACAGCCGCGCCTCGGCGGCCGTGCGCAGCCGGAAGACCGCCACGCGCGTGGCCTTGCCGCTGCGCGACGCGTACGCCAGCGCCAGCGACACGTCCAGCGCGGAGAACACCGACAGCCGCGGCACCACGCCCGACGCCGCCGGGCACGGCGGAAACGCAATGTATGCGCGCGCGCGCGTGCAGCCGCCGGCGAAGAAGCGCAGCCCGTGCGACGTCAGCACCGCCCACATTTCGGCCCACTCGTGCGAGCTGAGCCGCAGCGCGCGGCACGTTGCCTCGGTGTACGCCGTGCCCAGCGCGCTGGCGGTCGCTGTTTCGATGCGCACGATCGCCTGCGCCGTCAGCAGCACTGCGCCGGTCTCTCTTGACAGCGGCTTGGTCCGGGACAGGGCCGGCGGCGACAGCAACCGCGGGTGCGGCGGCCGGTCGCCCGGGTCGCCTGGGTCGCCCGGGTTGCCTGGGTTGCCCGGGTTGCCTGGGTCGCCCGGGTTGTCTGGGTCGCCCGCCTCACCCGCCTCACCCGCCTCGCCCGCCTCGCCCGCCTCGCCCGCCTCGCCCGCCTCGCCCCTGTGCTGCCACGTCACTGAGCGCATGCGCTTGGACACGGCCGTGCGCCGCAGCGCCGATGCGTGCGGGCTGGTGGGCGTCGAGGACACGGCTGCCTCGGAGACGCTGGCTGCGCGCCTGCCGCGGCCCCCACCCTCGGCCTCGGCCTCCGGCGCGCCCTCCTCCTTCCCCCCGTCCCTTCCCTTTGCGCGGTGGAAAAACGCGCGGATCGCCGACATGCTGCTCCGCCGCCGCGCCTTGTCCTCGGCCACCACGCGCTGCGCCGCCGCAACCGGCGGCAACGCCGGCGGCGGCGTGGCCGCCTTGGGCGATGCAGGGAGCCTCGGCATCGGAACCGAGAATCCCCGGGGCGCCCTTGCTGGCGAGTCAACCGCCGCTGCCACGCCCTCGCTGCCGTCATCGCTGACGCTGCCGCTGCTCGTGCTTCCGCTGCCTGCGCTGTGCTCCGAGTCAGACGACCACTCCACGCCCTGCGCTGCATTGCTTCTGTTTTCCCACTTGCCAAATAAATCGCCTGTGCTGCCGCCCTTTGTCCGCCGCCTGCCTATCCGCCGCCCCTTTTCCGTGCGCCGCCCCTCCCACCACCTCTGGTGCGTCTGCATCCACTCTGTGCTTAGTGATCCGATCAATACTCGTACTGCCATGCTGACCCCATCCTTTTCCCACTGCTCTTGACTCATTTGGAACACCTCTGTTTCGTCATTAGTCGCATGGCTGTAGTCGCAGGAGAGTGGCTTCAGGACTTGTTTGTGGACTGCCGCTTTGTCTCTGTACCGGTCCTCTATGTTTTCGGAACCGTGCATTTAGACTTGAAATAACAATGGAATTTAGAATTGGGGGATAACAGATAGAAAAAAAGAATATAAAAGCTATAATAATAAAAAGAACAACGGGGGAGGAGATAATAAAAAACACAATAGCCATACAGCAAGACAAACATAGATAAACACTATTTTGTATGCAAATCGCCCCCGGCTTCAAACCTGTTTACATTTATTCATCCACTCTTTCTCTCTCCCTTACACATCCCCCCGCATAACAGCTGTACAGGCGATGATGTCATTTGGAAGCTGCGAGCAACTTTGTTTTGATCAACTGATCAGCCATTTCAATAATAAAATCATAAACGCCTCTTACCTTCATACCCACATGGTCGACTAATACTTGCTTCCCGTGAGGCTGCGCATTGCTCGACCAGCCACAAATACCTTGCTCAATGCCAATTACATTTAGCCACTATAAAGAATAACCTGCTATAACATGTGTGCTGCAAAACTTACAATTAAAATAGTATTGCTCTATTTATTTACCAATACCAACGAAAAGAAGAAAAAGAAGAAAATAAATAAGGAAATAAAAAACCTTGACCAATATAAAACATGGTGAGTTTGGTCAACCTCTGCATTAAATTTCTACACATTTTCGTGTTTTATTTTATTTACAAATCAACAACTATTTTTATTATTATTAATCAAAATGTACATCCTGTCTTTATTACTCATATCACCAGCGCTGGTCGCCTCAACCCTTGCTGCCTCGTTCAACCCAAGCTGCAATTCCAATTACGCCTCATACTATGGCCAGAACTCCGCCGGCAACCAGCAGACTCTTGGAAACTACTGCAAGGACACCACCGAGGATATCATCGTCCTAGCATTTATGAATGGATTCCCCAACGTAATGCTCAACTTTGCCAATGCCTGCGAGTCAACTTTCCCTGGGAGCTCACTCCTCCATTGTCCTCAGATTGCCGAGGACATCAAGTATTGCCAGTCCAAGGGCAAAATTGTTATTCTCAGCATGGGTGGTGCATCAGGATCCTACGGATTTTCCAGCGATGCTCAAGCTAAAGACTTTGCAGACACGGTGTGGGGCATGTTCTTTAAAGGAACTGCTGACAGGCGCCCCTTTGACGATGCCGTTCTGGACGGTGTCGACCTGGATATCGAGGGTGGCAGTACCATTGGATATACAGCCTTTATCAACCAACTGCGCTCCCACTATGCGACCGACCCAAGCAGACAATATTACATTGCAGCTGCCCCTCAGTGCCCATTCCCTGACGCGTACCTGGGATCAACATTAAACTCTGCGTGGTTTGACATGGTGTTTGTGCAGTTTTACAACAACTATTGCGGTCTTACTTCCTCTAATGCTGACTGGTTTAATTTCGAGGATTGGGATAAATGGGCTAAGCATGAGAGTAAAAACAATAAAGTCAAGATTTATCTTGGTGCACCAGGGTCTCCTTCTGCAGCTTCAACTGGCTTTATTGATGAATCAAAGTTGTCCAAGATATTCAGGGACGTGCGTGCAAAGTATTCCAGTCTGGGAGGCATTATGACCTGGGATGTTAGTCAATCTCGCACAAGTGGAATTGCCGGCTCTGTTCGTGAAATTTTGAACTCTGGCGGATCATGTAGCACCAATAACAATGCAGCGGAATCTGGACCAGAACAGCCTGCTGAACCAGTTTCTGAACCAGCTTCTGAATCCGAACCTTACTCCGATCCACACACTGATACTGACACTGACACCGACTTTGACTTGGACTCTGAATCTATTTCATCTGACAAACACAACAATGAGCCTACAACTCCATCCATTTCGCCCGATACCACATCGCCAACTTTGCTTTCCAACCCACCCTCAAACATTGACACAACAACCTCAGATCCCGAATGTCCCATAGAAGGATCCTCCTGTATGGAATCCACCCAAGGGTGCAACCAATCCGGCTACGCACTCTGCATCTCCAACAAATGGGCAGTCTACCGATGTTCTTCTGGAACTTCTTGCACCCTCCAAAACAACATTGCCCTCTGCGACTGGTCCACCCGCCACCAAACAACCACATGCACCACTAAATCCATCACTCACCTCCCCGTTACAACTAAATATCTCACTCCCCCTGCGCAGCAGTATAGAAAAATGGTACACGGTGCTTCTGTTTATACTAGTAGGTGGGGTGTGAATTCGCGGATTGCCTTTGACACCTTGGAGGCTAAAAACGGGAGATTTATGGCGTTGGTAAAGGTTCAGACTTTGTTGGATTCGTTTTCGGATAATTGGAAGCTAAAATTCCAGTTGCCGTTTGGCCAGTTTGTGGATCGTGTAGATCGGGGGAGTTTGAGCACCAGTGGGGGTGACGTTGTTATTATGTCGGATAGGAGTACAAGGCCAGCGAGAAATATGGCTGTTTCTATTAAAATTACTGGCAGATACTATGGTCCCTATCGCATGCCCAATTTGGCTAATAGCATGCTAACAACCTCTTAACAAACCTCCCCCCCCCCTAAAATGTTTTAATATTTTCAATTATATTTATTAATCCAAAGCTATACGTGCAATCTGGATATCTGCTTCACCGGCATTACCCCTCGTTGACATCGCCTGTGTCTCGCTCTCGAACCGTCTGCGAAGCATAGCCACATCCGTTGCCATAAACCCCCACGCCTCCTTATCCCCGATCATCTGCAAAACAACCGAAAGCAGGAAATACACCCTCCTCAGCGCACACTTCACCCTTGCTCTCTCCACACCAGCCCCCTTAGCAATATCCAACAGCTCGGAAAAAATACCGTGTAAATCCGAAAATACTGAAGCGATAAACTCTGCCTTGCTTAAAATACCCAAAACATCATCCAATAAGATACATTTAGTTTCGCCGGACATTCCCATATCGATATTACACAGGGCGGTGACCAAAGCCTCGTGTGTACTCTGATATATATCTGCCTCCTTACTAGCCAACAATGGAGACACCGTGGTTAGGTCGTCGAAAGACACTGGTAAATTATCCTTGCCCCTGGGATCCCCACCCATGTGTCTCATCATGTATGCGTACGCGAGCGTAATCTGAATTATCTGGAACAACACACTGGGATGCACCTTCTTGGCCAACATGTGCACTGGCACACCAATATGTAGTATCTCCGGTGGGTCCACCACGCAATCCACATCGGCAACTTTTGCTTCAATCCACCAGGGCTGCCAATGAGGCTCGAGAATGTCCGGATCATGGTTGGACACAAGCTGAAGAAATTCGGTCTTTTCTTTGGCGCTCAACCGGTTCCATATTTCCTCCGTGTACGCAGTGTCGTGGATATCGAGGCCGCGCAGGCGGTTGGATAATGTCAATGGGGAGGAGGAGTCATCGGAATCATCAGAGTCACTGCTGAGATTGCCGGTTATTGCTTCTGCTATGGTGTCTTGTTCTTGTTGTTCGTGGAATCGTTGTAGGAGTTCGCGCATTTGTTGCTTTGTTTGGTCGTCGGATTTTTGCGCGTGCATGTTTTCCTCTACTTGCTCCTTGTAAAAACACTCTGTGCATTCCAAGTGCTTCTACAGCGCTGTAACAAAAGAAGAAGAAGAAGAAGAAGAAGAAAAAATTAAATGGAAATATTTTGGGGTGAATAAATTAGAATACTTGTTTGCATTTATTTGCCTTGTATTCAGATTATAAAAATATATAAAACCCATTGATTTTTTGTTTTGTTTACCTTGTCACGGTAACACACTAGTGAGCAGTACGGTATCCCGCATTTTGGACAGCTGTATTTAGCTGACGGCTTATCGCATCTACAAGAGAATAATAATAATAATAAATAACAAAAAATTTAGCAAATGCATGTATTTCATTCAAAAATAATTTTAATGAAGAAATAGTTATAAAATAAACTTACATTTCGCAATTCTTCCGCTCCAACAAGGACATGGTAAATTTTGTAAGCTTATTGAAATATAATTTTTGAATATAATTTTGAGCAAACAAAAAATTTGCTGAAAATAAAAAAGTGATGAATGAAAATGACTTTGCTTGCGCAGCCAAATAATGGGCGATTAGTATGGGAAATTCACATTTGGCTTTAATTTCAATCGCATTTAAAATAAAGAAAAATGCCCAGAGCCATTAAGACAAAGCAGGGTCAGCATTAAACCAAGGATAGTGTTGACAATACCCACAATATGATATACCACATTGTCAAATTGGCCTGGTTATTTGTTGAAGAGCGCATATCTTGAGAAAAATTTTTAAAATATAAACTGCGCCTTTTGTTCCTTGATCCTAAACAAACAAGAAAAAGGTGGAAATTCAAATCTGATCACCAAAACAAAAAAAAAACTAAACAAAAAATTCAAAACCATTCTGGCTTCCAGATTGGCGCGCAGCAACGCCAAAAACGTACGTTATATTTTGTTTTATTGACTTTAAAGCCATTCTTTCTCATTCCGCTATTTTATTTTAATTATATTTCATATTTTATTTAACGCGCGCGCAGCCAACCCCCCCCCCTCCCTTTTTGAATTTTATGCTTGCACATTGGCTGCCACTTTACACAGTTCGCGTATCCTTGTTCACCCTTCGCTGCCAATTCACAACGAAATTACCCCAGCGCAGCAGAATTCAACGCGCACCCGCATTACTCACTGTCACCAAACACGCTTACAACAGAAATACCGGACCACCAATGAAACAGCAGTCTCTCGCGTCGTTTTTCAGTGGCCGTGGCATGGCCAAGAACAAGAACAAGCTTACCGCCAGCAGCAGCAGCCCACCGCCAGCAGACAAGGATGCCACTCCCGACCAACAACAGGTCGCAAATGTCGATGCAGAAGACACGCTGAATGAGCCCGAGAAGAAGCCCGACACGCCGATGGAAACTGACATTGATGTTATTGATGCGGAGGTCATCAAGCTGGACGCAAAGACTGCAAAACTTGAAATCAAGACCAAACCCTTCGAGACTCTGGTTGCTGTGAAAAGCAACGGATCACACAAACGCCGTGTTGTTGATTCTGATGATGAGGGCACAACCACCGAATTGAGCGACAACGAGGAAATGGCTTCGGATTCCAGTGAAACCGGACTAGACAAGGGGGTGGCGCCCGCAAAGACCAAAAATACAGCTGCAGCCACCAGGACCACTACTGCTCCGGCGGCAAAAAAAACCGCATTGAAGGCAGCCAAGCCGCCCCCAGCGAAAAAGGTCAAACGCGCTGTGGAGGTTAAACCCGGAGAACCGATCACATTGATAGAGACCAAAGAGGGCATGCAGGTACCCTTCCTGGCCCTCTGCAAAGTTTTTGAGAACATCGAGGACACACCCAAGCGACTGGAGATCACCGCCCTTATCCGCGATTTCTTTCTCCAAGTCATGCACATTGGTCAAGAGCAACTCACTCATACAGTGATGCTTTGTCTCACAAAGATTGCCCCCGATCATGAGGGCATTGAGCTGGGCATTGGCGAATCCATTTTAATAAAGTCGATTGCCACGGCTACCGGCCGTCAGGTCTCCAGGGTCAAGTTGGATCACCAGGAGCTTGGCGACTTGGGCATGGTCGTGCAGAGGGGCAAGTCGAGCCAGCGCACGATGTTCAAGCCGAAGCCGCTGTCTATCACAAAGGTGTTTGCCACTTTTAAGGAGATTGCCACTACTAGCGGATCGAGCTCGACCCAAAAAAAGGCTGGTCTGATTACTGGTCTGCTGGCGTCTTGCACCGAAATTGAGTCAAAATATCTGATCAGGTAAGAACACTAGATGCCAAAGTAGATAAAATGATAACAGGCTGTGTATTTTTTTCCTGTTGGCGCATTTTGTTTATGCATTGCTATTATGTTGTGTTGCCAGAATCATTTGCTAAGTACACATTGATTTGATTTGATATGTTCATATAGGTCGCTTGAGGGCCGGCTCCGGATCGGGCTTGCGGAAAGCACTGTGCAAACGGCGCTTGCGCACGCCGCGCTCTCTTACGAGAAAGGTAATTAAAGTAATTTGTTTCAGCCCAATATATTGGGCTATGTTCTATATACCTACATATGTTTGCCTGCACACTGATGATTTGACAACACAAAAGTATGAAATTGAAATGCATATGAATCCGTGTGTAGGCAAAGAGTGTGAGGATTTGGACTCTGAAGACTACCAGCGGGCGACCGAGAACCTCAAGCAGGTACTGAGCGAGTTCCCGATCTACAGCAATGTCATTGAATCGATTTACCAGTACGGTATCAGCGACGTGATCAATCATTGCAAGCTGGTACCCACGCTCCCTGTCAAGCCTATGCTGGCCAAAATTGAAAAGGCTGCAGACGATATTCTGCGCCGGTTCGAAGGCAAGCCGTTTACCTGCGAGTTCAAATACGACGGCGAGCGAAGCCAGATTCACTATGTGCGGGAGGGCGACAAAACGACATGTGTTATATTCAGCAGAAATGCCGAAAACAACACGGCCAAGTACCCGGACATTGCCAGCTCTGTCAAAGAGGTAAGATATTTTGATCAATGTTGAATGTCAAGCTGGTGGGCTGAGCAATTCAGTGCATCATTTTGTTTTGAAGTTTGTTTGCTTGTTTGCGCATCAGCTGAGAAAGTCACTGAGCGCAAAGCATTGGGTGATTTTCATTATGCCTTGACCCGTTAAAATGAATTCTGCTTGTGGATTTGCTTTTGATTTTTTAGAAACAATTTTTGTGTTGACTCACGCATACACGTGTACATATAAATATTATTTATTTGTTTTTAAATTATTTTAAATGCAATGCAATGCATTGGCAATTGTCAATTGATTTAATATTTGTTTTTGTAGTTTGCCGGGCCAAATGTCACCTCGTTTATTCTTGACTGCGAGGCGGTGGCGTGGGACAAGATCAGTGGCAAGATTCGCTCATTCCAGACCCTGAGCTCGCGCAAGAAGAAGGTCGATAGTGAGGCCGAGATTACAGTTGGGGTCTGCACTTTTGCCTTTGATCTTTTATTCCTCAATGGAGAGGTAGGTTTTGTGCTGTGTTGTGTTGTGTTGTCTTTTTTCTGTCTTTTTACCCAACAAATGCATGCCATTCATGCGATATGTGCATGCTGATGTGTTTGTCTGATTTTTTTGGGCAGCACTGCTATGATGTAGAAATCATGTGTTGCGCTCACAATGCCATTTGCTGAGAAGATTTGACAGATTTTCGTAATTTTGAAACAAGTCAAAAATAATATGCAGCTGCCGAAATGCTTTGCTCATTTTTCACATGGTTTTCCATGTCAACATCTCATAAATTTGAATAATGTGTAGCCGCTGATTAGGATGCCGCTAAGAAGGCGGCGTGAGCTCCTGCACGAGAACTTTACATCGGTTGCCAACAAGTTCCAGTTTGCCATTGCCAAGGACCTCACGGAGGTCGAGGACATCCAAGAATTTTTGGAGCTCAGCATCCAAGGTAAGTCAATTGTGTTATAATTCCGGCCTATAGAGTATATGAATGCCATCATGCCGCACACACATACACGTCACAAGCGACAATGCTCGCTGCATGTTTATCATCATGTTTTATGTCGGTTGCGCAGCAGCACATATCAGAGCAAATACTATGTTTACCCTTCATTTTCTGGCGCCTTTTACCTCAACCTCCAAAAAAGCAGTAATATATTTGGCTGCGGCAGCGGCAAGACAGCTTTTTTGGGGGGTCTCGTGATATCAAAAATATTTTATTGGTTTATCCGCGGGCTGATTAAAATACGAGGCAAAAGCGTTGGCCGTTTGCTTGCTAGTCACATGCCAATATTTTGCTTTATATTTGCTGTCAGTAATTAATGCATAAAATCGAATTACACGCGGATAAGCCTGTCGGCCCGACTGCAGTTCAGCATGCGTTCATTACTGCCGCGAATGTTTGTGGCTTTTTTGATAACTTTTTTTTGATAAATTTGGCAAGGCAATTTTTAAAAAAAAATTATTTGTGCGGTTGATGCTTTATTTACGTTTGTTTTATTTTAGAGAACTGCGAGGGACTGATGATCAAGACGCTTGATGGCGACTCATCTTCCTATGAGCCGTCCAAGCGCTCGATGAACTGGCTGAAGGTAAAACAAACAAACAAACAGGCATTTACATTTACCTAAATTTCGCTAGCACTGGCAGCAACAATTTTTTGTCTGCGTGCCGCTCGCTTCACACAGATGCACCAGGCAGACTGCCAAGCAAAAAAACTGCAAATCGCTTATTATTTTGCGATGTGCTGCATATTTTGTTATCCTTCTGCCCCAATGGTTTTTTCATATGCATGTCAGCCGTACCCCTTTGCATACCTGGCTGATCTGCTAGCGCTCAAATCTTAGAACGAAAGTTTTGCTTTGCAAATGGGCATCCACATTTTAAATTTGCACGCCAATAAATTGCATAGCCAATTTTTTTGGTTGGGCTCTGGCAATTGCATAAATGGTGCGAGGAGGTTTCCCCATATGTGTATGTGCATCTTTGTGTGCTGCAGATGTAATCGACTTTTTTTAGTGTACAGCCAGCTCCGATCCGGACTTTAAATCAAGCATTGTAGCATGCATATGCCTAAATTGCTTTTTTTCTGTTTGTAAAAGCTTTGCACATCGATTACCCTTGGCCGCAAAATGGGGGATATCGAGACGCATGGTGCATGCGTTTCAGCATGGATATTTTCTAATAAGGGGGTTTATTGGTGACTGCATATGACGATCCAACACTATAAAAAATATATGTAGCTGAAGAAGGATTACGTCGACGGACTAGGCGACTCGCTCGATCTGGTCGTAATCGGAGCATACTTTGGCAAAGGCAAGCGCGTGGGCGCCTATGGTGCTTATCTTTTGGCCTGTTATGATCCGGATCGTGAAGAGTACCAAGCAATTTGCAAGATTGGCACTGGCTTCAGTGACGCCGATCTCGAGTCGCATAAAACTAAGCTTGACGAGAGCAAGATTGCGACACCGAAGCCGTACTACGCGGTTTCTGACAAGACTAAGCCAGACATTTGGTTTGAGCCTTTGCAGGTGTGGGAAGTCAAGGCTGCTGATCTGTCGCTGTCGCCAATTTACCAGGCAGCATTTGGAGAGGTAACGTACATTGAACTGATGATAAAATAATGATTAATGTAGTTGCGAACGTGAACGTGACTAAGACGCAGTTACGTGCATTGTTCAGAAATAAATACCCTGGCGAGGTTGTATCATCCTCCCTTTTTGGGTTTATGTTCGTTTATCTAGCTTTTACCAAGCAAACTGCTTATTGTTCGCATGTTTTTCTGTTGCAATTATCCTTTAATTTGGGGACATTTGGCACTTGTTACATGTTTTTGGTTACGTTTTTTATTTATAAATTCTGGGTGTATTGTGCGTGTGCATTGTTTATATTGAAGGCCATTGCGGCTTTTCTTTGGTGTGTGTACTGAAACAAAGGCAATTACGTTATAACCTGTTTATTTATTTATTGTTTGTTTGTTCATTTTATTTTATTTTTAAATTGCTGACACTAATTGACACGGTTTTTATTTTTTGCTTTGTTTTTGTTTTTGTTTTCGTGTTTTTTGTGTAGATTGATCCTGCCAAGGGTGTCTCGTTGCGGTTCCCTCGCTTTATTCGCATTCGTGACGACAAGTCCCCAGAGATGGCAACATCGAGCGCACAGGTACGTAATAATTACTGCAGCAAAGTTGACGTGGCTGGGAATCATCAACACCTAACAACAACAATGCTCCCTAATTTTGTAAAAAAAACATGCAAACACATTTACAATTTCTACATTCTTGATTTCTGTTTTATTTTGTAGGTGGCTGAGATGTACGAGAATCAAAAAATCAACCAATAGATAAAGCGCTTTATTTGCCAACAATGAGCGTTTCCGCACACAATGTGCCCAGCAAAGGATTGGGGGCACCCCCCAAAAAAATCAAGACAACTTTTTCTCATGTTTCCAATATAAACTTTTCAAACTCTGAAATGGCAACATTTTGGCATGGTATCATGGGCTCCCGAAAAATATCTGTTCTAGGATTAGGATGTGAATGCAGGCAGCGTCAGATTACAAATGAACTTCTCAAGCATTCCGAGTGCAAGTGCAGTAAAATATGCTTTATTGCTGCGTCAATGCGAGAAGGGGGTGCAGCGGAGCGGAAAATACTCTGCTGAATTGTTATATTTGGTTTTCACCACATTGTCAAAGCCGGAACTGGGTGGAGGATCGTTGTGTGCCTTGCATAAATTGCAACTAACAATGTCTCACGTTAATTGTTTTATTTAGACACAAAAATATAATTGTTTTCTAGCGTCTTGACTTTAATCAGATTCTGGGAGGCTTACTTGGGCAATAAATTATGCATATACGCGCCTGTGTGACTGGGGAGAGTGGGAAAAAATACATACATGTTTGAAGACTAAAATTGTACATGACGTGCACGGATTTATTCATTTTCGACATTGCATATGGGGGACAATGTAACCGCTGCCGTCTTTTTAACACAAAAAAATGAAAAAGAGTAAAAATAAATAATTAGATAACAGTTTTCTTTTTTGACATGCTGAAAATCAGATACACAAAGTGTGCATTCTGTGACCGCTAGACTAAAAATATAATTTGCATGGCTGGCCAGTTTGTCTACAGGCAATTTAAAAACATGATATGTAGAAAATTTGTAAACCGGCCATTCTGAGCAAATGACAGGCAGACAAGGGCTCACAAATATACGATACAATACATCAAATATATATTTATAAATATGTGGACACGATGAAATGCCGAATGTACATGGTAATCGAGTGGCGCAATACCATGTACAATTCATATGCACAACGCAAGTGTCGCTGACCTGTAATTCTAGATCATTTGTGCACCAAATTAGGTACATTCGATTGTTTACTTTTTGCAATTTTGTGCTAAATTCAAAGATACATATATTGGAGGGGGTTTATCTCGTCCATGCTTGCAAAAAAACGTATTTACTCATCTGTGCAAGAGTAACGGGAGAATGTTTAGCAGAAAATACTAGGTAGGAGGTTTTTTGCTTGAGAATAGTGCACACTCGAATAATTTGTGCAACAACGCCTCCACGTTCGCCAACGATACAGATTGCCTGACTGACTCAGTCCCACCCTTTCTCGCAAAAATTCATGATACTGAACATGCTCAATTAAGCCCAGCAGTATAGAGATCTCTTTGAAATTAAAAAAAGGCTCGTATTTTTTAATAAAAAATAAAAACGATGTTCAGTGTAATTCATTATCTGAGGTATAGTTTGCATCAATGGTGAATTTAAACAACTGCAAAATGGCAATGAACTGATCTGCAGAACGGATGGACCCGTGTATGCCCACAAAATTTCAAGTATTAGCTGTGCCCGCTTAGACGCTGATATTCCATTATTTTTTCCATATTTGGGCCCGTAAAAGCATTGTCTGTGCAACGGCGATGTCTGACTATTTTTGGGAGCGGCAGCTGGAAGTTGACCATTTATTGTTGCAGAATCAGCGATTTCTGAGGGGAGATTGATGCGGGTTGAGCTTTGTGAGTCCGTTGGGGGTATATATCCTGTAAATAAGCCGCTGGGAGCTGAAACATGAGGAGATAAAATACAAATAAAGATGTGGGAACTATGCACAGTTGCTGCTTATATTGTTCATATGCCACCCAGAAGTCTGAAGTCACCTCACACTGTGCCTCAGCTCTCCTCTATTTAGATTGCGCCCCCACCAACACCCAGAATTAATTGTTTTTCTCCAGATATTGGCGCAAAATGCAAAGAGCAATAAAAAGACGGAGAACATTTAGACCGTGGGGAAAAATTACCACGCTAGGCTAATCAGCCCACAAAACTTCTAAATACCATTTGAACCTGTCGCTCCATCAAAAAGTCTACAATTTTGGACTAGTCCGAGCAAAGTATGACAAAAAAGTAATACTTTTTATTAAAATATATCAAGCACCTTATATTCAGCCGTGCCTTTCCGGAGCGCCAAAGTCCTCTTCTAGCGCTAATTCGTATTTTCAAACTAATTTTGTTGATAACGAAAAAAAACTAGCGCGACCAAAAATGGAAGGCTAGGCACAAATGTGGCATTAATAATTGAGCTTTACCAGTTAAAATAATCCTAATAAAGGAATTTGGATTATCACAGCAAATAAGTACTAACGTTAAGGGAGGGTGTGAAATTGCGTGGAGCGAGCTTGCACTTTTTTGCATAACGCCCCCAAATTATTGAAGGCTTCTGAAAATAAACCTGTGCCAGCGGTATTTTTTCAAACGCGCGAGTTACGCGAAAATGTAAACAAATGCGAGTACACGCGTGGATATTTGATCTTATTAGGTTTACGATGTTGTCCTATCGTTGTCATCAGTAAACACCCGAATGCTGCAGTGTACGTTTCAATTTTACACTGACGCTTTATTTGCAAGAGAGCACACGCCAATGCTCGAAATCTGCATTAGCGAATAGAATCAACCGAGCTATTTTTTCTACTGTTGTACACATCCGATTTTATATTTTTGCCACGTACACAATACTCATGCACACGCAATCACCAAAATGGTTGGCTGATGTCCCAACTGGAGAGTGGGTGGGTGCACTTGCCATTAGAGTAAGCAGCAAATACGATCACGCAGCACATTTGCCATGGCATTTTCTAAAGGGTAACAATATGCTTTTAGAATATATTGACGAATAAGGTACACATTAGGCCATCTGTACATGTGCACGTGCGCCTTGATACTTTTTCACGCCGACTGTCGACTAATGAACGACGATGACTCTGGCCTCTGGGAGAAGCCAGTGTCTGTCTGCTTAGCTGCAGCTTCAGGACTATTTGTTGATGGCGAATTAAAATTTGCGCTTTCGTCATTTTGCGTGGGAGCCAAGTGAATAACTGTTGAGCTGTGCTGGGCTTGAGCATGGCCAAAACTATTTAGGATATTTTACAAGGCAAAAAAAGACCACGCATCTAAATATTTTCAGCCAATGGATCCGGACTGTGGGAGGAAGAAAATGCAAGTAGCATCGGGATTTGCACTTACATGCCAAAATGCACATGCCCGCGCATCTATTAATGCACATTTTGTCCGACGACTTGAAATACTTGCTGGCAGCCAAGAGAGAAAAATATGATGTTTGCCAGCACAAAGAAAAAACAACCTGAAAAATAAGAGGTAAATAAATAAAGTGCCCCTTGTCTCTGATGTATATCCGATTTACTCTGGGTGATTGGTGGCAAAAAGTTAGGCAAATCGGTTTTTCTCACCAAATTTTCTACATTTACAAAAAAATTAAGGTAAATAAAACAAAAAATAGGATCCAGCAGTGCACTCGATTTGATGAAGTCGCTCATAATGCTGGTTTTGTGCGCTCCATTTTGGTAAAACAAAACACACTTTGAGGACTTGGAAATACAAGAATCCAACTCGCAGTTGTATTCTATTTATTTTTGCTGGCTTTAATTCCTGCTTGATCGTCCAGAAGAAAGGGGATGGGAAGCGAAAATGGGCGAGTAAGATGTAGATGTATGATTAGCAGAAATAGTGAGTGTCTATCGAAATGACTCGCACCTATTTTGATACAAAGCATAAACCTTAAATCGGTGGTGGAATGTGAATAAAAGCGGGGAAAGAAAGCATCAGAAAGAGGCTGTAAGGGCGCTCGTTAAGCAGATCAACACACCTCCATCAAGGAACATCTGGCTAAACAACAACTTTTGAAAGAAGGCAATTACGGAATAACAAGTTGCAGAGCAACAAAGAGTAACGTTACTTTCACTGCAAGTCCTTGTTTCTTTTTCTTCCCCGCTTGGCATCCTGTGGCTCATATCGTTTCTGGGCAGTATTCAGTCGGTTACTTTTTGAAAATAAAATGAGGAATGTGATCGTCGCTTGTTATTTTCTGGTAGCGTGTAGATATGAGCACCAAGCAGTACGGCGCGAAGATTCCAGCGTAGTAATCCTTGGCCGCGAATTTGACGCCATTTGGAAAATCGGCCCGCCACGGATACTATTTAAGGTCAGCGACGCATGCACTATTTGGTATTGAGTGACGACACACAAGTACGGGTTGCCCTTGGCTGGAAGAGGCGAACACGGCTGGTGGAGAGATGGCTCGCATCCGAAGCATACATTTGTGGCAGCCCGCTTCGGAGTTCCTTTGTTTGCAGGTAAAATAAAGAATAGGGCAGTGTTGGCGTCACACATGGATGTCAAAGTATAGTGACATCTGCACTTTGACAGGGGTCGACAATTCCAGCTCGACTCACAATTCCAATTGAAATTATAATGCATGGTTGTCCGTGCGCCGCCGTCCCTTGCTGCTGCTAAAGCTAATACCCACTAGTCCCACTACTCTCGGCACAGCTGTGCTGTGCTCTGCTCTGCAAAACCTGACTTCTGCGCGCGCTCGCGCCTGCTATAGTCAACAAAGTAGCATGCTGTGGCCCGACAATAGGGCAGCAGTATGTGGAATGGCCCAGCTGCATGCATTTGGTTAATAAAAAAAACATCAAACAGCGTCGACACAGGCGCGCGGAAAGAGATGGGGGGGGTATCAATAGAGGGCACACAACCCACCTGCCCCCTGCAGCCTCCCGGCCCGAAGCACCCCCCACCATCATCTTGCCCCTCCTTCCCGCTGTGCTGCAATTTTGGAGCGTATTATGCTGCTGCTTGTCCAAGAGAAGGGAAGGGGGAGGGAGAGCGGGTGTCAGGCCGAAGCCATTTCGCACCTCCACGCACAAGAAAAAATGTGAAAATTACCTTTGAAAATAATAATCGCAACTTCAACTGCATGGTTTACTGCATTTTAATAGGTTCAACTTGCGGTATTGCTGCCTTTTATTATTTTGAGCGTGCCTTCTCCCCTCTTTTTTGCCATGCCACTCGTTTGGCGTCTGCCGCTTGGTTGTCTTAGAAGCTTAAAAGTGCGACCACCAGCCTCCCTTCTCTCCCTCCTTTTTTGTTTTCGAAGCCGATTGATTCTGATTTTATTCTCGCACTTATTCTTGTAACCAGACCGTCCTCACTTTTTGAACTTTCTGTCTGTCTGTCTCTCTATCCCCATTTTCTCCACTCCACTCTACTATTACTGTACTCACACCACTTTTCTTCATTGCCAGTAGTACTTTGGCTTGTCTCTTTCCTCTCCCCCACTGGTCTTTTTCTTCTGCGTAGAACTAGCACCGCGACCCAGCTTGCCGCGCCCGCTTTTACTCTTCTTTTTTATTTCAGCAACTTCTTTTACACTTTTTTTGGCGCGCACCTTTAATAGTATTTATTATTGTAATTTTCTTTAACACCATCAGCCACTATCTCTATCTCTATTTCTACATCTTTTTTGGTCATCACCACCGCCGCCGCCGCCGCCTCGCTCTTTTTTTATTTTTTATTTTATTTTTATTATTTTGGACTATTGTTATTACCATCTAGCCTTGCTTATTTTTGCCCAACGCTTTTTTATTTGGTGTGCTTTTAAAAGAACGAAAAAGGAATACGCTTTAGTGTTTTGTTTTTGAAAAAGGAAATAAGCACTGAACTAAAAAAGGCAATACCGGCTTTATTAAATTTGTCTAGCTGGAACTAGCAACCTCTTTAGCCAACAAAACTTCGTCTTACTCTCGAACGGTCTAGTTTAACCAAACCACTTGCACACAGGCAACTTCCAAGCAAAAAAAGCCAGAGGCAATAAACCCCCTTTCCTCGACGAAAGCGAAAGCGAAATCGAAAGATACCAAATAGCATGCCTGCAAGAGTACCGTCGCCGCCGCTGACTCAATCGAATCACTACATATCCGAACTACAGCAAACACCACCTGAGATGTTCAAATCAAGCAGCACACACTTAGAGTATGTAACAGCACAAAGCAAAACAAAAGCCCACATTAACGCGCTTTTCTTACATTATTGCCATGTCAGAAAAGTGTCTGTGGCCACGAAAACTTCCCCCTTTTCCATCGCACTTCATGTTGCAAAATGCCTTGTTTCATTTGTTTTTAGTCCACTTTTCAACCACAATGCCAATGCAACTGCGGACTTGGCTCCGCGCGCACGCACTGGCTTTTGTGTGTGTGTGGTTGGACTCGTGAGCTGTGATTGCCAGCTCAAGCCCAGAAACGCGGTGACTCTTGGGCCACACAATGGAATCCCCCAAAAGGAAGGTTCCGGGTCTGGGTGAATTTTAAGGTGTTTGGCACCAAAGGTTCCTCCTACCTGTCCCCCTTCCTCTCACCCCCCCTACGCCACCAGCTCCTTTGCCTTTTTGCGCCTTTGCCCATCCTGCTTTGCTGTCGTCACCACCATGTTTCACCGCCGTCCGCCGCCTTTGATCATCTGTTTTATGTGAAGTATTTGCTCCATACTTTGTCGGTTTTCATGCCTTGGTCTTCCTTTGTAGAGTACCAATTTTCCCTCTTAGTTTTGCTTGTTATGCTGGCAGCAGACATCCCATTGCATCCAGGCTACCGTTTTTTGTCTTTATTAGTTTTTGGTGCTGCTCCTTATTGTTTTATTTCTGCATCCCCCGCATGAAATATTTTTTATGCGATGCCTGCTCTTCTGTCCCCCTCTCTGCCCCTTGCCTCAACGCATGCGCCAACCGCCTTTTTGTCCAGGCTTTTTTTATTTCAAGCCAAATGTGCAGCCCAGAACATGTTTAGCGCCTCTCTCCCCTCCCTTTATTTGCGATACATCCGCCCACTAGCCGACCCACCCATCCTGCTGGCCGGATATGAGATTTGCACATTCACATTCTTATTTCTGCCAGGCCCATTAATTGTCTTGTTGGCAAACAAAATAAGTAGACAACGCGCCTTCTGTTGTTTTCCAGATACACAGTGGGCGTCCTTTTTTTCGCGCCAAGTGCGCTTCTTCTGGGTCCTTGCAACAAAAACTGGTTTTCTGTATGCCGAGAGGGGGCAACAACAAGGGGGGGGGCGTTGGGTGGGGGTAATTAGGATGATATGCGGGTTCGGCCTGTTTTAGTTTGCCACGCCCAATATTTTTTTGGGGGTACACGTCGAAGGGGGGAAGTGTATTTCCATTTTGGGTCAAATTGCGGTGCTCTGCATTTTTCAGGCCCGCTGCCATTCAGAGTGTGGTAAATATAGCCAGCTTGACCAGCCAGCCAGCCAGCCAGGCCAGCTTTTCTTGCCCTTTGCTCTTGTCCGCCTTGGGCAGACACAGCTAGCCAAGCGGACGGCGTTCCTGTCTTTTGGTCACCTCCTCCCCGTCCTTTCTTATGCCTTATGCACACAAGCACAAGCACAAGCACAGGAAGCTGCTCAGCCAGTTATTCTGCTTGGTCCCGGCTAGAGTGGCAGGCGGGTTGCCTTTATTAGCCTGTGTCCGTCGTTCTGCATCCATTTAATTATCCTCGCCTCCACTCGTCCAAGAATCCACTTCTACACACTGCATATCTAATCTCCTTTTGTGTTGTGCGACTTTACATTATTTATTTGGTTTTCTCTCTCCCCCCTCTCGCTTTTCTCTATCAGAATCAGAATCAAACTCGCTATTTGCTTTTTCCCTCATTGTCCCTTTCTTTTTTTATTTCTTTCCCCCCTCCACTTCTTATCAACCCTCTGCTTACTTGCAAATATTTTGTGTACTCTATTTTCCTTGTATTTTTTATTACCACACCTTACTCATCATCGACCAACCACTTCTTTTCTCCCACCTCTCTGTCTCCCTTTGCTGACGATGTCCTCATCTCATCACCAAACGACACCCACCGCTGTTCAACCATCACATAGGCTCTTTGATCTCCCTGGTTTCGGGCCCTCCTCCATGAGCACCGCCAGCTTTGGCAGCAGCCCCAACCAACACAGCAACAGCAGCCAGCACGCCACACATCACTACGGTAACGAGCCCATGGCCGTTGTCGACGAGGACTTTTACTACCCTCGCGATCTCGAGGCCAGCTTCTGCCGCGACTTTTCGTGCTGCGGCCTCATCCTCAACGACCTGCACGATCTGCTGCAGCACTACGAGGAGTGCCACGTGCGCTTCGAGGACGACGAGGCCCAGCCCGATCTGGGCGACAACTGCTTCTTCGACGAGGAATGGTCTCCGACCGACTGCCTGACCACAGGCGTCGGCTCGGACGCCACCGATCTATCCTCCTACGGGCTGACACTCGAGCAGCAGCTGATCCTCAGCGCCACCACAACAAACAACTCTGCAAGCAGCACCGCCGTGCCCTCCCCCACACTGCCCAGCAAAAGCCCAGGGGACCACGCTGCAGGCAGCAAGACCATGAGGGGCGTCACTGCATCTGCGGCACACAGCACTACACAATCGGCACGCAACACGCCGCCGCCGCTGTCGCCCAGCCAGTCTGTCATGTCGTCTGTCACCGGCTCGCCCCAGGAGGCTGTCATGCCCTTCTCGCTGGACATGTCGCTGCTGGCCAGCCGCAAGCGCTCCGCCATGTCGTTTTCCTCTGGCGACCATGCGCCACTCAAGAAGCAAACCACAATGACCAATGCCGAGCATGCTGCGGCTGCGGTTGCTGCCGCCACCGCTGTTGCCGCCAACTCCCCCGAGCTAGCCTTCCCGAGCTCCGTGCTTGGCCTCTACGACGACGACATCATTGCTGCCATTGCCTCAGCCACCGATCCGCTCTTTTTGTCCACTGCCGCCGCCGCCGCTGCCGCCGCGGGCAATGGCTCGGGCATGTATGGCCGCAGGAGAAGCGACAGCGAAAGCTCGTGCGACAGCCTGACAAAGGCTGCCAACGCTGCTGTCATGGCAGTGTCTGGCGATAACTTTGACGACGACATTCACCTGCCTCCCAGCGTCACTGCCGCCATGGCTGGCGCCGTTGCCGCTGCTGCCGCGGCCAAAGCGCACGGGCTCTTACCGCGCGACGACAAGCCTTACCGCTGCCCTGTGTCGAGCTGCGACAAGGCTTACAAGAACCCGAACGGGCTCAAGTACCACAACCTCCACGGCCACTGCAATATGGGCGAAGAGGCGCGCGGCATCTCAAAGCCGTACAAGTGCCGGGTCCCGGAGTGCTACAAGGCATACAAGAACCTTAATGGGCTCAAGTACCATGTGCAGCATGCACACTGTGCTATGATTCCCTCAATTAGGGATTTGCCGCCGAATGCTACGCCTGCGGAAGTTGCCGCGGCGGTGGCTGCTGCGGCGGCTGCGGCTGCTGCTTCTGCTGCTTTTGTTGGCTCGTCGGTGCCTTCATCGCCTGTCATGGGCTCGGCTTCGCCGGCTCCTGCTACACCTATTAGCTCTACTGCTGCTTCTGCCCCCACCCCCGCCCCCGTTGCTGCCAATGCCAATGCCAATGCTGCTGCTCCCACACATGTTTCTGCCGCTGCACCTGCGCCTGCCGTCGCTGTGAACAAGCCCGCTATGCACACGTCGTCCATGCCTGGCGCGCCGCCCAACGGTGCCCCGCGGATGGTCAGGCCGCCGATGGGCGGTCCTAACGGCAACCAGCGCCCAATGGCCACCGGAGGAAATCCAGGCGGTCCGCGCATGATGCCTCCCAACGGCGGTGTGTCTGGTGCTCCTCGCGCGCCCAACCCCCACTTCCAACAGCAACAGCAGCAGCGCGTCAATGGCAGCAATGCCCCAGGCGGTCCTCGTTCTGGCCCACAAATGATGGGTCCTCGCCGGCCTGGGCAGCCAATCATGGGCAATGGTGGCCCTCCGCGGCCGCGTCCCATGGGAGCTGCTGGACCACAGTCTGCGCAGCAAGGGTTGATTCGTCGTCCTATGCCTGTGAATGCTCCCCATGCTTCTTCTGCGGCGGCACCATCTCGGCAGATAAATACTACTGGTGCTCCTGTGGCTAAGTCTATGGTCACGCCTATGACAAAGCCTGCGCCTGCTGCAACACCCCCCGCTTCTGTTTCTGCTTCCGCCCCAACAGCCGCTACTGCACCCGCGACCGTTGCTTCCACCGCCGCTTCTGCTGCCCCCAAGGCCTCTCCTTCTCCTGCTGCCCCTCGGCAACAGATTTCGGCTACTGGCTCTTGCTAAACAAAAACAAAAAATCCGTCCCCCCCTTTCTTTTTTTGTAATACTTTTCCTTTTTTCACTTGTATTTTCTTTTATCAAATTTATCTATTCTAACCACACAAATTACGCAAACCAAACCACCACTTAAAAAAAGTAATATTGCACATGCTGTTTGGCTGAATCCTTGTGAGAAAAAAGCGCAAATGAACACTCAACGCAGAGCAAATAGCGCGGAGACATTTTTGTACAATTCTAAAAATAAACAATGCGAGAGGGTGTAATTATGACATGTTTTTTGAGTAATAGTACAATTCAAATACTCGAGAAATTATTTGTCACAAATACACACAAAATACACCCTTTATCCTTTATTGAGGATATTATGCAATGTTTTTCCAAATATTTGGTTCGTGGCGTTGTTAAATCAAAGTAAAAAAGCACTAGAAAATAATAATAAAGTAATTCATATACAGTGACGAAAATCTACTTGATCAAATGCAAAATATTCTAGTCACAATTTAGTAAACTTTTTGAAACTGAATAGAAAAGGGTGGAGGGCGGAGACAAAAAATCGCAGCTGAAAAAACAAAGTGGCCCAGACTCAAAATTTTTTTTGTACAGAGACATATCAGTCACTGAATATTTGGAAACGTTATCAACCAAAAATCACCCACCTTATAAGTGTCTCGCGAAGATCTATTACAATTTTCCTCCCAAACATATGTCGAAGGATATCAGCTCTACATATGATAATGATTTGAATTGTGAGTATCAGATACTGTAAACCAAATTAAAAAATAGGATTGTGTCAAGAGTATAAAAGAACCGCGGTATCCCCGCTCAATTCACACTTTTCGATTCAGCACAAGTAGCAACCTGCCTTTTTTTTACCTTTAGCAACCAATTTTGCTTATTATTTCCGCAACATTTCATTTTTTTAGCGCAACCTTCAAGCTTCATTCAACTCCCAAACAAACAAGCCCTATTTTTCAATATTTCAGCCATGCAGACCACCATTGCCTTTGTCGCTTGCGTTGCCGCCTCTGTTGCCGCCCAGGGCACGATGGGCTCGATGGGCTCGATGGTCAACCCTGACATGTCGTCCATGATGAATCCCTCGCCCTTCTCGTCACTGGCCAACGCTAACGCCCACCTGTCCCGCATGGCGTCCTTCTTCGACATGTCCCACGTGTCCAATGTCGAGACCACGTCCCCGGTGATGGTCACCCACGTGTTTGACCCCGCGACCAACAAGTTCACGCATCTGGCACTCAACGTCGTGCAGACCAGCAACGGCGCCTACTACCTGCCCGTGTGCACCGTGGACTCGATCACCACTGCGGGCCCCGACCAGGTCGCTGCGACTGACGGCTGCCAGTACGGCGTGCAGATGTCATCTGTTCCAGCTAATGTCGTGCGCACAAAGCTTAGTGTGGCTCGTCATTTGTTCCAGGCGATCAGAAGCGCTGTGAGCCACCCATCATTCAACTTTGGTGGGTTTATGATGAACACCGGCGCAGTTGGCCACCAGTCTGGCGCCGGTGCTGGTATGATTCCGGCGTCGACGGGCGCAACCGCTTAAGGGCTTGGATTTATTGAGCCGTTTTTGTTTTGTTTCGACATTTTTTATTGTTGTCATATTGATCCCCTTATTGATTAACAATAATAAACAATTTAAATGACGTGCAAATAACACAGGAATAAGTATATGGAACGAGTGCTTGCTCTTTTTATTGAAATTTAAAATATGGATTAATATGGCCGCGTCAAGACCAAGTACAACCTTGTCAAAGCAAAAAACGAGATGTTATATTAAAATTATACTAATAATGCGAACAAAATAATCATCAAGCTCCCACTAAACCTGGCTACTTAACGGCTTTCGGACGCTGATAAATGCGGCACAATCCAAATGCACAATTATCACCAATAACCAGAAAGACCTGGATGTACTCAATGCACCCCTCCAGCTCCATGGAAAACATGTCACCATTAACTTCAGCCAACCCCATTTCAGCGCATCTCCTGATATAATCAATGTCTCGCTGCCTATCATCAGCCACATATTTAAACTGAACAACCAATCCAAATCTGTCTCGCATGTTCAGGTGATTTGGCAGCGTTATGACCAAACAATTGTGCTCCGTGGTGGGACCCGGGTAATGATGGACATTTATGTTGCTCAATTGTACATTGGCTTCGTTAGGATGGCAGAGTGCGCCGAGACGAGCAGCATGTATGATTACCATGGACGCACGAATGGCGTACTGCTTGTCCATATCAAGACAACTACTGTTGAAAACGCCAATTCCACTTCCCACCAACAGACACAGCCGAGACAAGCGGCCATTCCACAAGTCACTCAGCAGAAAGCTCCTGGGAAATGACATGATTTTGGCCCAATATGGCCCAAATAATGTGCGCATATAATTGGAGCGCCAGTAATAATATGCCTCAAGGTTCGGAATGCAGACCAATGTGGGTGTTTTAAATGTCAGATACCCAGCACTCAGAAACACTTTAATGGACTTGCCCATGTCGTAATATTCAGGCTCGTTTTTGGGCTCATGGTCTCCGTGAGCAATTGCAATGGGGTCATAGCGTGTATAGTCTGAGCCCGGACCTACATCAATTGTGTGTCCGGGCTGCTGCTGAGCGAAATCTCTGATGAGGCGGGCAGCCAGATCAAAGGCGTAGTCTCTGGGGCAGATGAGCTCGATATCAATTTTCTGGGCAAAAGTGGAGTCAGCCCAGTAGCGCTTGGCAGCCGAATTAATTCCCTGAATGACGTTGCCCATTTTGAACTTTGGATTGTGGTTCAACGTGTGCTCCAAAGTCATCAGGTACATGCAGACGGACCAGGGATTGAGTTTGCCCTTAAATTCTGCGATGTAGTAGCCATTGTACCACTTGTGGATGGTATCCACAGCGACATTCTCGTGGCCATTGAGCGCTGGAACGCATATCTTAAATTTATCGATGAGAAGCAAGATCTCCTTGTCGTTGAACCCAAATGAATCGATAAACGCATGAGTGCCGCCCATCGAAGGCGGCGGCGGCTTATATGCCCCTGCCTCCGAGATGTTGCCATAAATCATGCTAGGACCGACTGAAATTGTAAAAGCATTGTCAGCACCAGATATTCCGTCGTACAAGGGAACGTTGAAAACGCCCATGACCAGGCCTCTGAGAACATACTCATCAGTCTAAGCAAAACAAAAAAGTAATAAATGATATGCACTCGAAATGTTAGAAACACGTATACATAAAGTCAGAACCCACCGTTCATTGGAGGAAACAAATGACATGATAATAAACTGACCTTGAGCATGATCTGGAACAGGTCAATCATCACTTTCGTTGCCCGAATTTTTGTGCCAGAATCCCAGTTGGACTTTTCTATTTCCAGAAACGGTGTGTCGTAGTCGTCAATCAACAAAATGTACTTGCCATATTGCTCACCGACAAACTCAGAAATGTCCGGGAAATACCCGGTGATCAAGAGTGCGTATATGTCAAAATTGCCGACGGATGCAGCATCGAGTCTGGAAAATTCATTGATAAACTCGATGACTCGCTCGTGCGCTTCCCAAGACAATATGCTGAGCTCCAGTTGGTTTTCCTCGAGGTCCTTGATCCATTTGGCCGCCTGGCTTGCAAAAACCGCGCACAACTTCTTCATCAGCCCGACGGCAGTTGCACTCCTGCAGCTCTATTCAAGAAAATTCAACAATAATTAGCAATAATTAGCACACCCAAGTAAAAACTGAAAATAAGTTTGTCTTTGCGACACCATGGCAATGCAAAATTAACTTACACTAAAGTCCAGGAACACCACTGGATATTTTGCAAAGTGCTCCTCAAAAAACGCCGGATCCAATGTGCGCAGGAGCGAGCCAATGAACAATTTTTTGCGTAGAATAATGTTTTTGGAAAGCAAGTCCGTTCGTAAATCCAAATCGAGTGTGCCGTTGTCCATGTGTCCACGCCCTGTACCTATCTGCTCAAACCTCGAGCTAAAAAACATTCTGATAACGGACAAATTGAATGACTTTCCGAAGCGACGCGGAAGGCAAAATAAACTGATTCGACTAGATACATCCCAGAACCCTCTGCAGACAAGTGTCTTATCGACGACAATGTGGCCCTGGGACTTGCTAACAGCAAATCCGGAGCCGGCTCCAGGCTTTGCACCAGTCACACGTGCGGGATAGCCATCGAAGCACAGGGCTCTAACAGGAGCAGCCAATGTCTTGGGGTTAGCGGCAGAACTGTCTGGCCGCTGACAGCCGGGAAACTCATTCACACTGGCTCCAAAAACAGTAGGCAAGGTTGGCAGAGACACCGCAGCGGGCTCGCCGATCGATCTTTCTTGGTCGTAAGGAGATAACAGTAAAAGCGTAGCTGGGGCCGGAGGCGGAGGCGGAGACGGAGGTAAAGGTAAACTGTTGCTTCTTTTGCGCTTTGTAGAAGATGGCATGTCAAAAATAATCAAATAAGAATATCAATAGTATATGGAAATATAGAAATATAAAAGTGTAACAAAGTTATTTATATTTTAAATGTGAGCAAAATAGAGAAAAATAAATAAAAAAAGAAAATTAACGTCTGGTACAAACGCATTTCGTTTTAGTTTGCCCTGTGGCTTTGTTTTTGGGTCTGTATTATGTTAAACCCAACCCGAAAGATATTTCTCTGGCACTACGAGGGGTAAAATATTATTCACGGAAATATTCCATTGTTTTGTCCGAGCATCCTGACCATATTGTTTAAATTTTTGCCTTTTGGCAAAATAAACAGAAATCATTCCGCACACATCGCAAATAGTTTTCTAATTAATGTGTTTTGTATTAAAAGCTAATTCGTCAAGTTCTTGATGTACAAAAATACACATTTATCCATAAATTTTAGCTCGGATAAATGTCCATGTTGCAAGCATCTTTTGTTACCGCAATTTTTCTCCAAAGACACGCAGAGGTCTAATGTAATGCCAAACTTTTTATACCCGCGCACGCCCGTACTGGATGGGCTGTGCAAGCCATTATTAGCTTTGATTGTTGAGTGGCCGCAAAGCATTGTGAAAGCAATTTAATTTAATTTAATGCGATGTCGATGCGTTGTCATTATTCATTCATTTTAGTCTTTTTGGCTGACGATGAACGGATTTGGCATTGTGCAGAAAAATCAAGGGATCTACGGTGATCAAATTGACAAGCTTTTTTGTTTGTCGCGCTGTTTGGTGGCAACGAAATACACGCAAGCACAATTTTTTTTTAATTTTCTATCGCGTCTTAGTTCTCTTCTCTTTTTTTCTCCTTCGCCCTCCAAATCCATTTACTCATTTACCACTTCATTTTAGAAAGCAACACAACGCAGCAATAACAAAATGGTACGCCGGCTTTTATTGCTCATAAGGGAGAAGCAAACCTCGAATGGTGGGGGCGCAAAACCGCCGCTTCGAATTCATTTTTTTGCCTTCCTAAGCAGCAAATATTAACCTCGCTTTCTATCTCAAATCACCACTGTAGGAGTCTATCATTACATCGCAGGCCAAAGACATTGGTAAGCTCGAGCGCACTGGCGCCCACTCGCATATCCGCGGACTCGGTCTGGACGACAAACTCGAGGGCCGTGCCAACAGCCAAGGCATGGTCGGGCAGCTCAAGGCGCGGCGCGCTGCGGGTGTTATTGTAAAGGTCATCAAGCAGGGTAAGATCTCGGGACGCGCCATCATGATGGCTGGTGCCCCTGGAACTGGAAAGACCGCCATTGCCATGGCCATGTCGCAGGAGCTTGGCGACGTTCCATTTACATCGATTGCCTCGTCGGAAGTCTTTTCCCTCGAAATGTCAAAGACTGAGTCGCTCACACAGGCATTCAGGCGGTCTATTGGCGTTCGCATTAAGGAGGAGACCGAGATTATCGAGGGTGAGGTCGTGGAGATTCAGATCGACCGCTCGGTCACTGGCGTCGGCCCAAAGACAGGAAAGCTCACGCTGAAGACAACAGACATGGAGACCATTTACGATTTGGGCCAAAAGATGATCACATCGCTGACCAAGGAGAAGGTCATGGCCGGTGATGTTATTCAGATTGACAAGGCGACTGGGCGCATCACACGTCTCGGCCGCTCGTTTACTCGCGCACGTGACTTTGATGCTACTGGCGCCGATGTCAAGTTTGTTCAGTGCCCCGAGGGAGAGCTGCAGACCCGCAAGGAGATGGTGCACACAGTCTCGCTGCACGAGATTGACGTCATCAACAGCCGTCAGCAGGGATACCTGGCGCTCTTCTCGGGTGATACAGGAGAAATTAAGCCCGAGGTTCGCGACCAGATTAACCAAAAAATCTCCGAGTGGTGCGAAGAGGGAAAGGCCGAGATTGTTCCCGGAGTTTTGTTCATTGATGAGATCCATATTTTGGATATGGAGTGCTTCTCGTTCCTTAACCGAGCGCTCGAGGATGCCATGGCACCCGTCGTCATTATGGCGTCGAACCGCGGCATGTCTCGCATTCGTGGAACCAATTACCAGTCGCCCCACGGCGTGCCAATTGACTTCCTGGACCGCCTGCTCATCATTTCGACCCAGGCGTACAGCGCGGATGAAATCAAGCAGATCCTGAAGATCCGGTGCGATGAAGAGGAGGTTGAAATGACAGAAGACGCGCTGGCTGTGCTGACAAAGGTTGCGGCTGAGACGTCGCTGCGCTACGCAATCCACTTGATTTCTACCGGTCTTCTTGTTGCCCAGAAGCGCCAGTCCTCAAAGGTGGACGTGGTCGATATCAAGCGCGTATACTCGCTGTTCTTGGACGAAGGTCGCTCGATTCAGTACCTGAATGACTACCAGAACGAGTTTATGTACAACGAGATTGTGCCCGCCCAGTCGAACAGCATGGTTGTCGATTAATTCACTTTATTCCAGTTTATAAACATTATATTTGCCTTTGGCTCTGACACATCGTGTCACTTGAATAAATACCAACTTTATAAATTAATGTGAAACCAATTTTTTTGTAGAAACAATGAAAAGACGTGTAAAACAGAGACAATGATAAAAAATATTACAGAAAAAATGAGAGAAATAAACAACCATTTGAAAGAAAAGGATGTGGAAGAATGAAGTGCGCAAAAAAACAAGAGGTTACATGAGTGGGGATTCAGGGTTGATCTTGTCTGCCCAACAGATTTATGGGCAAACCACTGCCTATTTTCAATATTACATGTGTTGGTAATGATGCTGCTGCTGCTGCTGAGCACCCGAGTTGTCGGGCATCATCGTGTAGGCATGCGGAATTGGCCATGAATTGGGATCGCCGCTGGTATACCCAGCACTAAACGCATTGATGGGTATGTGCTCGCTGTTGAAGACGTTGAGGCCGGATGTATCAACCATAGGCAGACCCATGCCCAAGTTGGAGTCGGTGAGAGACTTTGCAATGTTAATCGGGCTCGGCACAAAGGACTCATATCCGGCATCGGGTGCAAATGTCGGCGTGTTGATAGATAGCGGCGCCGAAGAAATATTGTTCAACGAGCGAGTGTGCTGATGCATGCTGTTCGGGCTGCCCGCAGATGAACCGGAAGTAATGCTGAAATTTGTGTTGGTGGTAAACTCGGCAAGCGGGAAATTCGGGTTGAGCGGCATCATCATCGGCGAGGAGGTGTCGCAGCTCAAATACGATGGACTGTTGGTGCCAATGGTTGAAGAGGGCGCACAGTTGTCGATATTCGGAGTCGTGAATGTGAATTCGTACTGGGGCTGCATCTGCTGATTCTGATTTTGCTGATGGAATTTCTGCATGGTGTCCGAGAACATGTTGATATTTATGCTAGAGTTGGGGTTGGCGTTGGCGGCAGTCATATACGCAGTGGTCTTTTTGTTGGCCAGATGCTTGCGGAGCTCTTGTGAAATGCGGCGCTTGGCACCTGAGCGCGAAAAGCCGCCTGGCGGCAAAGTGTGGCTGCGGCGCCTGCCAGTGTTAAAGCCAACGGGGCTGCCGTCGCTGCCAACACCCAGGCCTAAACTGAGACCGATGCCACCCATACCATTGGGACCACCACACAGTTCGGGGTGCGAAAACTCTGACAAACTGCTCACTGCCTGCATTGACGACACGCTCGCCACGTCGGAAAGGGCCTCGGCATCAGAACCGGCCTCGCTCTGAGTCTTTGCGGTCTTTGCCTTGTTCATGTCGTAGACGCGCTTCTCCTCGACATATTTTCTGCGGAATGAATTCTTGAGCTCCTCAGGCTCGGTCTTCCAGAACTCGCCGGCCATGCGCGAAATCTCGGTCTGGCTAATCTCAGGGTGAATGGTCTTCATATCGCTAATCTTGTGGCTGCGGTATTTGATGAAGGCGTTGGTCGGCTTGCTGGACTTTTTGGACTTATTCTTGGCCGGCTTGGCCTTGCGCTTGGGATGGCTAACCTTGCGCATCTCGTTCAGCAGGTGGTTGACATTTGTCGAGTTGGGAATAAACACCAGGCAGTGGCCCGGCACATGCTCAATAAATGAGGCTCCGTCCGAAGAATAAAACTGGCGGACTTTTTGCTCCATGACTTCTGGCTTGGTTTGGTCGATACAATAGACTGCACAGTCGGTGTGGTGAGTGACGGTAGATGAATAGTAAATAGCTGAAGATGGTGAGTTGTCCAAAATTGAGGCTGGAGGCGTGTGCAAGGCATTTATAGGCGCCACCGAGGAAACTTGGAATTGTGGCGAAGTTGTAGAGGAGGTCAGCGGTGCGGCTGGCTGCTGGATGCCAGCGTATCCTGCGAGCAAGTCAAGTTGCTGCTCCAGCTGTTGCGAATCCTGATCGGTGGCATGCGGGTAGGAAACTTGATTGCTCATTGTCTGACTTGGAAAGATGTTGGTATTAATTGAAAAGATGCGTGTATGTGCGGCCTGTTTGAAAGTTTTTGCAGCGCCGAGAATTTCGAAAGGGTTTTGGCAACGCGTGAGCACGATTGACAATGTAAGTGTGTGTGTGCGTGTGATTTGGCGCAAACTGTCTGTCTCTCTTTTTTGTTCAAGAGCGATTGTGACAAAATATGTGTGCGAGAGGCGAGATTTGGGTGCACGAAAATAGTAAAATAGCTGATAAAAAATAAAAAAATAAAAAGTGTAGCGCTGGATATAGCAAGAAAATACAATAATTTTTGTACAATTGCTGGGAATAAGCACGAGCACTTTGTAGGTGTATTGGAATAATAGACAAATTGAATAGTTTATTATGCTATCTACTGATTGTACAATTGTGAGAAATGAAGACGCAGGTGCGGGGTTGAAATGTAATGATGCGACGAGATTTGTGAAAAAGGCAGGGCGCTCAGGGAATTATAAGCAAGTGGATTGTGCTATGCTGCCCTGCTGTTTGTCTCGCAACATCCTTGCAATGTGCAGAATGCAGGATACAATAAAAATAATTAAACCGCATCTCTATTTGCTCTCCCTTTCGTGGGCTTGCGTGTGCATGCTTTGTTCGAATTGATATGCTCTTCTAATTTTTTTTATGATTTGCACGCGAAAACAGGTGTATACGAAAATCAGGGCTGTGACTCCCTCCCCACTTCATTCGTATTTCCCCCAATACTCACCATTCCTATCTATCATGTCCTCTCCATATTCACTTTGTATGCAGTATCAAAAAATTCTGACAAAAAAGTCTTCCGGAGAAGAGGTGACGGGAGCACATTCTATGCAACTGTCTCCTCATGTCAGGTTTATTTTTGGAGCAAAAGACACACGCACATGCGTCAAAAGGCCGTGTTCGCCGCACTACCGCCGACGCACCTCTGTTTATATGCATTGTGCAGCATGACCGGCCACATGCGGCAGGAACAAATGGTACAATAAAGACATGCAGGAATCAAATACCCTGCTCAAATTGAAATGAAATTATCAAAATTTTCTGCATTATTACTTGTTGCTGAATATCTGTTTACAAACTAAAAAATAAGGCATTGCGTACCAAGCAATTTGCCAAATAAACATGCATTCCTGACAATAAATGCTTTGACTTGAACTGGCCTTTAAACTGCGTTTTGATTTTGAATCGGTCCGTTTTTTTGCGCTTTGCGCTTTGCGCTTTTTACAAAACCTTCTTTCAGCAGATATCAGAGACCGATGTCAACTGGTTAACCGAGACCTTCCATTTTTGCAATAAAAGTATCCTATATAATACGTGCATCATTTTGCTATTGCAACCATAGCAACATTTGAACAGAACATTTTTTTGCTCATCATTATTTTTGCACTTGCATTTGTATTTACTCTTGCTCGCATTTTCACCCTCGCCAAAAATGTTTAGCCATATTGTTTATTTGTCATACAAATGTAATTATATGCGGATAGCCAAACAACACTTGCACACTTACACACACGCACATAGATTACGCAATTTTAATTGTATTTGGGACGAACTTGCAAAAAAATCAATTGCAGTGATTGATATTATCATGCAAGCCAATAGATATCCGATTGCAAATGTCTTTTGTCTTTTTATCAATTTATTTGTTGATGCTTTCATGATTGCTATTTTTTCTACTCACGCTCCATCCCGAGTGTGCATATTCCCGACTGTGGCGAGTGCCATCTTATGACACATGCAGCATGCAGGACACCACGAGCTGAGATAAATGCACGCAGTGCATATAAAGAGCAAAATATTTATCGACATCGGTACTCGCCTCTCAGTGTGAAGATATATGTCTCCACATTAGTTCTCTTCAATTGAAAATAAATCGACAAACTTGTCTGTTCACATGTGATGTTCACATCTGCATGCATCATTGCATACACTTTTTTATTTGATTATTTCCTGTGGCGGTTTTTTTTGCAGTGTGGCGGGTGTTTTGAGTGTGGCGAGTATAGTGATACGATGTAATTGAAACAGGCTGCATTTTGCTGCATTATCTTTGTAATTTTTTGTGTCCTTTAACACAAGGAACGGCACAAAGAAGCTAATGGTCATGCTCTGGCTGCCCACTTGCCTGTCTGCTTGCATTTGTGTTTGTCTGTTTAAAGTTAGTACTCGACCATGTGGCGAGTGATTTTCCGTTTAAAAAAGGGGGTGCATGCACCAGCCACACATAAACCTGATTATATCGTTAACAGCAAAAGGACAGGTTAAAAAGATGGTAGCCAATCACTTCTAATGGGCATGTCTTGAACGCAGTTGTACGCCCCTTAATTATTATTTTTATTAATCCAAGTTTTATTACAAAAACTGGTAATGCGCTTGGCGAGTATCAACCGAAGTTCTTTGAGTAACAATAGATACAACCATCTAGGAGTCTATTATAACTCTCAACCGTCAATTTTGTTTATTGTCTAACAATAAACTGACCAGTATTTATACTGATAGTGAGGCACCCGCTCGTTCTAGATCATATATTTGTCATAAAAAATTAAATATACTCGTTGAGATGCGAAAAACATATATCATAAAGCGCGCGTGCCGCCAGAACTTTCAATTTTTCAAATGCAAATTTTTCTCCTCAACATAGTCTTATATTATTATATACTTATTTTGTTACTTAAGAATGGCAAGTACGTATTTAGTGTAATTGCAATTTTAATTATAATTTTGATGATTTTAAAATTAAGTTTGATCAATTAGCTACAAATCGACTCTTTATGCGGAATTTCGGTTGTCAGGACAAATCAACAACAGTGCTTTATTGGGTAGAAACATATTTGCACGAAAAAAAGAATGTACTGCCATACAAAAAGCCGTTTTCTACATAGACAGCGGCGCGTCTGCTCGGAATGCAGAGCTTTTTCTTACGTACTGCTACAGGATTGCTTGCAAAAAAACACCAGCACCGCGGCTATTCTGCCACCAACACAGTCGAGACCATTGACACTGGCGCACAACTCCCAAAGAACAGAAAATTTCCTTTCTGCCACACCGCCACACCCATGGATGCACAACTTGCGATCGGCATTCAAAGCTAAATATTTTTCTTAATGGCGATTGAACTGAACGGCAATCTGCAAACAGGGCATGGTATTTAGTAAACACGCGTGCTGATTGGGTAACTTGCTTATGCGGCATACCTTTTGCTGTTGCTGCTGAAATATTATACTTGGCAGCGCGGGATTAAATAATGTCTACCAATTAATGCAGTGTAGATGCCGTGACAAATGATGTTCCCCCAAGATAGGCATGGGCAAAGATAAATGCAAATTAGTGCACTGCCGCGCAAGTATCCACGCATGCGTGTTTGTTGGCATTTGTCTGCGAATGCATTCTTTTATATTATGCTTGGAGCATGCATGTTGATTAGAGGGGCCCATGCGATCGCGGCACGTTGGTGCCTTTAGCTGCTCCCGATATTGTGAGAATTGCTGCGGGATGTTACCTGTTCATATCTAAGGGACCCGTTAAGAGAGCTATTTAAATATTATGATATTAGTAATTTTACGACTTGGGGTGTGCTAGTGATTGCCAACGGGTTGAATATACGAGGAGCGAAGTCATCACGAGTGACGAGCGTTGAGGTATTGGAAACCTAGTCAACCATTTTGACTTGCACGTTTTCTTGACGGCCGAGCCTAGCTGCACAAGTCATGTGTACATATATTTATGACACTAGACAAGTGGTAAATGGCTTTTTCCGGTTTAAATTAGTGCAAAACCAGTCTCTGAAAGAGGCCAAGTTGAGCCTTTGGCGGATGAGTGACCATGCGCGGGATTGCTATGCACTTGGGCACGCTCAACAAAATGCATTCACGCCGGCTAACCGCAGGGATGCCAGCATAATTAACAAATCGAACTAGCATTGGTCCTGCATTTTGCGCTCATTAATTGAGTATTGCAGAGATTTTCAATTATATTGCTGAAAACTCTTTTAATATATGCAGCTTTTGTCTTCCCCGTTTGTCTAGCCGCAGACAGATGCAAAGCTCCATATAAGGCTTACTTTTAGCACCCTTAACACTTCTTTGGTCTTTGTGCAGCTGCACGACTATCTTAGTGCCCAATATTCGCACCACAAGACACATAGACACAAACAAACGTCTTGCATTTTCTTTCTTGCTCAAACTTCCTTTTGGGTGCTTTGTTAGAGCAAAGAAGGCTGACTTGTAAGTGTAAGGAAACAAAGCAGCATATTAACGGTAAGCACGAATTACCATTATAACAAGCCAAATCAAGCATGTTTGCCGACAAAGCGCCAAAAATGTTTCTTTCTCATTGTGCTGTTCAATGTTTTAATTTCGACATTCACAAAAATACAGAAACAAGTTGATTCATATTATTTGTTTGCCGGCCGTCCCCACTCCTGTTTCTTTCAAATAACAACCGCTCGTGCGTACAGGTACGATTTCCGTTTTTTGGCCAATTCTATATAAGAAATAGATTATCCAGTTGTTTCATTTTTTACTTTTGTATCTCTATTTAGTCTGCATAGTACACTCCGTCCAGTTCAACTTTAAAAGCAAAAAGCACTTAAACATCTCCTTCAGCTCATTATACCTGCAATGTACTCCGCTACCTCGACCTCTTTTGCCAACACTTTCGATATTTTTACGATCAGCGACGACGGCTCTATTATGATGGACTATACCTATGATAACTGCGACTGCTACACTTATCAGTAAGCGCTGTGCCGCTTGATTCCACCCACATTTAAAACGCATTCGTGTGTTGTTATTTTTGTTTGCCTGGGCTTTTAGAGCAACTTCTCTATCACTAGCAGACGTAAAAAAAAGTAATTTGTTGCCACTGTATCGTCTTGGCCATCGAATTGTACAAAATTACATAGATATATCTTTTAGGTATATACTTTATGACATTTATCTCTCATCTCCACACTACCGGTAGCTTTCTTTTTCATTTTTCGATTAATATCAATTTTATATCAATGCAATGTTAAATATATAAAACGCAAGGCTGCACAATGTTATGATCTGTTTTTTTTTCTACATTTGCGTATTAACGCGCAGCCAAACGAACAAGGGACAAAGGGTTTAAAATAAAATATTAAAGAGCGGCTCGGACCGAGTCGACCATATGTCATAGTGTGAGATTTTTCAAGCATCGAAAATTTTCCACTATTTTATATGCATAATTTTTACGCTCACAAGACTCGCTTTTCGGGAAAATTATGCACGGGGTTTTTGAAAGGTTTTCATCACAGCCGTGTTTCTCCACTTTTATCCTTTCAATTTTAGTATACATTATTTTAAATTTGCATCTCAATTGGCACTTTGCTAGAATAAATTATGGCAGAGTTTTTGGACCAGAAGAAGATTCAGCAGCTTATCCGCTCTCACGTACCCGGAATTGACAGTATTATTGTCGAATATGTTCAGGGATGCCTCAATGACGCAGCATCGACTATAGCGACATCGGATGCTAGTACTACGGACGAGAATCCCATTGACGAACTTATTCGGCCGATGCTTGAGGACGCTAGTGGCGGTGCCGACGACGTGGATGAGCTGTGCGCGAAGTTGTCAGAGATGCTCAGCGAGGTCGAACAGCAAGCCAACCCACAGAAGAGCTCGAAGCTCTCCAAGCTGGCGGCGCCTGTAAACATGGTGGCCCAGCAGGCGCAGATTAACAAGGCGACAAAGGCATCCCAGGCAGGAAACACGGACCTGGCGCACGCCAAGGGCCGGTCCGTGGTCAGTCAGGTTGATGTCAAGAAGCTGCGCAAGGCCGAAGCGCGCATTGCGGCCAAGATGGAGAAGCGTGGTGTCAAGTCACGCTACGAGGCATCCAAGCTTATCAACGAGAACCTGCTGGACGACGATGATCTGCTCATGAGGGTTAACCCAATTCTGGATTACACGTCGACGCGCGATAAGATCAAGGATGTCAAGATCGACGGATTTGACATTTCGTACGCGGGAAAGCGCATTCTCACCAACTCCAACCTTCATCTGGTCTTTGGCCGCCGCTACGGTCTCATCGGTCGCAACGGTATCGGAAAGTCGACGCTCTTGCGAAACATTGCTTATCGCGAGCTGGCTGTGCCGACTTATATCAGCATCCTGTTTGTCGAGCAAGAGATGGCCGGTGACGAAACGCCGGCCATTCGCTCGGTTCTCAAGGCCGATCTGTTCCGTGAGCAGATGCTGCGCGACGAGGCCGGAATCAACGAGGAGATCAAGCGTCTTGAGGGCCCGGCGCCCCTTGACGAGCGTGGAGAGGTCATGTCGAAGCACGAGATTGACGCAAAGAAGAATGAGATGGGAGATCGCCTGAACAGCATCATGACCAAGTTACTGGACATTGAGTCCGATAAGGCCGAGTCGAAGGCTGGCGAGATTCTCAGCGGTCTCGGCTTTGGCGCCGGAGACTTCCAGCGGCCGACAAAGAGCTTCTCCGGAGGTTGGCGCATGCGTCTGTCCCTGGCTCGTGCCCTATTCTGCCGCCCCGATCTTCTGCTCCTTGATGAGCCTACGAACATGTTGGATATTCCGGCCGTTGTATGGCTCGAGCGGTATCTCAAGACCTGGCACGGTACCCTGCTGGTTGTTTCCCACGATCGAGAGTTCTTGGACGAGGTGGCGACGGACATTGTGCACCAGCACTCTGAGCAGATAGACCAGTACCGCGGTAACTTCAAGTCTTTCTGGTCCACACGCGAGGAGCGGCGCAAGAACCAGATGCGCGAGTACGAGACACAGATGCATTACCGTGCGCATCTGCAAGAGTACATTGACCGCTGGAGATACAACTCGAACCGTGCGGCGCAGGCTCAGATGAAGATCAAGATCCTCGAGAAACTGCCCGAGCTGGAGAAGCCCGAGGACGACAAGGTGGTGACGTTCACGTTTCCCAATCCAGACAACATCTCGCCGCCGGTGCTGTTTATGGACGAGGTCTCGTTCAGCTACTCGGCCGAGCGCAAGATCCTGGATCACGTCAACATTGATATGCAGATGGACGCGCGCGTCGCCATTGTTGGTCCCAACGGAGCGGGTAAGACCACGCTGCTGAAGCTGCTCATCGGCAGGCTCGATCCCACGGGCGGTATTGTCCACCGCCACGGTCGTCTGCGCATTGCCTACTTCTCACAGCATCACGTCGACCAGCTGGACCTCAAGCTGACAGCCGTCGGCCACCTGAAGAAGATGTACCCGGGCAACAATGACGAGGAGTACCGCCGCCACTTGGGTGCCTTTGGTATCTCGGGAATGACCGCGCTGCAGGAGATCAGCACGCTTTCGGGAGGACAGAAGAGCAGAGTCACTTTTGCTGGTCTCGCCGTGCAGCAGCCGCACTTTTTGGTTCTTGATGAGCCGACTAATCATTTGGATATGGAATCGATGGACGCGCTGACAAATGCGCTCAAGCAGTTCAATGGCGGTGTGGTTCTGGTCTCTCATGACGAGCGCTTCATCGACTCGGTGTGCACGGAGATGTGGGTATGCGCCGATTGCAAGGTCACAAAGTTCGCCGGCGAGGGAATCAAGGACTACAAGAAGATGATCTGCCCACCAGAGGACCAGTAGAGACTTCAGCCATATACTTTTTGAAAGAGAATAATAGAACAGCGTGCGCACGTGGGAAAATGAAACAGCAGTAGAAGCAACTGATTACGAAAAAAAATGTCTCAGCCCAAGCAATTTTTTGGGTTTAGTTTGATCAAGCTTTTTTCTTTTGCGTATCATTAAGCTTTTTTCGTACTTACCTTTTTCTATTTCATTGTCAATTCAGAATCATAATGCGCGCTTTCTGCTCATTTGCACGCAGCGGTGCTAACGCCGTGTCCGCTGGCCACTTTGCGCTTACATATCGTATTCTGCAGAAACAGACGGCTGCCGCCGGCTTGAGATTCAAAATGACCCACGCCAGCTCGCCGCTCGCAACAGCAGCCACCACGCGGGAATTGCGTCTTTCTGGTGGTTGCGCAAAGTACAGTACCGAAACGCCGCCAAAGAGCGACGGGGACAACAGCAACAGCAACAGCAACAGCAGCAGTACTGCCGGCAACAGCGAGAGCAGCAGCAACAGTAGCCACAAAAAGGACAGCCTCCTGCCTGACTCTGGGCCCCTGTCTCCCGTTGGCATCGGGCTGTTCCTTCTCTCAGCGGCAGGCATTGTCTACTATTTTACGATCAAAAAGGAGCAGATTCGCAAGGAACGCATCGAGAATCAGGGCAAGCAGGGTAGCGTGGGCAAGCCCGAGGTCGGTGGACCCTTCGAGCTGATCGACCAAAACGGCCATGTGTTCAGCGACAAGGATCTGCGGGGCAAGTTTGCGCTGATATACTTTGGGTTTTGCCATTGCCCAGACATTTGCCCAGACGAGCTGGACAAGATCGGTGACGCGCTGGAGATTCTGGACCGCAGCCCATTGACTCGCGGTGTTATCCAGCCGGTGTTTATCACGTGTGATCCGCAGAGAGACTCGCCGGAGGCTATTGCCGAGTACTTGCCGCAGTTCCATCCCAAGTTTGTTGGTCTGACGGGATCGATCGACCAGGTGCGCAGTGCGTGCAAGGCGTTTAGGGTGTATTTTAGCAAGCCGCCAAAGGTCGCCGATAACCAGGATTACTTGGTTGATCACTCAATTTTCTCATACTTTATGGACCCCGATGGCGAGTTTATTGACGTGTACGGCAAGGACAGGACTGCTGAGTACATGGCCGCGGACATTGAGCGGCGCATCAAGCAGTTTGTAGATGCCGGGCGGAAGATCGAGAAGAAGGACTAGCCTAGTGTTTTTAACAGGTATTTCTTAGAATCAAAATTACACGGTATAAATACTATATTCCGAGTTGAAACTACTAAAAAACAAATAGCTTTCCAAGATGGTTGTGCTTTTGTGTGTGTGCGGGCCTCTTCAAATGGAATATGTACATAATTTTTATTAATTTTCTATCTTGTGACGCTGCTTCATTTGACTTTTTTATTTTCCCTTTGTGTCGTCACACACATGCGCTCTCATTTATCATATTCCGTGCGCTTGTGTCCAAATTCCTGTTTGTTTGCCAAAGGCCTTGGCGACTTGCTTGTCAGCTGCCATGCACACCACACCTGGCTGCTCAAGTCAAAGCGCGAGCGATGGCTCCCCCATTTCCATTCTTTCTTCTTTCTTTCTACTTAACTTTGTTTTATTTTTATTTTCCCACACTTTTATTTTGGCTTGGCGCACGCAATTACTCCACTACTTTCACTTAATTCGTCTTCACATACACAGGCATAAACAGCAAATGTCGAATATACAGGCAGCAGCAGCAGCGGCGGTTCCCGAAATCACAGCCACATTCAAGTTACTTTTGATCGGTGACTCCAACGTCGGCAAGTCCTCCATCCTCCTGCGTTTTACGGACGATCACTTTCTGCCACCGGAGGAGACCAGCGCAACCATAGGTGTGGACTTCAAGGTCAAGTACCTCGAAGTGGACAGCCAGCGGTACAAGCTGACAATCTGGGATACAGCAGGGCAAGAGCGGTTCCGCACCCTGACATCGTCGTATTACCGCGGAGCCCAGGGCGTCATCCTGGTGTACGACGTCAGCAGCCGCGAGTCGTTTGACAATCTGGACACGTGGTTTGAAGAGCTCAGAACATACTGCTCCGGCGAGGACGTCGTCAAGATGGTCATTGGCAACAAGATTGACAAAGAGTCCGAGAGACAGGTGTCGAGGAAGGAGGGCGCGGAGTATGCAAGGAAGCACCGGACTTTGTTTTTGGAGTGCAGCGCAAAGACCAAAATTGGCGTGCAGCAGGCTATGGAGGAGCTGGTGAACAAGATTGTGGAGACACCGGGGCTCTGGCGCAAATCGTCGCCGTCAAAGGGCACGGTCTACGTCAATGATGTCCCCTCTGGTATCGCCGGAGGCTGCGCGTGCTAATTTTGTCCGGCTTGCTTTTTAATTTAGACATATATTTCTTATGTGTATTTTTATAGCAAAAAAAGTATAATAATGTAATTTATTTTCAAAAAAAGATGTGTTTTTACTCGAGCTTGGCCAGGATCTCCTCGGCGCGGTACAGCAGGAACTCCTTGTCCTTGAAGGAGTCGAGCTTGATGGGGCTGCCGCCGTACGAGGGGAGCAGAACGCGATCGCCCTCGGTCAGACCGGTGGGGATGCTGTTGCCCTCCTTGGTGACGAGGCCAGGGCCGACGGAGACGACGACGCCCTCGTTCAGCTTCTCAACGGCCTTCTCAGGGAGGAGGATGCCGCTGGCGGTCTTCTACATTGCAGTAAATTAAACATTGCCACATAAAAGTTTGCGTTGTTAGATGCAGTTCTTCATTTGATCAAGTAAAAAGGGTATATTTGGCAGGTCAAGCAAGGTGTGTTACTTACGGTCTCGGCCTTGACACGCTGGATGAGGACGCGGTCAAGCAGGGGAACGATACGCTGGATGGCAGACTACATGGCAACAAAGGTGTGTTGTGTGAAAAGGCGTAATGGTTTTTGCACACAGTTTAGTTAGTGAGAAGTCCTCGTTTTTAGATCAATTTTTTCAAAGCAGTGTCCGACTGCAAAAGAAAGAATCACAGTATTTTTTCGCAAGATAGCACCGCCTGCGAGGGGTTTATTGCTGTTCTCTGGGATCCCAAGGCACGAAAGCCCCAGATGTCGAAGGCTCAGCCAAGAGCTGAGGTCGCGGCCGATAACGCCAGTTCTCCTTTAACCATCCTTTCCCTGGCGCTGCGCGTGCCTTAGTGCCCCCTCAAGTATCCTCAGACATGGCTCCAATATATGCTGTCTGCCCTTACCATTATTGTTTGTGTAATTTTTGCAAGTTAGGACGAAATTGAAATGATAGAAAAAATGCGGAATATAGAACAAAAAGAAGAGAAAGTGAGAAAAATATAAAATATTTACACTCGATCTTTTTTGTTGTATCTTGCCTTGCCACTTTGGTTGCGACTTGCCAGTTGGCAAAGCAATCAGCAATAATATCGTGGATCGATTTTCATCTTTTCACTTTTTTTCTTTGCTTGCGGATCAACGTGGGCTAAAATTCAAGCGAAATTCAAGCGAAATTCATCTCGATAGGTGGGTTTAGTGGGTTTGCGCCCAAAAGCGGGTGTGGGAAAAAAATAAAGCCGCACGCAGGCTTACGCTAATGCCGGCTGGAACAGAATTTCATAGAACATTTGGCCAGTGCGCCCGCATTAAAAACCTTCCACGAGACTCCATCATGGTCGTTTCAGCCCAGAAAAGATAAAGGAAAGAGGCTGTGGAGGATGTGGGCGAGTCATCAGAAGCATACACAAAAAGCACAAGACCCAGACCAACTTCATAATTCTCTCGCCTTTTTTTATCCTCTATCCTTTTCTTTTCCCTACGACTGTACATTTTTTATAACCTTACACCCTTTTACAAAAGCTTTTTTTTTTTTTTTAAAAAAAACTAGTTTTATTTTTTTTACAAATGGAGAGCATTTCCAAGATCGCACCTCGTGTCGCCAAGGGCACTGCTGCCCGCAACGCGGCCAAGTCCGTCCGCTCATACTCCACGCACAAGGAGATCATCTTCGGCATCGAGGGTCGCAACAAGCTGCTCAAGGGTGTTGAGACGCTCGCCAGGGCCGTCGCCGTCACTCTGGGCCCCAAGGGCCGTAACGTTCTGATCGAGCAGCCCTTTGGCGCGCCCAAGATCACCAAGGACGGTGTGACCGTTGCTCGCAGCATCACCCTGGAGGACAAGTTTGAGAACCTGGGCGCGCGCCTTGTGCAGGACGTCGCCAACAAGGCCAACGAGGAGGCTGGTGACGGTACCACGACTGCAACCGTTCTGGCGCGCGCGATCTTCAGCGAGGGCGTGAAGAATGTTGCTGCCGGGTGCAACCCGCAGGATCTGCGCCGCGGCGTGCAGCAGGCTGTCGAGAAGGTTGTCGAGTACCTGAAGAGCCAGGCCAAGCCCATCACCTCCACGCAGGAGATTGCCCAGGTCGCGACGATCTCGGCCAACGGCGACAAGCACATCGGTGAGCTGATCTCGCGGGCCATGGAGAAGGTCGGCAAGGAGGGTGCTATCACCGTCAAGGAGGGCAAGACCATCTCGGACGAGCTCGAGATCACCGAGGGCATGCGCTTCGACCGCGGGTACATCTCGCCGTACTTCATCACTGACACGAAGACCCAGAAGGTCGAGTTCGAGAACCCCCTGATCCTCCTTTCGGAGAAGAAGATCTCGATGGTCCAGGACATCCTGCCCGCTCTCGAGACCGCCGCGCAGCAGCGCCGCCCTCTGCTGATCATTGCCGAGGACGTTGACGGAGAGGCCCTCGCCGCGTGCATCCTCAACAAGCTGCGTGGCCAGCTGCAGGTCTGCGCAGTCAAGGCCCCGGGCTTCGGCGACAACCGCAAGTCGATCCTTGGTGATCTGGCCATCCTTACCAACGGCAGCGTGTTCTCGGAGGAGCTCGACCTCAAGCTCGAGAAGGCCACGCCCGAGCTGTTCGGCGCTACCGGTGCCGTCACTGTCACTAAGGAGGACACCTTCATCCTGAACGGTGCCGGCGACAAGGAGAACATCAACCAGCGCTGCGAGCAGATCCGCTCTGCCATGAACATGGCCGGTGTCTCCGAGTACGAGAAGGAGAAGCTGCAGGAGCGTCTGGCCAAGCTGTCGGGCGGTGTTGCCGTTATCCGCGTCGGTGGCTCGTCGGAGGTTGAGGTCGGCGAGAAGAAGGACCGCTTCGTCGATGCGCTCAACGCCACGCGCGCCGCCGTCGAGGAGGGCATCCTCCCGGGAGGTGGAACTGCCTTGCTCAAGGCTTCGCTGCAGCTGGCCACGCTCAAGGGCGATAACTTTGACCAGAACCTGGGCATTAACATCGTCACTGAGGCCATCCGCCGCCCCGCGCGCACCATCGCCGATAACGCCGGCCTCGAGGGCGCTGTTATTGTTGGCAAGACCCTGGAGGACGGTGCCAACGACTTCAACTATGGCTTTGACGCCGCCAAGTGCGAGTACACTGACATGATCAAGAGCGGTATCGTTGACCCGCTCAAGGTTGTCCGCACCGCGCTGCTCGACGCCTCGGGTGTCTCGTCGCTGCTGACCACCTCGGAGTGCATGATCGTCGATGCCCCCGAGAAGGCGGCGCCTAGTGGCCCTGCTGGCGGCATGGGCGGCATGGGTGGAATGGGCGGCATGGGCGGCATGATGTAATTAAAAAATAATTGCCAGCAGTGTGTGTTCCTCTCTGACTTCTTTTTCCAATATACTCTCAATTAAAGACATGAAATACTTTGTCCAACGCGTAAATACTCGTCACATATTTTTTTTGCATGGTGAATATTGTCGTTTGATTTGATCCAACGTTACCAGCACCGATTCATTCATTCGGTGATTATATTTAATCAATTAAAGTGCATAACCAGTTCCAACTCCCTTTTTTCTTCTTCCCAACACGCTTGCATGCCTGTGCATGCAGTATACTGGAAAGCCTGGAGCGCATCATCTTTAAGCGCGAGAATATCATGCCCAGTGGAAAAAAAAAGGCCGGTGCCAACATGAATGAAGTAAATTGATTTGCACATTTTTTCATCATTCCTCGCGCAAGCAAGCACCGGGCAACACCGACCAAACACAGACGATTTGTACAGTGTTGATCCTAATGAAGTAGATCTGCATTGTAAGCGATCTTATGTGCTCGTTATTTTTTCTACAACACTGGCAGTGATTTATAATTAAGTCGCGAGGGTTTTCAATAGCACGCTTGAATCCCAGCATTGGCCAGAAGCTGATGCAGCCAGAACGTGGTCATCGGGCGTAATGATCTGAACGATGTCTTATGGTTCCAGCTTATCTCAGCCTTCACCGAATTACACATTAACGAATAAAAAAACAGTCTTTCCATTTGGTCTTTCAAATGCTTTAATAGCGTTTCACCATGTTGGAAATGTTGCAGTTGCGCGGCAACACAGAGGATATCGCATTTTCCACAAATAGAAAGCCGAGTATTCCAAAAAATATTGGATCGACGCGGCACTCGCTTCTTATTTTTTGAAACTGAAAAATCGTTATCTACAGAGCAGGTACGAGCCAGGATGAGGGGGCGAGGGAAATGGAGGCGAAATATACGTTTTTTGCTGGTATTGTTAATTTTTGAACGGAGCGCGCCCTCGGAATGAACCGCGGGCATTGTCCTTTTTAGTACTGGAAACTGTCCTTTCATGGACAGCGCCAACATTATTTGCGCGCTTTCTACTCTCCCCAAAAAAATATATTTTCGGATCGGTTGGCTGGAAACAAAAAAGAGGAAAAACGGATTGTGGCAGAGGGATGCGTGCGGGGATAGCAAGAAGGTGAGTTGCGTCTTGCGGTCAATGAGGTGGGTGATTACCCTATGCCGCGGCCCCCCTCTTTTCATCCCTCTTCTCGCTCCCGCTCCCGCTCCCACTCGGTTGCGAAGTTAACAGGAAGAGGGCGGCAAGCTTGTTTGTTAATTTTTTGCGCATGCACTTTTTTGTGCCAGCGCGTGCAAGATAATTTTTCGGTTGGGGGAGAAAAAGAGCAAGGGGAAAATAATGAGGCGGGAAAAGGGCGAGAACACTCGAATCAGTATAAAAGCACGCGTGCCCGGCCCCTCTGACAACTGTCTTGGTTCCCTTCTCCGAGGTAGCCTTTTCTTTATTCCATCACTTCGGAGCAAGAGCAAATCAAATCAGATTATACGTTTACACATTTCGTGTTATCACCGTAACTTCTGTCATCATCGAGATTATCTGTCAAGTTAACTCTCTTTTTACCACACAAAAATAACAACCAACATTATCTTTTACTCTCTAAAGCCACAGGCCTTGTATTTATAAGAAAAATTCAACTTGAGTCGTTCGTCAAAGTTGTATATTTCATTCCACACCCCCCAAAAAAACACATTTCTTTTCACCCTTCGTCTATAAAAATCAACACCCCCATATCTTCAAGACCATGTCTGCTATTCCTATCGCCACTAACGTCCAAGTATCGCGCGCCGCGTCGCCGGTGCTCACGACCACTATTGTGCCGCCGTGCACTGCCGCCGTGCCGTCCTATGGACCCAACTGCGCCGCCAAGACCCCTGAAGAGATCAAGGCTTCTTCCCACACGCCCACTCTGGCTGCTCTTGTCCTTCAGGACGGTAGCATCATTCAGGGACACTCCTTTGGCGCCGAGACCAAGTCTGTTTCAGGAGAGTGCGTCTTCCAAACGGGTAAGTATTTTGTTAACAACACTTGTCCGTGTGTGCCGCCTTTTCTTTCCCGTGCTGGGTGATATTTCTCGTTTTGGAAAAATGCTTATGCTGGTATCATCACAGCATTTGCTGCGAAAGCGTCTCAACAATATAGGTCTTGTGATAAGAAAAAACAGGATGTGTCCAATTTCGATCACGTACATACCCGTTATCTCTTTAAGCGGCAGCAGCTTTTTTCTTTCCTTTTTCGCAGGCCCAATAATTTTGATTTTTTTGGGGGGCAGCACCATCAATCAATTAATCACGCTCGCCTTTTTAATTACTAGCTTGCGCAATGACTTTGTGATTGACAACTCAAAAAAAGAACAGAATGGCCTGGACTAAATTACACGCTCTTTTTTTCTTGATTCGTTTCCGCTTACCGCATTTGGAAACATAATCCCAAAAACGGTTTCCAAAACTGCTTGAATGCGAAATATCCTCAAATAGGTATGGTCGGCTACCCCGAGTCGCTGACCGATCCGTCGTACCGCGGCCAGATCCTGGTGCTCACATACCCTCTGATCGGAAACTACGGTGTCCCGAGCCGTGAGGAGCTGGACCCTCTGCTTAAGGATCTGCCTGCCTACTTTGAGTCGAACCAGATTCACGTGGCTGCCCTGGTCGTTGGCCAGGCATCCGCCGAGTTCTCCCACCACCTGGCGACCTCGAGCCTGGGCGACTGGCTCAAGAGCGAGGGTGTCCCGGCCATCTACGGCGTGGACACGCGCGCGATCACAAAATGCATCCGCGAAGAGGGTGTCATGCTGGGCAAGCTCCTGTTCCCGACTAGCATCGTCGGCGAAAGCGACAGCCGTGCGGTGGCCGAGGATCCCGAAACCTCGGCGCTGCTGCCCGAGTACCAGAACGTCACCTGGGTTGACCCTAACGCCACCAACCTTGTCGCCGACGTGTCGTGCAAGGAGCCCAAGCTGTACTCGCCGGCACCCGAGACTGCGATCAAGCGCCCCGACGGCCGCACTGTGCGCATTGTCGCCGTGGACATTGGCATGAAATACAACCAGATCCGCTGCTTTGTCAAGCGCGGCGTCGAGCTGCTGGTCGTTCCCTGGGACTATGACTTTTTGTCTCTTGCCGACTCCATGGACGGCCTGTTCCTGTCCAACGGCCCCGGTGATCCTACCACCATCACAGCCACCATCGAGCGCGTGCGCGCTGCCCTGGCGCTCAAGAAGTTTCCGATCTTTGGTATCTGCCTTGGCCACCAGGTGTTCGCTCTGGCGTCGGGCGCGCAGACTGAGAAGATGAAGTATGGAAACCGCGGCCAGAACATCCCCTGCACGGACATGCTAACTGGCCGTTGCTACATCACGTCTCAGAACCACGGCTACGCTGTCAAGGCCGAGACGCTACCCGCCAATGTCAAGGAGCTGTTTGTTAACGCCAACGACGGTTCGAACGAGGGTATTTACCATACCGATCTGCCCTACTTCTCGGTGCAGTTCCATCCCGAGTCCAACCCAGGCCCGCGTGACACCGAGATCCTGTTCGACATTTTCCTGGACACTGTCAAGCGCTGCCTGGCATCGGGCAAGGTCGAGGGTCCTGTCGAATTCCCGGGTGCTGAGGCTGCACAGGCCCGTCGCGACCAGCTCAAGAAGTGGGAGATCGAGCTGGCATCCGACGACTCGGACAAGTCTGGCCGCATTGTCAACGGCCGCCGCATCCGCAAGGTGCTAGTCCTCGGCTCTGGCGGTCTCAGCATTGGCCAGGCCGGCGAGTTTGACTACTCTGGCTCGCAGGCCATCAAGGCGCTCAAGGAGGAGGGCATTTACACCGTGCTGATCAACCCCAACATCGCCACGATTCAGACATCTAAGGGTCTGGCGGACAAGTGCTACTTCTTGCCCGTGACCCCCGAATTTGTCCGCAAGGTCATCCTGCACGAGCGCCCTGACGGTATCTACTGCACGTTTGGCGGACAGACGGCACTGAATATTGGTGTCAATCTGCGCGACGAGTTCGAGGGCCTGGGTGTGCAGGTTCTGGGCACGCAGATCGAGACCATCATGGTCACTGAGGACCGCGAGCTCTTTGCGTCGGCCATGAGTGAGATCAACGAGAAGTGCGCCAAGTCGCATGCAGCCAGCAGCATCGAGGAGGCCATTGTCGCTGCCAATGACATTGGTTACCCGCTGATTATTCGCGCGGCCTACGCTCTGGGCGGTCTGGGCTCCGGCTTTGCGTCCGACGAGGAGGAGCTTGTGGCGCTGTGCCGTAAGGCGTTTGCCGCCTCACCCCAAATCCTGGTCGAGCGCAGCATGAAGGGCTGGAAGGAGATTGAGTACGAGGTCGTCCGCGATAGCTTTGACAACTGCATCACCGTGTGCAACATGGAGAACTTCGACCCGCTGGGCATCCACACGGGTGACTCGATTGTCGTTGCCCCCAGTCAGACGCTGAGCGATGAAGACTACCAGATGCTGCGCACCACCGCTGTCAATGTTATCCGCCACCTGGGCGTCGTCGGCGAGTGCAACATCCAGTACGCGCTGAACCCGCACAGCCGCGAGTACTGCATTATTGAGGTCAACGCGCGTCTCAGCCGCAGTTCCGCGCTGGCGTCCAAGGCCACCGGCTACCCGCTCGCGTTCGTCGCCGCCAAGCTCGGTCTGGGCATCCCGCTCAACGAGATCCGCAACAGTGTGACCAAGGAGACAACCGCGTGCTTCGAGCCCAGCTTGGACTACATTGTCGTCAAGATCCCGCGCTGGGATCTTAAAAAGTTTGACCGCGTGAGCAAGAACCTTTCATCCGCCATGAAGTCTGTCGGTGAGGTCATGGCCATAGGCCGCACGTTCGAGGAAACCATGCAAGAGGCCATCCGCTCAGTCGACACGAGCTTTGACGGCTTCTCCCGCAACACATACGTGGCTGAGACCAAGGAGGCCATCGAGGAGGAGCTGACCAAGCCGACCGATCTGCGTGTCTTCGCTATTGCCAACGCGTTCCACATGGGCTACACTGTCGAGAAGATCCACGAGCTGACGGCCATCGACAAGTGGTTCCTCTGCAAGCTGCGCGGCCTGGTCGAAACCGAGCGCGCCCTGTCGACCTTTGAGGCCGACCAGCAGATCCCGCGCAACCTCCTGAGCTACGCCAAGCAGCAGGGCTTCTCAGACTCGGGCATTGCGCACTTCTCGAAGCGCAACGAAATGCAGGTGCGCAACACGCGCATCGGCTACGGCATCACGCCGTTTGTCAAGCAGATCGACACTGTCGCCGCCGAGTTCCCGGCGCACACCAACTACTTGTACATCACGTACAATGCGTCAAAGCACGATGTGTCTTTTGTCGACAACGGCGTGATGGTGCTCGGCTCCGGCGTGTACCGTATTGGTTCTTCCGTTGAGTTTGATTGGTGTGCCGTTCGCGCCATCCGCACGCTGCGCGAGAACAAATTCAAAACGATCATGATCAACTATAACCCCGAGACAGTGTCGACGGACTATGACGAGGCCGACCGTCTGTACTTCTCGAACATCACGCTGGAGCGCATAATGGACATCTACCAGGCCGAGACCTCCGCCGGTGTGATCATCAGCATGGGTGGCCAGGCGCCGAACAACATCGCGCTTGCCCTGCACCGCAACAAGGTCAAGATTTTCGGAACGAGCCCCGAGAACATCGACGGCGCTGAGAACCGATACAAGTTCTCGCGCATGCTGGACCAGATCGGCGTCGACCAGCCACAGTGGCGCGAGCTGACCCAGTACGAGGACGCCGAAGCCTTCTGCGATGAGGTCGGGTACCCCGTGCTCGTGCGCCCCTCGTACGTGCTCTCGGGCGCGGCCATGAACGTCGTGTCGACCTCGACCGACCTCAAGTCGTACCTGGAGCAGGCAGCGACTATGTCGCGCGAACACCCAGTGGTTGTCACCAAGTTCATCGAGGAGGCTAAGGAGATCGACGTCGATGCCGTGGCCCTGGATGGAAAGCTCATCATGCACTGCGTGTCCGAGCACGTCGAGAACGCTGGTGTGCACTCTGGTGACGCTACGCTTGTGCAACCGCCCCAGGACCTGGACCCTGTCACCGTGCGCAAGATCGGCGAAGCCACTGCCGCCATCGGTCTGGCCCTGCGCGTGACTGGACCGTACAACATCCAGTTCATGGCCAAGAACAACGAGATCAAGGTCATTGAGTGCAATGTGCGCGCGGCGCGGTCGTTCCCGTTTGTGTCCAAGGTGACGGGCGTTGATCTGATCGAGATGGCGACCAAGGTGATGCTCGGCCTGCCAGTGACCCCGTATCCGAACCGCGGCCAGCGTTTGAGCTACGTCGGTGTCAAGGTGCCGCAGTTCAGTTTCTCTCGCCTGCAGGGTGCTGATCCCATCATGGGTGTTGAGATGGCATCAACCGGTGAGGTTGCTGCGTTTGGCCGGGACAAGTACGATGCGTACCTCAAGGCAATGCTGGCCACAGGTTTCCAGCTGCCAGATCGCAACATCCTGCTGTCGATCGGCTCGTACAAGGAGAAGGTCGAGATGATGGATTCCGTGCGCCGTCTGGCCGACGCTGGCTACAAGCTGTTCGCCACGCCAGGCACGGCCGACTTTGTCCAGGAGCACGGCATCGAGATCACGACGCTGGAGGCCGACATGGCGCGTGAGGGATACAGCCTGCAGGAGTACCTTTCAAACAACAAGATCGACCTGTACATCAACCTTCCGTCGAAGAACAGCTTCCGCCGCCCCGCGTCTTACGTAAGCAACGGCTACCGCAGCCGTCGCATGGCGATTGACTTCTCAGTGCCGCTGATCACCAACGTCAAGTGCGCCAAGATGTTTATCGAGGCAATGGCGCGGTTCAAGGAGGCCAAGTCCTTCGAGATTGACAGCGTCGATTACATCACGTCGCACCGCACCACCGTCCTGCCTGGCCTGGTCAACATCGGTGCGATGTTGCCGTCCGCCGCTGCTGACGTCGAGGCTGCCACACAGGCAGCACTCACTGGTGGTTTCACGACGCTCGCCTTTATTGCCGACTCGGCTGTCGACGTCGTCAAGGCCAAGGCTATTGCCCGCGGCCATGCGCACGCCGACTTTGTTGTTGCAGTCTCCGCCACTGACTCCAACGCGAGCTCGGCCGCCGCGCTCAGCGCCGAGGCCCCGTTCCTCTTCATGCTGATGGACAAGTCGCACGTCACCTCTGTTTCTGCTGCCGCTGAGCACTTCAAGGCCTGGCCCCAGACTTCGGCCGTCATTGCGCGCGCATCTGGCAGCGATCTCGCCGCCTTGCTGCTGCTCGCGGCCCTGGGCCATCGCCAGATTCACATCACCGATGTGCGCCAGGCCGCCGATCTCGACCTGATCGAGCTCAGCCGCGCGCGCGGGCTTAACGTCACTTGCGACGTGTCGCTCTTTGCGCTGTTTGCTGATCGCCTGCCTGCGACCCCCGGTCTGTCCGCCAACGTCGCCCCGCTGTGGGCGCGTCTCTCCTCGATCGACTGCTTCGCTGTGGGCACTGTCCCCGCCGATGTTGCCAAGGTCACAAAGACCGACTCCTCGGACACTGCCGCTCTTGGCTACACTGTCGCCCTGCCCCTGCTCTTCACAGCTGTTGCTGAGGGCCGTCTGCGCGACTTGGATGTCATCGAGCGCCTGTGCATTGCGCCGCGCCGTATCCTGGGCCTTCCCGAGCAGCCTGAGACGTGCGTCGAAATCCACGAGGACCGTGAGGTGCGCATTCCTCCCAGCGCTGCCGATGCGCGCTGGTTCACTTCTCTGTTGAGCGCGCCCGTTCGTAGCGCCGTCCACCGTGTTGTCATGCGTGGCCAGACTTTGCTGCTCGATGGCCGCTTCTTCACCCCTGAGGCTGCGCCTGCCGGCCGCGACTTGGGTCGTGTCCTGCGCCCGGTCAGCTCGGGCCCTGGATTCCAGAGCGTCGCTGCTCAAAAGATCAAGGCCATAGAGACCGCGGTTGTTGAAGCCGAGACTGCGGTTGAGGCCGAGGCCACTCCCAAGACGCCCGTCAGCGCCGCAGCCACTGTTTCCACTTCAGCACCGCTTGTTGCGCGCGATTTCGTGTCGGTGCCCCGCGCCATTCAGACCAACCGACTGGCCGACGTACTTGCCCGCCATGGCGGCGAGAACCCCTTCTACATGAAGCACGTGCTGAGCGTCCGCCAGTTCTCGCGCGAGGATCTGCACCTTCTCTTTGCCGTTGCCCAGGAGATGCGCACCGCTGTGCAGCGCTCCGGCTGCCTGCCCCTGCTGGCCGGTCGCGTCATGGCTGCCGTCTTCTACGAGCCCTCGTCGCGCACATCTTCATCATTCCAGGCTGCTATGCTGCGCCTGGGCGGCCAGGTTTTTACTGCAAACAGCGAGTCGTCGTCGGTTGCCAAGGGCGAGACCCTCGAGGACACTGTGCGCACCTTTGCTTCGTATGCCGATATCATTTCTCTGCGCCACCCACAGCCCGGCTCCGTTGCGGGCGCTTCGCGCATGTGCAGCGTGCCCGTCATCAACGCTGGTGACGGTATTGGCGAGCATCCGTCGCAGGCCATGCTCGATGCCTTTACGATCCGCGAGGAATTAGGCACAGTCAACGGCCTGACCATCACCCTGGTCGGTGACCTGCGCAACGGCCGCACCGTGCACTCGCTGGCCCGCGTGCTTGCCCAGTACAAGAACGTCACCTTAAACTACGTTTCGCCGCCATCCCTGGCCATGCCTGAGTCCATCAAGCGCGACGTTGCCCTGCGCGCGCCCTATGTCATGCAGAACGAGCTTACCACACTCACCGACGATGTGCTGGCCAACACCGATGTTTTGTACATCACCCGCGTGCAGAAGGAGCGCTTCGATTCGCTCGAGGAGTACGAGCGGACTAAGAACGCCTACATCATCGACAACAGCCTGATGCGCAAGTGTAAGCGCAACATGATTGTCATGCACCCGCTCCCTCGCGTTTCTGAGATCGCTCCCGAGGTTGACACCGACCAGCGCGCCGCGTACTTCCGCCAGATGCAGTACGGCATGTTTGTGCGGATGGCTCTTCTTGCGCTCATGCTCTGCCGCGAGTTTTAAGTATTTTCCTACATTACTTTTAAAACTCATTGAACCGTTGATAATAAATGAAGAATGCAATAAAACATCAATTTAAAAGAAATGCTCTTCAAAGCTTGCATAAGAACTCTTCGAGTGCATGGTCTACGGCTGCCGCCTGGCTGCTGTCAAACTTGCCGTAGACTAGCTCGCGCAGAGCGATTCTGAATGGGCTGCCCACCTGCTTCAGCTGCTCCTTGGTGCTCTGGCTGATAGTCTGCTCGGGTTCGTTGTCAATCGCCGCATCCGCCGTGGGCTCCTGCTGGCGCTCCATGTCAACATCCATTGTATCACCTGACTCTGTCTCCACTTGCTGCTTCAGGGCGCTCGAAAGCGGATTGCTTTCAACCTCCTCGGTGCCCACCAGTGAGTCACCGCTACCGACCCCGGCGGGTTTGCTAATGATTTGAATGACAGAGCTGTCTTGGATTGCGTAGTCGCCAATCAGTTTGGAGTCCACCAGCCCCTTGCCGTTGAGGACCAGCCGCATGCTGTTTGCAGGAATATTAGAGAGGCGCGAAAGGTGCTTCTTCACTTGCGAAACCGTGCGAATGGACGGTGTTTCAAGCGTGAATTTGCTCACGGGCGCCTTGAGTGTGCGGAAGTTCAGCGACAAGTTGTCCTCGCGAACTCTGGCTGACGCGGCGGCCGGCTGGATGGATGGCATCTATTCGGTGGTATTATGAATATATTCTAGCCAGTCAGTGAATTGCCTTATGTTTTTGTTTTTGGAGGAATGTGTTGTGTTGAAATGTACCTTGAAGTCGTAGCTGGCCGGCGGGTACTGAGTTCCCTCGGGTGCCTTGGTGTCTGGGTTGCACGCGCGCAGCGCAGAAAGCTGCGACAGCTGGGCGAGCGTCGCGTCGAAGAATGAGGAGCTGGGCATGATTGAGAAAGAGAAATTTAATAATATAAATATAAATGAGATAGAAAGAGAAATTCATAATTGAGAATGAGCGTCACTTATTATTTCGCAATTTTAGTCTTCCCCTCAACCTGTGATCAGCGGATTTTCTGTTCAAATATATTATATGTAGCCTTTTTGTAATATATTTAAAGCACATATTTTTACACAAAAATAACAAGGATAAATATTTTATTATATCCTCTTTATTAATATCGGGATAAACTATGCGTTACTACATTGTTATTAATAGTCGCCCTAACGTATAAAACAATATCATCTCGGGCTTTATCTCTTTTTTGGTAAATATTACAAATGCTATTCAATAACAAAAATAAAATGGGCAATGTCATCATTAATAAAGTCAGAGCTATGGTTATTAATTGTCGAAACATGTTATTTGGCTTTTTTTCAGCTACGTATGTTTAATCTTTCGATTTTTTCAATTTTTATATGAATATTTTAAAAAAGAAAGAGTGAAAAATGAGAAAATGAAATAAATGAGAAAATGAAATGATAGCGCGCGCCTGTTTCGATTCAGTGTCTGGCCAGCTCGCTTGCAATGGTATTGCCAAGTGTAGCAACACAGTAGATGCACATGTGGCCACCAGCCGCGGCCACGCGGTATTTTGCCACTGTCTTCCTCAGACACAGAAGCTTGCTATGCATTTCATCGAGGTCCAGGACGTGCTTCTTGGCGCCGCGCTGCAGCTCTTGTACCTGGTCTTGCAGCAGCTTGTTCTGCTGCTTGGTATTGTCCAGCTGCTTGTTGAGGTCAGTTAGCTTCTGTTGGGCAATTGAGTTCTTTGCCTCAAGCTGACTAGCAGTGCAACTCGTATCCGCGAGCTTTGCGTGAAGCTCAAGTGCCTCACTGCGAGCAGCCTCAGCCTCACGCTCGGCATTGTGCTTGGCCTCGGCGAGAGTGGCCATTGACTCATTATGTGCGGCATTGGCAGCGCTGAGAGCAGGCTCCAGGTTTGCCACCGCGACGCCCGTGCTAGCGCAGGCAGACCCAGCTGCAATTCCCCCAGCCTCCTCCTGGGCGCGGAAAGTTCCCGACTTCTCGAGTCTGGCCGAGGTATTGCAGCGTATTTCAGAAGTTTCGCGGTGAGACTCATTAAGCTGCACGTAAAGCGCATCCATCTCAATGCGGAAAGCTGCGTTCTCAGCATCCGTCTCCGCGCGACTGTTCTCGGCCACAAATCAAGCCACGTATTGGTTTTCATACTCCGTTGTTAGCTCGGAAATCGCGCTCTCAGCCTCATCCAGGGTAGCCTCAGACATATAGTGGGCAACGCGTTTTTCTACATGAGCACACTGAAGCTCGTAGATCATGAGCGGCTCCACTGTTGTTGCTGTTAGCCTTGGGCTTGGGATTAAATAGGGCGCGGCAGGCCTGACAAAGCATGTTAGTTGTGCGTGGCACAGTCAATTAATTTGTTGATACGGCTGTTGATATGGCTAAAGTGGTCTAAAAACAAGTGTTGCAGCAGCAAGAGTAGTGGTGGTCTGTCGTAGGGCTGAGTGCATATTGCGCGCGACAGTATTCATACGAAAAGGCATGGTAAAAACGATGGATGACAAAAAGAAAAAGAATATTAAAAAACAACAATAATAATAAGGAAATGACAAGGTGCTCAAGTCGTAGTGGTGGCGATGGTGATGTTATAAACGAGATATGAGCTTGGAAGAAAAAAGAAAAATGGAGCAAGGAGGAGAGGGGAAAGGACCGTTTTTTATTTTTCAGTTGGGCAGCAATTTTTCGTTGCCCTTTTTTTCTGTTTTCTGCGATTTGAGAAAAGGCAGCATCGAAAATCGAGCTATGCGTTTTGAGAACATAGAAATTGAACACGGCCATATTCTTTGCTCGATATAGGCCAATCACCCCACTTGAATTTTTATGAGGTCGACGCGTTATTCATCACATTGTTATTGCAAATAGGAAAGCATGCATATTTGGATTTTTGCATATCCTTTGCCTTCATTCGGAAGACATCGCATACGCGTGTATGTATCTCCCGTCACTTTTTAATTTACCCTTTTTCATGGCGTGTATCTAGAAAGCAGCTGAAAAAGATCTGAACTTATTAAGACAGAAAAATTTGAACGATTCTTCTATACTATCGAGATGACTTCTTTTCCAGTCTGTCGGGCTGAACTGCTCCAAACAAAGCCCAGCAGCAGTAATATATGCTGATGTTGATATCCATATGTGTAGTGGTGGCTGTGCGGTGGAGCACGGTCAAACAGGGACTTTTCCTTTGTTTACTTTTCTCCGCATGAATCCCAATCGAGTCTTTGCTACGCCAGAAAAAAAGCGTGTCGCGTAAATAATTTACCATCTGCTTGGTTGAATTATTATCACTATTTTCAATTTGTTTCTCTTCCATCCCTTTCTCTCTTTTTCTTGAACGCATCGAATAAACGAGGAGGAAACAAAAAATTGTCAGCTTTTTTGTTGCTGCGCGGGAAAGTAGACAATGCGCCTGCCAAGATGGAGGGTCAAAAACAATCGGCGTTTTGATGATTTGAGGTCTTTTCCCTCCACATTCGACAGAAGAAAAAGAATAAAGCCACAATGAAAAATTGGTTTGCCGACACCCTCATTGTCAGGAACAGCCAGAAAAAGTAGCTATTGGCCTAAGTGGCCCACCTTAACGGTACCAAATCAGAAGAGCTTAAATTGTACAGATGAATCTAAACCAATGCGGACAAGTATTCGGGGCTCGAATGCTGAATGTAGCTTATTTGGCCAAAGAGAGGCAAATAAAAGAGTCGCAGACAAATCATTTTTGAAATTGGCGGTTGCTAGTAGTCTTATTGCACGTAAACAAGCGTTTTCAAAACAGCGCCTGCTCGCATAATCGAGTGTTTCTTTTATTTTTGTCACGCATATTAGTGCTTATTTTTTGTCGTTTAGACTTGCTGTTGCACAGACTGAAGATATGGAAGTGGATGTTGAGGTTGAGAATCGCGAAACAGGATTCCACCCGCGTGCCGATTGATAGGACACTAGTTGGATCATGCAGGGGTAAATTAGGGAGGCATTTACATTGATGCCCAGATATGCTCCCCATTTTGCAATGCACACGCATGAGCGCACACACGCGAAAAGCACAACATTGACTTGCCAAGATACTGGTCTGTTCGCAGACAATCCAGTTCTCGCCAACGGAGCGCACAATTGACAATGTGCACAACAAAGGTGACAAGGCACATATATCAGATGAGGCCGGCACTAGTAGTGCTTTAGAAACATTAGTAATAAAACCCTTTATAAATTCGCCCCTACTTTTCTAACACTAGACAACTAGTGCTCTTCACATCCCCCTCTTATTATAATATTGCTAATTCGGAAAATAAAATGTCGCATGAGGAATCCAATTTTTCCAATTTCCAAAAAGTTATTTTTGGCCCTATTGTTTCGTGTGGTTTTAATCAAGCCCTTGCACAAGCCTCACAATTAAATCGGCAGCGTCTAAACAAAAAGTTAGACGACCCGCGATGAGTAGCTATAGCCATTGTACCAGAATCAGAAACAGATGGCCTGCTTGTAAGCTTTCTGTGAAGCCAGAGCAATTATGAGAAACATTTAATGGCCTGCACCCTAATCGGAAGCATTGGTAATTCAACACTCACAGGCAGGTACGGTGACGGGTACTATTTGCGCTGATCAGTACATGCAGGAAATGTAGATCAGTATTTATTTTATAGCCAAGGCTCGAATTACATTATACCCACGTGCGCTGATTGGAAATATAATTTTATTTGCTAGTTTTCAAAAATGGGAACAAAGAAGGGAAGAAATCCGATGGTCAGGATTCAAAACTCAGGACTGATCAACAATTTATAGAATAGACAGCTTTGTGGTGCCCAACACACATTTCAAGCTACTATCTTCCCTTTTCAAGAATCAAGATCGCCCTCATGGCCACTATAGACATTTCTGTTATTGCTGGCTGACATCAAGGAACACCATGATGTTTACAGCGCTGCCCACACAGCGCTGCCCCCTTTTTCAGTTCCAGAAGTAATTTCTAAGACTTGAATATATCGATTTAGACCCACATTTTTATAGAGCACAAGCTTGACTCAATTCTTTTTACAAATAAGTATCGGCAAAAGTTGCCTTGCAATGTCATATTCTCTCTCTCCTCATTTAGCGTATTTTGTATATAAAATTAAATTGTTGACTATAGATTATTATTATTTAAAAACCATTGTTTGGCTATCTTTGGCGTGAACTCTGACAATTCTAGTTATTGTCAGTAGTCGCAAGAGCGAGCTGTTCATGATTTTTCAATTGTCCCACCCAATTTTGCGTTTGAGACCCGGCACACCGTTTTTTATAAACGATGCGCACATATGTATATATATGCAGTCAGTCAGGGAATGTGACCAATACTAGCACATTACAAAACAGCCAAAATACCATCAGGTGCACTTCCCAGAGTCACTGTGTGCTATCAGAAGCCAGCAGACAGATCAAACTACTGATGCAGCTCTGCGTCAAACACGTGTATACAATCCAGTACACAGTGGGCCTACTAGACGCAGGAGAAAGACAATAAAATTGTGTCAACTTGTCTCGGGTACAGCTTCAAAAAAACCAAAACGCCAAAGAGCGCCCACTGTCAGGTGCCAACTTCCGCATTGCCCAAACTCCAACATCGATGCGCACCAGGTGTTGCTCGGGAACAGCTTGTCCAACTATTACATAATAGCGATGCGCATATTTGTGCAGTTGGCCACTTTGGCCAAGTACACTTAGTTTCCCTGCAATGAAATTATAATTACATTGGTGAAGATGGGGCTGTTGATTGCAGTCATCTAGCTTGGCTCCAGAATGAGTAAATATTTATGCTATCAGAGTAGCAGGCACAACTTCTTGCTGACAGACCACACGGTGCAAGGCAACTCTGAGCCGCTGATCATTGCGTCAACGCTTTTAATGTCAAATGGATCAAGGCTCTAAACACTTGGCGTTTGTGGATGACTACCCCCACAGAATTTGGCATGTAGGACTATTGGCGCTCCGTGTGGTGCAAAACTGGAGCATTAGTCAAAGCGGAAATTCACTTCTACACCTACCTTGACATGTGCGTCAAGCTATCAATGGAGATCGGCGACTCGAGCGCCATCGGAATATCCACGCACAAGCGCAGTACAACTCAAGAAAACGCCAACGTATTCAGGACCAAGTCATCGGGCCCAGAAGTGACAAATGTTGTGCTGTATTGCCGCAAAGGCAAGAATAAACACAGCCGACTGTTTGTCGCAGCAGAGCAAAAGACCACCCCCTCGTGCAGTGCATGCTAGATTGTTAGTTGCTGAAAATACAATCAAAACAGTTGTCGACCTGACCGCGCGTGAGCGAAACAGATGAATGGGTTGTAGATGCTTTTGTGGGGCTAAACGCGGGCAGGTGACACGTGGAAGCCCATCCGTTTGAGGACATGACTCCGGCCACAATCACCGACGTTCTGCGGTCCAATGAAAACAATTATTGCCGCATACAAAGCTGCGCATCATGTTTGACAATATAACCCAATTTGAAACAGACCATCACAAGCGGTTTATTTCCAAAAACAAACGACATTTGGCACACGCTTGGGACCAGGTGCTATCCACAGTTTGGTGTGGGTAAAATCAGTATGAATCTGTTTAATGTCATACTGCATTGACTGTGCGCAGACCACTCGCATGCTGGATAATGGATTACGTTAATCCTGGAAATCGCGTCTGCTCACGCCGTAACCTTTTTTGTTGACGAATTCGCATGATTCTACAAATGGCTCAACAAGTTAAAAAAAAGTCCTGAGCATGAGACGACAACAGAATAGGGCAATTCTAATGATCCGGTGCCAAGAATAAACAAATTGGCGAGATAGCCGATTGGACTTATTCTCGAACCAGACCACAGACAATTATGAGGATGAGTCAGTTCTGTGAGCAGTTATTGCTTGTGTCGAGCGAGATGGCCAGCCCGACACCGTGTGGATCTACTTTCTCACTTTCTTAGTATGAAGCGCGTTAGTAACTATGATGACATTTGCAATCGTCAGTAAGGCAGAGAATATTCGTTTAATTTTATAATTTGCAAGAGCACTATTTATTATTAACAAATGATAAGCCGCACATCACTGTCTACAGCCATTATGAGCAACATTTACACCGTTGTTATCTGCAATGGACGCCCAAAAAGGGGGTTAGAAACGCTTTATCCAAACAACAGGCACAGCTGTGACATCAATTATTACGATGTCACGCGACAATCGCAATTGTTTTGAAATTGTGATTGTTTTGAATTGGTAAGCGAGACTTTTAGGCTCCCTTATAGTGGATTTTTGAATAATATATATTTAGTACGAGTAGGTCTTATTACAATAGCAGTGGCTATGTTATCAATGGATAATAACTGCAGCAACCACAATTTCATTGACTACAGAGCGTTCGAGAGCTTCAAAAACCTGTCATATTGAAAATATGGTGACAAACCAGCATTGATAACAAAAGAGGTCAGGCGCATACTAAAATTAATGGATAAAATGCAGATCAACTCGGATAACGCAGACGTGCATGGGTATGTTGGCGATAAAACCGCTCGCAACACACCGACCTTATTCCATCTTCCGTTGGTATAGTAAACCCAGTTGTCAATTATTGAGTCTTTAGAAAATGGGGGAAAATTTGCTGATTGAGTTGATGACAGTGGTAGTAGCTGTGGCTTTTAAAGATGGGTCGCCGAACATCGAGAAACAGTTGTGTAAACCGCTACGCAGGATTAACAAAGTTTTATTGCTAAGTATTTTGACAACATCAGGCTTAATCAGAAGCCTATGAAATACTCCTTGGTACTCGCAGAAATCTTTGTTACTGTCGTTGTAGGCCATCTTAAAATTGCCCCTGTGATTCAAAAAAAGACAGCTGGAAATTGTGCTGGCCTTAGTTGTGGTCTTAACGGACTTGGTTGAGCTTGCCATTGATTTTATTCATGGTTTTCAAGGTTTACTGTGCTTTGCGCGTGTTGTGCTGACCCAGAATTTAACCTTCAATCGTATTGACTGTGTGCTATTGCCGCTATTTTCTCAGAGCCCTTGGGTTGTGCCTTGGGAGTTGGAGCTTGAACTGAGGCAGGAGCAGGGGCATTATCCTTGCTTGGGCGCTGTGGTCTTCTAGAGCGGCTGCGGCGGAGACACCGGTTATGGTGATTGTGTTGATGGTGGTGGTGGTGGACAGCCTCGCTGTCGGGGTTCTTTGTGGCATCCTGCAAATTGCGCACCTGGGACCTGCAGCTGTCTATCATGCTGGCAAACTCACTCTTCGTGTGCTCGCCGCTGTTATTATTGCTCGACTGGTCATCCTCAGTATTGGATCCAAAGTGCAGGCTTGGCACAAAAGAAGTTATTGTCGTTTAGTCTATTTTAATTTGCGCGTAGTCACAGACGCTACTGCTGGTGCTGCTGAAAAGACAATGGTTCAGTCGCTTGCTTCACAGTCTGCTGACAAATCGCCCGCTAAAATCCTGCTTTTCATTATACTTCTTTTCCACTGACTCCTATTTGTGTTAAAAGCAGGTTTCAAAAAGATTAAACATTGATTATTTGTCCGCACTCTTGTGTTCAATAATTCTGTGACTTTTCAAATGGCTGTTGAGGATATAATCAAAAAATGAAACGGCAGTTAATACGCCACTAAATACTCACCTCGTTGTTAGTACTGCCTGTTGTATTATCCGTGCGGCTGTGACACTCGTAAATGATTGTAAATGATTGTGATATTACTATTTATATAAAAATAGAGATGAAAGAGATATATATAGCTTTATTCATAGCGTGAAGGAATGAAAAGAAAGGCTGTACTGCACGCGTATACAATTTCGCTTGTGTATTATTTTAAATTAATTCCAAAAACGACATTGCGTTTCGGCTTTGAATCAATTGACAGTCAAAATGCTAGCAAACTGGCACAGCCAAACATTAGGCTCAATTGGAATACTAGAGCCAAAATAGCTTGAACACTCAGTCGTTTCTCTGTTACGCACCGAATTGCGGAATTAATTAAAAACGACATACTGCCAATGTGAGAATACGCTGTCATCAATTGCTCGTATTAAAATTTTCCAGATATAAACATTCATATGAATTGACATTAGTAATGATTTTTTGTTTAACTTTTTGTGGTCTAATTACATCATCTTTAGTGTTGTTTTTGATTCATTTTATCCGTCGTTCAGATATATTGAACGGGCTCGGCGTATCATAGAATACAGGTTTTCTTTTGCAACTTGCGCTGACAAATACAATTGACTATTTGTCAGCAATTGCACTATTTCGGATTGCGGAAACAACAGCAGAACCTCCATACGTTTAAATCTATCCAATCCAGTTGCTCTCTTCCCCACCAATTCTAAAACGGGTTCCCCGCATCCTGAATTATAATACATCAAAAATACAATCCTCAGTACCAGGAAATTGGAAAGTGTATTTTTTGCTAACACAATGCTTATTTCATTTTGATCTGTGCAACATTGTGTATATGCTTTTGAGCGATGGTGGCACCAATTTTTTCTTCAAAGTACTTTTATTAACATAAAAATATTTTTGTATAAATAGGTCGCAGACAAGTCTCCCGTTCAATAAAATTATATTCTTTCAACTTTATTATTTTGTCCAACTAGATATCATTTTTAGGTTTAAAAGAAATATGTCGCTTTCCATTTCCGATCCGCACGATTTTTACCAGATCCAGAACCCCGCACCGGGAACGGCGATCGAGCCTACCGATCTGGAGATCGAGCAGGGATTTGCCAACGGCAAGAACCCCAACCCACTGCCCAAGCTCTTCCAGCCACTGAAGATCCGCGACTACACCATCAAAAACCGCATTTGGGTTAGCCCCATGTGCATGTACTCGGCGCAAGACGGATTCAGCACCAATTTCCACATGACGCACTACAGTCAATACGCCATGCGCGGAGCCGGACTTGTCATGGTTGAGGCCACGGGTGTGACACCAGAGGGCCGCATCTCGCCCAACTGCCTTGGTCTGTGGAAGGACGAGCACATCGAGGGTTTGAGCCGCATCGTCAGCCACATGCACGAGTACGGCGCAGTTGTCGCTATTCAGATTGGCCACAGTGGTCGCAAGGGAAGCACTATTCCACTGCAGCTCTATGGAACCCGCGATTCTTTCCGGTCGACTATCGAGGAGGGCGGTTGGCCAGACAAAGTATATGGTCCTTCGGCCATTGCCTACGACGAGGCACACAATGTTCCCAAGGAACTCAGCCTTGCTCAGATCGCGGATATCCAGCAGGCGTTTGTTGATGCAGCGGTACGCGCTGATAAGGCCGGCTTTGATGTTATCGAGCTCCATTCGGCGCACGGATACTTGCTCTTCGAGTTCCTGTCGCCGCTGTCAAACCAGCGCACGGACAAGTATGGTGGGTCGTTCGAAAACCGCACGCGCATGCTGATTGAGGTCACCCAGCGGGTACGCAAGGTGCTTCCGGAGGGCAAGCCCCTGTTTGTGCGTGTCTCAGCCACTGACTGGGTCGAGGGTGGCTGGGATGCCGAGGATACAGTTGCGCTGGCCAAGATTCTTGTCAAGGAGGGTGTCGATCTTCTTGATTGCTCAAGTGCTGGCAACGATCCGCGTCAGAAAATTCCTTTGGCTCCCGGATACCAGGTGCAGTTTGCCACTAAGGTTAAGAACGAGGTTCCTGGCATGCTTTCGGGCGCCGTTGGTCTTATTTCTAGCGGGACAGTCGCGAGAGATATCGCGGAGGAGGATAAGGCTGATGCTGTGTTTGTTGCGCGCGAGTTCTTGAGGAATCCGAGCTTTGTGTTGAGCACCGCGCACGAGCTGGGTGTCAACATCAAGTGGCCCAACCAGTACGAGCGCGGCCGCTTGAAGACCAAGTACAGCTTTATCTAAGTAAAAAAGGGGTTTATAAATACATTTAAACTATAAATCAAACAACTGAATGCAAATGTTTTGTGATAATTACAAGAGCAAGCTCATTCCATATACTTATTCTTGTGTTATTTGCACATCATTTAAATTGTTTATTATTGTTAATCAATAAGGGGATCAATATGACAACAATAAAAAATGTCGAAACAAAACAAAAACGGCTCAATAAATCCAAGCCCTTAAGCGGTTGCGCCCGTCGACGCCGGAATCATACCAGCACCGGCGCCAGACTGGTGGCCAACTGCGCCGGTGTTCATCATAAACCCACCAAAGTTGAATGTTGGGTGGCTAGCAGCGCTTCTGATCGCCTGGAACAAATGACGAACCACACCAAGCTTTGTGCGCACGACATTAGCTGGAACAGATGACATCTGCACGCCGTACTGGCAGCCGTCAGTCGCAGCGACCTGGTCGGGGCCCGCAGTGGTGATCGAGTCCACGGTGCACACGGGCAGGTAGTAGGCGCCGTTGCTGGTCTGCACGACGTTGAGTGCCAGATGCGTGAACTTGTTGGTCGCGGGGTCAAACACGTGGGTGACCATCACCGGGGACGTGGTCTCGACATTGGACACGTGGGACATGTCGAAGAAGGACGCCATGCGGGACAGGTGGGCGTTAGCGTTGGCCAGTGACGAGAAGGGCGATGGATTCATCATGGACATGTCAGGGTTGACCATCGAGCCCATCGTGCCCTGGGCGGCAACAGAGGCGGCAACGCAAGCGACAAAGGCAATGGTGGTCTGCATGGCTGAAATATTGAAAAATAGGGCTTGTTTGTTTGGGAGTTGAATGAAGCTTGAAGGTTGCGCTAAAAAAATGAAATGTTGCGGAAATAATAAGCAAAATTGGTTGCTAAAGGTAAAAAAAAGGCAGGTTGCTACTTGTGCTGAATCGAAAAGTGTGAATTGAGCGGGGATACCGCGGTTCTTTTATACTCTTGACACAATCCTATTTTTTAATTTGGTTTACAGTATCTGATACTCACAATTCAAATCATTATCATATGTAGAGCTGATATCCTTCGACATATGTTTGGGAGGAAAATTGTAATAGATCTTCGCGAGACACTTATAAGGTGGGTGATTTTTGGTTGATAACAATTTAAAACCTCTGGTGGTTGGTATTGTTGCATCACCCGAGCGAATATGCTGATATTCCAAATCAAGCATTGACTCGAGTCAACGACTTGGTCTTGGACGCGACAATGCTTCAATATTTGCAGAGCAAGCCAGACATCACATAATTGAAAATACCAGCATTAGCGCATGCCACTTAAATCTCGAATAGCAAGTAGTTTTTTTTGACGGCAGCATCTGTGAAGGCAATTAAAGCTAGCCTACAAGCAGAACAGTCTGAAAGTGGCTTTATATTTAAAATATCTTATAACCCGCAGGAATCGCTGCAAAACTTGCCTATTCCTGAATAAACAAACAAATAAGAAAACACTATAAAACATAATACACCTTACAAATCACGACACGCAGATTTTCTGGAATAAAGCATCCGGTCTTAACGCCACCGTAATATCATCCTCAGCAATCGCCAGTCTGACAAGCTGATGTACATCCAACAAACTAGACTCTGTCAAAACACATCTTGTCGCGCCCAACTGCGCACACACCGCCGATATCTGCTCATAACTCGGCACCGAAAGCTCATGCATTTGGCACAACTGTCTGTGAATAAAAGCCACATCCCCAAGGGAAACCTCCGGCACCCCGGCTTTCCTAATAGCAGCCCGCAGGGCAACCAAGAATACCTTGTGTTGGAGGGGCGCGCTCTGGATAAATGCAATCTGCCCGGATGCGTACATTTCCTTAACTGCCCGATCAATAACCAGCATGGTAACTAGAAGATCCTCCCGACTACTACCGGAATCATTCTCAACCGCCTTTTCCTCCGCCTCAGCCTCGACCATCTCGACCGCCCGCCGACATACATCCAGTGCCCTGCGCGCATCCCCAGACACAGCACTAATCTTGCGCGCACACAGCTCCACAGCATCCGAACCAAATGCCAAACAACCCTCTAGCCGCGACATAACAATGGTCATAAGTTGCAAATGCGTATACGGTTGGAAATTAATCCTCGTCAAACCCAATCTGCTCGACACCTTATGACTCAGCATTCGCTCGGGCAAATCCATCGTATTCGCAATAGCTATGACAATAAGCTTGGCGTGTGGGCGGTGAGGCCAGTCGAAGAAATTATACATGATGGATTGCGACTTTGTCACCAAAAGGTCCAGCTCATCCATCAGTACAACGTAGGTGTGTCGGCGGGGACTAGGCGCACTAAAGTGCCTTTCAAGTAGTTGCGCGGCATGCCTGGGCGTCGCCTTTTCGCCTCCAGAAATCGCCTGCCAGAGCTGCGCATATGCCTGCGAGGGCTCGGTCATTTTCATTCCGTTCAACTCGATATACTGAAATTCCGACAGCTCCCCATCCTCCGAATTCTCCTGCAAAGTCCGGATAACCTCGTATACGGTCGCGGTCTTGCCCGTGCCTGGAACTCCCGAGATATACATGCACATGCTGTTGCGTTCCTCGATTGCATTGTAGAGGCTGCCGTAGATTTCTGCAAACTCGTCTTCGCGACAGGGCAGTGTATCGGGGACTGCGGATACGTGCAGTCGCTGGCGGGCGGTCTCATAGATGGTTTTGCCTGAGGAAGAGTTGGTAGAGCCTGTGGCGGTAAGGATTTTCGACGCCCGTTTGAGAATCGTCGCGGTGACAGAGGCAGGGCGCTGGAGATCCTGCAGCCGCATGCGCCGCTTGGTCGCGGGCACCGCTTTGCCGCGGGTTGCGCGTACAGGTGTCCTCGATGCTGTGCGCGCGGGTAAACCCTTGGCAGGGGGAGGCATTTCAGCAGGAACAAATGATTCATCCTCGGTATCCGGCTCATCCCCACTATTCTCGCTATTACCCTCCATGTCCACATCGCTGTCCGCCTTGCGTCTCTTGGTCCTTCCCGCAACTCCCTTACGCGCAGTACTGCCACCAGTAGTGGCAGCGGCAGCGGCGGCGGCGGCGGCGGGGGCGGCTCCCCCACGGGCACGCCTAGCAGCAACCTTGGCGTGTCCAATAAGCTTCGCAGCCTCCTTCCCCAGCGGTTTCTTCTTCTCCACATGGGCAAACATCTCCCGCTCAGCCACCGGGTCCAGCGCCTTCCCCAAACGATAAAACTCATCCCAGTCCAATTCCCCGACAAATGCCGTATGCTCGTTAAAGTACCTACGACAAACCCACAGTTCCTCCGTCTGCTTCTTCACCGACATGGTTTTGAATCGCTCATCGCCGCATACTTCCAGTTCACCAAGGATCAAATCGGGATTGATGAGGTCGTCAGAATTCGAATACAGGACTTCTCGATCGCCCACATCCTCCACCAGAGTCCTTTTCTTTCCCAAGAACATCTCGCCCTTGCGTAACAGCCACCGTGTCACCATTTGCTTTTCTCCCGCTTCGTTCTCCCACAGCTTGAATATTAACCCTAGGTATGGCTGGTCCTCGTGGGAAGAGCTGCTGCGTATTTGGATGGTCTGCCCCACGTGGTATTCTGTCCCATTGACTAGGACGCTTTTGTACTCGTTCTTGTTGCTTAGCCCGCTGTGCCGAGTTATTCGACGCCCATTGCCGGTGGTGGTGTTGGTGGTGGTTTCTGTGGGGTCGGTGGGGTGGAGTTTTTGGCCCCATTCGACTTCGACTTCACTGTCGGAATCGGAATCGTGCGATATGTGTTGGCGGCGCTGAGCGCGTTTGGCGGCCTTGTCCAGTTTGCTGGCGACCTTGCTTCGATGGGCGCTCTGCGACATTATTTGTAAAGAGAGCGAAATTTGAAGAAGAAAAAAATTGAAACGAAGAGAAAAAGAGTGTTTTATTGTATTTTTCTTCTAACACGCAATAAAATAAAATAAAATAAACAAAATATAATAAAAAAATTCTATATGTATTCTCGCTCTGCCATAATCAAAAAATATTGATCACAGGTGCGATTGGATGGTCGCCCAGTCGACAAACTCATCCTGCGGATGGTTAAATATTCTTGAAGCCAGGGCATTAAAATTAACCCCGATCCACACAGGCACAACGATACCAACACAGCCCTCGTCGTCGTCGTCCTCGTCCTCGTCCTCATCCTCGCCCTCCCCATCATTCTCCTTCTCTGTCTCCCTCTCCCTCTCTTTCTTCTCCTTCTCGTCTTCTATGGCCAGTTGCCACATAATCCGCAGCAGCTCGCGCACCGCCGGCACCGACATAAACTGCCTCATCGTATCCCCCACTGCCGTCATCAGCGCAGCCAACACCACCCTTGAATGAGCCAGTTTCACAAACAACTCCCTCCTAACCTTCCTCTGATCAACGCCAGCAGCGGTCTGGTCAGACATGAAATCCCCAACCGCAGCCTTATTTTCCTCTTCATCTAATGTTCCCACACAACTGTCTGCCAAAAGACTCAATAGGTACACGGACCTGTCCAGGGCATACGCCGCAGAGGAAGCCACAGTTTCCGCCTGGATATGTAGGTGTCCAGAGGTGGCCTGCAGAACAGCCTCCTGCGACGTACTGTTGTCGTCTGCCGCCGGTCGCTGGTCTTTCGGAATCAGCCGGGGCTTCAGTGCAATCAGGTTGCGCCGAATATCCGGCTCCTCGCATACCGCCCACAACTGGTCCTCAATCAGCCTCGCGACCGCCGCAACACTACTACCTTCCTCAGCACCCGCTGCCCCAGCGCCAGCGGCAGTGGTGGCGCCCAGGGCCAGGTCTAGAATCCGGCAGGCAAGCGGGAAGATCTCAGCACCAGGGCGGAAGGTCCCCGCGGGGTCCACGCCCAGGATCCCCACCCCCGCCACAGGCGGCAAAGCCTGGGTAGCCATCTCCGACAATGTGCGCGGCCGCAGCGAATGCAAGCTGAAAATATCCAGCGGGCGCTTGGCCATCAGTCGATCGACGATTATGCGGGCAATCTGCGGGGTATGCAGTGAGCTAGCAACGGCGACGTTCTCGATGGACCGGCGCAGACTGCGAACACTGCTGTGCGTATAGACGTCGAGCAGCGCATCAATGGTGTCGTTGAGTGCGTTCTTGTGCAAGCTGCTGACCACGTACACGACCAGGTTCTCCTCCAGCCATGGCCAGTTGAAATCGCCCTCGCCTGAGCCCGTTTCTGCGTCGGCGTCGGCGTCGGCGTCGGAGCCGGCAGCGGCGGCGGCGTCGTGGCCACCAGAGTCGCTTGAGTGGCCGGGGGACATTGGGTCGTCGGCGGTGGAGTCGGCAGTGGCTGCGGTGTCGGGAACGCTGGCTGAGTCATCTTCAGCCGCGGCGCCGCTGTCGCCGCGCGCCCTGCCCTCGACGTGGTCGGAGATGGCCAGCAGGACGCGGGCGAGCGGCGAAAGAAACGAGACAAAGTTGGCCCTGGCCACCTCGGGCATCATGGCCACAGGGAAGCCGCGGCTCAGCGAGACATTCTGCACCAGCGACGTCGCCACATCCAGCCACGGGACCACCGCGTACATGGTTTCGACCGACGACAGCAGCCGGGCCAGAAACTCCCGTGGCGTGTTGCTCCCCGCTGCCGCAAGCTCGGCCAGCACCACGGGCATCGCCTGTGTGAAGAACCAATCGCGGCTGCTCGCGAAAAACGGCCGGCCGCGCTCGTCCTCGGGATTCATCAGGCGGGCGAGCATGTACAGCGGGTGGGCGTCGGCGGTAGCAGCGGAAGCGGCCGGCGGCGGCAGCGGCATCGCGAGCATGGCATGCACGCAGGCTTCATGCAAAGCGGTCGCCGCCGGCTTGCTGAAAAGCTCGGCGACCACAGGCGCAATGGTTGGCGCCCACTCCGCCCACCGCTCCGCCCAGTGCGCACCGGCGTCCTGCAGCGCATAGCAGATGATGGCGGCGCTGGCGGCCAGCACCATGCGGCGCGCGCGGATGCGATGGTCGGCGGCCCAGAGCTTGACAAAGGCCATGGCCTTTTTGGACCAGTCGGCCTCCACCGGCAGATCCGGGCTGAACTTTGGCGCGTGGCTGCCAAGCAGTGCTGTGAAGTACTGCTGCAGGAGCGGCACCGGCGCGTAGTCCAGGCAGTCGGTCAGCCAGATGTGGATGGGCGTGTCGCTGAGGCTGCTGCCGTAGCGCAGCGCCGTCAACAGCAGCAGGATGCGCAGGCAGGCGACCGGGCACCGCACGGTGTGCACTGTCGCTGCGCCGCTGGTGGGGTTCGGGCCTGGGGCGCTGCCGCGCTCGGCCGTTGTCGGCACCTGCGCAGCCGTCGCGCCCTGTGCCTGGCGCCGCACCTTGCCGCCGACCACGGCGTTGAAGACTGGCTCGGCTTGGGACCGCGCCAGCTCGCGCGCGCGCCGGTTGTGGTCGTCCGAGCCGGAGTCCGCGGGGGCAGCCGCAGACACAAGGCCGGGCGCAGCCGCAAAGCCAGGCGCAGCCGGCGGCGTGTCGGCAACGCAGCTGAACATGTCGCGCACAGCGTAGAACGGGCCCGGGCGGCGCGAGTACACGATCTGGCTCTTCCACATGTGCTCGGCAATCGACCCAACGACCAAATCAACGCCCACCAGCGGCTCGGCCTCCATGAACCGCACGATCACCTGGTCCAGATAGTGCGTGCCGGCCGACGGGTAGCACTCGCACACGAGCTCCTGGATGCACGCGCGCGACTCGGCGTACGCGAGCTGCGCGGCGTTGCGCCGCCACGTGCGCAGCGCCCCGGCGACATCGCACGCGTGTGGGCTGGACTGCGACTCGATCGGCGGCACGCGGTTCATGATGTTGGGCGCCCTGTACGGGTTCGGCGGCTTGGGCGGCTTGGGCGGCGGCAGCTGCGGCGGAATTGGCCCCAGCAGCCGCGGCGGAATTGGCCCCAGCAGCCGCGCCAGAAGCGGGACGAATTCCGCGGCGTGCTCGGCGTAATGCGCCACGAAGCGCGCGACCATGCGCATCTCCGCAGCCGACACGCCCAGGGCGTCCGGCGGCAACCCCAGCTGGCGCGCCCAGGCGGCAACATCGCCGGCACGCAGCAGCTCCAGCGCCGCCGGCAGCTGCGCCTGCGCAAACTTGGCAGCCTCTCGCGCCCGCCCGGCATCCGCCGCGTACACCGGCGGCACAAACAGCGGCTCAGCGCCAGCGGCCCTCCATGCGTCCAACGCGCCGGCGCCCGGCATGAGCACGCGCTCCAGCGCCCGCAGTGCCGCGACGCCCTGGGTGTTCAGCCTCACCCGCGGCAGCGGATTTCCGTCGGCCGGTGGCCCGTCGGCAATCACGGCTTGGCGGGCCGCCGGCGCGCACAGCACAGCGACGGCGTACGCGAGGAAGCCGCCCGCCGGGTAGCTCATGGCCACCGCCACCTGCCAGCCAACGGCATCCAGCGCAGCCGCGTCCGCCCGCCACGCGCCCCCCCACACTGCGCCTAGTACCGAATCGCACTCGGCCTGGGCCGCGCCCGAGCCCTGTTGAAACCTGGCCTGGGCCAGCGCCGCCCACTGGCCGAACCCGAGCCCTGCCAGCGCCCGCGCCATCTCGCCAACGCGCCCGCAGCCAGCCGCCGCGGCCACCGCACGCCCCAGCGCTGCGGCCACCTGCGAGCACAGCAGCTGCGGCGCCATGAATGCGCGCGCAAGCGCAACAAACTCGCACGCCCACGCGGCCACTGCGGCCACCGCGGCCACAGGCGCCGCCGCCCCCACCTGGCCCAGCGCGTGCATAAACGCACACTGCGCGAGCCGCCCCATAACACCGCTACCCTCGGCGGTGTCCAGCGAGAAGACGTCAAAGTACGCTGAGGCAACGCGCAGCACGCGCGTAAGGTGCGCAGCCAGCTCGGGCGTGATGCCTGGGACTACGGCGGGCGCCAGAGCCTCGGCGGAGCCGTCCCACGGCCGGTCGATGTTGAACACGGCCGTGGCCGAGCGCAGAAGCAAGAGCTCCGCGTACGCCGGCACAGCGGCCGCCGCCCTCGGGTAGCATCCACGCAGGGGTGCGTAAATGCTCAGCGCCGTGGCCTTCATGTCCTGCAGGCACTCGCGCAGCTTCTGCATATCCATGGCCTGCATCAGAGCCTGCTCCTCGAACCCCAGCACAGGCGCCAGGCCGTAGCACGCGTGTGTCAAGCTCAGTGCCAGCATGTCACCCACCGCCCCTTGCTGCTGCTGCTGCTGCTGCTGCTGCTGCTGCTGCTGCTGCTGCTGCTGTTGCTTTCCGAGAATGCCCGAGACCCGCTGGCTGCCCGTGCCGTGTGCCTCGAGAATTTGCAGCAGCCGGTGGTGCTCGCTCATCATCCCGTAGACTGCCGACGCGTCCTGCGCGATGATCTTGCCGAGAATCGCCTGCTCGAACTGCTCCAGCCGCTGCTCCTCGCCATTGGCCGCCGCCGCGTCCGCCGCCCCCCCGCCAGCGCAGCCGCCGTCCGGCTGCCGCACGCAGGGCAGGAGGATCCGGCGCACGACAAAGTTGCGCAGCAGCTCGGTGGTCGTCACAAAGAGCAACGTCGGAACCCCCCATTTGAACTGCCGAGTCGCCGGATCCTCAACCACTGCTGGCATCCGGCGGCTCAGCGCCGGCCCATGGTTCTCGACCATCTGCATGATAATCTGCAGCCAGCTGCTGTAATGCGCGACCAGCTGCGCCACCGCCGGCTGCAACGCTGCGTTGCTGCTGTTGGCCGCTGGCCCGACCATCGACCGTGTGGAAAACGGCAGCACGTGGAATACCGCATACGCCATCCGCGCCATCGCCACCCAATGGTGCATCGCCAAAGTGCCGCTGCCCAGAACCTGCGCGCAGTACGTGCGGATCCGTGAAAAATCATGCCCATTGCTGCTTCCATCGTTGTCCTTTTTGGTCAGCTCCTCAAGCTTTTCCAGCGCGTCCGCCCGCCGGCTCGCCTGCATAATCGTCGCCTCAATGCTAAACCCAATGTTGCGCACCCACGACCCATCGCTCTCCCCCAACTGCTGGACGCTCAGAGAAAGCAGCTGCAAGCGCAGCTTGTCAAAATACTCTGCATTGAAAAACGGATCCGTTTCGTGGCTGAGTGTGGGGTTTGCCATTACGATGTCTGGCGGTGGCTCTTGGATCGGCAGGCTGATGACTATTTTGACTAGCTCGAGGTGCGTTCGTGTAGGCCACGTCACTGTTGAGATCGACAGCGCGCTGGTCAGAAAATCTCGCTGGGTCGACTGAATTACCCGCACCAAATCTTCGCGCGGCGGATTGGGACTGTCGAGAATCGTCTGTAGTCCGCCGATAAACTCGTCCAGCTTGTCCATTGCTGATTGTAAAACAAAATGTTTTGTTTTGAATAGAGTCGTGAGCGTCGGAATTGAGGTCAATGCAGAATAAAATAAATAAATAAGGGACTGAATTTTTTAAAAAAAAAAAAAAAAAAAAAAAAAGGAGTATAAGAAAAACACCCACGAATTACATTGCAACAAATCCAGACCATTGAGAAACCCCTTAAAAGCGTGTTTACGCGCATACCTTTTTTTATATTTTATAAAAATGTAAAGGTAGCACACACGTGATATACTCTTAAGCATCTAGCAGCAGTATTACTCGAATTTTTTATTTCGGATATTTGCAGCTTCATTCTTTTGCCTAGTGTATGGAATTCATTATTTGCTAAAGTGGCACACCGAGACTTCAATTTTTTAATACAAACACTTTTACTGCCCGCCAAATGCTTTGCGCATCTTAACGTAGTCCTGGTACACTCTCAGATCAGCCTCAGTCACACGCGGCTCCGCAACAACGGCAGCAGAAGCCCCGCCCATGCCTTCCCCCATATCATCCTTAGCCAATTGATCCACATCCACTTTCAGATCCAAAGACCTCGTCCGATCATGTCGCACCCTCGAAACCCTATGAGCCTTAGAAATATCCGCCGGAGTCCTCAAACCACCACGGGTATCTCCCGCAGGATCAGCAACAACTGAGGTTCTCTTATCTACTGGCTGCTGCTGCTGTTGCTGCTGTGACCATAGTCCCCAAAGCATAGTCGTGTTAGATCTAGCCCTACCCATTGACCCTTCTTTTCCAGCAGGGCTAGGCATCCAAGAAGATATTTTCTTCTGCGGCATAGGCGTCTGTGATCTCTGCCGATCCTCCGCACCGCCCAAGCCCGCCGTCGCAATTACCACTGGTGACGGCGGCATAGCCGGCATAGGCGGAAGCGGCTGCTGCTGCTGCTTTAACGCAGTTGCACCGCGTTTGTAATCCTTATAAAGAACATTAGACGGCTGGACGATCCATTTCTGCAGATTATCAAACTGATGCACATATTTTTCGTACTCGTTCAGCTCACCCTGGCTGACCTGCGGCTCCTGCAGTGGCGTGGTAATACCATCGGTGAGCCATCCGCCGACACCCAAGGGACGCACCACCGCCGGGGTGACTGTCTTGGCACATACCCGCTGGTAAATGTCCTGTCGCGAAATGCCCGTAGGATCAGTGTACTCTTCAGACTCGGATTTGAGCCATTTGGGCTCCTGCGGCATAAACCGCAGCATGCTGGGCGGTCCACCACTACCAGTAGATGTGGAAGTAGAACCAGAGGCCGCAGAAGCAGTCAATGAGTGGTGCTGGTATTGGGATCTGTCGGCAAAAGGACTAGGCATGTTTTGCACATTTGTATGTGGATGCAAAGACGCCGAGCTATTGAGGTTATTGACAAACAACGAGCCCAAGGACGTGTACGTGTGCGGCCGATAGTACTCATCCCAATACGCATCTGCTGCTGCCACCCCCGTAGCCAATTCTCTATCCTCCACCGAGTCCTTATCCTCAGGGCAACCCAGGGTAGTCCACCACTTGCGAAACACCACAGGCTTTCCGACCTGATAAGGCCTACCAGCAGCAGCAGCGCACTTTGTATCCAAAACGCACTCTGGAAAAATAGTCTTCTCGACAAAATACGTAATAGCCTCCTGTCGCTCCACATCCAACAAGGAATTAGAATAATACCGGCGAAGCGACTCAACTATATCCCTCGAGTGACTACGCCAGTTCGTGTTCCTCCGATATGTCTGCACGGTATTAACCAAATGTGACCCGCCATACTGCAGCGCAATGGTATTTCCCAAGTCATGGTACATCTCCTCGATGATCATCGCCGCATCCGTGTTAAAAGACAGGTGCGGGTGGGCAATGATACCCAATTCGAACAGCTGGTGCGCCAGGGCGACTTTCCCAATAATACTCTGTGCCGCATTTGTGCGGTCCAAGCAATCGATACAGTTACTGCGCACGACACCACACTGCCGCATTACGCGAACCCGTCTAGGACTCGCATCCCCGGCCGCTTGCCTCCTCACGCGGTTACTGTAGAGCTCCGGCCCGTTATGGAAAAACCCAGTCAGCGACAATGTCTCCTCGGCAATAACCTCAAGTATAGCCAGTACGTCCTCCTGTCGGTTCTTTTTCGCCCTGGACATGTCCCATGCCAAGTACCTGATCTTGCGTCCACGCGGCAAAAACTGGTTCAAATAATGCAATCCCTCGGAAAACTCCTCGCCCAAGGCAGATTCCCTCTTAGCGCGTTCCTTGGTCTTAATCAGATTAAGCACAATGACAGGAGACCCGTACCGGACAAACAAGCTGGAAAAGTGCCGACCAGCCTCAACGAAATAAGGATCCCGAACATTAATTTCGATCGGCGGCTTGGGTGTAATACCTGAAGTTTCCTGCGACCAAAACAACGGAATAGACCCTCGATGCTGCACGTACGCTGTATACGATGTGGTAAACCCCGTGGTCTCCATCGTGTTGACGATCTGCTCAGTCTCCACGTCATTTGCAACAAACCCAGCATCATTGACGCCGCGTTTAAGATACCGCACGCCGGCGAAAATCCGCGACCGACGCGCCACCAAAGTGACAAAAACGTCGCGCCCGAGGACGCTAAGCTTAGACTGATCAATATACCCGTGTACCAGAGCCACAGTCCACTCCGCACATACGCGTAACCCAACCGAGGCATTGATGAGCATCTGGTAGTTCCACACAAACATACCGTTATAGCACCCGCGGCACTGATTGCCGCTCAAATTCTGCTGCAGCGTCCTTGTTACATCGTAAGTATGGCTGAAGTAGAAATTCTTTGATAAATCAACATTCTTGAACGTCGCGATAAACCTGTCCTCGCGCTCTGTGCGCTCCGGACGATAGGTTATGCTCAAAAGCCGCGTGTCCTCGATATGATTAATAAGGTGGCCTCCCAAGAGAGCCACAGGTTTGGAGTGCGTCACTATGGAGATATACAGGCCCTTGGTGAACCGCACAAATCCTAGGATGCCGGAGACATTTTGGACGATTGGCCGCATACCTGTGGATTGCTGCAGGCTGTGGATCACGGCAGGCAGCTCTTGGGCGTTGTACGATTGGCCGTCGTCTTTGGCCATTTGGTCGAGGCTTTCAGCTGTGCGGTCAATGCGGAGCATGCGGTGGTAGTCTGTAGTGTCGTTGGACCCGATGATGCACAGCTCGGTGCGGCTCTCGTAGATGTCAAAGCTGGTCAGGATGACGCTCGGCCGGTGCAGTGGCAGGTCATTTGTATCAGTATCTGCTTCCTTTGGACTGTCCATTGAAATGAATTTAAGCCAAAAATATATGTATATGTATATGAGCGAGTGAAAAAAAATGAAATGCAACAAATACAAGTGGTGTGGCAAATACAAAGTTGAAATATACAATTTCCAAATTTATACTCCACGTGATTAGAAATAGTGTTGAAAACCATCGGTTGTTTAACAGGTCAGGGCTTTGTCAAAGGAGCAAGTGGGACCTATGGATCTACTGATCTATAAATCTATAATAAATCTATGGATTTATTTTCTCTGGGCAAAGTGTGGACGTTTTATGTCCAGCGCATTAAATTATAATTGCTTACTTATCAGGCATCTTTTTTGCACTCGTATTTTTGTAACTGTGTACGATCGCATTTTTTTTTTATTTTTTGCCTTTTGGTTAACGAAATTCTCAAATAATTAATTCAATTTATTTTTATTTAAACTAAAAAACCCCTACACACACAGCTTTTTTTTTTAAAAAAATGCTCACAGCTTCGCTTCTCTCAACACGCAGCCGCAACGCACTTCTTCGCGCAACAGCAGCCAGCCGCGGCGCCGCCAAGCGCGCCAAAGCCGCCAGTCGTGGTGTCCCCAGCCACCTCAGCTCCGACCCACGGTACGAAACCATGAAGCAGCTCATGTTCCAAGACATGCCACGCACAATCCCCGTACTGACAGAGGCAGATATGGAGAGACATGCGACTATTTTGCGCGCAATCGATATTGAGAAGTCAGAAAGCGGTGTTGTGAGGCGCGCGGAGAGGGAGGCAAAGTTTAGGATGATGGAAGAGGCGTTTGAGGCACTGAAGAAGTTGGATGAGAGGCTTTTTGAGGCTGCTTGTGTCAAGGAGCCGAATGCTGTGTTCCCAAGGCAGATGCGCGTGCCGACCGAGACGCCCGGCGTGCGTGTGTGGGAGTACTAGTTAATGGGAAAGGAGGAGGATTTCATTATATTGGATAGCCTTACTCGTTTTTAAACTATAAAAAATTAAATTAATTTTTTTTAGAAAGATCAACATGGGCCTTATTGGCGGCGGATGCGACGCACCTTTCTCCACTCGCCGCGAGGAATGTTGGCAATGAAAACCATGAGCTCAGTGCATGTGGTTCCAGGCCTGGTTGGATCACTGATAGTCTGCTCATTAAGCACGATCTCCAGATCCGCACCTGTCCCCTCAGGCATCTGACGCGAAGTGAAGAAGCAAAACATGCGCAGTCGATCGACATCGCTTAAAATATTCGTATTCGTGTAAACTGCCTGCACCTGGGGATCAGTGCCGGTGAATTCCAGATACTCTTTGGACACCGGTTCCGTCGCCGGCTCCTCCATTCCCAGCACCTGCGCAGAAAGCGGTGCCTCATCATCGGACGACTCAGCCTCGCCGCTCTCCTCCCCGTCATTAGACAGCGCCCGGCTCGGCCGCCGAGACGACGTCTGCGACGATGAGCAGATCCGCTTGGCCTCCCTTGCCGCCTTCTTCTCCTCACTTTCCTGCTGGCGCTTCAGCTTACGCTCCTCCGCAACTGCCTTTCTTCCTTGATCCCTGATAATGCGCGCTTCCTTCAATTCATCGCGATTTTTCTGCAACTGCTGCTCGCGCGCATTAATCGGCGCCATGCTCTGTTGGATTTCGTTCAGATCCACTCGCTTGGTTCCGGCCGCCCCCGCACCCACAGAGGATGTGATGGAGGCTGCCGCAGGGAGCGCGGCGTTGGCCGGGCCTTGACGTCTGTTGATCAAAAAGCTGGCTCCGGAGCCGGCTCCCGGGCCAGAGCTACGACGAAGAATCCCGGCGGGACGCACGCCTGGGCCAACGCCCGGACGGGCACCGGGAGGCATGCCAGCACCACCGCCTGGGCGCGTGCCAATTCCCATTCCAGCACTGTTGCCCGGACGCATCGCATGGCCGGCGCCCCTGCCAGCGCCCGGACGCATCGCAGGTCCCAACCTTGGATCATGGCGTCCGGCGGGCGCCCTTCCGGCATCAATTCCCAGCCCAGACGGTGCCCCAGCGTCGCCGCTGCCGGGATTCGCCGCCGAGTCGCAGAACATCTCCAGGCGCGACCTCCTCTCATCATGGTCCACGACCTTATCCGGCCTCACATTCATGCTCACAGCGCCGCTCTCCTCCTCACCAAACAGATCATCATTACCTCTGACGCCGTAGACATTCCTCGTGGGGCCCACCGGCTCCGCCACGCACTCCATCTCAACCGTAGTTAGCTTCAGGCCGCCGCGAGCCACAGCGTCCGCCACCTGGCCAATCGCCAGCTCCAGCTCCTCCCTAACAGTCTCCTCCAGATCGCCCAGCGCCCGTAGGCGCCCATTGACTCCAACATCGCCAATGAGCCCGCCCAAGGTGCGCACCCAGGTGCTCGATGTATCGGTGGCCGCCAGCCGTCCAATTTGCCGCGCCGCCTGCTTATCCTCTACCTTTTGCGCGCCCGCGTGTGCGATGCCCAGGAGAACATTGAGCTTTTGCGTTTCTTCGAGGGAGGGCCAGAGCTGTTGAATGGTCGAAAGCGTCGTGCCACGGGCTAGATCGGATCCGACGCTGGCTGGCACTGACCAGACTTGCGCAGGCTTGTCTTGCGCCGCGTTTGTGCCTTGGAGAGCACTAAAAATTGCTGGAATGTCGACAGAGGTCATTTTTTCTTTGTTTTGGAGTCGATTTGACTCGATTCGATTTAAATTTTAAAAAGGGTAGAGGGTGGTTTGTGGTTTTAGTTAGTTGGTTTTATTGTTTTTGTGAAAGAATAAAAAAATAGAAAAATGGTGGTTTTGTCCAGTTATTAAATGTAGGATAAAATGAAAAATGTTTTTTATTTTTTATTTTTACAGAGCGAGTCTGGGCCCCAAAAAAAGCGTAAATTATTTTTTCTTTTCGTCTTCTTCCGCACTCGCATTTTTATTTTTATTTTATTATTTTGTTCAATTCAAAGCTCTTATTATTATTATTATTATTACTATTATTACTAATTTTTCTTAATCATAACACGCAAATGCTGTCGTACCGCGAACTGGCCAGTGACCTGACAACAAAAGTCAACGCCGCACTCGAGGTAACCCCCCCACCAGCCAAAAAATGATTAGAAAATGGACTTTGTATTGTTTATTGAAAACACACCTAAACATTCTTTTCCGAATAAAAAATGTTTGTAAAAGTAGCGGCGCGAGGAGCTTTTAAAGAACTACCACGAAATAAAGCAAAGGATGCGCCTGGCACAGTCCGAAAACGACCACTTTTTGGATATGATTTCAGAGATGTACCCGGAGCTGCAAGACGGCATCTCCAGCAACAGCAGCGACAGCAACAACAGAAGCAGTGACAGCGACATCAATGGAAACAACAACAGTGGCACAGAAAGTTTGGCAGACAATAATTCCGACACTTCCGCGTGCTCAGACACCCGCCCAGGCAAACGGAGGCGGCAGCAGCATCAGCGGCGGCAGCGGCCAGCATCAGCATCAGCATCGTTTGCGCAACCGCTTTTGACGAAACGGCGGCGGCGGCAGCTGAGCAAACGCGACGACCGCAATGACCCCAAACCAGTGGTGCCTGTGGCGCGCGACTCGTCAGGCAACGCGCTTATGCCCATGGTGCTGAGGGACCACCACGGGCAGGACGAGATCCGGATCCACTCTCTGGGCCAGGTCAACCCGGCGGACGCATACCATACGTCTAGGTACATTTGGCCCGTGGGGTTCCGCAGCACGCGAATGTACCCGAGTATGCAGGACGGCCAGCCCACCGTGTACACGTCGGAGATTCTGGATGGCGGAGACATGCCTGTTTTCCAGGTGACGGCAAAGGACGACGAAAAGTGTTTTCGGGCGAGCTCGTCCAGCGGCGTGTGGAAACAGGTGCTGGATGTTCTGATGGCCGGAGGACTCGGCGTGAAGACCCATGCGAGTGGACCGCAGTTGTTTGGCCTGAGCCATTTGGCCGTTACTAAGGCCATTCAGGAGATGGAGGGCGCCGATATGTGCCGCAAGTATATTCGCCAGAGGTGGATCGACGACCCAAATGACTCCAAGACCGCCGTGTATGCTGTGGAAGAGGAAACCGAAGACGAACCGTTGGCTCACTAATTCGCCACGCGCCCTGTTCATATTTATTTATTCTACTTTTTCAAACCAGCCTTTTCTCGATAATTTCCTTTGCTTTTTTGTCCGTACTTCATACAATTTCTCTTTTTTTCTTTTTATTCCTATTCTATAGTTTTTCAAATATTTTCATTTCATTTCAATCGCATTCTTTTTTTTCCCCCTCTCCCAATTTTCGCAGATGAGCTCATACCAACCGCAGGACCCGGCCGTCGCCGCCAACGCCCAACCTTTGCAGCCGCCACCCAACATGTTCCAGGTGTCCAGCCACCCACTCGCCCTCCTCTTCCTCCTCCTCTTCAAGTCATTTGCCCTGGCCCTCTACCTCCTAGGCAACTTCTTCACGGACAATTTCATACTCATATTCGTCCTCTGCGTGCTCACACTATCGGTGGACTTTTGGACAGTGAAGAACATCTCCGGCCGGCTGCTTGTCGGCCTGCGGTGGTGGAATGAGGTGAATGAGGATGGAACGAACCAGTGGATTTTTGAGAGCCGCGAGCAGGGTGTCGGGGTCAATGCTAGTGATTCGAGGATATTCTGGGCCATTCTGTATGGTACTCCGGTGGTTTGGGGGCTTTTGGCGATTGTGGCGTTCTTTAGCTTGCGGTTCCAGTGGTTGCTCATTGTTATCATTGCGGTTCTGTTGGCTACCGCTAATCTTATTGGGTACCAGAGGTGCGATAAGGATCAAAAGCAGAGGTGGAACCAGGGGACGGCTGCCGCTGGATCCATGATGGGAAGCATGATGTCTGGCTTCATGTCTAATGCCATCGCCTCGGGTGTTGTTGGCCGTTTCTTTAGCCGTGGATAATAATATGAATAATAATAATATCTTTCAATTATATATATTTTATATAAAAAATAAAAATATTTTTATTTTTCTGTTATTACTGGAAACTTTTGGTTATTGCGGCCCTTGACCTGAATGGGTCTGGCTCCGCGCCATCCCCATCGGTACATAGCCTCGTTGGCAAAAATCTCGCCCATCCCGGCCATCACGCCTGTTACAAAAGGCAGCGCCATGTATAGTCCGACAAACCGCAAAGTGCGTTTCCAATCCACTGACATCCACCATTTCTTTGGCACAATAACAGTCGGAACAAACTTTTCGTTCTTGTTCTCGTTCTCATTCTCGCTTTCGTGGAACTTGAACCCAGGTTCAAACTCGGCCATCTCATCTCTCTCTTCTTCCTCTTCGCTAAACATGTGGTACTCTTGGCTATAGTCGGATTCATTATGATGTTGAAAAGATGATGAACCGGATGTGGTGGCGGCAATGTATGCTTGGATGCTTTCGTGCTGTTGCTGATTACTGAGGAGGTGCGATAAAGAGGGAAGGTTCTGGAGATGTGGTGGTGTTGCTGGTGAAGGGATCTCATCCTGACGGCTGGACCGATCAAGTACTGGCGACACCTCTCGCTGCTGCTGCTGCTGCTGCGACATTGTATATTGTTATAATTTCGGTATAATTTAAAAACGAAACAACTAAGCCAAGTTGAAAGAGCCGTTTTTGTTTGGGCAAAAAAATTTGAAAATCATGTTCAGCCTCATCATTATTGTGGTGACGGTATGGATATGGGCTGAGAGCTTAAATCCACCCAAAGTTCATTTGCATATAACAGAATAAAAATGACAAGGATAAACTTGCAAAATGTTGAGCGTGCTGAGTTGTTCATCCTGCTGTATTAAACAAAAATCAACAACAAAGAGAAAGAGAAGGAGAAGAATTGTCAACCCTGACTCCAAAAGAGACACAAGAAGCCCTAAACCAACACAAAACTCTTTGCTCAAATCAACTTCTTCTGGTGGAAGAACCGGCGCAGATAAACCACCTGATATACGGCAACCGCGATCAAAACCGAAATGGAGAAAATTCCAAAAGTCCGCACCCGCGAGTTCATCATCTCGTTAGCATCTCTCAACGAGCCCTCTCTCTGCTTCAAGTACTGCAACTCATCCTGAATATCATCCAAAGACATGGCCAGTCTCCTAAGCTCAACCTCCATAGGCTTCAGCTTCTCCTCCTGTTGAACCTTGGCAAAATCCTCAGCCATCGCCCCAGAATCCATCTTGAACTGAATCGTCAAAGAACGACCGTCCCCGGGATACCCCTGATCGAGCTCATTATGGAAGCAAGCAATAACGTTGGCGTGCGCCTGCGTGTCAAACCGGAAGGAAACATCGTCGAGCTGCTTGCGCGCGCCGTACTGGTTGATATGCGGGCTGTCGTCGTGGATCTCCATGTGGACCTTTTGTCCTGGGAATCCTGGGAGAACCTTGGCTGACACTTTAACGTGAGAGCCCCGGGGAAGCCATTGGGAGAGGCAGCGGCGCCCGCCATTCGCATCGCTAGTCGCTTGCAGGTCAAATTCGAGCGCGAGAGTGACGGCTGACAAGAGTGCCACGAAGAAAAGTGTCACAGTCCTCATCTTTAATTGAGATTTGAAAATAAGGGAATGTTAAAAGGGAGAGAAATATAATCGGACAGAGTTAAAATAAAGAGGAATAATAATAATGTTTTTTCGCGACAATTGAGATGAGCTGTGAATTGCGTCAAAGAATTGAGCTGGGTAAGGAAAAACCAAACATTGCGAATTGAGAAAGCGACAGCTTGGTTTGGAACGATGGCATATGGCACCATCTCATTGGCTGGTGATTGGGATTTTTGGAACATAAAACCCTTCATATTTAGTCAAATGCCTGTATAGCTTGATTGGCTGTCGATTTTTCATCCTCTTTTTTGGCGAGTCGACGAGTTGGTTTTTTTTGGCGAGTTGGCGATTTTTTCATTATGAATTTAGTCAATTAAAAACACTAATTTTTGCAGTTAAAGATATATCATGGGGAATGCCATTTTTCCTATTTTCATGCACACCCGTTTATATATTAGCTTTGCATTCTTTCACTCAGTCTAAGCCTTTTATACTATGTTTGATACAAAAAGAAGAATGATAAGCGGTTATAAGTGTTAGTAGTGTTACAGAAGTCAATAATGAAGAGCGTATAAAAACTAAAACTATATAACAAATCAATAATATGTGTTTATTCATATGGAATCAAAAGCAATTGCTATACTCCAGTCTCATCATTTGAGGTTGTTGCTCTCCTGCAATATGTAAACAAATATAGTTGGCATAAACCGAATCCATGTTTTAGTTGTCTGCAGAGTAAGCATGACTCGGCTCCGTGCCTGACTCATTGTTAGACCTATCCTCCGAGTCGAGCTGTTCAGGACAAATTGTAGCAGCAGCTGGATGTTTGAGCTTTGTTGACGTTGTCAGAACGAAAACATAAAGTTTAAGGAAATATTGTGTGTTTAAAAAACCGCAAGCTTTGCAGTTATTTCTGTTGCTTCTTTTCTTTCACTTTATCCACGAGCAGCTAATATTTGGTTGGTATTAAAAAATAAACTGAAAAATTAACATAACAGAAAAGGAAGAATCACGCGCTGTGGAGTGGGCGTCATGTCATTTATCCGATCAGGATCTATAGATACGACCAAATTACTAGCCGTTATTAGCTTGATGGATCAGCAATATTGTATATTTTTAAAATAATATGACACTTTTGAATTACATGCTGTCGGCGGCAACAACACATGTCTGGCTAATAGCAACGCCATAGTCAAAATTACAAAATTTATTCAATGACTAATAGACGTACCATCGGCATTGTCTTCGGTGGAATCACTCTCGTCTCTGTTGTTACTGCTCCCTTTGAGTCGCAGAAGACACAAGCGTACCTCATCCGACCAATCAATCCATTTGAAGATGTACACAAGCTGAAGAACAGCGGACAAGATAACGCCAATACACATACCCCACCACAATCCAACCGCCTCCATGTGCAATCCATAGCCAAGGTACGCTCCAAGCGGAATGGCGCAGCAGTAGAAGCCCAGAAGGAAAATATTGGCGCTCACCTTTTGCCGACCCAGTCCGCGCAAAACAGCGCTGAAAACAGCATTCAGACCATCGCCGATAAGGAAAAGGCACGCGACAGGCATCAAACGCGCAGTTTCGCGAGCAATATTTGGATCGTCGGTGTAGACGGTAGTCCACCATTCGCCGTAGACAGAAAGAAAAACTGTTCCTGCAGTTCCAACTATCACCGACGCCAACATGGACATGTCGGCGGCAATGCGCGCCTGGCGCGGTTTGGCTCCACCGATCAGATTGCCTATGCGCGGGCTGGCACCGTAACCCAGACCGTTGCTGATATGGAATAGCATACCGACAGAGTTCATCGTGATTGCGTGACCAGCTAGTTGGTACGCGCCAAAATACGAAATACCGATTGTCAGCAACTCAAATCCAACCCACTCAGCGCAGATGGTCACAACGGCGGGGATTGCCAGTTTATAGTACGCGGACATGTTGCGGAAGGCACCAATATCCCACCCTCCCCATGTCTCGTTGACCTTGCTGAAGCGAATGTAGATGAGCATGCCCAAAAACATCAATACATTGGATACGACGGTTACTATCGGCGCGCCGATGAATCCAAAACCATATGTTGAGGAGCGCACAAAGACAAAACTGTTGATCCAGTGGATGGGCGCAATCACTGCGACAATCGTTATTCCCGCGTGCATGATCTCCTGGGCCTGGAGATAACGCTTGCAAGCCTCAAACATCGTCCAAGGGAAAATACCTGGGATTTGGATCCTCAGATAAATGCCGCTCAGATGCGAAATTTCTGGGTCCTGCCCAATCGCCAGAAGAATTTTCTCGGCGTTCCACATAATCGGCGCCACTATTATCACATGGGTAAGAACCGCGATTATCCCACGCTGGAAATGAAAGCCGACCAGCGTTTTGTCCCGCGATGCCGTGAATGCAGTGCTGCAAAATGTGTCCATAGCCGAGAGCAGTCCGAATGAGGGCGCCATTGCCAATATGCCCATGCAAGTCACTGCCAAAGACATTGCTGCAAGCTCTTTGGCTCCCAAGTGGCTGACTGAAAGGACATTGACAAAAAAGAACGACGATTGCAAAACCAGCGTCAGAATAATAAGAGAAGACGATGACGCTATCCACTTGATCTCAGTTTTAGCCACAGCAGCGTAGGGTTGGTTCGCGTCGTGCTTGTTGATCTCGAGAGCGACTTCTGAAGGTGAGACACTGAGCAGCGGCGTGGTCTCTCCGCTGATGTGATCGGCTCCAGACTCGACGTCGTCTGGGAATGTGTGTTGCTCGGACATGGCAGCTGCGTATTTGGAGGTGCTAGTGTAAATAAATTAAATGAAAATTTTGCTATCAATAAGGTAAAAATATAAAAGATTGAAATTGAAATTGAGGTTTGATGATTAAAAAAAGATTTAGAAAGAGCGTCTGTCCAGAACTTTTATACACGTTCGATCTGTACGCGCGCCATGGGAAAATCAACACGAATTGCCGCAGCACATGCATTTTGCCCAGAATCAAAATATTTTTCCCAAAACGGGAATAGTGCTCGATTTGTTTTGCGTGGGCGCAGTATAGTAGTAAATCGCGGCTTTCACTTTAATTTTAGCGCCAATCTTGCACGTCCCCCCTCCCCCCCCCAACACTTAAGCACAATAAAGTACGACCATTGGATTGAACAGTAAGGCCAGATTTTTATACATCCGCCCTTTTGAAATATGCATACAGTGGCTTAGCCTAGTGACATATATAGGTCAAAATTTCACCTATAAGGAGTCATAATGGCAGCGCAACTTGATTAGACGAGTCATAGCTTCAAAGGAAAAATTGACAAAATATGGAAAATGAAATTTTGGCATGCGCTCCTACGTGCTGCGGCCACGCTATGCTGACCACCAAACAATTAAAGTCAAATGCAAGTAAACACCTGCAATTGTTCCCCACATGCAATGCCTGCACTGGCGCTGCATACATGCAATGAATTAAATTATTGAGCAAAATACGTGTCATTTGAAGTGGCATATCACTAACAAGTTAATCAAAAATAAATAACTTATTAATTTGAAATAAAAAGTAAAAATAAACCATCGAGGCTTAGCATAGCTAAATATAAGGATATAACGAAGATGGGGAAGTTTTAAACGGACTCCTTGACAATGATGTCAAAATAGTGGCTCTTCGTACTGCAAACGAAGAGAATCCTTAAACAACCAAGTCGCAACATCAGATATTTGCCTGCAAAGATAAAAATTTTGTACCCGACACTCTAGAATTAGGACCCTGCATCTGGACGCGAATAAATAGAGCCAAAGGCCTTGACAGCTGGCGTGGACTGGTTTAAAGTCTCAAGCATTTACTCGTCAATCTTTCTGTGCACCAGATGTATGTTGACAAGGTTCGGAAGGCACTGGATTATCTTTGTTACGGTGTCGAAATCAATGGGCATGGACAGCTCAAGCTACGTTAGATATGGCCAGTTGATCTCGCTTGCGTCCATTTCAAACAAAAAGGTTCCCAGAAACAGCGATACTTGGTGCTTGATGCGCGTGCCTCCAAACAGATCGTTGGCAAACAGGTAGAACGACTCCTCTGCACATAGCGGCCCAGGCCTGTAAACAACCACTGTTACGTTAAAAATATATATATTAAACAAAATGAACTAAAAGAAAGCTAAGGTATGAGCAGTCTCCACTGTTCATATTCATTAGTATTTATGTGCATATGAATTCCTGCATATCCAAGTAGGGAATTAACTAGCGATTGATTCATCAATCAATCGCCGGAGACAAGCCGCAATTCCTTGTATCACAACCACAGATAAGTCACCGATCTTCTTGAAGCGGGTCCAGTCAAATGCAACAATCTCCACCAGTGTTCCTATAACGCCGAGATGCTGCAAACAGGGCGGAAGTGTTGCCGCCTCCAACAGCCTGAGAGCATGCGAGGGGTACTTGACATCCGGATACTTAAGCTTAGGGAAACTGAATGAGAGTGTAGTTAAAAATATTGGAGCCAAAGGCACGCCGCCGGCCACTAATTCGACCCAAGTGTACAGTAGGGAAAAGTTGTGCAGCTTGGCAAAGTCTATTTGACCTGAATATTCGCCCTCGAAATACTGATTCCAGGCATAATTGACTAATATGTAATCCAGGCTTAGAGTGGTCAGATTGTGAGTGATAAACTTGTCGAATGAACTGCCCTCCGGAAAGGCAAACATCAGATTGTACTTTAGAAATATCAGCTGTTTGTCATACACACCAAGCAACTGGTTGCTAAAAATGACTCCAGCGCACTTATAGCGCGGCAAGGTAATGTCCAGGGCAGAAACTTTGGGAGGTATTTCATGGTACCACTTCCTGCAACATACAAACATATCATAATCCGATGAAGTGGGTTCATATTCAATCAACTGCCCACTGCTGTCGGATCTGTAGTAGCTGCGGTAGTGGCTGTGGTAATGGTGCTGGAGTCTCCAGCGCTCGAAAAAGATGATGATGATGCTCTTGATGTTGGGGAAACTGCTCAACTTAGATTTGAGGACATGGAAAAGGTCAAAAGTAGTTGACCACAACTCCAAGTTTGTTTTGATTGATATCTCGAGCACCGTCACAAAATGCCCAAGGCCACTGTATTTGAAATTGTCAAGGCTGGTTTTTGTGATTGTCTGCACTCTGTGGTATACGTCGTTGTCATATTCGTCCAATTCGTGGTAACCGCTCGAATAGTCCTCGAAATTCTCGTTTTCGGGGTGCTGAATATATTGAAAACTCACGTTAGGATTTCGGCAGGACATTTGACCGGTTTGATTGCAGAGAAATACGAAGAAGACATTGTTTAAGAATAACTATAAACAGAATAAAATGGATAGTGGCGAGGAAAGAAAATAAGTGATAAGATAGGAGAGGAGTGGAACAAAAGGTGGGATAAGAATTTATCATTTTTAAAAACGTTGCTTTTTCGTGTCTGTGGTGCCTAACCCACATACCGGATTCTCTCTTCCCATCTTCAAGGATAATCACGAACAAGTTTGTCACTATTCCCGTGATATCCATGCCTAACATTGCTGGCTCACATCAAATGTTAACAAAACCTTTACAGCGCCGCCCACACAGTGCTGTTTTTTTAGTTCCACACCAAACACTTCAGGCTTTTATTTAGTTAGTTTAACTTATTACTTACACACCTACATCTATGGATAACAGTGTCGACACGCGCTAATTACATTAGCAGCATTTGAATAAATAACATATTCGGTACTTTTTAATTTAATTTCGATAGTTTTGTTGTTATTGTTGCAGCCCCGCAGAGGGTGGCTTCCAAAAATTTCCGCGCAACACGCTGCAAGCAGCTAAATTGCGCGGAAGAACTCAAAATAATTTGCAATCAGCAATAACATGGCCTCAGTCGAAACTTCACTGGCACACGTAGAGTCCCTACGCAAAGATGAGGAAACCGGGAAAAAGAAAGGGCGTAGGAATAGGCGCGCAAAACCCACTCAATTTGTAGTCAATCGGCATAGGTATTATTTTTTTCTCAACATATGGTTCTAACATCACATGACAATATTGGTTGCAAAGCTATTTTTTCAATTGTGCACCTAATTGTTGCTTTTTGTATTTACTGAGCAGACCAGACACTTCAAAATAACCCAGCTTTTGCCGCTTTCAAGATGTAGGATTTTTGAACAAACTGGGCCCTTTGGGCATTGCCCATACTTTTCTTAACACTACGAATCAGGCGTCAGGCAGGCGTCGCACTTGAGCAATGAATAAAAGCGTAATTATATTTTCACCTTTCATTTTAAAAATCCATGTGCACAAATTTAATTAAAAATGGTCGGTAGCAACCAAAGACACTCGCGAAAGCGCCCGCGATCTCAGCACACACCAGAGGCAACGACAGTGCCCAGTAGCGGAGCTGGCCAGAGCTCGCGTCAATCGGCCATCAGCCAGCCGCCACAGACCAGTGCTAGTGCTAGTGCTAGTGCTAGTGCTAGTGCTAGTGCTAGTGCACAGGTGCGCCAGATACCAGGCTTTGCGTGGGACGCAGAACGTGGTCGATACTTCCCAATTTCCAGCCGTGCGTCAGACCGCATGGAGCGTCAGACCGAGCAGCGCCAGACCAAGCGCGTCCACGAAATCGCAGTATCGCACGAGATCCAAAAACAACAACGGCGCAAAAGCGTCTTTTCGGTGCCGTATGCCATGCGACAGCGCTCCACACAACAGCTTCCGGCAGGAATTTCCTGGGCCGCGTCGCAAAGTAGCAGCAAGGACCGAATACGTCTAAGCTACATGCTGGCCAATAAACACAAGGTTGATTACTTGAATGACCGCTCGGCAGTCACTGCGGTCAGCGCCATCGATAGCAGTCACAACCATCGATCAGTAGCGGCAGGCCACCACAATGGATGCGTTTCGGTAATGCAATTGGACGCTGGTGGTTCAGTAGAGCGGATTCACAAGCACATGGCGGGCAGCGAGATAACCAGCATCTGTCGTTTGAACGCAGGCCGCTACTTGTACACAACCATGGGCAATGGCGACCAAACAGGAGCGCTAACTATCTACGACAGCCAACGTGCCAGACAACTCTACGAGCACCAGTTTGATGATGCTTCTGTGTTCGGTGCAAGCTGCCCCAAAATAACGACAACAGTAATGGACAGCCAGCAACTGGCCACAGCAGTAGGTTTGACCGGCGGAGTGTCACTCTTATTGGCCAGTAGTGCCGGCACGCGTTGCTCGTTCAGCGTCAAAACACGGTCTGATATGCTGAGCACTGCGTTTGTCGATGAACGACATGTGTTTGCTGGCGGCGGCCGCGATGGCAGACTGCGTCTTTTCGACTGCCGGGTCAGCAGTAAGGAGCACGATCCGCGACGGGGACTTTTTTCGGCAGATGGCTGCCGTCACGATACCAGTATTCATGGCGTCAGCGCGCAAGGCTGGCTGCTAGCCAGCGCGAGCATGGATTGTCAGGTGCAAGTGTGGGATATTCGCATGGGTAAGAGCCAAGGTGGATCACAAAAGCAACCAAAAAGCATGTTCGCCAACCTGATCAAACTTGGCGGAGAGCGAGGCTCGCTAGCTTCGTGCAAACTGGGATTTAGCACTAGCCAGGGCGTGGTGGCGGCCGCCAGCAGCGACAACCAGATCCGTTTTTGGAGCATGAGCAGTGGTGATCTTTTGCAGGCCGTGCCACTTCCCCCTGCAGGTGGTTCGTGCAGGGCTCTTGATCTGGACTGTAGTTTTGCTGCACTACCTGAGCTCTATATTTCCCAAGAAGACACGGTTTCCGTGTACATGCATCGCACGAAGACAATCTAGCGCAAAGCACGGCCCATTTGCTTGACACGAGATTCAATTTCGGCTGGAGAAGCTAACAGGCTTTGTGCAAGCATTTTTCCATGTGTTTGCTGTAGAAAAAAAGCATTTTTTTTAGCTAAATTGCTCTTTAGCATGATCAATAATATTCCGATCAATTTCAAAAATAAAAGAGGGACATGAGGGCGATTCTGAGAAACGATTAATAGTAGCGAGCGATATTTTCAATTACCATCACTTTCTCCATTTGGATGCGAACAGCGGGCCATTGTCGACTTTCGTTCTCCTTCTCCGTACTCTTCTTTTTAATTCGACCACTTCCCCAGCTTTGTCATCTACGGACAAACTATTCTTTCAATATCACTTTTTCATTCTTTATCCAACCCCAAAGTCCGATATCACTTTTTTATTTGGACCGGTTCTACTCAGTGGCTCAAGCTAGCTTGCTACTTGCGCCCACCCTCCCACTCACCCACTTATCCATATTTACCCGCACATACCAAATTCATCATCGTTGTCGACAGCAGCAGCAGAAGCAGAAAAGACAACTATAGCAAATATGCCCGGCGCTCCAGAACTCATTGATGTTATGGCGTTCAGCAACGACGATAACCTTTTGATGATGAGAAGCACAGCGAGCCTGTACTCGTCGCAGGGCCTGCTAAGCGGCATGCTTACTCTTTATCGGAACAGGCTACTGTGGAGCGAGGTGTCAAGTAAGTCGTCATATCTATGCACATGCTCGTTTGTGCTAAAAAAGAAGGTGTTTTCTATTGCGTTGTCCGTGACCTGTTTATCTTTTTTCTTTACCGCCTTTCAGCATGTGGGCTACTTTATGGTGCTGTGATTGGTGAGCCAATCGGGCAGTTTCATAAAGTTTCCCAGCTGCAGCCTGGTGTGCATGAGCGTTAGAATATAAAATGAAGAACACATGATTGCTGATATTTAAATCACGATACTATGTGTCATCTTATAGGCCGCTCGTCAAACATGCTTACCATTTCCATGGACGTTATGTTCGGCGCCACGTTGTCGCCGCCCGGAAAGTTCAAGTTCAAGTCGTTTGAGGCTGCGTCAGCCACCAATCTGGGCATCGAGTCATCGACGCACTTTACCGTATACACAATTATGGCCCATGAGGGCGGCAAGCGCCCGTTGTGCGACACATGGTCGTTCAAGGTGGAAAGTGAAGAAGAGAGTGCCATGTGGGTTGAGTTACTGCACTGCGCAATTCGCCCCAAACTTGCCGGTAAGTATAAATAACTAAAAAAATTAAAACGAAAAAACATTAGCTTATTGTTTTCGATGTTTTTTTGCCAGGGACCTGCAGCTAATGAATGGTACAGAAAAAAATGACATTTCACTAATTCCCGCGCGCAACGTGTATTTATTATATTAATTATGTGTATTGTAGAAGAGGACGTCAACGTCTTGGTGTTTTTGAACCCTGTCTCGGGCAAGCGAAAGGCCACCAAGGTCTTTGAGACCATTGTGAAACCGATATTCGATATTGGATGCACTCCCTACACGTTAAAGATCACCGAATCCTCAGGATTTGCGACAGAGTTTGCTGAGAAGGAGGATCTGTCGTCGTTTTCGTCTGTGGTCGTTGTTAGCGGCGACGGTCTCCTGCATGAGGTTTTAAACGGCTTGCTGCGGCGCACGGACTGGCCCAAGTACAAATCACTGCCCCTGGGCGTCATCCCAGCGGGAACTGGAAACGGGCTGGCAAAGTCGCTGGACGTCATCTGGCCCGAACAGGCGGCAGTGGCAGTGGTCAAAGCCGACGTCCGGGCATTGGACATTATGAGCGCAACGTTGGCATCGGGTCTCACCAAGTATTGTTTCTTGTCGATGACGTGGGGTTTGCTTGCCGACATAGATATCGAGTCTGAGACTATGCGCTGGGCCGGATCTGCGCGCCTTGACCTCTACGGCACCGTTCGCCTGATGAACCTGCGGTACTATGGTGGTCGCCTCCACTACCTTCCAGCAGTCGACAGTGAGGGTAGCGAGGACAACGAGTTTGGCGCCGCTCAGAGACAAGATGCAGGAGGATTCGTTCAACCAAGCAGCAACAACTCTTCGATTTTAAATATGCTCGATCGCACAAACCAGGGCCTAGACGATGCCTGGGGACTGCCGCCGCCGAGCTTCTCCTCGCCTCTAGTGCGCCATTCGCCAAAGCTCATGCAAAATAATCTGACGCCAAACATCCAGCCGGCCGTAACACTGCATCCAACACTGACCGCCGGCATCCAGCTTCCGATCACAGAGGGATCGCTGCCGCCGCGCTGGAAGACCATTGAGGGCCCATTTGTACAGGTCATTGCGACCAACGTTCCTTGGCTGTCGACAGACTTTTTGGCATGCCAGAATGCGCGCATTTCGGATAGTACGATTGATCTAGTATATTCGCGCAACGTGTCAAAGTGGCAGATCATGCCTTACATGGCCAGCTCAACCAAGGACAATTACATGAACAAGGACGGCGTTGAGAACATAAAGGCGCGTGCATTTATCCTCGAGCCCACCGGCCTGCGCACAACCAGCCGAAGCGAAAGTAGCCACCGCGAAATCCAGAATCTCGACCAGCCGGCAGCCAAAGACACCAACTCATTCAATACCAGCAATGATAAGGGTACCAGCACTACGCGCCCGCTTTCAGTTCCTGGGTTTAATTCCCTGCGCATTAAAACAATTGGTAAGGTGATCGGGCGGAGCACCAGAAGCAGCTCTTTGCAGGCACCAGTACCAGCACGGGTTCGCAGTGAGGTATATTCTTCGTACCATCAGCAGACAGCCGGACACACGGGCGGCTTACTTGCCCAAGGTCTGACGCCGCCGCCAATGGCGCCCGACAGTTTGTCCGATACTCAGTTCAGACGCGACACTCAGTTCAGACGCGATACGGAGTCACCAGTGGAGACCTCTGTCTCTCCAAAAATGGTTGGTGACAACAAAGCCGTGCCGCGGCCACCCGCTCAGGCAGCATTTTCGCTTCGCTCTGAGACTGAGCTTGCGTCAATGGCTATAATGGATGTCGCCACACCTTCCGCAACAGCCGGTGGAAACAAGCTAAATGTAACGCATTCGACAGTGCCAGGGACCTCCCAGGTAACAAACGCTAACGGTGGAGCTGCCGAGGCCCCTGCAGAGTATCCTGCTGGTGGTTGCAAGTTGGTCGGAAACCATGGGATTGTTGACTTGGATGGCGAGGCAGTTGAGCTTGGGCCCATCAAGATTGAGTGTCTGGCCAACCTGGTCAGCATCATCTCCCCGCCCTGGCTTGACGAGAGCCAGGCTGCCAAAGTCGGCACCTTACCAAAAACCAAAGTGTTTGAGCCAATCAAGGGCTCATTGTCCCGTGAGGGATCTGTTCTCAGTTTCACTAACATCTAATATGCGACAACTCTACATTTTCTATTTATTATATATTATCTAGTGAACATAATAACAATTCATTCATTTTTAATTTTTTCTTATATCGCTTGTACTCGTGCACGCCTATTACATGAAACATGCGCATGTCTATCTCGGCTTCAAGTGAAATGGGGATATGGCCGTTATGCGTGACTTGTATGCCCGAGATAACAATCAACCATGTACATGCAAGGCATAACGCCTCCAATTTTTAGTATAGGTTGCTGCTGTCGCAATTTTTTACTTGTGTTGTATTTGAATTGCGCAAAAAGTAGCGATTCGATTTAAAATGAGGACAATGTAAAACACAGACGTGTGTAAAAAACATTTGCTGTCACAAATGACCTTGTGTTGGCTAATTTTATTCCCACGCCTTGCTACTCTGTCTAAATTGGTTATTTTTAGCACAATGCCTGGGCAAGTGGATTTAAAATTGTTAAAAGGGCATTGTTTATTGTTCATCGTTTATCGAGAGACACGCAGTGAATCGGCAATTTGCCCTGTATATTTAATTCGTGCGATTCAAAAAACCTCCAATGCCGACACTTTATACATTCAAGCATGTCTAATATTTCTAAATTTCTGTGTAAACGTATTTCCAGTTTTAACCAAAAATGAATTTGAAATAGAGGTATGAACCAAAATTGTTGGCATCTGGTTTTGCGATATTGGTCAAATTGGCTATTTATTGCTGACGTTTGTCACACATAACAAATCAACTTTGCAGGTGCCTTCAGCGTGTAGCATTGCTTGTTCCAAAGTTTTTACTTTGGTTTGCTATCAGTTACTTGTGAAACAAAAAACAAATCTAGAGAAGCGATAGATAACTAATTTTAAACATACTAATGCGTATTATAAAACTCCAAAAACCAAACGCATATTTTGTCTTGACGCTCGGCACAGCTAAAAATTAAACAATAAATCAGTGTATGGCCAGGTGGTCAAGTGAATTCAAGCCACTTTTTTATTTGGCAAATATTCTTTACAAGTCACAATTATTGTTTATATTCCTCGTATCCACATTTGCTCTTCCAAAATTTTGATTCGGAGGCTTGGGCCGTACTTTGCGTATATCAAAAGGTAACCAACCCCCAAACCTAACAAACAATTTTGATACTGTCTTTTTCTTTGCTCAAAAACGGACATTCGGACATTGGAGATCCGGTAGCATGATCGATTGTAGATGGGTTATGTACATCCTACACAAACATGCAAACCAACGCACCGAGTTTAACGGATGTTAAGCAAATATCGGAATGCTTCATGTTAACGCAAAAAATATGACGCAATAATCGCCAATGCCAATGTCAATTGAATTGATATTGCTATTGTCATTTCCATCCACACCCTAAACAAAAACACCACTGTCAAATTGCGCCAAATACCGCCCGCCAAACACAATTAGAACACTGGATGAGTGCAGATTCCGCCAATTTTAATTGGCATGCCAAATATTGCTTCGTCTTTGGGTAATATCCGATTGCAAGAAGCATGTCCCTTGCGCAAAGCAAATCTAACACAACATGGTGCGTGTTTCATGCAGTCGAGTTGCAGTATCATGTTTACCATTTTGTCTGCTGCACAAAAGATATCAAGGTACGCGGCAATATGTATCTCGAAAGTGTATTACAATTTGCAAGCACGCACGCGCAATTTCAAAGCGCAATAGTGGTCAATACAATAAAGCAAAGTGCTTTCCGGTGCTAATAGCGTATTCCACGTCTTTGTCCTCGTCCAAGTTGGCTTAAAATGCACGAAATGTGTCAAGCTCATACTGTTAATGCGCCTGCATGCGTGTAGACACCCTGTTTTTTAAAACAAATTTAAATAATTATAAACAGGGAGCCACGCGCAATTCATACATCCCATTCAGGCAGCACACACACGACTGAAGGGCAGAGTAGCACGTGTGGCCAGATGAAGAAATGATAGACATGCATGCCGGGCCGCTTTTCCCCTCTTTATAGGTCACACACGGGCATGAGTGGAGAAACACATCCCTGTTTTTATTTTGTTTTCAGCACTTGCCTTTGTTCTCACTTCATCACGTACCCACTCTTGCACGCAAGTGTAAATCAGATTGCCGAGGCGACCTGCAATTGTATTGCCTTTTTTGACATTTTATCGCTCCATTCGAGATAAAATTGGAAAAATATTGTAATACTTCTTACCCGTGAGCCGACCACCCCCCCCTACAAATGCCTGCCCCTAACCACATTTTTATTCCGAGTCTCACCCTCTTTCACCAAGGTATGTTTATTGACCAAACACAAAAAGGCTTTATTGGACTTTTCAGATATCAGAATAGTTTCTGTTGCCCGTACACGGCAACAGTGTGAGAGGGAGGCGGGGAATTTGCAGTGGCAGATGACACCAATCCGGCCATTCTCTTTGAGCAAATGACCTTTTGTCTTGGATATAGACAGAGAGCAACTTGAAAATAAAAGGTAACGAATTGAGCAGAAATGCGTGCAATCCGTCCAAGCTCGAGCTAGCGAGGCGAGTTCTGATGGGTGTAATTCAGTGACCCCAAATGGCGTACCTTTTTGCAAACCAACTTGCTTTTCATTTGCAAAGGCTATATAAACACTGACCTCCATCTCCTTATCATAAGATGTTTTTTATATTTTCATTTAATAGTTCCTTAATAATTCTTCGACGCACACGCTTTTTTATTCTGGCAGCTGTTATATTGCCTCTGCAAAGTTCATACTGCTACCTGTAACTTTTCTGTTCACACGGTTCACCCCCGCTATATTTATATATTGAACTATTACTGCCTCATATTTTATTATATTTTACCCCAGACCACCGGTGCACCTTACCACCTCGTTTATAAAAAACTGTCTGCGCTATTATTTATAACGCGCAATTAATTTTGGGCTCTGACAGTGCGGCTACAATTCTGTGACAATTTTTTAATACTTTTTTCTGTTCGGTTTTTACGCAGCAGGACCACGCCATTCGCAGTTAGTTTTATTCGACCTTTTTTAATATTTTTTTGCTCGTGTTTTTATTCTGAAAAAACCCCCGCCTTTTGCGGAACGATTTTCGCCTTGTTTAATTATTCGTTCGGTTTTTATTTATTGATTTGCAAAGGAGACGGCATTTCATCTGGATATCTGAATTTTTCAATTCTTTATTTTAGACTGCCAGAAAGAACTAACAGGTTTTTTATTTACATTTTTCTTCGAAATCACTTCTCGCGGCGCGTCCCGAGTACTCTATTTTCACTTCCTGCTCTTCCCGGCCTCTTGATTGGATCAGAACCACAAAGAAGCGCACACGCATCGAACAACCTGCTCTCAATCCCGTCGACTCGTCTCTTTTTACAAAGCGCGAGCTATACTGAAGCGGCATAAACAACCGGATTTACATTTTGGAAATAACCACCTGTCTGTGCGACTGACCTATCGACGACGAAAACCGGCTACAGACCAACCTCGCTCTGGCGCACTCTGCTTCCTACAAGACAACTGCTTCTTTTTGACAAAGCGAACTGTCAAGCGCAAACCTGATTCTGCCCCAGCATTTGTTTTGTTTTCATTCCTATCTGCCCAGTCAATCAGCCTTTACACGCTTCTTATTGCGTTTGAACTCAGCCTGATTCTGTGCTTCACCTACAAAGAAGTCATTGTACAAAAGAAAACAAAGCGGTCCACCACTGCCATTTTTAGAATTTGAGGGCCCCTGGACTGCCGACTAAACCGACCGCATTGGCTGCAACAAGTTTGAATTTGCCTGAACGCGTCGCCCCCTGTCTTTTAGCTTTAAAAAGTACACCCCTTTTGGTCTGCTGTCCTCTTCGAGCTCAACATCCCGTTTTATTTTCATTCCTCGCACCATTTTTGGCAGGTGTTTCTTTGTAGACCACGCTGTTTTTAGCGTTCTCATACCCGTTATTGGCTTGTGTTAGCACGCACATTTCCTTGTGAATTCTTTCTGGCAATTGCCTGCGTTGTCCACAACATTTTTCATTTTTTTTACTTCTTCAAAACCACCCACCGCTCAGCAAGGCGCATTTGGAACTTTGTCAGGACCTTCAGTTTATATAATACAAGGCGTCCGCCCTGCTCTTTTATTTTTCTCCACTTTTCATTATCGACCTTTTCCCCAAGAAATACTCTCATTTATATTTGCATTTTACTTTCATTCCATTTAAGTGCACTCGCTTTCCCTTTTATATCTCTCTCTCTCCACACGCATATACATCCTTTGCAGACATTTAAAATATTCTTAAATAGCCTCTGTATCTCTATCATCCTTTTCATCTCGCATCATTATACCTCATTTCTCATTTTAACAGCACTTTCTTTTTATATATACATCTTGGTATCATTTTTCTTTATAATCTTTTAACCTTCATTCCACATCTAACGGCACTTTTTTTATCTCTTTTTCACACATTACATTTCGCACTTCAATTATCACCTTTACGATCATCACGTCAAACACCACCGTATTTTCCTTTCCTTTCGATTCTTATTCTTCCACACCTTCAACTCTCTTCACAAGCCTATAACACCACCAATCAACCAATCAAGTCACAATGTCCAGCATCGCTAGCATCATCTCCTTCGGGTCGTCTGCCAACAAGAACACCAATGTCAACGCTGAGTCTGTATACTCCCGCGCCTTGTCAACCGCCAGCTTCACCTACTCCAATGGACAGTCGCTGATGCCGACGCCGACGCCCAGCGAAGGCTTGGAGCGCCTGCTGTCAGAGGAAGCCGAGACCGCCTACGCCGCTGTCGTCAGCTCTGGCCGGACCACCCCCGTCTCTGCTGTGCTCCCCTCCGCAGCCACAGCCGCCGCCGCCGCTGCCACTGCTGCGGCCGACGCCACCCGCCGTCGCAAAGTGCTGACCTCTCGTCCGCCCAACAGCTTCATCCTCTACCGCTCCGACAAGCTGCGCGAGCTGGTCAAGCTGCACCCGGAGCTGAAGCAAACGCAGATCAGCAAGATGTGCGCCGAGAACTGGAAGATCGAGTCCGAGGAGGTCAAGGACTGTTACCGCCGCAAGCAGCAGGAGGCTAAAACCATGTTCCTGACTGAGCAGGCCATGGAGGTCGAGCGGATCTCGGGCAGCAGCTCCGACAAGGGCATCATCAAGCGCATCCAGCCTACCAACACATTCATCCGCTACCGCACTGAGATGAAGAAGAAGCTGTCCGTGCAGTTTGCCTCCATGAACCAGAAAGACGTGTCCCGCGCATGCGGCCTCATGTGGCGCAGTGAGCCTGAGCACGTCAAAATGCGCTACCGCCAGTCATACAACAAGGAGAAGCGTGACTTTGAGCGCCTGTGCACGACGTCATCCCTAGAGCCCTCGATGGAGGCCCTGTCTGCGCTGGCCTCGGTCATTGAGTTCGCCAAGGCCTCGGCGCCCGCCACCGGAACCAGCACGTCTGCTGTCGACAAGAAGCGTCGCCTCAGCGACGGGAGCCACTCGGCTCCTGTTTCTCCCCCACTGATGATCTCTACCATTACGCCTCCCAAGGAGCACGAGTCCCAGGCACACAGCAAGCGCTACCGCAGCCTGCACGCAACCTCACACTCTATGTCATCGGTTTCACCTATGAACTCGCCGGGAGGATTTTCTCTGCCGTCGTGCGCCTCGCTGCTCAGCATTGCTGATAACTCGCCAAAGTTCGCCGATGCGCGCCCTAGCGCTCTGCCCTCACTGGGCACCCGCCGCTCGCCAACCTATGCCAGTCCCTCGCCCATGGAGCACATGCATGCCAGCCAGTTTCCGGTCCTCCACGGTGCGTTCGAGGCCCAGCAGCACCCGCAGGCTATCTCTTACCACAAGTTCGCCCAATATGCCGACCAGCAGACACACCGCGTGTACCCGGGACACTACTCAAATCACCGTCTGGCAGTGTCTGGCATAGAGTACACCGACCGCGACCAGCTCTACCAGCAGCAGCACCAGCAGCACCAGTACCATCATTATCAGCAGCAACCAATTTACACACCGTCTCAAGCCCAGCCCCATCACTACCATCGGTACCAGATGCCTGCTGCGGAGTACTCGGTCCACCAGTAACTAAAAACTACATGGTTAACGGGTCCCTCACGGGACACTAAAATTGTAAAGTTGCTCTTTTTTTATAGTCTAGCGCCTTTTTTTCACGCTCTGACTTTTTTTTAATTTTTCAATTTCGCTTTGTTTTCCCATTTAACCCACCTCATTGTCAATTACAACAACCGCATTGTTTGATCCGCTTAACTTTTTGATCAGGCTGAGTTCAATTGTTTTGTTTGTTCGTTCAATGTCAGATATTGGAATTGCAAATTTATTGTAATCAAAATGCATGGTTGTCTATTTGGAATTTTCGATTTATAAATTAATGTGTAGTTGTAATTGAAAAGACAAACAAAAATGTACTCACGGTCCCTGATTTTATTAAAAAAAGTCGCATTTTTGTTTCTGTGAAATGGAGTTGGGTGATGACCAACCAAAAAAAATAATGCTGTGCAAAAAAGATACGCCTTATAGGCAAGCAGCTGGAATTTGATGTGCTGGACAAAAAACGTCCGTACTTCGTCCAGATAAAATAGATCCATAGATCCATAGATCCATTTGCTCCTTTCACAAAGCCCTGTCCTATGTTAAACAACTAACGGCTATAACCGCCATGATATGTGGATAAATCAATCCGTGCGCTGCCTGCAAAGATGTGTAGCCGCAGCAGAAGGTGCCTCCTTGGCTTTGCACCCAGCTGCTGCTGCTGAGTCTCTGCCAAATGATTGCACTTAATTTCATAACTTTCGCGAAAGGTATTAAAGCACTACATTTTAACAAAATGTAAAGATGTGTGTAAACGCAATATCCGAAGTCACCCCGCGGGCTGGGAATTTGTTACGGTGTATTTTAATATTTTTTATTACCCCGCAGCATCAACAAAAAAAGATTAAAAAAATTGCCCACGGCATAATGAAACAGTAAATAGAAACCCAAATTGGTCCTCTTTCTCTTCTTTGCTTTTTCTTTCATCCACCCATCCATTTAACCCCTCTATTTTTGCCCTATAAATTATCACGACACTGAATAAAAAACATGAGCAACGACAAGAAGCATGGATCAATAGTACACTTGGGCGCCGGTGCATTATCAGGCGTAACCTCCTGCGTCCTCCTCCAGCCCTTCGATCTGCTCAAAACGCGCATCCAGCAGAGCCACACACACGCAGCAGCGACACATGGCAAAGGATCGGTACTCCGGGCAGCCAAAGCAGTTGTCGCCGGAGAGGGCATCCGCGGGCTCTGGCGAGGCACCATGCCGTCGCTCCTCCGGAATGCACCCGGAACCTCATTATACTTTTACTTTCTCAGTCACACAAAGTCACTTTGTCTATCGGCTGAGCGACGCATCTCTAAAGATCCGACAATCACCAAGCTCAGCGCCACAAGCAACATGATGGTAGGTGCATCATCGAGGGCGTTTGCCGGGTTTCTTTTGATGCCTGGCACGGTGCTCAAGGTAAAGTATGAGAGCAGTCTGTATAGGTACGCGGGAATTGGCGACGCGCTGAGGGGGATTTGGCGTGCGGGCGGTATGCGCGGGTTTTTTGTGGGCGCCGTACCCACTGCTATTCGCGATGCGCCATACGCGGGGCTGTACATGCTCTTGTATGAGTCCATCAAGCACAGGGAGCGGTCGGCAGCGGAGTCGCGGGGCGTTGCTTTGCCCGAAGCCACAGTGACCATGGTGGCCGGCGTGATGGCTGGGCTGGCCGCGTCATATATGACTCAGCCGTTTGATATGGTCAAGACCCGCATGCAGCTGCGCCCCCTCGAGTACACGTCTGTCGTGCAGTCGTTTGTAAAGATTTTCAAGGAGGAGTCGGTGATTGGGTTCTTCCGCGGCATCTCATTGCGCGTTCTGCGGAAGGGCGTCCAGGCGTCGCTGGTGTTTACGCTGTACGAGTGGGTGCTCAGGACCAATTCTCAGACCAAAGCGACGCCATCAGCCACGCTAAAGGCGTGAGGTAACCTCAAATACGGGTGACCTCGGATTTCTAAAACACAGCAATAGTTCAACTGAAAATAAACAAAAGACACATTTGTATATTTTTTGGTGATAAAGGGTGCTGCGACAGCAAAGAGAGCGAAAAAGTTAAATAAGAAGGGGGTGAACATTAATAGCGGAATTCTCGCCTTAACTCGTCGAAAAAGACGCTTCAAGACGTCGATTCGGGGGCAGTAGGGGCAGGAGCAGCGGCGTCAGCAGTATTTTCAGCGGCCTTCTTTGACTTTTTTGGAGGGCTGGGTGGCCTCGATCCCATGACAGCGTCGCGAGTAATCTCCTCAATGTTAGCCCTAGGGTTGACCTTGAGCTTGCCCGCAATGTCCATTGCCAGCTTCTCCACATCCGCTCTGCCGTAGACCGGCAGATCCTTATAGGTCGTCCACATGCGTCTGCGGCCGCGCTCGACCAGCTTCTCGACATATTTGGTGTTCGAAATGGCCCCCGCGTCGATCTGGCGCGTATCGCCCGTCTTAAGGGCATTTTCGATCTGCGCGCCAATATCCATCGGCTCGTGCTCGGTCATCCAGTATTTCATGCCCAGGCCGGCTGGCATATTCTTGTTAATGTACGCCAGCCACTTCTTGACAACCTCGGGATCGGCGTCGCGCACAACTAAAAGACGCTTGTGCGTGCGGCGCTCAAAGACCTCCATGGAGGACTTGTGCACAAAGGGCGACTTGAGCACTGTCCAGCGACGGATCACCCGTGGCAGGCACACTGTGCCTGTGCACGGAATGCCCATGTTGAAGGCCGCTTTGCGACAAAAGTCCATGTAAAAGTCCATGCGGTGCAGCTGGAACGACCGGAACGCTACACGGCAAATCTGCACGCCATGCGTGGGCGGAAGAATCGTAGGCTTAAGATACATCGGGTCAACCTCCTTTGTCGGTACCATTTTGGTCTTCTCGCGAACATCGATGCCCAGCACTTTGTCTAGGATCTTCGAGTATGTGGCTGCAGAGCGCAAAATAACTGCTGGTGCCGTTTTACTCAATGTTGCCTAATTGCTGACGAATGAAAGAAAATGTGCGCGTAAAAGAGATTGGTGCAGAGTCTTAATTAGCAAAAAAAAATATTGTTTGCTGCTCCGATTCCGTTCAATGGCGTTTGAGCTCGCTCGCTTTCTCCTTCCATTTGCGTGCTTACCTGGAAAGCTGGCCTGGCGCCGGACGTTCTGCGCAAAAGTGCGACACGAGTAGCTACTGACCGAAACATTATTTTCTGTAGCAATAATGCGGAATTGAAAATAAGAAAATGTACAAAAGATAAAGTTTGAATTTTCAAAAAAGAGAGCACAAAAACTTGAAAGCTTGTCAATTTTGAAATGGAGGGAAATTCACAATTCGAGATAAAAAGAAACCACTTTTACTGATCGCGCTCTGCAGAAAAGCCACTCCGATCGGGCCAAAAAATACTGGCTTGATCGCACACAAATAAATCAAGGGCTGTGATCATCGCTTACTTTTTTTTTGTTTTTTTGCTCAGGCATATTAAGAAAAAAAAGACTGCATTTCGCCTTCTTCTAAATTGCTGCCTTTGTTACCTTTAGTTTCTCCTTTCCTTATTTTTTATTCAAACCATTCTCAGAAACTATCACAAAATGGCAAAGAAGGGCTCTACACCACGCGGCAAACCCGCCAAGGTAAGAATAAAACTATTATCACAATAACAAACGCATTCGCGCCAACCTCAAGTGCCCCAGTCAAATTGTCTAATACAAAGTCATTTTCTGAATTTAATTTTCCATTGTGTATTTGTCTGTCTAGGCTGCACAAAAGAGTGCCGGCGGAGCAGAGGAAAAGGAACTTTGGGAGGAGATCCAGAAGCTGGGCGGCGACATGTCTGATCTCGCCATGCTCCAGGATGTGGACACCGGCGTTGCGGCAAAGTCTGCAAAGCCAGGAAAGGTCGATAAGACCTCGTTGCAGGGCGATCTGACAGAATTCGCAAAGTCTCTGGGTCTAGCCACCAGCATACCGACGTTCGTAGGCCTGCCCGAGAGCGAGCAAAAGCCACAGCAGAAGAAGCAGAAGCAGAAGACGGCAGAAAAGACCAAGGACACACAGAAGAGCAATCCCGAAGATGTGAAGACTCCGGCGAGCGAGCCCATCGAGGATGCCGGCGCCAAGGGCAATAAGAAGACCAAGTCGAAGAAGGCTAAATCGGACGACAAGCCTGCAGCAACAGAGCAGGCCAAAAAGGAGGAGGTCGTCTCTGAGATTCCCGGATTCAAGATCAAATCAGCAAAGGACGCGCTGCCGGTCTCGCGGGCCGGCCGGTTGGCTGTAGATCCCAACCCGCAGTGGTTCGAAATTAGCGTTGGCCCGCTGGAAATCGATTCCGAGGCGGCCAAGCCTGGAGAGGACGAGGTTCTGCAAAAGGCACAGTTTGCCGAGCAGCTCCTGGACGCTGAGAACGAGCTTTACACGAAGAGCGGCGCTAGCAAAAAATCACTGTCCACGTCCGACCGGTCGTTCGTGTCCAACATCCTGACTTCGGGAACACTGTCTGATCGTGTCGCTGCGCTGACACTGATTGTGCAGGAGAGTCCGGTTCACAACCTCAAGTCGCTGGCCCAGTTGATGAGCATGGTCCAGAAGAAGAACCGCCGCGAGGCACTGATGGCTGTTGGCAGTGTTAAGGATCTGATGTCGCTCAATTTGCTGCCGTCTGACCGCAAGCTCAAGTACTTTGCAGACCAGCCCCTGAACGCCCGGGGAATCACCAACGCGCACTGGATTATGTGGGCCTTCGAGGACAAGCTTAAGCGCAACTACTTTGATCTGATCCAGGTCATGGAGTCCATGTCGTACGACCCTGTGCTGCACACGCGTCAGAACATGGTTGTCTACTTTGAGGAGCTGCTGGAACAGAAGCCCGAGCAGGAGCAGAATTTGCTGCGCTTGCTGGTTAACAAGCTCGGCGATAAGGAGCGCCAGCTGGCCGCAAAGGCCTCCTTCCTGATCCTCAGGCTGCTCAACGCGCACCCCAACATGAAGTTTGTCGTCGTCAAGACCATCCAGGAGCTGCTGCTGACAAAATCTTCGACCAAGGAACGCGCCCAGTACTACACGATGATCACACTCAACCAGATTATCCTGTCGTCCAAGGACGTCCAGACAGCGAACCTTCTGCTCGAGGTGTACTTTGTGCTCTTCAAGAAATTGCTCAAGATTACAAAGGACATGGACGAGGCCGAGGCCGCCGAAAACGCGGTCGGCAGCGATGGCGAAAAGTCAAATGCACCCGCAACTGTTGGCAAGCCCAGCAGGAAGGGGCCTCCGCCAAAGGCGTACTTTGGCCAGAAGGCGCTCAAGAAGGCCAAGGAGGAAACTGAGAAGAAGCGCGCTGAGGAGGAGCGCGCAATGGACAACAAGCTGCTTGCGGCTATCCTGACCGGCCTCAACCGCGCCCTGCCCTTCTCCAAGATGGAGGACGAGATCATGGACCAGCATGTCGGTGTGATTTTCCAGATTGCGCATGCCGGCAACTTCAACACCGTTGTGCAGACGCTCGTGCTGCTGTACCAGATCGTGCGCGCGCGCCCCGGTATTGGCGACCGCTTCTACCGCACGCTCTACGACTCGCTGCTCGACCCGCGCCTCGACAGCACGTCCAAGAAGGCCATGTACCTCAACGTGCTCTTCCGCGCACTCAAGTCTGACAGCAACATGTCCCGCGTCATGGCCTTCATCAAGCGCATCATGCAGGTGTGCCTGTACAACCAGGCCGAGTTTGCGTCAGGCGCCCTGTTCCTGGTATCCCAGATCCTCAGCCTCAACCCGCAGATCTACACGATGCTGACCCAGCCCGAGGACAACGACGGCGATGAGAAGATCGTCGACGCGGATTCCGAAGATGAGGACGGAAAGAAGAGCGCCACCGAGCCCGCCACTATGTCTGGCAGCCGCTACGACCCTCTGAAGCGCGACCCACGGTTTGCTGATGCCGAGTCTAGCTGCCTGTGGGAGACCGTCATGCTGATCAACCACTTCCACCCATCGATCACCCACTCACTCAAGCAGATCTTCGACGGCGAGCAGGTGCCAGCCATCAGCAACTTGCACAACCACTCGCTGGCGCATTTCCTCGACCGATTCGTCTTCCGCAAGCCCAAGTCCGAGGGCGGCGCCAATGTCGACGACGAAGATGGCAATGACACCCTGGGTACGGCGCCTGCCATCAAGGCGTCGGCTCTGCGCGGCCAGTCGATTATGCAGCCGTTCATCCATCAGGACGGCCCCGACACAGAGCTGGGCCCCAACAGGACTCGCATCGCTGCTGGCAACTACCTCATTGCGTCCAAGCGCACCAGTGGCCATGTCGGCGGCCTGGACTTCACCTCGGACAAGATCGCCAACCTGCAAAAGTCGGAAATTTCGCCCGATGAGATGTTCTTCCACCAGTTCTTCACCACAAAGAAGGAGCGCATGGGCAAGCGTGTCAAGAAGGTCAAGAAGGATGCCGAGGATGAGGAGGAGTCTGGATTTGCTGATGACGGCACCGGCTTTGCCAGCGCTGTCAAGGGCAGCGCTGGCGATGACCTGGATGAGGACGAGGTCTGGGAAGCTATGACGGCGTCGATGCCCAAGGCCAAGGGCGACAACGAGGAGGATGACAACGATGGCGAGGATGACCAGGACGAGGATCTCTTGGCTGCACTGCAGGAGGATGACAGCGATAATGAAGATGGTATTAGTCAGGACGACGACGAGGAGGATGCTGAGGACGACGACGAAGATATGGATAACGACGACGAGGATGTCGATGAGGACGATGAGGATGGCTTTCCCAACTTTGACGACGAGATCAGCGATGACGAGGATGATGAGGAGGACGAGGATGAGTCTGATGAAGACGTCAGCGTCAAGGCTGGCATTAAGCGCAAGGACAAGGAGGACGACGAGGCCAAGGAGGCCTCCTCGGCGCCATCCAAGCGCAAGAAGCACGTGAAACTGCCGCTCTTCGGTTCGTTCGAGGACTATGCGCACATGATTGACAACGACGAGGGCTTGGAATAAGCTTTCTGTTTTATTTACTTTTTCTTTCATTTTCAAAATTTTTCCACTTTATTTCTTTTTCGTATTTTTTTTATTATTTTTGGTTGGCAATTTAGGACATGCAGAAACGCAAGCTCGCAAAGACGCCTATTAGTCTGGGTCTTAAAATAAAGACCTTGAATTCTACAGCAACGGTAGAAGCAGCGGCACAGGTAACCACTCCACTGCGGTCGTTTTTTGGAGCCCAACATTGAACATTTGGACGCTTTACATTTGTATTTTCCATGGTCCTTTATTTCTAAAAAAAACTGCCGGCAGTCTGTGCCAGAAGCAACTTGCGTCGCAAACACCGAACCTTCCACCAAATTAATATACTACCCCTCATAGCCAGAAGCAACACCCGGTACTCAGTCCAGCACCGGGCCTTTTACAGTTCCACCAAACGACAGCCAGAAGGATAGCAGAACCGCTTTACCAGCTGCTTCGAGCGGTCTTGCACTTCAAAAGAAAGAGCCACTGCGGCCGTCAGTATTTGGGGATATCGATGGCAACAGCAGTGGCGATGCTAGCGGGAACGAGGGCGGCGGCGGCGAGCATAGGTTCAATTGTGAGCTGCTAGAGGCTAAAGAAGCGGCGAACAAAAAGAAACGTAATATGACCACGTTCCTGGAGGAGCTCAAGCGAGGCCAGGAGCAGAGACAGAAGAAGCAGGCTCGCCGGACGAGATCAGGCGGGCCCCTAGGACACCCCGCCGAGCATAAAGGCAGCAGCACTACCGGCGGCACCTCCAAACCCAGCACAATAACCGAGGATGCGACCACAAGCAGCCATCCCGGCAGCTTAGATGATGGCGCAACCACCAACTTATTCATTGGCAACGTGCACCCAGACATCGATGAACACGGCTTGTGTGTGGCCTTTGGCAAGTACGGGCCCATCGGCAGCGTCAAGATAATGTGGCCGCGCACGGCCGAGGAACACAGCAGGAACCGCAACACAGGCTTTGTCAGCTTTATGAATCGCGATAGCGCCGCAAGGGCTATCTCCAATATGGACGGCAGCGATCTCGGCGGCTATGATTTGCGCGTATGCTGGGGCAAGCGAGTGCCCATTCCGTCAGAGCCCATATTTGTGCTTGACGAGTCTAATCCCACCAGGAATCCGTCGACAGGGTACCCATTCAACGCTGTGGTGCCCAGGCAGAAGCATGTGCAGTATGCCAAGATGAGCATGCTCATTGCTGAGGACGACGAGCAAAGCGATATACCCGAGGTTATTGTCGAGAAGCCACTAGACCACCGGATTGTTCGTCTGATCCACTGGACCATCGATCATGTGGTCGAGTTTGGTCCAGAATTCGAATACCTGCTGATACTCCAGACAAATGACGACCCGCGGTTCCAGTTCCTCGTGGACCATAGTTCCCCCGAACACGTGTATTACCGCTGGCGAATGTACTCGCTGCTCAACGGCGACACGAAAAGCAAGTGGAACGAGGACATGTTTTTCATGTACGATGAAGGGCCGATCTGGATACCGCCCAGTTCAAAGCATAAGGTGCGCGACATTGGCGATGACAACGAAGGCGATGGTAGTGAGGAAGAAAAAAGCGAAGGTGGGCCAGATTCGGGAGTGTCATCGAGCGAGGCGGAGGAGGAAGCCGAGCGTGACCAGGATATGGGCTCTCGGGATACACTGGGCCGACGGGCACGCGAGCGACTGGAGCGGAGAGTGCACCGGGTGAGCGGGACTGAGCGCGGTGCAATCGCTGATGCCATGGTTTTTGCCATAGACCATGCATATGCGGCCGAAGATGTCGTCGATGTCATATGTCGGTCTCTGCTGTCTTCCGACAGTTCTCCAGTGCAAAAACTATGCAAGCTGTTTTTGGTGTCTGACATCCTTCACAACTGCTCGGCGCCAGTTGCCAATGCCTGGCGACTCAGGCAGGCGTTTGAGGTGCGGCTGACACAGCTGTTTGACGACCTGAGTACAGTTTATATGGCGATTGACGCGCGGCTGAGAGCTGAGAATTTCCGCAAGCAAGTGCTTGGTGTGCTAGCTGTGTGGGAGGCATGGATGATGTTTCCCGAGGAGACTGTGCGCGCGTTGGCAGTCGCGTTTATTAGATAAAGAGAAGATAGTGTATTTGTTGTCTGTGGTTTATCGATATGCAAATACTAAATATATACATATATATATTAAGTAAACGAATAGTTGGTCTTGTTGCGTCCTCTCTCATACTGGTGCGGGTACTGGGCAAACACGTTCAGTTTGACGGCAGCATCGAGCACGAAACTCGGCTGGCGCAGAAGCGTCCGTGCCAAAAACACCAGATCAGCTTTGCTTTCCTCCAGAATATTGTTTGCTTGCACAGGATCGGTGATCAGCCCAACGGCACTAGTGAAGATTCCAGGGACCTCATTTTTGATGGAAGTGGAAAACCGCACCTGGTATCCAGGACCCAGCGGGATCTTCTGCTTGGGGCTGCTCCCACTTGAAGAGCAATCAATGAGATCTACACCAACATCGCTCAATATTTTGGCCAGCTCAATACTCTCTTCCTCAGTCCACCCACCCGTGGGGATCTCCTCGCTCTGTTGCACCCAGTCAGTCACCGAAATGCGCACAAACAGGGGCTTCTCTTGCGGCCATATCTCACGGATCGCCTGTACAATTTCGACAATAAAGCGGATGCGATTTTTAAACGAACCGCCGTAATCGTCCGTGCGCTTGTTCGAGATTGGCGACAGGAACTCGTGCACAAGGTACCCATGGGCAGAGTGAATCTCGATGACATCAAATCCGGCCTTGTCAGCACGCACAGCGGCATCGACAAAATTCTGTTGGACTCGACGAATATCCTCAAGGCTCATCTCCTGTGGTGTCCACGAGTCCTCATCGAAGGGTACAGGGGAAGGGCCGAAGACTCGTTGCGGCCAGCCGCCGGCAGCTTCGTCAGCATACCGACCGTACTCTTGGATGTGCCAGACGGGCCTGCTGCTGCCCTTGCGTCCCGAATGAGCAAGCTGAATGCCAATGGCCGACTTGTTTAAGTGAGCAAAATTGACCACCTGGCGAAGCTTCTCAATGTGCTCGTCTTTCCAGATGCCAAGGCAGTTTGACGTGATGCGGCCCTCGGGGGACACTCCGGTGGCCTCAACGATGATCAAGCCCAGTCCATACAGCGCATATTGGCCGTAGTGCACCATATGAAAGTCTGTGGCAAACCCATCCTGCGACGAGTACATGCACATGGGGCTGACCACTGTGCGGTTCTTCAGTGTCAGCTCGCGAATCTTTAAGGGCTGGAAGAGCTTGGGCAATGGGCTGGGATTGCCGGCCTGCGTAGAATACCCTTGACTGACATCGGACGCTGTGGGCGTAATCGCGGAACCTGGGCCGAGGCCGCGCTGCTCCTGGTAAAAGTCGTGTGGTTCTTCGGTTGTCATTTGCTGGAAGAGAAGGAAAAACAATAATAATGTAGAGCAGAGTAAAGCAGATGGAATATGAGAAAAGGAGTTGAAGAAAGTGGAAGATCTTGGGGAAATGCCTAAACGTTTATATATCTCGCTCAGTGTTCGATAAATTATATAATAATGGCGCAAAACAAGTCACTTGTATGCGTGAGAAACGATTTGTAATACGCGCATGTGCAAAAAAAGGATTACAAATGGCAGAAAAAGAATTGTGACTGAAGGATAGCAGCAATCGCTCGCGCGTAGCTATTGCGTGATCCACTATACTCCACCCCCTCCAAATGTTTACTGCTGAAGATGGCTTGCTATCCACAGAAGCAGCTCGTCATCACCGTATTGCGCCGACAGTTGAAGCCCAAGTGGCATGCCATTCTTTTCGCCAGCAGGGACTGAAATTGCGGGAATTCCAGCCAAGTTGGCCGGCACTGTCATCACATCGTTGACATAACCGGCAGCTTGGTTCTTCTCCTTGCTCTCCAGAAGCCTTGCAGTGTTTGTTGAAGTTGGAAACAGCAGCGCATCAACACCAGCCGGGCGATTAGTCAGCAGTCTGCTCTTTGCCGATGCAGACTCTGCGTGCAAAGCATTGGGAAGCGCAAACACCGAATCAAAATCCTGCTGGATCAAGCGGCGAATCTTTTGTGAAGGAATGTAGTACTGCTCGCATGTTTGTGCGCTCAACACGTAAGTGCCCAGCAGAATACGGCGCTGGACTTCAATGCCAAACCCTTCGCTTCTCGTGTTTGCATACTTGTTTGACGCATTGCAGTTGTGTAAATCATCTGGCTTCTCGCTCGACCGCCGACCGTAGCGGATTCCGTCGTAGCGCGCCAAGTTCGAAGACGCCTCGGCCAAAGCTATAGTGTAGTACGTAGGCAGCGAGTAAGGGAGATGCGGCAAAGAAACTGCGACTATTTCGCACCCGAGATCGGCCAATCTACGAGCGCCAGCCTTCCACGACTCGAGTGCTGGCTCCGAAAGCTCCTCCACCCAGCATTCGCGCGGAATACCAATGCGCATGCCCTTCAACGGCTGCTTGATCTCGAGAGACTGACCAGGACTGAGTTCGTAAAGCTTATTAACCCAGGGCCGTGATTTCGCCATATCGCTGATTCGCTTGCGCAGGGATTCCGACATGCAAGTCATATCGCGATGATCGGGGATGCAAATGGCCTTAAAAGTGGTAAGCACATCCTCTACGGTGCGGGCCATGATGCCCACGGTGTCCAGAGAGCTTCCATATGGAACAAGGCCGTAGCGCGATATGCGGCCATACGTGGGCTTGTACCCGACTATTCCGCACCATGCTCCTGGCAAGCGCACTGATCCGCCCGTGTCCGATCCAAGAGCCACTCGGCACATACCAGCGGCAACAGCTGCCCCACTACCACCACTACTTCCTCCAGGCGAGTAATCGTAGTTTTCAGTGCCCACCGTATCATCTGGCCGGAACGGGTTGCGAGCGGGCCCGTATTTGCTGTATAGATTCTTCGATCCCATCCCAAACTCATCCATGTTGGTCTTTCCGACAATGACTGCCCCTGCCTTCTCCAGTGCCTCAACTGCAGTTGCCTTGAATGGGGATGTGTATCCTTCGAGCACTTTCGATGCGCACGTTGTTGAAGCTGTTGTCATGGCTATATTGGCCTTGATTCCTACCGGCCAGCCCTTCAGCGGCCCGTTCTGGGGCTCACTTTTGGAAATATCATCTTTTGTCCGGTAGCTGACAAACGCGTTGAGTGTCGAGTTGCTTTGCTCTATGGAATCTATCGCCTGGTAGGATGACAATGGCGTGCTGTGACTCGACAGTTGCTGGCGTCTCAGGAGCTTTATCTGTGGGAGCGCCGACTTGAACGGCATGCGCTGCGAGGACCTCAAGCGGAAAAGCAATCTCATATTTTTGCCTAGCTAGTATTATTTACAAATGTCAAATTATAAGAAAACAAGAAATAAACAAAAGGGGAATTCGAATTAACAAATAAAAAAGTATAAGAGCAAATAATATAATTTTTTGGTCCAGCTCAGAATTAAATGCTCATTTCGCCGTCACACACGGCGAATCTTCCTCTGATCTCAAAAATAGGCAATTTTCAGATTGCGATTAAGCAAAATCATCAATTTCTATATATGCGAGATGCAGATACCACAGTTCAAAGTCAGCGACAAACCCATCAAAATCAATCAGCCTGTTGTTGAAGTCCGCGCGCTTTAATACTGGCAGCCAAAGCACTAAATGATAAAGCTACACCTCGAAATTGCTGAATAAACAGCTGTTGCAAGCAACCATTACAAAGCTAATATCAGCTACATTCGTGTTGAATGATGCCACCTTTGACCTGCTGTGATCTGTCTCGTAGACAGATTCACTAATGCTTTCAGATAATAGCTCTATACACACGACAATACCAACTGACAATATCCGCAACTCTGGTAGACTTGACAACATTGTCATTATAGTACCAACACCATTTACTTCTGCCAAGTGTATTTGAACCAGATTCCTCCAATCCATGTTGTTCAAGTCCAAAATGTAATGTATTTTGCCCAAACTCAACTTGCTTCTGTAAACCTAATTTTCTTTGCTTAAAAGGTGTCTGTCATTTGGTAAAAGTTGGCTATATTACCCTGTCCAACACGAGTAAATTTTATGTCCACATCTTCAGTACGCGTTATTTTGGATGCTTTTAAAATGTGAATTATATCTTTACAGAATGATACACATATATTTTAAATGGTTGGGAAATGCATACTGAGACAAGAGAATGTGTGAATTTGGTTTGTTATGAATTGTCAGGCGTTTGAGGTTTGGAAATTGCACTTGCCATATTTCAATATCATTGGTCTCAATGACCCTGCCGTCAACAAATGCCAAAAAAACCTTCAATTAGTTGAAAACGATAATGTTGGAGAACCGATTCTGGGAAAAGCAATTCCACGAGAAATGCAATGGCATATTTGACCATTTTAAATTACAAAGCGCTGCTGGGTTGATATTTAGGATAATGGTATCTACTTCTGAGTCCAATTTAATATATAAACAGGACATATTTTTAAATACATGTTGGAATGTAAATGTCGTAATGCAGCTATTGTAAATTGAGCGCAACTGGCTGCCATATCCGTTGATGAATCTATTACATAGCGCATTGATATTGTTGGTGACGGGGTTTATGTTAAAGCTAATGCTGTCCATGTTGGGCATAGTCGCCGCAAAATAATCAGCAAACGAGGGATTTTCTAGTGCCAGTCCATTAAGCGACTCATCGCTAAGCAGCACGTTCTGTTTATCCACATACTCGCTGACAATGATATCAAAGCAGTTGACACAAGCCCAATAATATATTTCTGATTCGAAAATATGTCTGTGTGTAATAATGAACTCTCCGAGACACATCTCGTTGGTCGCTATGACAAACACAGTCCGGACCAAGTGCGCAAAGTTGACTGATTTGATAAGATCGATGTTTGCTATCTCTGTTTTGTTGCCCGGTTTGTCTGGTGTCTCTTCGATTAGGTATGCTGTTCTGTACACCGCGCGCTTGCTTAAAGCTCTCCACTCTTGACAAATTGTGAGTAATTTGAGCGAGTGCTCCCATGCCAAAGTTAGGTTCCTTTTGTTGACTATTGACGCATATTCTAGTATAAGCTCCGTGACAACTAATGGAAGGTTGTATGTGCCTGACATGTTTGTCGTTGAAATGATGGTGTTAATAGAAAAGGAAATAAAAGGAAAAAGGAAAAATAAGGATGAAAACGTAATAAAAGATAAAAATGAAAGCTAAGAAATACAAAATACAAAACTAAAATTATCCTTTAATTACTCATTTTGACTAGATTTCTTTTAAACTATTTTTGACTGAAATTAAACATTTATTTTAATAATACGTATGCATTGAAATTGGATGTATAGTGCCAAGGATGTGTTAATATCAACTCTGAAAATGTAAAAAGATTGTCAAGCTAATTCTTCTGCTGGTAGACCTATACTTGTCGATGCAGGCTTAAAATGTATGTTATAATATATCTTTGGCGTTAAAAACTTTAAAATGTATTGCATTATATTTATGTGGTTTATATTATATTGTTATGTAAGAGGGGGGTGGGGAGCACTACTGTAATAGTGTTAAAAATGTATGTGAAATTATAAAGGTTTTTATTACGAGTGTTTCTAAAATGCTATTATCGCCGGCCTCGTCTTATATATATCTCGTTGTCTTTGTGGCACTCACTGGCAGTTGTGTGCTCCGTTCGCGAGAACTGGTCCTTATGAAAATAACCCGGGTCTCTGATATGGCATAATTGGCATGTCTGTATTCTTGCGCCCAGCACATCCATTTCGGGACAGGCAGTATGTCCGGATGTCAGTTGTGGCGCCTAATTTGATCCCCTGTAATTTGGCCCATATCAGATCCATCTGTGAGCTGACGAGAATCTGTCTCATGATTTTCGCCCTCAGCGTCTACCTCCATATCCTCGGGCTGCATAACAACATGTTGACCAAATCAATTATTGTAACGCAAAACAATTTATTCGACTAAATTTTGTCAGCAATATGCAGCTCATTTTTTAAAATCCATGTGAGACAATTCATTTTACAATTATCGTAAATGTTTTATTTAAAGATTAAGTAATTTCGCTGAGAGTCGTTGTTGCTGGATTCCTCAAGAAGCTTAGCAAACAGACTAGTCTTGTCAGCCAGCAGGTTTCCTGGCGTGTTGTACTCGGCGAGCTTGCCGTCATCAATAACCAAGATCATGTCGCTGTCTATGATTGTGGTGAGCCTGTGTGCAATGGTCAGCACAATGCAGTCATTGAATTCCTTGCGAATGGATTCCTGGATAATTGAATCAGTTGAGTTGTCGATTGCCGCCGTGGCCTCGTCGAGCACAAGCAAATTGGCACGCTTGAGCAGTGCACGCCCAAGGCAAATGAGCTGGCGCTGGCCGACGCTAAAGTTCTCGCCCCCCTGCGTGACCACATATTCGAGTGCTTTATTTTTGGAGCGCACAAAGTCGCCCAGGTGCGCGTGCTCGAGTGCGCACCAGATCTCCTGGTCCGAGTAGCTGTTAAAGGGATCAAGGTTCTCGCGAACCGTGCCGGCAAACAGCACAGGGTCCTGCGGAATAATCGACAGTTTGCTACGCACGTCATACAGACCGTACTGGGCAATGTCCTCGCCGTCAATCAAAATCTGGCCGCCGGCGGCTTCGATAATCCGGAACAGTGCCAGAGTCAGCGATGATTTGCCGGCTCCTGTGCGGCCCACAATGCCAACCTTTTGCTTGGGCAGCACGCAGAAAGACAGGTCGCGGAGAACCAAGTCGAGTCCCTCGCGGTACCTGGTCGAATAATTTTTGAACTCGACCATGCCTTGCTCGGGTCATGATGGTGCTGGACAGTTGTCCTCAATGACCACAGACGCCTCAGATGGCAAGCATGCATACTCAACCACGCGCTCGAGCTGAATCATTGAATTTTCAATCTCAGTGTAATTCCTGACCGACCAATTTAGCGAGCTTGTGACATCCAACGCATACATAATTGAAAGCCCAACAAGGCCGGCATCGCCATATCCGTAGTACTGGAGCGACACAATGGCGAGCGTCGTTGTTCCTAGTATTACCACATTGCATAGGATCTCCAAACGAATAAACAGCCAGCGGTTAATTGCAAAATATGTGTATAACGAGCGCATATTTATCTCCAAGTGATTATTATTTTCAGCGATGAAGCGCGACTGCTGGCTGTAAGTGCGAATGGTTGAGATGCCACCAACAGAGTCTTGAAAATGCGAAATGACGGGGCTACGGGTGGTCGAGTCAAGGCGGCGCACCTCGCGGCTGCTGAAAAGGTAGAGCTGCTGTAGATAGCGGTAGGCAAAGGCCAGTGGTATTACGATTACCAGCATGAATGGCATTGTAAACAAAATGACCAAAATTGCCGATAGCACATTTGCCACCGTGTGTACCAACTCTGATATTGCACGCGGCAATGCCTCATCACATTCTCTCAAATCTGACGAAAAGCGGTTAATAATGCGTCCCAGCGGCGTTACGTCAAAGAATGACACAGGCGAGCGCAGGACGCCAAGCAACATGTGTCTGTGAACATTCTCCGATGCTTTGACTGAGCAGCGCGTCCACAGAACCAGCGACCGGACTAGGTTCACCAGCGCTCCCAAAAAACCCAAGGCGCCATAGATTAGCAGGTAGTAAAACACTGAGTGCCCAGAATCTGTGCCAAGCCTAATTAATGCACTGTCTTTGCCTTCCGTGTTTGACGACGCCCAATGCTTGAGCCACATGTTGGTCAAAACGTTGCTCGCTGATCCCAAGAGTATGGCAACTCCAAACATAGCCACATTGCGCATGCCGCAGGCCTTGGCGTAGATGCAGTATATATCCCACTCGACCTTCCCCTGGCGGCTGACCTCGGTGGTCATCGTGCGGCCAGTGTTGTTGGCCGTGACCAGCGCACCGGCTGTCGTATCCTGTGGGGTATTGCTACCATTGCCGCACACCCTGCGGCGGGCCACAGCCTCGTGGATAGTGCTGATGCTGGCGCGGCCGAACGTCTGCTTGGTTGATTTGCGGAAAATACTGACGCCCAGCGGCTCAGGCATGCCATCCTGCTCGTTCTGTATGGCCTCGTCCTCGTAGTACTCTGTGTCCGACGCGTTGCCGCTCTCGCCGCTGCTGGACGACGAGCTGCCCTTGCCCTCGATGTACTTGTGCACAAACTCGTAGATTTCGCCCCGGTTAGCAATGACGCGAGCAAAGGGCCCGCGGTCGACAATGACGCCAGCACTGAGCATGACGATCTGATCGGTATTGGACAGATACTGGACCGCGTTGGTGACCAGTATGCGCGCGTGCGTCTTGAGCAGGCCCTGCGGGCCCAGCACATGAGTGAATATGTGCTTGCCCACATGTGCGTCAACAGCAGCCAGCGGATCGTCGAGAATGTACACGTCCGCTCGCGAGTACACAGCGCGCGCCAGCGACACTCGTGCCTTTTGGCCGCCAGACAGGTTGATGCCCTTTTCGCCGATCTCGGTTGTGTCGCCACCCGGCAGCATTTCGAGATCGGGGCCCAGCGCGCAGGCATTGATGACCTTGTCGTAGAATTCTTGCTCGAAACGGTGGCCAAACAAGATATTATCGCGCAGGGTCGCGTCCATGATCCATGGCTGCTGCGGCACATAAGCGACGCTGCCACACAAAGTCACGCTACCGGCGCTCTTAACCATCTCGCCGAGAATCGCTGATGCCAGCGATGACTTGCCCGAGCCAACTCTGCCAATCACTGCGACGAGCTCGCTGCGCTTGCATTCAATCATGATATCTCTGAGCGTCGGCTGCGCGTCGGCAGACAGCCACCTGAATGTGCCGCCCTTGACGCTGACCAGCACGTTGTCCCTGGACGCATCCGGCGCGTCACGGTCGTAAGGGCCGTGGTCGACGGCCTCGAAGTCGATTTCGCCGGCGGTCAAAAAGTCAAATATGCGGCGGTGTGACACGATAGCCTCGAGCAAACCCGGAATTAGAGATGGGCCGTGGGAAAGTTCAGTTCGCAGCATGTTGAACAGTGTCAGCGACACAAAAACCAGCTGCGGAGTCAGAGGGCTATGAGACTTGTTGTCGGCCAGACTGTACAGACCAAATGTCGAGAAGGACACGGCAAACGGAATCAGCGTGACAACAAAGGAGAAGGTGGCCTGGGCGGCGCCATAACGACGAATAATGGACAACTCAAGGCGCACGCGCACGTCATTAATGCGGCGGATGAACGAGGTCTCCCAGGTGTACAGCTTGATGGTCTTGATTCCCGACAGCACCTCATCCATAATCTTCATGCGCTGGTCGCGATACCCCATCAGTAGCGTATTCAATGACTGCATTCTGCGGCTAAGACCAGACGATGTTGCGATGCTGATCAGCATAATGGCGACTCCGGCGAGCATGCTCCACCCGAGCGTCTTGTATAGTATGCAAAGTACGAGAGCAATATGCAGAGGAGCGGTCTACAGGTAATGAGACTGATTCCCGACAAAGTTCAGAATACGCTTCGCGTCGACTGTCATGTGCATGACAACTCCGCCCATATCGTACTTTTGCCGGCTTTCATTCGACAGCTTGATTGATTTGTGGTAAAGAACTGCAGAAAACCCGGACTGCATCTGGCATTTGATGCGCTGACTCTGGGCCCAACATACGGACAGGATCTGTGACTGCAAGGCAGATACAAAAAACACGGAGAAAGCGTAAAAGTATCCGTACTCGATAGGCTCAGCCTCTGCGCTGCCGTACTTGCTGACGAATCCAATCAGGCGCGAGAGCAGGATCGGGTTGAGCAGGGATACAAGGTTTGCCAGCAAATCAGTCAGACCGGCGAGCATCCAAGCTTCCTTGTATGTGCGCATGTTGGCACGAAGTAGCGATGGACGACCCGACTTTAGCTCAGCCTGCTAATTGTGCTGAAACCGCTCGTTAATTATACCTGGATAGTACTCAGTGTCGAGTCCGAAAAGATCGTCCATTTTCAGCGGTCTGCGATATCCTGTCTTGAGCAGCGGTGTCATCCAGGCAAACACCATTCGCGAGAATATATTTGCGCGCTTCTCAGGTGTTCGAAACCCACGCCCTCCAATACCATCATTGTTGTCGTTGTCGCAATCATCTGACATAATGTAAATTCCGTTGGGCTTGGTCCGGCACTCCATGGCAAACGTGCCCAGTGCAGCCAATAAGTGCACAAAAGTTCCAATAACGAGACTCGAGTTGTCGCCAATAAGACCAGTGGCCACAAACGTGCGTAGACGAACCAGCCCCAGAATAATAGTGCCCAGCCAGAACAGAAGCAATGGAGTAGAAGCAGCGCAATCAAACAGATGCTCTCTGTAATGCAAATGCAGGGCCAAGCCCATTGTAGCGGTCTGCAGTGCGAGTGAAATGACAAAAACATCCAGTTGATGGTACATACCAAACAGGGAAAACAGCTGTACCGTGGATACCAACAGAGCAACTCCGGCTAAAATCAGCTTGACTGTAAGCGAGGTAAAGGAAAATACGGCTGATTCAAAACGCGGCGCCCTTTGAAGATTTCTCAGGCGCACGGAGGCAGCCACAATGAATGCTGCGTTTAGACCAACGCCTAAGGCGCCGTGTTGGAAGCATACCGTGAGGTCAACCGGACGACTCGGGCTCAATGGACCCCACCCCTCACTTGAAGGGCAGAAAGTCTGCATATCGTTGCTTATTTGTTGTTGAATATAATAAAATCAATGTTTATATGATTATCGCATTAAAGTTTATCAAATGGAAAGAAAAGAGCAAGATAATATTAAAAAAACGCACAATAAAATATCAAAGTTGCCAATATTTTATAATGAACATTTCTGTATGGTATTGTTTTTACTCAATTAACAAACCATATGACCAAGCTGTAGAGGACATTGTTATTGTTTTAGAAATTGTGTGGATATTAAAATTGCCATGTTTCTGAGTTCACAGCATATTGCGTTTTTGCTCCTGATATGTGGACGGCTATAATGTATAGGAATAATTTCTGTTATAATTACCGCTCTGCGCTGTATGAGCAAAACATACTACTTTTTCGTTTTGAAGTCCAGCATCATACTTGAACCTGGGCCCGCTTCCTATTTCCACTTTTAGATTTGGTATTCCATTTGTATAATTCCTACTTTTCTTCTTTTTCCGGAGCAACACACGAACAAGCCCAGCCCAAGTACTCATTCGGATATAATAACGGATATTAAATTTATATTTCCAGAAATTATTTGAATGGGCGCTAGTAATACAAAACTTTATATAGTTTACAGTGAATCTGCGACCTCACCGCGCGAATGTTTGGAGAGAGCACTTCTACAGCCACAGATGCACGAGTCCGCGATACCATCTGGCAGGCAATGGGGGACACGCCGACGGCTTCAACGCGACTGTTCTGCCTGGAAAATCTGCGTGCACACCTCTGCATAGAGGAACCAGCCTCTGCAGTGAACTGATGTGATAACATTAGTATCTACACGGGTGGCTCACTGGTTAAGGAGGATGGTCCGAGCACGACCTTTGCCGCCATAGTGATGTGTACCACCAGTGAGGGGCAATTGCGGGAGTTCACCGTGTCAGGACGGACGCGGGATGGAAGTCCGCCATCTACGATGGGTGAGCTTATGGCGCTAGCAATTGTGGCTGGCCTAATGCCATCGGCAAAGAACAAGTTGGTTAGCAGCTTAATTGCTTGATTACAAATCTATTTTCTCTTTGATTCTATCGGCAAAGAACGCCAGACATGGCACCTGCAGTGGCAACGGCAATAGCGCCACCGCTGCCTCTGACCCCCAAAAAGCTTCCAAAAACCTTGTCCATGACACTTACCACCGTCCTCCAGGCGATAAATATGGCAGTGGATAGGAAAAGCGGTCGGCATCACAAGAACGCTTGGCGCATCATCAATACAAGGAACACCACCCGCCGCTCCTTTGCGTTAAAGATGCTCCTCCGCTCACTGCCTGTAGCGAACAGACAGTGGACATGGTACCCCCGACGCATATTCTGAACCAGAGATTCGCCTATGCCCGTCGCCAGGCTGTCAGACTATCAAGACACAGGGCCACATGTTCATGTGTCCACGACGGGAGCGCGAAATTCTGAAGCAAGAGGACTTTCATTGGGATCTTTGGGACCCAGCCACAGATATATAAGGCTAAAAAATATAAAACATAATATGCGCTTCTCCCAATAAAATACACTGTTTCAAATTGTCAGTCATGCCGACAAACCCTAAATTTCCTACATTTCCAAATATTATCAAAGCATTAATAAATCATAAATCAAACTCTCCGGTATTTGTGCCAATTAACCATTATTTTATTAAAAAATTATTTCGTATGCAGTTTCTACCCAATTTTCGCGCCATCTTTGCGTCATTCAGAACAGACGAGGAAGAGCGGTCCTTCAGGAACTCTGCAGTGCTCAAGTTCGCGGGATTTGTTACAATGTGCGCAGTCATGAGTATCGTTGCCACGAAATACAAACTGCGCCTGAAATCTCTAGCTTGATTGTACTTTTTTCTTTTCTTTTTAGTCATAATTACAGAAATAAAAAAGAGAACATTTTTGAACAACAAATAAACCTCGACAGCCAAAATTTTTTAAATTGTAGAATAGTAAATGAAAATAAAAAACCCTACCATTTAGAATGATAGAGTTGCAAAAAAAGAGCTTGAGAATTTAGAATATTTTTTAGTAAAAAAAGTTTACTCCTGATCCTTGGTCTCGGCAGCCTCCTTGGCCTCCTCGGCAGCGGGGGCGGCGGCCTCGGCCTCCTGGTTCTGGGCAGCCTCCTCATTAAGGTCCGAAGTCCAGAGGGTCAGGTTGTCGCGCAGGAGCTGCATGATCAGAGTCGAATCCTTGTACGACTCCTCCGACAGGTTGTCGAGCTCAGCGATGGCATCGTCAAAGGCATCCTTGGCGAGCTTGCAGGCCTTCTCGGGCGAGTTGGCGATCTCGTAGTAGAATACCGAGAAATTGAGGGCAAGGCCCAGACGGATGGGGTGGGTGGAGGCGAGCTCGTTGTTGGCGACATCCGAAGCCTCGTTGTAGGACTTCTCGGCTGACTTTGCGGCGGCAGTGCGCTCGTCACCCTGGAGGAACTCAGCAAGGTAGCGGTAGTAGTCACCCTCCATCTTGTAGTAGAAGATCTTCGACTCGGGCTCGACAGCGGTCTTCAGCAGGTTCTCCTTAAGGACGGCAAGGATGTCCTCGCACACCTCGTGCAGCTCGGACTCGATGACGGCGCGGTAGCCCTTAATCCGCTCGACCTGGGCGTGGTTCTCCCGGGAGTGCTCCTTGTTCTCGATAGAGGACACAATGCGCCACGAGGCACGGCGGGACCCGATCACGTTCTTGTAGGCAACAGACAGCAGGTTGCGCTCCTCGACGGTCAGATCAGCACCAAGCTTGGCAACGGCCTTCATGTACTTGACCATCTCTAAGTCACATGAACAAACGGACAAGCAAAATAAACAAAAAAAGCGTTGGGGCAGACAAAAAAGAGCGTCAATTATGATTAGCATTCAAAGTCAGAAAATAAAAACAATAAAGGCCAGCGTGTTTCTTCTTTGAATGGCGCCCGAACAGTGCTAGCAAGACTTGCCAAAAAAAAGCAAATCGCGGCAAAGCTCAGCCCATTCAGCTGCATCGCGCAGTAAGAACAATTAGAGAGAAAAGAAGGCGGCACGGCACGACGCGCCTGCATAGAGACATGCTTTGCGGGCGTGGATAAAGAGCAAAATGAATACACAATAAAGCGCGTCTACTTTGTCCGCGTGCCATGCGCCTTTCGCTCTTCGCAATATACGCTTTCTTGTATATAAAAAATAGAACTTACCGTCGTAGCGCTCAGCCTGCTCGGCGAGCTTGGCCATGTAGACCTACAGTCACGAAAAAAGAAGACAAGCAATAAAGAGGGAGCAGAGCGGGTGCGGTTGACCAAATGAAGACTTAGTACGAGGTCCGATGCGATGCAAAGTCCAGCAAGCCTTACCACGCAAACAAAAATGACAGTCATTGTTTATTTTCTTCAGCCATCTTAAAAAAAGATGCATCCTTGAATTCTTCCAGCCATTTTTAAAAAAAAAATTACTTACCAGAGTGTCGCGGTCAAGACCGTTCTAAGTAGAAAGCAATCGAAAACAGCAGAAGGAGAAAGCGCGTGTTGAAAATGAATATTAGTATTAAATGTCCAAAGCAAGGTATTATTTTTTGCATCTTTGCAAAATTGAATCTGCTAATTGCCAATGTTGTGTTTAGATTGTGGAAATTCACAACACTAAGCAGCAGGCCACGGGTGGAAGACATTCCAAACTTACAGTAGTGATGGAGTCAGTCATAGTGATTCGAAAAGTAAGTTGATTAGTACTAAGAAGAACGAGATAGTTCTAAAGAAATAAAACGAGTGATATTAAAAAAAGCGTAGTGAAGACCAAAAAGAGGAAGAAAGAGCGAAGAGAGCAAAAAACAACAACCTTTGAGGGCAAGCGGGCGGAGAGGGGGGAAGTTTGCTGTGCGTTTATTTGGGCATGTGGGATGAGCTGTTTTTCCCTATTTTTTCTCTTAAACATAAGCAGGGAAAAAATTACAAAATAGATGCTCAATTTCTTTAGATTTTTTTTGGTCGAATGGTGCGCGCGAGCCTGCAGCCACTACCATCACCACAAACGCTGCGGTCCAGCCTTGTATTTTGCCTATACTTGTTTTTAGCTTGTGCGGCCTTGCTTTTACTTTTGCCTTTGCCTTTGCCTCGCATGCGCCCGAAAAAACTCCCTGAGCTCCCTCCCCAATAATTTTTCTGCGTTGTTTTGAGTATCCGCTTGATAGCAGCTCGCTTTGAGCAGCGACTCTCTTCGGATTAGGTGAGCCGATCCCCTAGTTTTTCCAATGGTTCGACGGGCTTCGCCCCCTTCCTCTTTTTTTCCCAACCCTGGCCCAGCCGGGAAAAGGTTAAGCAGCAGTGCCATACTCGTGGTGAGCTGAGGCCAAAATACAAATGAATAAATAAAAAACCCGCGCGCATAACGCGACCAAAACATATCTTAGAGATCACATTGCTCTGTACACCCCTCTACATCCCATTCCATTCCAAATTAAATACAAATTAAATTAAAACAAGCCAATGTCATCTGCCAGCACCACTGCCGCCAACGCCAATAACGGCAAAACCCAGACCATCAACCTTGAAGACCTGCCTCTCGCGCAGCTGCAGAAGATCAAAGCACAGCTGGAGGAGGAGCTCAATGGACTGACCGGCGCGTTCTCGCAGATGAAGCAAGCCCAGGCCGCATTTCGGGAGTGCAAGGGGTGCATCGATGCACTGACGCCCGAGAGCCTGGACAAAACCATCATGATACCTCTGACAAACTCGCTCTACGTTCCCGGTAAACTTAGCAACATCGAGAACGTCGTGGTGGATGTAGGCACGGGCTATTATGTGGAAAAATCTAAGGACGACGCGATTTCTTATTACGATGCCAAGATCGAGTATGTCCAGAACAACGCAAAGACCATCCAGGATACTGTGGAGCAGAAGCAGGCTAGCTACCGCGGATTGCTCGAGATAATGCAGTACAAGCTCACCCAGCAACAGCAGCAGCAAAAGCAGCAGCAGGGTGCTGGGAAGCAAGCAGCGACTGACTCAAGAGCTTAACATGCGCATATAATATATGACTGCCACATGTGTTTTTTAATAATGACTGCATGTTGTGACTACATATTTGATATACTGTTATTTAATTATTATTTAATTGAATTGAATTGGAACATCACAAGGCATCACTATCAGTGCTTCCACAGCTTGAGCACACGGTCTTTGCCACCGCTGGCAACCATGTCGCCACCGGGCGACCAGTCCACAGTAAACACCTCGTCAGCATGGCCAGGAAGCTCAAGCTTCAGCTTCTTTGTGCGCAGATCCCAGACCTTCAGCGTGCTGTCCTTGCTAGAGCTCAGCAGCATGCGGCTATCCGACGACCAGCACACCTGGTAAACAGCAGCGACATGGCCCCGCAGCGAGGCAATAAAGCTACCCGTAATCCCATCCCACATCTTGACGCTGTTATCAAACGAGGCGCTGGCGATCAAGCGGCCATCGGGCGAAAAGCTGACGTGGTTGACAACCTTCTGGTGTCCAGTCATGCGGGCCACTGGCTTGCTGCTGTTGAGGGGATCCCAGAGGAACATGGTAAAGTCGTCAGAGCCCGACACGAGGCGCTCGGGGCCCTTGCCCTTGGCCTCGTTGTAGCGCTTAAGAGCCTTCTTCTGCGCGTCCTCCTCGCTCTCGGGTTCGCGGCCCGTGTGGTCGTAGGCGCCGGTGCGCAGAACAAAGTCTGTGCTGAATGCCAGGGTGTTGACCCAATGGGCATGGCCTGTCAAGGTCTTGTACAGTGTGCCGTCGGGGTTCCAGATCTTGATGGTTTTGTCCTGAGAGCTCGTGTAGATACGGCCGTCGCCGGCCCACTTGACGCAGGTGACAGCGGCAGTGTGGCCGGCCAGGGTGAAAACGCAGCGGCGCAGCGAGGTATCCCAGACGCGCACGGTGCCGTCCTTGGACGAACTGGCCAGACGGTTTCCCTTGGGGTTGATGTGGAGAGGCTCCCAGGCCAGCGACGTGATCCACTTGCGATGCCCGGCCAACGGAGCGCCAATCTCCTTGCCCGTGCGGGGATCCCATAAGCGAACCATGTTATCCATGCTCCCAGAAGCCAGAACGCGGCCATTGGGCGCCCACGAAATGGACAGCACCCAGTTGCGATGCCCCTTGCATGTAAACTTGGGGGTCTCCGTGGCCAAATCCCAAATGCGCACCGTGGTGTCGCCCGATCCACTGGCCAGCTGGCTGCCGTCGGGGCTGAAGCTCACCGATAGAACCGCCTCTGTGTGCCCTGTCATGCTCGACGAGCATCTGGTGACTGCCCGCACCTTGAAGAAGGCTTGGGGCTGGTAGACAATTGTGAGCGTGTCTTCGGCTGACCGCTTTTCGCCCTCAATGATGTCCTTTTGTACGCTGCGAACGATCTCCTTGTTGTCCACGTAGAATGAATATGGCTGCGTCTCCTCGTTGTCCAGGAACTTGTTGATCAGGATGGTCAGCTGCTCGGATGTAATGTCGGCCGGCAGACTGAGCGGGGGGCCGGTCTTATCACCGTCTGCTGTCTGGAACTGCGCCAGGACGCTCACTGTTGTTTCGGCCTCAGGCATGATACTGTATTTGTGTGTAGGGGGTGGGTGTGAGTTTGTGTGTGTATGACAGATAGACTATGTATGGTGTGTAAAGACCTCGAAAATAATGAAGAGAAGAGACAGCATGGGTGGTTATTTTTTGTTTGCTTGTGGTTAAAGGCTTCAAATGATCTTGGTCGAAAATTTGCCAAGTGCAAAAAGAAAGAAAGAAAAAAAACGTTGGATCAAAAATCTCCAGATTAAAGAATCACTTTACCATCATCACCTGCTGTTATTTGTAGTGGAATTGAAGCGTTTCGGTTTGTGTTTTAGCTTTTCTTTTCTCGCCCAAAATTTCTTTTTTTCTTTTATTTTATATTTATACAATTCAAATTAGCCTACAAATGGATTTGAAGGACCAACTAGAAGCTGAGCGGCGCAGCCGCAAGCAGATGAAAGAAGCGGCCGTGCCCCAGCAACAACAACCAAGCGATCAGCAGCGCGCAGGCCCGCCAGGCACGAGCAAATTCGGCACAGAAGTCAAATTCGACACAGACCTCTATGGTACAGGCGACAAGTTTGCCGGCTACGACACATCAATTGGCACCGACCCCTCCCGGGACCACACCGAATTCACGCAACCACAGAAGAGCCGCTTCGGCATAACAGCCTCGCGAGAGCTCATCGACGAGATGCGGGGAACAGAGGATGAGAACGCGGACGATCCATTCAAGGAGATGCAGCGTGCCAAGGGAATCAACCGGGTGATTGGCGAGCGCGAGAGTGAGTATCAGAAAAGGCGGCATGGCAGGGAGCTGTCACCTGAGCGTGTCGACGCATTTGGCAAAGACGGGTCTGCTGTGTCGGGCGATGCGCTGAGCTACGCTGAGACCATGCGCAAGGCGCAGCTGGACAAAGAGAAGGCTGAGCTGATGGCCAAGATCAAAAAGGCCAAGGAGGAGACTGCCGGAGACAAAGAGTCGACTGAGTCCAGGCCAAAGCGCCGGTGGGACGTGGAGACTCCAGTTCACCCCTCGTCAGCGGATGGCGTGGAGGCGACGCCAAAGCGGCGCAACCGCTGGGACCAAACGCCGGTCGACATTCATGCCGGAGTGGCAGAGACGCCCAGAAGCAGATGGGACGAGACGCCCAAAGCGCCCAGCAGCAGTGCAGGCGCATTTGGTGAGACGCCCAGGCGCACACGGTCTCGGTGGGACGAGACACCTGTCATGACCGGCGCAGCTACAGTGGACTTTGGGGCTACGCCAGCGGGCAATTACGGGCTGGCAACGCCCTCAGCTGGTCAGATAGCAGCTGGCAAGCAGCAGGCAGTAGATGCGACACCAAGTGCCATGGATGCGCGTAACATGTACCAGACCGACGCTGAGCTTGACGCACTGATGCCTGCAACTGGGTACACGATTATGGAGCCGCCCGCGTCCTACATGCCCATCCGCACGCCGGCACGCAAGCTTATGGCGACGCCGGCGCCGATGCAGGGCTCTGACGGGTTTCACATGCCCGAGGACTCGCGGCAGCTGGAGCTTGATTTGCCCCGAGAGGTGCCTGGTATCGGCGCCTTGCCGTTCTTCAAGCAGGATGATATGCACTTTTTTGCCAAGCTGCTTGATGGCCAGAGCGAAGACGCCATGGACGCTGACGAGAAGCGCGAGCGCCAAGTGCTGCGCTTGCTGCTGAAGATTAAGAACGGCACCCCGCCCATGCGCAAGGCCGCCATGCGTCAGATTGCCGAGCGCGCGCGCGACCTGGGCGCAGCCGCGGTCTTCAACCAGATTCTGCCGCTGCTGATGTCGCCGTCGCTGGAGGAGCAGGAGCGGCACTTACTGGTCAAGGTCATTGACCGCGTAATGTTCCGCCTGGGCGATCTTGTGCGGCCGTTTGTGCACAAGATCCTCGTTGTTATCGAGCCTATGCTTATCGACGAGGACCGGTATGCGCGCTCTGAGGGCTGCGAGATCATCAGCAATCTCAGTAAGGCTGCCGGCCTGCCCACTATGATTGCCACCATGCGCCCAGACATCGACCATGTCGATGAGTACGTGCGCAACACGACCGCGCGCGCGCTGGCCGTTGTTGCGTCGGCACTGGGAATTCCAGCACTGCTACCCTTTCTACGCGCCGTGTGCATGAGCAAGAAGTCGTGGCAGGCGCGCCAGACGGGTATCCGCATTGTGCGCCAGACCGCCATTCTGGTGCGCTCTGGCATTCTGCCGCACCTGCGCAACCTGGTCGAGTGCATCGCCCATGGGCTAGAGGACGAGCAACAGCCCGTGCGCACGACCACAGCCCTGGCCCTCTCTGCACTCGCTGAAGCCGCCGCGCCCTATGGCATCGAGTCCTTTGACGCTGTGCTCAAGCCGCTGTGGCTAGGCATCCGCAAGCACCGCAGCAAGGGACTGGCAGCTTTCCTCAAGGCCATCGGTTTCATCATTCCGCTGATGGATGTTGAGTACGCCAACCACTACACGCGCGAGGTCATGCTCATTTTGATTCGCGAGTTCCAGTCGCCCGACGAGTACATGAAGAACATTGTGCTCAAGGTTGTCAAGCAGTGCGTGGCCACTGCTGGCGTCCCGCCGCAGTACATCAAGGATGAGGTTCTGCCCGAGTACTTCCGCAGCTTCTGGGTGCGCCGCATGGCGCTCGAGCGCCGTCAGTACCTCCAGGTGGTCGACACCACCGTTGAGCTGGCCAACAAGGTTGGAGGAGCCGAGATCATTGGCCGCATTGTGCTGGATCTCAAGGACGAGTCGCCCGCCTACCGCAACATGGTCATGGAAGCCATCAACCGCATTATCTCCGGCCTGGGCGCGATGGACATCACCGGCCGCCTGGAGGAGCTGCTGATGGACGGTGTTCTGTATGCGTTTCAGGAGCAGGCCGGTGAGGGCAACATCATGCTCGACGGCTTTGGTGTGGTTATCAACGGCCTGGGGATCAGGGCCAAGCCATACTTGCAGCAGATCACATCCGCGCTTCTCTGGCGTCTGAACAACCAGAACCCGCAGATCCGCCAGCAGGCCGCCGATCTGGTTGCACGCATCGCCCCGGTGATGAAGACCTGCGGCGAAGACGAGTTGATGAGTCGCATTAGCATCATGCTCTACGAGTACCTGGGCGAGGAGTACCCCGAGGTACTCGGCTCGATTCTTGGCGGCCTCAAGTCCATCGTCAATGTCATCGGCATGACCGATATGCAACCGCCCATTGGCGACCTGCTCCCGCGTCTGACGCCGATTCTCAAGAATCGCCACGAGAAAGTGCAAGAAAACTGCATCGACCTTGTCGGTCGCATCGCTGATCGCGGTGCCGAATATGTGAGCGCGCGCGAATGGATGCGGAACTGTTTCAGTCTGCTAGATCTCCTGCGCGCGCACAAGAAGGCCATTCGCCGCGCTGCCGTCAACACCTTTGGGTACATTGCCAAGGCCATTGGGCCGCAGGACGTGCTGGCCACATTGCTCAATAACCTCAAAGTGCAGGAGCGTCAGAACCGTGTCTGCACCACCGTGGCCATTGCCATTGTCGCCGAGACCTGTGCCCCCTTCACTGTGCTCCCCGCTCTGATGAACGAGTACAGAGTGCCTGAGCTCAACGTGCAAAACGGCGTGCTCAAGTCTGTGTCGTTTTTGTTCGAGTACATTGGTAATATGGGCAAGGACTATGTCAATGCTGTCACGCCGCTGCTGGAGGACGCCCTGGTCGACCGCGATCTGGTCCACAGACAGCAGGCAGCCTCAGTTATCAAGCACCTGGCACTGGGCGTCGCTGGACTCAACAACGAGGAACCTGTTTTGCATTTGCTCAACTACCTATGGCCGAACATCTTTGAAACCAGCCCACATTCGATATGCGCTGTGCTTGAGGCCATTGAGTCGTGTCGGGTTTGCCTGGGTCCCGGCCGCATCCTGCAGTATTCGCTGCAGGGCTTATTCCATCCTTCCAGGAAAGTGCGCGAGGTGTACTGGCGCATCTACAACATGATGTTTGTCGGTGCGCAGCCTGCCCTTGTGGCATTCTACCCGCGCATCGAGGATACCGAGCAAAACACATACCGGCGTTACGAGCTCGACTATATCATTTAAAACACTTTTTTGGAAACACAGAAACAAGCAACCACGAATAAATGAACAAATGAACAAACGTATTTATTTTTATTACATTTTGAAGAAAAAAGAGGCTGGCATTCATTTCTGCGAAGACTGGCTGCCCACAGATCCCTCAGCCTGCGAAGACTCGGCAACTGTGGACGGAGAAACCGGCGTAGCGCTCGCAGCCACCGGCGAGCCAGACCGATTGTGAGGTGCCGGAGTAGACTCAGTGGACACCAGTTGCCCAGACCTTGGTGTCTGCACCACAGAGACAGCAGAGGCAGACGACATCGTAGCGGCAGCAGCGAGAGGCAAAGGGTGGGCGCGCACTGGCCCGGATTTTGCCGCGGGCGAGTTTGGCGTGCTGGCGCGCGATGCAGGGGTCGATGGCGCGGGGGTTGTCCCACCCTTTGCAGAGCTGCTGGGCGCTGAGGGCGGGGGCCGGCGCGGCTGCTGCTGCGCGTTCACAGGTGTTGATGGTCGCGGCCGTGGTCCGCCTGTGGGTGTTCCCGGAGTCCGGGTTCCCGAAGGCGTGCGCGCTGCCGGTGGCCGGGCTACCGGTCGCACGGGCCGATTGGGCCGGGGAAGTGCCAGCTGCTTTCCATGCGGAGACGCCACCGCTGATGTCGATGCTGATGCTGATGCCATGCCACCAGGCGGCCGGACACCGATATTCCCACCAGACGCGGGCGTGCCAGGAGTCACAACGCCACTGCCGACATTGCTGCCTGGCACAGCGCTGTTTCCCGATGCGTGCGGCTGCTGGTTTAGCGGCATGCCTGTCGGCCGAACGCTAGCATGCAGTGTGCTGAGTGTCGGCGATCCGCTGACAGTGTTGTTATCAGGGTTCTGTAGCGACTGTAGGTGCTGGTTGTGCTGCTGGGTGGCATCGGCATTGGCTGCAATCTGCGCTAGCAGTGCCTGAGCGTCAGAGGGGCTCAGCCCGGCTGCTGCTGCGGCTGCCAGCATCATGGCTTGCTGCTGTGGCTGCATCCCCGGCGGAGCCAAGGGCGTCGGGATGTGTGAGGGGCTCTGCTGCAAAAGCTGCTGTGACGTCTGGGGTGTCACCGGCGGCCTTTGCTGCGACTGCATCATTTGCGGAGTGAGCGGCGATCTCTGCGGGTGGGCCTGCAACCCCATGGAAGGCGACATCACAGCCTGCTGAGTCATTGACGGGCTCATATTTGCATGCTGGACACCTATTGGCTGCATGCTCATAGCCTGCTGAGGCGTCCCCATCTGGACATTCAGGGGGAAGCTGTGGTTGCCTACAATACCATTGTTGAGCGCCGGCGCACTCATCGCTGGAGACCCTGGGCCCTGCACTGCCGCTGACATGGCCGGAGATCCGCTCAGGTTCATCATAACCGGGCTCGACGCAGGCTGGGACGCAGGTGGCATCGAGAATATGCGCTGCACGCCTCCGCTCATCGCTTGCTGCTGTTGTTGAGCCTGCTGCTGCTGCTGCTGTTGCTGAACCTGCTGCTGCATCGCCTGTCGGATGCGCATAAACTGCATTTGGTTGAGGTTGGGCTGCTGCGGGCGTGGAAGTGTTTGGTTCGTATTTTGGCCCGATCCATTCGCGGCAGCGGCGGCTGCAGCCACGTTGTTGAGCAACTGCTGGTTATTTGCGTTCTGCGCGAGCTGGGCGGCCAGCATTTGCTGCTGCTGCTTCTGCTGTTGTTGATGTTGCTGCTGCTGCTGTTGTTGTGGTGAAGACGCGGGCCCCAGACCAGAAAATCCATTCATCACACCAGCACCACTATTTCCGGCCATGATGTTTTGCTGAAGGGCCTGGAGCATTGCCTGTTGATTGAGCAAGTTGGGCCCATTGAGTTGGTTCGGGAACTGTTGCTGTTGCTGCTGCTGTTGATGATGCTGCTGAAGCTGCCGCATGGCCAGCAAGTTCATGCGCTGCTGGTTAGACAGATGTGCGAGCTGGTGGGGAAATAGGCCGGACAGGTACTGCGCAAGCTGAGGCTGGTTGACTCCTGGCTGCATCGGCTGCTGCTGCATCGGCTGCTGCTGCATCGGCTGCTGCTGCATCGGCTGTTGCTGCATCGGCTGTTGCTGTTGCTGCTGCTGCTGTTGAACTTGGATATGTTTGAACTGCATAGCTTGTTGCGCCATCATGTACGCCTGCGCATTAGCCTGTATCTGCGCCGCACTTTGGGGAGTGCCAATGACAGGAGTGCCAACAGTCGAATTGGACTGCTGCATCAACGCCATTCCCTGGTCGGAGGCCGCTGAGGGCGAAGCGAGCAATGGTGCAGTGGCTTCTATCGGCGCCGGTGACATGGTAACATTATGCGTGCCCAAAGCAGGGGTCGTCGGGGTTGCTACGCTCTGTTGATCCTGGTGTTGCTGTTGCTGCTGGAGCATATTTGACTGACCCGGCTGTGATGGTGTCGGCAACGATGACAGAGGCTGCTGCGACTGAAGCTGCTGCTGCTGCTGAGAACCAGGGGCATTCATCGCAGGCCGTGGCATCTGACCTTGTTGCTGGTTCATCGGCATATGCTGCTGTTGGGCCTGCTGCTGTTGTTGTTGCTGCTGCTGGGCCTGCTGCTGGGCCTGCTGCTGGGCCAACTGCTGAAGCAGCATCTGCCTCTGGTGTGGAGGCAACATATTAGCGGCAGCGATGGCGGCTGACGCAACATTGAGTGGCCGAGGCATACCCTGGATCCTTGCATTAGCATTGGCAGAGTTGGCAAGCTGCGCCCGCGCATTAAGCATCGCGGCCAAGGCTGGTGTGATATTAGGGCGAACTCCGTTGGCCGCACGGGCCTGAAGGATCTGCTGAATCTGTTCCTGTGTGAGCCGCAGATTGGGCGCCCCGTTTACTCCCAGGCTGGCTGCCAAAGCTGCGCCAGCCGCTGCGCCGTTTGCTTGCATGGGTAGGGCACCAGCTTGTCCTGGCACTGCTGACTGGTTCGCATTGAGCTGTGTCTGTGCCTGCGCCTGGGCATGTGCCTGCTGCTGTTGCTGAAGGGCTTGCATCAACTGCATCTGGAGCTGCTGCTGCTGTGGAGTCTGCTGTTGCTGTTGCTGCTGCTGCTGCAATTGCTGAAGCTGTGGTGGACGCTGGGTAGGAGTACCTGGCTGACCTTGCGCTTGCAGCTGGGCTTGTAACTGAGCCTGCAACTGAGCCTGTTGCTGCTGCTGTTGTTGTTGCTGCTGCACCATCTGGATATTCTGCAAGTTCTGCAGCTGCTGCTGGATTATGCGAGTCTGTGCCGGCGTCAATGGGCGCTGTATTCCACGCCCACTTGCAAGAATCGCTTGCAGCGCGGCAATTTGGCGGCCCAAATGAATGTTTGGGAGCTGTTGCGGGAACGCACGATTCTGCTGCTGGTGCATTACAAGCGCAGATGCCGTTGCGGCTGCCGTCGCCTGGCGCTGCTCCATGAACAATTGCTGGATACGGCGATCGTTCTCGAACTTGGCTTTGCTAAGCTCCGCCGGCGTTGGCACCTTCTGGTCTGCGGGCAGCGGTTTGATCTCGCGTGGTGGCACGGTTGCGGGCTTGGCTGCGGTCTCGCGCTTCGTTTTAGACTCGCTCACAACCTTGTACGCCTCGGAGTGCGAGACGATGCTGTTGGCCAGCTGCATGGCCGACAATGGCGTGGTGCTCGGGCGCACGTGAAGCTGCTTCGACCAATTATTATGTCTGCGCGGACCATATTCGGGCTCATCAAACCCGGTCTGGACAACTGTGCGATCCAGGCTGTAGTCGTCCTTGATCGCCGCCCACCGCTCAAAACAGATGCGCGAGGTGATTGCGCGCGAACCGTAGAGTGAATATGCATGGTTGAATGACTCAGTGATGAGGGGCCAGTTTCCGGTAAACTGCTGGATGATTTTGGCCAGCGTCTTGTCGCGATCAGCCGACCATTCGAATACAACCTGTCCAGGACACGCCTCGCTCGCTGCTTGCTGAATCGACGTGTCAGCTGGCGGCTGGCCTGTGGAGCTGTGCGTGTTGCGCGGCGTCTTATTGGCCTGTGTGAACATGGGCAGCAGCGGCGGTGCAAGTAGATTGCGCGTGAACACCGATCGCGCAATGTGTGCCTCAGGCTCGGCTGCCAGCCTACCATTGATGTCTTCGCTTCCGAGACTGACCAGCTCGTGCGCAGCTATTGTGGTTTCGTGGTCGCCCAAGGATATGTACGCAAATTCGTCGTCGTCCTCGCTGGCGCCAACAAAGTCGGGCCACATAGTCTTACAAATGGGGATCACTGGTGAAGCGTCGAGAATATCGCAGTACGCCTCCTCCCACGCAGGAATGTAGGGCATCAGCGAGCCAAGAGACTGGAGCGTATAAATGCTGCCGCCCAAAATATCCTCAATCTGCTCTGTCTGCGGCAGCTGCGACAGCAGTTGGTAGATAGAAAGCGTGCTGTCGTATATGCTATTGCTGGGCGGCACCACATGCTCATCGGCCAGCTCGGTAGTGACAGGCAAGCTGGGCTTTGCAATTACCTCGGGCTTAACAGCAGCCTGTGCGATAGTGCCATCGGGTGTATTGGTGGTGATTTGCGCTGTAAACATGCCATTCATGGAAACTAGTCCCTCTGCCAGCGGCGCTTCTGCCTGGTCTTCTGCGGATGTGAGCTGCTTGGCAGAATCGCCTACTAAATCGGCCGCAGAAGCTGCTGCAATCGAAGTCGCGGTTTCTGCGGCTGGCTGGTCCCTCAGCTCGGCTATCGACTCTAGCGCGAGATATGTATGTGGCGATCTGACCGCGTCCTTAGAGTCCAGCTGCACGGTGCAAGCTTCTGATTCATCCACTGGCTCGCTCATCTCGATATCAGCCCCTGCAGTGTCCAAGACCAAGTCGCCAGCGCTGGCGCTAGTGCTGACCATGCCGTTTCTTGCGCCGTCAATCGCTTCTGGCTCTGGCACTAGCTCTGGAACTGGATCTGGGATACTGGCAATATTGCCAACCGTGTCACTGGTGTCGCCATCAAACCTGGGTGCCAATACCTCCGCATTTGTTGCCAAGGAGTACTCTGTCAGGTCAATCAGAACCGGGCCATCTGCCAGGGCATCGGCAGAATGCTGCGCCGCGGGCCGATTGATAAAGTCTGCCGGAAGTAACCGCTTTCTGCTGGCCACAGTATACAGCCTCTTGTTTGAGGCATGATGATAGTCCATTATCCATGAGGACACCACCCGTGCGATGGCCACTCGCAACTTGCGCTCCTCGGCAAAATCATCATGCATCCACGCCATCTCATCCAGCAAATAGTCCCAGTGTGCCTTGCCGCGCGGGGGCGCTCGGTGTTTTCGTGGTTGCCAGAACGACCATTTGCCTTTCTCCTTTAGCTCGTCAATCCGCTCCATTACTCGCACGTGGATCAATTCTTCACGCACGGTGTTCCAGTCCTTTGTCGACACCAGTTTATTGCTTCCGCGAATTATCTCGTGAAGCGGTTGCTCCTGTGCGTACAGCATCCAGCTGTGCATGTTGATGCTTCGACAGTTCATGTCCTCAATCTGCTCTTGGTAGTTATAATACAGCTTGCTGTTCTCAAGCATCTCGGCGTCGCTGACCGGATACTTGCTCACGACCTCAGCTATGCCCAGGGATTTGAGTTGCGACAAGAAAACAATGTCGTCAGGGTGGACTAAATGGGACACATTGACCAACTCATCGTCCTCTTCGTAATCGGTGTGAGTGCCGTCAGTAAGCTTGTCATCTCTCTCGGCTCTGCTGCTGTTGCTGCCGCTGTCCGAATCCCTGTCGACTTCCATATCGTATTCCCTGGCATCGCCGGATTTTCCGCCAGCAGCCAGCTCCCTGGAGCTATTTCTGGCCTGCTTTAGTGTCGCCCCCCATTGTAGCTCGCCGGCCTTTCGTGCTGATTGCAGCGCCTCTTCTGGGTTTTTGGTGTAGCTCTCAATAAAAGACTGTAACTCGCTGCTCCTGCTGCCATTCTCACTAACATTGTCGCCCATGCTCGCAATGATGTCAGAGTTTCCGCCCCTCGACAGCTCCAATACCTTCACAATGTCACTGTTCGATGAATGTGTCCAAAAGTAATACTCGCGTAGCAACTGCTGCCGCTCCGTCTCCAAGTGCGCGCGGCTTAAACTGCTCGTTGGTGTATATTGTGTGTTTTGCTATAAATTGAACGCGTAAGCTTAGTAATGTATTAGTACCTTTTTTGAATTTTATAAAGCAAATTCAATATGTTTTACGCGCAAAGGCATGTCACAAATTCGTACCATTCCAATTGACTAAAAAAGTATGTGGATGTGAGCTTGCTCGTGAATGAGATATGCGCAGGGCTAGAGCAAGACGCGCCTGGTTGAAACGCTCGAATTGGCTGCTCTACTGTGGATTTAGTTATAAACAAGTGGGAGAATTCGAAGAAAAAATATGTATATGAAAAGGTCTGTTTAAATGATTGGAAGTGGAATTAAAATTAAAATTAAAAATGTGAAGAGAAATTTGAATTTTTCGAATTATGCAAAAAAACAAGAACGCGACAAAAGAAAAAATACTAGGTGCTCTGTGATTGGCAAGTTGGTTCGGCTTTTTTTAGTTCTGTGATTTTCAGTTGCGGATGATCGGTCTGCAACTGCATCTAAAACTGCGAACTGTAATTGAACATTAACGACAGGCATATATATTCTCAATAACCATCGCCCTCTTCGCGCCGCTGAGCGGCCTGCTGAGTGCGCTGCTCCTGGGCAAGCTTGGGGCAGTCGAGCACCCGATGGCCAAGGCCTCCGCAGTACGGGCAGCCGACCGACGTGTCGAGCGTGCCATCAGCCCGGCGGTACTTATCAGTCGGGTCAGGGATGGCAAGCAAAGCAGGCGGCACGCGCTGCCGGGCCTCCAGCAGAATATGCTTGAGATCAAGCAACAGGTGCTCCGAGTTCGTCGTCAAGTTAACAAAGGTCGTGGCAACGCCAGTCTTGCCTGCGCGGCCCGTGCGGCCAATCCGATGCGTGTAGTTTTCGATTTCGCGCGGCAGATCGAAATTAATGACATGTTTGATTTCGGGGAAATCCAAGCCCTTGGACGCGACATCCGTGGCAACGAGGACGTCTTTTTTGTGGTCGCGGAAGGCGCGCATCGCGTACTCGCGCTCCTCCTGGTCTTTGCTGCCGTGGATAGCCACTGCCTCGACGTGCTTGAGCAGTAGGTACTCGAGGATGTCGTCGACATCGGCCTTGTTCTCAGCAAAAACAACCACCGGCGGCGGCGTCTTCTGCAGGCACTCGAGGAGGTATGCAATGCGCAGCTCGGACCGCACAATCTCGACCTCCTGTATAATGTCCATATTTGCCGCTCCTGCGCGGCTAACATTGACAACCACAGGCTTGATGAGCGAGGCGCGCGCAAAGTCTTGGATCTTCTTGGGCATTGTCGCCGAGAAAAGCACGGTCTGCCGTTGCTGCGAGAAATGCGACATGATCGTGCGCACGTCCTCTTCGAACCCGACGTCGATCATGCGGTCGGCCTCGTCCATGCACAGGTACGTGCACAGGTCGAGGTTGACCGTGCGTCGCGCCAGCATGTCCTTGAGCCGACCTGGTGTGGCCACCAGCATGTGGATGCCGCGAGACAGCGTATGCGCCTGGTCCTGCATCGATATGCCGCCGATAGCCAGCACCGACCGCAGCTCCACGCCCCTAAACTCCGCCGACTCCGCCAGCGCCGCGGACATCGCCACCAGGCCCTCGTACGTCTGGCGTGCGAGCTCGCGCGACGGGCACACGATCAGACCAACGGGGCCTTCGCCCTGCATCAATGGCAGCCGGCGCTCGGCCTCCAGCGCGCGCATGACCAGCGGCAGCGAAAACGCCAGCGTCTTTCCCGTTCCTGTGCTTGCAATCCCGATCATGTCGCGGCCGGCCAGCGCCACAGGCAGCCCCTGCATCTGGATCGGCGATGGCGTGGAGATCCCGCGCGCGCCCAGATACGCAAGCAACGGCTCGGGCAGCCGCATCGAGCGGAAGGTGAGCACAGGCGGCGGCACGTCCTCGCCGTCAATGGCGATGCCCCACATATGGCGCCGCGCAGTGATCTCCTCTGGTGGCATCGCGCGGTGCCGCGGCAGTGGCCGCCACGATGTGCGCATCGGCTGCGTGTAGACAACGCCCTGTGCGAGCTCTGCCGCTGACGCAAGCTGGCGCCGCCGGGAGATTGCCGCGAGCAGCGCGGTTTCCTCGTCGCGCAAACGTTCTTCGGCGGAACGCTCTGCCAGTTGGTGGTTCTTGCGCAGGCTGGCAATCTGGTCGACCAGAGACAGGTTCTTTGATCTGTCGGGGAACACGCTGTGCGTGCTTTTTGTGCTTTCCGCCTCGTTGTCATTGGCCGGCTCTGCGGATTCCTCCATGTCTGAATCAGAGTCGGCGGCACTGCTGTGGCCATCGCGCTGTCCTTGGGTCGCCCCGCTGGCGCCATGCACTGTCTGCTGGATTCGCTCAAGTCTTTCCATGCGCCGCTGCCTGGCGGACACATACACCGGGGCCGATGCCAGGGACTGATTATGCTGGTGCTGGTGCTGGTGCTGCTGCTGCTGCTGCTGTTGTGTCTGACCACTGCTGCTGTGGTTGTTTTCAACAGCGCCCAAGACAACTGCCGCGTCCTCAGCCAGAACAGCCATTGCGTGTGCCTGGCGCGCAGCCTCGTCCTCCATCTCGAGCTGTCTGCGCCGCTGTCTGTACTTCTCAAGCGTTTTTTCAACGCTAGCAGTGTCCGCGCCCGCGCCGCTTGTACTTGGATTGCCTGCAAGATCCATGTTTTTTCTTCAAGGCTGCCTTGCGATATTGGTGTATACGCGAGTGCTGACAATAAATAAAACGAGAGTCGATGAGAGAAAAAATAAAAGAGAAATTAGAGAAACTTGGTTATAATATAGTAGCTTGCTTTGTTTCGGGCGATGCTGCGCGAGTGGCTCGCCACTGGTACCCGAGCACGCTTGTGGGAAAGGCCAAATCACCAGATGAGTTGCCGCTCGGGCAGCTCAGATGCAGAATAAAAGAACCGAGGGAAAGGGCAAACAAACGCTGTGCTTACTCTTATACTTAGTACAGCGTGGCCTAATTTATTAAATATATTTTTTTGCACCTGGTGCACCGGTTTCCTTATGCAATACATATTATACCATATCACAGCGCAAAGTAAAAAGTACGAAACCTGCATTTTTAATATACTTGATACTTGTATTTATGTCTAAGGAATATAGTTCAACAGATGATAAGTTAGTTTATAAAATCTAGTTTGATTGGGAAGATGGCCGAGTTGGTCTAAGGCGCCACGTTCAGGTCGTGGTCTACTCGTAGGCGTGGGTTCGAATCCCACTCTTCTCACTTTTTGCACTTTCTTTTTTAAAGAGATTGTGTGTGTTGTACCCTTATCTATTTTCTTACTATTTTACCATTTCAAAAAAGTAGTTGTAAAAGAAAACCAAAAGCTCTGATAGCGTAGTACCATTTGTGCGCGTTGTGCGGTTCAAAAACAACCAGTTTGTCGAGTTTTTTTAATGCTCCACGTCACGTTTGATGGCAGGGATCTAATATAATTTATCAACCAGTGAGCCGAATACACGCGCAACTATAGTACTATCTAAACTGATACCTACAAGCCAGCCTAAATTACCATTGTGGACTGCCAAGCAGCCATAAAACTGCCCAGGTAAGGTCGAGCCACTCGAACTTTTATTCAGCAACCACTTCAAGGACAAATTCCCGCCTTTTCCCACTGAAATACCCAAAGACCTTGCGCCCTTTCTTATTGGCACACCCGATAAGCCGCTGTAAAACAAATATATTATATAAACTCAATATCTAATACGTGGGGATATTCATTTTTATACTGTTCGACAAACGCGTCAGAATTAAAACCCACTCTCATCCAAGGAACTGTCTTCAATAACTGCAGTGACAATAGCAAGTACTTAATACAATTGCTCTCCATATTTTCAGATTCTGCAATTACTCCGCCAATCAAATGCAATTCGCTAACATTGGCACAAATGGGCTCTACTTGATCAAGTATTGTCTCAGGAACTTCGCCACACAAAATGTCGTTGACTATGAGTACGCTTAATCTTGGAACCTTTGCAAACAAATTTAAAAGTGTGTCAAAATGTATCGGCAAGCAAATATTTAAATTGTTGACATTGGTCCATGAAATTAGTTCTGTGTTCCATTTAGGCAAATCAACCATCAGGCTGAGCTCTACATGCTTAAATTTGATTGCATCTCCAAAAAACTTGTTTGTCGTCTTGTAAAAATCATTCTCATCGTCACCATTCTTTAATTTTAAATGAATATTGCAAGAATCAATTATCCCCGCTTTCGAATCTTTAAACAAATACAATGTTTTATAAGAGCCATCTATATCAAGGTTGTGAATATGTTTAAACTCAATTGTGGCATTATATAGTTTGCTGTTATCATTAATATTAACTAGTACTATATTTCTTAATTTGGGCATGTTTAAAATAAGTGGATGTTTACGAATGACCAATTCCAATGCATCATCATTCTCTACAGTTCTTGTCAATTCTAAGTCTGTATGATTTGCTATTATGTCCTTTAAATTTCCAAATATAATAACATTTGAAACTGCCTTGTTTGTAAAATTTTTCCAAGAAAAGCAGTCCAAATTACCTTGTAAATTAATATCTTCGATATTTGCTGCATTTATTTTGGGTAATAGTGCAGTATTAGCCTTGTCAACATTTATATTTAGACTTCTAAGCTTGGGTGAATATTCATTGGCAGTAAACTTAATTGGAATGTTGCTGTTAAAGCTATTTACCTGATATGCGTAGCTGTTGGAAAGGATACTGCACAAATAATTGATATTATCTTCGCCGTTACTAAATGAGAACACGTCTAAAGCATTTATATGTGACATCTTCTCAAGTATGTACCGAGCAAATACAGAAATTGCATTCATATAGTCGCCAACATTTATAACATTCTGAATTAGCTCGAAGCCGCTCATATTGAACCGGATTCCCATATCCCTCACATTGTACCACTGGCTGGCGCCACAACACAATATATTTTGAAGCGTATTTATGCTCGCATTATTAATTCTCAACATTTTCAGCCTTGGGCAAACAACAGCTATTTTAGAATGCTGCGTTTTCTGAGTATTTATAAATCGTTGATGGTCTGAAACAACTTCCTCAATATTCTGTTTGAAATATACATGCATATATTCCAGCATTCTAAAATTTAGTGTGTTGGACATTGGTTCATCTTGAAGCATGTCCCATGTAAACGAAAAATCAAGATTTGTGAGCTTTAAGTATTTTAGCGACTCTGCAAATAAGCTAGGAAGTTTCTGCAGAGTATTAGAGCCCGCGTTTAGCGTTAAATGTGTTAATTCGCGTGAAAATTGTGATGCTGCGAAAGTTGTCGGATGGCCAAATTCAATGCGGACAAGCTGATCAAAATATAAATTGGCCAATGCATTGTAAAAGGGATCCTCTGCATTACCAGACACAGCTGAGCCCAATTTTATGTGAGTTACTTTGGGGATGTATTGTTTGAAACGTGCTGCTAAAACGTCACTTTGATTTTTATTTGCGATCTCAAATACATTGCCAGAAAACTCATTCACATCTATGCAAAGCTTGACAACATTTGGGAACTGATGATCCTCGTTCTCACAATCAAAAATATATTTTAGCATATCAAGCTTTGGAACATTAATATCTAAACATTCGAGTGCTGGGAAAGATGCCTTGTTCAAAAGATCAATACTGTTTATATCCAATCCATGCGAATACTCCATTTTCAAGCTGAGCAAGTTTGGAAACACAATACCATTTGTTTCTCCAAAGTTTGCCAGTCTGTGCCAGGTAAATGTTTTAGGTATGTTTCTCAATGTTAGGCTTTGTAAATGGTGACGACAAATCTGCGGTATAGTTTGCAACAAATGAAAATCGACATCAAGCGTTGCTAGTTGCCTAAAACAGACCGATTCTGCAAGTAAAAGCTGTTGGTTAACCGAAATATGCCAAAGGCTGCATGAATAGTATGTATACAGCATATTGACTATTGAATATCTTAGACCATCTTTATCAGATGTCCAAGTATCCAATTTGCTAACATTCGGCATGTTTTCCGCAATCAGTTCGACAAATTGTTGCGCAATATTAGAGTGAGACTCATCGCCATCATCGTCAGATGCTTCCAACCAACCATTAGTTACAATCTCACTGACTCCATTCCAGTCGCACTTTTCAAATGAGAATATTGAATGCACGTTGTCAACCAGCGATTGACAATACTGATATTTGTTTGCTTTAAAGAACAACGTTTTTACCAAATGCGTGTTTCCAGTGGCCTTTATCAACCCAATGTTGGTGTGTATAAGCTTGTTTTCACCGGTTTTATCTTCAGAGGGCTCGACAAAACCATTGCTGAGTTCGCTAGATCCCTCCAGTATAGCACAGCAATAAACCAGTCCCATAGCAACTTCTCTCCACTCGTGACAGACGCCCAACAACGGTAAGTTGTCTGCCCAAACATTGAGGGTGCGCTCTTCGGTGTCGATGGCTATGCGTAGGATGTGGTTGAGAATGACAAACGGAAGCTGGCCAAAATAAGTCATATTCAGACGATGGATAACCGACTGACTGAATAAATGTGAGTTGAAGTGCTTTAAAATGTAAAGTGTAAGAAATATATGTGGCAAGTAAAAAAATCAAAAAAAGGCAAAAAAGAATAATAGGGAAACAAATAAAGCACATTTGCTTCGGAAGACGCAGAAAATTGCACATTTGAAGCTGAAAAATTGAGTTCAAACATTTTATTAATAAATACCTGATACTTCTTTATTAAAATCGATTTTTGTTATGTGGCAACATTTTTTTCTCAAAAACATAAAACCGACAAAAAATGTATTGCACTTTGTACTTTGTACTTTGTACTTTGAAATGAAAAGACAAGTCTAAAGATGCATTGAAAAATGTTTGAATAATGCTGCGGAAATAAGAAGCAAGCTTGGCCGGGACGACAAGCAAAGTTGGCTCCATTTTCCCCCTCATCTTATTGTTTCCCTGGCTTTAGCAATGCGAACGACACAGTTTCACGCAGATGCCTCACGCCCGCCAGCAGCGCTACCACGCGATCAACGCCCATGCCCCATCCTCCAGTTGGCGGCAACCCAAACTCGAGCGCGTCGCAAAATGCAGCATCGGGTGCAGGCACCTCCTCATCTCCCAAGTCGTTCCGCTCGCGTGCCTGCGCTGCAAACTTGCGCCGCTGCTCGTTCGGATCGTTGAGCTCTTCGTATGCATTGACCAGTTCGCGGCCATTCGCAAACAGCTCGAAGCGCGCCGATGTGCGCCCAGCTGCGTCGGCGCTTTTGGCCAGCGGGCTCATGACGCCCGGGTGGCCAGTGAGAAATGTCGGTTGTTCGCATTGTGGCTCGATAATATGCCCGATGAACCGGTCGAGCAACCGCGGCACAGTGTGCGGGCGGGGCGCTGCAATGCCACGCTTAGAGGCAATCTCGACAAGTTTGGCGAGTGCAGCAGGGCTATCGAGATCGTTCGGAAGCTCGGGGATCATTTCATACAGTGTGTCCGTCACATGGATGCGGCGGAACGGCTGGCTAAAATCAAGTTCAAAACCAGATCCGTCGTCTCGACCTACATTGACCTTTGGAGATCCAGTCACCTCCATGCTCATCTCGCGCAGCACGTCTTCGGTCATCGTCATCAGATCTTCAACCGTCGCGTACGCCTGGTAAAACTCGCATGTTGTGAACTCAGGATTGTGGTCGGCGTCAATGCCCTCGTTGCGGAACTGCTTGCCGAGCTCGTACACGCGGTCAAATCCGCCGACAACCAGCTGCTTAAGATATAGCTCTGGCGCTATGCGCAGAAACAACGGTGTGTTATCGCCCAGTGCCACTGCTCGAGTCACAAATGGCCGCGCCGCTGCTCCGCCGACATTAGCTGACAGAACGGGTGTCTCGACCTCAACAAATCCGCGCGAATCGAGAAATCCTCGTATAAAGCGCAGAACCCGTGCACGCGTCTCTAGCGCCTTGCGCGCGTGTGGGTTGACAAGCAGATCAAGATGCCGGTTGCGGAACCGCTTCTGCGTGTCCTCCAGCCCCGACCGTGTTGGTATTGTGTGCAGGCACGGCGCCAGCAGCTCGGGATTGCACGTGGCAAACACGCTTGTCTCGCCAAGCCGGGTCTTGCCGACAAACCCCGACACCCGCACAATGTCGCCGGCAAGCAAAATGCGGTTAGAGTCAGAAAATGACACTGAGGATTCTTTGTTTTTGCATCTTTGCTCCGACACGACTGCCTGTACGACGTGTCGCCCGCCCTCTTGCTCAATGTCGTAAAACACCAGCCGTCGCCCGGCTTCGCGCTTGCTGCGGATCCGCCCCTGCACACACACCCGCACCGACTCATCCTTCTCCCCGTCTGCCAGGACTACGTCCCACCGCTCGTGCACCTGCTGCGCACTGACTACGGATATGCCCGCTTCAACCGCTGTGTATCGCGGGTATGCCTGCACTCCGAGTGTTGCAAAGGCTGCTTCACGATGTGTTTTGATTGGCCGTCTATCGGCGCTGGCAATCGTTGTGGCTGAAGAGCTGCTGTATCGTTTGGACCACGCAGAGTTCTGCTTTGCATGCCGCGCAAGTGTCCGAACCAAAAGGCGTGACCGGGCAGATATCATTGTAGTGTTTGAGTTTGTGTTTGAGTTTGTGTTGTTTGGCCAATACGCGTTGTCCGAATTGCGGGTGAACTAAGTGAATGGTGGGCTTTGAATGACAGCAAAAGCAGAGAAGACGAGAAAGGACCGAGCGAGCGAGAGGAATTGAAGCGACCTTTGCAAATAAAAAATCGGACTTTTTTATCCAACTCATTTGCAGCCAGATTTACGCGTGCCTGTCGATATCAATGAATTAAGGCAAAGCACAAAAACAGCATCGATTCGGATAATGTGAGACTGATCCGAATCCGATGCCTTTTATTTTTTTTTACTCGCCTCCGCTTATTGCCGTTTTTTTGCTGCTGATTTGGGCACGTCAGTTTGCGCTAGAGCTGCTTATTTTTCAGAGATGTGTGCTCAGCCAAGCAAAGCAAAATATGTTTTCAGCACACGCCGATTTTAGCCTGACACAAGCCAAGCTAAACACTGGACAAAGACGCTCTTCGCGAAGCAGTGGTTTTTTGGTTAAATACAATGATTGATTAAACAAAATAATGAATGAATGAATGAAAGTAAGGGGGTTGATAGTAAGAAAAACGGAGGCAAGCGAGAGTATCAGAAGTATCGGAGTATGCTAGAAGCGTGCGCAATAGTTGGAAAATGACTTTGGCACAGCACGACAGATCAAGAGACAATTTGCAAAGTAAAAGCTATTGCTTGGCACTGTAACACATCATTCCTCTTCCTGGCATGCAACAAAAATAAACACGAGGTCAGCATACAAACTGGACCGCTGTTTATTTACTTGGCAGCGATGCTCTTGGGGTTCTCGGGAGCCATGGCCCACTCCTTAGCAACGCCAATAAAGGCCTCCTTGTGGGAGATACCTGGGTTCTTCGCCTTGAAAATGGGCAGCTGGGCCTTCATGAACTTGTTGTAAGGAGAGACCCTCTTTGCGCCCTTGGTGACACGCTTGGTGACCTTGGAGACCTTGGGGGCAGTCTTAATGGTCTTAACGACGACGGGGGTAGCGGGGGCAGCGGACTTCTTCATTACAAAAATGTCTTGTGGTAATAAGGTGAGTTTAGGTGAGTGTGTTAAAAAAGATGTGAAAAAATTATTTTATATTAGTACGAAAGCAAAGGAAGAAAGTGGACGATGGAGAGTCTGGAAGAAAAAAAGCAAATGGCAAAAAGCATAGGGCGGCGGCTATTTGGTCGAGTATTTATCGTGTGGATAGAGGGCGGCGCAGCAGCAGCAGCAGCAGCAGCAACGAAGAAAAAAGTGCTGCCTTTTGTCCGATGGTAAAAAAGGGGGGTTGGGCGAGTGGGAAAGCGCGAAACGCGCTCTCATTTCCCTGCGCTGGCTAACTGCAAGCTCACAAAAGCAAGCGAGCATACAAGCAAGGCGCGCGGCATTAAGCGAATCTTATGACAAAAAGGCCTGCCTTGTGTGGGTTTGAGAATGGACAGAATGGAAAAAAGGAGAGGGGAGGCGCGTAAAGTCGATTTTTAAAAATCGAGTTTGGACATTGCAATCCAGCCAATGGCCAGGCGCCGGCTGCCTGCAATTGTGCGATTTGAATTTTCAGACATTTCCAAATGATTGAAATGCAGAGTGATGATAGCCAAACAACCAAATGCACAGAAAATAGTATTGGTGTGCGAGAGGGGGTGAGGTTTTACGTGACAGTGTCTGTTTGCAACCTCTTTTATTTCCCTTGGCAATTATTGCTTATTGCTCAGGCAGTGGCTGCTCGCTTGTGTGTGTATTTTGAGTGCTTTTTTCGTATATTTTTTGTCTCAGGCCGCATTGTTTGCCTTTTCCCGCAAATAAACAAGCACCACTCTTCCTTTACTTCATTATGTGCCTTGGCCAGAGCGCGTATGCTTGCGTGCCTAAATCTCTTTTTATTCTGGTGCTTGCTTAAAGGCTGTTTTCCCTCCTTTTTTACTGATATGCGACAGACACGCTCTGATATTGCAGTGATACTAAAATAAATTAAGCAGAAAAACCCGTGCCTTCTGTCCTGCTTCTCGCCCTGCTTCTGCTGTCAAAAGGCCATCCACCTCTGCAAATGGAAATCGCCAAAATAAACTGGAAAAAGGGTGGGCATGTGCGCGCTAAGTGCCGCCTGCTCACGCGTGCAAATAAAAAAGGCGCGATTAATTCAATACTCTTCTATTATTATTATTATTATTATTATTATTATTATTGTTCTCTGCTTTGCTTTGCTCTCTTTGGCACACTGCAAAACAAAATAATTATTTCATTTAGCGTGATCGGCTGTTCCATTCCCAAGCGGCCCAGCGCTCGTTTTGGGCGGCATTATGGCGGGTTATACTGATGTTTCTTTGCTTCTTGATTTTACCTTCATTTGTCTTTGCCCCAATTCTGCGATATCCCCGCTCTGAGCCTTTTGTTTCTCTCTCCCTGTCTCTCTGCCTGCGCTGCTCGCAAGTGTACTATTTGGCGAGAAAATTTCTTTACTGCGTACAGGTTATCACTTTATTTCCAAATGAAAACAGGCATATTAAAGCTCACAATTTGTAACTTTCTCTACTGCTGCTGCTGGGCCGGGCTACTGCGCAGCGCCCACTCTGCCAGTACGCTGCTCTTAGCCACGGCCGGGCGGCTCAACGGCGCCCATGCGAATGCTGCAACTTCTAGCGCTATTTCTCGCCCAATGACGAAGCTGGTGTAGCTGGATTCCTACATTTCGTTAATCGTTTCGTTGTATTAGTGTGGAAGAAAAAGCTAATTGAAAATAAAGTCGATCATCTTATTTAGCCATAAGGCCTGGGGAAAGATGGAATGGCTCCAACAAAACGACATGTGGCAAGAGCAAAAATAAGAGAGATAATAGCTTACCTGCCGTGTCGGTATTGACTTTATATTGTGATCATTGGCAATTCCTAGCCTTTCCATCGATTTTGCTCCAAAATGCCAGTCAAGAACTGCAAAAGAAAAGTCATCGCTCGCCACAGCAACAACGCCCAGCCACAGCGAGATTCGCTCGACGGGCAAAGCATGCCTGGCACCCAACACACAATCCCACTGCCCTTTCAAATGTGCGGGCTCCATTGTCATGGATCCAAACAATTCGACAATATGACCACCCGAATGACCGCCAAACATCTACACAATAGTCAAAATGATGTGAACTATTAGCTCATATGCGCTGAAATACAATTCACACGTATTTACCAATCATTATGTTGCTATTTGCTACTTGCAACTTGCCTCTGCTTTGTTTGCTTGCATGGCGTCGAGGTTTTTGCGGCAAACCCGCTTCCACATGTCAACCACTCGGGTGTCTCTTGTTGCCAACACCAACCTCGAGATGTCCTGCACAAATTGGCTGGCTAGCGAGTCAGTAGCGAAAATCCTGTGTAGTAACTTTGGCAGCTGACTGTCTCCTGCAAGCACGCTACATGCTGTACTGTCTGTCAGTAGACCCTTAGTGCAGGGCTCTGACAATATGTAAAACACCTACACAATATAAAGCAGTAGCGTTGTTAGATCCTTGAATGTCCACAAATGTATATTTTTAGATATTGCTCTCCATATGACAGGTGTCAAGCAGATGGTATCCAAACCAAATGGCAAAAAAACAAGCACAAATTTATTTTGTTACTTACTAATTGAGCGCGTATCCTAGACATCCGTCCCCATAGTCTAAGAGCATATATGCAGTAACATTGTCAGATAACATCCACATTTAAATGTTGGCGCATGTACAACAAAAATACATTGCAATGTACAATGTACAAGTAGCATTTCGACTTAACACCCATTTTATACCTACTCTAGCGACATTTCCAATGGCATTCTGACAAGCAATATAACGCCGTATGACGCAACCAATTCGTGTCCTTCCAAAACCGCCCATCCGGTCTTATCCAGACCAGGAATGAGCTCGGCGACAAGCTCGGACACACTGTCTTCATCGCTGCTGCACAGCGAGAATGCCTCCCTCCACAACTGACAGCATTTTGCCCTGTCCCACTTTGTGCTTTCATGTCTCACCATCTGCACCATGTGCCGCAGGATAAACCGCTGTGTGTTGACATAATCGCTGGATACAGCCATGTTTTGCAGCCAAAGTGTAGTATCTGTCTGCCCCGGATTGCCCAGCATAGATTTAACTAACTGCGACAGCCATGCCGACGCCCTAAATCCAGATGCAACATCTGCTGGTATGAGTCGAATGATATAATCAAAATGTAAACATTGTTGGCCATGGTCAATGGAATCAACAGCACACTTACTTTTGGTTCGAGTACACGCCCTGGCACAGCACTTTGCTATACTCCATGGCTGTTCCAACGACCGCCCGGCACATCTGTCCATTTTGCGCCACCACGCGTGATCGGGCCAGTGTGGTCAAAAGTGGTCCGAGTTCAGGGAGCGACTTTGCACACTCGTACGCACTATGACATCGTGTCAGTTGCTAGTTGGTAGAGAGTAAATCAACACACAAACAAACGCACGTGTGTTTGTGATAGCTATTCAGTAATTCAACCACGGTGCTTTTTATGCAAAAAGTTGTATTTCAAGTCGGTTACATGTATCTTCCTCGCCTTACCAGTCGCAATACGTGGAGCTGCTGCACAAAATCCCGCTGAAATTTTGCTCTGTTGTTTGTCTGCCTATTTGCTCCACAGTAATCAATAAACACGCGCCGCAAACCGTCTGCCATTGTAAATTTTAATGACGTAAAATATGGAAATATAACAAGGAAGGGTTTTCAAAATGATTAAATGCAAATCAGCCAAAAAGGTGCTCATGCCATGATTGAGCTGGGCAGGAGGAGTTCGCATAGTGCACACCCTTCACCTGCGTTCGGCCAGGTTATAGGACGGGCTTTTAAAATACACACCAATTTATTTTATTATAACATGCACTGAAAACATTAGCTGCGCCGTCAAAAGTCGTACTCTTCCTCGTCATCGTCGTCCTCAAATCCTTTCCTGTTGTAAACAATCCTGGTCTCCTGGTGGTGCTGCCCGTTAATCTCCTCGAGCATCTCCTTCAACTCATCCTCAGTAATCTTCTTGCGGATCTGACCCATGCGAATCATGCGCAGAATCATGTCCTCAATGGCCCGTGCCCGGTCAGCCTTCACTATGGCTATGCGTCCCAGCCGCTCGCGCGCGTTGTTGTCGAGTGCCTGAGACAGCATGCTGCTGCGGGCCTCCTCCTGCTGGCTACATGCGAAAGCAGTTTTTTTAGTTTATTTAATGTCGAAAACTTTTGCTTGCTTTGAATGCACAAACATAAAATTAACTCGTTAATTCCATGACCCAATGACCCTTACCTTTTGGCAGCACTTTCTGCGCCTGCATCTGCACCCGCATTTGCACCCACACCTGCGTTGGCACCGCCATTCTGGGACTGAAGCTCGGCCATGCGGCGGGCCCTGAGCGCCTCAAGTTCGGAATCGTTCATTTTTACAGAATTATTGGGAATAAAATAAAATAAATGCAATAAGCGAAATGCAAATAGTGCAGGTTTGTCAACTAGAGCCAAAAATATTTTGATCGCTCATATACCTTTTTTGGTGCCAACACAATCTCATTCCAGATAATCGATTAATGCAAGGTCACAGCAAAGAAAAATAAAGCTGCATTCCCACAGACTTTTTGTTTACATCGCCTGCACAAACATTGCGCATATCCCTGGTGCAGTTTAATCAGCAGATCACGCTCAAAAAATTTCCCTTACTCTGTCATTTTATATCTGGTGGTACCCATTTTCGGAACCCTATCTGCACAATAAAGTAACAGCCACCTATCGTGCGCATGCACTATTCTCAATGGGATGGCGTTAGGCATGGTCAATATGCTCCCATCTGGGCTTGTTATCGGTGGGAATAACAAAAGAAAAATATGCCAGATAAAATTTTTTATCTCCAGTCCCACACTCATAGTTTTTTGTCTGCAAAAAAACTGTGGTATTGCCATTCGTCGCGAAATAGGAGTGAATGTATGACAAGCATCACATACATATGCCTGCTGCTGCTGCTGCTTATATTGCGGTTGCAGCTGCAGCAACATCAGTAGCTACGCGCTTGCAACCGATAAAAGTCGAAGGGTGCGAGGAGTGCTGGAAATGCCCTTTTCTTTTCCTTTTGTCAACACAAACATATTTCAAATATTTTTAATCTCAAGCTCATATTTTTCGTTTGCTTTAGTCGTATACTTTTCATTTTAAGCGACAAAAAACATTTACACGTAACTAATATTATATTTTGGACCTCATTGTTCTTTAAGGCGCAGTACATCGATATCAGGTTTTTGTTTAAATCTCCAAAAGAGGGGAAACACAAAGGTTACAAATCACAACAGTGATATACAAAGGGGGGATAGGGACTACTGCTACTAACGAGCAATAAATAGCAATGCGGGCGATTTCAACCATTGTCTCAGCCACCGCGCTCGTCGCGATGCAGTTTGACAGCTCCAACATGTTTGCCTCCGCCGCGTGCAATTTCGACAAGATTTCCGTGGACACAAACCCAGGATTCCAAATCACGGTCAACGATGACTACAAGCTTCTCGAAGATACTATCGCCAACGTAAAGTACGGACTGTACTGCGACAGCCAGCCTTTGGACGTCAAGAATGTTGATAAGTGGTTCAAGGTGCCCATTGAGACTGCTGGCACTCGCGTGCCCATCGCCTCGGGCTTCCTCGAGGCCCTCGGTTTGAGCGACAAACTGACTGCCGCCGAGTTGCCGACAAATCTGACAAACATCTGCCTGGACACATCCAAAATGAAGACGCTGGACAAGGCGAGCGGCAAAATTAACAGCGACGTTGATGTCATCTTCAGTGCCGATGCCGGCAGCGATGGTGGCTCGTCAGCCCGTCTTCCCACTGATGACAAACTGGCGCCACTGCAAAAGGCGGAGTGGATAAAGTTTGTTGCTGCGTTCTTCAACGAGGAAAAGGCTGCCGAATCGCTGTTTACCAGCATATCCGACAGCTACAACTGCCACCGCGCCAACCTGCAGTATCTCAAGGAGCCATCCCACGCCTACTGGGTACAGTACTCGGACAGCACCGGCGCGAACAGCTACAATATCATCACATCGGCGTACCAGAAGGAGCTGCTGGCTAGTGCTGGCGCCACCAGCAACACCAAGGAGGCGATTAGCGATCCGTCTGACGTGACCAAGTTCCAAGCTGCAATCAAGGATGCGGACATTGTCATTGACCAGTCAGAGCTGACAGACTACGGGCAGAGGGTCACCGAATGGTACAAGAACTTTGGCTACACGGACCCGCAGAACTCGGGCGTCAACTTCCTTATGCAGCGCCAAATCTACCGCACTGACGGGTACACCAGCAAGTCGGGCATCAGCAACTTCCCAGAGTTTGGGTATGTGCGTCCCGATCTGGTGCTTCAGGACATTATTTCCGTGCTTGAGCGCACTTACAACCCGGACTATACACCCCGCTGGTTGCTGTGGTTGGGAGGGACCAACGAGAACACCGACATCATTGGCGAGGACAACTACAAGTGCGGCAGCAGTAGGTGGCTGTCGACTGTGAATAAGTGCACGTCCCGCACGGACTTTGACGGCACCACGCCTTCGGACGACACCACAGATGATTCTGAAGACAAGGAAGATGACAAGGAAGATGACAAGAATGATGACAGCAAGAATGATGACAGCAAGAATGATAATGACAAGTCTTCTTCGGGTAGTGGACGCGCGGGCAAGATCGCCGGCGGCGTGATCGCTGGTATTGCCTTTATCGGCCTGTCCTTTGTTGGAGTCCACTACTTCAACAAGCACCGCCGTCATGTGCGCCTCCGTGCCCTCAGCCAGGGCGAGTACGGCGACAACATTGGCCTGCGCGAGGCCGGCCGCTTCAACTAGAAATCTGCTTAACTTACAATTTATACACACATTTGTTTGGTTGTATATCATTTCAATACAAAAATCTTTCATTTGAACAAAAAACCAACAAAATGTAAATAAAAAATTAAACCCGGCCAAACACACGCTGCGTGTGCGCACGCATTCTTCTAAGGGCGTTTGCGGCCTTGGATGTATCTGCTGGAGCGCGACCGGTACAGCAGGTACTTGTACAGCATGCGGACAAGATCTTTAACTAGGAAATAAGCGCAGCCGCCAAGCATGACCTTGCTAAAGTGGCTCAGCCCGATCGGGCGAATCATAAAGGGTAGCTTGTTTATGAGTGCTCCGCAAGCCGACGAAATCAACGGCAGCAACAGAGACTCGACCAGCGTGCGACCGAGCGATGCACTGTTGAGAACAATAGTGGCCTCAAAGTTGCGCCCGGCCCTGGGCTGACGTACCCCTTGCTGCTGCTGTTGTATCTGCTGTTGTTCGGCCGCATGCTCGGCCGCAAGCTGGTTGAAGTTGACGTTGTTTGGGTTTGCGTCGACTCCGTGGCGAAGCCCGAATCTCCGGATCGTCAGCAATTGCTGGTCGGACGACGTCTGTCCCTCCCATCGGCGCTCCAGGCGGCCCAGGGTTATGTCCCAGAGATACCGGTAAAGCGCACCTATGGTCGGCAGGGCAGTCAGTGTGAGCGACGGTGGCATCGGCCACTGCAGCCGCAAGGGCTGCGGAGCGGTCATCAGCAGTGTGGACAAGGGCATGTAGGCGGCGCTTGCTTGGAACCGCGACCATATGAGCGCCATCGGAATCATCGGCAGCCATATCCACCGCGTATGGTCCCATTTGCCTGATCCGCTTAAGATCAGCTTGCCCTCGGTCGGCCCGTACACCGTCATCACCGTGTATGCACCATAGGCCGTGCACGCGACAACCACTGCCATGCTGCCGATAGTCGCCAGAAAGAATGGCATCGACTTGTCGATTACGTCGTATATGGTGCGCAAGATGTTGAATGTCGTGGACTTCCACTGAACGACTTTGTATGGCGTGTTGCATTGCGGACACTTGGCCTACATATGCATGCGTGCAGACGGGAAATGAAAAGAATGCTCACATGCGCTGTTTTTAATAAGGGGTGCTCACCTCCTTTTGCCTATTGTAAAATCAAAACTCAACCAAGCCGTGCATGCACAAAAGATGACGTTGATGCGGAGAAAAGGCAGGGCAGGGCAGGGCAAAGGAACGCGCATCGAATTGGTTTCCCTAAAAGCGCATGTGTACTTACTGTCCCTGTTCGTGTGCGTTTCTCGCTTTCGGAGACCCAGTGTAACAAGCACTCTTCGTGGCAAATGAGCGAGCACTTGCACGGGTAGAGCCACTCGCGCTGGTTTGTGTTAAGGTCGTCAAGGCATATCCAGCACCGGTCAGACATGCCGTTCTGGCGCGTCTGCTGCTGCTGTGTCGCTGTCGATTGGTCCGAACGTTGTGAAGAAGAGCTTTGTCTCCGTGGAGCGACAAACGCAGCGGACATTGGCGAATAAAAGGATGTGTTGTAAAGAGTAAGAGTAAAAGTAATACAGTTATAAAAGAGCAGAGTACAAATAAATACAAGAATACAAATTTCAAAGTAAAATGCGGAATAGTTGAGGTGAAAATAAAGAAAACTTGAGAAGCAAAGGAGGGGACACACACTCTCTCTTTGCAACAACATCCGCTTATCGGGCGCATGCTGCGTTTCTTGTGCCTAAAACCAAGGCGCCTCTTCTGTTGTTGTGTGTGTTATTGTTATTATGTTATCGTGGCCTTAAATTGCTGGTCAACACTGCAAAAAAAGTGACACAAAAGTCACCACTCAAGTGATTTAAATCTCGATCGTCGCAAGCTGGTTTGTTGCGATTTACCCTGTTTGTGCTTTTGCCCGAGAATTAGTGTCACCTGCGTTTTCGGAAACAAATGTTTTCTTTTTTTCAACCTCCCCTCTTCCAAAAATCTGTGGACTAGGCGTTGTGCATTTGCATTATCCCGCTTCATTATTTTTTGAACAAAGACAAGGAGCCGATTGGTTCAAGCAAGGTACAAAAGAACATGAAGCGCTTATTTCTTTTCCAGTCTCAATTACATTATTTTCTTTGTGTCACGAACGTTGTCTTTTAACTTTTTTATCTTTTACTATCTGCATTTACTTTCTTTACTTTCTTTTTTCTTTTACCAATTAAATATAATGTCAGCTATTTTCTACCGCACTGCTCGCTGTGTCCCCGCAATGCTCGCCCGCAGAATGTACGCCACCAAGCCTGATGTCTCGTTCCAGGAGCTCAAGCAGATCATACATGGCGTTGGATCCATCCCCTATAAGCTCATCGATGTGCGCGAGCCTCACGAGGTGGCCCAGGGCAAGGTGCCCTCTGCCACCAATATTCCTCTGGGCGAAGTAGCAGCCGCGTTCTCTCTTCCCGCAGATGAGTTCAAAGCCAAGTACAGAATTGAAAAGCCCATGCCCAACGAAGTGACCATCTTCTACTGCCGTTCGGGGAAGCGCAGCCAAGACGCTATTAACCAGGTCGAGAAGGTCAGCCCTGACCTTGTCATTCGCAACTACCGCGGCTCCTGGCTGAACTATTCGGAGAACGCACTTGACAACAAGCCACTCAAGTAAACTCAAATGTAGCATTTTTCTTCCTCTTTATTCCCTCAAACTCATCGAATAACCAACTCAAGGCAATAAACGGGTTTTCTTTGTCGCATGTGCGTCTCGCTAGACGATGAAACATGGGCACAAAGGAACTGATCGATTTGCATGCGCATGCGCAATGGAAGCCCACGATGGTGCAATTCATGCTCAATATTATTAAATAATCACGTGAGGTGTTGGTTGCTGATCCGATCCGATTTGAACCGTATTTGATTTTGATTTCGATTTTGATTTTGATTTCGCATAAACAGGTAGGTAATGAAATCAAGACGCGAATAGCACGCGTCAAAAAGGAACACGTTAGTAAATTGACACCTTTTCTCTTCCAATTTGGCCTTTTTGTTTTTGTTCGTTATTCCCCCCCCCCCACAGCCTTTTTGAATTTACATTTTTATTGTTGGGAAATGACAACCAGCTTGACGGCAGAAACACTTACGCTTCAGGTGCTTCAGGACGGGCAGATAGTCACGTACCGCAAGCTCGCGCGCGAGCTCCAGGTCCACGTCAATACCGCCAAGAATATCATGGCTGCATTCTACGAAGAAAATAAATCAAAATGCCATGCAACGTTTCTAGTAACTGGCAACAAACGCCGCAACAACATTGACAGCGCACTAGCGCCGGTCCCGACACTGGAGCTGCTGGTAAAGCTTGTCCCCGAATCCGAGCTCACTAATGTTCAGCGCAGTCTGGACAATGCGGCCTACCACATTTACTCTGTTGAGCCGCGGCCGATTGAAGGAGACGAAGCGCTTGTTTTGGCCAATATTCTTGCTGGAAACTGCCGCGATATGGCCGATTTAAGCGCGGTTGGGAGCAGCGTGACTATGATGGATGTCTCTGGTAAAAGCCATGAGGTTGCTGACAGGCTGGCACAGATGGGTGTGGCTATTCCAGAGGCCAAGCCGGGATTAGAACAAAACGCTGCCAGTTTGAATGAGGAGAAGGAGGACGCAGAAGCAGAAGCGCAAATAGAAGCAGATTACGCCAGCATGGTCAGCTCCAAGCCGAAAATAGAAAAGGCGCCTGCCGCCAAGAAGCCTACCAAGACTGCTAAGGGAAGCAGTAGCACCGCGACCAAACCCACGGACGTAAAGTCATTCTTCGGACGACAGCTAAATAAAAAACCGGCAGCTACATCTGCGCCTGCCAAGAATATCAATATCAAACAGGAGCCGCAGCAGGACAGCTCATCTTTGAGCGCCACTGATGCGAAGGCCAAGATCAGATCAAGCCCGCCACCGCCACCCGAAAACAACGACGTTGACGTTGACGTTGAGATGCACAGCGCTGAGGAGAGTGAGCTAGAGCCAGAGGCAGCAAAGTCGCGCGTGGAGGATATGTTTGCTGACGACAACGACGGCAATGATGATCGTGAAGACTCTGGTGATTTGTCCAGAAAGCCTGTCGAGCAAGAAACCCAGTCCGAACTGGCGACGGATTCCCAGCTCATCGTGGATTCTGTCGTTGAAACTGAGTCTGATATAGAGATGGGAGGGCCCAGCCAGGACAACGGCAACAGCCAGCCCGCACAGTCCTTACAGGCGAGCCTAGAGTCCAACTGTGGGCAGTGCCGGGTGCGTCATCGTAGAAAGGTTACCAAGGTCAAGCACACCAAGAATAAGCGCGGGATGCTGGTAACCGAGACTGTCGAAGAGTGGGAGTCATATTCAGAGAGCGAGTCCGAAAAGCCGCCTGCCAAGAGGCTGAATACCACGTCTGCCAAACCCTTGCCCGCGGCTGAGCCATCAGACCAGAAGAAACCAGAGTCGTCCGAAACCAAGAAGGGCGCCACAAAGAGCTCCGCTCCGCAACGATCGATTCTCAGCTTCTTTGGTAAAAAAAACTAAGCTGTGTTCTTTTGCGCTTTGAGGTATCAAGATTTTGATATGAACGTGCAAAAAGCGTAGACATGAATGTTTTTTATTGCGAATATACAAAATTACAAAAGAAAGGTGGTTGAAGTAGAAAATAACATACAAAAATGATGCTGGTCCACAGATACAACGTGGCCATATGCATATGTCTACCTACCGCCAAACGTCACAACCTTCGGGTCCAGCGGCATTCCGGTCAACGGATCAATGCCATTGCGCTGCATCAACTGCTGTTGCCGGATAAGCCGCGCCTTGTCAAACGAAACACCACGGGTCTCCATGATTCGCCGCACCTCATCAGAATCAAGCCCGGGCCTGCTGTCCCCGTCCTCGATGTTTATCGCAATGTCAAAGTTCTGGCTGGTCAAACCCGCACGATAGTCGCTTACAAAAGCATTGTTATTGCCACCAGCAAGTATCTCGTCAAGTATCGCCAGCTGTCCCTGGCTCCGGAACCGGGCTAGACGCATATATAGCCGCGACTGTCTCGCAAACTGCCCGAAAAAGTACCACAGAGCTACAAGGCACAGTATGAAAAACGCCCAGTACACGTATTCCATGGTTGTCGATGCCGTTTATAATGTTGTTTTTTAGTGTCTGAGAGCGAGTGAATTAGAGAAATTCTGGTTCGTTATGTATAAAAGATATTAAAGGGCTGTGGATTGAAAGACAACGCAAAGCAAGGTGTTTGCGTGGGCAAGCGGCAGATGACGCCTCTGGCTATGCACGCCAAGAAAGCAACTGCTTGTTTGGTGTCTTTGTTAAAAGGGCGTGGCGGCATGCGGGGAATATCTCCCCCTTCTCCGCATAGGCACAACTTGAAATGCGAGTAACAAACCCTACAGATGTACAATCACGTGTATTAATTTAATTAGGATAATATTAAATCGGATTACACACTTTGCACCCCCGGCATGGGTGGGCAAAAATGGCATGGCGTCCAATCAAAGCGCCAAAGTTTGCGCAGGCAGCCCACAGCCAGCGTCTTTTTTGGCTCGCAAAGATAAACAAGCTAGGGCACGCCCAAGGAAGAAACAAGCACAACAAGTGTGTGCGATTGTCGCTTGGGCCCAACTTTTGCCAATTTGCCCAATAGCAACTCGCAGCGAAAATTTTACGCTAGATTTTTTTTTATTTTTTTGCTTGCTCGTTTTGCTTGCTTAGTCGACCAGCAAAATCTATTTTTTTTTGCTTGTCAAAGTTAGTTGGGGGCGGGGGGTGCCAGTTAGCTTGGGCTTTGAGCAGAGAGGGAGAAAGAAAAAAGCGATCTAGTGAAAACACTACCCGCTGCGAGGTTAGGCGTGGGCTCCTTCTTTTCTCCTTGTTTGGACTCGATATTTGACCCATTTCAATTCTTAAGGCCAGAAACAATTCAATTTCACAATGTCCGAGCAGGTGCGTATTTTTTCTAAATCTCGCGCAGTTTTGCGAGCGGGAATTTGCTATAGCTGATTGTAGCGTGTTTTTATACTCATTTGTGTTTGTCAGGGAGCCCACTGCTTCTTCTATTTATCCTCCTCGGTTACTCTTGGCGGCGCGGTACGCGCGGTATGCTATTGTGAGCTCAGCCCGAGTGGGTTTGAGAAGCAGACGGGCGGTCTGCTTGAGAGGAGGGAATTTGAAGAGAGTTGAGGGTGAGCCCTGATTTCATGAAAGAAAATTTTTACTTTGCCAAAAATATTGCTTGCACGCCTACAAAATGCACACACACAGACACAGAGAAACACGCGAGCCATGGACAACGAACAACGTACGGAAGCACTTGCGGAACCACAGCAGCCCGTAAATACCGGCTGACAACAGTGGTGTACTGAGAAAGCCTGGGCAGTTGAGCCAGACGGGCCCCAGTCTTTATATTATGAGGAAGGGCGATTCTGACATTATTTTGTGCTGCTGCTAGCAGACCAACTGCAAGGCAAAATTTTGCTAATTGGGCGAGAGCAGTTTTTAAATGGAGAGAGCAGCAGCAACAACATACGGTTTATAAGCTAATTCGAGAAGCTCGCGGCTTTGTGGTGTGTAGTTTACTTGCATACCCGAGGACTGCTTGGCCACCGCAGTGTCGTGGCCGTCGTGTTGAGACTTTGGGAGGTCGTTGCAGCAGCGACGATTGATTGCTGTATTGTGTGTTGTGCTTTTGTGCATTTTATAAGTTAAAATGCACCTCAAGACGCTGCGTTGTCTCCACATCCGGTGCACAACATAGCGTACCGGTCTTGCTGTTATATTTTGTTTTTTGTTGCTATCACTGCGCCAACAGCAATATCGCTAATCTTGCGCTTCCATGTTTTTGTCATCTATTTAGATTGAGCGTTCATTCCAGAAGCAGGAGTCCGTCTTCCTCAACGCCAAGAGCGTCAGCAAGAAGAACGCCCGTTGGTACAAGGATGTCGGTCTTGGTTTCAAGACCCCCACCGAGGCCATCCAGGGTACCTACATTGACAAGAAGTGCCCCTTCACCGGCAACGTCAGCATCCGCGGTCGCATCCTCACCGGTGTCGTTCGCTCGGTCAAGATGAAGCGCACCATTATCGTCCGCCGTGAGTACCTCCACTTCATCACCAAGTACCAGCGTTATGAGAAGCGTCACAAGAACATTGCCGCTCACCTTTCGCCCGCCTTCATTGGCGTCAAGGCCGGTGACTCCGTCACTGTTGGCCAGTGCCGCCCCCTGTCCAAGACTGTTCGCTTCAACGTCCTCAAGCACCAGAAGAAGCAGCTCAAGGGCTCCAAGATGTTCCAGAGCTTCTAATTTTTTCCTTTTATTATAAGGGTAGTTCTAAAAAGATTAGAGTGTAGCGGGAGCTTGTTTCCTGCTGCATCTGCCATTTTACGTATGTGCCTTAATTGAGTTAGAGAGAAACCTCTAAATGAATATGTCGATGCTTTGCAAATATCGTTTGTTATCCAGCTGACAGGAGTATTAAAATATTAAAAGACAAACCACATTCTGCTTGGGACCGGCAGTTTACTAATACTCCATCTTGATAGGATTGTCCAGCAAAGCCGACGGTGCCCGATGGTACATGGATGATACCCCTAAAGACGAGCCCCCGCCGACGTTGTTGCCAAACTCATTGAATGCTGTGTTTCCAGATGATCTGTTTATCGTCTCCGAATAAGCATCGGTGCGCCCTGGCACCTTGATCCAACCGCTTTCGACAAAAAAATCGTACAGTCTGCTTGTCTTGTTCACGTCAATCTTTACCAAGTCTCGCGCTTGTCGCCGCTTGAGCTGGCCAGTGCGCGCGTACTCGGTCAGCAATGTCTCTTTGACAACAAGGTACGGCCGCGGGAAAATGCGTAGACGCGCGCACACCTCTTTCTCGCTTTCCGATAATAGCTCAATACCGTCGGCGCCCTCGATATCCAGCGGGTTGATTGACTTGCGGATGGGGTGCTTATGTGATCCCAAAGAGTGCACATCTGCGGGCCCGGCGTCGCGGACGGTGCGCATCGACGCAACCTTTTGCAAGCGCTCTAGTAGATGAGCGCTATCGCGCAGGGTAGTGGCCCGGCGCGACAGCCGTTGGGACTTTTCGGCCTCGTATTGCGCGCCATCATCCAGGGTGGTGATTCCGTTGCGCCGCCACTCTTGAAGCTGCGAGATCCGATGTCGCAATGCGAGCTCGTTTAGCAGGCCTTCTGAAAATGCCTCGAAATCCTCCTTGGTCTGCATCCGCGCGAACACCTTGATCTTGTTGAGCAGGTCACGCTCCTCCTTTGACCGCTTCTTCTCTATTGCTTGGTTCTTGCGGTACTCCAGAAGACCACGGTCAAACATAAACCCCTTCCTGTACAGCCGCCGGTCGAGCTTGTTGTTGTATATCCGCAGCACAATCTGCTTCAGCTCGACCTCCTCGGGCGAGTCGTCGTCGTTGATCATCATGTCCTTTATGACCTGCTCGGCTTCGTTCTCGTACTCTGTCTCAAACTCCAGACGGCCGGGCATGTAGCCGACAATTTCGTGGTTGCTCGGCTGTGATGAAAGCACCTTGTATTTGCTCGGCGTCGAGTTCTTTCCCTTCCTCTCTTCTGATGTGCGCGCAAATTTGTTTTCAAACTGGCAATTCATGTTCGGAAGCGGCCACGAGTCGGACGCGACGTATACATCCATGTAATGCTGCTCGCACTCCTCCTTGGTCCGTGTGCCTACGTGCTCCGCAGCATCCTTCCAGTTACCCATTCCAAACTGCCGCAACCCATCGATGAGAAGCAGCTCCTCGTCGGCTGACCAGTCATGTGTGAATATGGGGAATCGGTGGCGAGTGACCACTCGGTATGCGTGGTTGTTCCTGTGTGATCCCAACTCAATGCCTCTGGAGAAACACGTCGTGCACAGATCAAACTCGGGGCACTCGTTACAGCTGATGCGCACGCTGTCTGTGACGTTCGCCTGACAGTTGTCGCAGTGGAACTTTTGCCCGACTATCCCAAATAATAATTGCCGACGTTGATGCCACGGATAAAAGCAATTGAAATGCACAATGGTTTAATACGGCGTTCGATGCATTGACGGTGAATGTGTGTTGCTAGAACCACCGGCTCTGAGCAGTGTTGGCAGCGCTGTCTTACCTTCGTCGCCAGGCGCTGCGCCTTGCGCTGACCTTGAGTTTCCTTCAGTCATGTTTGATATGTACAACAAAAGCGGCTGAGGTGAAGGTAAAGTATTAAACTGCCCTTAACTGAACCACTTGGAAGTGTGACAGCTAGGCTGGATGGTGGTGGTGGGTAAAATAAACTAACAAATACAGAGCGGGTCCACGAGAATTGAATTTTCAAGGCTAAGGGATGGGTCGCAAACCAGAATTATAATAATGCGTAAAGAAAAACGAACGGTGAATGTCTGGGGTAGGTCGCAGTGAGCAATTTGCTGCTGTGTGAGAGCCCCCTGCGAGCTGTTTGTTTGGGTATATTAATACAATAACGCGTGTAATGCTATGCACCGCACACAAACGAGTTTCGTCTCAATTCAACTTCCGTCTGCTGTCTGCGAGCGCGAGAGTAAGAAAGAGTGATTCAAGTCGACTGCCAGAGGCTAAAGGGCAAATGCGGACGTCGAATTTGAACTATAAACTTTTTTTCTTAAAAAAAGTCAGAGAAAGCAAAAATGAACAACTAAATACAAAGTAAATCGTATGCTTAAAGGGGGCAGCTCTGCATTTTGTATGCGCACATGAAAATTGGGCAACACCTGCACAAAAAAGGGTGCTTATGCCTGTGGTTTGATTGAAATGATCAGATTAGCAATTTAATCCACAAGTCTTGAGAACCAAAGTGGCTCTTACAATGTACACAAAGACACGTACAGGTTAAGATATAATATTATAAGCAACTGCAACTGCAACCGCACAATTTTGTGTTCAATTACGAACGCTGTCACTGCAAGTAAATATTTTTTAGATGATAGGCAACATCTCATATGCGTAGATATTTAGCGTTTAGCGATGTGGTATTTGTATGCTGGACTGATTTTTTTTATTTCAACTGCAACCCAATTAAGTACTAGACACAAGTGCACAAGCGCACAAGCGCACAAGGGTCCAACACGGGTGTAAAAACGGCTGCTATACTGTAGAAATAAAGTTTGGAGTCTGGCCTGCAAAACCAAAGGTTCTTTGTATTGACATTTTAAAAAATGAATTACACTTTTATATCATTTAAATGCACAAAGCAAAGCAAAGCAAAAGCAAAACGGGAGTGCCAAGCTTGTTTTTTGCTCGTTATTTCGTGGGTTTAATTTATTTTGACAAGTATTATAAGTTTTTACACAGAAACTTCTTCCAATTCTGCTTTGCTTTTTTAAATTATTATTTTCTACATTTCTCAACTATCTTATCTTTATTTTATTCTATTCTTTTTCTATTCTTATGCATTGCTTCAGCCAAATTCCGTACGTTATCATCAGCAAAATTATGCGTGTGTCCAACAGCGCGAACGAGCGCAGCCTTGATGCATGGGCAGACAGATTGCCGCTGATAGGCGTATGTCAAGAGTGGAGGAAAGTTGGAACCCGTTTGGTTTATTGCGACGCAATGATGGACGGATACGATCAATGCGGCACTGGTTTAATCGGGCGTTCAGAACACTCAGCAATTGCCGGTGGTATTATCAACACCAATATCAGACTAATAAAGGCCACAGGAAACACACACATGGTTAAAACATTGATTATAGACGTGAATTATATTCAATACTATCGCTCGCTGGTTGACAAAGTAGACTCTATTTTTTCGTTTGAAAGGTGTGACTGGAGTGGTGTGAGTAAAATTATAATTAGCGGCATTTTAAAGAATGACCCCCATGAAGGCGAGTCTCAGCTTAATTATTTACAAGATGCCCAGCAGTTCATTAAACTGATTACAAACAACATGCCAAATGTTAACACATTAGATTTGTCCAATTCTGGCCAAGATGGCCTGGGATCTGCTATCATCGGCATCCTGCCTGGATTTTACCCACACAGCCTTAAAAATCTTTCAAGTTATTTTCCACTTTTGCTAACAGATTCGGCCAGCTTCGGTCAATTGACGACACTCGATATTGATGCTAATTTACAATCTACACGGTGCATCCCGCAGATCTGCCCTCAGAGTTTGCAGAAATTAACACTGAGAAATGTCACTCCCTCATTTTCATGGAGCAAGCTAGTTAATCCCAATAAGGTCGACAATATTGTATTTCCGAATTTGCACAGTTTGCATTTGTGCTTTGAGGCGGATACATTTGAGAATTATACGCAGGATTTTACTCGACTGCGTTTTCCGGCCCTTGAAGTCTTGAATATCACAGCCCTGACATTTGACATTATGGAGCATGCTTTAAACTTTGACAAGTTTCAATGGCCAAGTGTCACCAAACTTCAATTAGATTTGCTTGAATTTTCTGAAGATAATTCGGCGCAAGAATCTAATAGTCTAATCCAGCGCAGCAACAATTTAGCAGCGCGTATTAAACACTACATGCCCAGAATAAGTCAAATGCGACTGGGCTCATATTCATCTAATAATATCGAGGTTCATTTTTACAACAGATTGGCCAATCTGTATACCGAACAGCTGGTTCGCATTCATTTCAATCACCCAACTACATTTACGTCAACCCAGTTTTCACGCGAATTAACACATTTGACACTCAACGCTGGTTCTAATACTCTGCAAAATCTTCCCAGAGTATTTGCCGAATCACTCAGATATTTGTCACTCGCCAATCTTGAATCAACTTTTACTTGGGACATGCTACAACAAGGATCTCTAGAATCGGAATCAATGTACTTTAAACAGCTGGAGCGCGCTCATATTGGTTATCAAAGGATTGGCACACATAATGGTTTGGATTATCAACATATTGCAGTTGACCAGAAAAAACAATACGACAAACTGCAGGTATCATGCCCAAGGCTGAAAAGACTAAGAGTCGATAATGCCACTATTAACAGCCTTCGACATATAGTGTCATGTGGCCCTAAACAGTGGCTTAATGTGAGGAATTTAAACATACGAATGATTGGATCCGAACTTGCACAAAATACAGACACAGATGTCCAAGCCATATACTTGTTCGCCAACAACTTTGTAAAAAGTATGCCCAATGTCAATAATTTAAACATGTACTCATCCAGCGGAGGCGACTTTAATTTGAATTGCTTTGGCAGCATTATTACCAACAGCTACGCTCACCAACTGATATCATACCGGAGCAATATTCCTGTCGTGTTAACTATCGAGAGATTTTCACCAGCACTTAGGCACCTGGGTATCAATATTGGCAAAGCCAACAGCTCGCTGCTGCCTAAAATAAATGCGACAAATATAGAGCAAATTGACATACAAGGAAATATAGATAACTTCTCTTGGAATAGCTTTGCAGACAACAATGATTCAGTTAGCATTATGTTCAGGAATCTGAAAAACCTTACAGTCGACAACTCCAACAAATACTATGTTGACACTTTAAAAAAGCAAGACGACATTACATTAACTCATAAATATCCGTACACATTGCACATGCCAAAGCTAAAAAAGATATACCTCTGCAATATCGATGATAACAGCAAGCTGTTAAATGCCTTTATTGACTACATACACATACGTAATGTCAACGTTGGCGGATCATACAAAACACTGAATTTGTTTGCTAGCTCAAAAGCGGGATTAATCGACTCATGCCACGCTTTTACAAAGCTGAGGCCCAACGATAACATGGATGCATTTTCTAAAACTTTAAACAGGTTCTTCGGAGACAAAACCAAAATAAAACACGCAGAACTTAGCTTGAACATGGGCAAGCCAAAATGGAGCACGCAGTTGATATCATGGACCAACCTCCACAGCCTAAACATTTCTCAGTCTATACAATTTGACACGCTAGTCGATTTAATTGCAAGGATTCCAAAATTGAGCGATTTATCCATTGACGACATAACCTACGATAGGTTTTCCGAAGTGGAGCTCAATCGAGTGAGACCGATTCTGGGAGATGTCAGCGAATTATGCATTTTTGGTACAGTCACTGCGGTCTCCAAAGATATTGGGAATGTCTGCATTAAATATTTATTGTTAGCATTTCAGTCACTGAAGCAACTTACTTTATACGGAGAAGAATTTGATCATGACACGTTTGTCAAAGAGTATGAAGAAAAGTATCCTCACATATCAGATATCAAGTTCGAGTAATCATCTTTTTTAGACAAAACAGGTTCAGCATTAGAAGCGTAGCGAGCGGAGTAGCAGTCATTTTCCAGGTTTAATTTTGTTTTAAACAATATATTAAAGGTATGACAAAAATATTTGAGATAATGCGAAAACGCATTTAGCACAGAAAATACATGTATAAAAAGTGAGAAGAGTGGGATTCGAACCCACGCCTACGAGTAGACCACGACCTGAACGTGGCGCCTTAGACCAACTCGGCCATCTTCCCAATCAAACTAGATTTTATAAACTAACTTATCATCTGTTGAACTATATTCCTTAGACATAAATACAAGTATCAAGTATATTAAAAATGCAGGTTTCGTACTTTTTACTTTGCGCTGTGATATGGTATAATATGTATTGCATAAGGAAACCGGTGCACCAGGTGCAAAAAAATATATTTAATAAATTAGGCCACGCTGTACTAAGTATAAGAGTAAGCACAGCGTTTGTTTGCCCTTTCCCTCGGTTCTTTTATTCTGCATCTGAGCTGCCCGAGCGGCAACTCATCTGGTGATTTGGCCTTTCCCACAAGCGTGCTCGGGTACCAGTGGCGAGCCACTCGCGCAGCATCGCCCGAAACAAAGCAAGCTACTATATTATAACCAAGTTTCTCTAATTTCTCTTTTATTTTTTCTCTCATCGACTCTCGTTTTATTTATTGTCAGCACTCGCGTATACACCAATATCGCAAGGCAGCCTTGCAGAAAAAACATGGATCTTGCAGGCAATCCAAGTACAAGCGGCGCGGGCGCGGACACTGCTAGCGTTGAAAAAACGCTTGAGAAGTACAGACAGCGGCGCAGACAGCTCGAGATGGAGGACGAGGCTGCGCGCCAGGCACACGCAATGGCTGTTCTGGCTGAGGACGCGGCAGTTGTCTTGGGCGCTGTTGAAAACAACCACAGCAGCAGTGGTCAGACACAACAGCAGCAGCAGCAGCAGCAGCAGCACCAGCACCAGCATAATCAGTCCCTGGCATCGGCCCCGGTGTATGTGTCCGCCAGGCAGCGGCGCATGGAAAGACTTGAGCGAATCCAGCAGACAGTGCATGGCGCCAGCGGGGCGACCCAAGGACAGCGCGATGGCCACAGCAGTGCCGCCGACTCTGATTCAGACATGGAGGAATCCGCAGAGCCGGCCAATGACAACGAGGCGGAAAGCACAAAAAGCACGCACAGCGTGTTCCCCGACAGATCAAAGAACCTGTCTCTGGTCGACCAGATTGCCAGCCTGCGCAAGAACCACCAACTGGCAGAGCGTTCCGCCGAAGAACGTTTGCGCGACGAGGAAACCGCGCTGCTCGCGGCAATCTCCCGGCGGCGCCAGCTTGCGTCAGCGGCAGAGCTCGCACAGGGCGTTGTCTACACGCAGCCGATGCGCACATCGTGGCGGCCACTGCCGCGGCACCGCGCGATGCCACCAGAGGAGATCACTGCGCGGCGCCATATGTGGGGCATCGCCATTGACGGCGAGGACGTGCCGCCGCCTGTGCTCACCTTCCGCTCGATGCGGCTGCCCGAGCCGTTGCTTGCGTATCTGGGCGCGCGCGGGATCTCCACGCCATCGCCGATCCAGATGCAGGGGCTGCCTGTGGCGCTGGCCGGCCGCGACATGATCGGGATTGCAAGCACAGGAACGGGAAAGACGCTGGCGTTTTCGCTGCCGCTGGTCATGCGCGCGCTGGAGGCCGAGCGCCGGCTGCCATTGATGCAGGGCGAAGGCCCCGTTGGTCTGATCGTGTGCCCGTCGCGCGAGCTCGCACGCCAGACGTACGAGGGCCTGGTGGCGATGTCCGCGGCGCTGGCGGAGTCGGCGGAGTTTAGGGGCGTGGAGCTGCGGTCGGTGCTGGCTATCGGCGGCATATCGATGCAGGACCAGGCGCATACGCTGTCTCGCGGCATCCACATGCTGGTGGCCACACCAGGTCGGCTCAAGGACATGCTGGCGCGACGCACGGTCAACCTCGACCTGTGCACGTACCTGTGCATGGACGAGGCCGACCGCATGATCGACGTCGGGTTCGAAGAGGACGTGCGCACGATCATGTCGCATTTCTCGCAGCAACGGCAGACCGTGCTTTTCTCGGCGACAATGCCCAAGAAGATCCAAGACTTTGCGCGCGCCTCGCTCATCAAGCCTGTGGTTGTCAATGTTAGCCGCGCAGGAGCGGCAAATATGGACATTATACAGGAGGTCGAGATTGTGCGGTCCGAGCTGCGCATTGCATACCTCCTCGAGTGCCTGCAGAAGACGCCGCCGCCGGTGGTTGTTTTTGCTGAGAACAAGGCCGATGTCGACGACATCCTCGAGTACCTACTGCTCAAGCACGTCGAGGCAGTGGCTATCCACGGCAGCAAAGACCAGGAGGAGCGCGAGTACGCGATGCGCGCCTTCCGCGACCACAAAAAAGACGTCCTCGTTGCCACGGATGTCGCGTCCAAGGGCTTGGATTTCCCCGAAATCAAACATGTCATTAATTTCGATCTGCCGCGCGAAATCGAAAACTACACGCATCGGATTGGCCGCACGGGCCGCGCAGGCAAGACTGGCGTTGCCACGACCTTTGTTAACTTGACGACGAACTCGGAGCACCTGTTGCTTGATCTCAAGCATATTCTGCTGGAGGCCCGGCAGCGCGTGCCGCCTGCTTTGCTTGCCATCCCTGACCCGACTGATAAGTACCGCCGGGCTGATGGCACGCTCGACACGTCGGTCGGCTGCCCGTACTGCGGAGGCCTTGGCCATCGGGTGCTCGACTGCCCCAAGCTTGCCCAGGAGCAGCGCACTCAGCAGGCCGCTCAGCGGCGCGAAGAGGGCGACGGTTACTGAGAATCTTGGTTGTATTGTGTATATTGGTCAGATGATCCGGGGCATAACTTTAGACTTTTTGAACAAAAATACATTAACAATTTGAGACATTTTTTTAAAAGTAAAAATTATTACCAAAAATAAAAAGGCTAGCAATACCTACATTGTAAACCACACATATATTTTTGTTCATTATTTGTATATTTATTATTTCCTACCACAATTAAACCATGTCATATTTCCTACCACATCTGACGAACGGATGGCAAGTGGACCAGGCGATTCTCTCAGAAGAAGACCGCGTAGTAGTGATAAGGTTCGGGCACGACTGGGATTCGCAATGCATGACGATGGATGAGACGCTGTACGAGATAGCCGAGAAGGTCAAGAATTTTGCAGTCATATATTTGGTGGACATAACGGAGGTTCCAGACTTTAACACGATGTACGAGCTGTTTGATCCTTGCACAGTGATGTTCTTCTTTAGGAACAAGCATATGATGATTGATTTGGGGACAGGAAATAATAATAAGGTTAATTGGCCGATTGAGGATGGGCAGGAGCTTATTGATTTGATCGAGGTCGTGTTTCGAGGAGCGAGGAAGGGAAAGGGCCTAGTGCTGTCGCCCAAGGATTACTCGACAAAATACAAATATTGAGATGCTAGAATTTTTTATTTTTAAAACGGAAGCCATAAACAATTTTGCATTGGTTATGTAGTACATAATTGTCAGCTAAATACCGAAATTTATTTTGAAGATTGGATATATATTTTTTTGCTGTGTTTTCATTTATTGGGATTAAAAAAATGATTTTTGTTAGGCAAGAAAGATTGTTGAGGGTTTCCAAGAGCACCAGCTTGGTGGTTCATATTTATGTCAAGGAGAGCAATAGGGAGTGGTTCACAGACATATTGTTTCAGGAAATGCTCCAGGCAATTCAGCCGGCGCTTCAAGACAAATTTTCCGAAAGCCGACAAGACAAACGAATGGTCAGCGTATTCACAAACCGTAAGTTATTATTTTTATTATATATTAGTATGGTTGCAACTATTATTTATTTTGATTATACATATTGAGTCGTGTATTGTTTTTATTTCCTTGCTGTCATGTAGGTGCATTTCGTGTGGGTTACTTTATTGACAAGAGTGATGGACAGAATATCAAGGTGTTGTTGCAAGAGCCAAGGGTCAAGAATGAAAACGAGACTGAGACTGAGACTGAGACTGAGGCCGAGGCTAAGGTTGGGAGTGGTGGATTGGAAAAGAACCTGTTTACGTATACAGGGTTGAGATCAGCCAGGAGTGTCTTAGTTTTAGTTCCGGAGCCGTTCGATGCCAACAATCCAATTGATCTTCCAAGCGTGCTAGGGATAAGCGTAGAATGAAGAAAAACTTTTTAGGTCCATAATAAGAATGGGGGGAAAGGATCAAGTCTTAAATGATGTAGATCAGTATAAAAAAGATTATGATTTTTCATATTCAGTTTTCATTATTTTTTATTTTTGCTTCAACAAAAATTCAAATTCAAATTCAAAATTTTTTATTCACGCATTGTCGTCTATTTTTATTTTTATTTTTATAAAAAATAAAAAAAGAAAAACAGAAATTCAAATAAAGGTTGATGCCACTGGCGCAGAAATGCTTTGGCAAGTTGTGTCGCGGCATACCACGGCAACACTTTATGCGTAAGTGGCAGCAGGAACAATGCAGTAAGAGCATATGCATCAGACAACACACAGATAATTCAGCAAAGGCAAGCCGACAGCCCAGCCCTCAAAGAAGCACACCGGGTATTTTCTTTGATCCCCGGCTCCAAAAGCCCATCGAGCTTCTACTAGAAGCGGCGCACACAAAGCAAATGCACACAGCATGGGCAGCGTACACAGAGCTCACCCGATTGGAGGCAAGCACAGGCGGGGGCAAAGCCGCCATACTCTTGGCATTGCACCGGGAGATTCCCGAAAAATCACTGCGCCAAATTCTACGGGCAGTCGCCCCAGGCTTCCAGCACAGGCAGGGTACAGCAGCAAAGCACAAGGGGAGGGAGGCAGAGGCAGAGGCAGAGGCAGAGGCAGAGGCAGAGGCAGAGGCAGAGGCAGAGGCAGAGGCAGAGGCAGGGGTGGAGGCGGAGGTAGAGGGGTTGCGGCTGGTGTTTCAGTACACGAAGCTGCTCAACTACCTTGTGCTCGTCAGCAGGCTGCATAAGGCCGAGCGGAATCGGCTGGCGGTGCTGCAGCTGTCGATGGGCCAGTGCATGCGGCGGGCGATCAGCGCCAATGTTGTGCGCACGAGCGAGGACGCGCAGAGGGTGGTCGAGGCCTGGCAGCGGATGGCGGCGGCGGAGGGTGTTCCGCTCGGGCTGTTTGACTTGCGGCTGCTGGTGCTAGGCGCATGGAAGGCGCGGCGCCACGCGCTCATACCACACCTCTACCGCGCAGCGTGCGCGCTGGCGGGAGGCACGGGGGCGGCGGCAGTGGCAGCGCCGGAGGCGGAGCTGTTCCGCAAGCTATCAGCAATCGTCATGTCATTTTACGTGCGCGAGCATGGTAGCGGCGTCAAGGCGGCGGTCATCAGGGGGCTGCTGGAGGACCTTAACCAAAGGCAGATCCGGCTGTCGCCCAGCCACTACGCCATGCTTGTGCTGTACTTTGGGAAGGCTGGGAATATGCCCGAGGCGCTGCGCGTGCTGGGCCGCGCCATGGAGGACCCGGAGGCTGCCGCCACCGAGGCGCTGTATTACAACACGTTCCGCGCGTTTGCCTGCTGCTTTGCGCGGATGCGGCGCGAGCGCAGTGGGGCGGGCTCCGGTGGTGTTGGGCCGGCGCCAGGCAGCACTGGTGATGCGGATCTGGGCAGCAGCGATGGCGCGGATCTGGGCAGCAGCGATGGCGCGGATTTGGGCTACATCGATGCCGTCGACGCCGACCTGGACCGCATCGGCGCAGGACCAACGCAGCACCAGCACCACCAGCACCACCAGCACCACCACCCGCCGCTGCCATCCGCTGCCGCCGTCAGCGCAGCGGCCACGTGCACGCGGCTGTTCCAGACAATGGCCTCACGCGAGATCCCGGCCGGGTTCCGCACGTACCGCGAGCTTATCAGCTGTCTGGTGGAGTTCGGGATGGCCGACAAGGCGCGGCGTGTGTTCGAGTTCGCAGTGGAGGGCGCGGCAGGCGGCTTTGTGCCGAGCGACTTTGTTCTGTTCTACGTGCGGCGCACAACGCGGTCGCCGCACGAGATGCACCTGGCGCTGCGCCACGCGCTGCGCACCGTGCCGGGGCTGCTGGCAGCCATGCAGGCCGTGCCCGGCGCCGTGCTGGCCGACCGCTTTGGCGTGTTCAACGGCGACTTGCGCGCATTCATGGCGTGCGAGCGGCGGCCGGCAGCAGCAGCAGCATCAGCGCCACTACAGCAACTCCCAGGCACACGCCCACCAGCAGCAGGGTCAGCACCACTACAGCAGATCCCAGGCACACGCCCACCGGCACCAGCACCGGCACCAGCACCGGCACCAGCACCACTACAGCAACCCCCAGGCACACACCCACCAACACCGCCACCGCCACCACCAGCAGGGGGGCGCGGCGGTGCGTTCTTGGCGCGGTTTATGAGTGGGTTGCGGCGGGCGACGCGCGCGGCGGTGTTTGTCAACTGCCTGATGGCCGGCAACGACGCGGGCGGGCGCTTCAAGGGCTTCAACTTCCCCAAGCTGGGGTCTGGGGCCGTCGAGGCCGAGGTCGCAGCCGCATGCGGCTTCCTGGCGCGCGAGCGGCGCGGCTGGCTGCTGCACCGCGACATCATCCATGCGCTGCTGCCGGTGGTGCCCGGGATGGCCGTGGCGGCGGACGAGCCCGAGGAGCTGCGGCTTGTGCGGCGGCTGGGCGGGTGTCGCACGGCCGGCAGCTTTGTCGCGCTGCTGGAGCGCGGCTGCGTCGAGGGCTACGACATTGCGCTGGTCAACCAGGTTCTGCGCACGCAGATGGGGCTGACCTTCCAGGCGTACGCGCGCCTGAAGGCCGCCGGCCATGCGCGGCTGTTCTGGCCGTCGTTCATGTACACGCAGGCGAGCGGCTGGACGGACGCGCCGCTCTATGGCGCCAGCGCGGGTGCAGGCGGGCTGGGTGCTGCGGCTGTGCGCGAGTCCTGGGACTTCCTGGCCGCGCGCCTGCACGGCGACGCCAGCACCGACGCGCTTGTGTCGAGGCTGGCGCCCGACGCCAACACCATCGGCATCATGTCGAAGCTGGCCGCGGCCGCCGGCGACCGCGCCCTGGGCCAGCGCATCTGGGACGACGTGTTCCGCGCGCCGCCCGCCGCCGCCGCTGCCGCCGGGCCAGTCCCGCGGCCGCCGCTTCTGCAGGGCGTGCGCATCTACAAGCACTACCTGTGCCACCTGTCGGGCTCGCCGGGGGGCGGTGCGCACGCCCGGCATGCGTTCAGCGACAGCGCGTTGGCGCTGATGTTCGCCACGATGGGCCGCAACAACGTGCAGCCGACGCCTGGGCTGCTGTGCCAGGCGCTTCGCGTTGCGCTGGAGTTCGGCCAGCTCGATGTTGCTGCGGCGCTGGAGCAGTGGCAGCTGCACCGGGAGCGCGTGGGGAAGGCGCCGGCGGGCTTTTTGCAGGGCTTTTTCGCCACGCGCGAGCTGCCTGAGCTGCCCGTGCGGGCAACGTCGGTGTTGGCAATGGTCAGGGGCCCCGCCACGGGGTGTCCGCTCTTGTCGCAGTATATTGCGAAGCAGATCCACTAGCTCTAAGCACAGGTGCCCCTGCTTTTCCCCCTTTGTTTTTGTTGTTCCCACGTGAGGTCGATCCTTTTATCCCCCCTTAATTTTACCATGTCCTCACCCCTATTTTTTAGCTCTTTTTTTGCTTTGACAATGCGGATTTAAACCGGAACATCTTTTTTTGCATTTTGTCAGCTCGATAGCCTGTAGAAATCGTCAGCGATTGCGTGATCGGTGCGCCGATATCACACACCTTTTCTCTAATTGGACCACTTGCAAATACAATAGAAAAATGCGTTTGGCAGAAAACAAAATTATTTTTTCTTTGGGGGCTGGGTGTATAAAACAATGCCAGTGTACTCCACTCACCCCTTTCCTCAACTTTTCAAAGTAGACTTTTCAATTTTCGTACCACTTTTTATCTTTAAGCTAAGCTACATACCACACAATGCTTCCGTCAGTAAAGGAGCTCCTGGCGTCAACCGCCCACATGCACATGCACATGCACATGCACACGCCCAGCACACTCACCCTGCCAACCATCCTCCCCCAGCACCAGCACCAGCACCAGCACCAGCGCCAGCGCCAGGATCAATCCACATCAGAAAAGCAACGGCCAGGCCGCAAGGCCAGATCCCTCGACCGGTACACATCACCAACAAGACAGTACACATGCGGTATCCAAACCTGTCTAGCCATATTCAAGCGACCGGAGCACCTAAAACGCCACATGCTAACGCACACACAGATACGACCCTTCCAATGTTTATCGGAGACTTGTGGGAAGCGATTCAGTCGGAGGGATAATTACATTACGCATATGAGGAAACACCAAGATGATGCGTTATTGCAGGGGGAGGCCTGGGTGGATGGGGTGGAGGAAAGAGAGTCGTCGGCGGTTGTGTCCTTGGGGTCGACGACGCCGCCTTTGCGTGATTCGCCGGGGTTTGGGAGTATAAGGGAGTTGCTTAATTCTGATTGGGAGCCGTGTTTGGAATTGCAGCGGAGACAGCAGCAAGAGCAGCGGAAAGAGCAGCAGCAGCAGCAGCAGGATGACTTGCTGAGAAAGCGCCGGAAAAATGACGGTTTGCCTCCGTTGGAGCTGCTGGCGCTTGCGTCGACACAATCTCCTCCAATTGCGGCCGTCGGTTCTGTACATGATGAGACTCCGACCACAAAAGAGCCATCTTTCTTTTTTGCAAGTAGCTTTTCCTCCTCCTCCTCGTCCACACCCTCTTCTCCTGGGTTCACCCTTCTATCCAAGGACTCTTCTCCCCCACCGCCTTCTTCTTCTCACCAGCAGCAAAAACAGCAGCAGAAAGCGGAAGATATGACAAACATCATCGTTGTTTCTTCCACTGCTAATACTGCTGCCGCAATGGGTGGGGATCCCGCAAAGCCATTTATGTGCTCAATATGTGAGTCGCGCTTTGGGAGACTGGAGCATGTCAAGAGACATCATTTGGTGCATACGGGACAGAAAAAGTACGAGTGCCCGGAGTGTAACAAGACATTTGCAAGGAAGGATAATATGATTCAGCATTTGCGTGCGCATGATCGTGACCGCGGAAAGGGCGCCGCTGGGGTGTCTAGTCTATGAGTATATATCATTTTTTATTAATTATTATTACGTTGCTGATGGCAAATCCAAAATCCAAATACTAATAAATAAAAAGGGTTTTAATCATTTTTTATTGATTTGATCACCTCCTCTTTCCCCCCTTTGAAAAAAACTTTGAAAAAAATAAAGGGAGGGGGAGATCCTTAAAACACAAAAACACTGTACACACGCATACACTGAAACATCTTGGCTTTTTGGTTGCGTTTATTTTTTCTTTTTCTCTCTTTTTTAAATTTCAATTCACATTCCCCCAGTTTTAAATTAGTCTTTATTCTTTGCATTATAATTCACACACTTCCCCTCATTTTCTCCTTATCTTTTTTTAATAAAAAAATTACTATGAGCGGAACAGTTGCTCGCCGGGCCAACAACCTGCACCGCAACATAACAGTCACACCCTTCCTCAACAAACTCTACAGCATGGTAGACGACACAGACAGCGACAACCTAATAAAGTGGTCCGACGACGGCAACTCCTTCGTCGTAATCCGACACGAAGAATTTGCCAAAGAAGTACTCCCACGCTTTTTTAAGCACAGCAACTTTTCTAGTTTCGTTCGCCAACTTAATATGTATGGTTTTCATAAGGTGCCGCATTTACAACAGGGCGGGCTGATTTCGGATGGCCCGGATGCGGAGAGCTGGGAGTTTAATAATGATAATTTTCAGAGAGGTCAGCCGGACCTTTTGCACTTTATTAGGAGGAAGAAAGGGAATAGGGATGTTGGTGGAGGTGGAGTGGTTAGTTTGGAGCAGGGGGTGGGGACTGGAGATGAGGATACGGATGAAGAGACTGCGGCGCATGTGACAGCAATAACCGCTGCGGCTACAGGGGCAGCATCGGCAGTGAAGGGATCTGCGGGTAACCTACTAAAGTCCGGTACTGCCAATACAAGCGGAACAACAACAACAGCAGAAGCAGCAGCAGCAGCAGCAGCGGCAACAAAAACCAGGGCATCTAGGACGCCGCCTGTCAATTTAGCGCGGATCCTCAAGGAGATCCAAGTCATACGGGACCACCAACTGACGATCAGCTCGGATATTAAACGACTGCAGGAGGAGAACCAGTCCATGTGGATGCACGTCGGCGAGAGTGATGAGAGATACAAGAGGCAGCAGGACACTATTGACAAGATACTGCAGTTCCTCGCGTCTGTGTTTTCTGCGGATTCTAGACACTCAGAGATTCAGATTCCGTTGCGAAGGCTTATTTCTCATGACTCGACAGAGTTTTCCAAATCCAATGATAATACCGGCATTGGCAGCAACAGCAACAACAGCAACAGCAGTAGTAGCGTTGGTATTGGTAGTGGCGGTTCGGTGGGTGCTAGAGCTAACACACGCACAACGTATAAGCAGCCGAAACCCCAGCAGCAGCAGCAGCAGCAGCAACAGCAACAATCGCATCAACAAAAACAGCAGCAGCAACATAAACAGCAACAGCAGCAACATAAACAGCAACAGCAGCAGCAGCAACAGCAGCAGCAGCAGCAGCAGCAACAGAGAAATTTGTATCAGCACTTGGGCAGCTTGGGCCATTTGTCGTTGGCCAAACCCAGAAACAGCATGGCTACGCCCAGGACACATGCGATATTCGAAGAGATGGATTTTCCCGATGCCTTCTCAAATAACACAGCACAGCATCAGCCGCCGCCAGAGAAAAGACAGAGGACGAATAGTATGAGCGAAAGGTTTTTTGAAATCCCAGCTGGATCAACATCGTCGTCACCAGCGGAATCCACAGGCCAGCGCACTCCGCGCAAAACAAGTACTGCTACCAATAAAGCGCCGGGAGCAGCAACAGCTGCTGCAGGTGGGAAATCAGCGGAGATTAAGCGCAAGGTACCTGCTGCTGCTGTCAGTAATGGTAGTGGTAGCCAGATGATGTCGTCGAATGGCAGTATGGTTGGCCGACTGACTTCGAATTCAAAGTCACTGGAGAGAATGGGACAAGAGTCAGAGTATGCCGGACTGAGCATTGAGAACCTCATGCGCATGTTCACTCCCTCCCAGCAAGGACAGCAGCAACAGCATAATCAACAACAGGGACAAGGTGACATTTCCATGGATTATTTGCCGCTGAGCAGCAGCAATGTCACCAAGCTTGCAGATTTCATGCCACCGGTCAGTGGTATCCCTACACACACCGATGTGGCAGGCTCTATGGCAGTCGATGACAGCGCGGCTGCACACTCGCAGGCAATTGGTTTCCCCGTCCATGGGTCCGAGAGTACCGACCAACTGGCGCACTTGCTTTCTGCCGATGATTTCAATAATCTCACGATGCTGTCCAACTCCGGAGTGGCTGCGGCAGGGGAGGCAGCAGTGCCTCTGGTAGGGTCGGGCGCCAACCTGGCAGCCAATATGTTTGATGGCGCCGGGCTTGCCTCGCTGTTCGAGTACATGGCAAACCAACCGGCTGCTGCTGCTGCGGCTGCTGCAACAAACATGCATGTCGGAAGTGGAGGCACCGGCGGCGGCGACGCGTATGAGAGCTCCTTTATGGGCAATGGTAGTGGTAGTGGTAGCGGCCAGGCGTACGGCACACAGTGGCTCGTGGATGCACTCAAGTCGCTTACGCCGGAGCAACAGCAAAGCATGTATAACTATTACAGGAACGCAGGACACGTGAGTCACATTCCATTGCTGACTGCGGAGTCGCAGGATTCTATGGATATTGGTAGTGGCGCTGATGGGTCGTCGTTTTTAGAGTTTGTCGATCCCAATGCCGAGAACATAGAGGGTGGTGGTGGTGGTAGTAGCAGCAGCAGTGTTGACGCAGTAGGCGGTTTGGGAATTGCTGATATTTCTTCTTCTGTTTCTACGTCTGGCATGGGGTCGGCTGAGGATGACTATGGAATACTGTTCAAGGAGGCGCTTGGATCGGATATTGTTGGGCTTCCTGATGTTGATGCTGCTGATTCTGCTTCTACTGATGCTGTTAGTTCGGTGGTCGATGTGTCGGGGATTCATCCGGATCTTGCGGCCACTCTGTTCCACACGTCACCGGTGGCGGCGCCGACCTCAGATGTCCTGGAGATGCTGAATAGCCCTGGTTTGAATCTTGTTTCCGCCTCTTCAATGCAGAGCGAGCCCAGTGATATGTAAACTTTTTTGGAGATGGGGGAGGTCATTTAAATATAATTAAATAATTAACTGATTTTTCTTGCTGCGCGAAAAAGACGCGTTTTTCGAATGGGGGGAATTTCTATGCAAATAATGCGTTTTGTTTCCCCGCAAAAAAGAAAAGAAAAGCAGAAAACAACGCTCTTTTTCACCCTCCCTTTTTTCTTTCAATTTATTTATTTTCCTCACTTACACTTGTTGATTCAATCCAGAAAAAGCATGCCGAAAAAATACCATTTCTAACACATTCAACAGCCATGTCACCACACATATACTTTCTTATCGACACCAACGCATTCAGCAACACGCACAACCCCCTAGCGATCACCAACACAGTAACGCGCATCCTCGTGTACCTCGCAAGCAAGCATGACACTCTAACGTGGAATTACGAGCTACTTGACACCACCACCACGCGCAGCCGCACAACCGCGCAGACCCGACGCAAAACCGGCGAACGTAAGCAACTAACAATCGAAGCTCTGGGTCAATTCAAAGACCACTTGCGTAATACATTGACTGTGAGGAGATCCGTGGGGGTGCGGGCGAGGGCGCCGTTGGATTCACTGCATGAGCGGTTGATGTGCTTGGAGGCAGATGTCGAGTGGGGGGATCCCGCGATGATGCGGTCGCCGAGGAGAAGTGCGATGCAGGGGATGGATCCCACACGGGCAAACGACCCCCTATCGGTGCGCAGCCACCTGTATATTATTAGCGACAGCCCGTGGTCACTGGAAACTCTGGACTTATTCATTGGCACGCTCCATCCTGCTACTGTCTCCGCTGTTGTGGCGGCAGCGGATACCACTAATGCAGATGCGTCTCTAATGGAGAAACTAACGCGGATGCGCGATAGTCTCGTGGGTAATGGCATTTGGGAAAGTTACGCGCGTAAACGCGTTGGCATTAATTGGATCAGGCCACAGGGGCGGACAATCCCAGGGATGGATCCGGTCGAGATCCTGATTGACTCTGTGTTCGCTTGTTGTTTGGAGTCCCTCGGCGGATGCGTTATGTCAGTGGATGAGCTGAGCACACCCGGGGTGCTGTTCTCCAGTCGGTTTGCTCCCCTGCACCGCGTGCGCACGTATCCGAGCTGGAACCGCAAATTCGCCGTGGAAATTTCCGCTGTTGCTGAGCATTTTGCTATTACCAATGCTACGGCGGAGAGTGAGTTACTTGGGGGTATGCATATATGGAGGATTCACTGCCCTCAGCAGCAGCAGCAGCAACGGGGTGTGTTTGCAGGGTTTGGCGGCGAAGATGTAGTGCTGAAAAGGGTGCAGGGGTGGCAGCGGCGGCAGAGGCAGAACTGTAGGTGGCTTGTGGATGGCCGGATAATGCAGAAATATGATTTGCCAGAGATGGTCGCGCTGGCCGCAGAATACAAGCGGACACTGGAACAGCAACAGCAACAGCAGGAGGACGATTTGCATTGGTCTGGGGAGAAACACAGGGTTTTGTTGCCCCTGCTTTGCGTCCCATTGTGTATGTGGCCGGTGGTTGTTCGCATGACCGTGGGCGGCGCACCAGCGATGTTTGAGAGTACAGGTGGTAGCAGCGGAGGCGAGCATTGGGCGAGCGATGGTGTGTTTGCCCAGTCTTTTGTTGTAGCACAGGCTGGAGAGGGTGGTTTCTCGGGGGCGGCGTATGTTGCGATAGTGCCGGTGGGCGGCAGGACAGTGGCTATATACGAGATGGATGCATGCGCGTACGCGGAAGTGTCGCGGATGAGCGCACACGGGGAATCAGCACAGGGCAATGCTAGCAATGGCGGAGACAGCGAAGAGGATTTATTTTCCTTGGCTTGGATCGAGGACTGGGCTTGGAAGGTACCCGGCGGGCTGGATATCGAGCCTCGTGAATCTTGTGTTATTAATGTTAGCTTTGAGTATCCACAGCATGAGGCAGGTTTCCCGGGTCTTGCTAGCTCAACATTATCTGCCTCCTGCGCAGCGCTTCCCGAGTGCAGTATGGATACCAGCAATTGCAACGATATGCACGATGCTGGCGAACAAACGGCGCTGTGTGATTCTGTTCCGGTATCCACCTTGGAGGCATGGTACGTTGGCGTGTATCTGAAGGTCATTCGGCAGCCAATCTCCAAATTTGACCACGCATTGGACTCCCTGGGTGCCCTCCTCGACAGCTTCCCGGCAGAAATAGCTCACGATGGCAGCAGTGGCGAATTGCCTTCGATGCTCAATATCTTGCGACAATCTGTGCTTTTGCCCAGCTCGGCCGTCGAGGATGCCTTTGATAATAGCGGCCAAGACCTGAACAAAGAAAGCACTGCATTTTCCGATTTCTACCTCGCGTCGAGGCTGCATCGGGTCAGCACAATGGTGGGCGAAGATACCGGCGCCCAGCGCATGTGGCAGCTGAGCGAGTGTCAACTCCAGATACTGCTGCATCTATTTGTCATCGACCGCATGCACACAGTCTCCAATAACGGTTGTGCGGAGCAGATAGAGCAGCTTTCAAATTCATTACGCGATCTCGTCGACTTGATGTGCATCTGGGTGTCGATGGGCGACCTGGATGGCATATCTGGTGTATCGCCAGGGTCTATTGCTGCCGCTGTTGCCTTGTTGGGTGATGGTGCGGAGTGTCCGAGTGATCTGGCCTCAGCCTTTGTCAGTGGCCCACTGGCGGGTCGCTTTGCGACTAGCCTGGGTGAACTTGTCGAGGAGCTGCGTGTCCAGTGTGGATGGGTGCCGCAGACGATAGATAGCGGCAGTGATGTGGCGGAGTTGGGGGATTTGGAGGGTGGGTGTACGGGCAGTGATGATATTCTGGGCGAGGGCGGCAGGAGACGCAAGGGTACGCCGCGGAAGATCAGTAGGAGCTCGGGCGACAGATCCGAGGTCATTGTGCATCAGCGACACCAGATCGCCACAAGTGGTAATTCTGGACGCAAACTGGCCAGACACCTGGACGAGCTCATAAGCAGCAGCAGTGGCGGTGGTAGCAGTAGCAAGGCATATTGCGATTCAAATCCCAGAAGCAAGCTAACATCGAGCAACCGAGCTGTACTTGGAGACTCACGGCAGCAGAATCAGAAATTGGCGCATCTCAAAATGCCCGCACATCTTATTCGCCAGCTTAAAAGCGAGGTGGTGTCGACTGCGCATTCGGCTGCAAAGCCTCGGCAAGCCACCTCAACCACCAAGCCTGCTGCCATGGATAGCAGTGGGGGTAATATTTGGGGTGTTGGGAGAAGTAACACTTTGCGTCGGAGAGTGCAGAGGCGGTTTCCAGAGTCGAATAGCTCGCCATTGCTCGGGTATCATGCCAGAGAAGTGCGCCGTGTCCCAGAAGAAGAGGATATGTTATCCAACAATAAGCGCCAGCGCATTGGCGAGCGCTCCCATGCTGGTGGTGCTGGTGCTGGGAGCAGTCTTTCTGCAGTCTTTCCGAGGTCATCATCTACCGCACACGTTGGCTTCTTCTGTGACCGCGTCTCAATTAATTCTGGCGGAGCATATGTGGAATCGCAGCATATATCCAGTGCTGTTGGCGTGTCGGAGATGCACGGCGTATTTTCTCATGAAATGTTTGAGGTTTCTTCGGATGATGAAGATGGTGGCATTTATATTTATGATCACAGAGCTGCTCAAATTTGAAAATTGAAATATTAATAAAGGTTATTTTGCATTTTTTTTTAATATTTTGGATAACGCAGTAAGAGTAAATATATTTAATTTATCACATGCCATGGAGCATACACGCATCAATTGCTCCTGTCTGTATTGTATTATGTATGCTTGAACACCAATTGTTCTTTTATTGTATATATATTTTATCTGCGTCGGATTGGCCGCAAGACACATACATATGCACGCACGCGTGTACGCATGCATGCGTGTATATATATATGAATATATATTATGTTGTTCAAAATTACAATATTTGTACATTATTTTAACACACCAAAAATGTGGATATATTAAGCTTAGCCGACAGCCGGGGATGGAAAAATTAGACATTTTTGTTGCAACTTTTAATTCCAAATAACTCGATTTTTTGCTTTACGTTTTACACACAAACAAGTAGATTTTCAGAATGACCGACCAGGAAACTGTCCAAGACAAGCACGAGTTCCGGTACTCAATTACAAACAACATCTCGTATATGTATCAAGTGTACTGCTCATACATGCTAGTATACAAGAACTCCGAGCTTTGTAAAGACTTTTTGACCCCAGAGACTTTGCAGTCAAGCTTAACCGCGCTAGTTCGCAAGCACTACCAGCCCATTTCCGGCTGGTTCAACATTAATAGCGACGAAATCGACGTGGTATTCCGCAACGACAAGTTCAATGACCCGCCATTTGAAACTCAAGTGCTCCCGATGAATTATGAGGAGATCATGGAACGTGTGCATGCCAGCGACATAGAACTTTTGGTGCCCAAGGGGCCATCGGGTCTCATATCAAAAGATAACCAGGTCATTCCGATGGTTCTGGTCAAGGCTACATACCTTGAATCCAACGAGGCCGTGGTGATCGGCATCACATACCACCACTCGCTCATGGACGGTTCCACATTTTGGCTATTCATGTATAACTGGGCCAACCTGTGCAAGCAAATGATCAGCGGTGAGAACAGAAACATCGATGAGTACACATTGCCGTGCCCGCCGTCCTTTGGGTTCCCGAGCATCAACCATTTGCACGAACCAAACACGACATTCAATCACAATGAGTACACGTTGGTTGACGCAGCAAAGTGCCTCCGGGAATTTATACCTGGTAACGACATTATAAAGGAAAGCATTCTCCATATTTCCATAGAGCAGCAGAGGGAGATCCGTGTCTTGGCAAAGCAGCATGGCGTTTCGTTTACTTCCATGCTTTGTGCCATGTTTTGGAGAGAAACCAGCATTCTCCGGCTCGCCGCCAAGCCGTCAATCGGCACATTAACCTCGCTCTTCACTTGTGCGGTCAACCCACGGGCATCTCTCGGGATCTCCAACGACGTGTGTGCCAGCCCTGTGGTCAACCTAGCTGCGACCAAAACCATAGACGAGCTTGTCACCACTCTGGACCTCCAAAGCACCGCGCAACTCGTGCACCAGACCATCACCAAGGGCTCCGCAGTGTACATCAGCAGCTCCATGGACTTTTTGCTCAAACAGCGAAGAACTGAACTTGAAAACGAACGGAGCGGGGCAATGGATGGCAAAAAAGCTATGCTTTCTTATGTTTGCCCGGTTGAAGCAAAATGCACTGTTTCTTCGAGTCGCAATTTTCCCATATATCAGACCGACTTTGGGTTTGGGAGTCCCGTGTATGTGAGGCCGCCATATTTGCCGTTTGAAGGGTGTCTGCGTATTTGGCCGACTCCGCAGTCGCCGGGTGATGGGCTGGCTAACAAGGAAGCTCCGTTGGAGGTTTATTTGTCCCAGCCGGATTACATCAATCTATCATTATCCCCGATTCTGCGCCCGTTTATTGTAGATCCAAGCAGTAAATAAGTTTTGTTTTGTCTTAATTTGCCTCACAATAATATTCAATTTTCATTAAGTGGAAAAATAAAAATTACAAAGTTGCTTTATTAACCCACTTATGAGGACAGCCAAAAATATGGACGAAAAGCTCAGTCCGGACCGAGGTCTGACTCCAACCACATGCAGGAACTACAAAAACTGAAATAGCTAACGTAACCCCCGGAATCAATGTGCTTTTATTGTGTTGGGTTCAACACTTTATCCTCTCTGAGAGCAAAGCTTTGTGTCCTCAACCATGGCCTTCTTGATGTTCAGCACCCACTCCTCCAAAAGCAGTATGGACAGTGACAATGTGTACGCATGGGCAGACACGACCCTCAACAAATTGGGGCCCCACCTCTACTACAGCTCTGACACCGGCGGCGGGCGGACAGTAGAGCCGTGCGCGCAGATCGCCATGTAACCCTGTGTCTCCGGCTGCCGGCAACCTCGGGGCGAGAAAAACCCCTGCCTCACACCACAACCGTAAAGATAACAGAGGCTGCGTCTGACGCTTTGACAATTTTTTAAAAGTTAAAATTTCCATTTCAGAGCCGATTTAAGCAATTTCCGCAATTTTTTGCGGCATTTAACTCGCGGGTCAAAAATATGCGGGTTTCAGTTCTCACTGATCACAGCTGATCACAATATTAGAAAAATGCTTGCATTATTGCCACTGAATAGGAAGCACACAGATCACTTTTTTTTTCTTAACGTAAGACTGAAACTTTTTTCTCTTGGCGTGTACCTCGTTCATTTATTTGATATATATTTTTCCTTCGTATTTCCTCCCCTTTTTCTTCTAGAGGTTTTGTTTTTTTGATCGCCTTACTTATTTTTATTAATTCCTATTAGCAATTCCACGCCGTTTATATTCCACTCTTTCTTTAAACACACACAACCACCCTGCATCAAACAAAGCACGGCGATTATTCTGTCTGACTCGATCCAGTTGTATCCATGAGCCAGCTAATGCTTCGGGTCCTGCGGCCATTCAGCCGCGCAGCACCTTTCAAAATGATCTACCAGCAGCCCATACAAGCATCGCCGCGGTCATCGATCCTCTACACAACACAGCAAATCTCCGGCGGGATCAGATCCCTGCGCGCGTTCTCCCAGCAGGCAGTTGAAGCAGATGCGGGCGTCATCCAGCCACTTGGCGAGAGAACCTCCCTTTTTGCCTCTCCCGACGAGAGCCCTATCTCTATGCGCGACATGCGCGAGGATACCAGTATGGTTCACTATATACAGACGGGAAAGTCCTTGACCGAGCAGCTATCGGTTATGCAGGCTTGTTTGATGAATGGCAATGTTGAGAGGGCGCAGCGGATTTTGATTGGCATGTACAAGTTGTACCCAAAGGCTATGAAGGACGTGGCGGACGTTTCGGTGCACAATGAGATTTTGGGCGGGCTCATGGCCGCGAAGCCGCAGCCGCTGTCTACCGAGGCACTGCTCTGGTATGACCAGATGGAGCGGCTGTATATGGTCAAGCCCAATGCCAATACATTTGCTATTTTGATTCGCGGGTTTGTTGGGTAAGTAAAAATCAAGAGAAATGAAAATGTGGTTTTTATTGCGATTTGCCTGTCGTGTCGCACACAGTACACACACAATTGTCGATTCACACCAACAATAACTAACCATTATGCCTACACTTTTTCATATCCTTCCTTTTTCGACTGAATTGTAGGAACGGCATGCAGAACGTTGGTGTTGTATTGATGCAGGAGATGCTGCGGAGCGGCCACAGTTTCCACGACATGCTGCTCAGCTCGTACCTTTCGGACAAGGACATTGACAGTATTAGAGACGTGGCGCGCGGCATTTTGAACAGGGGGGCTGAGAACGCAGACGTGGCCACGAAACTTCTCGATGCCGTGCATGCAGCTGAAATCAAGCTTAAAGACCTTGAGAACGATCCTAGTGGCACCAGCAGCAGCAACGACGCCGATCTGCACACAACAGCTGAGAATGACACCGAGGGGTCCAAGGCGGCCAAGGGCAGCGTTTTCAAGCTTCATTCGTCAAAGGTGCTCGGCATCACCCAGCTGAAAGATACCCTCCAGTCCCTATACACCAACGAGCTTGATGGCTACAACCTGCAGATGCGACTGGAGCGCGACACGTACGATGCAGCCATCGCCCGCTCGCGCGAGATCAACAAACAGCGCGGCGATCCTCTGCTGCAGACAGACATCAGCCGCCTAAAAAAGCTTACCGCTACATGGCTCCCGCAGCTCGAGGCCCTCATCGAGGAGGAGCAGGGTCGTTGCCTGCGCGCAAAGGAGAATGCGGGCAACGACCGGGTGCGCGAGCAGTACGGCAAGTTCTTCAGCTGGCTGGACGCGCCCAAGATTGCAATCATTACGATTCTCGAGGCCCTGCGGCTGAACGCGATCGAGCAGCGAACTAATAGCAGCGATATGATGCCAAAGTTTGTTGGTGTCAAGACCATCACACTGGTGACCAGCCTCAGCAGCGCGGTCCACGACGAGATCCGCTTCCAGCGCATGAAGGACCGCACCAACCGGCACATCATCGGTCGCAACATGTCGGTTGCCAAGCTCGCGTCGTCGGGAAAGCTGTTCAACATGGCTGTGCGGCGAGCACAGGCGCACCAAATGCGAGCAAACAGCAACCAGGAGTGGTTGGACTCCTGGGATGTCACGACAAAGACACGAATCGGATCGCTGCTGATCTCCATGCTGATTGAGGTGGCGCGCATCGAGGAGACATCCGTCGACCCGGTGACAGGAGAAATGACTACGCGCATGGCGCCAGCGTTCACGCACGACTATATTGTCAACCGCGGCCGCAAGTATGGAGTAATCATTCCGCACAACCTTCTGCGCGAGATGTTCAAGGAGGACTCGATCGCCAGTACTGTCAGCGCACGCCACTTGCCCATGCTAGTGCCGCCACGGCCCTGGCTGACGTACAACACGGGCGGCTACTTGACACACGACGAGCCCTGCATGCGTATGAAGGAGAGCAATGAGCAGCTGCGCTACCTCAAGGTGGCTTCCAACGAGGACCGCCTGTACACACTGCTGGCTGGTCTGGATTCGCTAGGCCTGACCAAGTGGGCCATCAACCGCACGGTGTTCGATGCCGTGCGCAAGGTATGGAACTCTGGAGTGGAGCTCGCCGAGATCCCGGCCAGCAGCTACGATGTACCCGAACCAACCAAGCCCGCGGACTTCGACACCAACGACAAGGCCAAGCTCAAGTACTCTTTTGAGCTACGCGAGTGGAGGAATGGCAGCTCCAACCAGCATTCGCGGCGCTGTGATTGCAACTACAAGGTCGAGATTGCGCAAGCCTTCCTCAACCACCCGATGTACTTCCCGCACAACATGGATTTCCGCGGCCGCGCCTATCCAATCCCGCCCCACTTCAACCACCTGGGCAACGATCTCTGCCGCGGCTTGCTGCTGTTTGACGAGGGAAGGCCGCTGACCGAGCGCGGAGTGTACTGGCTCAAGATTCATCTGGCCAACTTGTACGGCAAGGACAAACTGTCGCACGAAGACAGGGTGAATTTTGTTGACGAGAGCTACGACCGGATTATCGAATCAGCAGACAACCCTGTTCCCGACAGCCTACTGAGCGGCGAAACCAACACGCCCCGGCCGTGGTGGCTTGAGGCCAGCGATCCCTGGCAAGCGCTGTCCGCCTGCATCGAGTTTGCTGCGGCGATGCGCTCGCCAAACCCGGCTAAATACGTCAGCCGGCTGCACATCCATCAAGACGGAACGTGCAATGGTCTGCAGCACTACGCCGCGATGGGCCGCGACCGCAAGGGTGCGCACGAGGTCAACCTTATTCCGTCGGAAAAGCCGCAGGACGTGTATCAGGGCATCCTCAATGTCGTCAATCGGCTGATCGACGAGGATGCTTATAATGGTGTCAAGGAGGCAGTGGTGCTGAAGGGCAAGCTGACGCGCAAGATCGTCAAGCAGACCGTCATGACCAACGTGTATGGCGTGACGCTGATTGGCGCAAGGGAGCAGATTTCGGCTCGTCTGCGCGAGGTCAAGGACGAGCACGGGGACCACGAGTTCGAGCTTGTCGACGTGTCCAAGCTAGCACTGTACGTGGCCAAGAAGATCTTTGACTCTCTTGGCGAGATGTTCACTCAGGCGCAGGAGATCCAGAACTGGCTTAACGAGTCAGCGCGCCGCATTGCCAAGAGCATGCCCGAGTCGGCGCTGTCCACGTGGAAGCGCATGATCCTCGAGTCAAAGCAGTCGCAGGCCAAGCTGCGCGAGGCGCTGCGCGATGCCAAGGATAATGACCGCGTGCTGGAGAATGAGAAGGTTTTAGAGCTGCGGCCTGATCTGGGTCCCGGATCGACGCGGCGCAAGCGCCTCAACACGCTCGCCACCAAGCCCATGACCACGGTCGTGTGGACGACGCCGCTCGGGCTGACAGTGGTCCAGCCTTACCGCAAGTTTGCCATGCGCCATGTGGCCACCGCCCTGCAGAGCATCTCTGTGCGCGACGCAAATATGCCGTCACCCGTCAACTCGCAGAAGCAGAAGACCGCGTTCCCTCCCAACTTTGTGCACTCCCTGGATGCTTCGCACATGATCCTGTCGGCCATCGAGTGCAAGGTGGCCGGCCTGGTGTTTGCCTCGGTGCATGACTCGTACTGGACCCACGCGTGTGACATTGACAAGATGAACAAGATTCTGCGGGACCAGTTTGTTCAGCTGCACAAGCGCCCGATCATGGATGATCTCAAGGCTGAGTTTGAGAAGCGCTACGTTGACCACAAAATGCCTGTCATTCGCTGGGAGTACGTAAACAAGCCGGTAGGCTTTGGCGCCAAGAGAAAGGCCAATTGCGTTTCGGCAAAGGAAGTTCGCGAGGAGAAGGAGCGGCTGATTGAGGCCGAGCTTGCCATGCACCACCTGGGCATCTGCGGCGAGGCGGATGCCGCCAGCGTCAAGGTTGATGTCGTGCAGGCGGCTGCCGAAGAGGAGGTCAAGCCTGTGGATGTTGAGGAGGTTGACTTGAGCTCTATCGATTTGATCAACCCCCATGAGGATCCGCTTGGCGCCGCTTATCAGTCCGACCAAATCCACTACACGCTGACTTTAAACAAGGCACGGTTAGAAAAGGAGGGCAAGGCTTTGCGCAAAGAGAACATGGCGAAAACCAGAGAGGCTCGGGCTATTATGAAGAGCGAAGAAAAGATCAAGGCCAAGGCCAAGAGCGTGTCTAAGAAGGCGAGTGCTGCTGTAGCTGACAAAGACCCGGCGACAGGGACGACAACCACAATCATCGTCAAGGGGTCTAAACTCACGCCCGACTCTACGACCGAAGCTATGGCTTTGCAGCTCGAGAAGAAGGTCTTTGATATCAAGAAGGAGCTCTCTGAGAAGATCGCAGCTGCTGAGAAGAAGTACATTACAAACTTCGAGCAGCCGCAGATCATGCTTTCAGAGACCCAGTCACCGGATCAGTTGAAAAAGATCGTGCGCATGATCAAGGACCGCAAGCTCGCGGGACGCCTGACTAAGCGCACTTTGTGGGTGGACATTGAGTTCGACCAGCTGCCCAAGCACGGTGACTTTGATCTGAGGGAGGTTTTGGACAGCCCGTACTTTTTCAGTTGAATTTCAAGGGTAGGTCGCAGTTTGCAATGGTGGAGAAAACCAGCAATATCAACAGCCGATGCTTTCAGCGCAGTTTCGTGTATTGTAAAAATATAGACTGTAAAAATCAACAACAGAATACAAAGAAAAAATATATAAATATTAATTGTTAACGGCAGCGGCGGCTCAATGGTTGCTGGACAGCGGCTGCAAGCCCCACTCAACCATGTTTGTCTCGATCCGCTGCTGCTCCAGTCGATCGCCAAGGATAGAAGCGGCTTCGTCTGCCATGCCGAAAACCTTGAGCAACGTACGCTTGTGTGTCTGGACATCGGGCGTGACGCTCGACGGGTTCTGTGTGCGCTGGTGGATGCAGTACCGATGAAATTCACGCAGCGCAAGCGCGGGTGACTCGAGCATCAAGTATGCGCGCATGACAGCATTGGTGATGCTAACGTTTGGCTTGTAATTGACATCGCGGATATCGCTGGGCTTGGCATTGTACTCGAGCAGCATGTCCTCGAAGAACCGGATGCACTGGCTGGGGTAGTACACGTGCTCGGCGACCTTCTCGGTGAGCAGGATGTTTTTGGGGATGACTGGCAGACCAGATTTCCGGGGCGTGGATTTTTCCTCGGACGCGGTAGAATCAATGTGGGTATTAACTCCGGTATCGAACTTTGCAGACAGGTTTACCTTGCGGATTCCGCCTATCTGCGCGCAAGCCTCTTTATGAATCCCGCCGGCCGGGTCCTCTGACGACACACTTTTGACGATGTGGCTGAGCAGGCGCGTCTTGGGAGTGAACATGCAGGATGTGATGAACTTTGTGTATATGTGCTCGTTCAGCGGCACACCGTCGCGGAGCATCATGTCCTGGATATCGACCAGCTCCTTGATATTCTTGCGCTTCGCATGGAACCGCACAAACCACCTGTAGGCGGTCTGTGTCGGAGGCAGATAACAATTCTTGCGCAGCTCATCGAGCAGCTCGCTGGCGCGCTTGATTTGCCGCCGGATGATGCATATGCGGATGATGGACTCGTAGAGCGAGCGGAGATATACAAAATACGCGTCTCTTGTCCCAGCGAGTTCAAGCGGGATAGCAATGTTCGTCGACTCTGGGTTGGCCAGTAGCGCGTGCGGTATTTGGCGCTTGTCGCTGGGGATTCGGAATGACAGCAGCTTGTGTAGCTCTGCCAGTGCCGGCCTAATTGCATGAAGCGCGAGATATGCCTGACCTCTGGCGGCAGTATACCGCGCAAATAAATTGCCGTGGTCGTCCGTAAAGTTGCCATCCTTTGTGCTTTCGAGCAGTGCATCGAGCAGTCGGAACTCGTCAACCTTTTGCGCAGCCTTGATAAGGCTCTTTTCCACTTCTGCATTCGGAGCAATGTTCCTGCCAAGCATCTCGTCGAACAAATCTGTCAACTTAATCAGGTCTGGTAAGCTCTCTGCAGTTGGATCGCTGAAAAGCGCCGCGTATGTGTGCACGTTCACTGCCATGTTGGGGCCGTAGGTGCCGGAATCAATGTCATTCTTTATCGAAAGCGCCTCTTCGTGCTGTCCCTCAGCGACGTGTAGCCGGATCAGCTCGTTCAGCGCCCATATTGTTGTAAACTTCAATTTATTTTTCTTGCACGCGTCCCGCACGACCCTCAGCCTGCGGAGGGTCTCTGGTTTGCGCTCAAAAGCGTACTGCATATTGAGTGTCTGGATGACTCGGATGATGTCGTACTCAGTCACCTTGCGCCATTCATTGTTCTTGAGTATACCGTCAAATCCACGCCACACACCCTCAGGGTCCTTTCTGTGTATGGCCTTGTACATGAGGTACCGCTGCGTGTCCTTCAGCGGTCCAAGAGGCGCAGGCGATCGCTCTCTGCGAAGAAGGCCATTTTCAGAATCCTCCCTCAGAATCGAGGCAATGTCAATGCCACCCAGGTCGATTGCCAGCCCGCCTAGCCCGCTACTCTGGTCGATGTTTTTGCCAAGCAGAAATGGATCGACTGCCTTGTTGTGAGTCCGGAGAAAAGTGGCCTTTTTCAACGACTGGGAAAACTGATCGAATAGCAACCGGTTTACGCCATTGCGCGCTTGGCCTAGAAAATAGTCTGCACTGCTGACTGCTTTGCCGGATCGCATATGAGAACCAGCACTGTGAGCCAGGCTTCGGCGTCTGTGTGTGGGCGGGTGTAGTCGGCTGCTTTGCTTGCGCCGGATCCAGTTCGTGCCAGTGACAACAGGCCGCACAGTTGAATGTTGTAAATGAACAGATATGGCAAAAGAGGAGAGCAAATAGAAGGGATTTGAAATTCAAATCGAGGAGACAAGAAAGAAAAAAGTATATAAAAATGGGAGAGTGAACAGGCGTGCTTGACAATGCTTGATCGCGCCAAAAAATTATTTATCGCTCAGTGTGCTGATTGTCTTGATCAGGTTTGTATTCCTTTTTGATCTAATCGTCCACAGCCCGCCAAGCAAATAAATGCACCACCAGTTCTCAGCCTATCGCAGAAGCGAGCACTTTTTCAGGGCGTCGCCAAGATCGGAGCGCATAACGGGAATTGTCGCCAGACATGTCGGAATGTTTTCGGGCTGCTCGACCCACATATGGAACGGAATGTCCTTCTGCTTGAGATTTTCAGCCATTTTGAGCAATGATGCCTCGTTCTTGGTTTCCAGGGTGACCTTATGCATTGATTCGAGATCATCAGTGTAGGCCTTGACGCGCTCGTCATCGCGAAACTTCCAGATCACCGCCGTGGTGGCGTGGCACCCCTGGGAAACGATGCTACGTATGGTTTGATTGGTGGGCAAAACAGAACGATTGCTAGTTAGTTGCCATGCGAGCAGTCACGAATACATTTTCGCAGCTTACTTTTGTTCAAAAGTTATTGAATGCAAGTTGCCTGTCTTTAATGAAATCTTACCTGCCAAGCGGCCAGTTTAGTACCTATATCGGACCAGTCCTCCTTCAGTAAATACAAAATTTAAAAAACATATTTGTGTTAGATTGACACAGAGACAAGGAAATTAGCTATACGCAAGTAGTAGCAGTAGCAGTAACAGCAACGGCAGTAGTTGCAGTTGGACAGCTACGTGGCAGTATTTGTTTTGATTATGTCGGAGAAGTGCCGGCATTCGTCCGCAAGCTGTGGGCTGCACGCGTACCTTTTGCAGGTCCTTTCTCATGACGATAAAGACGGTGCGTGCCTCGGACATTTACTGGGTGTTACGATCGATATGCTGGAACTTGAATCGCTGCTTAATGCAATACAAAAAAGGGTGATGAGATATTGAGGCAAAGGAGAGTCGCGAAGTGTGATTAATGAATGGCGTGTTTATTTACACCTTGCATCAGCCGGCCATCACACACAGGCGCGTGCTGCGCCGTGGCAGTGACTATGGGCGTGGTTCAAAAGAGCACAAGGTGGTCAGTATTGTCATCCTCGGTATAAATCTGGACCCAGATCCGTAAGCACTGGAGCCATTGAGGGCTCGGTGGCGACTGCGCAGACAACACAGGCAGCTAAATCTAAGCCACATTGGCAACAGTGCAGGCAATTACGTTCTTTTTTGTTCGGGCCAGCTCGCGCTGCAAGCTGACCTTTCTGGATTCATCGCGCAGTGCGGTCGACCACCCTATTGGCTGGATTTGGTCAAACCAGAAGAGGAAAAAATATGGGCAAAAAAGAAAATCGGCTCTGCGTGATTTTTCTTTACGCAAAGCGAAACTCAACCGACGTGTTTCATTCCAAAGGCAGAAGATGGCACCATCCGGCGTCTGCAACCTTTTCTCCTTTCTTTTTTCTTTATTTCTATACTTTTAACAGAGGTTTTATTTTATTTTCACTTGTATCAAAAAAACCACCTTACCAGCGCAGCCAGCAACAAGCCTTAGCAAGCAGTAACATACCATCTGAATTTAGCCAATTTTTCATCTTTAAGATCATATTTTATACAAAGGCCTTAAAATGAGTGCGGCCCAATCAAACACACATCAATCTTTCAATTCGCGCGGCGGCAAGTTCTCGCGCGGCAGCAACGCGCGTTCTTCCTCGTCTCTGGAAGAGGCAGCCGAATTCAAGAGTCTTCGCAACAGTTACTCTAACAGCCTCAAGACGCTGAACGAAATGTTCCCCGACTGGACAGACGCCGACCTACTTTCCGCTATTAAGGAGGCCGACGGCAATCTGGAAATCACCATTGCCCGAATCGCTGAAGGTAATTGTTTTCTCTGTTACTTGCCCCTTTGCTTTTTTGCGCTGTGTACCGTTTGCAACGCCACCCCTCCTTGCTTTGGCATATGCTTATTGTATTTCCCTTTTGAATTGAGGCAAGCCTTTTCTGGTAAAAAAAAATGACCGGATGGCTACCATGGCTGTTGCCATGATCGACAGGCATTATCGGAGATAATATTTTGGAAAAAAAACCAAAATCATAAAGCTAACGACGTTGTAATTATTTTTCTCGTGCATCTGGAAGTATAGGCCATGCTACGCAGTGGGGAGAGGTCAAGTCGCGCAAAGAGAAGCGCCAGGTTACCAAGCCGCTTGAAGATGTCAAGCCTGTCGAGAAGAGCAGCTTTGTTCCCCGCCCCGCATCTTTCCGCGGTGGAGTCCGTGGGGGCGCAGCCCGTGGCGGCCGTGGCAACTATTCGAACGTTTCTGTTGCCCGTGGCGGAAGGCCCGCATCTGCAGCCAAGGCTCCTATTGCCCCCGTGGCTGGCACCGCTTCGACCGCAGATTCTGCGGCCGGTTGGGATGCCGAGTCGCCATCTGAGAGCAAGAGCTCTGCTAGCGCCTGGGATACCAAGCCTGCTGCCAACATCCAAGAATCAAAGCCCAAGGCGCAGACATCTGCCTCTGTGGCTGCCCCGGCCCCCTCGATTTCGAAGGCACCGTCCAAGCCCGCCCCGATGTCGTGGGCAAACATCGCAAAGAGGTACATTTTTCATGCATTGTGGAGAGTTGTTTTTTGTTTTTGTTGTTGACTACTAGCGCTTGTGCTTGTGATCGTTCCTGTGCTCATGTGTTGTCAAGCAATTGTTTGAATATCGGCTTGTGCATTTTTTCTGCGTTTGTGTTCGTTCATCTCGCACAACCAATGTTGTCATTTGTGTTTTTTGCGGCACAATTGCGCTGGGCTAATAAGCTGTCCGAATTGACATTGTTTACACGCTGAATCCGCGCACAGTTCCGATGTGTTGTCATTTTTGATATTTCTGACCAATCTGCGACTATTTTTGCTTTCTGTTTATTGTTGTAGAGGTGCCAAGCAGGTTTCACCAGAGCCCGCGCCGTCTTCCGATTCCGAGAAGCCCGCTGAGCCCGCCACGACACACGCAGACGAGTCCATTCCCGCCAAGGAGACACAATCAACGGCCAAGTCAGCTGAGGAGAAGGCTGATGCCGATTCTACATCAAAGCCCGCCGTTTCAGAGCAAGCCGACTCTGAGGAGACAGCCGACATCGTTGTTGTCGAGGAGGCCCACATAGTTGTCGAGGAGATTGGGGAGGCCGAGCCCACGGCGTCCGTCGAGCAGCCCGCCGTCACACAGGAGGCCGAGTCTGCGGAATCAGAGACCGTAGCCGACGAGCCGCAGACCGTACCCGCTTCCTCAAAGAAGCCCGTCTCGAACGTTCGGCGACTTAACCAGGAGGCCCCCGTGGTCATGCCCACAGGCAGCGCCACGATTGAGCGCATCGGCATGCAGTTTGGAAGCTTGAGCATTGGCGGCGTCGAGTTTGGCTCATTGAAGTCCTCAGGCGTTGTGGCCGAATTGGAGACGCCAGAGGCCTCGGCTGATGCCGTTGTGCCCCAGGCTGAGATTAAAGAGGCTGCCCCCGCTTCTGCCCAGGCTCTCGCTGCAGTGGCCGATGTCGAGACAGCACCCGCGCCTGTGTCTGTCCCCGCGCCGGCGCTTGTTGTGCCTGCTGTCGCGCCCGCTGTTGCCCCACCTGCTGCTGCCGAGCCAGCCGCCGCTGCACCTCAGGGTCCCCTGACTACATACCTTCAGCAGCAGCAGCAGCAGCAGCAGTACGTCCACTCCCAGGCGCAGGCCCATCCCAGTGCCAGCGCCATCAGTCAGATGCCACTGCCCAACGATTACGGAGCTGCTGCGCTATACGGTGCGGATGCACAGCGCAACATGATGGGCTTCTACGATAACTACGGCTACAACCAGTTCGTTGCCAATAAGGACGCATCTGCCGCAGCCACCGAGCCCCAGGCTGCAGCCACCAGTGGCCCTCAGACTGCCGGAATCAACGGCGCCAACAACATTGGCCAAGCCGGCCTGTTCCCTCAGCAGATTCCGCAGCCCTTCGGCATGAACCACGGCATGCCGTACTACAACCCGTATTACTACAGCATGATGCAGCCTGGGAGCCAGTTCCCCAACCCAGCTGCGTTTGGCAACAACCCGGCCCTCGCCGCCGCCTACGGCCAGCCGTTTATGAAGCAGGGCATGTACCCGATGTATCCCGGGACCAACCCGCAGGGTCTGCAGAACGTTGGGTCGCAGCAGCAACAGCAGCAGCCTCAGGTTCAGGCTCAGCAGCAGTCTGCACAGCAGCCCGGCCAGCAGGGTAACCAGGCTCAGCAGCCTACGGGCCAGCAGGGAGCTGCAGGCAACCAGCAGCAGGCCGGTGTCAAGGGAGCCAGCCAGAACAATGCCGGTAACCCGTACGCCAACATCAACGCCCAGAAGGCTGGCAACCCGTATGGTCACTACTCGGCCAACATTGGGGCTGGCTTCAACGTCTACGAGCAGGACCCCGCTGCGCTGTCCAACTCGCCGCAGCAGTTTGGCCTCGGCGGCATCCCCGGCATGTTCTCGGCCTCCAAGACCGGCGGCAAGGATGCCAGTGCCAAGGGCATCCCACCGTCCGGCACTGCGCCCGTGATCGGCGGGACCACTTACTACAGCACCCCGCAGCAGCTTGGCAGCTATCCCAGCCAGGTCAATAACACACACCCACAGCAGGGATTCAGCCACCACCAGCAAGCCTATTACGCCTCGTATGCGCCGAGCTATGGCCAGACCCAGACGCCGCACATGTACCAACAGCAGCCGCAGCAGCAACAGCAGCACCACCACCACCATCAGCAGCAGCATCAGCATCAGCAGCAGCATCAGCAGCAGCAGCACCACCAGCAGCACCACCAGCAACAGCCTCCTCAAGGTGGGCACCAGCAGCCTAACAAGCAGTACTGGGAGAAGCAGTAGGAAATGTTGCTGGTCGGCGACTATATGATGTAATAACATGGTGTGTTCTTTCCAAAACTGTCTTTCGTTTCATTCACACACAAAACACCAAAACGTTTGGTTTCTAAGTTATAGCATTTTTATATTTGTCGCCTTGCACTCAATTTCATGTTGAATACAATTTTCTGTACAAAAAAACTACCGGCACCCCATCTCAAAACCAGTCCATTTCAATTAGGCTGGGCCCAGATCGGAGGTTTTTTTTTTAGCTGGATGCAGATCCAGCAGCCGAGCTGGTATGTGAACCGCAAGATGAGATGACTCATCCACGAGTCGTGCCGAGCTGCAATCGAAAAGTTTTCTGCTCAACATCACGCTTACTTTTCGTGCATCTGCAATGGCCAATGCTGACTTTGCCCCAATAATTATTTTTTCGTTGTGCTGGCAAGAGGGAGTGTGTGAGAGAAAGCGCCTTTAAAGCGGCCAGCTGGAAATTAATGGAGAAAATTGGATAAAGGGGAGAATTCACCTTTTCTTGCTTTTTGGCATTCAATCTATTTTTTCCACTACCATTTGTCTAGAATTCTATTTATTAGCGTTTTTTTTAAAAAACGTAAGTTGACAACCCTTTTTGAGTTTACAATCTGCCGCCGAAAGAGCTCCTCTGGCAATGGAAGCCCATTTTTGGCGAGATTTCGCACGCGCAGAGCAAAGCCAGGGCTGCCCGGGAGGAGGTACCAATCTCAATGTGGTTTTCCAGATTCGAGTTTCACTTCCATTCCCCGGCCTCTGCGCAAACTATACGGCAAATTGGCGCGCAAAGGCCGCCGGCGCTGGATTGCTTGCAATCTGTTCAATCTTAAATAGAAATCACTCGCTCATGGGAATCAGTATTTGACGCACTAAACACACTTGCACCCTTTTCAATATGCGCACATGTATCTTTTTTTGCTTAGGGCGTCCGTTAATTAGCACTTTAAACTATCATGTCGGATTCAGTCGTTACTGTGGATACCTCGAAGCTTACACCCCTCTCGCCAGAGGTGATTATAAACCAGGCGACGATCAATATCGGTACCATTGGCCATGTCGCGCACGGAAAGTCGACGCTCGTAAAGGCCATCAGCGGAGTGCAGACTGTTCGCTTCAAAAATGAACTCGAGCGTAACATCACCATCAGACTCGGATACGCCAACACCAAGATTTACAAGTGCGACAACCCCGAGTGCCCTCGCCCCGGATGCTACAGGTCATTCGCCTCAGACAGGCCCGCAGAGATCCCTTGCGAGCGCCCGGGATGCAGCGGCACACTGCAGCTCATCCGCCACGTTTCGTTTGTCGATTGCCCGGGTCACGACGTGCTCATGTCCACCATGCTGAGTGGAGCCGCGGTCATGGACGCCGCAATTCTGCTTGTTGCTGCCAACGAGTCGTGCCCACAGCCGCAGACGGCCGAGCACCTGGCAGCCGTGGAGATTATGAAGCTCGACAAACTCATTATTCTGCAGAACAAGGTTGATCTGATCCAGGAGGACCAGGCGCAGACTCATTTCGAGCAGATCCAGGAGTTCATCAAGGGCACTGGTGCGGCCGGCTCCCCAATCGTCCCTGTTTCTGCGCAGCTCAAGTACAACGTCGACGCTGTGGTCGAGTACATCTGCAAGTACATCCCCATCCCGGTGCGTGACTTTACTTCGGACCCCTACATGATTCTCATTCGCTCGTTCGACGTCAACAAGCCAGGTAACGGTATTGATACGATTGCAGGCGGTGTTGTTGGTGGAAGTATCCTTAAGGGTGTCATCAGGGTTGGCCAGGACATCGAGATCAGGCCCGGACAGGTCTCTGTTAACCCCACCAACGGCAACTTTGTTGTGCGCCCGATTGTGTCGCGTGTCGTGTCGCTTAATACCGAGAAGAACTCCTTGCAGTATGCAGTTCCCGGCGGTCTCATCGGTGTGGGTACCCTTATTGACCCGTCGCTCACGCGCGGTGATCGCTTGTCTGGTCGCGTTCTGGGCTCTGTTGGCAAGCTGCCCAAGCTCTATATTGTCCTCGAGATCAACTACTTCTTGCTGCGCCGGCTGCTGGGTATCAAGTCCGACGGCAAGAAGCAGGCCAAGATTGACAAGCTCTCCAAGAACGACAACCTCCGCATCAACATCGGCTCCAGCGCTGTCGGAGCGCGTGTCACCGGTGTTAGGGCCGATATGGCCAAGGTGAGCCTGGGAACCCCCTCGTGCGCGGAGGAGGGCGACAACATTGCCATTAGCAGACGCATTGACAATCACTGGCGTCTCATCGGCTGGGCCAAGATTGTCAAGGGCAAGTCGCTCGACTAACGAGGATATCGGCGCGTCTTGTTTAAAAGGGGATTTTCTGCTGTTCGAAATATATTTTTCACTTCAACTGTTGACTCTTTTAAAGCAGAGAATTCTTGAAAAACTCACGACCACGTTATTTGTTTGCTGTCAAACAGCAAATTAATTTTCAGAGTGTAGATGTCCTAATCTAATCAGCTGTTTAGCAATATTGACCACGATCTCATTGGCTTTTCTCCCCTCTCCCAATTTGTCCACATTCGCACGCCGCCTGACGCGCGATGCCTGAAATTAAAAATGGACCTTTTTGTTTACGCGGGCTGTTCGCGTTGGATATCTATATTCTTTCTCTCTTTTTGATTTTCGTCATCTTCACTTTGACTTTTAGTTGCTCATATTTGCAAAGCCCTCATTTCAACAGGTAAGAGCTATTTGTGAAGGTTTGTTTTTTGTTTAGAAAGATGGGCCTTTTCCTTGTGCTCCCAGCTTGGTGTATGCTCATTCTGTCCTGGGTACATCCACACGCACCTCAAGCCGGGTCTTTCTCTCACTCTATTTTTTTATATGTGCGCACACACGCTATTTAATTTTGTTACTCTTTACAGCTTGGAGCCCTCAAAAAGGTTCAAAGAGAAGGGGTAGAGGGGACTGCTTGTGCATGCTTTCCCCCTTCGCTATTTCTTTGTTTTGTGGCTGGGTGCAAAATTATTTAGGGCTGAAAAATTATTTTTTTCCCGCCGTTCAAAAAGAAAACAGTTTTCCTCTTACTCTTTTCTGTGCTAAACAATCACCTTTACCTTTATACCACCAACAGCCTGTTCTCCTTTAATACTTTATTTTTATCTTCCTCATACTCATACTAATTTGTACTTTTCGCCAGTTCTGTTGACACTTTTTTAACTCATTCATTTTCTCTTGACAATTTAGCGAGGCGGATCTCGACAGCCTACATACGCACGCTTTCCGCAAATTCTACCCCCTCACAGAACACACACATACAACCAGATAATGGAGGAGACAGACATCACGCAGAACGTGTACGTGGCCGTGTACTCGGGCATACAAGTGTACGAAATGATATGCCGGGGCATTGCAGTGATGAGGCGGCATTCAGACTCGTGGCTAAATGCAACACAAATCCTAAAGGTCGCCGGTGTAGAAAAGGGGCGGCGCACAAAGATACTCGAGCGCGAGGTGCTGACGGGCGAGCACGAAAAGATTCAGGGCGGCTATGGAAAGTACCAAGGTACATGGGTGCCCTTTACGCGCGGTGTCCAGCTGTGCAACCAGTATAACGTGTATTCTCACATCCGTCCGATTTTGGAACACGATCCGACAGCCAATGGGACGAAGCAGGACGATACACCGACAAAGGCCGAGGTACGGCGACAGATGAAGAGCACGCAAAAGGCGTCGCTCAAAAGAGAGAAGGTTGGGTTGAAGGATGCAACGAGCGCGAAGCGGTTCCGGCCAAACTCGAGTGCAGCGACGTCGCCACTGCACTCAGATATGGCGAACGGAAATAATTCAGGCGCGTCTGGCAGCGGGATCCCGGGTACGCCTAACTATCCAGTGGGCGAGGGCTCAGTCCCCAGGTCAACACTACTGGCGACACCACTACGGCAGACTATGTACAGCTCTCCGGCGATTGCGTCATCCGCCGCTGGGCCAGGCAACTGGGCGTACCACATGTCAGCCGAAGAGACACCGTTGGCGGCCATCGTCAGCGCTGAAGCCGAGGCCGAAGCTGAAGCGAGCGCCGCGTCCAACGATATGCGCATCAAACACGATCGCACTCTTCTGATGAACATCTTTACGACGGACGATCAAGGGCACATTCCCGAATGGCTATCGCGTGGCGCGTCCGAAGTCGATGTCGACCTGGTCATCGATGATCAGGGCCACACTGCTGTGCACTGGGCGGCGGCGCTGGCGCGCATCCATGTGTTGGACCTGCTCCTATTCCAGGGCGCCGACGCGCGGAAGCTCAATTTTGAGGGGGAGTCGGCGCTGGTGCGCGCTGTGCAGGTCACCAACAGCTACGAGACTCAGACCTTCCCGGACCTGCTCGAGCTGCTCCACGACACGATACCGTTGACCGACAAGAACAACCGCACGGTGCTGCACCACATTGCGATGGCTGCAGGCACTGAAGGTCGCGAGAAGGCCGCTAGATATTATGCTGACTGCTTGCTGTCGTGGATTGTCCGCCTTGCAGGCGGGTACCAGGTGGACAGTGACGATGTATCTCTGGACGAGGGCGACCATATCGGCTCTGCATTGATAGGTGCAAGCACCAGCACTGGCCTTGGCAACGCGGTGGCTCAAAATAGTGCCATCGTTGCACCCAAGACAGCGGCGCCCCTGACCAGCGTCATGAATGGAGTCAACCTGCACTTGCCAACCCCCACACAGAGCAGCAGCCCAAACTGCCGTCGCAATGCATTTACAAAATCAGTATATGACGAGACAACCTCGCATCCAGCAGCGGTGCCACAAATGGGCGCTGTCGACTGCCAGATTCTGACAACTGGCAACTCGGCAGGCCTGGCTACCAGTACAACTATGACTGGAGAGAGCAGCACAAATGCCGATTTTGCAGCCTTCCTCAACTTGCAGGACGTGCACGGGAATACAGCACTGAACATTGCCGCGCGCATCGGCGATCGCGCAATGGTGCGCATGCTGTTCAATGCGGGCGCCTCGGACACCATTTGCAACCGCGTAGGGCTCTGTCCGCTGGACTTTGGCGTCAGCCGTATCGCTGAAGATGCCTTCGACTCTTGCGACGGACGCACAATAGTTATTGAATCGCCGACGCCCACCCGCCCCACCCGCTGTCCACCCACCAACGGCTCGTCTACACGTCATTCTCGAGGGGCCATATCATCGCCGATGTGTGAAGATGTGTGGGCGGCAGGCGTGTCTGAGCACCGCATGCACCAGTCAATGCAATCGATCCAGCGGCTGATGACCGATCTGGAGACCAATTTTGCCGGCGAGATACGTCTCAAGAACGCGCACTTTGAAGACGTGAAACAGCAGCTGCTAGCGACGACCGTCGAGCTGTCCAAGGCGCGCGAGACCATCCACCGGTTGCACGCAAAGACCACGCGGCTCACAGAGATCAAGGACCGCGTCGGGTATCTCGAAGAGACGCTGGCGCGCGAGACGTGTGCCGTGCGCGAAGCCATTGGCGCTCTGCCGCCAGACTCGAAGCCGCGCCAGGATCTCGAAGAGTTGATTGATTCGCTGTTGGACTCACCCCTCGTCAAACCATCAGACACCGATTCCGCTTTGCCTGCCGTGCCCAGCCTATCTCTAGGCGACACCATGGCAATCAGCTCGGAGACAGCTCCTGAAAATTGGAAGGCCGTTGTTGAGCGCCTACTCGTCGTTAACAAGGTGTATGCTCGGAGGGACGCCCTGTTGCGCGACCGTGTCAGTAACCTGTGCCGCCGCGCCGATGTTTCTGAGCGCGAGAGCCAGTACCGCCAGCTTATCGCCTGGTGCTGCGACATTACGGAAGCCGACGTTGATATTTGGATCGACCGCTTTGTCTCCGCCGTCGAGTCCACGGACTCTGTGCAGGCCGATTTCACTGGTGCTAGCCATGGCGATAGTAACGGCGACGATGACGATGACGAGCCACTGCTGCTTGCAGCTGGCCCTGCGTTGAACGGTCGTCGGCCCGCCCTGCCGTCTGCCGCCCATGCGCGCACAACTTTGTAGTTTGTGAGCCGCATTGGCGCGGCTGCACACAATAATATCTCAGTATCGTTCACTTTGTTTCTTATGTTTTTTATTTTGTTGTTTTTAGCAACCAATTTTTAGCATCGTCGCCATAATCAATCATCATCAGCTGCGCGTCAGCATCAGCAACGTCGGCATTGGCATTGGTGTTGGTGTGCGTTTTGTCGAAACAGTCGTTGTATCATTTTTGCGTGGCTGATTTGCAGATTGGCGGCGGGGAGGAAGAAAGAGTGGGGGAGTGGCGAGCAAACGAGAAATTAAAAAGTGATTTTTTATACTTGAGCGCCTCTTCCCCCTTTCATCAGCTTGTCTTCTTTTTCCTTTAATTGTTGTTCCGTCAATTGCAAAAAGTGAATATTAATTAAACGCATTTCTCCAATATCACTTATTTATTTGCTTTTCTCCAGCCCTGCATTTGAGGAGCGGCAGCACGCATAGTCACATACACAACATCACCTGAGGACACTGTTCTGGCATTCCTCGTTCACTCATTCACTCTTTCACGCACATATTTCTTTATTTATTCGCCCAAAGTACGTATCAATTCGGCTATTTTCTTGGAACTTCAACGCAAGACTTGGTTTGTAATGAGCACCACAGTCAAGCATGGCATTCAGTATTTGTGAAGACAACAAAGTGCGAAATAGTTCTTTCAAATCTCACTTCGCATATCTAGAATTGCTCGTCTTATTTGCGCAGAGCTTGCTGTCGGACACCTTTTATTCCTGCTTTTATTATGACCATGGTGCTGTACTTTTAATTTTTCAGTATCTTCAAACGACACCAAATTAAACAAACAGCAAAAGCTCTCTTTCTCTTGTTTATTTTATGTACTGTAGTTCTGTTTGAGCCTCCAACACCCCCTTTTGCCCAAAGCGTTTAGCTCCCTGTGCTTTCTCCTATCATAATGGCATTGAGTACGACTACGAGCCCGCCCACTCAAGCTCATTTGGACTCTTCCAAGCGCAAGCGTGCGGCTGAAGACAAAAGCAACAGCAAAGACGGCAGTAAATCGCGGCCAGACTGCTCAACATCCTCAAATACGTACAGCTTGGAGCCACAAACACACCAGGCCGCCACCAAATTACCCACAGTCTACGGCCCCGAGTTACCGCCATCCATGGCGCGCTCCAAGGCCCCCAGCACGGTCATCGATTCAGAGATTCTTCCCAGCATGGAAAATTTTGCCGACATTGCACAGCTCCTGGCCAGTGAATGCCACGACGATTCCTCGCGAGTCGAATGCATGAAACGCGCAGAGAGCGTGCTACAGTGTCTGTTTCGCTCACGTCTTATGGCTATCATGAACCACTACGGCTACAAGGACAATGAGTTTACGAAGAAGGACCTGGCCCGCGTAATGGTCAATATTGGACTGATCTCATCTGTGACAGACGACCCCGTGCTGGCCATGGCATCGAGAGTGGCGTCGAAGGTTAAGGCAGAGATGCCGAATATCGTTCGCACCAAGATGCAGCTCTCGGCTGATTCGGCTAGCAACCCGGACTTACTTACTGATATCGCGGTCGACTCCATTTCCATTGATGCCTTGGTGGATATAAGTCGGGAGGGGTCCATTTTGTCCAACGACTCTGCAGCCATAGCCGCTGCCATTGCATGCGCCGATGCCTACTTTGAAGACGCGATGAAGACGGTGAGCAACATTTCAGTCACCGAGTGTTTTTCTTTGGCCGAATTATACCAGGACCAGTTATACGCAGACCCTGAGTCAGTAGATTCGCCATTATCCGCACGCCAGTGGACTACGCGAGCCGTCACGCCGCCCCCGCCACAACCACCAACGCCAGTGCTGCAGCAACAGACGGCAACACAGAAAGCACAGCCATCAACATCAACATCCACATCCATGCCCACTATCACTGCCGCCGCTACTGCTACTGACACATCCGCCCCCGCTTCTGCCAAACAATATGCAGCGACTACTTCCAAAGACCTTGTCATCGACAGCACGAGTGCTACTGCCAGCGACGCCGGCCAATTGCTCAAAAAAGGAAAGAGGAAGCGATCCAAGAGAAAGTCCAAGGGGAAGAGGCCAGATTCAAGCACAGGTGTTGTCGAAGCGCCCACGCTTGCAGTCATGGCACTAGATTTGACACCGGCCCAGCCACATACGCATGTTCACAAAACGGCCGCAGTCAAAATCGTGCCGCCGTCCCGTGCTGTATGTACTTCAGCCTCACCCGCACCAACACCCGCGCCCGCTCACAGCTCGGCTACGAGTCTGGGCAAACAGGCCGATGCATCCAGCACGCTGTGGAATAGCGATAGTGTCGAGGAGCAAAAGCAAGTGCGCAGTTTTTGGCTGGAAATAAGCGACGTTCAGCGCCAGGCGCTGATTCTAGTCGAAAAGGAGGTTGTTATGGCGCGCGTACGGGACCACCAGAACTTTTCCTGCAGCTGCAACGTGTGCACGCGCAAGCGCGAGGCTATCGAGCACGAGCTCGACTGTCTCTATGACTGCTACTTTGAGGAACTGCAGGAGAGCGTGCGCCGGGAGCGCATGCGGATGATGGTGCACGAGGCGGAGAAGAAAGCCAGGTCCACCATCATGTCGTCTGTCCATGCCATCGCCGAATCTATGGTGATCAAGATGATCACCGAGCGGGATCCCAGCAAGAGGAAGGAAGATGTGCAAAAGTCGATACATGAGAGCATCAAGCAGTCGCGGCTGAACGGATCCCTGTTCGACTCGAGTCTCAAGGAGACAGAGGCGATTATTGAGGGCACTATGCGGAAGGTGGCGGCGGCGGCGGCAGTCAGCGGGATAGCCAAACCAATTCGCGAGGGAACTCCGAATGTCCCCAACGAGGTAGTTAATGTGGGGGAGGCTGCCTTGGCAATCAAGGAGTGGGCCGACGGGGCGTTCAACTTTCGGCGAGAGTTTGGCGATGAGTCTCTCCAAAGCGACGTCGAGAGCGACGAGGCATTCAACAATAACGACCTCTTCTACACAGAGCATATGCTGGACACCATCGACACATTCCCCACCGACAGCAAAAAATTCTTCGACATGATGGAGCGGCTGGCTGAGTACCGCATGCGCCGAGAGGACGCGCTGCAGGACCTTGTCGACGGCCACGGCTCATCCGCGAGCGCGATAGAAGCGACCTATGACGCCCATACGAGGAGCGGCATGTCGTCACACACGTGGGTGCGGCGCGCGAGGGAGTCTGCGCGCCAGCAGCGCCGATGCCCTGATTGCCACGGTGAGATCAGCGAGTGCGAGGAGCAGCCGCCATGCTTTCCTGCTACGACTAAAGCATCCACCATGTCGACTTTTGTCCGCAAGCACCCTGAGTCTGGCGCTATCATTCACTCGCTGGACGGCCTAGGCGCGGAAGATTTTCTCAACAGCCTCGACAATTCAGACTACGAGGATATCGACGATGACGACGAGGAAGACGATGATGATGACAATGATGATGAGGACGATGAAGGCGATCTTGAAGTGGACATTGAGGATGAGCTTTACGACAGCGACCACGATGACAAAGACGAAGACGAAGACGAAGACGACGAGCTGGATGAGACAGACGACGACTTTGACGACCTCGACTCTGAGGGCGCCGAGCGGGAGGCCGAAGAGGGCCGCAAGGTGTTTCAACTTTTTGCCGCACGCCTCTTTGAGCAGCGCGTCATCAATGCGTACCGCGAGAAGGTTGCCCTCGATCGCCAGCAGAACCTGATCAAGGAGCTTGAGGAGGAGGAGAAGAGGAACGCGATGAAGGACAAGCGCAAGCAGATAAAGAAGGAGCAGGAGAAGGAGCGCAAGCGCAAGTCCCAGCTCAAAAAGGAGGAGGAGCGGATGGCCAAGGAGTCTAAAGTAAAAGCTGAGCAGCAGCGCAAGCGCGAGGCCGACGAAAAGAAACACCAGGAAATGATGGCGAAGAAGCGCGAGCAGGACATTAAAATGAAGAAGGCTCAGGAGGAGCGCAACCGGAAGATCCTGGAGGAGGCGGACAGGCGCATGGAAAAGGAGAAGGCGGAGCGGAAACGTTCAGAGGAAGAGATGTACGAGAGAGAGAAAGAGCGGAAGCAGGCTATCGAGCAGAAGCGCCAGGAGGAGCTCCAGAAGCGAGAGAAGAAACAAAGTGCTCCCGCCGCCACCACCCTTTCTGCAAATCCGCTGGTGGCAGCCAATCCTGCTGTTTCCGTGCCCGTGCCCGTGCCTGTGGCAACCGATTCAAAGCCGCCAGCGGCAACCCACCCTGCTGTGCCCGTCTCCATGCTTGTGCCTATGTTAGTATCGGTATCACTGTCGGCGGCCGCTGGCCCCATTTTGCCCAAAGCAGAGGTAAAGCCAGTATCCGGCGCGGCATTGTTCACAGCTGCCGCCACTGCTGCTGCGGCTTCTGCTGCTGCCGAAATTGTGCCCACGTCCACACCCAAGGCGGAGACCAACACTGCCACTACCACTGCTGTTGCCAGCGCCAACGCCAACGTCTTCCTTGTTGGAAGCGTGAGTGGAACAGTGTCGCCTCCTCCTTCCTCCCAGCCTATGCACCTGCACTTCCCCCAGCATGTGCCATCACCTGTTATCCCTGAAGCTTCTGTCAGACTCGGCGGTCTGCATATTGACAGTCTGCCATCCGACAATCTGGAGCGCCACTTGACATCAGCCGCGAGCCCAGCAAGTCCGCTGTTCAGAGCACCTCGCCCATCCGTCCCGCTGATTTATCCCTTTGACATGGGCAACACCTCGCCATCTCTTTCGTTTGGCGCGCCGACACGCGCACGCGCAAACAGCGGATCCAATCTTCTCCATTGCATGCTCCCGGGTTCTGCGCCGATGCAAGCGCCAGCAGCCTCCCACGCGGTGTCGCCCGAGATTGACGCCGAGATCATGTCTATCCTAGGCCGTGTAATGGGCTCATCCACATTACAGGACGATCTTATCGATGGTGCGGAGTGGCGGACAGAGCCATCGAGCGGCTATTCTCAGTCAGGAGGCCGGTCGCAGCTGCCATCTGCCCCATTAATGGCGCCGTTTGGAATCGGCAATTCGTTAGTGGCCCCGCTATCGGATATGACGATCCGGCGCAACTCAGTGCCCCTCAACAGACTCGTCGGTGATTCCAGCAAGCCGGCAAGCCCCGATGTGCCTGGCAGCAGCAGGTTCCAAGCGCCGCTCGGGTTTGAGAGTGGGGACATAGAGAGCGTCCACTCTGCCTACTGCGCCCTGGAGAGGTTCAGACGTGATATGCGGGCGTCGCCGGCTGCGACTGGTTCCGATCTGTTTGGCGGCTACCAAAGCGCCGCGGAGCTTGCAAAGATGCACGGCAAGCTCAAGGAGGCCGATGTGTGGGGTGTCTGCGTGAAGCACGCTCAGAGCAACCCAAGCACGTGTCGGCTGAACCACACTACGCGCGCAGTGTCGTTTGCACGCACCGGTAGCGTCGCCAACGCTCTGGGCATGTCTCCCACGAAGCCTGCGGCTCCAGAGTCGGTTATGCATTTGGGGGGCGGGATTGGCAGCAGCACGCCGCTGGGGCATTTGTCTGTTATTTCCGAGGACATGCTCAGTGCATTTAGTCTGCAGCCGCCGCAAGCTGGCAACATCAACAGCCCGCTGCCGACCAACGGAATCCCTCGAAATATGCCACTGTTGAACCCCCAGCCACACTCGCCCCTGACACAGTCGTCGCAGCAGCAGCAGCAGCAATTGGGCTCGACTCGGATTCCGATGATGACGCCTCTGGGGATGTCGATGACAATGCAGCAGCAGCCACCGCCGCCAATGACCATGCCGCACGCCGGTACGAACTACTCGCCATTGTCACACGCAAGCACCAATGCGTCGCTGTACTTCAACCAGATGCATCTGCACCACCCCGGGAGCTCCCTGCCGCCGATGCTTGGCGCCGCAGCTCCGCAGTTTGCACTGCCCTCTTACCAGCAGCCGACGCCGATATCGGCTGAATCGCAGGGATTCGGTCTGTCATTTGGGCAGCAGCCGATCCTGCCTAGCTCGTGGTCGCCAGCAAAGTCCAGTTTGGGCGGCAATTTCGGGGATCTAGCGCAGCACGGTGCGCCCCTGCGGCCGCTGCAGCCTCAGTTCCACCCAATGCATGTATTTTCGTCTCCGCAACACCAGCAGCCGCAATCGCAACTGCAGTCGCAGTCACAGTCACAATTGCAGCAACAGTTCCAGTTTCAGCAGCTCCAACAACAACAGCAGCAGCAGCAGCAACATTACCACCGCTGATGAGCGAGGCGCGGATTTTGCGACATTGGCTTGGTCTTGGCGACTTTATTTATTTTTAGTTTGTACTTGGATTAACCCATTTTTGTTAAAAAGAACATCTGTTTGGCACCTTTCCCCTTTTTGATAGGGGCTGCTTTTTGATTTTTTTTCGGGAATAGGAAGCACAGAATTGCATTTTGCGAGCTTTAGGAAAGGGGCCAGAACACTCCACGTCATGCATAGTCATGCTATGTGAGGGGAGGGATAAAGGTGGAGCTGTATAAAAAGGGGATTTGTTTGTTTCCCCGCTGTTCAACTCTTTCGTTTCACTATTTCTTTCAAATTCCAATTCTTTATAAATTTCAGCACTTTGTCCAACTTAACCAATTATCTCTCTCTGTAACCACCACTACTCACCAGCAGTAAGTAGAACACCGAGCTTATATTTTTGAATAATATATCCCACGTCTCCAAGAGAAAAAACTAGAGCCAACACTACTGAACTCACCCATTCCATTGTCTGTTATTTTCCTTTTGAACCTAACCCGCAACCTTAGACAATATAAACCATGCTTGCCCGCTTCTTCCAGATCAACACCCGCATTGCCTTCACTCCCCTCCGCACGGCGATTGTCCAGAGCCGCAGCTACGCCGACGACAAGTTCAAGGAGCGCGAGACCGCCTCTGAGAACAAGTACATCCGCGAAAAGGAGCTGGAGCACCTCAAGACTCTCGAGGCCGAGCTGAAGAGGCTCAAGGATGAGAACGAAAAGCTCAAGTCTGAGACCAAGAAGTAAAATGTATATTTTTTGAACTTTAAAATATACATGCATCATTTTTCAACTCTTTTTCTTTTACACCCAAGTGCGCTTAGCAATCGAGCAAAATGGGTGTAGGCCAGATATTTTATCACTGATCTTTGGTGTTGCAGATAAAGGCAGAAGTTGATCCGATTATCGAGTTTTGGACAATATAAATTGCACATATCAAGGGACATATGTGGGTTTTCTGCGCATGCGAATGTTCTTGCACTGCTTAGCAGGTGTTTGTCAACTTTGTAAAATTGTTCTCACAGTCGCGCATTTGCATTGCTCAGCTCAGCTGACTCTTTATACCGACACGCCCTACTGCTTGCAGTGCAGTGCTGGCATTTTACTCTCACAGGCACGCTAACTGAACATGTGGACGCTGGAGTGGCAGTAACGCTTTTTTCGCAACCTACTCCTCATTTATAAAAGTGATGCAATGACCCACACCCCTCTTTGTCCAGCCATTTCTTCAAGATTTCTCTATACTTGAATCATCATAATTTATCATTCTATTCAATAATGGAGCACCAAATGTCTTACCTGCAAAAACACCCCGACGTGACAAAGTCTCGGCTGAACACGTTCATGTCCAACGGCCAGTTTAAGAAGGCCAACATCCATGCATCGCTGTATGAGAGCCGCGTCAATGGATTGCCCCATGTTCAGATGGAAGTCTGGGCGGCCGATGGCCAAGAGAGACCGACCTTTGAGCATGCGGTCAAGCAGGAGTTCCAGCTCATCGAAGTGGGCCACTCTTTTGGACTATCATGGGTAACGTATTTGTACAATTTTAAAGAATGAACACAACGATATATTTTGTGCGCGAGACCCAATGTACTCAAAAACGAAGGGCATACGTTTCGTTTTTTGTTACTGTTTTTTTGTAGTCGACCCACTGGGTTCGTGCCACGCTCCAGATCCCGAGCGAGTTTGCGGGCAAGGAAGTGCGTCTGATTTTTGATCCCAGCTGCGAGGCCATGGTGTGGTCTGCTGAGGGTCAGGCCTTGCAGGGAATCACCGGCGGCAATGGCCAGGACAGGCGCGTAAACTTTGTTGTGACCAAGAAGGCCAAGGCATCTGAGACAAAGCGTGTGCTGTATCTGGAAGTTGCATGCAACGGCATGTTTGGCCTGGGTGACTACCTGATCGGTCCGCCAGACGAGAACCGAAGCTTCACCCTGAATACCGCCGACCTTGTGGTCAAGCAAGTCGACGCATGGGCGCTGTATTATGATCTGGACATTCTCAAGCAGATGATTGAAGGCCTGCCCAAGGACTCGCCTCGCTGGTGGCAGGCGCTCTCGACAGCAAACGCAATCATCAATGCGTACGACGCCAAAGATAGCACCACGCTTACCACTGGCCTGGAGATCTCGCGCAAGTTTTTTGGTGCAAAGTCTGGCGATGCCACTCACCAGGTGTTCGCCATCGGAAACTGCCACATTGACACGGCGTGGCTGTGGCCATACGACGAAACCAAGCGCAAGATTGCGCGCAGTTGGTCGACCCAGTTGGACCTGCTAGACCGGTTCCCAGAGTACCGCTTTGCGGCGTCGCAGGCACAGCAGTTCGAATGGCTAAAGGAGCTGTACCCGGGGCTGTTTGCCCGCATCAAGGATAAAATCAAGACCGGGCAGTTTATTCCGATCGGCTGCACTTGGATCGAAATGGACTGCAATGTGCCAAGCGGCGAGTCGCTGACCCGCCAGTTCCTCCTCGGCCAGCGTTTCTTTGAGGAGCATTTTGGCGAGCGCTGCCTGGTGTTCTGGCTTCCAGACACCTTTGGCTACTCGTCGCAGCTGCCGCAGATTGTGAGGCAGGCAGGCGCAAAGTATTTCTTCACACAGAAACTGTCGTGGAACAACATTAACAAGTTCCCGCATACGACGTTCAACTGGGTCGGCCTGGATGGCAGCAGCGTGCTGACGCACATGGCGCCCGCCGAGACGTACACGGCCAACGCAACAGCCAACCAGCTGATCGAAAGTGTGAAGAAGCACAAGGACGTGGCGTACACGAACGAGAGCCTGTACTTGTACGGACACGGCGACGGCGGCGGCGGTCCCAACGAAGGAATGCTGGAGCGCCTGCGCCGCATGGAGGATGTTGATGGGCTGCCCAGGGTCAAGCAAGCGCACCCGAATGAGTTTTACGAGCACGTCGAGAAAACCGCAAAGGACTTGGTCTCGTGGAGGGGCGAGCTGTACTTTGAGCTCCACCGCGGCACGTACACGTCGCAGGCCAAGACCAAGAAGCAGAACCGTCAGGCAGAGTTTTTGCTGCGCGACTTGGAGTTGCTTAGCGTTGTTGCTCGCAGCCTCGGCAAGAATTTTGTGTATCCAAGCAAAGAAATCACGCGGCTGTGGAAGCTTGCATGCCTGAACCAGTTTCATGATGTCATTCCCGGATCCAGTATCGAAATGGTGTACAAGGACAGTGATGCCATCTACGCTGATGTTTTAAAGTCAGCCGCGGCTATGAAGCAGGAGGCCGTTGTGTCGCTGTTTGGCGGCATGGGCCTGACTTTGGCCAGCGAGGCCACGGGCATTCTGGTTGCCAACACCACCAGCTGGCCGCGCACCGAGATTGTTGCTGTCCCCGGATTGAGCGCGCAACTGGGCGCGCAGCAAGTGCGCAAGCAGGACCAGGCTGCGCTGATGGTCGCCACGACAGTTCCGGGCTGCGGCCTCCAGCTGGTTAATCCCACAAAGACTGCTGACGCTGTGCCGGTAAGCGTGCATCGCGATAAAGGTGGTTGCGTTGTGCTCGAGAATCTGTACGTGGCGGCCAGGTTCAGCGCCGAGGGCCAGCTCGTAAGCTTTATCGACCGCCGCACGGAGCGCGAGCTGGTCCTCAAGGGCCAGAGCGGCAACGTGCTGCGCCTGCACGACGACGTGCCAATTTTCTGGGACGCCTGGGATATCGAAATCTATAACTTGGAAAAGTTCACTACCGTGAAGGCCACCAAGGTGACAATTGTCGACGAGGGCCCTCTCCTGGCGTCGATTTCAGTCGAGATACCAATTGGCGAGGGTAGCAAGATGCTGCAGATCATATCGCTGTCTGCAATCTCGCCGAGACTCGAGTTTGCCTGCGATGTCGACTGGCATGAGAACCACAAGTGTCTCAAGGTGGGCTTTTCGTGGGACATCCGCAGCGACTTTGCCACCTACGAGACCCAATACGGTGTGGTCCAGAGGCCGACGCATCGCAACACGACCTGGGATATGGCCAAATTCGAAGTGTGCGCGCACAAGTTTGCCGATCTGTCGGAATACGGCTACGGAGTTGCCCTGCTCAACGACAGCAAGTACGGATACGCGACGCTGGAGAACACTATGGCATTGACTCTGCTGCGCTCGCCAAAATCGCCCGACGCGCACTGCGACATGGGCCAGCAGACATTCCGCTACGCTGTGTTCCCGCATCAGGGCTCGTTCAACGAGTCCAAGGTTGTGCAGGAGGCATACCAGTTCAATGTGCCGCTCATCCAGATGCCCGTTGATATGAAGGCTGCCTCGAGCAGCGCAATGACTGCGGCACCGTATTTCTCGGTGACTGCCGCACCCAACGTCGTGCTTGACGCTGTCAAGGCGCCGGAGGACGGCTCTCATGATATCATTGTGCGGCTCTACGAGGCATATGGCGGCCATGCGAGCGCTACGGTTTCGATCAAGATCGGAGCCAGCAGTGTGGTCAAGACTGACATTATGGAGGAGCGTGCTGACAACTTGGAGCTCAGAACGCTGGCGAACGGCGCCGGCAAGTCGGTGGTCGTTGACTTTAAGCCGTTCGAGATCGTGACGCTGCGGTTTGCGGCGTGAGTGTTAGTGCAATATTTTTTATTTTTATTTTAGGATTGTAATACAAACACAAGTGGTTCATCCTGTTTACTCGGGCACGTTTTGCTCGGTTAAAATTGGTTCAAAACTTGAAGTGGCCAAGGATGGGTCTGCAGAAACCTCTTGCTGCTGCTGCTGCGTGCTCAACAACCGCACATTCTCGCCCTTATACATTTCTTCGTGACTGCTAGTGCCATCGCTATTCTGGCGCGCGAGAATCGGCGACACTCTGCTGGCACTAGAAGTATCACTGCGAGAGCTGGTGCGCACACGAACGCTAGAGTTCCTTCTCCGAATAGCCTGCGCTCGGCTATTCCGACGAACATTCCGGCCTGTGCTCTTCGAAACCGGCACCAGCTCTGGCGACCTTGGCAGCATCTCCATCTGCCGGCGGGTCTTCCCTGCATACGCCTCAAGCACAGACCACGCCACAACAGTGAACACCATCTGCCAAACGACCGCAGCAGAGATAAATGCCAGAGCAGTAGGTAGCCTCCAGTAGTACATCCAGTATCTTAGTCCTGTGAACTGCGCACGAATAACTATGTTGGCCTTGTAGACCTGCAGAGGCTTGCTCAGGGATACCGTGGCGCTGGTTATTGGTGCAAACCTCTTATCATACATGACGTCAAGCATCTCCACGCGCAGATCATCAGCCTCCTGCCACAGCCCCAGGGCCAGCATCGGGCTCTGCAGGGTGGTTTCCAGGGTCCTGAGCATCCACGACTTGTACGGCAATATGGCCGGCCGCGAGCTCATATGCACCAGCTGGCCCCAGCGATTGCATAGCTTCAGGGCCACCATAAAGTTCCCCAACTGCTGGTTTTCTGGCGATACCGGCACACGGAGATCCAGCGACACAGTGTATGCCTGTGACATTGATAGGAACTTGTAGTTTTTCTCGGGCACGAAGCTGACGGTCGCTGTGGTGTTCATTTTACCGGCGGGGTCGTATTGCAAGTATATTGGCGCTTCGTGCAGGAGTGTGGGAACGTAGAGCTTGTAGAAGATGGCGTAGAGTGATATGGATGAGATAAGTATGACGGTTAGCGCGCCGCCGGCTAGTAGAAACCTGACGCCGGCTGATATGCCGTTGCGGGTGGATACCCACTCGGGCAGTCTGTTCTTGAGCGAGGCAAGACGGCCAGTCATTTGTGAATTGGGTGTGTTGAATTGAACTGTTGAAAACAAGATAAATTGAACAAAATGAAAATGAAAATGAAAAGGGCAAAGCCTTATAGACTCCGACAGACAGACAGACAGACAGACAGACAGACAGACAAGACGATTTCGACAAAAAAGCCTGTTTGCTCAATTTAATTTGATGCACTTGTGCTGTTTTATGCCTACCGGCACGTGAGTGTTCAGCCCAAAACAGGCAGGTTGCTAAGAGATCCATCATGCGCGCATTTTTTAGGAAGAGAACATCCAGGCGTGCGCCGCCGAACAGGGCTGTGTCTCTCTTGCCTGCCTGTGTGTACACAGAATAATTGAATAATTGATAATTGAGAAGAAAAAATGAATTGAAAAAATAGCCATGCTGAACCGGAGCAACCAAACCAAACCAAACCAAACCGAACCAAAAGACATTAAAAAAGATTAAAGCAAAAAGTTTACTCGCTCTCCTCGTCATGGCTCTCCTGAACGTATGAAGCCTTCTCAGCCTCATACCTCTTCTTGTCATCCTCAGCCTGCTTCATGAAGGGGATCTTCTCCCGGTCGGACATGGCCTTCCACTTCTCACCAAGGAGCTTGCCGATATTTCCGAAAGTGGCATCGGGGTTCTCATCCTTGACGGACTTTCTCTTGGCCTGCGAGAAGTACATGTAGGCGGACAGGGCGCGCTTGGGAGCGTTGGGGTCCTTCTTGCTGCGTTTGGCCTTCTTGGCTGCCCGGGTGGTCTCAACCTTGGTGGTGCGGGGCTTGGTGACTCTGCCGGCGGAGACAGCCTTGGTCTTGACGGGAGCAGCGGCGGCTGCCTTGGATCCACGAGCCATTGTTAATTTGCTATGGTGTAGACAGTGGTAATTTTTTTATAAAAGTGGGTTTCTTAGCTTGTTAGCATCTCATGAATATAGTCTTCCAAAGGAAAGTAAGGCAAAAGTGGTGGGTGTATGCGCGAGTAAAGAAAAAAGGGGGGAGGGCAGACCGGGGTCTGCGGCTAAACAAACAAAAAAGCAAACTCAGCCTTGGTCAAAGGGGACAACGCGAAAAAAATGCGACAGCAGAAAACAGGAGAGAGAGGGGAGAAGCCAAGAGAACGAGAGAAAACGCGTGCGGAAGCCCAAAACCCAAATTTAGAAACGAGCACGGCGTCGACACTGTTAAAAGGTAAAAAAAGAAGAACAGAAGCGGTTTGATACCTTACCTGTAGAGTGTGTAAATAAAATAAAGAGCAAGTGCAGCACTAAAAAAAATTAAGCAGTGCAAAAAAAGAGCTAGAAAATGGCTGAGAAAATAAAAGTAAGGGGGGGAAATGAGAATAAGCAGAGCTTTTTTGAGTGAGGGAAACAGAAAAAGGCAGCGCAGAAAGTGGGCAGGGCAGACAGGCTCAGCTTTAAATGGTGTGGGAGGGAAGACAAAACAGCACAAATGCTCAGCATCGACTGTGAAAAAAAAGAGGGGGGGTGCACAAGCGCGTGAAGAAAAAAATCGAAATGCGCATTTTTTTCTTTCTGCCTTGGACTCGAGCGCGTTTCTGATGTTTTGTGGGCAGAATGCATTTTTGGCAGGCAAATTGAAAAAAAGCGGGATGGGGGATAGTGAAAAAAAAAAATGCTCCCCTTTTTTTTCTTCTGCTTGAAATAAAAAACAGGCTGGCTTTGTCACAGCTTTTCCGTTTAACGCGTTGGCAGTTGTTGTTTCTTCTTTTGGGTGTTGTTGCTGTGCTTGATTGAGCCGCCCACACTTCCCCCTCTTGCTTGTCCTTTGCCGCACTGTTGTCGCTGAGCCAAAAAAAATTAAGCGACAAAATGGTTATTTGCTTGTCGCTCTGCTTGCTGTCTGCTGCCTGCTGCTTGCCACGTCCATCATTGTTGGGAGCAGAGAGAAAAAGCGCGCGCAAAAAAAAAAGCAGAAGAAAGGGGAAGAAACCAAAAAGGCTCGTCCAGCCAATGATCTGTGCACAAAAAATGTAAAATGGCGCTGCTCGATTTTTATTTTTTGGCCCTGCCGAAAATAAAAACCCAAATTGACGCGTGCTGCCAGCTGCCGCTGCCGGCTGCTTGCTTGAAAAGTGGAAAATTTTCTTCTTGTGAGCGCGTCACGCTAAAAAGAAAGGAATTAATATGAGGGGTGGGTTGCTCGCCCACCCTCTTAAAACACAGCATTTGTTTTTTTTGTGTGTATGCTTTTGTGTCAGCTTATTTGCTGCATTTGCGTTTTTTTTGTCTGCCAAACGCTCAGCTGTAAAATAAAAAAGCTTTTTTCATTAACGAAAAAAGCCCCAACCTTGCTTGCCTGTCTTCTTTGCCCGCGAGCTCTGAAAATAAAAGGCTTGCTTGAGCGCGTGAGCGAGAATGAGGGTGTTTATTCGATAAGACCGCACTTAGCGATGATGACCGAGTCCCATACGCTGGGCCAAATCCGCGTGCACACGGACGAATGGCGCCTTCCCCCTTTTTTTCTGTCGCGAAGATGGTGTCTCAAGCCAGAGAAAAAGTATGCCCCCCCCTTGGCTTGCTGTCATCAAACCTTAGCTTTCGTAGATCATGCTTTTATCCCTATCACACGCACGCTTGGCGCGTCGGTTTGCTGTGTCCAGATTACGCTCAGCGCAATACTCTCAGACGGTAGCGCCGTCGGCCATCGCAAATGGCAGCAACCCAAAGGTAAAAATAATATTTTTTATTTTGTGCAAAGGGTCGAACATTGCCTTGCTTGGCTTGACTTGACTTGACTTGAGCGCGGAGACCTAATCGATGAACTTGGTGAGTCGAGGCTGAAGGAAACAAACAACTTTCTATAACAAGCTGGTAACAAAAAAAGGCTTGATTCATCCTCTTACTGCACGCCTTTTATGTTGTTGTTCTTGTTGCGTGCTGTTTCTGCTTATTTTTCTTCTTTGCGCTGGCGCCGCGGCAGACAATCCCCCCGGGCAATTGCACCATTTCTTTCCGCTCCTCCAACAAGACGGAGAATAATAAAGAAAAGAGAGAAGGATGTTTTTTTTTGGGCAGTACAGCATGATTCAAATTGTTTTGAACCTCCTGTCCCTCCTTTGTGAGCACTTGTTTTAGTGCTCTTTTCCTACTGCTATTCGCCCGCTTATCCCGGCCGCTTTTTTATTACTTTTATTGCCCGAGCCAAAGAGAGAGCAAGAGAGCAAGAGAGAGAGAGAGAACCAATGGTACTTCGCGGTGAGCCGAACACGAGCAACGCTTGATTTTGCATGCCACAGCCGACGATTAAAATGCACTTGTATGCGCTGCACCTTTCTTTTTCTGGTTGTTACATGTGAATTTAATTTATCTTTGTAACCCTGGTGATGTTTGTGGATAACATAACTATACGTATGTGCGCTTTTTAAGTATGTTATTTTATTTCATGTAATATATGTGCAAAGCACCAGTTATTAACAATGTGGAACTTTTATATCGAGATAGGTCCATTGTTATATTTCCAAATGCAACGATCCATATACCAATTTGGCATTTGAGGACTGGTACGTTGCCCGCTCTAAACCACATTGACGATTGGAAAAAAGGGGAGTGAATACTTTTTTTCCTCCATAAATCAAAACAAGATGTGGCGTTAATTTCCGATTAAAAAATGAAATGTTGTGTAGGATTCTGCGCAAGAGTGACCCAGAGTCGTTCGTTCTCTATCTGTGGCGCAACCGCCCAACCATCGTTATCGGTCGCAACCAGGTACAACCAAGCCAAAAACATGAACGATTTCATCTTCAACACACATACACACGAAATATGTTACTAAATCTTTCGACTGAGAAATGGCCTGTCATATATTGTAGAATCCGTGGAAGGAGTGCAATCTCAAAATGATGGCTTCTCGCGATGTCCTGCTCGCCCGACGCACCAGCGGCGGCGGCTCCGTGTACCACGACATGGGAAACAGTAACTACACAGTAGTGATGCCGCGCGAAGCATTTACCCGAGATAAATGCGCCGAAATGGTGTCCCGCGCGCTCCACCACGCGGACATCCCAGCATACGTCAACGAGCGACACGACGTGACAGTCGAAGGGCGTAAGATCTCCGGGTCAGCGTTTAAACTGACAAATAAACGGGCATTCCACCATGGCACCATGCTCATTGACACGGATCTTGGGCGACTCCATGGGTGCTTGCACAGCGAGGCCAAGGATGATATTGAGGCCTTGGGCGTGGAGAGCGTGCGCAGTGTTGTGACGAATCTCAGGGAGTACTCGTTGTCCATTGACCATTTGACTTTCTGCCAGGCGGTGATGAGCGAGTTTGGACGCACTTTTGGGAAGCTTGATGTGGGAAGGAACGTTACGGTGTGGGATGAAAGCGATGCAGATGTTGTTGGGATGGTTGAGGAGGAGCGGAAGAGGATTAGCACGTGGAAATGGCTCTACGGTCAGACACCGAGGTTTGTACATAGGTTCGGCGGCGTGGTTGGCGGAAAGCCTGTGGTAGCCAAAGTCTCGGTGTACCATGGGCATATTACAGAGGTTTCTTTGGAATATGATGCTGGCCAGGAGGACGCGGATGACTACGGCGTGTTTCAGATGATTTCAGACAGCCTGGTGGATGTGCCATATGTCGCCGCCGATATCCGGGGCTGTTTGGGGCCAATTAGTCGTGAGAGCCCCGCTGCTGCCGAGCTCTGCAGGTGGATCCTGGAAAAGATCATGGAGGTGGCATCAGGTGATTCAGCATAATTTTCTTTTTGTTGCAAGCATCAGTCGGGACTGGTCGCCTAAATAAAAAAAGGGGAGGCTTCATCCTTTAATTTTAAATGATATACACATCCCATCCATATACAATTATTGTTTTTCAATAGATTTTTTTTTTAGAATGTCAGAGTTTAATGTCCAAAGTTTGCATCCAGCATCGGCGTCTGGTCCGTATTCGATCTGGCCGCGCGGATTAAATTGTGTGGCACAATCAGCAAACAGACAGCCGCCGTTTGAACGGATCATTGATGTGAGGGTAATTCATCCGGCATGGATCACGCCAACTACTCCACCACTGCCTTTTCCAGCAACAATCCAACAGGATACAGAACGCGGCACTCGCCGCCGCCACCACCACCACCACCACCATCATGCAAAACTATGACTACAGGTTATTTTTTGTAGATGAAATGTATGAATAAAAAAATATAGATAAAAAGGTGGTAAAGAAAAGAAAAGTAGTAACATTTAGTTTTGATTTCTGCTTTATGTATTTAAATTTATTGCAATTGAAATGTAGCATGTTAATTTTTATTAGCACCCGTGTTCAGGCACACACACACATACAAAATATGATGCGAGGCTTTGTGCATTGCAATTCTTTTTGGTTGTCCATGTACGTGTTTTTATTATAGTTACTGTTTAGATCACTACCTTTTTTTTATATACTTCGTCACATTAATATAATGTGCAGAGATAATATGAGAAGGGCACCTATTATGTGTATATATGTGGTAATAGAAACGAAATTGCTTAATAAATGTTTACTTTTCTTTTGGATAATAACGATGTTTTTTTATTCAATGATTTTATGGATTGCACTTGTAATGTTGTACTGTGTTTGCGCTGTGAAAAAAAATGAACAAGAGGAAATGCAAGGCTGAATTTTTATGCTTGAAATCGAGTAAATATTTTTTTCTACTCTTGTGTTCCTCCTTACTTTTTCATTTGCCCAAGCAGTGACAAAAGGGAGGGAGAAAAGGGAGGCGAGGGGGGGTAGTGGGTTATGAGTGGCGGGAAGAAGGAGAAAAAAAAGCCCACCACACGCTCTTTTTTTTTATTGCTTCGGGTTTGTTTAATCTGTGCATTATCTTTATGCGGGAGACTGCCCACCTTGTGCTTTTCTTTTTTATCATCCGATTCTCCACCCCCTCCTTTTTTTCAAACTTGTTCTTTCGGGTATTCATTTGTTCTCTTTCTCGCTGCTCTCTCTCTCTCTCTCTCTCTCTTCTTTCCTTCTCTTTCCTTTCTCTTGTTTTGTTATTCTATAGGAAAATAGATTATTTTATTTACAGAGGTCTTTTCTATTTTATTTTATTGTTTGCATTCAAGAAGGAAAATAGACAAAACCCTTCTCCTTTTTTCGACCCTCTCGATATAATAAACAAATTGACACAGGGGCACAACAACAAAAAACCCACCTCCATTTTTCTTTTCTTTCTTTTTTAGAATGGCTGAGGTTAATCCGTTTTCGTTATCGGGGACGCAGTACTCGCAGCACTGGCCTTCTCTTGTGAGTCCCGACTACTGGCTCAACAAGGGTTTCATCCTAGCAACCGGGCAATCCAAAGCGGCATGGCGCTGGGCACCAGGAACAACATTCCTCTCCACTCAACGCGCAGTCCTCACAGGCGTCGTCCTCTACCTTACAATGGTGTTTGGTGGACAAATGATCATGAAGAAGGTTGCCAAGCCGATTAGAATGAAGCGAGTTACTCAGCTTCATAACCTAACTCTGACTTTGATTTCGGGATTCCTCTTGTTGGCGTTCTTGGAGCAATGCCTGCCTGTGTGGCGCGACAAGGGATTCTTTTTCACTATTTGCGGTGCTGAGTCGTGGACGCAGCCGATGGAGGTGATTTATTACCTGAATTATCTGACAAAGTGGCTTGAGTTTGTTGATACGATCTTGCTGGTGCTGAAGAAGAAGAGGCTCGAGTTCTTGCATTACTATCATCATTCGCTGACGATGGTTCTGTGCTTTGAGGAGCTTTTGGGCCGTGTTTCAGTTGTAAGTAAAAAATAGGTTTCTTGTTTGCTTTGTATGCTTTATTGTAGCGTGTGTTTTTTTTGCTTGCTTGCTTGCTTGCTTGTTTGTTTGTTTGTTGAGAGTTGAGAGTTGATGATGATGTTGGATCTTTATTTTTCTTTACTCCACATTTTTTTACTTGCAATGGTTTTTTTTATTATTGGTGGCATGCAGAAAAAAAAAGAAAAACACGAGCATTTATATATGTGCGTGGGTGTGTTGCATGGGCATGCATGCATGCACCATTAATTCATTTGATATTTTTTCGGCCAAATAGTAGTAGTAGTAAAAAGGAAAGAACTGGGTTATTAACATTTTTGCAAATCTTTTTTATTTTTATTATTGTTATTGGGGAAAAGTAGGCTTGGATTATCTGCTCAATCAATCTGTTTGTTCACGTCATCATGTACTACTACTACTTCCTTGCTTCTTGCGGCAAGAAGGTGTGGTGGAAGGAGATTGTGACGACTCTGCAGATTGTGCAGTTCGTAGTGGACCTCGGGTTGTGCTATTTCTGTCTGTACACGCATATTACGTTCCATGCGGTAGTGTCATTGCCCAGTATCGGAGCTGATTGTCGCGGTACTCGTCTGGCAGCATACTACGGATGTGTCCTGCTTTCATCGTACTTGCTGCTGTTTGTCCAGTTTTTCATCAAGACGTACATTAAGGAAGAGAAGGGTGGTTATTTGGGATTCCGCTCTATGAACTATGATGGTTTGAAGACAAAAAAGCCAGTCGAGCAAAAAGTTGAAAAGACTGAATAAGTCTTCTCCCTCTCTCTCTCTCTCTCTCTCTCTCTTTTTTTAAAAAAAACATTTTGTTTGCGAATTTCTCTTCTTTATTTTCTATATTAGAATGCCAAGGTAAAAAAAACACACCCCTTTCATTATTTTACTATTTAAATAACAATTTTCATTATTTATTTATTTAATATTAGTCGGCAAGTTAAAGAGAAGTTAGGCTTGGCGGCAATGGGAGGTGCGAGCAGTGATCGCGCACGCAAATGATGATTCTACCAGCCATCGCATCAACAATGTGGCGAGTATCCGAGAAGCCAAAAGACAGGCGGGAGGAGCACTCCTGCACGTGCCTCAGCGTAGCAAGCAATCGAGCGACCCAGGTTGAAAATATATTTACAAGCGCCAGCGACGGCGGCCCCGGCTGCAGCGGACAGGCTCCTGAGCTAGCGGCGGACATCCGGCGCAGCACAATGGCAACCAGGGCGACAACCTCATCAGCCCCGCCCTCGCCCTCGCCCTCGCCCTCCTTCTCAGAGGGCAGCTTCCACGGGGAAATCTTCAACCAGCCATGCACCCCATCGACCAACGTGGTTACTGCAGGGGGCAGAGTGCTGAATACATTCAGGGCGCCCCCCATGTTTGGCTGACGAAGACCAGCCCAATGCAGCAGAGCGGACAAGCGGCGAACATAGAAATACAGGCTTGCGTCGCATACACACTCGAACCACACATCGACGAGCAAGCAGACAAGCCCAGGCTGCATTGGCTCCGCCGCCCCCCCTGCTACCGCAGCGGTCGAATGCAGCGAGTCAAAAATGGCCAGGCAAAACACCACGAGCACCCGGCGACGGCCAGGCAGATCCGGCACCAGGTAAAGCGTGTCTCTGCCATGCTCGTCCAAAAAACCCTCCCACGTGCGCAGCCCCCCCGCAACACACACGGCGACCAAGCGACAGAGCAAGTGCACAAGATGGTCGAGGGGCCGAGGCGACATCCGGTGAGCAGCGGTGGCGGTGGACAGGCCGGAGAGGATCTGGCGGCGCAGCTGTGGCACCAGCAGGTGGACGGCGTGGAGAATGGCGCGGTCGATGGGCGCAAAGCTAGCGCGGCGGTCAAGCTCCTCGGCCTCCATAGCCACAGCCATCAGGTCCGCACAATCAACATCGCCGAACTCCTGCGAGTCAAGCGCCACGCGGGTGCTGCCCAAAGATGGCAGCGGGTCCGCTGGGGAGGGCGGAGCCACGGCGGGCGCCACGGCGGGCGCCACGGTGTCCTGCCACAGATCAACCAGGTCGCGCACGCGGCGCAGCACCGACAGCCGCGTGGCCACGGGCACCCCGGGCGGCGACTCCAGGGCGGCCTGCGCGAGCAGCGCGTGCATCGTGGGGCTGCGCAGCAGCAGCAGCAGCAGCAGCAGCCGCGTGGGCGCGTGGCCGTGGCAGCCCGCCTCGCTACGCAGCACGCGCTGCGCGTAGGCCAGCGCCAGGTCGGCCAGCCGCCAGCCATCCGCGGACCGCCCCGCCACGACCACAGCCACCGCGTCGGCCCATCCGGCAACGGCGTCGCGCAGCGCAGCAAAGTAGTCCATGGCGGCCGCGCCGTGTAGCGCAGCAGCAGCAGAGCCATCGGCGGCACCACCGGCGGCAGCGTCGCCCACCCCGGCAGCCCCGAGCAGCCCAAGCAGCGCGCCAACGCTTGTCGGGCCGGCAGTGTCCAGCGCGCGCCGCAGGTGGTATGCCAGAATGGACGCGGCGGCCGACCACGCCTCAAAGTACACGCGGCGCGCCGTGGCGCTGGCCGACTCGCGGAAGCGCAGCAGCGCCTGGAGCTGCGCATACAGCCGTGCCGGCCGCACGACGGCGCGCGGCACGGCGTGCAGGAAAAACAGAAACACCGCATAGTAGTTCGCCAACGCCGCCAGCGCACTGCCGCTGCCGCCGCCGCCGCTGCCGCCGCCGCCGCTGCCGCCCGCGTCCACCGTCAAAATGCGCGTCGGCAGCAGCTTCGACACCAGCGCGCGCACGCCGCGGACATCCGCCATCTGCGCGCGCCACCCGTCGAACGACGCGTCGAGCGCGTGCAGCCACAGCACCGTGCACGACGCCAGCGCCGAGTCCGCGGCGGGGATGGCGCCGGTGTAGCGCGTGAAGAACCGCGGCAGCGCCGGCGCCGGCTCGATCGGCAACGACGCGAACCGCCGCGCCTCGAGGAACCGGAACAAAAGCACGTGCAGGCGCGCGCCCGGCGCCGGCCGCACGCCCAGGCCGACGACCAGCCGGTGGACGCGCACGAACGCCTGGCGCACGGCCGCGTCGCTCGGCCGTGCGCCAGGCGTGGGCTCGAGCGCGTGCGCGACGGCGGAGGCCGCAACGGACGCCAGCGCCGGGTGCCAGTGCGCGGACGGCCGCGGCGCCGCAATGCCGTCGGCGTTGACTTGCGCCCAGGACGCCAGCCGCCCGAGCGCGCGCCAGTGGCCCGGCGGCTGCGTCACGGCGCTGACGCGCAGCACCGAGGCCTCGATCGGCGCCAGCGGCACGGCGGCTGCCGCAATGGCCAGTGCGTGGAGCAGTGCCACGCCCGCCTCGTCCAGCTGCTGCTGCTGCGGCAAGGGGCTGCTGTGGCGGAGGGCGGCGGCCGCTGCGGCCAGCACGCAGCTGTCGATTTCGCGCGCCAGCCGCTCCGCCGGCCATGCGCCCAGCCCATCGGCGGCCGCCGCCCGTGCATTCCGCAGCCGCAGCTCCCGCTCCCGCCACACGGCCATCCCGCATGCAGCCTGCATCAGCACCACGCCAAGCATCAGCGCCACGGTTGCGTCTGTGTCCGCCCCTGCCAGCAGCCGGTGCGCGCAGCCCACGGCGGCGCCGGCCACTGCGCCAAGCGCCTCGGCGTCGTGCGTGTACCGCAGCACCAGCCGCTGGGCAAAATCCATCCAGCGCAGAACCGCCGGTGCGCTGGGCGCTTGGCCGAGCCACAGCTGGCAGAGCATCGATAGCGCCTGGACGAACTCGCCGGGCGCCGCGCTGCTGCTGATACGCAGGACGTCGTTGTGGCTGAAGTGGTCGTCTGCCGAAGAGTCGCCTGCTGGCGGCAGGTGGCCCTCGAGCAGCCGCTGCATGCGCCGAAGCCCGCCTTGCCCGATCCAGGTGTCGCTGCGGAACCGCGTGCCGGACTCGACCCCGAGCACAAGCTCCTCGTCCGCCGCATCGCCCGAGCTACCGCTGCTTTGCAGTTGTGGCGGCGGGCGCTGCAGCTGCAGCTGCGCCTGCACTTGTACGCGTGTCGGCTGCGCGGCCTTGCGCTGGGCCAAGCGGCCGCTGCTGCCGCCATTGCCGCTGCGCATTGGCCGCGAAAACGCCGGCCTGGCGCTGGCGGGCTTGGCCGTGCTGTTGCCGCTCGCCTGCCGCCTGCCAATGTGGTCGGCCACGGCGTCCAGTGTGCGCGTGGCGGTGGCCGGGAAAAGCCGCGTCTGGCGCATCCGCACCCGCATCTGGCGCTGGCGCTGGCGCTGGCGCTGGTGCGCCCGTGGGCTCGGCGTATCGTCAACCAGGGCTTCGTCAAACACAAAGTCCGATGCGACCGGCTTTGCCGCCAATGGCCGCCGTGCCTGCGCCTGCCGCCCCAGCTTCGGCAGCCTCGGCAGCTGCTGCCAGCGACTGAGCCACCGCGCAAACTCGCGCCGCTTCTTTGGCGCATACTGCCAGATGGGTAATGGCGGCCGCTTTGAGCGGATGTCCGTGTCGCTGGAGGATGAGTCGAACACGGCGAACTCGCCCATTACCGCGCGGATCCCTCGGGGCTGCTGTTGCTGTTGCTGCGCTGCTGCAGCTGCCGACGTAAGGCCAGTGCCCGGCGCTTGTCTGCGCCTGCCACCATCTCTGCTGTGCCCAGCCTTGCGCCCGCCACCATCTTTTCTGCCCCCAGCTTTGCGACTGCCTCTGCCAATATTCCTGCCGATGCCCCTGCCCCCACCGGCATCTGCGATCCTGTTATCCTCGACAGCCTCGTCGTCGCTAATGACAATAAACGGCGGGTCTTCGCGGTGACCAGCCCGGCCATTGCCAAAACCCTCGTCCCACACAAACCCAGAAACACCCTCCTCCTCACTATCGTCACTGTCGCAGCAGAAAAAAACCCGCCGCACATCGATGACGCCCAGACGCCATGCCGCCACAATGCCTTGCGCGACATCGCCCTCTTCGACTTCGCCTAAACTTCTGGGCTCTACGCATACGTGTTTTTTCCATGCGTCATCCGCCTGCTTGCCACTGTTGCTGCTGTTGCAGTTGCTGTTGCTGTTGTGGAGGCTGCGGCGTCGGCATTCGCGTGCGGCTACGCGTAGGAAATCAGGACCGCGATCGGCCAGTGGTTCGGGAAACTGCCACTGGTAAATATCCAAAAACTCAAACTCAAAATGCGCCGTGGCCGATGCTGTTAACTGCTGCTGCTGCTGCTGCTGCTGGCTGTGAGAAGGCGAAGAAGGGCGATGGGGTGGCGGGGAGCTGGAGAGAACCCGGCGTTTGGTGGGTGTTTTTGTCGCCTGGTTCTGCCACCGATGCACTTCCTCTTGGATTTCGCTTTCTTTTTGTTCGTTCAACCCGCGCATAAAGGAAAACGGAAGGATGCCGCGGATATGGTGCCGAGAGATTTTGTTGAGCTTGCGTGCTTTGGCTGTGGGAAGCTGCTCATCTGACGAGGATGAAGACAAAGATGCTGAGTGCCGTGGTGGTGTACTGACCAGCTGCTGCTTGCGGGAAACTAGTCGCCGACGATTGTGATAGTGGCGGTTTCTGCTACTGCTGTTGCTGTTGCTGTTGCTTCTGATTAGTGACGAGGACGATGCAGGATCAATATTAGAATCTTTTGGTGGTGGTTCTTTGTGAGTCAGAAACGATCGGGGCACCTCGTAGGGATCAGAGCCATTGTCGATGTGACATGCTGCGGTACCGCCCAGAAGATCTTCTAAACTGGGCAGGACCAAATCATCTGCATCATCGTTGCTCTGCTTCTGCCCATTGGTTTGCTGCTGTCGAATTGCAGTCCGCCGTTGTGCTGCTAGATGCCTGTATGTGCATCCCCCATCGTGTTTCCTTGCACTCATAGGGGCAATGCCCTGATGCACCCAATCCACCCGGTCAGCCCGACCCACCGATACAGCAGGTCTCGGACGCACTATATCCATATACTCATCAACAACAATCTGCGACTCCTGCTCGTTCAACTGGGTCATTCCTGGGACATACTCCTCGTCCTCCGAGTCCTGAACCCCGGCATAATCAAATCCCTGCGTGTTATCACCATTTCCACCACTGAGAACCATACCAATGAATCCTTCTTGGTGCTTCTGATGTTCGTCAACGGTTGAAAGAGCTTTTAAAAGACTGGTACCGCGTCGTTGGTTTTTTGCCTGTAGGAGGTCTGCTGGATTGGTCCATTGCAGTTTCGTATAGGGGTGGAGGTTTTTCTCGGATCGCCGGCGTAGCGGATAATAGTGGTGCGCTGTTTCGCCCGTAGTTGCCTCGCACGAAACATCTATGACATTATGTAAAAGTAAAAAAAGAGGTATCGAAAACAACTTTTAGTTTTAGTTTGTTTTTTTTGTTGGTAAACCGCAAATAAAAAACCCCCCTATTGAATTATTATTTGTTCACCTTTTTTAAAATACTTTACCTTGTACATTTTGTTGCTGCTGCTGTTGCTGGTTATCCTCCTCAACCATCACCACATCCTGGTCCTCCTGCACCGGTACCACAATCCTCTCATTCAAATTACTTTCCAGAAACCGAGGCCTCCACCTTGGCAAAATTCCACCGCCTATCCCCTCCAGCGGATCCTCCGGAAACCCATCACTCCCATCACTCCCATTAACCCGCAACGATACCAAATCCATCTCACTCTCATTATATTTGCAGCCATCACCAAGACTACTAACATCGCTCAGTTCCCCATCAGATACACCCTTGCTGCAGTAGTATCGCGCCAACTTGCTTCGTAGAATTTCCGAGTCTCGGATTATTTGATCCGCATCCAAAGTGTCAGAATCGGATCCGCTGGGACATGAAGAGGGCCAGTCTATCGTATTACTCATCGTTGTGTTGCCGGACTGTGCACGAAAGTTAACTTTTGTCATTCATTAACTCAATGTACAAAAAAAAGATAAAGGAAATAAAGAAGGAAAAAATAAATAATGGAATTTGTTAATTTGAACTAGTATAATGAAAAAATAAGGGATTGTTTTCTCTTTATTTTGTTTCCTTGCGCAGTTTGTATTCGTACCCAGAAATGAAAAAAAGAAAAAAACGCGAGACGCCAACCACACGCGTAAAACGCATGAATACTAATCACGTGGGTATATTAAATCCGAATCAAAAATCAAATCACGCACAATAAACGAAAAATCACTATAATAAATACCCAACCTGCAGAGGTAGAAAATTGAATGAGATCATTTGGAAGAGACTCAGCAGCAGCAGTCGGATGCAAATCCAAGGAACGCACCCTCTACCACAGCTACCCATCCAAGCAGGCGGCGCACCGATTAACTCATTCACATATCATGGTAGTTATAGCCGTCAGTTGTTTAACACAGGACAGGAAGGTTTTGTCAAAGGAGCAAGTATATCTATGGATATATTTCCTCTGGGCGAATTGTGGATGTTTTTTGTTGCTATTATATGTTATGTTGGAATTTATTTCAAACTAGTCAAATGTGGCACAAAAATATTGTTAAATTAAAAACAATTTATCCACACCTTAAGATATTTTGCTAGCTTATGAGTACCCCCCCCCCCCCACCCAGTGGCTGGAAATAAAATCACAAACACCAGCTGGAAAGCAATACGCCATAGACCAACCAGCAGCATACCTTCCATAAGTCAAATAAGCGCCCGGCTTCTTTGCTAAAATGTGCTTCACGACGTGGCGGGAAAACTTATCAGTAGCCACCACCTTCCCCATATTTATAATTTCAGACAGTTTCCTCATAACAGGCAAAGCCAGAATATAACGAGAGACTTCAAAAAGTATTTTTCCCTTAACAGCCTCTACATTTATGTTTGATTTAATTGCACCGGGGACCAAAACCATGACTTTGACGTTGAATGGCGCAAGCTCAAAGCACAGCGGGTCGGACATTGAGTGTAAGGCCGCTTTGGTTGCAGAATAATGCCCAATCCATGGTGTTGCCGCGTAGTCACCTACAAAGCCCACGTTAACAATAGTTCCCTGTCTACTGTCCATCATATGAGGACCAACAGCTTAGCACATGCGCACAAGACCAAAAAGGTTAGAGCCAAAGCTCTCCTTCACCTTGTTCATGTTTGTCTCTACTACTGGTGACATACAAAATTGACCAGCGTTATTAACCAGAACATCAATACGGCCGGTTTCTTGGATAGCTCGGCCAACGGCGTCCTTGACAGACATGTCATTGATTACATCTAGCTCCAGGGTGATTATTCCGCGGATGGCCAAACTACTGTCAATCTTTCTTGGATTACGCATTGAGGCATACGCCTTGCAACCCTGCTTGGCAAACTCGAGAGCTAGAAAATGGCCAATGCCGCTGGTGGAGCATCCGGTAATTAAAACTACACGCTTGTTGGAAACTGGGCTGGACACGAGTGCTGCGGTGGATGTTGAAGTGTTTTCTGAGTTGTTTTGCAATATATAATTAAATTAGCAGGCAAAGTGTAAATAATAAGAAGCAAATACAAAATTATTTAAGTAAATTGTGTATTTTAAAGAAGCAAATAATCCTACAACTTTAATTGCTTTTGGATATTTAAAAATTCTGGCTCAGTGGTCAATGCACTTTTTGAATAAAAAGCCTTGTTAGCCATATTTTGCTCTAGAGACATACTTAAAACTTTTAATCATCTAAATCTTTTAATAAAGGTACGTCAAAAAGCCGCAAACACGAGGTTTGTTGCTCACATGGCTTGACTTGTTTTTATACTTTAAATATTTCGAATAAAAATTCACAAAATTTAAAAAGACAGATAATTGCATATCATGACACGCAACCACCTTTTGTGTTTATATAATAAAGAAAAGCCATCCCTCCCTTTTTTATATGTTTCATCCTGTAAGTGTATATATATTGACTTATCTAGATAAATATTATAAAAACATGAGGTCTGGTATAAGTGGGAGTAATTGGATTTGAGCACTTTTTCACAAGGGACACAGCATAGCTGGTGAAGTTCACATTATCTGGTGTTAACGTTGTATGTGGTGTACAAGTCGGAATATAGCAAGGGCAGTTCTCAAAGTAAGAGCTCATTATATATCCAATAGGGTTTTTTTATAAACTTGGGCCTATTAATCTCAAAATTTTAATACAGAGTATCAAAATCTAGTTCCAAAAAGAAAGAGAGAGAGAGCCATGCTGTTTCCAAGTATAACTGCGATTATTTCTTGAAATATTGTGGTTAATTACATATCACGCATCAGAAAACGATACTCCAACCGCCCGTGTATTGCTGGGTAGTAAAGCCGACGAGAAGGGCCTAAATGCTAACAAAACTTTAGCTGCATGGATATTTTAAGAATATATATAAAGCAGTAGAGGGGAAATAAAGAAGCAGCAAAATAAGAATAAAAATGGTAAATAATGAACTGAAATTGTAAATACAGTAGCATAAATAATTGCATTGAGCGGACTGTTTAAACACATTATTTCTTGTAAAACTCGTTCCAGATAAACAAAACGGTCGAATGTCAAAATTAAATAACAGTATATAATCCAATTCTAGTTAATATCAATATGCTCGTTTTTCAGCTTTTTCATTTCCACACACATTGCTTTGCAGCCAGTTGAACATGTCAATGGAAAATACATAAATAAAAATTTTATTAACAAGCGATCGACAAAGCGACAACGACTGCAGTAATAATACGCGCAATTAATTAGACAAATGTGTGGATCATCAAAGTTGACAAGTGCAATATATTGAAAACTTGCTGAGTCTCAATATGACTTAATTCAATTAAACTTGCTCATTCCAGTACCTGTAGTAGAACCGCAAAATTTTCTCAACAAATAAACTGTTTGTTCCAGAAACATGGTCCATGTCGAGTGATCTACGGAATGTTTTCATTTGTTGATTTCTTTCTGGTATGTTGTTGGGGAGGTAGTTGCGCTGCGTTTAAAGCATGTTTTCTGAGCGAGCAGGGCACAGCCGCCAGCCAAAGCCAGCGCTCATGAATGGTCGTAATGTCGCTGCAAAAACATAGCCATTATTGACGCGCAATGACAAACGACATGAGCAGAGTGAAGGAGGATGAAATCACGCACTATTATGTTTTGGCTGACAGCTGACAAAAGATGTGCTCGATGACGATCAGATCAAGTTGGCTATTTTTTTGTTGCTATAACTAACCTCTGTTTTTGATCGAGCCATCAAAAGTGTAAAAAGAAAAAAACCGTACTCTTGGATTTACAGTTGAAAGTTGAATCAGAGCGCATATGCAAATATCGAAAATCTATTTCCTTTTCTCATCTTTTTTTCCCTCCTTCCTTCCATGCAATGCCAAGAACAAACCCCACGGGGGCGGGAAAAATGCTGCAAGTCAAGTGTTCTGTGAGTTGGTTTCTGCTTACAGGCACGCTTTTAGTAAAAACTGCACATAAACGGCGATAAAGTTAGCTCCCCCCCCGAAAGCCAGATTAAACTCGAAAATACCCCTTAAATATGCTATCTGCAGCTTAACTTTCTTACTCTGAATATAAATAATTTTTTTTATTGAACACCCTGAATTTCAACCGGCTTTTTTTTGTTATTTTAATTTTTTTGTTACCACCGAACCGAATTTTAAAGTGGGCGCTTTGTAATAATAATACTAGAAACGGCACCAGTGGTAATTCCAGCCCCACGCCATCATATTCATCGTAAATTCAGTCAGTCATAAACAGTCACACTCATACACTTGCAGCACAGCGCAACTCTATCGCCACCGCCTATTCCAACCCGAACTAGCGGCTTTTGAGCGCTTTACTGTTCAATCCACAATCCAATCTACACCAAACCAGCCAACAGCACAAACGCAAACACAAACACAAACGGTAAGAGTTGGACTGCAGTTGTCCACGCTATCAGACAACAAACAAAACGCCTCACTTCCTACTGTTTTTTGTTCAGTTTGGACGATTTGATTGACTGCTGGCTTGCGGAATGCTATTCTCCACGAAATATGTCAAAATGACTATCCCAAGAGCGCAGGATAGTGCTTATGCGCGTAATCGACGCTACAATAAAAGTACAAGACATGTTAACCCCTTCCCGTTTCCCCCGGTCTCAATCACTCGCCTCATAACCTGTTTTTTCAACTCCACACAGCTTTGTTGTGGTTTTGCTTTCCCGCTCTTAATTGCTTCTGCCTGCGCAATATACAAAAATACTGTAAAGACCCTCGCTCCATTGGAGACAAATATAAGGGGGTCACATCATCCTATTGCGGTATAAAAATAAACACTGGAAGTAGCGAATTGGTTGAGACAAAGGCGGCAAATATGTTTTTATGCATGTCGTTGTGCATAAGACATACGACACATGTCTTTGTCTTGTTTACCTTTCAAATTTGCAAAATCCACCAGGAAAAATTGCTATTTTTTATTGTTGTCTGGCCTGTTGCCGGTCTTGCACTCGCACGATCCCTCAATCGCTTTATCACTCGTTCGCCCGCCCAGCATCCTTGTTTTAATTGCTACCCTGAAAGACAGCTGACGGATGACGCGGTGTTGTGCTTGCAACACGCATACGCCATTAACCTTTAATTGGCAAGCGTGTCTTTTTTATATCCCGATGAGAGAATAGCGTGGAATAGTGCGGTGTATAGATACGCACTGGAAATCTGGTCTTCTACTATACCGCCAAAAATACGCCCCCTTTCTGCACAGACGCTCAGCAACAAAGCTGCGCGCTGCCCGCACTCCATCTTTCTACTGCTGCACTCTCCTCAGGATGAATGTGGCACTACCCAGTGGCACTGACTCTATGAAGTAAAAGAAAAATAACCCCATCATTTATTTTGTTCCTTAAATTTTTTATCTTTTGCCTTTGCTCAGGAACAGCTGCAAAAAAGGCAAGAGTGCAAGAGGTGCTCATTCATACCTTTTTACACAGCAACCATAGCTCTTTTTTCCAGCGTGTGTGTTCTTGCTGCGCGAAAGCGAGGTGTATATCCACGGCTTGGTGTATCATCGCCGTACTATTGTTTTTGCCTCAGTGATTCTCTAGGCGTATGTTGGTGCTGACTACACTGTGCATGAAAAAAGTGACAAAAAGCGTAAACAAGATAGAAAAGCGCAATAATAGCAACATTATTGCTCCCAACTTTACTCTCCATAAAGTATATTGAGGCTCATTTCATTTTCTTGCTCCCAATTAATTCATTTTCAGAAAGCACTTAAAAGGAAAATTATTTGACCCAATTCCTCCCCTTTCTATTTTTTTTTACTTCTCCTTTCCTCTCCTTTCTCTTCTCTTTACTCTGTGTGTGTTATTCTTCTTCTGTTTCAACCGGCCCAGCCGTCTTTTCTTTTCTCTTCTTTTTTCTTTCAAACTCTGTGCTTTTTTGTATTGTTTTTTCTTTCTCCGCTCTTTCTTTTCCTATTATTTCTTTCTCTCTTGTCTTCTACATCAGCATCTTTACCCCCCCCCCCCGTTGCGAAGCTCATGCGAACCAGCGTCTTTTGACCATAGACTACACACTTTGCACCCGGGACCCACACACTACGCACTACGCACTAAGCATTAAAGAGAACAAGGAGCTTCAGATTTTTATTGTACCATTCGCAATGATAGCAACACCCATAGCGATGACCCAGGCAGTAGCTACCACAGTTTCCAAGGGCAGCAGCAGACCGTCGACAAGCGGTCGTCGAAAGCCAAAGAACACATTTTTCGGACCTTACCTGTTGCTACAGACCATCGGCGAGGGCGAGTTTGCGAAGGTCAAGCTTGCGATTCACAGAGAGAACGGCGAAGAGGTACAGTAACGCACCATGGAACATGCATCTACTGATATTTGTTGTTGTTTTGCTATCGTTATGACCACACCACTTTACTGCCAGCTGCTACCCCTTCTGCTGGCCGCTACTGCCTAGCATCATGCGGTTTTGTTCTATCGTTCTCTCTCCATGTCGGCTGTTGTATTTCTATTATCTTCTTTCCAGCTGTCGCAGCAGTAGCAGTAAACATAATAGTAACAACAGTGGCAACTGTCAACAACAACAAATCAAGAACAATGCGATTTGGCGCCAATTGTGCTTTCAAAATAGTCGGGGATGCGGTTTTGTTGTAATCCTGGCGTGTATTTTTCTTTCCATTATTTTTTGCACATTACTAACAGAGCTGAATGTTCGATGTGTTCCATTAGGTTGCAATCAAGCTCATCAAGAAAGAGAGCATCGATACCGAGGTCAAGCTGTCAAAAATCCAGCGAGAGATTGCCGCTCTAAAAGTAAGTTCAATTGTTGACATTGTTGTGTTTCTTAGTGGACATATGCGGTCTGGGTGTCTGAAACATTCCCCCCTAAAAATAGACCGATCATCATCGTCATCGTCTTTTTTTGCCCAATTTGGCGGAGAAAATACACAACTTGCGTCCAGCGCGCGCAAATGGGTGACGTGTATTTTCGCCTTACTCACCGGTGGCAACCAACGCATTTTGCATTACATATTTTACACTTGACTTTAACAACACGAGTCTGGCAATGTGTGCGTGCGTGTGTCTATATTTTCATATTTCTTGTTGTTTTTTCTTTTTAGTACAGGTTTTGTCTTTTCCCCCATTTTTTTCTGCAGCCCACTACCCCTTTAATCACATTTGCTTTTCACGAAATCGCTTTCTTTGCAAAAATGAGCTGTTGATATTTTTAATTGAAATCTGACAGACACCAGCACAAAGAATGCCAATGACGACTTTGACGATCCTCACGCAATATCATTGCACTAATATCGCCTTTCATTATTTACTTGTTTGATTGCTTCTAGGCCGTAAACTTCAGCTACATCGTGAGGCTGCACGACATTATCGAGACCGAGCGGTACATTGGTATTGTGATTGAATACGCATCCGGAGGCGAGCTGTTTGACCATATTCTGGCGCACCGGCAGCTAAAGGAGATCGATGCTTGCCGGCTCTTTGCCCAGTTGATTGCCGGCGTCAGCTATCTGCACGCCAGCAACATTGTGCACCGCGACCTCAAGCTTGTAAGTGTTAAAAAAGATAAAATTAACAATGAGTGCTCAAGTGACATGAGTCTTGTTATTTCTGCATTTGTTTTCTCGCTTGCCTACGCCCTATTGTCAGCATATTAGCGCGTGTGTACACACCACACACTCTCTAAATCACACAATCGCAACTGCTCGAATGCAAAGCCACTTGTGGAATTTAAAAGTGATATCTTTTTGTGGCAAAGCCCGCATGATGGACCAGTTGGCACTGGCGATATGTGGGCTTTATATTTCTGTGGCGCGTCGCTAGTTTTTTCCGGACCGTTTCCGAAAGCACATTGTCATGTGCCGCTCACGTGTTGTGTGCATCCAAGCTACACGCTCACGACTGTAGATTGTTCCTGACCAACCCTCACAGCCACACCAGCCCACTAATCATGCCGCCCGTATGACCCCCGAAATAATTTGTAGGAGAACTTGCTGCTTGACCGCAACCGCAATATCAAAATCACAGACTTTGGATTTGCCAACCAGTTCCAAGGACCGGGCGATGATCTCATGTCGACAAGCTGTGGCTCTCCGTGCTACGCGGCGCCCGAGCTCGTGGTTTCCGACGGTCCATACGCCGGTACCGCGGTCGATATCTGGTCGTGTGGTGTGATTCTCTACGCGATGCTTGCCGGATACCTGCCGTTCGACGACGACCCATCCAACCCCGAGGGCGACAATATCAACCAGTTGTACAAGTACATTCTCAACACGCCCCTGGTTTTTCCCGAGGGGGTCAGCGCATTGGCCCGCGACTTGCTGCGCCGGATGCTTGTACCCAACCCAGAGCACCGCGCGACTCTCGAAGATATTAAGGTGCACGAATGGATGAAACCGTACGCCGCCACGTTCAACGAGACAGGCGCATACAGCGATGCACAAACCAATGGTGCTAACGGACAGGTAGTTCCCGATGGATCAACAGCCACGGCTAGCAATACGCCGGCTGTGCCCGATGTGCAGGCAAAGAAGTCCAAGCGGCATACGATTCAAGTCGAGTACTCGACGCTGTCAACGCAGCTTGCTGATAGCAGCCACCAGAATGAAGTCAGCTTGCCGGAGGCGCCCTCTGCCGAGATGGTTGCGAAGGCGCGCGCAGCCACTCAGGCCGCGCTGATGGGCGAGCGGCAAGAGTCGGAGGATAGCTCACCATCCAACAAGGTGCGGGCACAAACCGACTCCGGCGTTGATCAGGCTGTGCCACGGTCAACTGCCACCGCTGCTGACCGGGCAGTGCCCAAGGCGCCTGAGACTGAACAGCGGATGGCCCCGCGGCCGCGGCCCATGTCCATGTTTGCGTCGACCGAGATGCAGCAGGGCGGCTCGAATGAAATTGCACTGCCGCCGCCAATTTCGGTCATGATGGATCTCGGCCACAGCGGAGCGCTCTCGTCGGCATCCTCCATCGACAACAACATTCGTAGCGGCGCGCCTCGCGGGCGTGTGCGTCCGGTTACGCTGAGTCCCGACCAGTTTGAACATAAGAACAAGCACCGCAACACGGGGTCCGTTGACAGCCACAACAGCCACCGCAGCCGCAGCAACAGCGAGCACCATACACACCGGCGGTCGTCCATGCGCTCCTCGAACGAGGTCAGCAACCGCCGCGGCCGGCTGCCCGAGATCCCACCAGTCTTGCCCGTCAACAGCACCACCGGCGAGGAACTGGGGATTGGAGTCGGCGCTGGTATTGCATCGCATATTCCGCGCCATGTCGAGGACGTGCTTTTCCCCGATGCCCCCACCCTACAGTCGCCCAGGCTCCAGAGCGGGCCGGCATCGCGCGTGAAGAGTTGGTTTAACCGCCGCACGTCGCGCTGGGGTGCTGCCGCCATGGGTGCCGACCAACCCTTGTCTATCAGCTCGGTCTTATCAGCCGACCGCCGCGAGCAGCCCGAGATCCTGCAGCACATGCGTGTGCACCGTGGTGTCATTGACCCCGATGCGCTCAGCGAGCTGGCGCCTGACGTGCTGTTCTCGCATGTGCTTCAGACGCTGGACGATTTGGGCTTCACTGTGCTCAAGACCGAAGGCCTCAAGATCCGCGTCCTCCGCCCACGCCGCGAGCAAATGTCTGCAATGATGGCGTCGCCAACCCGCGGCCGCACAATGTCAACTGCGATCGACAGCGCCAACAGTGGCTTTAGCAGCCCGCCGCATGATGGCCCGCGCCGTCAGTCTGTGCCCTTGGTGCTACCCAAGGCCTCTGACGAGCACAAGTGGTCGACCGCCAGCAAGCGCGCGACCATTATGAACCCATCGCAGTACGAGGAAGAGGCGCAGCACGGCTTCTCATTGTCAGAAAAGTCTTCGAGCCGGCGCCCGCGCACCATTGGCACGGCGCTGACCTCAATGCGCCGCTTTTTCGGAGCTGGCGGCATTGGCCCCAAGCGCTGGTTCGGTGCATCGTCCAAGGCTCCTGCCCACAGCAGCAGCGATTCGACGGCCGCCGAGTCTGTGGACGATGAGTTTGCCAAGTCGGGCGCTGCGTCGTCCCACGGGCTGGGCATTGCCGCGTCATCTACCGCCGAAGCGAGTCGCCGCCGCTCGCTGTCCGAGTCGCCATACATGAACACAATGGCCATCCGCGACCAGGTCAACGGTATTGTCAGCACTCTGGCCGCTGTGCCCGAGGAGTCTGAGGCCCAGACCGACTCGCCCCAGGCTGGCGAGAACCAGGGCGCGTCCAATAACCTGCCGGCATCGCCGTTCTCTCACGCTGCCTCACTCGGATCGGCAGCCGGCATGGCTGTTTCCGCTCGCATGCCCGACAACCCGTTCACCAACCCGTTCCAAACGAACCAGAACGCCCCGCCATATGGCTCGTCGCAGGTTGATAATGGAGATGAGCTGCAGATGGCCATTGAGGTGTGCAAGATCAAGAACCTCAACAACTTCTTTATCGTGCACCTGTCGCGCCGCAAGGGCAATGTCTGGGCGTACAAGCACCTCTACCATTTGATTATGGAGAACCTGGCTCTGCGATCTGATGATCGTCGCCGGTATGCCCCCAAGGCTTAACGCGCACGCTGTCCTTTTTCTTTTGTCCGTGTATTCAGCTGCCATACAAAAACCAACATTCATTTTTTTTTAAATTTCTTTCCTCTTTTTTATATTGTTTCCTATCTTCCACTCCTTGCATTCGCTTAATTCGCTAATATACACCTCTCTCTATTTATACTTTCAAAAAACATGCACGCTTCGTTTAATCTGAACAACATTTGCATTTGACATTAACCCTGCCTTGCTTGATTTGCCTTTTCGCCCTATGTGTTGATAATTTTTTAAATTACTTGCATGTATGAATATGTCGATGTGCGCAATTAATTTTTTTTGAGATTGTTTGTGTTTTCCCACGACCAGCTATTAGTTCAGCAAGCGAGGTGGCAAAAAAAACCTCCGGAAGGCAAATTATGCGCATAATTTGCCTTATCCAGTAGCCTCCAAACATGCTCGAATATTTGACCCACGCATGAACAAACAGAGTGGCTGCTGACCTTGATGTCAGTTTGAAAAAATATTTCAAACTGACATCAAGTTTTTTTCTCACGCACAAAGTGCATAGGAACCTATCAGTGAAATTTATTTAGTCAAGCACGCGCACATACGGCTTAGTCATGTGTGTTTAAAACCACCAACTCTCCCACGCTCAGCTGCGAATGGGCGAGCACGAGCACAATAAATCAAAACATTGTGTTATCAATGTCTTGTGCACAACAAAAAGCTTTATCGAATCAAATGTAATAAAATCGGGCCCTTTTTAAAAGATCACATTTTGGGCGGTAAAAATAATGGACAGCAAGTGCAAAAACGAGAGCGAGGCGCATCCATATGCCCGCCTTAAAAAATACGCACAAAGAAAACTGCGCCAAAAAACTACTTTACTCTCTTTTACATCAAGCAATTCTGGGCCGCCAATGTTTGCGGGGCGGGAGGAAAAAACATTCGGCCATATTCGAAGAACATATAAAGAGTATTTGCATTGGGTTTTCTGCGCGTGAGCTCGCACTTGCCGTGCAGTTTAATTTTTTCATAGCCACGATATTTGCTCAGGTATAAATACCGACAATTTTTCTGACTCGAAATGCTTGGCTCTTCATTTTACACACATTTTATTCTGTATCAACAATAACAACGACAACGACAACGACACACAATATACATATTTATATATATTTACGATACCGTAATTTCCTCTAGCCATGACTACGTACACCAGAACAGGTATCAAGCCCACAGTAAACTACGAGGCATTCCATCACCTCACCTTCTGGGTCGGAAATGCCAAGCAGGCTGCCGCTTACTATACCACACACTTTGGGTTCCACTACATCGGTTACCAGGGCCTCGAGACTGGCCACCGCCAAGTGGCATCGCATGTCGTGGGCAGCGGCGAGCTCGTCTTCGTGTTCCAGTCAGCGCTGCGCCCGGGAAATTCCGAAATGACAGCATTCCTTGGACAACACGGCGATGGAGTCAAGAACGTCGCCTTTACTGTCGACGACGCGCGAGAATGCTACAGACTGGCGGTCGAGAAGGGCGCACAGCCGATCCAGGAGCCCTGGGAAGAGTCCGACAAGCATGGTCAGGTCACCATGGCAACCATTCGCGTGTACGGCGACATCGATCACACATTTGTGCAGCGGAACGGGTATTCAGGCGTCTTTCTGCCCGGATTTGTGTCTAACAATAGCTTCCAGGCGCTCAGTGACGTGCTACCGCCGGTGCCCGTCGAGTTCATCGACCACTGCGTCTCAAACCAGCCCGAAAACCAAATGGTTAAGGTAACAGAGCGGTACGAACAGATGTTGGGCTTCCACCGATTCTGGTCTGTCGACGACAAGGATGTTCACACAGAGTTCAGCTCGCTGCGGTCGATAGTCATGGCCGAGTGGAACGAGAGGATCAAGATGCCTATAAACGAACCAGCACAGGGGCTGCGCAAGAGCCAGATCGACGAGTACATCGAGTTCAATGGGGGGCCCGGTATCCAGCACATTGCCGTGCGCACGCCCGACATCATAACGGCTGTGAGCAACATGAAGAAGCGCGGGGCGGAGTTTTTGCGCACGCCAAAGACGTACTATGACGATTTGCGCCAGCGATTGGCTCAGAGCAAAGTGACGATCATGGAGGATCTCGATGTCCTCGAGAGACTCAACATCCTGGTAGACTTTGACGACCAAGGCTACTTGCTGCAGATATTTACAAAGCCTGTGGAGGACCGTCCGACAGTGTTTTTGGAGTTTATCCAGCGTCACAACCACCAGGGATTTGGTGCAGGAAACTTTAGCCAGTTGTTCAAGGCCATCGAGCGCGAGCAGGAATTGCGCGGCAACCTTTAAATTAATTAATTGAAAGTTTTAATAATCAAACTTTTTTGTGCAAGTGCCTGGATCGCAAATAATAAATTCAAGCAAAGTTGGCTGATTTTGAAACCAATTTTCTGGGCGAGGCTACCGCGTTTATAAAAAAACGCCAAGGCGATGCTGCAGTGTTCGCTGAGCTTTCATTAATGTGGAAATGGCAAAATTGTGTTTGTGCGGAGAGTAGGCGGGGCGAGCGCAAAAATATTATTAAATTTTTTATAACTGCCACTTCCCATTTTTGCCCGCGCTTTCGTATTTTTCTTATTGCGTGCCGAGTTTAGCCGAAAAGTTAACTGCCAAAGAATAAAATTGTGAGTAGTGAAACCAGAAAAAATACGGCTGGTGTTTTTTCTTTTTTTTTTTCCAGTTTCTCATATTGAACAATTTGGGTTGTTAATACACAAAAACTTGATGCAAACAAAATGCACCAAAAATAAAATAAAATAAACATTGTGCTGCCTAAAATAGTTAGACTGAAACAGGGTTGGAAAATGCTGCCCTTTCAGTGAATACAAAAATTGCTACACTGCGAAAAAAATCTCATTGGGCACAGTTGCCGAAAAACAAGCATGATATCCGAGTTTCGCTGCTCAAGGACTTACACACCCGCACGACCGCGCCCTTCTGCTCATCTTTTTCTTCATCTTTTTCTTCTTTGCTCAACCAAAAATATATTTTACAGTTTTAAAAAGTGTGGCGGTCTTCTCCCTCTTCGATCGCTTTTCTCTTTTGAACTGGCTCCCATTACTTGTTATAATTGAAAGCTCGTTATCGTGTTTGCTCTCATCCCTAGTACTCCTCACACACCTTATATAAACACTAACTAACCACAGCAGCTATCCAATGATGCCAACCTCAGTTGTCCAGCAGACTTTCTGGGATCGCATTCCCAATGCCACCAGCAAGCTGGCAATACTGGGCAGAAGCGATTTTACAAAAAAGACGGGCAGCGGCAAAAATGCGTGCAACGGCACCTTTGAAGCAGCCGATGTACCGGTAGCACGTATCAACAAGCGCAAGCAATCTCACCCAATGCGCTCGCCGCTGTCACCATCCACAAGCACCGATTCCTGCCCCAAAACACACGATGCAAGCGCAAAGGTGCGCTGCATCTCTCTTGACCAGCACCTGCCAGAAACCCGGGCGCTGCATGCGGTGGACACGCCCAACTTGAGCCGAGCATTCTGCCTCTCGTTCTCTGACGACTATTCACGCAACCCACACCAGTACGTTCAGGCTCTTATCGACAGCGAGAGCATGCTCACCGTGACCACGGCGCCGTTAAGTAAGTCGCATAGCAGCCGGGTGCGGCAGGGCAGCACCGGTCGTGGAAACACAAACCGCGGTCGCGAGACACATAGCGGCGGCCGCGCGAATGCAAAGCAGGGCGGTGGGTCCAAGCGCAACCGGGCCGCTCGCTTCCACAATCTGCAGCTAGAGCAGACCATATCAGCGGCGCAATCCGAGAACGAGGATGCGAATTCCGTCACTACTGTGACCAGTGATCTCAACGAGCTGGCGGACATTGATAACCAGGTGCCCAGCACGCCAGTGAGCAGCCAGCATCGCCTGGCGGCAAAGACAGAGTCATTTGTGGATTTGGGGCCCACCGATGACTCCGATGCGTCAAAGCTGCCGACGCCGCAGCTGATGCTGCCACTATCACCAAAGACCGCCACCAGCCACATCAGCAGCCACAGCGATGAGAATAACAACAGCAAAAGTGGCAGCATCAATGATCCTGCATTGTATACAGATCACTCTACGCCCACACAGCATGCCGCAGACCACAGCGATTTTGCTGAGGATGACGGGGACATTGCAGAGCCGGCGGTTGCAGAGTCAGCGGTTGCAGAGTCAGCGGTTGCAGAGTCAGCGGTTGCAGAGTCGGCAGTTGGGACCCCAGCGTCCCTGCATTCGTCCATAGCTCCAACCCCAACCCCACCGCCTCAGCCGCCGCATGAGCTTGGCGAGGACAATATGCCGTCGTACCAGCGGCTAGGGCAGGAGCTCACAGACGACGTGTCGCTAATAATTCCGCCCAGCGCAAAGTCTACAGTGAAGTGGGCCAAGGCCGAGCCCATTGACATTGCCGATCGCCCGCTGGCCGACAAGCTGGCCTCTGCCGAGCGGCATTGCTGTTCTGTTCTGCGAATCCTACCCGAGCAGTACGTGGCAATCAAGCAGACGCTGCTGCGTGAGGGCTGTTCTCGTTTGCCTGGTACTTTCAAAAAGCGCGATGCGCAGCGTCTCTGCCGCATCGACGTCAACAAGACCAGCAAGATATACGAGTGGTTTGTGACCATCGGCTGGCTGCCCGCTGGAAACGGCGTTTACACGCGCCCGTAATAAAATTCTCGTTAGAAATCAAAAAGGGCTTGGCAGATGAGGGTCGGATGACGGGATTGCGGAAATCACTTCAAAAACCGCTTGCATCATTTTTGTCTTTCAACCCCTTTTTTCACCCTCACCTCCATTTTCGCACTTGTTTATTTTTTATTTTTCCGACATTACACAATTTCTATACTCAAAAATCACCCTTTTCATTTCACACGCAAGACATAAACGCACGCACACATACGCACATTTTCTCCTCCACAATGTCTGACTACAGCCCAATTGCCGACCATTCAGAAACCGCACACAACTTTGACCACAGCAACAAGGGCAAACATAGCTCTTCGTCGCGCCCTTACAACAACGCGCAGGTGGACTCATCCAGTCGGTTCCAACAAGAGGCACATGTAATTCAGGTCACTCCAGCGCCACAAAGCGCGGAATATTCGTATGGCGGCGAGCCAACAGCCGGACCTTCGACATTCAACTCACAGGACGGCGGCCAGCGCATTAGCCGCTATGAAACATCGCTTGCGCTGCGCTACGATATTGAAGCATCGCTGGCCTACGTATTGGGCATATTCTCAGGTAAACAAAAGCGTTGCCATCTTTTTCAATATTAGTCGGAAGCAGTTTCCTTCTGCTTTCTTGCGGTTCTCTTCCCTTCCGAACAATCCTTTGGTTGATCGCTTGCTGCCACTCTCGCACAAATGCACAATAGAGTTGACGGCAATTTTTCTTCTTTTTGTGGAGTGTGTGAGGCGCAGTCTCGCAATTGTGTGCACATGTTTATATTTTTGATTTGATTTAGCGAATCCATTCTAATTGTAATCCAAAAATCATCACTTATATCACACTGTAGGCGCGGTTTTGCTGATACTGGAGAAAAAGAACGACTATGTGCGGTTCCACGCCTGGCAGTCGTCACTTTTATCTGCTGTGTCGATAGTTGCGCTGGTTATCAGCGCCCTGATTTCCGATTTGCTTTACTGGCTGATCATCCTGGCCGTGGTCAGCTCGCATGTATACATGGCGCGCCGGGCGTACTTTGACGGCGCCGTATTTGAGCGCTTCGCACTGCCATATGTCGGGGCGGTGGCCATACAACTTGTGGACGAAGAATGAACTGCATAGGTGTTAATTTTTTAGTAATTTATGGAGGCGAATTTACAAACATTTAATATCTTTTGGTGCGACCCTGTCGCGTGCATATATCAAATATACATTTTATAATATTCATATGTCGATATTATGCATCTAATTGCCATATGCAAAAAAAATTAAAAATGAATTATTTATTGATCGAAAGAAAACTACATGAATTGCCGGACAAGGCCAGACGTTTTGCTGTCTTCGCGCATCTGGACGAACGCCTGTAGAGTCGCCCGGTCAAGCCGTGCCAGCGGGCCCTCGTCGAGCAAAGACTTGAGAGAAGCAGGCTGCACAACAAAGATATTGCTGATGTCCTGAAGGATACTAAACTTCTCGACCAGCGCCGGAATACCAAACGAGCCAACCGCCTCCCGGTACTTTGACATATCCTTGACAAGGACAAGGCCACCAGCCACGCTCACGACGTACTTGCGGAAATGCTCCATCAGCATGCGGTGCAAGGCAATGCCTACATCGGTCAGAATGCGTTCGCGGTTTTCCACACCCAAGTTCTGTTGGCACGCCTGGCGCACGCGGTATAGGTAGTCCGTACACTGGCGACAGGGCTGTGTGCCCATCTCGAACGCAGTAAAGTCGTCATCGGCGGGGCGGAAATCGTTCTTACGCTGCTTGTTCAGGATGCCCGTTATCCACTGCGTGCACGCGCCGACCAGCTTGTTGCTGATCAGGTTGAGGCTCATCTCGACCCTCGACATCAACTGGTTCTTCTCAGCCACCATGTCGCGGTAAATATAGCTGCTGGTCCCGACGAATGGGACGAGGGCGCGCTGGAAGTGTATCTGCACCAGGCGTACAATGATATTGGCCGTGCGGATAACGCCGAAGATACGTAGATCGGGCTCCTGGCGGAGGTCCTGCAGGCTCTCCATGACGTCCTCTAGCGCAGGGAACATGTAGTCGTCGCCGAGAGTCGTTGTTAGCAGGCTAGTCAGCTTAGCCACAGATCCCGCCGACAGGTTATCATTCTCGAGCTCGACTGCACGAGCAATGGCTTCTGCGTGCACTTGCAAAAGTGTGCGTGCGGCCGCCGTGGTGACGGTTCCCTCGGGCTCGCCCGCCGCCTGTCCGCCGGCCAAATTGGTGCTGCTTCCGCCAATTCCACCCAAACCCGCCGCGCCTGAGCTAGCAACGCTACTATTGGCCTGGCTGGCGTTGTTGTCTTTAGTAATGTTTGAAAACATGCCCAGCAGCGCATTGCCTCGAGTGGTGGTCTGTCGCTCGGCACGCGCGCGCAAAAAGGGTGCTAGCGCGTGGCGGAATGCCTCCTTTAGATGCGCTTGTTCAGCGCTCATGTAGTTGCCGCCGGCAATATAGGACTCAAACAGGTCGTCACAGCAGCGGTTAAGGAATCCGTGCAAGAGACCAACGCCCGCATTGTCGCCCTCGCTGCGGCCTATGAGGGCGGCAATGGCAACGGCCGAGCTGACACCGGATCTGGCTTCGCCCAGCCTGTCGCGCGCGGCAACTTCGTCGTCCATGTCGTCCTCGTCGTCGATGGCGCCGTTGTTATCGCCCTGCTTGGCCGGTGTCTTCTTGCTACGGCTGCGGCTGAATTGCGCCGAAGACGTCTGCGCATTGTTCGGCATGTCAAGCAGTCCCTGCGGCATGTTTCCGGACCGGCGCGTTGACTCGAGGACCATGACTGCGGGAGTGACGGTTTCAGCGTCAAAGCGCTGCAAATCCTCAACAAGCTTGCGAGTCTCCAAATGGGACGACGAGAGCACGCGCAGAAATGCCAGCTTGGACTGGCGGTCGGCGCGGCCCAGCAGAGTTTCAAGGTAGCTCTGGATGGTCTGCTCGAAGACGCGCTTGAGCAGCTGCTGCATGACGTCGATGGGCCGCGGGAAGACCTTGGAGATGACGGCCCAGTCCTTGAACATCATGTCGCGCGTGTCCGCAAACAGCTGTGCCAGCCAGCGGTCGGGTGGCGGCGGCAAATGCGTGATGTCCGAAATGCCCTCCATCGACTGGTAGCTGGCCTCGGCAATGCTGTCCTGCGACTGGCTGATCATGCTGGACAAGAAAAAAGGGTGCTGGTTAATGTACGCCTTGACCACCGACACACCTCCGTTGAAGGCATCGAGGGTGCGTGCCGCAATGCTCATGTTGTGGATGTCGCTGTCCCGGTACGCCGCCTCAAAGCTCCGCAGCATCGTCTTTTCAAAGTCCTCTGAGTACTTTTCGATCTGACGCTTGGCCGCGGTGTCTGTCGGCGCACTGTACTGGTTGTCAACGACAATTGTATTGAGCCGCCGCAGCGTGTGTGCCACCTTCATCATGCCCTCAGAGCCACCATCAAGGAGCTCGTCGAGGCGCGCGGTGTTACCTTCATTGAGCTCAGCGTAGAACTCAACCAGCTCCTTGATGGCCCCCGCGCGGTCCTTCTCCTTGGCCACAGTATCGAGCTGCTCGCCGATGCGAATGGTGTTGCTGCTGACCTCACTGATCTGAGTTTCGAGACGCTCAAAGCTGCTGCCGACCGTGGCAAAGGTCTGCTTCAGCCGCGTCATCTTTTTGCGGTGGTCCTCGGAATACGACTTTGTCGATCGCTCCAGGCTGGAGATGTTTGCGCCCAGCTCATCCTGCGCGTCTATCAGCTTTTGCAGCGCGCGCTCGAACGTCCGCACGAACGGCTTGGGCTCAAAGGTCGCGCTCTTTTTTGCGAATTCAAGGTCGCCCTGCGAAATCTGCTCGATAAACTCGTCTGCCGAAAACCCCGGCTATAGAATAAAAAGTGTGTTTTATTGGTCAGTCTCTGTGCGCGCGTGAATTTGTAAGTAGCTCTTATGCTGCCTTTTAAAAGATGTTTGTGGCCACACACTGCGTTACCTGAGCAAAGTAGCCCTCGGGCAAGCCAAATGCGCGAGATGGGTCCATGGGTCCGTCGCAAGCGTGTAATTGAGAGCACGAATTGAAAGAAATGAAAATGACTGAGTTTTTAAATTGGAGGAGTATTTTATTTATTGAGAAAGAAAAATTGGGAATTTTAATTATGCTTTCATTTTATCAAAAAATCTGTTGCTTTGATGACGTTTCACCCAGAAAAAAGTACTTTGCACGTTTCTTCTCTTTTTCTTCGCTTTCTTCACTTTCTTTTTTGCTTTTTTTGCTTTTTTTGCTTTTTTTGCTTGTATAACCACACATTTATATTCATATAATTGTTTCTGACCTATTTTTCAAACATAAAACATGAACAACACCGCGAAAATACTATTTGAAGTCATCGGAGACTCGCCAGTGCAAAGCGCCGAAGACCTAGTGGTGGCGCTGAGTCAAGCAGTACTCGCCAACATGGGCCTCCAGACCACCAGCACCAGCAGCGACTCCCATGCATGGGCCTCCCCAGGGCTGCCTCAAGCCCACTTCAGCACCAGGCTCACCTCATCAAATGACACAAATGCGACTACAGAGGTCAAGTGGATTGCAGTAGGCGCCAACGTAATCATGCTTGTAGAGTCGCCGAAGCAAAGCACGTCATCCATCGACATAAACACGCAGCGGGTGGTTTTGCCCGATGCACAGTTCCCACTGCAGGCCTCAAGTGCCGAGGCACTTGCTAGTGCTCTAGAGGGACGCCTCACGGAGAACGCCATGGCGATTGTGGCGGCGGCTATTGGCGCACGCATCATGCCCCAGAATGCCCTTGTCCCAAGGGAGCAGCAGCAGCGGGAGCGCCGCGAGGACTGCAGCGACTATCGCGAGCGTGGCGGCGAGTATCAAGAGAACCAGAGCTTCTATAACCGGCCTCGTGTGAATGTTGGCGGCGATGATTTGAATCCGCTGCGTCCTGTGTTTGGCGGACCCATGGGTATCGGTGGCGGAAACAGCGGCGGGGGCATGGTTGTTGGCCCCGACCACCCCATGTTCAAGCAGGGCGGCAACAGAGGGCCTATTTTGCCCGGTGGCCCCGAGACGCTTCCACCCGGTGCTGTGCCGCCCGGCGCACGCTTCGACCCCATTGGGCCCTTCGGCCGCATGCAAGGCCCCGGACGAGGCCCAGGCAGCGGCGGAAACAACTTCTTCAGCGGCGAGCCAAACCCCGATGCGGGTGGACCGCCAGACAGCAGCTGGAACTACTACATGTAATTCCTTTTTTCTTCTATCTTTCTCCCTCGGAACAAGTGAAAGGGCCAACGCTTGTAAATAAAAAACAATAAATGAAATTGCAGGCTGTACTGTACACAGCGTTAAAAATCAAGACAAAATGAGAAAAATAGTAAAAATTCTACGGTATATGGAGAAATTGTGCGTGCTTTTGTGCTAGCTCGCTCGCTTACTCCCACTTGGGCACACCCATAACAATGTCGGAGGGCTTCCGCGCCTCGCCGAAGAGCGCCTGCGAGGTGAAGGCCCACTCCTCGAACACGTGCTGCTTGTGGTTTCCGGTGGCGACGGGGCCTGACGGGTCACGGCCGGCGTAGCGAATGGCCTTGCCAGCATGGCAGGTGGTATTGTTGAAGATGGTGCGCAGGCGCGGCTCAACGTGCGCCCACGAGCCCATGTTGAGCGGCTCCTCCTGGGCCCATACGAACTCGCAGTTGGGGTACCTCTCGATGTGGTCGCGCACAAGATCCCAGGGGAACGGGTGCAGCTGCTCGATACGCGAGATGGCCACGTCGCGCACATTGTTGAGCTCGCGCGCCTGCAGCAAAGTGTAGTACACTTGGCCCGTGCACAGCACGTGCGTGCGGATCTTCTCGGGCTCGACCAGCGTGAACTCGCCCTCGGTAGGGTGGCTCTCGGGGATGTAGCGCTGGAAGAACGTGTGACCGGTCATCTCGCTGAGCTCGGACTTGCACAGCGGGAAGCGCAGCTGCTTCTTGGACGTCATGACGACCAGCGGCTTGCGGTAGTCGCGGTAGATCTGGCGACGCAGCGCGTGGAAGTAGTTGGCTGGCGTTGTTGGGTATACCACCTGCATGTTGCAGTCCTGGTGCTGGCGCGACAGCTTCTCGGGCGACGGGAAGATGTACGGGTGCTCGTCGCAAAGCTGCAGGTAGCGCTCCAGACGTGCCGACGAGTGCTCAGAGCCCTGGCCGTCGAAGCCGTGGGGCAGCAGCATGGTCAGGCCCGTGCGCTGCAGCCATTTCTTCTCGCCGGCCGCAATGAACTGGTCGATGATGACCTGCGCCGTGTTGGCAAAGTCACCAAACTGTGCCTCCCACATCACCAGCGCGTTGGGGTTGGCCAGCGAATAGCCGAGCTCATAACCCAGAACACCGTACTCGGACAGCGACGAGTTACTGATCGAGAACGGCGCCTGCGTGGGGCTCAGGTTGGCCAGCTGCGTGTACTGGCGCTCATTGGTCTGGTCGTGCAGCACAGCGTGGCGGTGCGAGAACGTGCCGCGCTCGACGTCCTGTCCGCTAAGACGCACGTGCTTGCCCTCGAGCAGCAGCGTGCCGAATGCCAGCGCCTCAGCCGCCGCCCAGTCAATGCTTGTGCCCTTGTCCAGCGCCTCGGCACGCGCCTTGAAAATTTTGGTCAGCAGCGGGTGCGCGTTAAAGTCCGACGGCACCGAAGAGATGAACTTGCCGACGTGGCTGATGATCTCCTCGCTGGCGCCAGTCGGGTAAGCGGGTGTCACCTCAGTGGCCAGCTCGGCCAGCGACTTGAATCCAGGCCATGCCGACGACAGCCACTCGGTGCTGGACGGCTTGTAGTTCTTGCTCTTCTTGTATGACTCGTCAAGGATATTCCACACGCGCTTCTTGTTTTCCTCGATCTCGGCCGTAGTGAACGAGCCCTCGTTGACAAGCTGCTCAACGTACTTGTCGATGACTGGCCGCTGCTGCTTGATCTTCTTGTACATCAGGGGCTGTGTGAACGAGGGCTGGTCGGCCTCGTTGTGACCATGGCGGCGGTAGCCGACGAGGTCAATGACAATGTCCTTGTGGAACTTCTGACGCCACTCGGCCGCGAACGAGAACGCAAATACGACTGACTCGACGTCGTCGGCGTTGACGTGCACGATCGGCGCGCTGATCGACTTGGCAATGTCTGATGGGTGCTGCGTCGAGCGAGCGAAGCGCGGATCAGTAGTGAAACCAACCTGGTTGTTGACAATGACGTGGATTGTGCCACCAGTGGCATAGCCGGGCAGCTCGCTGAAGCCGAGGGTCTCGTACACAATGCCCTGCGCCGAGAACGCAGCGTCACCGTGCAGCAGCAGCGGCATCGTGCGCTCGCGCTTGACGTCGTTGGTGTACAGCTGCAGAGCGCGAGTCTTTCCCAGGACAACCGGGTCGGTTGCCTCGAGGTGGGATGGGTTGGCCAGCAGCGACAGGTGCACGCGCTTGCCGTTGGGCGTGGGGCGATCAAAGTTCATCCCCATGTGGTACTTGGCGTCGCCCGAGCCCTCGTTGGTCGGCTCAAGCTCGCCCGAGAACTCGCAGAAGATGGACTCGTTGGGCTTGCGCACGACATTGCTCAGCACGTTCAGGCGACCACGGTGCGCCATGCCCATGATGATCGACTCGACACCCAGATCAACCGAATGGTCAATGAGCTCCTTCATGCCGGGGATCAGCGCCTCGCAGCCCTCAAGGCCAAAGCGCTTCTGGCTGGGCCACTTGGTCGACGCAAACTTCTCAAAACTGCTGCCCCAGATCAGGCGATCTAGCACGCGCTGCTTCTGCTCCTTGGAGTACTTAAACCGCTCGGGCACCTCAAAGCGCTCGCGAATCCAGTCACACTGCTCGCGCTCGGCGATGTGCGTATACTCAACGCCAATGTGACCGCAGTAGACGGTCTCGAGCGTCTTGACGATGTCGCGCAGCGTCATATCCTTGTGCCCAGCCTTGGAAAAGTTCTGCAGCACGCCGGGACCTAGAGTAAACTTACGGTCCATGTCCTTCTCGGTGAATCCGTAGTAGCTTGGCTTGAGCTCGTTGGCCGACACCGTGCTGTGGTCGGGCACCTGGATGCCCAGCGGGTCCAGCTTGGCAAGGTGGTGTCCACGCACCTGGTAGGCGCGCGCCATGAGCTGCACCTTGAGGTGGTCTACGACCTCAGGGTTGCCCTGCAGGCCGGAGAGGTTCGACGCCGCATCGCTGGAGGGGTTGATCGCCGTGGCAGAAATAAAGTCCGGGGCAGTCTGGAACGCCTGGCCGGGCTTGAGGCCATTGTCGACGTTCTTGAAGTATGTGCGCCAGCTGACGTGCACCGACTCAGGATCCTTGATGTACGCCTCGTACATCTCCTCGATGTACGGAGTCACGTTGCCCGACAAGAACGACTCGCTGGGGTGAGGCGCGCCGGCCACAGTCGACTTTGACCGCACGACAGAAACTGGGGTGAGGCGTGAGGCGGCCGAGAACAGCGGGTACGCCATTGCCGAGTGGCGGCCAAGCAGGGTCGAGGCCGTGGAGCGCTGCTGGCGCATAGCCTGGCTGCGAGCAGCCCGAAGTAAGCTAGCCATAATGTGCGGGTATTTATACCTTTGAGTATTTTATATCTGGCCGTGCGTAAGGCAATGGTGGGAGCCAATTAATTGCGAATCAAGAGGCTAAAGGTGAATTAAGAAATAGAAAAAAGATGTTTTCAGTGCCACTAACGACAAAATAGAAGAGGAAGAAACAATAATTATAAAGGGGAAAAAGTGAAAAGGTTGAGTATTGATAAAAAAATTCTCCATTTCCGGAAACGCAGCATAGCGTTTGTGCTGGATTTTATATTTTTCGATGCGCTTGTACCGTGCCGTGACCGCATTTCTCCACGCCTAAAAAGCTCGTAAACCAAAATTTTCCGATAAAGAATGCTGCTGCAAAGCGCAAAAAAGCATATTGTTGCGCATATCCGCTGGCTGCCCCTACCCCTCTCCATTTGGTTATCCGCGGAATTTCCAAGGGAGAGCACGAGCCATCATTAGTATGTTGCCCCGTCACCCCTTGATTGCGGCGCGATAACGCAACTTTGCCTGTGATTGGCGTAAGCAGCCAACAAGAAATGAGTTAATTATTTTGGGGAAGGCCGCTCTCGCCAAAACAGAACATGTTTGTAAAATAAAATTACAGCAATAAAAGCCAATTTCGTGTTGTGCTTTTCATTTATATTTTTTTGGTCCTTGTCTTCCTCAGTCACTCGCATTGCCAGGACAGATCGCGATCGACATTGTGCTCTGGCAAACTGAGAGCAAATATTTAGTCACAATAGCGACAGCCACATTTGCCATCGATAGCGCAGCATGGACAAAGCGGCGGAGGCAGCGACAGCAGCGGTGCAAGGCAGCTCACTGTGTGCCTTCTACTGTTGCTATCTGCTGCACTCGCTCAACCCGAGATCCAAAAACTACGTTTACGTGGGATCGACGCCAAACCCAGTGCGTCGGCTGCGACAGCATAACGGCGAAATATCTGCTGGCGCATTTACGACGCGCAACCGCCGACCCTGGTATGTTCAATGTGTATTTTTTTGGCCAGAGCAAAATAAACAAATCGGAGCTGTTGCCGACATCACTGCTAACCTAACATGTTATACGTAACCCGTTTAATGATCAAAAATAGGGAAATGCTGGTAATTGTGCGGGGATTTCCGAGCAAGGCTTCGGCCCTGCAGTTTGAATGGGCATGGCAGAATCCACACATGTCACGGCATTCATCGTTTGACACAGTGCCCTTTGCTGTGAAGAGCGTGCTTTACGGGCCCACACAAAAGCGGCTGGAGACAAAGCTGCTCGCGCTGTGTGTCATGCTGACAGTCCCGCCATTCAAATTTTGGCCGCTGACTATAACCTGCCCCGACGCCCAGCTGCACTCGGACATTGTGGCGAGGGCGCTGAAGCACGGTGTGCCTGGACACATTATAATAGAAAATGACGAGGTTGCGCGTGTGTTCGAGCAGACCCCACTAAGCAGCATTTATCTCGGGCCGCCGGCCCCAAACGAGCGCTGCTGCGTATGCCGTGGGGCGCTTGACGAGGCCAGGCCCTGGGGCGCGTGCAGCTCGTGCCCCGCCTCCTGGCACTTGCTCTGCCTGGCCAACCATATGACCGGCAAATCAGCGTCAGTGCCGCTTCTGCCAACGACAGCAGCGTGCTCGCAGTGCAATGCCGAGCTTGTCTGGGGCCAGGCGGTTCGTGCATTTGTACAGCCAGACAAATGAAAAACGAACAAGGCATGCGCCCAACTCAATTGTCAAAAATGTATTTATTATCTTTTTTAAAAAATTACATATACTTGTTGATTTCTAATGTATTTAAAATTATAAGTTAGGCCATTTGCTGCTGCCAGCACCCGGTGAGAGAGCGGTTTGTGGTGACATAGTCGAGCCTATTGCCAGAGCGTCGTATTCGTGCTCAAACTCGTTGTGAATGGGATCCGCACTCTGCTCTATGTCTTCGTCAAAGTTGAACGGCAGCGGAATGTCGGTGGTTGCGCGGAACTGACCGCAATTGCTGATGTGCTCGTTCTCAACGCGGAAAAAATTCCACGAGAACCGACGCAGCACCTCAAAGACCGCAGCAATATACGAGATGGCCGACGAGTGCACTCTGTGGCCAAAGGAGAAAAAGGTCGGGGAGATCTGCGTGATCCACATGAATCGCAAAATGACATCGACGACAATGGCCACGTAGTACACCCAGGGGCGGTCAAACTTGAGCTCGGAACGCAAGAAACGGTGCTTGCTGCGCGATTCGAACAGACCCCAATCCATGAGCAAGTCCCATAGAGACGTGAAGCACGAGTTGGCAATGGCACTGGCCACCCAGATTGGCTTCCACACATTGCCGCCCTGGATGCGGTTCGCGGACGCGAGCCAAATGGTGAGGATGGTCGAGGAGTACTTGGCGCCGTTGGCCAAGTGAGGAAACGCATCGCCACTGTCCGCGTAACGTCGGATGCACTGCAACAGACGGAACATATTGGGCAGCATCAGGAACGCTGCGTTAGACCACCACTGTGTCGTATTGCATGTCTCGTCGAGGTTGGTCCAGTTATTCGCGCTCGCACACCCGAGCATCAGCACCATCGAGAACGTGTATGTCAAGCTGCACATCTCGTCACCGAGGAAGAAGTCGCGGAACTCGACGCTGTACAAACCCGAAAACAGAATCCGCCACAGCGACTTCATCAGCCACCACCGGGACGACCAGTAGAATATCTTTACCGGCATGAAGAACATCCCTAGTAGCGTGCCCAGCAGCGCGTAGATGCAGATGTACGAATTGTGTTCAATGCGCAGCGTAAAATTGACCCAAAACACGATGCTTGCAAGGAGAATAAAGACCGATGATAACTCCAGGAACTGCCACGAGTCGAGGAAGTCGCGCGGGTCGACCTCAAAGATGAATCGGTAGTTGATGTGAGCGCGAGCCCACGCCATGATGTTAAGCGAGAACAGCAGCAGGAAGACCAACACCAAATACACAGCTCCGTATATCTGCAGCAACTGCCTATGGTACGGTACCCGTTCTTCGTTCTCCAGCAAGGTCGCTTCGTAGATGGCGCGCACGATCAGCGGGACCGACGTGCCCAGCATCAGGCCGCAGCGGAAAATGGTGCCCTGGTTGTTGTGGCTAGTGCCCGTGACCGTGACCCGCAGCTTGCTCATGCCCTCGGAGCGCGATCCGCCTGCGTACCTGCTCACGTACATGGTTTCGAGCTCCGCCGACATGCTGTTCAGGCGGTTTGACGTGGACATGTAGCACCCGTCCACACGGTTGAGAAAGTACTCGGTGCCGTCACACCATTTGGCCGTCTTCTGGTACTTCTTGAGTGCCTTGATGAACGCTGTGTAACAGAGAATGCGGTAGTTCTTCAGCAGATCCATGCCACGGTACACCTCGAGCATGGCGTGCTTGATCTTGCTGCGCGCGGCGCGCAGCTGTGCGCTCGGCTCAAAGGTTTTCGGCGATGGGTTAGATTTGGCGTCCAAATTGTTAAAAGACTTGCCAAAAGCGTTGCTGCTATTGTTGGCCTTGCTGTTGGCCCTAACAAGTGACATGCTGCTGTTCTTTCTGTATGACTTTCCCAGAGTCTTGTCGCTGGACTTTACGCCCATTTTTCCCGAAAGGCTAGCAAACGACATGTCCCTGCTCGGCCTCAGGTTCAGCGCGGCGGCCTCATGCTCGCCGCTGAGCATCTCGTCGTATATCTGCTGCTGCTGCCTGACGCTGTCCAGCCGTGTGCTGAAGAGCGTTTGCTTCTGCAAATAGAAGGTGTTCACCTTTTCCAGCTCCTGCTCCAGCTGCTCAAAGAATTCCTGCTCCTCCGGCAGCCGCGTGGAAAGCTCCTTCTTGAACGCATCTACAAGCGGTAGAGAAAATATTGCGATATATAAATTTTGTAGTGTGAAGGGGTGGGAGGCGCATCGATTAATATGTTGAAATTAACGCGCAATTAGTGTTGCGGGATTGATGTTCAAATAATCAGACAAGTCGTGAGCACTGCCTGTCACACGTGTACAGCAGTGTTGGCGCGCAGTTATCGCTATCAGTAATAATAGCAGCAGCAGGAATTGTAAACTAAATTACTTCGAATCCGCAACGTGCTGTGGGCGCATTCCATCTATCCATCAGCCTGGAAAGGCGACCGCCACACATTTGCCGCGCCCTTACACTGTTATTAATGACATTGCAAGCAGGATACATTTGTTTTTGTGCATATATGTGTGTGGGTGTGCGTGTGCGTGTTGGGCTTTTTTGAACCCAGTACACTATGGCAAGATGCAATAGTGGCTCCCAAATAGTGGGTAATGGCAAATGGCTCGCACTACTTTGGTCCAGCGCACGTAATTATCGCGTATAGTGGCTTGGTAATCCGAATTACAAAATAGTGAACTGAATAAGGCAGAATTCACACACATCCCCTTGCTGGCCATATCGCTGTGCATGCTGCAATGGGCATGTGCACTTTAGCAACTGTGCGCAAAATTTGCCTGGGAAAGAACAAGCGTAAGACCAATTTAAAGGTGGAGGCACAAAACAATATACTTACCATCTGAGAGGCAGTCGCTGCTGGCAATTGGCGTGCGCCGCTGTCTGATACCCTCCGTGAACGCATCCTGCGCCGAAATGGGTATTTTAATGTTGGCGTCGTGTGCCAGTGCCATTGATGTAGTCGCGACCTTTCCCATGTTGCCAGCTGACATATTCATTGCAATCTGCGGGGATGCAGATATTATGCTGTCAAAATGACTGCACTTTGTGCATCCGGCGCGGGAACAACACTCTGTGTTGCTTCTCAGATCCTTGCGTGGCAATTGCTCCGCAGCTATGGTTATCTCGGGGACAATTGCTGACGATGATGCCTGGGGGATTGTTCTCGGGGCAGGACTTCCATCGTCCAGGTGCACTGCATCGGGGCTGCTCAGCACAAAGCTGTCGTAGCCCAGGTACGCCGAGGCGCGCCTAATTAGCGAATGCCGCTCGTCGGTGGGGCCGCGCTCTCTTTTCTCTATAGCCATGGCGATGACTTTGACCTGCCGCTTAAGGCCCTTGTAATCCACGTACATTTTGACCCATTCTGGTACCTGCTCGGCCTCGAGGTACTTGCCAAACTTCATGGCTGAATGCACCCGGCGTGTTTAAGTGTTTAAAAAGGGTGTATTAAAGGGTCCAGCTGCTGTTCCAAAAAGCGCAATAAGGAGAAAATTAAAACAACAAAAAAGAAATGGATAGTAGAACTGGGGGTTTGGGGTTAGATGGTACAGGACAAGATGGTCTGGTTCGATCAGGATGAGAGTCTACCAGCCAGTATTTGTAAACAAAGGAAAAATAATAAAGAAATGCCGATAGAATGTGAAAAGAGGGAGAAAAGACAACCATTTAAAGGTGGAAAGCAGCCCACTCATGTCGGTTTGGTTCTCTGGAAGGGGGAAAATTTTTACGCATTTAAAAGGCAAAATTGTATTCTGCAGTAAAATTACGCCCCTCGCCTTGCACTCTTTCTGTACGTTTTTATCTGGGTTTTACACTTTATCTCCTTGCCCCCCGCCCCAATGCCTGCATACACTCAACGCCGAAGCGATAATCGGAAAATGTAACAAAAAACTTTCGAGATAATTTCAACAGGTGACGAAAAATACCACCCCATTTAGTTGTTTGTCTTTATTAATTTGTCGAATGCAAGCGGCTGTGGGTTTGAGCAGTGCTCTTAACCGGTGTTCTTTTTTTACCTTCACGAGACAACATCAAATCATCTGACAGTTACATTGTGGCCGTGGCTCAATGCCTGTCATTAAATAACATCGCCGGCGGCCAAGACGAAGCAAAGTAATATCCTCGCTGACTTTTATGATATGAATAACTACGACTTTCGCCACAAATTTTGGTTACTCTCAGTAGAATTCTGTGACAGTATACACAAAAATCGCCACCATGTGGACGAACAAAGAAATAAAGTGAAAGCCACCTGGCTTGTTGATTCCACAAGTTGAGCGCCAGCTTTGACTGCCACTGCAGACGATGATGTCACAGCCGTTGTTTGCCAGCTGGTGTGGCTTTATTTGACAAAGGCCAAAAAATTGCCATTGTAGTAATTTTAAAATAAAATTGTTTTATTTGGCAGTGCGCGTGTGAGAACAAAATTTAGTGCGCATCGGAAGTGACGCTTTTTGGAGTGACTGGTGACTGTTTTTGAAAATTTAATCGCTTGATTGCATAGGGATCAGCTGATTCGATCAAAAACAGGACTTCTGGAGTGTTCGGTGCGATGACTGTAATATAAGTGCTTTCATCTCTCACTTCATCTCTCGTCTCCTTCATTTTTTGTTGTTTTGTTTTGCTTCGTTACCTTATTTTTTATATTTATTTGTCTTTTGCCTGCACCCTCAGAAAAAAACTAGAATCATGCGCCAATTCTCACTTCGCCTGATCAACTCCCGCGCACTTGCCAACGTCTCCTGCCGCCTGGGACCCACATCACCGGCTAGCAGAATCGCGGCACAGCGCAGCATGAGCTCGTCGGCGTCGGTACCACTGGTTGCTAGCCCTTCTGTTGCCCATCTCAGGGGCACTTCATCGATTGGCGCTGCTGCTAGCCGCATGCGCTGCTACTCCACAGAGTCGTCGTCGCTGGCTGCAGAGAAGCATGAGTTTAAGGCAGAGACTAAGAAGCTGCTGCACATTGTGGCTCACTCGCTGTACTCGCAGCGCGAAGTATTTGTGCGCGAGCTCATCTCTAACTCGTCTGACGCGCTGGAGAAGCTTCGCCATCTGCAGGCCACATCGCAGGATGTGAACACTGATAAGCCGCTCGAGGTCAACATTGAAGTGGACTCGGATAACAAGACGATCACGTTCTATGACTCGGGAATTGGCATGTCGGCAGATGAGCTCAAGGAAAACCTGGGCACAATCGCGCGCTCTGGGTCCAAGGCGTACATCGAGAAGATGCAGGACGGTGCGGATACCAAGGACATGGCCAGCACTATTGTCGGCCAGTTTGGCGTTGGCTTCTACTCGGCCTTCATGGTTGGCGACAAGATCACCGTGTATACGCGCTCAGCCAATCCGGGGAGCGAGGGCTACTGCTGGGAGTCTGATGGCCTGGGATCGTACACGCTGTCAAAGGCCGATAATGTGGATGTCGGCACCAAGATCGTCATTAACATCAAGGATGACGCCAAGGAGTACCTCGAGAAGGGCAAGCTGGATCAGATTATCAAAAAGTACAGCAACTTTGTCGGATTCCCGATCACAGTCAACGGCGAAAAGGTCAACACCGTCGAGGCCCTGTGGACCAAGGACAAGAACTCGATCACTGAGGACGAGCATACCGATTTCTACCGCTTTGTGTCCCGCGCATGGGACGAGCCCATGTACAACCTCGTGTACAAAGCTGACGGACCGCTGTCCATTCGCAGCATCCTGTATGCGCCGACAAAAAACCCCGAGGACATGGGGTTTGACCGCATCAAGCCGGGAGTCAGCCTGTACTCTCGCAAGGTGCTGATCATGCCCAACGCCGAGGGCCTGCTTCCCGAGTGGCTACGCTTCGTCCAGGGTGTTGTGGACTCCGAGGATCTGCCACTGAACCTGTCGCGCGAGCTGCTGCAGAACGGGCCCATCATTCAGCGCCTAAAGTCTATCATCACGTCCCGCATCATCAAGTGGCTCCAGGAGGAGTCGAACCGGGACGCGGAAAAGTACGCAAAGTTCTTCCAGACCTTTGCTGTCTTCATCAAGGAGGGCGTGTGTCAGGACATGGCCAACCAGGCCGAAATATCCAAGCTGCTGCGCTTCGAGACGTCGAACAAGGACGCTGGCCAGCTGATCTCGCTGGGCGAGTACGTCGAATCGATGCCCAGCGACCAGGAGCACATCTACTACTTCTGCACGCCGAACCGCGAGTTTGGCATCGACAGCCCGTACTACGAGCCGTTCAAGAAGCACGGCGCCAACGTCCTATTTTTGCACCACGCTCTGGATGAGTTTGTCATGGGCCGGCTGGCCACGTTTGAGGGTAAGCGCCTGGTCTCCGTCGACTCGGAGGATGCTGGCAAGGTGCTGAAAAAGTGGAACGATGCTGATCAGGCTGAGTCCTCGGGCGACTCTGGCGTGGCGCTGACAACCGAGCAGACCGACGAGCTGACAGCCTGGATGTTGCCCAACCTCGGCACCTCCGTCAAGGAGGTCAAGGTATCGGAGCGCTTCATGAGCTACCCTGCCATTGTGACCGACTTCGACTCGCCGGCCGTGCGCAGGATGATGAAAATGATGGCCGGAGACAGCAAGCAGTCGATCCCCATGTCGCCCTGCACTGTCGAGATCAACTCCAGCGACCCCATTATCAAGGGGCTGTATGCGCTGAAGGACAAGGACGAGGATCTGGCGCGTAAGGTCGCACAGCAGCTGCTGGACAACGCGCTCATTGCTGCCGGCATCATGGACGATCCCCGGTCCATGATCAAGCGCCTCAATGACATTCTGGTATCAACTGTCAGCAAGTGATACACATGCTAGAGTTTTTTATTTTTAAACAAGCAAATATACAGAAAGACAACCAATTAAGTTATACATGGTCGGTCTGCTGCCATGCCAGTTCTACGGTGTTTCGAAGACGTTGGCTGGCGCAAAGTCGGCACGGTTTTTGACCAGCTGCCGCACCTGCTTGAGCGACAGGCTGCTAATGCCCAGCTTCTTCAGGACGAGCATGGCCTCCTGGCTGTCGGTAGCTGGGTCCATGATCGCCGGGGTCCACTCCTCAAGGGACAAGGCCATTCCCGAGCCGGCTACTCCCGGCGATGCTGTGCCGTCGACGCCGCATGACAATATCAAGCCGCATTCCTTGGCCTTAGGCAACGAGCGCTGCGTCGAGCTCTTGAATGCCGTGCGAGCAGCAGATGCAAACAATACCTGGCCCAGCGCGCTGACATCCTTGGCAAACTGGCGGCCGCCCTGCGCATTAAACGTATGGTTACAGGCGACCCGCTCGACAAGAAGCGTGTCCATTTCGTCCGCCAGCAGCCGCATCACGCGCATAAAGGCCGCGAATGGGAGGATTGAGACTAGCGAAGATACTAGCACTGCTAGTTCTGGCATGAGCGCACCGAGCTCCGTCGAGACATCGTTATCGGCGTCGACACCAGTGCTGCTGAAGGCCCAGTTGCTTTTATTGCGATAGGCACGCATTTGACCAATGGCATCCTTGTTGACAGCCCTGCTGATAAGGTCGAGCACGCGCTGCTTCAGCTCTCGCAGCGTTCCAATTGAGCGCTCCCAAATACCGCTGTCAAGCCAGTCGTCGTTCTCAGCACTGGCAATGAGCTCGGTCTGGCTATCGAGGAGCTTTCGATCCTCCTCGCTCCAGCTGTCGCAGTCTTCACGCCAGTCTCTCGGATCAGCACTGCTGCCGAGCGCTTGGGCGCGTCTGCAAACTGCGGCCCACATGTCGACGTAGAGAGCAGAGTTGTTCCAGTCGCACGCTGCCTCTTCAACATACCATACAGTCTGATACCATGACGCCAGACGGCCAAGCTGGGCGATAAGCGACGACTGGGCGGTCGTGGCTGCAGCGCCAGAGGCAATCCCAGACGTTGTGTCTCGTATAAAGGCCAGCGATATGCGGCTGAACTCGTCGATCTCGGATTCAACATCCTCAACCAGAGCAATGATGATGGGGAACTGTGCGGTTGACAGAAGCTGGAGCTGGTGCATGCAGCTGGGCACGACAGAGTACCGCTCCGCAATGTCCTCGACCAGAAGCACAACATTTTCCGCAATGCGGGATGGCTTGGGGTCATCGGCTCCCAGCACATCGCTGTCATACACAAGGTCGAACGCACCCGGCTCCGCAATGGTATCCATGTACGACTTTATCGCGCTAGAGCGCTCGGCCTCGATCCAGGCGGCCACCAGCTCAATGTCGGAGAGAAGCTCTTGGAGGACGCTCGGCCCGTCAAAGAAATACACCTCCTGCAGGGTGTGCTCAAAGTCAGCAAGCTCGCTGGCTACGTGCGCGATGACCATGCCCATCTTCAGGTAGTCTGGGCGGTCGTGTGCCAGCTTGCGGCGGACAATGGGCAGAAGCAGTCGTATAAACTCGTTACGCATGTCGAGGCGCTCCAGCGCTGTGCCGTCGTAGAGCCACTGCACATGAGCCTCTAAGAAAGGAACAATGCTGCGCAGTGTGCTGAGCACTTGCGAGAGCCACCACTCAGGCTTGTCCGCGCGGTTTGTCTCGCGGGTGCTCTCAAAGTGGTAACGCATGCGAATGTCTACGGCCCTGGCCATGTGCTCCAGAGGCAATGGCGATGTCTTGCCGTTTCGGAGGTCCATTTTGTTTCGCAACAACGTCTCACGCGAGTCATGTAAAATTCGATCGAGGTTGAGCAGCATTGAGAAGCTAGCGTCAAACGCGACAACTGCAGCTGTCAATGACATGTCCATTTTCCCCGGCCAACCCAGCTTGCTGAGCGCTTTGCTTTGCGCGCTGGCTGCAGCGCCCTCGGCATCATCCCAAATATGTTTTGCTGACTGCCTTGTGTACTCTTTCAAGTTTGATGTGGTCCCTAAATCTATATCATCGGCGCCTTGGCCAGAGCTGCCGTTTGCTGCGAGTATCCCAAAAGCGCGAGTGCAAGCTGCCAGGACGCTCTGCGGGTCCTTGGTCAGATTATGCTTGACATGCTCCTTGGCCTGCTCCATGTCTACCACCACGTTAATATATTTCTTTGACTCGCCCAGCCTTTCATACGTTTCCAATTCTGCAGCAAGCTTTGAAACCAGCTCCATCGCCTCCGTACCATCGCGGAACTGCCACGCCGATACGTTTTCGTCGGTGGATGACCCCACGACCTCGCTGTGCACATCGATGAATTTGAGCGATTCATTGTGCACGCGCTCAACTAAATCGATACCCTCCTTTAGGAGCGACTGCTTTTCTTCGTGGGCCGCCCGCAACTCATCCTCGAGCAGCGCGTGGGTGCTCTCTGCGTCACGAAGCAGCTCATCGACTAACTCCAGCGAATCGAGTGTTGTGAAATTCCCATCCAAGAACTGCTGCACCGAAGTATTGGTGTCGCCCACTTCTAAGTTGTCCATGCTAGGTTATATTATCAACAGTTGTTTTAAATGCAGAGTGAAAATGAGAGGATTAAATGAATTTGGGGTGGTTTTTTTGTGTGTACAAGTATAAAATACGAAATGAAAAGATGCGCAAGAAAAGGCGTGCAAACTCAAAAATGCGTGCATGCATGGCTGCGCTCTAAGATTTTGGTGTTCAAGGTCCGCGACTAGACCTTAAAATCAACGGCAGAAATAAACTAAAATCGCAACCAATTTCTCTCCTTTTTTCCTTGCATTTTATTTTTACATTCAATTCAATTCTATACAATTCAAAATGGAGAAGCAGATTATACGGCTTTACCAAGAGCGTATAGGTACGCCCCCGATCGATATCTGTAGACCGTAGACCGTAGTCCACTGACTGGAGTTGGTAGCGCCATTTGTTTGAATTTGGGCTTGAATTAGGCTGGGCCGATTATAAATTCACAGGCCTGTAAAAAAGTTTTATAATTTCAAAGGCGGAACACTGCCATTAATCATACATCTTTTTTCTCTGTTTATAGACAAGTACGACGAGGTATTTAGCGAGGCTTTGTGTGATATCGACCATTTGAAAACCTCTCAGCGCCAGATAACTGAGCTGCGCTGGGACAACAATAAACTAACTGCGGAGGTGGCTGAGCTACGCGAAGAATTGGAGGACCTACGCAACAGCCTTATAAATGAGCGCCAGAGCCACCTCGAGGCCGTCGCCGAGAACGACCAGCTATTAATTCGGGAGCATGAACTCAAACACCGGGTGAGGGTGCTGGCCGGCATATCGGAAAGGTACTACAAACAGCAGGATGCTGCAGTCACGAATTCAGAGTTTGAAAACACGGGGCACAAGGACGCCAACAACACAGCTGCCAAGTCACGCTCGTACAAACAGCAACGACCTCTGGGTGCGGCTCACGACGAGGACAACATGACAAAGGATGAGTTTGATTACAAGCAACTACAGATAGAGAATGAAACGCTGCAGATGACAATTGAGACCATGCGGATCCAGCTCCAGGAACAAAAGAACAACTATGCCGGAATTTCTGAAGGAATTTCTAACGACTTTAAAGCATACAGGGATGTTGCGGCGAAGGAGGCGGCTGACAAGACACGAAAGATTGAGGATTTGGAGACAGAGTTGGACAGAATCAAGGGTCTTTACCGGGAGAATTTGCGCGACTTGATCATTGCTCGCAAGGCTGCTCTTGAGAGTAAGCACAGCGTGAAACATGATAGTCTACTGCTGCGCTCAGAGATAGTGACTCTGCAGCGGCGACTGGATGCAGAGATGGAGAGGTCGAGGTTTTTGCACAATTCCTCTGCGTCTTTAAGCAAGTACGACATGTGAGTGGCCGCAGCAGGAAGCGTATTTTGATAATAATAATAATAATAAATATATTTGAAAACGGTAATATAATAACAGGAGACTAGAATAGTTTGAATAATACAATGAGAACATTGTATTGCTCTTTTTCGTAGGTGGGATTGTATTTGGCTACATTTCAGTATCAAAATTTCCACAGACATGGATTCGACTGAGCACGGTAAAGGCTGCTGACAGAAAAAGAACTTGTCGATGGCAATGAGGGCCGCGAGATCTGCGAAGGTCGCGAGGGCAGCGATGATGTCGTTTTTTGCCTTTTCAACCCTCTCGGATTGGGATGAAAACCTTGCGCAGAACTAGTGCACGAGCTCCCAAGTATCAATGGTAGGGGGAACTTTTTGTGACCAGCCGGTGTCGACGGCGTAAATGGAGTGAAGGGTGTGAGCGGTGTGGGCGGCATAACAAGGGCGCTTTGGAAGCTTTTACTTGCTAATAACGGCGTCGGATAAGTAAAGCTACCATTGGTTGAAATGCTGGTAAGCTGCGGGCTCGATAATAGCTCCAGTATCTCGGAAAAGTTGGAGTCATTGATAGTAGAGCTTGGGTCATTTAAAGGCTCAGGCAGAATATTGATGGGCTTTACAAGATTTGGCTCAGGCTTTGGCTCAGGCTTTGGCTCAGAGTCGTCTTCCAAGTCGTAAATTGCATCTAGCATTCGTTTGAGCAGCTTGGCCAAGTAACCTTTGGGAATCCTATTCTTTGCAATCATGTATCTGAGGTCTTCAGCATCCAGCTTGCTTTTCTCATTGACAAATGTCGCTGCTAAATTTGATATGCAGGTATTCATGTAGCTAATCATCACCACACCGTGTCTCCTAACCATTGCCCAAATCCACATCTCGGGCTCAGAAAAGTCTGCCAGTATCTCTTTCATTTGGGTGGTCAGCTCTTGAAGTGGCATGTTCACATTATTAGCCCTGCAAAACATATTTCCGTGAATAATAAACCTTAGCAGCGCTTTGATGTTGTCCAAGTTTTTGATGTTAATGAGTGGCCTTGCAGGCTGCTGATTGACGTTCCCGCTTACGTCTGTGTGGGCGGCGCCAGTAAATCCCCCCGTTTCATTGAGCGACTTGAATTCAAAAGCAAACTTTTCAATAGAGTCCCGGTGTTTTTGGTTTATTACTTTAGTTGATTTGTACCCGCCAGCAGCTTTCTGGAGCGTCCGGAGTCTTGAAAGCATGTCGACATAGCTCATCCCAAACATTGGAACTCCCTGGAATGTGAGTGCCCAGACGGACTCAGCATCAACACTGTTATATGGGGCATTTGGAGGGTTGATGATGTTGTCAAACTCGACATTGTTGATAATTTCAATCTCCTTGTCAGTAAAGTGAGTGTGGCTTACAACCAGCTTGCCGTCGTCAAAAAAAGTGAATGCGGACATGGCTGTATAAAAGTTGGCAGAGTCGTTGAGCGACCATTCTTGACTTGTGCACCCACCAGGAGGGGCCTTGGTGCCAGCTTGGGTATCAGTGGCCATGCTCTTGTTGTTTGTTATGTAACCGAACATTTATAAATACTATAAAAATTAAAGAATACTAATTGCATTTGCACTAAATAAATAAATGAAAAGAAGGGCGAGCAGAGTGAGAATAAATATGTATTCATTTAAAAATGCATGATGCCAGAGCAGCACCTAGACGCAATAATTCATTTCGAAGGAGGCATTCTTACTTCATCTGACCACCCTGCAGCTGCTCTTTGTTTTTAAGATGGCTTTGTAAAATGCGCGCATGCTAACAAGACTTAAGAGCTTGCTTGAAATAAAAATAAAGATGATATCTTTCGAAAAATAAAAAAGGGATGATGGTAAAAAAATTAAAAAAAAAGATTTGAAAAGGAAATAGCGGAAATTTACGGAAGCCGCATACTAACAGCATGTATCCAATTAAATATTAACATGTAATACAATGAAATAAATACAGCTGCGGCCAAAATTGTCTCATTATTTTCTGAGACTTTTTATTTTTATAAATAAACTAATTTCCTTCTATTTGCTTGCCAATTACTATCATTGGAAAGAAAATTTTACTTATAATATTTATACAAGATGGCTACAAGTTGCTTGTGGAGGGAGAATAAAATAGTTAAATGTAAATGTGAATGTATTACAATTTAAACATTCATTTATAAAAGCATTAAAACTATAATAAATGTTTTGTATATAATAGATTGTTGTGATTTGAGGGGTGCACTAGTCGCCTAGTGTTAAAAGTTTGGGTTTGTTATAGCTTTTATTATCAAGGGAATCAAAAGTAGAACTAGGGCCGGCCTCATCTTACATATGTATCTCGTTGCCTTTGCTGTGCACTTCACCAGTTGTGGACTCTGTTGGTGAGAACTGGTTCTTCTGCGAGCAGACTGGTATCTTGGCAAGTCAATGTTATGGTTTTCGTATGTGTGCGCTCATGCGTGTACATTGCAAAATGAGGAGCATATCTGGGCATCATTATTATGCCTCCCTAATTTGCACCTGCATAATCCAATTAGTACCCTATCAATCGGCATGCAGATGGAAACTTGTTTCACGATTCTCAACCTCGACATCCACTTCCATATCCTCGGGCTGCGCAACAAGACCTTTTGAATCTTTTAAACTGGAAACTCTCGTGAGCGTATGACTGCTCTTATGTGCTTGGACATTGAATGTGCTAAATTTTGTATAGTAGTAGCTGGAATAGCCCAATAAATTTGTGCTCGCTCGAATAGTTTAACAATGTCTTTTCGGATGACTGTTATAGTTGAAAAGATGGTTATGTACCCAGCCGCGATTCCCACAGGCTGTGTGCTTAGGGTCATTGTCCTGCTGAAAGATAGCACTGACTCCATTTAGGAGATTGATACTCTCCAAAGCGGGCACCAAATTTATTTCCAGTATTTAAGCGTACATGGCGCTGCTCATATTGCCCTCAATACAAACCAAGGGAACTGTACCATTAGCGTGTAAAGCACCCCACAGCATCAAAGATCTACCACCATATTTCATAGTAGGCTGAATGTATTTGGCTTCCATCTCGTCGCTGTCTCCCTTAATTTCAAACCTCCTGTGGCTAATTTCAAAGCACTTAACCTTGTATTTGTCTGTCCAAAGAACCTGCTCCCAATTGGATTCTGTAATGAGGGATTTTGCTAGTTATAATAAATATTAATCTGAATGAGACTACGAGAAGAGCTAAAGAGCTCACTATCCGGAATCTGCTGTACGCGTGAAATATCATAAACATATTTCACGCGTCTGCGCTGTCACGTGACTCAGCCCCCATTTCTGATGTCACAGATTCAGTTCACTCATGTTATTTTGTCCATCTGTACTGCAGCTTTTGGTTGTTTTTGGCGACAAGTGGGATTTGCCTCACAGAACGAGAGTGACGTTAAATATGCGCAAGCTAGTTCTAAACAGTCTGCCTACTTTGTTGAACCCCTTTCTCCTCTGACAGATTTTTGGTAATTGTAACAATGTCAATCATGTTCTTTTGATGGACATATCCTTAAATGAATATGTCATCATCCTTAGTCAAAATCGTAGGACAACCTCCCTTGGGCCTTTTGCTGCAGATGCAGTTCCGAATAAGATACATTCTAATCGTGCTAAGCTTGATGTGTATTCTGTTGCTAATTCTTGTAAAAGTGAAGCCGTTGTGAGCCATTGACTTGATGATGTTGGGCTTGTTGCGAGTGATAATCATGAATGAAAAATAGTAAAATTATGAAAAATAGTTGTAATTGCTATAAAAGTTTAAATATACTGTTGGTAATACAGAATAAATGAAAAATGGCGCAGCTATAATATAAAATTTTATTTGGCGTCAATAGGCTGCTTCCAAGCCTGGTGCTCAATTTTTAAAGTTTAGGCTTCATATATTTTATACAATTTTTGAATTTTGCTACACAAGAATCCATGCATAAATTCCAAAAAGTTTATATTTAATATTAATTTGCACAACAAACTAGCAAGCAATCATATAACTTACACTGCTATACGCAGTGGGACTAGTGTGTATTAATAATAAAACTGAAATGACATTGTGTCATCAGGGTAAAAGATATGCCGAGTATAAAAAGTCGATGGCCCAAACAATTTGACGGTTTTAAATTAAGCTGCATTCCATAATAATGGGTATATTAATCATTAGTAGCACTGGGTTCAAAGCAAGATCCCACCCCCAATAAACCAAACCAAACAATACAAAACCAGTCTTAATACAACACAGCGCAGTGGCTAGGGCTAGTCGTCCAGCATGGTGGCAATCTTGCGCTGGATGTCTCGCGGTGTGTACTTCATTGCCCTGGCAAACTCAGGCGATTTGTCTGGATTTTGCCTCAAGAATGTCTCGTACTCTGGGACGATGGCATCAATGGCATCCGACACGAGCATTTTCCGAACGTCAGTGTCAAAAACCTCGTACGCCTTTTGCGAGCGCACCATGTCGTCAAAGCCCTGGGTAAACATGGCCAATTTTTCGGCAGGATTTACGGATGCCGCTGGGAACGAGCTCATAATGGCCTTCCACGTTGCAACGTATCCCCTGCGGCTGCGGTCAATCTGCGACTCAATCCGCAACAGAGCCGAGCGACCTACTAAATCGCCCAGCCCGAGGGATTGCGAATCCTCGTCGCCCGCATACATCGAGTCTCGGAGCGTGCGCACCAAATAGGCGTAGTTGTTGATCAGAAAAACAAATTGCAGCGCTGGCCGCTTCATGTGCTTGCCGCCCTGGTCAACCATGCGTGACAGCGCGTCGACTACGTCGCGAAGATAGTGCTGGAAGATTGACAGGCCATCGCTGGGGTCGCTAGCGTGTTGGGTCACATTAGACGGTTCCTGCGATAGTCCCTGGTTCCAGTGGCCGTCGCCAAGCGGCAGGAATATGTTGGTCAGAAGATCCTTGTATCCAATCAGATACAGCAGGAATGTGACCGTATTGAAGGCCAGCTCGTGCACGCCACCCGTCTGCTTGGGAGCTGTGTCCTCCTTGAATGGGTTGTGCAGCAGGTTGATGAGCGCGGTGAATGACTTGCTGACATGCAGCTGGAGCTTAGACAGAAGCTTTGCCAGCCCGTTGTTTTGGCGCTGGCGAAGCGACAGCAACGACTCGAGGATCCCGTCGTTTTCCAGCATGTAGCCGTAAACGTCCAGCGCATGCAGCACCTCGTATGGTGGTGAACTCAGGAAAAACATAATCATCTTGTCGCCAGTGCCCACGTACGCCTCGAACGGCCGGTCGGTGGTGGTCAAAAAAGTATCTTCGCTAATGACGGTCGGCATTATCTGGCGCACCAGGTCCCGCTCTGCTTGGAAGAGCTTAACCACGTTAACAGTATATTGCGTGAGCGGCGAGGTGCCCGCCTCGTACCAATGCTCGTTGCGGATGGTGCAGAAGCGGAATTCGGCCGGGTTGCTCCGGGTAGAAGACTCGCCGTACCCGCGCTGCCCAGGAATAGGCCCGTCAAAGCTGTTGGCCCTTATGTACCCGTTACACATGTCACTAAACTGGGCGAGCGACTTTTGCAAGTGCCGGGTGCGAATCGACGCATACGTCTTTGTGAGCTTTAGATCGTAGCTGACTTCATCGTTAACTAGATTCAGGTATGTTGCCAGCATTCCCAGAAGCTTTACAGTGTCCATTGGGAAAGTCGGAATCTCCGTGGCGTTGCTGTATGCAGCCGGGTCGACGCCGCCGCTGTGCTGCTTGAGCCACTGACTGAAGAGCTGCGACAGGTTGCCCAGCCCGATACCCAGCAGCTCGCGAATCTCATTTTGGCTCTCCGACGCCGAGTCCAGGTCCAGTTGCTTCAGCGCGTCGCTGGCATCCTTGAGGCGGTTGATGGAGTCCAGGTACGGCAGCAGCTCGTTCTCGTCGGGGCCTGCGCGGATGGTGTCGGACTCATCCTTGGCGACGTTGAAGAACAGCATAATGTCGTCCAGCGAGCCAATGGTCGTTTCGATATTGTCGTACAGGCGTGTGAGCTTCTGCGTCGACTTGTAAATTGGGGCTATAATTCTGCCCAAATTCTTCAGCCGAATGTCAAACACCTTGAGCAGCTGTGTTGTTTTTTCCGCCAAGTTGTCCATTTGCTCGAGACTTTCGCGCAAGAATTCCAACTCGGCCTCCTCCTCGGCATCGTCGTATAAGTAGGTGTCAGATGGCATTCTATAGGCTTTAATTAAAAAAACGACCGCTATAAAGGTAAAAAGAAAAATGCAGTTGGCAAAATAGGGACCAACGTGTGTGTATTATGTGGAAAAATGGAGAAAACAAAAAACAACCAAAAATGGAAAATTGAAAAAGAATGGTCCACACAACTCAACACTCATGCCAGCTTCTTTTCCGTCGGCCAGATCTTCTTGATCTCGTCGTTTCGCAGCGACTCCTTGGTGGCGGAGTTTGAAAACAGGCGGTCCAGCAACGGCAGAGAAATGGCAGAGTTGGCGCGCATGACTGCCGGCCGGTATGCGTAGGCGCTGAGCTTGGGCCAGTTTAGCAGCTCGGCAGTGTGCTTGTCTCTGATTGTCCAGAACACCAGGCCCAGAACCAGGACCCAGCTGGTGATGAACAGGACGTTGCTTGCGCCGAACCAGTGGCCGCCGCGCGGGAAGAAGAACGCGTAAATCAGCATGAACAGGCACACGTACGCGGTGCCCACCAGCGCCTTGCTCTCAAGGGGCAGGTCGTCCTTGAAGGGATACGCACCGAGCTTAGGCCTGTACTTTCCAAGCAGCAGGTCTGTTGCGTCCTGGCGGTCGCCGTCAAAGAAGTTTCCACGGATGTACCGCTCGACCGAGTTGCGGCCGTCCTGCAGAGCGCCTGCCTTGGTCCGCTTGCCTGTGCGCGTAAAGTCGGTCTTGAGAGCGCCCGTGCCCGAGTACGCGCAGCTGACTGCGTCGGCATTGTCAGCCCAAAGGTTGTTGAGCATCGACTGCATCGCGGGGAAGTTGCCAATGACGTCGGTGCTTGAAAACACGCCGACGTCGCGAAGCTGCTGGGTCAGAAGCATGCGAGCAAGCTCAGACTGGACAACGTTAGTCCGGTCCAGACAGTCCATGCAGTTAGTGCGGATGACACCGACCTGGAGGTGCAGGGGCTCGCCGCCGTGGGCGCGGTCCTTCGGGTCGCGCTTGATTTTAAAGTATCCAAAGCGGGCGTTGTACTCGGCCAGCTCATCCATGAGAATGCTCAGGCGGTCCCAGCGCATCTTGCTGCACTCCTTGTGAAAGTCAAAGTGCGTGTAGTGGTAGCAGGGGTTATTGAACCCCTGGGAGAGCTTGGCAAACCCGTCACCCATCGGCTTCTCGTACTTGACCCTGTTCACTAGGTTGACAGCCACAACCTCGCTGTACATGTCAATCATCTTGGTCATATGCTTAGCAAAGCGCTCTCGGCTGGCATCAATGTCAATCTTGAGCGTGGGGACGTAGTTCATGTTGATGATCTGGGCCCACACAATCGGGATGGAGCCGCGCACCTGGACATACGCCATTTGGAGGCCCTCGAGCTCGCGGTCTGTGCTGCTAGAGCTGGGTGCAGCAAAGTCCACAATCTGCTCGGTCTCGGCATAGTTGGACACGTTGCCGTCCTCGTCGGCGCCGCGCGAGAAGTAGCGTGTACCCTGGCGCTTGTACCCGCGACGAGTAACCAGAACGTAATTGAAGGATGTGCCCCGGATGACAACCTTCTGGCACTCGAAGAAGCCGTTGATGACGGGCAGAACAAAAACGCCGGCATTCGAGCTGTTGGCCACCGCATCGATGAGCGGCTCCGAAAGAAACTTATTGTAGAAAAACTCGTCGTTGGCGTTCTTGTAAAGCGACGCGCTTAGCATAGACGCGGGGGTGTTTTGCATCTTCTGCTGCTGGCGCTCCAACGAGCTTGTCAGATCCATGTCATACGAGAAATAAAACGACTTGACCGACAGCGCTTTGTGCACGAGGCGCAGATATGTCGCCTCGTCAAAGGCGTCCATCCCAGACACAACGCGGCTGTCGGCGGCGACTTTAACAACCCTGGTCTCCGTGACCTTGTACACCGGCGACGGCCCAATCGTCCCTACCACCTCGCGCCCAGTAATCAGCACCAAATACGGCCCTCTGAGCAGGTTGATTATTCCCATTATGCCATGCGCGCTCATAGTCATCTGCGGCGCGGCGGCAAACGCTGCTGCTGTATTAGTCGAGTTTATGACCTTGATAGCCCCGCTGTTGCGGTCAATTGACAGGTGCTCACCACCTGCGCCTCGGGCTGCCTCAATTGTGACTGTCGACGAGTAAAACGAGCTATTCAAAATGTAACAGAGCGGGTGAATGGTTAGAAAACATACTTTTTTGTATTCAATTTGGCCAAAAGCACGCTGTCATATAAATAATATGCTGTAATGATATACTACACCTGATATATACTTACATCTGTACGACTGCTGTGCGGTCTAAAGCTCGGGGGTCATGGCAAGAACAAAAAAAACAGAAAAGAGATGCCAAATTCCGTGTGTTTAGAATGAAACGTTATTATTGCAGCAGAATATTTCCAGTTTACGGTTGAAGTGCGCATGCCACGAAATGTGCCCAACTTGTACTATCCCCTAATGAAGGGTACTGGGCTGAATAGGGCTGAGCTGAATTGGGTCAGTGTACGTACCACCATCCTTAGCGAGCTAATGCGTGTTTGTTTTTCGTGCACTTGAATTGCAAAGTGAAAGGGGAGGTAATAAAAAATAAATGTGTTTGCTCGCTGCCAAAATCAGAAGAAATAGAAAAAAAGAAAAAGAAGCGAAGATTGATGTTGGACAAATATGTACCACCCCCCCGTCACACTAAAATAAAAGAATGAGGCTACAAGTATCCCTCAAACCGACATCCTTCCCCCAGATTGAATAGCAAGCTAAAAAGTGGTTGGAACCTAGTGGTAATAGACCACTATGGCCGACGATATTAACCAGTTTGCTGCTTTTTCTGCAGAGAAGCAGGAGCAGATTGATTCTTGCGCACGCGCTTTGGCCTTGACTTGGGCTTGGGGAAAGTCTCGGGTTCAGCCGACTCTGACGATGCCTTTTTGCGTGAAAAGCAGGTTTTGAAAATTCCCCGCTTAAAGATATGGGCTTTCGCTATAAATGCCTGGAAATTCTAAAATCCATTTACACCAGTGCACTTCAAACAGTGACATCGCACATCACAAAATCACAACAATCCGAATTAAATCAAAATCAAGTGATTTGTTTGTGTGAGGTGATGCGGGATTCGAAGTTTGTTTACTACTGCCACTACCACCACGCATGGATCCGGTCTGGCAAAGAAGATCCTATTTTTACTTTTGCGCGGTTGTTTTCTGGAGTCAAAGTCACCAATCGCCATCAGCTCATCACTATCGGCATTACGACATTCCATCTGTTAAAAACCAAGTTGCAATGCAGCTCATTTATTTATATATTTTCGGATTGTTCAAAAACGCCCTTCAATGTTTGTAGCTCGGGTCTCAGTGGGGAGCAGCATTCTGCACTCACACGTGTGTGGGAATATGTAAACATACACAACCAGCGTGATCCCCACTGCCTCGCGAAATGTGATTGGTTCGCCGAGCCCATCAAAATAAGCCATTTTCTATTTTGTTTGTGACGCTGGACCGCTGTTATTGTGGACTTCCAAAATGCAACATGGCATGGTCTTTGAGTGAGAATGAACATGTTACTTTTTTGTTGGGCATCTTTTTACTCTGGTTGAAGTTCAACTTTATTTTACTTTGGCACAAAACGTTTCTGCTTTTTCATAGCTAAACTTTCTTTTCCTTTCCTTTTTTCTCTTTCCTTTTCTTTCTTCACCTTTCCTATATTCCTTTTTCTTTGTACGTGAGTTTCCTTGTTTGTTCTGGTAGCAAAAAAAGAAACACTCGGTCCGTAGTTAAACCACTTTGCATAGCTTTCGCAATTCCTCATTTTACTTATATTTTGAATAGCTAGACGCTCTTCTTATTTTTAAGCATATTCCCACCACCACCTTCCCTACCATGCATTTCTCGACCACTCTTGCCGCTGTATCGGCGCTTATTGCCAGCAGCGCTGGCCACTCGCTCCTCTCGACTCCTGCCACTCGTGGAAATACTAAGTGGTTCGGCACTTGCGCTGCGGGCGCTGGCTGCAAGGGCCCCTGCGACTCCCCCAAGGCAGACTCGCCGTTCAACAGCAACTATGTGCCAAAGACATACATCCAGCGTGGCCAGGAGCTCGACGTTGAATGGAAGCGCCTGAACCACCCGGGAGGCTTTGTTCGTCTGGCCATGGTCCCCTTCGACCAGTCCGACAGCTGGAGCGCCTTCAACAGCAACGTGCTCGAATACACCTGCTACGAGACCAACTGCGGCCCAACAGACCCCTCCGACACTATGTTTGGACATCTGAACGGCCCTGGAAGCGCGCCGTGCTCTACCAAGGTGACTGTGCCTAAGAACATCCCCGACGGCACTGCTGTGACCCTGCAGTGGGTCTGGTACGGTGGTGGCATCTACTACGGCGAGACTGACACGTCCTTCGGCGAGTACTACAGCTGCAGTGATCTTATTGTCTCTGGTGGGCCCCTCTCAGATGAGAAGCCCGAGGCCGTCTTCAAGGGTGGTGATATCACCTATCCCGACAGCGGCGTGTGCAAGTACTGGGGCTCCAACAAGGTGGGCGACTGCAACTTTGGCGACCGTGTGCCCAGCCCCATCGATGGCGACCTCCTCTCGCAGTCTCTCGAGCCCTGCATCAGAGGCCCTGAGCTTAAGGGTGCTCCCTATGGCTTTGCGGTCAGCACCAACAACACCGATTCTGCCATCCAACCCGTTCCCCACAGTGCTGTGGTTGCCAGCAGCGCTGCTCCTGAGACGCCTGCCCAGTCCGAGACCTACTCTCCGGTGACCTCTGAGGTCGTTACTTCTACCCCCGAGGCGCCTATTCAGTCTGACATCTACTCGTCATCGTCATCGGTGGAGTCTGAGGCCGTCGTCCCCGCCCCCACCTCCGTTGAGGTTCCTGCACCAGTCTACACTGCTCCCGCTGTCATTCCCGCACCAGTCTACACGACTCCTGCTGAGGCTGTCCCCGCCACTACCACCTCTACCGCCGAGGCTGCCCCTGTGTACACATCAGTCGCCACTCCCGCTCCTGCTCCCGCCTATTCTGCAGTCGAGCCCGCCCCGATCACCACCACTGAGTACAAGTGCAGGCCTCGCTACTCCTCCCTCTTCTAATGTATTGAATCTCCAACACTAGCTTCTCTGTTTGTAGAGCTTTTTTATTAGTCCACAGCTCTCCCTTTGATCCCCTCTCCCTCACTCCCTGTTTGGTTTTGGAGCAGCAATAATAATGAATAAGTATTAAAATACGTTATATGTGTGTCGAGGACTACTGCTGAAATCGACATTCTCAACGAGTATAAAAGCATGTGTATGTTTAGTGAATAAAATAGAATGGTTACAGGGACGATAATAGCGTATCACGTTTGGTGCTACTTGTTTCTAGATGAAGCCTCTCGATAACCTGCTCGACCTCATGCACCAACCGCTCCATCTGGGCTATTTGCCGCGCCTTGCTGGCCGCCCCATCGGCCAACGCACCTTCGGCCTGGCCAGCGTCCTCCAGCTCCCGCAGCGTCTCTGGCGCCATGCAATGCCGCGCGGCAGCAGCCATTTCAGGAAGATTGTTGATCATCCTGCACATAGTCTGGAATGCATCCACCATTTGCTGGTGGTAGGCTGGATCGAGCACCCAGTGTTCCTCGGCCATCGGCTCTACCAAGCGGGCCAAAAGGCTCGACTTGTTTTTGCCAATCCTGCGCAAATGTAGGGCAAATGTCTTCAGCAGGTCCAGCCGCCTGTTCACCACCTCCTGGTCCAAGACCTCGCCATTGACCTCGTAGTCTCGCCGATCAGCGTCCATCCACTTGTCCAACAGCTGCTTATCAAATGCTGCCAGCCTGTCCAGCATCTCGCCCTTCATCTTGCCAGCCTGAGTCTCCTCAGATTCACCCAAGTCGTCGTCAGAGCCGTAGTTGTCGGCATCCATCTGCTGCATGTATCTCTCGTTGGCTGCCGCCACATCCGCATCGTCGCTGTCGGCTTGTGTGGGGTTGCTGCCGCTGATTGCCAGACCTATTTGGCTGGCCAGATCTATGCATACTGTCATCGGGTCAATATTGCTATGCTTGGCCTTCTGCTGCTGCTGCTGCTGCTGCTGCTGCCGTGTACCGTTTCCCGTCAACTGTATTTTTGGTTTGGCTAATAGCAATCCTGTAGTGCTGCGCTTTTGCGTGGTGTCTGGTGCTGCCTTAGCGACTTTTGACGCCGCAGGATGAGCGTGAGCAGTTTTGGAAGCCGGGCCAGCTGAACCTCTGTGGTGATTCGGAAGACCCATGGCACAGCTCTTCCTTGTGTTGTTGTGAATGTGAAATTCAGACTGTAATTTGGTGTGGTAAATTGTCGAGTAGAAAGAAACGAAAATTGAGTTTTTTTGTGTTGCGTGCAGTTCAAGACAATATGAAACAACAAACCACGTGATTAATAGCACAATCCAGTGCGTGGTTCGATTATTGCCAACTACGATCGATTTTTTTTCGGCACAAACTTTTTTTAGATTGAATTATCATCTACAGAACTCGCTTTTATCTTTTGTTATTTGTTGTAAACCATGCGCCATAGATCGGATATTGATGAAGAGGAGGGCGAAATTAGCGACAGACCAACCAACGCAGGCCGCCAGTCCCCACACAACGACTATGCGCGACCAACTGGCAGTCGCAGCCACAAACACAGTCGCAGTCGCGAGCGCGAGCGTAGCTATGGCCATGCCAGAGGTCGTAGTCGCAGTCGAAGTCCAGCGCGCGATCGTAAACGACATGTCAGCTTCAAGCCCGATACCACTATAGACAAAGTGACTAAGGAAGCATCAGCACTAACAACATCATCGAGGGTCACTGAACCTATCACGGTAAATACTGAACACGAAATTGACTTGACACTATCGTTTGAAAAAGACGAAGAGGCAGAGCTGGAGAGATTGCGTGAGGAGCGGCGTCGCCGGCGCAAGGAGATTCTCCAAACATACGAATGTCAGACTGATGCTCAAAATTCAACTGTTGCTGAAACTGTTAGAGAAGTGCCGGTTTTTGGTTTGGAGAAGAAGGGAGGGGGGGACGGCGCAGCACAAAAAGCAACAGCAGCAACGGCAGCAGGTGGTTGTGATGGCGTTTTGGCTGCCGACTATGATCCCAATAAAGACTCGAAGGCGGATGATGTGCGTCACAGGATGCTGGCGCAGGCCACGACCACGGCAACTGCTGTTTCTGTCGCTGATCCTGCCGCTGGTAAAGGTACTGGCGACGCTTCTGATGATGACGATTTTGATATGTTTGCCGATGACGACGTGATTGCCATCAAGGCGCCCGCAGCCAAAACCAACCCCACAGCCTCTGCGTCAGCGCCAGCGACAGCCGACACCTATGACGACCCCGACGGCTACTACCGCACAATCGTTGGCGAGCTCCTGGACGGCCGCTACCTGGTGCAAGCCTTCCTCGGACAGGGTGTGTTCAGCTCCGTCGTCCGGGCTATCGACACGCAGAACAACGATGCACCGGTGGCGATCAAGATTATCCGCCAGAACGAGCTCATGCGCAGGGCCGGCATCAAGGAGCAGCGCATCCTCGAGAGGCTCGAGCAGGCCGATCCGTCGGGCAAAATGCACGTTGTGCGCCTGTTGGGGAACTTTTTGCACCGCGGCCACATGTGTCTGTGCTTTGAGCTCATGAGCTTGAACTTGCGCGAGGTCGTGCGCAAGTACGGGCGCGACTCCGGGCTGAGTCTAGAGGCGGTGCGTGTCTACGGGATGCACCTGCTTCTGGCCCTGGATCTTCTGCGCGGCTGCGGTATCATCCATGGTGACCTCAAACCCGATAACTGCTTTGTGTCGGAGCAGCGCAACAATGTCAAGCTGGGCGATCTAGGGTCGGCCTGCGATGTGACGGAGAATGAAATCACCCCGTATCTTGTCAGTCGGTTCTACCGCGCGCCAGAGATCATCTTGGGAATGGCCTACGGCCAGGCGATCGACGTTTGGTCGCTGGGCGCGACGCTCTTTGAGTTGTATACGGGCAAGATAATGTTCCCTGGGCACAATAACAACCATATGCTGCAGCTGATGATGGAGACCCGCGGCCAGTTCTCCAATCGCATACTGCGTCGGGGCCAATACTGGCAGCAGCACTTCGAGGACAACGGCGGCGGCATTATGGACCTGGTCAGTCGCTCAGTCGATGAGCTGTCGGGCACAGACGCTGTCCAGCGCATTCGGATTTCAAAGCCCACGCTGGACATCAAAACGCGCGTTTTGCAGGCCACTCCGGCGGGGTCTTCACAGGAGGAGATCCAACAAGCGCTCCAGTTTGCCAGTCTGCTGGACCGATGCTTGGAGCTCAGCCCCGAGAAGCGCGTCACGCCGATTGAGGCCCTGCGCCATCCCTTTTTCTTGCAGCGCTAAGCGTAAATAAAGCAATTCGTTTTGGTAATGTATAGTTTAAAAAGTCTACAAACATATTTTTTTCTAACGACGAACTGCGGGTCCGATCCAGAAATTTAATTCTAGCCCTGCTGCTTGGCCTGCCCGCTAGCCTTCAGCTGCGCAAACTCGGCCTCTATGGCGCTCCAGTAGACAGCGTGGTTGTACTGGAACTTCCAGTTGCCGTAGCAGTCCGCCTCCAGCATATCAACGTTGAAGCACTCGTCAGCCGAGATCCACGGGCTGCTGCTGTTGTTGTCCGCCTGCTGGGCCTGGGCATCGGGCGGCGAGCTGGGGCTCACAAAGGCGACCTTTGCCTTGGTGACTGGGTCGATGAACGACGACACCAGGCTGTAGAATGCGACAAAGAACTTTGGTGGCATGAACACTACAGCGCGACCCAGCCGCTCCGGATAGTGGTTGCCCAAGATGTCGAGGAACTTTTTTGCTATGCCGATGGACACCGCGTTCGAGAAGCCCCAATGCGTGGCATCAATGGCCAAAGTGACCTTCTCGACGCCCGGAGGCATGTTTCGAATGCACATCTCGAGCGTGTAGATGACCCAGCGGATCTGGTTATCCGCCTCTTTGGTGTTTTGCCGGTGGTTGTACATGTATATGATGGGCCGCGAGAACTTGTCAAAGCCGTTAAAGTACATCTTGCCCGTCCGGTTTTCGATCTCGACCACGTCAGGCCGCAGGGCGTGTGGCCGTGCAGTTGCGCGCCATTCGATGGTTTTCCGGAGCGCCTTCTTTGTGTCCTCGTACACTCCCTTGCGCGCGCGCACATAGCGCGCCAGGCACTCGTCTGTCAGCCAGCCCTCGATGTCCAGGGGAATGCTCTCGTCAACGTACTTTTTCGCATCCTCGTCGAGCGCCGGCAGATCCTTGATCAGCTCGGGAATATCGGCCTTTATCCGATCAAACGTCTTCTGCTCGTCGGCGCTGAGCGCCTTAATCTCCTGCAGAGTGCTGGTGTCACTGACCGGCGCGCACTCAAAGACTGGGAGAATGGCCGGGCCGGCTACCACTGCGCTGTCGGTCGATTTTTCGCCAGACTTGGGCGACGCCGGAGCCTCCTCTGACCTCCCGAATCCAAACAGTGAGCGCATCATTTAATAGTAGGTTGTGTCTATGGGTGCGAGCGTTAAAAGCGAGTGAAGGAGAAAAAGAGGTGTTCAGTTTAGCTAATGTGAGCAAAAGAAAGAAGATAGGGATGACAAGAGCGGAGCGGGTATTATAAGTTGTTGTCCCCCTTTTGCAAAGCATTTCGGCTTTATCCGCCCACGGCACCCTTTTTTCGCGCTAAACCAGCTGGTGATTAAATCCGTTCGCAGCACACGCCTGGCGCCCTTTCCAATGTTTGTTTGTTTTGATGCATGAAACCAGGCGCTGGATGGGGGCAGAACGCCCACTGCAAATAATATACACACGCTTCTCATGCGGCATTCAATCGAGACTTAATAACCAAGAGAGAGAAAAAAGAAACCAAAACACAAACATACGCAAACGGCTTTGTTATTGTGCGTTTGCGCTAGATGTTCCTGGCACATCAAGCTTTGCGTTTCAATCCAGAAAATATGTAGAAAGGAAAGGAGGGAAGGGGCGCAAGCGCTTGGCAGCTTGTCGCAGACCAAAAAACACGCGTATTGGAAATACGGTGAGCAAATAAAAAGGCATTACGCCATCACCCAAAATCGTGGAGTAATGACAACCCCCAATGTGCAATGTGCAGGTGAGCGCTTTCATGGTATGGCTGCGGCTGCAGCTGCAGAAACCAAGTAGGATAAAATACGAGAAAAACAGTGGCAGGATGCAACAAACTTACTAAGTAAATATGTGTTAAGAGGAAAAATTAATTCTGAACAGAATAAAGATAAGGAAAAAGCAGAGAAGAGAGAAGAAAGGTAGAGGTCGCCGAATGTATGACGCGGAGTGCACGACCAGGTTCTGCACCTGTAATATGTGCGGCCCGGAGACCAGGGGGGAAGTTGTAATCTGCGCTACTCTGGGGCACAGCCAGTCTCGCCATGGAATCGGCCAGTTGGACACTAAGTGGCTTTGTCGCACCGCCGAACAAAGTCCGCGCCGTTTTTGCTGTTTTTGTACCTTTGCCGCTGCTGACAAAATGCTCGTAGAAATAACGGAGTTGGGCTATGTCGGATTTGGCATTTCCAACAATTTGGAATAATCCGCACCCCCACCCACAAATCCTTCCAATACTTTTCCGGCAGCAGAGGATGGTGGGGCACACGGTAACTCGAGCGAAGAGATGTTTATTTATTTTCAATTGTACAAAAAAATGGTCTAAAACCTGGCAACAACACGCTTGGGCTTCTTCACGGCCGGCACCTTGGGCACAGCATCCTGCTTGATCTTGTCCTCTTGCTGCATCTTGAGCGCAACAAACACATCATCGTCATCGCCGCCCTGTTCTGCGTCGATGGTGCCGATCGTCGCCTCGAGATCCTTGTTACGCGTAGGCTTGCAATCCTTGACCAGATGCTGTGTGGATCCGCAGTACTTGCAGGAGCCGCCGTTAGGGTACAAGCCCTTCTCGTTCTTCTGGCAGGCCGACGCCAGGTGACCCTGGCCGCCACACACAAAGCACGTGGCAAAGGAAAACGAATTGCCCTTTTTCTTGCAGTCCTTGGTGGTGTGATCGCCGGACCCGCAGCGGTAGCACACGCCGACTGGAGTTTCCACAGACTTGGGGCAGTTCTTGACGCTGTGGCCCTTTTCCCGGCACAAGAAGCACGTAAAGTTCTTTTCCTTTTCGAGCTGCCGGTTGGTGCGCCGCTGGTCTGCGCGCTTCTTTTTCGCGTTCTCGGAGCGGTGCCGCTTGGGATCGTTCTCGTCGTTGAGATTCTCGGCTTCCTGAGCGCGCCGCTTGCGGCTCTCCTCCTGTTCCGTCTTTTTCTGCTGCTCAATTTCGGATTTCTTGAGCATCAATGGCTTGGGGACAAAGCTCGAACCGTCCTCGGGCCGCTTGGGCGCTGGCTTTGCAACGCGCGTCATGTTTATTGATGTTAGTGTTGGTGAATGCGAAATGTGAATTAAAATCCAGAAGAAGAAGACAAGTCCGAAGAAACGGCGAAAAAAAATGATCAATGCAAAAAAATTACATCTTTTTTTGTTAGATCAACTTTTTCTCATTTTCCAGATTAGGAATCGGAACAAAAGAGATATAATTGGAGTAAATTTTTTTGGAAAAGTGTTACTTGAAATCCTTGTACGACCACTTTTCTGTCATCTTGACCTTCAGCTTAGCCTCCTTCTGGTTGAAGGCGACCTCTGGCTCGACAAGGTTGCGCTTCATCAGCGAGTTGAAGACCTCGGAGAAGCCATTGCCCTCGGGCTGCAGCTGGCGCAACGATGCCGGCAGATCCTCAGTGAGCTTGACAGCCTCAAGCAGCTGGGGCACCTTGAACTTGCCGATCTTCTTCAGCGGCTTGAGGGACTTTTCATGAGCGAGCTTGCGCTTGTGCTCCACGACCACCTCGGCCTCAATGGCCTCCTGGTCAACGACCCTGTTGAGCCACTTGGCCTTGTCCACCTGGATCAGCTTCTTCTTCAGCGCCTTGGCCTCAAACTTCTCGGCCTTCTCCTTGCCCAACCGCCGCTGGCGGTTGCGGTCGGCACGGGTCTTGCGCTTGGGGTCCTTCGAGGTTGTGGGCAACTCTACCTCCATCTCCTCGTCGCTGTCAATAATCGTCTTGTCGTCCTCGACACCGTCAGCGACAGCCTTATCCTCATCCTCGTCCTCGTCGTCAGAATCTTGGTTGGCTCGGGCCAACTCCATCCTGGCAATGAGATTGGCGCGCTCCTGCTTGATCTCCTCGGCAATGATCGCAGCGCACTCGTTGAGCCCGTCCGTCGCCTGCAGACCCCTAAAGTTCTTGAACTCACTGTGCTCTTCGTTCTTGCGCAGCTTCATGGCGTACTCCGCACCAGCCTTGTTGATCAGCTCCTTGTGCTGCTTCTCATCCGGCCGGTACGATGCGCCCGGGTGCGCAACCTCCACGGCGGGCATAATTTCAAGGTGGGCCATCTTTTGCCGCGAGACAACGGACTTCGTCTCTGCAGCTGGGGGCACACCCCAGATGTCATATGTCCCGGCTGCGCTCTTTGTCTTGAGGCCGTGCGGTGTCGTCTTCTTACCGTCGACAAATCCGGCAACCTTTTTGAGAATGTTTCTGTTTTCATTAGCAACCTTCCTTTTCCGCCTCTCCTCGCTCATCTGCGTACCGATGATGGCGGCAGGCACCTTGGACCTCCTGTCTAGAATCTCGTCGACGCGCAGCTTCTTCCTCTGTCTTTGCTGGACCTTGGTCTTCTCGTCACCGGCAACATCGACAACAAAGAGGTCGGTGTCCTGGCGCTTCTCAACCACTGCACCGCCCTGGCGCTCTTCCTCGCGCATCTCCTCCAGACCCTCCTCGACATCGGCAATGTCGATCTTCTTGCGCCATTCGGCCTTGGTTTTGCGTCCGCCGCGCTTCTTCTCGGCCCCCTTTGACGCCAATTTTGATCCTGCTGCTGTTGTAGCCGACATTGCTTAGAATGTGGATGTATGTATGTGAAGGGGAAAGGGGAAATGTGGCTGTATATTGGTAATTGCAAAAGAAAAGGGCCTCTTTTTCGCTTTTCTTTAAAGCTACTTTTGCACTTTGCGTTGGGCTGTGAAAGAGTGAAAAAATAGTGGAATGAAGAAAAAAAAGAAAAAAAATAGAAAACGCCAGATTAAATCATGACTGTGATCAAGATCTTTAGCTGACAGATTTCAAGCAAGCTCTCGGAATTCCTTTTTGGGTAACTGCCAACTTTCTTCCTTTGTTGTTGTTAACGCGACTCTAGCTCGTATATGCATGTCTGTGCGAGCTGGTTTTTGCTGCGCATCGCTATCCAACTTTGGAATTGTCCGTTTTTAAGTGCGCATGACTAGCAGTTTTTTCGCTCTTAATAGCCCTGGATAGTTTGTGAGTCATGATCAAAAAAATGTTGATAAATGTATGGTATAAAAAGCTTACTTTTGTTTACACTTGCGAAGCTCAACCTTGGTTACTTTTTTTGGTTTCTTCTTTGTTACTAGACATTGCCTATTGTATTTTGGTATATTTTTTTACAACTGTCGTTTATATATACTTATTTATCATTTTACCCGCTTTTTACCATGTCGAGAAACCTATTGATACTTGGGGCCGCGCCCAACCTCAGCGAGCTGCGCAACACACTCGTGCGCCTGGAGGACACCATTATATTCGCGCTGATCGAGCGCTCCCAGTTCAAGCACAACAACAGCATCTATAAGGCTAACAAAATGAACTTTCGGGATGGATACACGGGCTCCTTCCTCTCATGGTTTTTGAAAGAGGTCGAGTCGGTCCACGCCAAGGTCCGGCGCTACCAGAGTCCTGACGAGTACCCCTTCACCAACAACCTGCCCGAGCCCGTGTTGCCGCCCCTTGAATACCCGCCTGTGCTTGTCGACCCGCAGGAGATTAACATTAACGATGAGATATTCGACGTGTACGTCAACACTGTTATTCCCGGGATTACCGCTCAGGGAGACGACACAAACTACGGCAGTTCGGCGACCAGGGATATCGAGTGCCTGCAGGCGCTCTCGCGCCGCATTCACTATGGAAAGTTTGTTGCCGAGTCAAAGTTCCAGGACCCAGACTGCCACGACGAGTACGTCAGGCTAATCAAGGAGAAAAACAGGGATCGATTGATGGAGCTTCTGACCAACAGTCGAGTCGAGGAGTTGCTCCTTAAGCGCTTGAAGGCCAAGGCGCTCATTTATGGACAGGACTTGTCTTCAGCCGGGCTGGATGGCAATGGCAACATCAACGGCAGCAGCCAGCCGCTAATTGGACTGCGCTCGTCGCCGTCGGATGCTGCGGAGGAAAAAACAAAGTCACGAGTTGACTATGACCTTGTTGTGTCGCTGTACCGTGACTACGTCATCCCGCTGACAAAAGAGGTTGAGATCGAGTATCTGCTGCACCGCCTTGACTAGGGCTGGCACGGTTGAATTACAAAAATCAAACTGGCCACTGTAATTATCATTTGTGGACATGTGTGAATTTATAAGTGCATTTATTAATTTATTTTGGCTTTTAATTTTGATAAATGCAAAAAACGAGTGTAGTTTTCTAACACACACGGAAGTACGTTGTTTTTGGATGGTGTCTGACAAGACTGTCAAAAACACCCTATGTCAAGTGCATGGTTCAGGCAATAATGTTGGCAGAGTTAAGTGCGTTCACATTATCACTGACGACATTTGCAGCATTGTTGTTGGCAAAGAATGTGTTGTCATTAAAGTTGGCTGCAAAGGCATTGCGGTCAAATGCATTGACAGTGTTGAGGGCAAACGGGAAGCCGCCCCAGCTGTTCCACCCGCCCCAGCTGCCGAAACGCTTGGCCAAGTGGCCGTTGTCATATTCGTGGGCGTGAGCATGAGCGTGGGCATGCGCACAGGCGTGTCTGACATAGTTATGCGGCTGCTGAGCGCCGCCCTCGGACACTGCCGCAGGTGCAGGCGCCGCAGAGGCAAATGCGACCGACGCGGCAACAAGCGCGAGCACGGTGACGGTGGTGAGATGGCTGAGCATTTTAAATTAGAATTGGTTGTAAAGTTGTTAGTTGGTTGTGATGTTTGCTGATGTTGTTGCGAAAAACCAGTGTAGTTTGGATTATATGTTGGCGGGCAGCGTTTCCTATTTTATACTAGAAATGTCGAAGAGTATCATGGAATATGAGTTGCTGTAACCCGCCGACATAATATAAAACGTCGTTTTTTGCTAATAACAATAAATGATATGGTTACATTTGTTTAAACTTTAAATCAGCATTGTTCTACAAAACACGTACATATATGTCACAGTTTAGGCACATGGCGTTGCATGTTGTTATACTGAGATTAATTGATTACGCGCGTGGCAATTAGGAAATGATAAGACTATAGTTTATTTATGTGCCGAGGAGAGCATATAAGGAATGGTTGTCAGGCAGCCAGCAATTGTTCTCCTTGGAAGAAATAAATATCCTTTTTTGGTTTATACCCCCTTTGTAACATATATCAGACATCTTGACATCAAACACACGGTTTGTGTCAGGCGCGCGTCTAGTGGCAGATTAAAAAATCACCCGACGCAGACCGCGATTACTAACACAAAACCGGTTTGGTGTTTACACTTTCCATGATCAACCATTGGGCGCTCAAAAGTTTTCAAACCAACTAAACCCACGCCTTTGTGCGCGTTCATCCACACACAACTCGCCACTTCAGGCCTCTGCGACATTTCAGCCTCAAGAAGAGGGGGGCCAGTTGCAAGCCCGATTGCGTTGTGGCAGGCTCGACTGTTTGTTGTTTTTTACTTTTTTACTTTTTCTTTGCTGGCTTTGATTTTGCTTTTGGACCTGTTTTTACTATCAGCTTGTCTGCTTCTCATCTCCAAAATAAAAGAGAAATCTAATCTGTCAACTCCTTTCTTCTGTAAACCTATTTTTTTTGCTAATCACCAACCTTCTTTTTTAAATTCATAAACCAAAATGCGCGAGATTATTCACATCCAGACCGGCCAGTGCGGTAACCAGATTGGTACCAAGTTCTGGGAGACCATTGCCAGCGAGCACTCAATTGGCATGAACGGGTCATGGGATGGAAACGCCAAGATGAAGGCCACCCAGCTTGACCGCATCGATGTCTACTTCAACGAGGCTGCCAACAACCGCTACGTGCCCCGCGCCGTGCTCGTTGACCTCGAGCCCGGAACCATAGACACCATCCGCACGGGCAAGTTCAGGGACCTCTTCCGCCCCGACAACTTCATTAGCGGAAATAACGGTGCCGGTAACGTCTGGGCCAAGGGCCACTACACTGAGGGTGCTGAGCTCGTCGATTCGGTCCTCGACGTTGTCCGCAAGGAGGCTGAGAACTCGGACTCGCTCCAGGGCTTCCAGTTCACCCACTCGCTTGGTGGCGGTACCGGTTCCGGTATGGGCACCCTTCTGCTTGCCAAGATCCGCGAGGAGTACCCCGACCGTATGATGAGCACCTTCTCGGTCGTCCCCTCTCCCAAGGTAATAATCAGGCCGCTGGCTCAAATATGCTTGCTTACTTTTTTTGTGTTACTGCGCTTTTTCGTTTGTTTTTTTCAAGGCCCACTATACTAGTGTTGCTTCAGTGTGCATTATTGTGTTATTTTCACTCACGCGCGCACAAACAAGAATTCGCGCAAAGTGCAGCCTAGGGAGATACCGACTGGCCTACGCGTCTTTCTGTTGCTAGGCGACATCCTCACGCCACCAGTGCGAACTCCCTCAAATTATTGTTTTTTAAAAATGAGCCCGTTCTCGCTTGTATTTTGTTTATCCCTTGCCGCTATGAACTCAAGCAAGCGCTGCATGGATGAAACTGAACGAGATACAATGGATGCACCACTTGCCAGGTAACTGCTATATCTGCCCCCTAGTCTTAAGCTAACAAGAATGCCCCTCCCCCTTTCTTGCTACTGGTTATATCTGATACTTAGGTCTCTGACACCGTTGTTGAGCCCTACAACGCCACCCTCTCGGTGCACCAGCTCGTCGAGAACTCGGATATGGCATTCTGCATTGATAACGAGGCTCTGTACGATATCTGCTTCAATACGCTCAAGAACACCAACCCCGCCTACGACGACCTCAACGCCCTCGTCTCAATGGTCATGTCGGGCGTCACAACCTCCCTGCGCTTCCCTGGCCAGCTCAACGCCGATCTGCGCAAGATGGCTGTCAACCTGGTGCCCTTCCCCCGCTTGCACTTCTTCATGGTTGGCTTTGCTCCTCTGGGCAACCCCAAGAGCGCTGCGTTCCGCAACGTCACCGTTGCTGATCTAACCCAGCAGATGTTCGATGCCAAGAACATGATGGCCGCCTCGGACCCGCGCCACGGCCGCTACCTGGCTGTCGCTGCCATTTTCCGCGGCAAGATCTCGACCAACGACGTCGAGGAGCAGATGGTCAACGTCCAGGCCAAGAACACCAACTACTTTGTCGAGTGGATCCCCAACAACGTCAAGACCGCCGTGTGCGACATCCCTCCCATGGGCCTCGAGATGTCCGCCACCTTTATTGGAAACAACACCTGCATCCAGGAGCTGTTCCGCCGCGTCAGCGACCAGTTCACTGCCATGTTCCGTCGCAAGGCTTTCCTCCACTGGTACACTGACGAGGGTATGGACGAGATGGAGTTCACTGAGGCCGAGAGCAACATGAACGATCTCATCAACGAGTACCAGCAGTACCAGGATGCCACCGTTGACGAAGAGATGACCTACGACGGTGATGAGTACCCCGAGGACGCCCCCATGGAGGAGGGCTACCCTGCCGACTACCAGGAGTAAAGCTCTCCTTTTTTTAATGAGCTATCTCTTAGCAAAGTCACTTTTTTTTTAGCTGCTTCTGGCCAGCAATAACTTTTCTTTTGTTCCTGTTTACAACAAATTTTCACAACACAATACTTTGCAGTAACAAAAACACCAATACACGCACATAGGCACACACGCACCCGACGCAGCAATTTGGATTTATATTGTAAACAGATGACGCGTCGCTCCCGATCTCGAAAATGACACTCTGTTAGAGGCCGGGGTGTGACCAATCACAGAGCATTGGCAAATAAAAAATTGATATTGCGAGCCACGAGCCTAAAATATGCCGATGGCTCGCAATATCATTTTTTTTGCCAATAGTGTGATTTGGCGAATAAAATTTTCATCAGCACTTTTTATTTCATTTGAAATGGCACAAAAGTTTTGGTTTGACATTTAATTTGCCCCACGGCTTTGCACAGAAAAACAAATATAAATATTTTTTTAAGACGTTCCTCTCCGTCCATGTCTCCAAGCGAAGCAGACAAGCACCAGAACTGGGATTTGGGTAGGTTATTGCACAATACAGTTACTCTCTTTTTATGCCTTTGAATCAGTGCTTTTTAACTGAATTTGTTACATTTAACTTTTGCAATCCGCATCGAAATTGCTTACTAAATCGCAAAATTCTGGTGATTCGTATCTGACGCATGGCTTCTTAGCGGACAACAGACGGAAACGTGCAAGATATTCCGGCGACCCGCTCATTATTAACAACTACAGCGACACCGATAACGACAGTGCGCACAAATCATTGTCGCATGATTATAATGGCGACTGGATAGGTGCTCATACCGAGGCTGCAAACGCGACTGGTTCTCCGGCCAAGCAGCCAACCAAGATCAAACTCTCGCTAAAGCTCGGCGCCCTGCGCAATCAGCCGCAATCGCACCCGCGGCCCATTTTGCTACCTGCTGCGCCAATCAGCCGCGCGTACGGAGGGGGCTATGGCGGCAAGGCCGGTGCCAATGGCAACAACAACGACGGCGATGACGACGACGATGCCGATAGCTACTACGACGCAGAAACCGACGATGAGCCGGTTGATATTGACGATGCCGAGGAGTATGCCAGCAGTCGGCAAACACACAAACTGGCCAGAGAGCCAAATGCGCCGGCCATTCGGGCTCCAGAGCCACTCAAAACAGAGCTGGTATCAGGAGCTACTAGCGGCGACCACACACCACGCATCAAGCTCCGTTTTTCATTCAAGAAGCCACCGCAGCTGCTGAATACCAAAGACCACAGTACATCCGGAGCGGCGACGCCGGCAACACCCTCGCAGCCCGAGATTCCAGCGCCCTCTCAGAATGCCTGGGGAAACGGTTACAGCACCGTCGTGCCTGGCAGCCCATCGGAAATCGTGGCTTTAAACATGTCGTCGTCGATCTACCAACAGCGGATGCCCAACACTGCGCCAATATCGCGCAGCGGGCAGAACATCACGTACTCGCCGTCTCTCGCCAGCGACGCAGAGAGCGATGACAGTGATGCTGAGGGACGCACCCTCGAGCACATACCGCAGATGCCCATGAGCGCATCGACTGCAACTATGTCTGGAGCAGCGGCAGCGACCGGAGTCAGAAGGCGTGGCCGGCCGCCACTGCGAGGGCGCCGCAGCTCCAGCATCTCATCATGGCATGGGCGCGGTGGGTCATCTGTGGCCTCGCGCAGGCTGCCAGGGACGCCAGGGACGCCAGGGACGCCAGGGACGCCAGGGACGCCAGGGACGCCAGGGACGCCGTCGACAGCGACAACAGTGTCGCTGAAGAGCTCCCTGCAGCGACTGATCAAGCGCATCAGGAAGCGGGACTCGTACGGGTTTTTCCTGGAGCCCGTCGATACCAGCGTGATCACCGACTATCGCAACGTCATCAAGCACCCGATGGACCTGGGAACCATGCAGCGCAAGGTCGAAGCGGGCACGTACATGAGCATCGATGAGTTCCGCCAGGATATACTGCTGGTGTGCGAGAATGCGCGCAAGTACAACGGCGCGACCTCCATCTACGCGCGGTCCGCCGACCATGTGCAGGGCTATGCCACGGTGGCCATCGACCGCGAGGCTGTCAAGCTGGAGCGCGTCGGCATGGCATCTATACCTGTGCGCGCGAACGATTCGGACTCGGTCTATGAGTCGCCGTATCCGCGGGCATACGCCGATCGCTCGCGCTCAAACTCCCGATCGCGCTCGCGCTCTCGATCGGCAACGCCCACGCAGTACAACAGCGCCACCGAAGACCAGAGCGACTCGCATATGGGCGGCGAGCACAGGAGGAGCTCCCGGCTCAGGTGGCGTGGTGGCGCTTCCGACGCGCCGGGCGTGGCAGGGAACGCAAATGCCACGCCGGCGAGCATTGTGGATATTTTCAAGTGGTCAGGCACGTCGAAGAAGAAGAACAAGCGGGTTTCGACAGTGCCCAGGAAGACCACCGAGTCGCAGATGAAGGTGTCACTGCTCCCGGACGGTAGTATCGATCCCATCGGGTTCGAAGAGGACGTTGCTTTGGTGCCATTTAGCCTCGGGGACGTATCGCTGCCCCTGCTTGCAGGGCCGCGCTTGCAAGGAGCGCCGACGGCCAATGTGCCAGCTGATGATACTCCGGGCAGCCGACAGTCGGTTCATGCATATGGGCTGAGCTTTGCACCGGTGTCCCTCAGTGACATTGGCCCGTACCGCAGCTTGACTGGCACAAACCTGGCCACGGCCACAGCCGGCTTGGATAAGCTGGGGACCAAGCTGCAGCCCATCCACGGCGACGCCCTGGGGATGGCGTACTGGCACAGCATCAGCGACTTTATCGACGGCGCTGGCGACGAGGTGGCTCAGTACGCAGCCACGGTGATGGACCATCTGACTAATGGCTCGCACAGCATAGCACGTGACACGCTCTGCGTGGTGGCCAACCGCGACTGCGCACCCGTCAACATTGGCGCTGGTGATGCGGCAGACGAGGCCCCAGTTAAGCGCGAGGGGCAGCCCGACATTGACATTCCGGGCCTTGTCGGCTGGCTGGGTAGCAAGGGTGCGCGGGACCAGATGTTTGCGCAGCGAGCAGAGGCACTGACCCGTGCCATACCCTTGAGCGAACTATCCACGCCAAAGTCAGGGGACAAAGACCCTTCTGCCACCCGCCCCGAGTGGATATCCGAAGCGCAAAAGAGCGATTTGTTTGCGCGCAACAGCGCAGACCTCAAGCAGCTGCACGAGCTGAACCAGGGCGACGGCAACTCGGCGAGCGCGGCCAAAAAGGAAAAAGAAATTGCAGCCAACATCTACACGCTGTCGGAGCAAATGTGCTTGGCCCTGGTGGGCTCGGCCCAGCCGTCTGCGCTGCTGCCAGGCCTGTGCCGCCCCTCGCAGGCCGCATACAAGCCCGCCCCTTCTACCCTGGGCGCGCGTTCATTGGCAACTGACCCCGCGGCAGACATTTATGACTATCCGATGTCGTCATCGGCGGCGACTGGTACGTTAGGACTCATAGGAAAGGGGTCGGTCGCTCTAAAATTCAACCGAACTGTGTCGACACCGTCGCTGCCGTCGCTGCACTCAAAACCGCCGCTTGGACCGGGCGGCAACTCCACCTTTCTGTGAAGATGATGGGCGCTGGCACTAATAAGCAATAATTCATTTACAAGTTTCAAGTGGTACATAAACTCAGGGGTCCAAACAAAACATGTTAAAAAAGAGGCAAGTTAAAAAAGAATAAGAAAGCCTGGTTAAGTGGAAATATTAAAAAGGTTTGCCCAGCAATAGCAGCAATGGTAGCACGGCATGTCAAATCACCCCTCGGTCATAACGGATCGCGCGTAGACAGCTTTGCTGCTACTGGCGTCGTTGCCATCGTCGTCATCGTTGCTGTCAATGCTGCTGGGATGAGCAGCGCAAGAGTCACACATCAGGCCGCCAGACAGCTGGTCATATCCTTCGGGGATGTACATAGACAGGATGCGCGAAAAGTTTGCCGTGTACAGACCAGGCGATACCGCGGTGAGCGTGGAAGTTGGCATGCGCTTATGGCTAATACAGCGTGGGCAGACCAGCGACAGACAGCTAGCGCACTGGTGCTGCGAATCCTGCATGTCAAAGTCACCGTGGCACAGCGAGCACAGCGTGGCGTTGGCTTTTTTGCGGCTGCGGGCGGCCGTAGCCTCGGCCTGGATCAGAGACAGCTTGGGAGGAGCCGCGTTGCTGACCAGCGATGACTGGAGGGCAGTGGATGACTGCGCTGCTGGGTTTTCGTAGAGCGCCAGCAGTGAGCAATGGCCATTGCCTAGGCTGCGCGAAATAACGGGTTTGGGCTGGTCGACTGCAGACGGCTGACTGCCATCGGTAGAAAAGGCAATTGGACGGCGTGCGCGCGATCTCCCAATTCGCTGCGACGAGTCAGACACAACTGTGGAGCATGACGAGGACACGAATGACACGCGGTTGTGCAAAATTGTGGACATTGGGGAGTTGGAGTCCGACGGTTGCACGGACGTTGGCGATGTCTCACACAAAAGAGTTGAGCGCGCAGAGCCGGGCAGCGACTCCCAGTCCATGGCGCTTCCTGTAGACGAATGCCTCGATAGGCGGCGCGCTAGGAGCACGGACAGACGGTTGGTGCGACTGTTGCTGCTGGCAGACTGTAAAGATGATGGCTCGGACACTGAGCTTGTTCGGTCCACGTTGATGCTGGTCCTGGTAGACGACAGCAGAGGAGTAGAAGGCCTAGCCGGCGCATAGTATGCTGACACCATATTGGCCGAAGTCGCTCTGCTGCTGGCGATGCTAGTGGTGGCGGAGTTCATGGAGCGGGATGTCGCGCTGTTGGCGGGGGTGGACTCGCCGGTGCTTGGCTGCAGAAGACACCCGAACTGGAAGGGAACGTCCGAGCCTCCCTTGACTACTACATTTGCGACTGCCGGAAGCGAAAAGTCGACACTAATATGCCTGTCTGAATCCTTGCATTGGTACTCCTCCTCTTGTATGGGGCTGTCCATAATCAACTGTCGCGAATTGCCCCCGCCCATGGTCAGCGCTGACAGGCTCTGAATTAAAGCGCCCGGGTCCAGGCTGTGGCGCGACCGCGACAGAATTTTGTGGATGGTGCTTGGCGGTGACTCCAGCGCCTCTCGGCCAAACAGACGGGCGATGCACTGGTCGCAGCCGCGGCCCTCCTTGGCCTCGGTCGACTCCTGGGCAACAAACACAATGTTCTTGCGCGAGCACCCGTTGCACACAATCTTACCACAGGCGCGACAGTGATGCTTGCGCACAAAGAGCGAGAAGTCGCGGAAGCAGATGTAGCACCGCTCGGCACTCTCATCGGGGTCCCATACTGGCGCGTCAAAGTTCTCGGCCACGCGTGGGAACTGCATCATTGTGCTCCGCCGCGCCCGTGCAATGCGCCGCTTCAGGGAGCTGTCCATCTGCAGCGTGTCGCGCGCCTCACGCCGCTCAGTGATTGCCCGCATGAGCGCCTGCATCCACGCCAGCTTCTCGGATGCCGAGCTCGTGTACACGATGAACGATTTCTCGCGGCTGATGATTGTAAACTGGTTTCGGCAGTCCGGCGCGTCGGGAACGTCCATAACCTTGCAGTCCTCCAGCGGAACGCGCCGGTGGCCGGATTGGTCGTCGCTTAGCGGCGCGGGGCTGCTCGAGTACAGCAAGATGTCGCTGAACAGGTAGAAATTCCGCAGCTGGTGGTTCTTGCGGCAGATCTTGCTCAGTGTCCCTGTCTTGATCAGCCGCCGGCCGGGGACCAGCAGCGACTCCTTCAGACCGAGCATGCGCTGGATCTCAATTATGCTCAGTGTCATCTCGTGCTCCTGGATGTTCTCGTTGACAAACGTCGCGACATCTTCGATTGTGCGCAGCGCGTCGCCGATGTTTTGGTGGTCAACATGTGTCTCCGGCGTGTGCTTGAGCAGGTCCTCAAGCAGCATCTTGTACCGCGGGATGCGCTGAACGGGGAGCAGCAGGTAGCTCTGGAAAGCCAGGCTCTTGCACTCGGGGTTTGAATTTGCCTGCTGAATGAACTGTGCAAACTCGTGGTTCGAGCTCAGCCAGCGACTGATATCCGCGAGGGCGCTGCGGAAATTGCGCAAGTACAGAGAGTACATCTTGAGGAACGGCGCGATGCGCAGGAATATGTCGCCCACGCGCCCGGTATCTGCGTCCCACGGCGGGCTTGCATTTGGCCCCAACCGGGACTCGAGCTGGTACAATAGCTCGCGGCTGAGCATGATAATATCAGGAAAGTTGGCAAACAACTGCCGCACCTCCTTGCGCGACAGAATAGCCGTTGGCTGCTGCGCTGACAGCAAAAGCGGAGTGATGTACAGCTACATGGAATAAGCGTTTTGGAATGGAAGACGTGACAGGACGGTCGCAAGTTAGCGCAATGTTGCCAAGCCCGGGGGGTGAGCAGCGAAAAAAAAGAAGTAAACAAATAAATTTTTTTGGGCCCTTTGTCCGATTTGCAATGCATTAAATTTTTGCTTTGCAAATGAGCTCATCGTCAAATGCCCAAAAAAACAGCTGTCCCCAAAAGCACAAAACGAGAAATTAAACACCGCCCATGCGCAATTGTTCCGCCATCTTACCTTTTCAATGAGTCCAAGACCGTCAACATACGTGCGTTCAGTTTCTAGTATTTCAGCAGCAATGTTTGCCCGTTTGCTTGACCGCTGCGTCCGCGTGCGTTCGGTGTTCGCATCGGCTACTGTGATGCTGCTGTTTGTACTGGTGCCGTTGCTGGTGTCTTCGGCCATCATTTTTGGATGATTCTGTTAAAGTGTGCGCTGTAAAAAAGTGCTCGCCGTGCTGTGTGAAAGAAAGAGAGAGAAAAAACCAGGTGCAAAAAGAGATGGATGAATGGATGAAATGTGATATATAATGAAATGTGTCTCCGAAGAATAGAGTGAGTGTGACCGGCAAGTTTAGAGTAAGAAAAATGGGTTTATATCGCTAATGTATGAGCAAGTTTGTCTAAATGTCTGGCGTAAGTGTGCGGATGTGTGTGCGCTCGCTTTGGTAGACAGAGCATGAATGTTTAAATAAATATTATTAGTGACGAATAAAATAAAAAACAGCCACCTAAAAGGAAAGAGTTTGAACTAGTATCGACAAAGTTGCTGCGAATGTATTCAGCACTTCAAGTGGACAATAAACAAAAAAGGGTAAATTATATGTGGTACTTTAAGACAGAAAAAAGTTGCTGCTACAAGAGGCATCGACAAAAACTAGACAAAACTAGACAAAAAGTACAAGGTAAACAAATATCGTAAAGTGGAAAGGTGGGAAAGTTGGCTAAATAAACTAAAGAAAAATAGGAGAGCGGAGAGAAAAAAAACTATCATTTCCGACTCCTGCTCTCTTTTGTCTGCCACTTGCTGCATACCCCCCGACCATCGTTCGAACGCAGCCATGACGGAGGGTGAAAAAATGGTCTTACAAAAACAAAGACCGGTTTTGACACCAAATACTCACAATTTATCACGCCCTTTCCTGCTTCTGGCTCTGCAAATCGTAGATGCCCAGGTTGGCCAACACCCAAATGTGGCGGAGAAAGACACGCAATAAGCGCAATAAAGGCGGGGGAGGCGTGTATGAGCGTCAGCGCCGATTGCAAGGCTGCTGTCTAACACAAAACAAAAGGAATTTTGCAATGTTTTGCGAAGCCGCGCAAACAGCTTCTTGTTTGTTGATATTCGAGTTACAATTGTTTTTTTTCTTCTGAGACAATCATCGAAACTTTGTGCGCGCAGTGTTTTGTGTCCCTCTTCCTTTCTTATAAAATTGATTTAGACCGCTTGAAACAATGTTCCTTGGCTGTGCCACTACTGCTCGCTACTCGTTGACATGCGTTTGCTGAGAAGCAGTAGTGTGCAAAGTAAACATTGGCCGCAAAAAACAAGTGCCATATTTGAAGAGCGCAGTTTACTTGTTTTGTTTCACACCCCCGCATCGCAGCTCATTGATCATCATAGAATGATGGGCTAGCCTAACCCGGCCTAACTTGCGTCTGATCTGGTCTGACATAACCAGACGCAAGGCTGCATTGAATCGCATATTCTGCGCTGGCCATACAATAACCAGTGTTTGATATGTTGCTGCTCCGGCCTTGAAGAACCCAATCGGCCACCGCGCGGGGGTTGATAGTGGGAGCTCGATTTAAAACACAATTAGAATCACGGACTATAATGTGCTTTGCGTTTTGGTGCTTCGTATGACAGTTTCATCAAGTCATTAAATCACAAAATGCTCACTTTGTACATTGCTTAACCCACAAAAAGCCCGCCGTCCTCTCCAGTCAAATTATTAGAGTGCAAGATGTGGATGTATATAAATATTGCTGTTCCCAATCATATTCAGACTATGAAAAAAGAAAAAGGCAAAACAAACTACATCCGGGAGGGAATGGCGCAGCGTCGAAGAGAATTACTGCGCCAGAAGCACCTAGTTCTCAATCTAGTTCTCAGTCTTGAGGATATCCGAGTCACCGGCATCGAGGATGGACAGAGTGCCGACGCGGAAGTACTTACCGCAGGCAGTGCCCAGATCGATGTTGTCTACAAGGAAAAAAATAAGAACACAAAAAATAAAAAAGCTGGCAATGTTAGCGACCGGAAAAACAAAATGTACGTCCAAAATAAAGCAATAGTGTCGTATTTGGTTGTGGATACTTACTGCCGCCGAAGTGGTGGACGCTGGTCTTGGCGAGCATAGCGTAGTACTCGATCTCAGACTTGCGCAGAGGAGGAGTGTTGCCCGAGATGATGACCAGCTTGGCCTTGCCGTTGCGGAGGGTCTTCAGGGTCGACTTGTAACCGAGAGTAGACTTGCCGCTCTTCATGACAAGAGCGAGGCGGGAGTTGATGGAGTCACCGGACGACTATAATTTAAGAAATTAATGGCAAGATATAAAGACAGTTAGCAAAACAGGCGCTGTTGGCATAGACATAAACAAGGCAAACAGGTGCTTCGTTTTGTAAAGCAGGTAGCACGCTGAGAAGCACAATAAAAGATGGTACGGCACGGCATCCAAGTAGCAAGTAGTCAAACGGCACACAAATGGCAAGGGCCCATCCCGAGCCAACAGAGGGCGCGCGCATATAGAGGCACAGGGCATCGGAGCCTGCCACTGCTCGACAATTGTCTGCCCCTTACAACACAGCGCATGCTGTCTCAGAAAACGCGCCTGCTGAGTCGTCAACTTTGCACAAGGCTTGCAGACATAAATGACCTGGCTAAGGTCTAAAAAGGGTCATACAATCGCCCGCAGGGCCATTTATTTCAGGATCCCTTAAGCTCCTCTAAGCTCAACAAAAAAGCAAAGAACGACTTGTGCGCTGCTGTGCTGTGGTCTAAATGCGAGCAGGCGCAAGTAAAACAAGACTGCCAACTGGGCAAACTAGATTTGTCCTGCAATCGTTGTTGATTTTTTAGAATTGCTGCCGATTACGCTGCAACGTGCCGTCTGCCATGTCCGGATTCTGTTCCTTGTGCTTCCCAGAAATATACACAAAAACTGTTTGGCGGGTCTAGACACTTACGGTCTTCTTCGAGGGGGCCATTGCTACTAGATTTTAGTTATAAAAAATGAATTTCTCGGTTGGTACGAACAGAGGGAAAAAGGAGGTGCCTCCTTAGTTTTAAGCCCACCACTTTGTTAAGTACAGCTTGATCCTTTTTCGCCCCCTGCCCCACCCTCGCAAAAAAAATTCACTCTTTTTTTCGCTCCAATTTTCGGCACGCTTGATACTTAAATTTATTTATCAAGCGCGCGATTGCGCTGCCTCGCGAAAATCCGCGCCCGCCCGCAAGCCAGCCAGCCAGAAAGCAAGCAAGGCAAAAGCCGGCAAAAAAATCGCGGCGCACACTGAGCGGCTCTGGCGAAAAATTTTAGGCTGGGCAGTTTAACTTCGCTCGAGCCGCCCGAGCCACCATTGACCAAGCTGCAGCTCGCCAAATTCAGCTTGCCCAACCCGCAAGTTATCACGTGGAAACTAAAATATACAGGTGACTCTGCTGTGATTGGCTACGGGTTGACCTGATCGCAACGCGCAGTTTTTGGCACTTCTGCAGCTCAGCGCCCAACCCCTCACACGCCTCATATTCCCCGGCTTTATCAGTATTTGTCGTAGGCCTCCCTGCTGCGTCATTTCGCTTTCTGCAAACGCACGCGCGCCAGTTGGCAGCCAGGAAACGCCAGCGAGCGGGACGAGCAAGAACGCGTTTTTTGAAGAAGGCGCGCGGAGTAAAGCAAAAATTCAATTGCCCGCAGCGTCATAATTACTTTGTGGACGAGATTATGCATGCCTGAGAGTTTGTGCGAGAGTTGACAACAAACGAGGGTCTGTTGTTGTTTTCTGGCCCTATACCGGCCCTTGCCCCTTTTCGACTTTTTTATTTGCTTCTTTTTTTCCTCCAATCTTTTATTTCTCAAAAATATATTTTCAATTTAGAGCGCCTCGATAACCCTTGTATAAATCAAAACGCTATTATTTTTTACTCAGCGCAGACAAGTGGGACGCGTTGTATCACACACATATATCCTCCTATACCCGGGCAGCTCGAACGCCGGTACAACTATTCGGCATTCGGTTTACACACTCGTTCTTCACCATCAAAAAGCGCGCATATAACCCGGCTTGGTCTGAATTTACTGTTGCAGACCCGAGCGAACAAACAAACACACATATTGTACAGCGGGATCGATAAGACAATATATCGGACACACTATTGCCAAAACCCGCATTCTATCGAGGACAAAAATGGTTCTGAGTTCGTACGAGCCAGGCACGCTGTGCTGGGCCAAGCTGAAGGGATATCCGTGGTGGCCATCTCGGGTAAGTGCCTTTTTACGTTCTTGTTTGCATGCCCCGACTACACGTTGCTAATTTGCCACTCTGACACTGACCACGGTTCATGCCATGCTGTCGCTTTGCTTTGAAGTCGCTGAGTACTGACAAATCCCAAGTTTCCTTACTTTTGTGCTTATCGCTCTGCGTCTGTAGATAGAAAGAGAGGTCGATCTTACGGCGGAGGTGTTGGATAGCAAGCCGCGCAATGGCCGTGTGTACCCTGTTCTTTTCTTTGGCTCGCTCGACTAGTAAGTGTATATATTTGGACAATGGCGCAGGATGTGCGCGATGAAGATCTGAGGCGTCGTGTGTTTATTTTTTATCCATTTACGCAATCGGATTTGTGTGCTGGCCGCTCGAATTCTGAGCCACTCGGATCTTCAATGCGACAATCAATTGAACCTATCCATTACTCGATTTACTAATTGCTCTTTTGGAATGATTCTTCAAAACTCCGCCTCTCATTAGTGCCTGGATCACCCCCGAAAACTTGGAGCCTTACGAGGAGAATCTCGTGAAACACGGCAGCAAGGCCAAAAACCGCAAGGATCCCTCGTTCTCGGACGCGCTAAAACAAGCGGTGAATCCAAAGATTGCAGAGAATATCATGAAGCGCAATGCGACGGCGGCGGCAGTTAGCGACGACGTGGAGGATGAGGTTGAAGAGCCCGCACACTCAGATTCTGACGTGGAGATGCAGTCTGTAGACTCTGACGCCCACACGCCAGTAAAGCCAAAAGCGGGCCGGAGAGCACTAGGAAACAACGGGAAGACGAGAAAGACTACCACAGGCAACAAGCGGACCAGCATCGGCAGCAACTCTTCTGGAGACGAGGTAGATGCAAAGGCGATGCCCAAGCGATCCCGCACCATTGCCACCAAAGATGACAGCACGTCTAACAACGGATCTCCGGGCGACAACGGCAGGCGAGACAGCGATGACTCGCGATCGCTGGCCAAGGACTCGCCGCGCTCTGGCTCGCCAAGCGGCCACCCGTCACCCGAGTACAAATCCGGCACGAGTAAGGACGACGACAAGAATGACCGCTCCAGCAAGGGCGGCAGTCAGCATCTCAAGAACCGCAGCAAGGCGTATCAATTCTGCATGCAGCTTCGGCACCGCTTGCAAAAGACAGTCATCAAGGGTACTATGCCCGAGGATCTGACTCCAGTGCATGAGGTGTTTAAAAAGCTCGAGGAATTCGACATGACGCTGGAGCTGATCCAGGAGACAAAGATGGGCAAGGTTATGCGGGTTATCGCAGGATCCGATCGGCTGGGTGACGCGCCAGAAGAAGCGTTTGACATTAAGGGCCGGGCCCGACGACTGGCAGAAAAGTGGAGGCGAACGATCGTTAAGCGGCGGGACGGCTCGACAGAACCCAACGCGCCCGAATCACCATCCGGAGGAAAGACCCTAGACGCAGATCACCAAGACTTGGAGCGCGACCCTAGCAGCGCCAATGCCAATGCAAAGACGGAGTCTGAACCTGTTGCCGGTGCAGGCGATAAACAGTTGGCGATCCCCGCCGCCGAAACCGCCCCGGTTGGGGTGACTAGCGACAAAGGCACAAACGGAATGATGGACGCGGCAGATGATGCTGCTAGTGCTGCAGGAAAACCGGAGCAACAGCAGCCGCTGGCGGCAGGCTCTGAATGAAAGAACAATATCTATCTGCCAGGGTTACCCACTGCTTCCTGGACGACCAAAAGTCTTTTTTTGTTTTCACATATAGTCCATTCTATCCTTGACTCCATTTAAAGAATTTAGACCAGTGCCTATGACTCGCGAGTAACTGATATGATCAACAGTCGGGAAATTTGACGGCCTGCATTGATTTGATTTGTATTAATTAAGCGCCGCATACTTGCAGGCGAAAAAAAGGTAGGGGGAGAGAGACATGGTTTTGCGCAACGTATTTGCTTTATTGTGTTTTTGCACTCTTTCATTTCCATTTATTTCCTTTATTGACTAGAAATCTTTATTTTTAAACTCACTCAGTATTACTTTACGCATATCAGCCATGGATAATGTAGGCAACCCCGCTGAGGACAACAACAGCAACAACAGCGCCGCCGCTGCCGCTGAGGACAACAGCAACAGCGCCGCCGCCGCCGCTGCCAATAACCAAGATGTGAAGGACGAGAAGCCCGAGACTGAGCATATCAACATCAAGGTCGTTGCAGCTGTAAGTATCGCACAACCTCCCCTGATGCATCTCACTCTTTAAAGACATACAAATACAACAGCATGTTTCATAACCTGGGTTCAACATTTCGAGCGCACATTTGAATCGCATTGATTTGTCCGCAGCAGGCACATTTCTTACTAACACGCTTCCGGGCAAAAAAAACGCGTGAAAATGGTGTTTGTAATCGCAATAGGACTCCTCAGAGGTTATGTTCAAGATTAAGCGCAAGACCAAGCTGTCGAAACTGATGCAGGCATACTGCAGTCGTGCCGGACAGGCGTTTGGCACTGTTCGCTTCCTGGTCGATGGCCAGCGCATCAATGGCGACAACACTCCCGAAGAGTTGGAAATGGAGGACGGCGACTCGATTGACGCGATGACAGAGCAGGTTGGCGGAAGCTACTAGGGGGTGGAAAGAGCAATATGAGTAATTTGGACAGAACATTTTTTTCTTGATGGCCATGTCCATCTCTCTATTTTTTCTCCTTATTGTGCAGCCTACGAGTATTGTTATGCTGCTTCACAAAAACATTGAAAATAAAAAGCCAATCGCATCAAAACCTGCATTTGCTACCGTGAGCCCGGCCTTGTGTGTTTACTGCTGGTGCTACTATGCGTAGACTGCATCGATTTTTATTAAGAGGAACGCAAATATAAAATATATATTAGTGTTTGAGTCTTCCACATTACATGCGCTCGATGGGAGTCAGACCAATAAGGGTGAGGGCGTTGCCGATGATAATGCGGACGCTGTGGTACATCAGCAGACGGGCCTCGGCAATGTCGTCGGGCTGGCCAACCACGCGCATGTTCTCCAGGGCGGCCGAAGTGGCATGGGTGAGCTTCAAGATGTACTGCACAATGTTGCAGGGCTCGAGCGACTGCAGGGCACCGGCGAGGATCTCGGGGTAGCGCGCGATGAGGTTGATAAGCTCGCGAGCGTGCTCCTCAGTGAGCAGCGAGGTGTCGGCCTCGAGGTTGATTCCGACACTGGCGCGGCGCTCGATCGAGCACAGGCGGGCGTGGGCATACTGGATGTATGGTCCGGTGTCGCCCTCAAAGTTGAGGATGCGGTCCCAGTTGAAGTCGTAGTCCTTGATGCGCTTGGCCATCATGTCCTGAACGACAATGGCCGAGATGCCGAGCTTGTCGGCGACATCCTCGGGATCGGGGACCTGCGCGTACTTGGCCTCATTTTCACGCATAACATTGTGCATGTTCTCCTTGCAGTCGCGGAGCATGTCGTCAAGGAAGACAACGGTGCCTCTGCGCGTGCTCATGCCCTTGACCAGGCCGTAGTTGATGTGCTGGAAGCGGTCGGCGTAGGGCAGGTCGAGAAGCTCGATAGTCTTGAAGAGCTGCTTCAAGTGCAGATCCTGCTGCGAGGCAACAACGTAGATGATCTTGTCAAATTTGTACTGCTCATAGCGCTCGATGGCCGCGCCGATATCGCGGGTCAGGTAGAGAGCAGTGCCGTCGCTCTTCTGTACGAGGACCCTCTCGAGCTTGTACTTCTCCAGGTCAATCAGCAGCGCACCCTTGTCCTCGACCAGAAGGCCGGCATCGTAAAGCATCTTCATCGCACGGCGCATGCCGTCGTCGACCTGGGACTCTCCCGAGTAGACGTCAAAGTCGATGCTGAGGCGCGCGTAGATGTCTTTGTACTTGACAATGCTGAGATCGCGGAAGCGCTGCCACAGAGCCAGGGCGTCCTCCTCGCGGTCCTCCATCTTCTTAAAATAGGCGCGGGCCTGGTCGTGGATCGTCGGGTCCTCCTCAGCGTCCTTGTTGATAGCCACGTAAACATCGTACAGATGCTTGATCGGGTCCTCGACAAGCTTCTCCTCGGAGCCGTAACGGCCGTAGCCAATAGCCAGGAGACCATACTGCTTGCCCCAGTCTCCCAGGTAGTTCATTGAAATGGTGTCCCAGCCATGCGCCTTGTACAGGTTAGTGATGAAGTTTCCGATGATGGTGCTGCGCAGATGGCCGGCGTGGAAGGGCTTGGCGATGTTGGGGGAGCTGAACTCGACAATGACGCGCTTTCCAGCGCCCTCGTTGGTCCATCCGTACCGGGGGCCCTCAGTGGCGACGGTGGTGAGGACCTTTTTGGCGAAAGAGTCGCGGTTAATGCGGAAGTTGAGGTAGGGGCCCGTGGCAAGCGCGGACGAAATCTGCTCGTTGGCCACAAAGGCCTCGGCCCAGGTCTTGGCCAGCTGGACGGGGTTTCCCTTCACGCGCAGGCGGGGAACGGCAATGGCCAGGTCACCGTGCGTGTTGATCTTGGGGATCTCGATGGCCGAGCTGACAATGCTGTCGGACACGCCGGACAGCGAGGCCATCTGGCTGGTGATAGCGTTTTTGTACTCGTCAAACATGATTAGTCTGCGCGGGCGGATCTGTGTTTTTTGACTGAAGGCTACAACGGTGGCGGCGGTGCTGGTGATCGCGGTGGTAGTGAAAAGGCGAAGCGACTGTTTGGCGACGAGGGGAGAAAGAATAGCCAGTTTGGTATGTTTAGTATGCGGCGGTTATATTATTGTTTGCCTAATTGCAAGCGCGAAATGGTGGCCGATTGAAATAATAGTGGTATAGAGCTAACGTGAAAACGAAAAAAAAAAATATACTTGAATTCAAGAAAGCGAAAAAAAAGAACCGCAAAGCTGGGCGTGAGATATTTAAAGCCGCAGGCGTAAAAAAATTTTACCACATAAAAATTGAGGAAAATCACTTTGAATTTGGCAGGAGATCTCAAATCAGTCACAACCAATTCCACTCAAAAAATCTCAATATTTTATAGTCACTGCCTTTTATTTCGCACGCCTTTCTTTGTACAGTCTGCGATAAACAACGGGTGCTGACGAGCCACCATCCTATACAGTTTAAAGCGCGGCAAGATGAACGTAGAGCGCTAGATAGTGCGCTTGTGTGTTGCAACAAGGAAATATATATTCTTTTAGTTCTCTTTGCAGCCTGTATTTCTTTTATCCATCGCCAATACTTTCGTATATTTTTATCTCTGCATTCTTGTTGCGCAAAAACATTAGCACTGCACGCCAACAACATGACCGATCAACACGATCAAAATGCACAACCGCTGCTAACGCTCTATCTCGTCCGCCACGGCGAAACTGAGGTCAACCGACGGAACTGCGTGCAGGGCAAGCGCGTTGACCCGCCGCTTAACGAACGCGGGCAAATCCAAGCGATGTACACCGGAAAGCGGTTTAAAAACATTGCAGTTGATTGGGTGGTGACGTCGGAGGCGCTACGGGCCAAGGAGACTGGCGCTGCCATCAGCAACCACCACATCAACGCACCAGTTAGCCACTTTGGTGCGCTGAACGAGCTGGAGTTTGGCGATCTCGAGGGTACGCACGTAACTGCGGGGTACAACGACCTTATCATCCGGTGGGACGTCGACCACAATACTGATCTGGCTGCGCCGGGCGCACAGGGCGAATCGCCGGCGGACTGCGAGCGGCGCGCAATGCCCTGTATGGTAGATATCGCCCAGCAGGCGGTGGCCGAGGGGCGAAGGCACGTATGCGTTGTTGTGCACTCACGACTGATCCAGATCGTGCTGGCCAGCATGCTTGACGGCTCGCTGGCGACCATGGAGGCGTACAAGCAGAAGAAGGCCGCTGTCAATGTGGTCAACGTGCTCAGGCGCCTTGATTCAAGCATGTGGCCATTCAATTGCGTTGCGCGCGAGGTGAGCAGCGTCACACATCTTCCCGAGGACGTTGTCTCGCGTGTTTCCAGCGCTACCAGTCTGAACAGCCGGAATCCGAAGGACGAGCGCATCCGCTTCGAGACAGATGCCAGCGGCATTCTGGTGCTGAGGCATCTGTGAGACACGGTTGAAGTATGAGCATGTGTGGAGACGTCGCTTTACCGCTTGAAGCGAAATGAAACAGGGCGGGGATACGGCGTGTCAAAATGCGGAGACCGGAATCTGGGGAGCGGAGAATGGAGAATGGCGGCAGTAGGCAGCAATACAAAGAATGACCTAGCAACGTTTTTTGTGTGCAGCCTGCCCCCCTTGTTATGTCTGCATTTTAGTTAGTCGCAGTAGTTGTTGTCATGAAAAATAGCGATACTAATCGCAATGGCAATGGTCCTACGCTTGCTAACACTAACATTCCTTGCCTTCTCCGCGCGCTGGTAGCAATAATTTGCCGCATCGCAATGGGCTCATTGCCGCATGCCTGCTTCTGTCGGGCGTGTCTAGTGTCTTTCTTCTTCTCTTTTTTCGCTTTCTGCACATTTAACTCTTTTATCCTCATTTTGCATACTTTATATTATATATATTCACAGCCTGATACTCTTTCATCGGTCGACTATTCTCATATATTAATCGTCTGTCAAACTAGCTGCTAATACCTACCGCCGGTTTCAATCGATTGTTCATTTCCAGAATTGATTTTTTTCAGCAGGTAAGTTTATTCCCGTTTTTATATCGTGTTTCTTTTCTCGCTTGTCCCTATCAAAGCCATGAAAACGACGCAAATCGGTTGCACTGTCCATACCGCTCAATACATCAACTACAGCCACTGTTTATGTGTCACTCAATGCCTTCAGCTTTCTAGCCAGCGGCTGCCAATTGCCCCTAAAACGCATTACCCTGCTCGTATTCTGTGTTTGCATCCGCGTCTATGCCTAACGCCCCCTTTCAATTAAGATCTTGTAATGTTTGTAATATGCATAATGAATGGCCCCTTCTTAGATAGCCCGTTCTTTACTCTCCATGTCACTGTGTGGCTTGAAAACATGCCACAAATCCCTCAACTGGTCTGGCTGCGCCTCTTTATTTGGCAAAACAAAGCCTGAAGCATTCATAGGCCATACAAAAGGTCTAATTGTAAAGCACTGTCCGACTGCTTTTTTTTTTACCTTTGGCACAACATGAGCCAAAGTTCATAATGTCCAAATACTATCAATTCCTTGATTCCTTGTGCCTGGCCTTGCATCCACCTCATTACCTCCTCATCTTCTTTGATAAACGGTTGTGACCTCGCCAATATCTCAGCTGGTTCTTCTTTGGCCCATGGCCAATACAGTAGCCAACAGAGGCACAGCATATCGGGGGGATATAATGATGTTTTTGGCCTTCCTCATTCGCAATGTATATTGCGACCAGTAGAGCCAATTGTTGCTGCTATTACTTTTATTCACCCGCCTTTGTTTTGATTTGTTTAAATTGATATTTTCAGCCTTATTCTGTTTTTTTTGACTGCACACTGCAAATAAAGTTAATTTTCAATATTTTCAGTTCACTTTGCCAAGCCAGCTTTCAATCTTATTTCTGCCTTGCTGTCGCCGCAAAAACAGCCTTTGTGTATCGGCCATGCAAGTCCTTTTTAATCCTGTCGTTGCCATCGGTCCATCCAATCTTATTCTATTTCATGCTGGCTCCGTTGGTTTGTTTTCCTATTTTCGCCGTCATCGAGCAGTTCCTCTCCCCCTTTTATGCAGCATACGCGCTTATTTACTTTTTTATTTTATTTTATTGACTGCCCGCCAGCCAGCCCGCATGTTTGTGTTTTTGTTGCATTCATACTAGCTCCATTTTTTTCTCGCTCTATTCTTTATTTTTTTGTTGTTGTGCCAGCTTTTCTTCCTTCACTGCTCTTTTTTGTTTTGCACCTTCTTTTCTGTTCTTGTTATACCTTACCTATATTATATTTTTTTTCTCACACACGCCTTTCCCTCCTCCCACTTTCTTTTTTTTAACCCTTTTTTATACTCTTTGGACTTTAATAGTCGACGCTATAAACAAAAAAAGCAAACCAGCTTCACTCTCCTGAAATGTCCGCTACTGACGCAAACGGTTCGACCAAGTCCACGACTGTGGCCAACGGAGGCATTGGAATTGCCAATCTGCCCAATCAGCTGCACAAGATTGTCACCAAGAAGGGTACCAACTTTTCTCTGATGGTCGTCGGTGAGTCCGGCACAGGTAAGACCACCTTTATCAACACCCTGCTGACCACTGAGCTCATTGAGCCCCTGGAGGATGCCGCGCGCCGCAAGAAGCAGATGGACAAGACTGTCGACATCAACATCCACAAGGCCGAGCTCGAGGAGAAGATGTTCAATGTGAAGCTCAATGTCGTGGACACCCCGGGATTCGGCGACTACGTTGACAACAACGACTGCTGGCTGCCGGTCGTCGATTTCATTGAGAACCAGTACGAGCAGTACCTGCGCCAGGAGCAGCAGCCGGTGCGCAAGGGCATTGTTGACATGCGCGTTCACGCCTGCCTGTACTTTATCCGTCCCAACGGCCACACGTAAGTATCTGATTGAAAGTAGCAACTACCCGCGCTGATTTTTTGAAACACAATGAAGCTAGCCCATATATGGAGTGAGACCTATTGTTACGCTTGTGATTCGTTTGAGACTCGCTTTTACTAACAAGCACTGCCAAGTTGTTATCGCATTATGTGTGTAGTCTTAAGCCACTGGATGTGCGTGCCATGAAGGCGATTGGCGCCCGCGTCAACCTGATCCCTGTCATTGCCAAGGCCGACACCCTGTCTCCAGCGGCGCTGCGGCAGTTCAAGAAGCGTGTGATGGACGTCATTGACGCGCAGAGCATCCGCATATACCAGCCGCCGGTCGACAGCGACGACGAGTACACGATGGCGCGCAACAAGGATATCATTTCGGCCGTGCCCTTTGCCATCATTGGCAGCGTGCAGGAGGTCAAGACGCAGGACGGTCGCATGGTCAGGGGCCGCCAATACCCCTGGGGTGTTGCCGAGGTCGAGAACGACCAGCACTGCGACTTTAAGAAGCTGCGCAGCCTGTTGATCCGCACTCACATGCTTGATCTGATCTCGACCACCGAGGAGGTGCACTATGACAAGTACCGGACTACGCAGATGAAGACGCGCAAGTTTGGCGAGCCCAAGCCTAGAAAGGCCGATAACAAGAAGTTCCGCGAGGAGGAGGAGATGCTGCGCAAGCGTTTTACCGAGAAAGTTAAGCTGGAGGAGAACCGCTTCCGCCAGTGGGAGCAGAAGCTGATTGCTGAGCGTGATCGCCTGAACAAGGATCTCGAGCAGGAGCACAACTTGGTCAAGCAGTTGGAGAGCGAGATTGAGGCTATTGCTAGTGTCAACTCGCCTAATGGAAAGTTCTTCCGCAAGTAAGATGTTTTAAGCGCATTATTGTTCCTTCTTTCTTTCTTTTTTTCTCCACAAATTTTTTTCCCACTAATTTCATAAATTTAGCTCACTACTTTAGCCTGGCTTCTTTCATTTACAGTTTCTAAAGGCACATTATTCACATTAAATCTTTTTTATAAAAGTATCAAGTACGCTTGTGAAAACATGTAAAAGCGCATATATGCGTATGCGTATGCGTATGCGTATGCGTATGCGTATGTGTATGTCATTTGTCAGAGACATGTGGATTTTTCATTGGCGAGTCGAGCTGGCGAGTCACGATCAGCGGGACAGATATTGGCCAAACAAAAAAATGCCAGGAAAATTTTGGGTGCTGTGACCTGCTGGAAAAAAAATCAACTTATTGTGTCGTACAAGCCCGCAGCAAGCGATGCAAAAACTTATGCAACACTTTTCTCTTTGACTCGTCAACACTCAATAATATATTATTTTCCTACTTTTACAACCCTTTTTTTTTTTTAAAAATAACATGGCATACTGGGAAGAGACTAGCGAACGCAGACGCGCGCCACAGAGCATGGCACTGGACACACGGATACAGCGCACCTACAAGGGCAAAATAATCAAGCAGCGTATTGAAAGAAACCAAACCTCCAACGTAAAGAGAAAGTTCTTCAAGGAGCTCAAAAGGGAGGGCATAGACACCAACGATATGCACAGAAGCAAAAGAAACCATGTTAATCAGGATGCTGACGTTGACCCTGCTGCTACGGCCGACTCTGCTGAACGCAGCCGGCCTGAGCATGCGCCGCGTCCGCCGCGCGCCAATCCATTCCAGAAACTGTTGAAGGAGCGTGATCAGGTGAAGCAGCAGCGGGAGGAGGAGCGGAAACGGAGGGATATTGAGGTTCGCCAGAATGAACAGCGGAGGAGCAAGTGTATGCATGTGCGCAAGGAGGAACGCAAAAAGTTCACTGCTCGCACTAAGCGTGGCCAGCCCGTCTTGTCGAACCAAATTGGTAGCCTGCTGGATAAGATCAAGCGCGGATAAAGCGGCAAAAAAATTGTATATTCGTGGGAGAGAGAATCTTTTTTTTGATTTTGTGGTCTTGTACTTGTCCGTCACATTTGAAAAATAAAATATATATAATCATTTATTGATTCAACATTTATGCAGTTTTAAAGTGCTGGCAGATCGGGCACATCATCCTCAAAGTATGCCCACATTGGAACTGAAATTGGGGATGCAGTTGTACTTTGGGCCGAGAGTTGGTGGTTGTAGGACTGATCTCTGCTGCATGCGGTACTTGCAATACCTGCGTTGGATGTCTCGAATATGGTACCACTGATATCTGCTTTCTGCTGTCTAAAGCCTTTCAGGCCAGAAAAGGCTAACAGCCGGTGCAATCCTCGGCGAACATATCCAAACCGCAGCTTGTGTTCTGGCATAGGAGATGAACTGTGTCTCTTATTCTGCCAGCGGCCTAGTAGCTTGGTGTTGTTCTGCGACAACTTCCGCATGATTGCCTCGAGAGCGGCGCATTTGTGCTTATAGTATGGCTGGGCATCCTCCAATTTGCGCAGACCAAAGAGCGACGCAATCCTCTCAGTCTCGTTGTTCCAGTGTGGCCGGCACATGTTGTACTCAACAGGCAAACTGACTTTGTTGCGGTAGGCAAAGCGCCAGCGCTTGACACCCTTGTCAGCCGGATACAGCATGTGGCAGTGGTCGCAGGCAACCAAGCTGTCTAGGCATGCTCGCAGATGATCTGGCAGCTCGTGTGGGTATTCTGCGTTTGTGTTGGCCATCTTGCAGACAATTGTCTCGACTAGCGAGGGAAAAGCGCTTTGGGTTGGCTTGCCGGACCCCAAATTGGAATTGTCAGGGCAGTTGCCATGTAGATCCCTCCTGAGAGGGCAACCGTCGAGCACCAGTTTTAGCATTTTGGGTCTATTGAGCGCGGCTATTCCGCCCTGTATGAACATCCGTGAGGCCAGACACTTGATCGGGTTGAGCGACAGATCGAGGATCTCCAAGGATGGAAGGTTGTGCAGACAGACGGGCACGCACTTGATCCGGTTATCGTACAGGTCTACCTTTTCGAGCGCGTGGAGATGGCGCACGGCACTAGGCAGGGTGCTCAGTCGATTGTAGCTGGCGTAGATGGCACGCAGCTCCCGGCAGTATGCAATGGTGGGCGGCAGCGACTCGATCTGGTTACTCGAGACATCAAGTATCTGCAGTCTGCGCAAATATCCAATTTCGTCCGGCAGAGTCCTGAGTACGTTGTTGGACAGATTGAGAATGGTAATATTGGATGCACACATGGCGATCCCCGGCAGCACCCGTGACAGGCGCCTGAAGGAGAGATTTGCAATTCCCTGCGCCATATCATCTGGGGATATATGGGCGATTTCATGTTGTATTGTTGATGCGGTCACATTAGCGGATTTGTTCAGTCTGCCCGTAGGAACATGGAGGCTCGCAATAGAGGAGCTTGCTGCATGCATAAAAGTGTTTACGGATACAGTGGCGTACGTATCCAGCGCCAGGCCGTCAGCTAAGCTACTGCTGTCACTGATGCTGTTTCTGATGCTGATGCCATCGCTGATGTCGATGCCGTCGCTGATGTTAGCGGTGCAGTCAGTGGCAACAGATTGTTCTTCATTTTCACTGCCGAGGCCGTGTGTCGCCTGGGCGACCATAGCGATGCCCACAACGACACTGTACGAGACATTAGTTGGCGGAGCCGTGTATTCCACCAATGAAGACTTGGCCACCTGGCCGCTCATTTTGCTGAAAAGGTTCATTTTTCCAGAATAGCTTTGTGTTGTCAGCCAAGTCGGTCTGACAGTAGTCTGAAGTCTTCGTTCGTTAGTTTAGATTTGTTGTTTGTCAGTTGGACGTGAGAAGAATGCAATCCGGAGACCGGCTCTAGATGCCAAGCAGTAGCGAAGACGTATAAAATGTACGGGAGATGGCAGTCGGCACAGGTCAGAGCGATATTTGGGCCTAGTGAAATAGAGAACACAGGATATTGATAGAGTCAGAGATGAATATATATATATATGCGGATCCTTGAGAAATAAAGTAACTGACAAGCAAAAAAAAGAAAGCCAAATGTGATATAATATGAAAAAGTAAAAAAAGAGACAAAACCAAGCAAAGCTAACATACAGACATGGACTGAAAAAGTGAATAAAATAAATACGCCGCTGTCACATTGTTCACAAAAAGAGAGAGGGGGAGAGAGCTGGACTTTGAATTGCCGAAGACAATTGTTCCTGAAATAAATATTGGCAGACGTCCAGACAAACAAACACACACATGCGTGGCCGCATATATGCGTTGATTTTATTCTTTTGTCACAAGCAAAAAAATTACAAAAATAACGCGGGGAGGCGCAAATGTTAACACGGGAGCAACGCATGCCAAAAAAAACTAAAGCGTGTGTGGGAAAGTGGTGAAACTGGATGAACAGATTGGAAAAATATAAAAAGGCAAGACACCCACAGATTCTGTTAACTGAAGGAGGATTTGGCCCACACGATGCGGATATGAGGCAAGGCGATCGTAGACACCTTGAAGCTGCATTATTATCAATAAAAGCCTAGAAGTCTCGGACATTGCAAAGGCTAACAAGTTTTTCACTAAATGTGCGTATTTTATTTATATAAGAAATAGAGAGAAAGAAGGGAACAGCAAGCATTACACCAGCAGCAGTGAGTTGATGCAGCCGTCGTTCTCGGGGTTGTTTGTGATCTGAGCGTACTTACCCCAAAGCACCTTACCGCCAGTGGTGACCAGACCGAGCTCAGCAACGTTGACCTCAATGATGGTTCCCTTGGTCAGCACACCGAGCTGCGTATACATGGGGCTCTGCGGGTTCTTCTTGACGCCAATAATGGGCAGCTCAAAGGTAGCCTTAAGCTCAGGGTGTGTGACATTAGCCTTCTTGTAGCGCAGGGCCATGGGCCGGATGAACCGCTCGTACTTTGGTGGCTTGCGTGTAAACCCATCTCCGACAAACGTGGGCTTTGTAACCATGCGCTTCCACGACTTTGACTTTGACTTTCCAGTCTTGACGACCTTGAACATCTCGTCCTCAGCAATACCGCGCACTCTGGGCAGGGGCACGTTCCACTTGCCAGCCTTCTCCTTCCGCTTCTGCTTGAGCATGTTGCTCAGCACCTTTGCCCGCTGCTGGCCCTCACGTTCGAGCAGGTACGCTGGAACAGCGCCATCGGGGACGGTATCGTCGTTCTTCTGCTTGGCATTCTTCTCGTCGTGCATCTTGATCGTCTTCTTCATTTGGATCTTCTCCGAATGCCTCTTCTTGTTGTACAGCTTAGCCTTCAGGCCGTGCACCTTTTGTGCAAACTCGGAGTCCTTGTGAACCTGTCTCGCCGCTCTCTTGCGCGTGCGCTCGGCGTGATCCATACGGCGACCGTGCCGTCTGATCGACTCCTCAATGTACTCGTTCTGCGGCTATTGTTTTTCATGGAGCAGAAAGGGTTTGAAGACAATAGCGGTGATGGTGATGGTAAAGTTGCTTAGCTTGTTTGTTTGCAAATGTATGTACATGTATATGTGCAAGTGGGCAGGCGCTATATGCAGCTGATGCGCATCCATGTAATCAACAAAAAATACGGTGTGCTTACCATTTTCTATTCAAAGCCGTGTGTGTGTGCGTTTGTTTGTGGCTGTGGGCGCTTGGTCGAACTAGAAGAGCTGGTTATGCTAGGCTAGAGTGGGAAAACAAAAATGGGAACTGTAAATAAGGAAATCAATTTGAATTATATGTAGGAACAAAAATAAATATACACCAACAAATTGAAATGAAACAAGAGCCAAGAGGTGTTACAAGCGAGTAAAAAAAAAGTAGACGAAACTATAAAGATGGAACTTTTTTTTTTCTTCATAGTTTTTTTTCGGTGAGCAAAGGGGGGTGAGAGTGCAAGCGTAAAAAAAGGCTTTGGAAGAAAAACAAAAAAATTCGTTAGATCAGCTAATCAAGACTGATCACAGCAGCGCACAAGTGCAAGTTACAAAAACATAAATGCACGTGCATCACACCTAAACTATGCTGCTTTTTCAGTTGGGGTATATTTTCTAAGAAAAATATGCGGCTACCCCCTTTATGTGCTTAATGCTGTGCAAAGGTTTTGGTTTCTTGTCTGTGTCCAGGGGGCAGTTGATTTGGCAGTGAAGTTTTCCTTACTGAGCCGGTCAGGTGCTGAAAAATATAAAAACCCGTGGATATTTATTGCTCAATTTTTGGAGCGGACGTTCAAGGTCTGCCAAACCCACCCCACCCCACCCACCAAACCACACACACAGAAACCACAACACATTTATTTATTTTGCTACACGGCTCCCCACACCCTTACCTACATGTCCGAGGATATCAAAAAAGGAAAGAAGAAACTGTTGGCTGTCGGCGTGCCAGCCACTCTGAACTTGAGAGCCGAGCTCGAACGTGCGCGCAGCGAGAGTAAACAGGGCAGCGGCAGCAATACTAGCGCCAGTGCAAATACCAAGAAAAAGGCAAGTTCCCAGTCACTGTTGCAGCTGGACGGGCACAACCGGGGGGTCCACAGCCGTGCCCAGAAGGATATTCTGGCTATGGAGGCTGACCAACCGTCGGAATCGCAAATGAATGCGCGCGTCAAACAGGCGCTCGAGGAAAAGGCCAAGATATACGATATGCTCACCAGTAAGCGAGGTATCGGCGCCGCTCAGCTCGATGATGAGCGCATATCCCAGATCCTGGACGAGAGCTCCGTTGATTTTGTTGGTATGCAGTGCGACAACTTGCAACATCATTGGAAAAAGAAGAAGAACCGGGAAAACAGGAGCGAGGAGATGGGTATGGATACGGAAGATATGGTGGAGATTGTCGATGAGTTTGGGCGCACGCGCATGGTGCCGCGCAGCAGAGCAAAAGAGTATAAAGGGGGTTATGAATCTGGGTCTGACTCTGGTAGCAATAGCGAGTCCAGTCTTAGCGACTCAGGCAGGCGCGCAGTGATAGCTGCTGCGCGCAGAGACCATGGCTCTGGCCACTACAGTTTATCTTTGGACCATGTTGAGCGCGAGGGGCAGCTCCTGGCATTGCGCCAACTGCATGATGAGACCGTGGCTGGCCGCGAGGCTGTGGCTGGCAGCATTGGTGAGAAGCAGCGGCAGCAGCTGGAGCAGCGGCGCGCTCAACTCCGGACATCTCGCGCAAGGGCGGCATTTAACGCGCAGCAAGCGCTGAAAACACAAGCAAAAAAATAAATATAACAAATGTTACATCATCTCCGTTGGTACAGTCAACGTTTTGGTTTTTTTTCGTACTTATTGTGTGCAAAAAAATTTTATTTAAGCTAAATTATCAACGCACGTGAGTGGGTCCCACGTAAAAACGAGATGTGGTCAAAGTGAATATTTAAAATAAATTTTTGGGGGGCAATTAATTCTTAGGCACGGCTTTTCAAAATAATAAACATTTAGGCTCTTGTTGTTATTTTCTTGTTTTCACTAGCAACTAAACTATAACTACACGGCCTCTAGTTAAAAATACTTTGCCACGACGAAACTAGGCACTTTTCAAGTCGCTATACGGACAGCAACACGTACGTAGGGCGGGTGGTAAATCACAAGCAAATAAGACAATGTTGGTGTTGACGTCGAGCGCGTAAATATTTATATTTCATATTTTGTCTGCCTGGAAACTAAAAAAACACAAAGTTTTAAAAATGTAGTATATCAAAAAAGCTTTTAGAAACCAGCATGGCGGAAGAAAAGAACAACCACAACAGCCCAATGGACATGAGCGGCATAAGTCAGAGCACGGATTCACCGCTACTATCCTCCATATTCAGTAGCATGGGAGGCGGCAATAGTGGGATGCTTGGAAGCGGGGTATCGACAAACGATAGTCTAGACCTATTGTCTATTCTTCCTAGTAGCAACAACAACAACAACAACAACAATGGTTCTGTAAACACCCTCGGCATAACACCGATGCCGTTGGATCCGGACATTGACCAGCTGATGAAGTCTCTGGGCGACATTAAGGACGCACCCAAGGTTACAGATGACGAACTGAATAAGCTGCTAGGAAGTATTAACGTGAGCTTTTCTAGCAGTATGCCGATGGGCTCGAACATGAGCAGCGTGAGTGATTCAGATTCACTGGCCGCGCTGGGCAGGGACTTGGGGATTGATTTGAGCTCACCCGTACCCATGTCGACATCGACACCATTGGCGGCTATGGGTGACGGTCTGTCTCTATCATCGTTTACGCCGTCCATGACGCATGGGGCATCGCAGGGGATGTTTGGCATCCAGAATACACCGTCGATGCCGGGCTCACCGGGGATGGCGGGGCATATGGCTAGGTCATCGCCTTCTGTGTCGCAGCAGGTGCAGTTCCGGCCGGCAACACCTAGGCCCTCACCCTTACTTCAGAGGCCGATGAGCAACCCCCAGGCAGCCCGGCGGCCACCGCCATCACAAACACCTCAGCCACAAACGCAGTCACAACCACAGCCACAATCACAGTCGCAGATGCAGACACACGCAAATGCCATGGAACCCAACAAGACACCTCAGCAACAGAGACCGGCAACTTCAAACACTAATGGGGCGCAAATGTCAGCAATGTCGGGATCGTCTATGATGCAGCAACAGCAACAGCAACAACAGCAACATCAAAATCAAATCTTACAGCAGCAACAGCGTCCCCAAAGGCCACAGAATCCCATGATGAACAACGTGAGGCCTGTAATGAGACCACCACACATTTCCCATGTTGGAAGTGGATCGAACCAGAGCCACAGCCAGCAGAAGTCGCCATCACCAGCCGGCAGCCCACGGTCAGGCTCTCCGGTTGCGCAGGCAAAGCCAGTGAGACCAGCGGCGACGGCGACAGCGACAGTGGCAACAACAGCGATCACCCAGCAGAAGCAGCAGCAAAATCAGCAGCAGCAACATATGTTTCAACAACAGCAACAGCAACAGCAACAGCAACAGCAACAGCAACAGCAACAGCAGCAACAGCAACAGCAACAGCAACAACAGCAACAGCAACAGCAACAACAACAACAACAACAACAACAACAACAAAGACCTCAGCAGATGCGTCCTGCAGTTAGGCCAGGGCCAGGGCCGGCAGTTGAACCGTCCAAATGGCTTGCGGCCACGATGAGCACGCTTCCAGCAGATAAGCAGGGGCAATTGGCAGGGTTGTTCCGCGGTCTGCAGGCGAAAACAGTGGATTTCCGAACGTTTGTTCGGGAGGCCGAAGGACTCATGGGTCCAAAGTTTCAAGACCTGCTTGCTTTGATGCGCAACCAAGGGCAGCGGCCAATAGGGCAGCAGCAGCATCACCCAGGACAGATGACTCAGCAACAGCAGCAACATCTGATGGGCGGGATGATGCGGCCAAACCACCCTTTGGGCGTGCACGCAGGGCAGACTGGGACAATGGACGTGGGCGGTGGGTCTGGGCAGCAGCAGCAGCAGCTTGGTGATGTGGGTCGCAACGCGGCGCTGATGCGACAGATGCTGGCTCACCAGCAGCAGCAACATCAGCAGCAACAACATCGGCAACAACAACAGCAGCAGCATGGTCAGAGTAACGAGGGATTCGGCGGGGCGGCAGTGGCTAGCGACATGATTCCACTGGCTCTGTCAGCGTCGCTGTCATCGTCGATGCCGCTGGCGGCGGGGATGGGTGCGGGTGGCGCGGTGGCGAACCCATTCGAAGTAGTTATTGCGCGGTGGCGGCAGATCATCCTGAACCCGATGATCCCGACCGAGCAGCTCGCAAAACTGAGCATGCAGCTGAGTGCGTACGGCGAGCAGCTCAGCAACCCCAGCGGGCCAATGGGCGCCATGGGCGACGAGGCCAAGGCGCAGCAGTTTGCGCAGCTCACCAAACTACAGGGCCTGATTGCGCACCGGCAGTTTGTAAGCTCCTCGTCGGTGTCGGCGGCGGCGGCTGCTGCTGCTGCATCTGCGTCTGCTGCTGCTGCCGCTGCGGCGGCGGCGCCCTCGGTTGCTGCGGCGACGGGGACAAGCGAGTCACGCGCTGCGAGCCCCGAGCCGAAGAAGAAGGGCAAGGAGCCGAAGGAGCCCAAGAAAAAGGCGGTTCCCAAGCCGAGGAAGAAGGCCAACGCGCGGCGGTCCGAGTCGCCTGCGCCGGGCAGAGCGAAGAAGCAGAAGCTGACGGACAGCGACGCTGAGGAGAGGCTCTCGTCAACCCTGACCCTGCCGGTGCCAGTGCCGGTGCCGGTGCCGGTGCCCGTGCCAGCGCCTGAGCGCGAACATGCCGACGCCGAGGCCGACGCCGACGCCGACGCCGACGCCGACACCGACGCCGATGCCGCCAGCGAAGTCAAACGCGAGGGTGAACGCAATGGTGGCGATGACGACGACGACGAGGGCGTGCCCCTGGCACAGTCTCAGGCGCAGACACCGGCACCGGCCCTGGTGGCCTCGTCGGCCGCCCCCGGCTCGGGCCCGCTGGCTGGTACAGCGTCTGCACCCGCTGCTGGGGCGGCTGCGGCGCGCAAGGCCAAGGCGCCGCGCGAGAAGGAGCGTGGCGCCGGCGATGCGTTCTCGCTGGACGACGTTATTGGCTACACGGGCGTCGACCTGCGCGAGGAGTCCGAGATGATCCTCGGCGGGCTGCCCGTCGGCAGCAGCAGCGCCAGCGGGCGAGTGCGGCCAGGCGTGCGCATGGGCACGCGCACGGTCGACGGCGTGGAAATGGCGTTCGACTCGGCGCTGCCCGGCGATGCGGCCGTCGAGGCGGTGGTTGCACGCGTGTGCCGCGAGTCGCGCGTGGGACGCGTCGCGGCGGACGTCGTGCCGGTGCTCGCGCTGGCGCTGCAGGAGCGGCTGCGCGCGTACATGGAGCTCGTGTCGGCGGCGGCGCACCACCGCACGCGCACACAGACGCTGCCGCCGCCGCCGCTTGATCCAACGACGCGGCTGCCGCTGTACAAGATCACGCCGCACCAGGACGTGCGCCGCCAGCTGGCTGTTGTCGAGCGCAGCGCGCGGCTGCGCGAGGCCGCACGCGAACAGGCGCTGGCATCATCGTCGGCAGCTACGTCGGCTCCGGCGGCCGAGGCTGAGGCCGATGCTGGCGCCGCGCCGGCTGAGGGCCCGTCGTCGGCGTCACCCGAGCCGCCAGAGTCGGTCGATGCGGCCAGGCCCAAGCGGCCGCGCAAGCGCGACGACGCGCTCGAGACGGCGGCGTACACCAGCAAGAACATGCCCGACGAGGTGCGCAACAAGATCAGCAACCAGACGGCGCTGCGCGCTGCCGGCGGCGTGCGCAAGTCGTGGATGAATGCCGCCGCGTCGGCCTCTGTGGCTGCCGCCGCCAAATCAGACGCCGCATCGGCGTCGGCGTCATCTGCCGCCACACCCAACGGCGATGTGGACGCGGCGCCCGATACGCCAGTGTCGGCGGCCGACCGCCCGCCGCCAGGGCTGCTGTCGCACCGGTCGACGTCGCTGGCTGCGCCGCTGCTGGTGACTGTGCGCGACTGCCTGTTCTCGCTGGAGCGCGAGCGCCTAGGCAACGTGCGCGTTGGCCGAGGCGGCGGCGACCGCGTGCTGATCCAGGCCTACGCCAAGTACGTCAAGGACTGAAGAGACAAAAGGACTTTGTCTTTTTGGGGTTTTGGCTGATGATGGAAATTAATTTTTTTGAATTTTTCTTTCTTTTTCTTCGTGCATTTCAATTCCCTTTTTTCGCATTTCAAATTCACCCTTACTTTACCTCTTCTTTTTTGCTTCATTTCACGGCGCCAAATGCACCACGATTCAGCAGACGCGCGCGTCCGCCGCATTCTGCGCGAGCAGTTCGACCTCGAGCTGTACCTCAAGCAGAACGAGATCGGCGCCATCAACGATCGGCTGCGGCACGCCGAGGCGCTGCTAGCCGTGCTGGCATCGGCAATCAGCAGCCAGGGCACAAGCTCGGGCGACGGGCATCTCACGAGCCTGCGCCAGCGGCTGCAGGGCGACTCAAACTGGCAGGCGCAGGAGCAGCGGGTGAGGCCGCGGAGGGCGGCGGCGGCGGCGGCGGCGGCGGCCAACAGCGGCTACCTGCAGAGCAGGCCTCTTGACGGCGCGCTGTACGCAGTGCGCTCGAGCGACGGCGCAAGCGTGTGCATGGTATGCCCGGACTGCCGCCGCCGCGACTTCGGCAGCCTGCAGGGCTTCCTCAACCACTGCCGCCTGCAGCACGCCATTGAGTTTGCGGGCCACGACGACGCCGTGCGCGTCTGCGGACAGCCGCTAGACGCGCCAGCCGCGCAAAGCCCCCCGCCAGGCAAGCAGCCCTCGACGCGGCGCTCGGCTGTCTCTGCGCGGCTGGCCGCCGCCCTCAGCCCTGGCCAGCTGGCCAGCGTGTCCGATGCCCTGGCCAGCCGCGGCGCGCCCGACCCCGAGCCCGAGCCCGAGCCCGAGAGCAGCGACAGCGACGCCGACGCCGACGCCGGCGCCGAGCCGGACGTGGCCAATGCGCTGCCGGCCGCAAGCCACATGGCCCAGGACTCGCGCTTCCACGTCATTCGGCGCGCCATACTGGGCAACACATCGCGCACTGTTGCGCCGGCCGAGCGGCCGCCCGAGCACGTAAACAGCACGCACAAGTGGACCGTGTACCTGCGCGCCGCCGACCCGGCGCAGCCCCTGGCGGCATACGTGCGGCGCGTGCGCGTGTTCCTGCACCCGTCGTACCGGCCTGACGACATCGTCGACTTGGCGCCGCCGAGCTTCGAGCTGACGCGCTGGGGGTGGGGCGAGTTCCCCGTGCGCCTGCAGGTTTTCTTCCGCGACCGCCGCAACAAGCCCGTCGACCTGATCCACATCCTGCGCCTGGATGCCGTTGCTGAGGCGCCGATTGACTTTGAGCTGGATCGCCGCGGCGCCGAGGACGCTGCGCCTGAGGCTCCGCGTGCTGCGGTGGGCCAGAACCCGGTCCTGATGGCTGTTGCCGCAGCGCTGTGTCGTGCCATGCCGCTGGCGCTGCCCGATGCGCTGCCCTTTGCGTGCCCTGCGCCCGAGTCCGCCGAGGCCATGCTGGCACTGGTGCCGCCCGCTGCCGCCGAGCGCTGGACGTGGGCCGTGGCTGTCGACGCCGACGTTTGGTGCAGCGACTGGCCGCTGGGCAAGCGCCTGGCCTCCGAGGCCGCGCGCAACCGCGAGCTGCGGCGCCTCATTGCAGATGCATTTGCACCCAACACTGGAAACATGCTGTTTGATACGGTATTTCGCTTGCTCCGCTCTGCCGAAGCCTCAAAGATTGACTCTGACCGGGTACTGGACCTTGTCCGCTGCTCTCCTGCCACTGCGTGCGCCGAGGCTGCGGCCACGCTTGCCTGCTGGGCTGCCGAGCATCGTCCCGGCGACCGGCCTCTGCGCAGCAAACCGGTCCGCGAGAGCCAGCAGATAATGCCGCTGATGGGCTGGCTGCGCGCCAACAGCTTTGTACCAATGCCTGTGCTCAACTCTGGCGAGCGCCAGTCAATCTTTGGCGAGGCCACCGCGGATTCTATGTTTGCCGCAGAGCACACCGACGGTAATCGCCAGGCTACCGCCGCCGCCGCTGCAAATAGCGAAGAAACACCCATGTCTGTGGCCAAGCTGCTGCCGCCGCCATCTCTGCCGCTGCCGCCGCCGCCGCCACCGCTGCCTGAACTTGCCTTTTTCTTTTGCAATACCTGCGGTGCTCTGGCCTCGCGCCCCAAATCAGACACGCTCCCCGCTGTGCTGTACTGCAATCCCGAATGCAAGCGCACGGGCTGCACCCCTCACACCACTGTCTCGAGCGTTACCGGTGCCCTGGCTGGGCTGCCAAGCGGCTGGGACGTCGACCATAGCGATGCCGATGATGATGCGCTGCTAATGGTCGACGATGACGCGTCCGCCTACGAGGTGCCCGCCAGCACAAGCGCTAGCAACATTGCCGATGTCGGCCACATTGCCGCGTCCCTGCGCGCCTACCATTTGGCCCAGCAAGACGAGCGCACCTTGGCCAACGACGACGAAAACAACAATGAGTTCGAGGACGGCGACGATCCAGACGACGCAGACGACAACGAAGTAGATAATGAAATTGACGATCAGGCTATTGACTGGATCTGGTCGGCTATCCGACCATTGGAACTCAACTGTGCGCCTGCTTCTCGCTTTTCAAATGCCCTTTCGCATAACGCAAATGCACCTCAGGAGCTGGTGCAGCTGCCTAACTGCAGCGACGAGGCCTTTGGTGAGGCCTTGGACCAGCGCTTGGTTGTCGGTCGCGTTCTGCTTGATGTCACAAAAATGTTCCTCCGGGATCTCATTTCTGCCTCGGACAAATCTATGCGCAAGAACAGGGTTGCTATCGCCGGACCTGTTGCTGGATCTGTTGCTGGATCTTTTGTTGGATCCGCGCCACCAAACTCTGAGAATCGCGGTTTAGGCCAAGACCTGCTGATGCTCACTCCGCTTCACGTTCTGGCTGCTGTGAAAAATGACCCCGATTCTTTCGATATATGCTCGAACGCGTATCTGGCTGCCGATGTCAATGAGCCTAATTCAGATTATTTGCAGTAACAAAAAATGGTTTTTTTCTTAGCGGTTTTGTTTATTGTCTGTATATACGGCATTTACTGTTTGAACTATTTCACAGAAAGATAATAATGACATTTAAATGCTTTTTTGGATTGTATTTAACGAATATGTCATATTTGGAAATCACGCCCAATTGTACTGACCTACGGCCTATTGCATATCAAGCACCCCTCCCCCCTCTCTCTTTTTAGTATACTATGTAATCCCAGATTTACTGGCAGTAAATCCAGGTTTGTAAGACAAAAGGTGGATTTGGGATATGACCCTTTGCATTTATCCAATTCCCAATAAAATAAAATAAAAATGCATTGTCCTGAAAAAAAATAAACGAGAGACAAAAGGTTGCAACAAAAACCGAACAACCAAACATGCAAAAATTATATAATGACAAGAAACTTTCCCAATGTATTGTTTCTTTTATTTTTTCTGCTGTAAAAACAATTTATTCTGATATTCTTAAATATTTACGTTCTATTTTAAAAAAAACACACAAACATAAACATCTACGTCTACATCGAGATATTATCATGACACTAGCAGTGTTTGAACAATTACAGGCCGGCGCCCTTGTTGGCCAGCAACCAAGCGAGCCCGCGCTAGTTATCCGCCTAGTATGCCTGACTTCGCTGCTCGCTCTATATTGTATACTTGCAATCGCCACAATAGCCGCAATCATCTACCAACACACAGGCACCGCAGACACGCTTCTGTCCAAACGCTCAATGCCACTTGTACTTTTCCAGGCCCTGGCCGCCCTGTTTGCCGGCACACTCAGTCTGCTTGCCACTGCGCTACATCAATACTCATGTGCCATTAAGCTTTGGACCATCTACTTGGGCATCATTCCGTGGCTTACTGGAATTACTGCACGTGCGGTGCAGCAATGTGTGTTGCATTGGGTCGAACAGAACCACAGACATCACTCGCTGAACCTGGGCCAAAACTTAGTTTCCATTGATGTTCTGGCCAATAACAACAAGCAGCAATACATCTCTACTGAGACCGATATCATTTCTTCCTGCTATACGAATTCCCCACATACAAATCTGGTCAGGCCAGATACAAGCCGTACGGTGGATGCATGGTCGATGTTTGATACCAATAGTCCCGAGTCCTTGTCTGTGGACAGCCTACCGTATGTTATTGAATCGGCCCATGCAATTGCGCTGCATCGGTCTTGGTTTGCGAGACTGATCGCCACACGGCTCCTCCTATGGTCTCTGGTACTTGTCGTCGTGATGCTGGCTCTATTTGCGTCTGTTGTCACTTTTACCTTGCCTTATTATAAGTTTCCGCAGCAGCAGTCATCCGTGCAATCTGTTTGTCGTGACAATGACAAGTGGGTGGTGTGGCCAGCCTATGGCATTGCTCTATTCTGCTGCGCAGTAGTATATCCCGTGCTGGCTTTCAAAATGTGGTCTTTCAAGGATCCATACGGAATTCGCAAGGATCTGTTTGTCTGCATGGCGGCGGCGCAGCTGGCTGCGGTGCTTTTTGTCATCTGGGTTACAGCCCTGGACGGTGTGCGCGAATACATATCCGAGCTATTCATTGTATGGGTTGCCGCGCTGGTATCGCACATAGTCTCTGTCTGCTGGCCTCTTTGGCGCTCGGTAAAGTACCAGAACCATATCCTAGATGCCAAGGTGTCGCCTGTGGGACTGTCCAACTTATTCCGGGGCAACAGGTTCCACCGCAGCATCTACGTGTCCCTGTATCGCGATTTTAACCTGATGATCGAAGACGAAGAGCAGCGGAATGCGTTCTTGATGTTTGCCAATACTTACTACCATTCGGCCATCCCAGCCTTTCTCGCGGATTTCCAGATGCTAAAATACAAGACCATCGAAGCACAGTATCAAAAAATGATACTGTGCAGCTATTCCCAGACCAGCAGTATGTCCGTGGCCGATATAATTGGTCTTAATGACCGTGCTGCAGATTCGATTCCGATTCGCCGGCTGGGCAGCCAGCTGGGAATTCCCCGGACCACGGTTCAAAGGGCAGATGACGCCCAGCGCCCGCATGACAATCATCCTTTGGCAACTAAAGTGCCGATAACCAAGGGCATCCTCGAGTCGGCAATGCTGGTTCTACCTTCAAACACCATCAACCAAAGCACCGTGTTCCCAGAAGGCGTGAAAAGTGACTTTGCCAGTTTTATCTCGACATACTTTAGCAAAAACTCGTGCATGTCTATTAACATACCGAGTGAGTTTGTTGAGCGAGTACACCATGCTATTGAGAACAATAATGTCGTGCTGTCTGTGCTCGACCAAGCCAAGGACGAGGTGATGTTTTTGCTGTGCACTGATGTCTATGCTGGATATTGCAAGCGGTTGGAGACACAGAGTGGCGCCAAGGGAAGCCAGTAGCAAAAAAAAAACTCGATTTCATTTTTTGCTACATGGCATCTTTATGTTAAACATTTTTTAAAGCAAACAAATCAAACAAAAAATTATACTTGTAAATATTCACTTTATCGAATATTGGATTTCCGATGAGATAATCTAACGTAAAAAGATAAATAAAACAGGCTCGTATTCGTAATTCATTTAGACTTTGAACGGCGGCAGGCCGTACTTCTCAGGCACAAAGTCGACAAGGCTAGTAATGCGCTCGGTCGCATTGTGGTCCTTTGGCGCTGAGGCGTCGAGTGAGAACCGCATGTCGTGGACCCAGATCGAATTCATATGTGCGTTATTGGCCGCCTCGATGCCATTGGTAGCATCCTCAAACACCAGGCAGTCCTCCGGAAGCAAGCTGCTGTCAAGCCGTCTCATGGCAGTCAAGAAAATATCAGGCGCAGGCTTCGCATGCTTGACCTCTGGGTCGTCCCCGCACGTAATGTTTCCACCGAACAGACTAAACACATCGCCGTGATTCGTGGTCTTGGCCAAAAACATGGGCTTTGATGAGCTTGTTGCCACAGCAATAGGGATTGAGTGCTCGGCCAGATGTCTGATCAGCTTCTCGACACCGGGCATCATCTTGGCCTCGCGAAAGTATATGGTCTTGAGCTCCGATGCCTGACTGTCGTATTCTTCAAAAGTGAGCGGGATCTCGAGATCGGCCAGGAGAATGTTGGTGGATGTTTTTACGTCGCGTCCCATCATCTTGAGCTTGGTCTCTAGCGGGAATATCTTGCCGAAGGGCTCAAGGATCTTGTTTGTCACCTCCGTGTATATAATCTCAGTGTCGAGCAGAAGCCCGTCCATGTCAAAGAGACACGCTTTAATGCGTGGTGCTGTTGACATTTTTTTAAAGGAGTTAAAAAGCTAATTTAGCCAAAAAAAAATGAAAGGAAGGAAAGGAAAGGAATGGGAAAACGCAAATTAATTTTTTTCGGTCTGCTTGTTTTCTCCTTTTGACGAGTAATGGTGATGATGACATCCCAGTTTGTTTTCATTCTTTTTTACTTTCTATTTACTATTTGCGTTTCATTTCAAACTTGCTGACGCATCCTTTTTATTATTATTATTAAATTATTATTTTTACATTCAAATTGCTTTCCTTTGTGTGGTTTGCAATTATTTGACCTTTACAACACCGACCAGCTTGTCACTTTTTAAAACGCAAATGGCTCCCCCAGCGGCACACAAGGAACGGACGCTGATTGCTGCGATTGGAGACGAGGTAAATTAGATAAAAAATGCAAGCATTTAACCGCACATTCAGAGAGAGAGGAGGGGAATGTATGTGTGCGTATGTTTTTTTTTTTTGGCAAATGCACACAACAGACTAGCGCTAGGGCTGTCAAAACAAGACTGCATTGACAACTAAATTCACAAATAACCCATCCACACAAGTACCAAATATGTAGGACACAATCACAGGCCTACTGCTTGCTGGTATCGGGGATATCGACATTCACCAGAGACCCAACTTCCTGGTTGTTGACTCGAAGACCACGCAAGGTCAGATTGAGGAGACCTTCACATCCTTTACCAAGAGAAAGGATATTGCTATTATTCTAATCAACCAGCACGTTGCTGAGGAGATCCGCGGCATTCTCGACGAGTACAACGCCGCATTCCCGACGGTCTTGGAGATTCCGTCCAAGGACCACCCATACGACCCTTCCAAGGACTCGGTGCTGAAGCGGGTCCAACTTTTGCTCGGCGATTAAGCGGAATTGCAGCTTATACTTTCCACAATATATATATTTATCCAAACACATTCAAACTATAACATCACTTGCATCGCCTGCAGAATAAGGTAATGGCACCCCCGCTACCAGACTCGTGAAGGATCTTGCTTTATTCCAAGAGCGTTAAAGGAATTTGGAGCCGCTGCTGCTCTGCAGTATAGTAACCGACTTTTTGGCATCGAAAAACAGCTCTCCAGCCTCGAGTATGTCATCCTTCTGGATCTCTTCGTGTCCAGAGATCTGGGACATGACACTGGCCGGCGTGAGCAGCTGAATCGCGTAGCGTAGTGACGAGTTCACGCCAACCTCTGCTGCGTACTCCAGGGCATCCGGCGCCAGCTTCAGGCCCTCGGTCTTTGCGCGTATATCCAAGACAATCTGGATCTCGCTCTTCGTGTAGGGTGCCGTGCGCACAATAAGCATGCGATCAAGCAGGTCGCGCGGAATACCGTGGGCGGCACGCATATCTTCGGTACCGCGGATAGTGCATATGCCGCGGTTCGAAGCAAGGACGACGATCGGAGAAATGTCCGACTCGAGCGCGCGGTTGAGATAGGTGAAGCACTCAATGTCAAGCATGTGCACCTCGTCAATGAAAAGGACGCCCGGAACCAACTCGGCAGTGCCCTGCTCGACGTACTTGTTGACAGCCTTGTTGATCTCGGTGCGCATCTTGTCTGTGATCTCTGTCTTGCGGGGCTTCATCAGCTGGCTCATCATCGAGACAATGTCCTGGCCACCCTGAGGCTGCGCGTTGGCCACGTCGAGATCGTGCAGGGTCACGTCCTGGATAACCTCGCGCTTCTTGTGCACGTCGCCCTTCGGCAGAGGCACGTATTCGTCTGCCTCCAAATCGTACTCGGTCGCGTATGCGTCTGACCGGCCTACCCGCTTGACCGAGCCGGTGTTTGCCTCAATGTAGATGACGTCTCCGGTCGACACTTTCTCCTTAAGAAGGCTTTCGTATATGCTAGGGTCGAGGCGCAGCTGCTTGGTTCCCTTTGCAGTCTTGAGCCCAATGACGACGTTGGCGACCGTCTTGCTGTAGCCGCCCAGCGGGTTCTCAGCCTCCTCAGGCGTAATCTCTGTGACTTCACCCTCGTACACTTCCTTGGTCTCCTTGACCCGAAGGCTGATTGCACGGCGGAAGTTCTCCATCAAAACCTCTGTCTTCTTCACCTCACTCGAGTATACCTCGCTTCCAGTCATCGGGCAGAACGGCACGCGCGGGCCCAGCTCCTGAGACATAGCATATGCAATTGCGGTCTTTCCGGTTCCCGGAGCACCTGCCAAAATGACGGCGCGGCCGGCAAAGCGCTTGCTCTTGACTAGATCAACGATAATGCCTGCGGCCTCACGCGCGGTCTCCTGTCCAACAAAGCCAGAGGCAACGGGCTCCGCTGTACCATCCGGCTTAAGACCTAGGCCGCGGATATGAGAGTGTGTCGCCACTCTTTGGTCCTTTTTTGCGCTCTTTACTTCCTCGATTTGCATTGTTGTTTGGTGGGTAATTTGGTAAATAGTATATCGTTATACTGCGTGTGGTAAAAAATTAAAGAGGTAAAAAAAATTGAAGCTGCCTTTCGCAAGTAAATAAAGAATGAATTTTGTTTTTTTGTCTGAAGAACACGAAAGTTTGAAGTTGAGTCTGAGGGAGGGGAAAATTCTCGTTTTTTTCTTTCGTCGTCATGACCTGAACATGTTCACTTGTAAAAAATCAAATCAAGCAATCACAAAATTACAATTACAATCAACATCACACCATATCAGATCAGATCAGATCAGATCAAGTTTGTTTGTTAGCATTTTTAGCTGCTTGCATCATCAGCATTGCCAATTGGCCCCGCACGCGGGGAATATTGCGCTTTTGCTTTTGTTATTGCCAACCAGCTCGTAAATTCCGTTATTGTTTTGCTTTGTTTTGTGTTTCGTTTTGATATTTTACAGCGAATTCTGAATTGTCAGCTTACAATCTCAAGTTGAAATGGACAGCAGCAGTAAATTAAAGCAACGCAGCAACAACCAGACTGACAGCTCGCAGCCCAGCCCGAAACCGGCGCCCTCAACGGTCAAGGTCCGCAAACCGTCATCTCGCAGTAGAGCGGCTGCTGATAATCTGGCGTGGTGGAAGATTGTTGCTCGCATATGTGTGACTCTTTTAGGGCTCAGCGTCTGCTTGTCCTATCTAATCACAGAGACTGCATTCTGGGGTCGCCAGGGCAAATGGACAAACTGGCGCAGTTACGTCCCACGCAAGCATCGTGTCTTTTCACAGGCAGAACTTGCAGGTTATAATGGAGGCAGCCCTGATATGCCCCTCCTTTTGGCCATTGAGGGCGATGTTTATGATGTGACTTCCGGATGGGGATTTTATGGCCCAGGCAGCACGTACCACCAGTTTGTAGGCCGCGATGCATCGAGGGCATTTGCCACAAATTGCTTGTCGCGCGAAGATCATTTGACACATGATATTCGTGGTCTGACTGACAGGGAGTTGGCCGGAATTAAGGGGTGGCACAAGCTGTTTGAAAATCACCAGAAGTATTTCAAGGTTGGCACTGTGGATCTGGCTCCGATTGATCCGGCGGCTCCCATTCCCCCACCTTGTGATAACGCCCAGGCCAAGCCCCATTAAACAAAAGGAGGTTTCATGTATAGCCAAATCAAGTGCGACTATAAACGCGAATTCGCGTATATCCCGACCAAGCGATCCCTGGTGTTTTTTCGTGGTTAAGTGTGCTTCACTCAGCGTGCATTCAATTTACATTTTTTTCTGGGATATTTTTATTTTAATATTAAATCCCCCACAAATATATTACTTCAAGTCATAATACGAGTGAGGCCCCAGTATGTCGATTGCTGATGACACATAGGGCCATATCAAAATATGTTCGCAGATCACTGAAGCAAAAAAAATTCACCGCCATATTTTGTTTGGATACCAATGCCCGTTTGCCAACGGTCAATATAACTATTACGATGCCTGGATCGCTTATACTAAAACATGAACGCAGATTAATATATATTTGCCTCGATCATATTGTGTTGAAGAGCATTTTTTCAGCTGGCGTTTTTTGCTTGTCAATATTTGATAGGCCTTGTCTTTGATCGATCGGGAACAAAATTTAACAATCTATATTATTATTATTTTTTATGTAAACCGGGATAAAATAAAATAAAGTGTATGTATAATGTAAGATTAAACACAAATACGCACAACGTCTAGGCAATAAAACCAAGCAAGGTTTGCCTGCTCAGAACGAATTTTTTAAAATTAAGCTTTACATTTTCTAATATATATTTTTATTATATTGTTATTTTCATAACACTTATTTAAACACACCCCCAACCAAGCATATACTTTGCAAAACAAAATATATTGCTAGACAATGTCCACATCAGTAACGCCTATGCGCTATAGCTCGGAGGGCAAAGTGACCCACCGCAGTGTGTCTGCAAGAAAGACCCAGTCGACGCGTCGCACCAGCGAAGAAATCGAGTATGCCAGCCAGAAACAGATCAAAAACACGTACATAAATCGAATGCGTATATTCATGGCCCCCTATTTTGCCGAGTTCCTCGGCACAGCCGTGTTTGTGCTCATGGGTTGTGGTGCCAACCTAACCTACACCGTAATGACGACCAACGCGCAATCCGCCTGGTTGGGCAATGCCTTCGGCTGGGGCTTTGGCCTAATGCTCGGTATTTTTGTCGCTGGCGGTGTCTCCGGCGCCATGCTCAATCCGGCAGTGACCATTGCGTTTGCCGGATATCGCGGCTTGCCCTGGATCCAAGTGCCCTTTTATATTCTGGCTGAGTTTGTTGGAGCTTTTGTTGGTGCATTGCTTGCATATGCATGCTTTGCGCATTCACTGGACCCCTTTGACGGCTATCATCGCCAGATTGGTGGCCCGTTCGGGTCTGCTGGTGCGTTTGGAAACTTTGCCCGCCCGTTTATTGGAAACGGTGCGGCATTCTTGTCCGAGGCTGTTGGCACTGGTCTATTAGTTATTGGTATCCTCGCTATTACTGATATGAATAACTTCCCTGCTCGCTCGTCAACCCCGCTTGCCATCGGGTTCCTGCTCACTGGCCTGGCTCTCAGCATCGGATACCCTACGGGATACTCGTATAACCCGGCGCGTGATCTGGGACCTCGCTGCGCGGCCGCCATTTGGTATGGCGCCGGTGTTTTTACCTACCATGGATCATACACATGGGTGCCCGTCGCCGCTCCATTTGCTGGATCTATCGTCGGCGCCACCGTGTACGAGCTGCTCATTGTGTCCAAGAGAGCAGTAATTGTGGATGATGATAGTTATGTTGCAAGCGAGCATAGCTCAATTTCTCTCGAGTAAAGCAGATAAGGGTTTACTGCACAAATGTTATTTTTTTCACAATAATCAAAATACATATTAAAGCAAAAAAAAACTTCCAAATGAAAAATAAAAAACAGCCTACAGACGCTGAAGAATACCAATGCGCAACGAAGTGTTCATAAGGTTGCGAGCAGAGTTGTGATGCTGGTAAACGCCGCCGTTAAACGCTTCGGTCATGTCCTTGCCAATGCCGCCCTTGAGCAGAGCCTTGCCTCCGGGGTGGTCGTTGAAGAAAGGCTTGACGTCGTAGACAAAGCCCTCGATGACCATCCACTGCTTACCGTAGGTCTTGACCTGGTCGAGGAACTCCTCTTCGGTGTAGACAGGAAGTTTGTTGACGGGAGTGCCAAAGACAAGCTTGGTGCGCTTGTTCTCAAGCTCCTGCATGCGCATCTGGATAAAGCCCTTCTCAACCTCGTTGGCCGGGAAGGTCTTGAGATCGTAAGCAAGGCCGAGGGTCGACATAGTGCGGATAAACCACTTGGTCGGGTCGTACTGGTAGAAGCGAATGGCGTTGCGGTAGTCGTTGGGGAACTGGTGGTGGAAGTTGTGGTATCCCTCGCCCATAGTGACCAGGGCGGTAATCCACGAATCGCGAGCAGTCTGGACGTCGTCGTAGGTGTGACGACCAATGGTGTGAGCAAGCGAGTTAACACAGAAAGTAGCGTGGTGGAGGAGCACCATGCGGAGAACAGTGGCGTAGAAGAATCCACCGCGCCAGTCACCCCAAAGCAAACCAGCCACTGTGGTGGGGACAACAACGCCAAACAAAAGAACGAGCAGGGGGTAGTACTTGTGCTGCCAGCGGACAAGGGGGTCGGTCTTCAGGTCAGAGGTATCGGCATAGCCAAGACGGCAGCGGTCCTTCTTCACGAGCATCCAGCCAATGTGGCAGTGCCAGAAGCCCTGCAGAGCATCATAGGGATCTTGGGTCGTGTCAGTGTATCTGTGGTGGACACGGTGGTCGCGAGCCCACCAGAAAATCGAGCCCTGCACGGCAGCCGAGCCAGCAAAAGACAGGAAGAGCTGCAGGGGGTATGTCGCCGAGTACGCGGTGTGCGCCCACAAGCGATGGTAGCCGGCGGTGATGCCGAGGCCAGCGAACATGTAGTACAGGACACCCCAAACAAGGGTCTTCACCTGGACCGCGGTGGTAAGCATTCCATAGAGCGCAATCAACGGGGTCGTCGACAGCAAGATAACATGAACCCAGTGGAGTCTCTTCATCAGAGGACGCGTCTCTGGCGGGAACTTTTCGCGCTTATATGTCGGCCGCTCGACGTACATACCAGTCATTTTATTTTGAGCTGGCGCGTTGCGTATCTAAAGAGTAGTTTTTTGTTACAGGCTCTACACTAGGCGTTTGTAGAGCGCAGGTTGAGAGCTGGGGGCTAAGCTGGTGAAAATGCGAATAAAAATAGCTACAGTGAAAAATATGTATGCAGGCCTGAGCAGTACTATGGACGCCAAATAAATATAAAGGTTTATATAATGCGGGGGAAGAAAAAGCAAAGCCTAGGAGCAAAGAAATAAAATGTAATTAATAGAAAAATGAGGCCAGCGGACACAAAAAGCGAAACAAGAACAATTTGGCGTGCGAGCAAGAATAAAAGGGACAAGGATCTCAAAATATGAAAATGAAAAACACACTATATTTTTCATCATGAAAACAGATGAAAAATTGTTGATAGTGGGTGGCGCATCTATACAATCGCTGCCATCTTTGCTTCCACTGCAATTGTGAAAAAAAAGTTGAGCATCCCTGTGCAAGAATGCACATTAAAAAGTTTTCTATTCTGCATTGGTACTTTATTCCGCCGGCGCGCCCATTGTATTCCCGTTGTCTGTTGTGCTAGGGGGACAGGCATGCTCTGGGCCAGGCAATGGAGCAAAAAAGGAAAAGAAAAGAAAAAAGGTTTCAACAAAGTCTTGGGCTCTTTTGCCAAAAGAACTCGTCGTCCATTCTTGGCAAGTCTCGTTTTTCATTTCAACAAGGCTTGGCCATTAACCGCCCAAACTGCAAATTGCCAGCGTGTGAGCCTGGCACAGATTTCACAGCTGAATCAACACATCTTTTGCGAACTATTTTGCCTGCGATGAAGGAGCTGCGGAGAGGAACTGTAGTCCCACGATCAGTGATTGGAGGGGATTATGAAAAATAATGCAAAAATGATCAGCCATGCCGCCAATCAATCATCTTCGCGAACCTGCTGCTTGCAAGTCTGGATGCTTCCCCTCCTCCCCGCCCCAAAAAACCAAGGCAGAAAATGGGGGTGAAAATGCGCAAAGATGCTCGTCAGTGTTTTTTTGTTTTGGCTGCTTGCTGCCAGGCCTGAGACTCTTGCTACTGCTACTGTGGTCCACTCCCTCCTCCCTGCCAAGCTACTGCCGCATGGTGTCACATTTGTCCTGAGGATGTGATGAACCCGGCTCTGGTCCTTGACTCCTCTTAATTCGGGTCCGCCACAGGGATACCCGTCATGCAACAATTGCATTGCTTCCCCCAGCGCCCTCGCTCATGCGCACAACACGCTGTGACTCTTGCGGGCAGCTCGAACCTTATCTTGCCCAGCCGCCTGCTTGCTCCCCATCCGAATTTGCCATTTACAAGCAAATTGGATGTCTTCTGTGCTTCTTTCCGACAGAAATAGTGTACGTGCATGCACCGTCTATGGGGGAGGGTAGTATCAACAATATAACGTGGAAGTTTTGCTACGCGCGATTGTCAAGATTTTCCGATGCTGTCCGTTATCTCTGTATTTTGTTCAGCCAAAAAAAATGTTGGGCGGACTCCTTGGCTCTTCATAAACAAAAAAGAAAAAAGCGTTGAGTTGGCCATCCAAAATAGCCGCATGTAATGCAAAAGTGCGTTGAGGGCGCACATGCACACGCTGCTGCTGCAATTGTCAAGGGTAGCATTTACATCAGCAAGAGTCCAGATCCAAAAAGCATCAGCCATGTAAAAAAGAACGCAGCAGTGGCGACAAGTTGTATATGCAAGGCACAAACAACCTCATATGCATTCGTCTAAATGGTTACTCAACCAGCATGCCTGAGATAAATGCAAGTGTTACATATAAAGAAGTTTCAATGATTTAGTTTATCCACAGAAAAATATTTAAATAATTAAAATAAAAAAGCTATATTCCGCGCGGGCCGGCTTATCCAATGTACAACGGAGGGCTAAAATGTTGGCTGCAGTCGCCCGATACGCAACGAAGTGTTCATGAGGTTGCGAGCAGCATTGTGGTGCTGGTAAACACCACCATTGAACGCCTCAGTCATGTCCTTGCCGATGCCGCCCTTGAGCAGAGCCTTGCCTCCGGGGTGGTCGTTGAAGAAAGGCTGGATGTCGTAGACAAAGCCCTCGATGACCATCCACTGCTTCTTGTAGGTCTTGACCTGGTCGAGGAACTCCTCTTCGGTGTAGATAGGGAGCTTCTCCACTGGAGATCCAAAATCGAGACGAACCTCGCGGTCCTTGAGTTCCCTAACCCGCATAGCAATGAATCCCTTCTCAATCTCGTTGGCCGGGAAGGTCTTGAGATCGTAAGCAAGGCCGAGGGTCGACATAGTGCGGATAAACCACTTGGTCGGGTCGTACTGGTAGAAGCGAATGGCGTTGCGGTAGTCGTTGGGGAACTGGTGGTGGAAGTTGTGGTATCCCTCGCCCATAGTGACCAGGGCGGTAATCCACGAATCGCGAGCAGTCTGGACGTCGTCGTAGGTGGGCGTTCCAATGGTGTGAGCAAGCGAGTTGATGCAGAAAGTAGCGTGGTGGAGGAGCACCATGCGGAGAACAGTGGCGTAGAAGAATCCACCGCGCCAGTCACCCCAAAGCAAACCAGCAATGGAAGTAGGAATAACAGCACCAAACAAAAGAACAAGCACGGGGTAGTACTTGTGCTGCCAGCGGACAAGGGGGTCGGTCTTCAGGTCAGAGGTATCGGCATAGCCAAGACGACGACGGTCCTTCTTCACGAGCATCCAACCAAGGTGAGAATGCCAGAAGCCCTGCAGAGCGTCATAGGGATCGCGAGGGGTATCTGTATATCTGTGGTGAACGCGGTGATCCCGACCCCACCAGAAAATCGAGCCCTGTACGGCACCTGCGCCGGCAAGCGCAAGGAATACTTGGAGCGGATACGATGCGGTGTATGAGGTGTGTGACCACAAACGATGGTACCCGGCAGTGATGCCGAGGCCAGATATAAAGTACACAATTGCCATTAAGGCAATGGTCTTGGCCTGGATTGTGGTGGTTAGAACGCCATAAAGAGCAATCAGAGGTGTGGTCGACAGCAAGATAACGTGAACCCAATGGAGTCTCTGGATTAGTGGCCGCGTCTCTGGTGGCGGCTTGTCATACTTATATGTCGGCCGCTCGATGTGTGCGTTCATTGTTGTGTGGGTGTGGAAGAGTTCAGGAGGCAATAGAAAAAGCCCTTGATATGTAATTTTTTAAAATGTTTTTATAAGAAATAAGAAATAAATGTTTAGCTTCCACAAGCACAGAAAATAAGTAAATAAAAAATTGTTGAAATAAAAAATAAGAAAAATATGAGAAAGATGACACTGCTGGAAAGGTTCGCTTTGGGAACACATGCTTTCTTTTATACAAGGTACTCCACCTCATGTTTTTCCACTTTAAAAAACATGAGGTGTTGAAGATTTAACCCCAAAAATTGCTCGTGAAAGTGGGCTGGTTATTTTACTTTTGCTTTTTTCACTGTTGAAGCCTGTTGATAAAACTGACACATTGCCAGTTTTGTTTGATTGGATGATGTGGCATGATTATTTTGTCTGTTCCACCATTCCACTGTTCTGCTGACGTTTACTGGTGAGTTTGAAGACCACTGCGTGTGTTTGTGCGAATACACTGCTTCATCTGATAGGCTGAAATAATGTTGCAAGTGTGTGTGATTGGCGATTGATACCCCCCACATATCCCAACATCAGGAAATTCCGGCCACTCCGGCCGATGTCTTGTGGCAAAGCAACTGATAGAAAACACTGGAGTGTGTTCCCCCCTGAGTGGGCTGACCAGTTCACTGGATGAGAAAGGATATTTGAATGGTAATGCAATTAATTTAATTTAATAATAATAATAATTTACAGCATGGCATTCCACATTAGCTTGCCCGTTTTTTCCCAACTGCTCGCAAAGTCGACGCATGTTTGGTGTGCGTGTGACTGATCATCAATCTCGACAGCAAAGATGGCATTGTTCGTGGCACAAAACTGCCTCACGCGGACAGCCATGCTAATGTCACCCTGGCTAGTGGCCACAAGCGTGACGGATTCTAAACTAGAAAACGAGTTTATGCCCTTAATCCAGCTAGTCGAAATGTACCGCGAATTGCAGGCTTCATGAACGACCATGCTCTGCAACGGATGCTTCATCTCTTTGAGCCGTTGCCTGATATCCGGATCTGCAGATAACGCGCTTAGCTGCGGGTCCACAGTTGCACCGATTCGCCGCCGCAGAGTCGACTTTTGGCTAGTCAGTTGGTGCTCGGGATCCACCAAAAACGACGCATATTCAAATATGCGCAGCTGCGGGACATTGGCCAGCATAGCAAGCGCGGCAGCAAAGGGAATCTGGAGATACGGCACGCGAAGCACTTGCAGGCTGGTGTTGGGAGGATTTATGGAAAATGTTTTGCACAGAAGTGGTCCCGGAAGCTGGCCCTTTGCACCTGGGGCGGTAGGGGCATCAAGCGATGCCGGCATATTGTTGCTAACGCTGGATCTGTTGGCAAACAAACTGGTTCGGGGGGCCGAAAACGACATGCGCGGGGAGGGTGGTGTGGGTGACTGCATGCCATGGTCCGCCAAGTCTAGCTGCGCTGGCAAAGCCTGGCGGAAAGCAAACTTGACCACCAGCTGGCGCAGGTTGGACCATTGGGTTGCTAGCTGGTGAAGTCCGCTCGGCGAAAAATCTTGCGAATACTCGGTCCATCGCTCATAGCGGGGCTGCGGACATATGTGCAGATATTGCAAGCTCGGGCACTTCTTGTGCAGAATGGCGGCGTACTGGTTGGACACAAAGGGCAATTGCAACTCGACCAGGTTAAGCCAGGTGTGGCTAAACAAAACCCCCAAGTTCATCGGGGTATCCCGTCCATTTCTAAAGTCAGGCGTGTGGCTGACTGTCAGAGACTCGAGTCCCGGGAAGTGTATGGCACAGAAGGGAATGGTGTGTCGCCCATCGACCATGCTGTGCATGTCAAACCGCAGGCGCTTTAGCGACGTTTGTAGGGCGGCGCCACTAGTGCCAGCTCGCATCTTGTCGTAGGTGAGCTGGTGCGCGTTTTCTTTGATGGTGTCCAGTATGCGGTGCATGTTCTTCGGCTGGGCATCGGCGAATTCGACAAACTCAGGCCTGAATATGTCTGTTTTGAGCAAGTATACAATGTACGTATACATTGTCAGCGTTCCAGGGTTAGATCTTTCCATTGTCGTCATTTCGAACGAAACGTCAGCAAGAAACAAAAGGCGGTATTTGAGAAAGCGCATTTCGGCCTCGGAGTTGCGAATGTGTGGCGGCAGATGACCCAGTAGCGCGAGTCTCTTCTCAAAGCCGTTGCCAAAGTCCTCCTCAAGCCGATGCTCAAACACCTCGGTGCACCCGGCCCAGCGGGTCCTCAGCCGGTACATGTTCGCAAGCGGGAATAATGTACGTTTTTGAACAATGCCGAGCCACCGGGTGACCTGCGGATCTGACTCCACGCTGCAAACATTGCACTCAATTTCGATAACACGCACGCGTGGCCACTCCAATTCCAGGCAGCAGCAGTGCAAGTCGGGTTCGCTGGAATTACCCGCTATAAACAATGCCTCCACCGTGCTATGCAGGGCAGTATGCTTAGTTCGCACCAAATCCATGCCGCCCTTAGCATACCAGAACCCAGCATCAAACACGGGAGACCCGTGCCACAACGTCTCTTCGTTTTCTCCGGTCGTATCGACTGGACCAGAGTTTCTGTCAAGCGCCATGAATGGCCCCTCTCTCCGGGGGCTACTGTCTGTATGGGTAAGCTGCGCGCTACTGCCGCCAGGTACAGGCGGTTGAGGACAAGACATGCGATTTGTCACATTGGCTGGTGCCGCCGCCGGCCCTAGGTTGAGCGAAGGGGGGCGGATATTGCTCCACCTCAGTCGTGAGGCTAGCGATACCATCTGGTGTTGAAAACGACACGTGTTTCTAACTGTATATCGATATTAGAAAGGGGCCTTTGGGTAATGCGCCTAAAAAATGTGTTTTAGAATTTAAAGAAAAATACGCGAAAGAAAAAATAATAATAAAGGGGAGGGGGAGAATGCACAAAGGAAGGGAGAAAAAGGGTCCTTCAGATGAAAAAAATCAATATAGTAAAAAATTACAATAATAGTGTGCGAGATACAATATTTAAACACGCGAGTCGCAGCAGAAGGTGGCAAAAGGTCGGATTGTGTGATAAATCCAATAGCGGGGCACAATGTGTGTTCATGGGTTAAAAATAGAACACATCACTTTACGCGTGTCTCCTGGCTGCCAGTGTACCTGCTTTACACTGTTTACAAAATAGCAACTAATTGCTTTATAAATAAAATATGCTGCTTCCAAATTTATCGTACCCGCTTATGCCAACGACATGAGCGTGCAAACATGCGCGCCCCATAGTCTGGCCACAGAAGCACTTCGAAACACGGGCAAATGCAGTTTGGGCATGCTCGAGTACTTCCACCACTTACCAAGTATGTCGCAATAATTGTACCATTGCAAATACTAAAGTACGTGCCCACAGACATAGTGGCTCTCAATGAAGCGACAACACCCGACAAGTGCTTTTTTTATACCAAGCTGCTTGATTGTTGATATATTCAGCAGTTGATTTCTCTACTTTTGTGTAAGGCGGAAATCTTATATTGGCACATGAAAGATTTTCATTTAGTCAGCTTGACGCTCGCTGACCAATCTTTTATAAGGAATATCGACAAACTTGGCATTGGCCTATTCCAGGCAGTTTGTTCGCAACAATGCTTGCAAGCATGGTTCATATTTTTTGCATTTTCTACTATGCTGGAGCTGTATGGATCTGCACGAATTATCCGCTGATATTCGGGCGACAAAAATCTCAATTCCGGATTTTAGTACATCAACCTTTTTTTGTGGGCTAACAAATCCCTCTTCCCCATGTTTTCTCTTCTCCCTTTTAGTTAATAATTGCAACGCATTCCCTATTTCAAAAAGCAAAAAAATCGTGCTTTTCTTTGCAATCTCCCTTTATATTGTTTCTACCCTCTACTCCTTCCCGTGCAAAGGAATTGTAATTAGCTTACAGTTATCGACTTTTGCACTTATTCGTTGTGCTTATTTCTAAAAAAAAAGCGTTCGCGTCGCCTTGGTCGCCAATTGTATATAATCACTACAATAAACTCCATCCGGACAACCAAAAACTGCGTTCGACCCTTTTCATTCTCATTGTGTTGAATTTATTTATCCCCTCTACTCAAACCACTGCTGGACTCCGACTACATAATCTTATTTTTCTTATTAATTATCGTTTTTCTGTTTGCTGGTCCACTCTCACTTTTTGTATATTTGGCCAGCCCAGTTTATTTTTCATTCCCAATTGTTTGATTATTTATCTTTAATCAGCATCTTTGCTTAATTGTACACTAATTGGTCGAATAATTTTGCGGCAAACGCACACACACGCACATACAAAGGAGCGCACATCTGTCAACGTACCAGTCCAGGTTACAAGCACACAAAAAACACAAAGAAACCGCAAGCACAGTTCAAGCGCAAGCATATCTTAGCATCCAGTTTTTTTCAAGCAAAAGGTACGCTCCACTATAAATTGTTATATTTCTTCAGTGTAACTCAAAGTGAGCCGATATTTATGACAGGATTTATGTCAAATCGAAGAAAATTTGTTCGTATGTATTTTTCTTATGTGATTTAATGCACACGCTCCTTCTCAATTAAATGTTGTCAAACCACCCTAGTTTTTTCTTCGAAATACAACCCCAAACCAGTCCCTTCTCCCCCCCCAACAAAACTCGTCATTCCTTTAAATGATGCGCGTTCTTCTTTTTAAAGCCTGCATAGAACATCTATATGAATTGCCCACTGTGGATATCATTACTGTCTGTGCTTCATGCTGTGTCCTTTTTCATTTAACCATACTGCCACTGTGGCTCACCCCCAAATAATCGGGAGGTTTGCTTACACGCAAAATTGTGCACCACAGAGTGGTGACATAACCAATGGCCCGTGCTTCGAATTATTATTGCTGGAATGCAAACCCTATGCAAAATTAGCCATGCGCGTCAACATTTTAGGTTTTAGCTACATATACATATCGCTTATGCCGTTAAACTTTTAAGGCTTTAAACTTTTTTACATGCCTTTCAACACCAAACTACAACACCCGCATGCACGCTTCTAGATGACCCTACCTACTTTGGTCGTGCTGCATGATGATGGCTTCGTGCCTTCATTTGCGACTGGAATGGAGCCCAATGCAGCTGGCTGTTTATGTGGCAGCGGTGATAGTAGTAGTAGTGAGAATGTATTGACAATGATACCGTTGCTTGTTTTTTATATTCTTTATTTACGCTTCCTTTTCTTCTTGTCAGCCGATAGTAGTTATCCATTTAAAATATTATTCCTCCTTCTTTTATCCACAATTCGCTGAGCGCCACAGATACATGGGTGCAACACCAACACTACATGGAAATACAGGTGCACCAATGTTTGAGCGATTCTCAGATACCGCCTTTGTCATTATTATTTCATACTCGCCACCAACTTTATTGCCATTGTCATTATTGCCATTGTCGCCAATATTTGCCATTGCGACAATGATACCACACTATTTCAGACTAAGCGACATTTTTCATAACACGATTTTAATATCATTTGATATCCCGCACAATAAAATATCTCATCGTTGCTTGTTCGGTTTATTATATTGACAAAGTACCCATTTTGCAATTGTTCTAAATCACATCGCTTAGCACCATGTTTAAACACCTCCCCCCTCCTTAGAAATAAGCAAATATTTCACATAATCCTAGCCGCAATGCTTGCTATGGATTAGTACAATCTAGACATTTTGTACTGGTAAATATTTTTATTATTGCCTTTTCCTGAAATCCCTCTTTCATGTTTTATACAACCTACTATAGACGCATACTAGCTTAGTTTCTAAACATAGTCCAGAATAAAAGCTTGCATATCTTGTCTTTCTCTCCCCCCATTGTAATCTCACGCGTATCTCTATGCGGGCATTGCAACTGGCCAAATGCATTTTCAGGCTGCCGTGTTGTTATGTTGCTTGCTCAAATTTTATGTTGACCTACTTTGGAGAATCTAGCGCATTTTTATTTGTTCAATGTTACATCTTTCACCCTGTTTAACTTTCTGTCCCCTTTGTTTCTATATTTTTACTGTGACACACATATTTTGTTGGTGCCGCGAATGCCATTGATTCCGCATTTGTACAGTATTTGTACAGCTTCGGGCATTTCTCTTTCATGTTTTTTTGCATTCACCACTATCAGCACTATCAACATTATTAACCTCAATCAGCCCTACAACAGCAAAAATACTTTACCATTTATATAGCTCGCTTACTCGCCGCATCAATATCGTCTCTTTATTTTTTCACCAATCAAACCAGCTTTCAGAACTGCGCCTACTTATCAAGCCCAATTCATACTCTTTTTATCCATCTATTCGTCTTATCTGCTCATATCCACCGGATCCATGCCATTTGGGTGCAATATAAAATCAAAACTCACAGGCGCACACGTTCAGTCCAGCATCACATACAGTTGTTTTTTCAGTCATGCATCACAAAAGTGGCACCACCCAGCCTAACCATCAGCAGGGCATGTTGTCACATAATTTAGTCGGCTACACTTCGCCATCGATACCGCCCCCGCACCACAACTCGATGATCTCGATGTATGGTTCCGATGTCGGTTGCGAAAAGGGCGCAATGATGGATGACCATCAAAGCACAAGGTCTTCGGAGCCCGAAACGGGCAAAGAAGATGGCTCGCAGCCTTCCGGTGATGGGGACTCCTTTTCCAGACCGCGCGGAATCAACAGTTCTAAACGGGCTGCGCAGAACCGGGCCGCTCAGCGGGCATTCAGGCTTCGCAGAGAACGGTACGTCGCCAGCCTCGAGGACAAGGCTCGCAGCTACGACAGACTGGAGGCCGCATATAACGAGCTTCAGAGAGAAAATCACCGGGTGCAGGATCGTCTGGATAAACTCTACACTGAGAACGCCACCTTGCGCGCCGAACTGTCATCAGGTGCCCCTATACTGACATCGCTGCCAAGACCTATGCCAGGGCCTCTCGCGCCAACTGCGCTTGGAAGTTCTGTTCATCGCCAGAGCACAATGCCGGCTATGACGCCAGAACAAGACTATCAACACACACACCAAAATCAGCACTATCAGCAGCAACAGCAGCAGTACGCGTACACTCAGCAACAAAGCGCACATCCCGAGGCCGCGCTGCATGTGTATGGCCAGATGCATGGTGCCCATCGATTGTCACCACTTCATTCCACAACGGCCCCTTCAACCCTTCCGCCTGTGAACCACAGCCACATGCGACCATCTGGGCCCTCAGCTGCAGCGCCCACTGCTGCGCTGGGGGCACACATGTACCTCAATCAGCAGCAGCGGCAGCAAAGCCCTGGCATTGCATACCAATATCAGCAGCGTTTAATGTCACACCCACAGGACCAAAAGCCAAGACAAGAGCGATCGCTGCCTCACCCAGATCCGCGCTCGTCACCGCATCACACGGGGACACCGGGTCCAGCAATGGCCCGGGTCACGCTTGCAGCACCGCCCAATTATTCGCCCGATGGGTTTGCTATGCGTTCTGAACAAGGTCAGTCAAATCCTGCCGCATTTGCCAACCCCATTGAGCGGTATTCACCGCTGTCTGGAATACGGGACAGTGGTCCTGCATTAGAAACCTCGACGCCAGGCACCAGGGTCTCTTCGTACATAAATTCTACGAGGATCGAGGCGGCAGGTACTGGTCCATTAATGCCTTCTACTACTAATGCCAACTCTGCACAAATCCTTCCATCGGTGCGGGAAATAACTCGGTCAATTGGCGAAATGCTGCCTGGGAGTCCGCAGCTGGATTCGGCTCAGCCGTCATCTAGCCAATTCCAACGGGATGGCGTTAGCTCTGGAGGTCAGGCGGAAGAGCACGTCGAATCAAAACGGTGGCCGTGGTGACAGCCTGATTGTTGGCAGCAGCATTTCTATTGTCACAGTCCTACGACCATAGACAAATGCTAACAATAAATACGCATTGCTACAAACATTTATTTTTAATTTATTTTTATTCAATTACATTTCATTAAACATACTTTTTTGATTAGCTTTTTGTATTCGTTGTGCGCGCAGCCAAATACAAAAAAATGCAAATGTACGAGAAAAACATCAATTTGTATTATAAATAAAGTAAGCACGGCTAACTGAGGCTTGTCTATTCTTACTCGGCGCCCTCGAGTGTGAGGAAGGTCTTGATAGCCGCCTGAAGAGCATCAATCTCGGCATCATAGTTGCTGAGCTTGGCAGAGTTAGACTCGCGGACTTCCTCAGGGACAGTCTCCTCATACTTGGGGATGCTGACTTTAGCGGTCAGGCTGTCCTTCAGCTTAGTAGTCTTGGCAATCTTCTTTCCAAGCTTCGCAACCTCCTGTTCAATGTCAACACTGCCGCGGACAAGAAGGTGCATGGCAACTTCGTCGTTGACCGAGAAAACAGCACATCCGGCAGGCACGGCCTCTCCAGGCTTCAATGCAACGATACTCTGGCAGCCCTTGATCATCGTGGCAATGCCGTCGGCCTGGGATGAGGTGAGCGCAAAGCTGGAGGTGTTGGCATTGCTGACGTAGAACTTGGACTTGGACAGAACGTTGTAGCTGGCGGTGAGCGAGCGGCCAGCCTTGGCAATGCTCATAGCAAGCTCGAACTCGGAGACAACCTGGCTGTTGTCGTAGTCTTCGCGGATCTCCGGGTAAGTGGCCAGAGAGATTGTGGGACTGGTCTCGCTGGCGCGACGCGGCAAGCGCTGCCACAGCTCCTCGGTGACGTACGGCATGAAGGGGTGGAGCATCTTGAGGCCCTGGTCGAGGCAAGTGTACAGGGTCTGCAGCGCCGAGTTGCGGGACACAGGGTCGGCGTTAGGCATAGTGATAGGCTTGATGTACTCAATGTAGACGTCGCACAGATCGTAAAGCCAGAAACTGTGCACAGCAGTGGTGGCAACCATAAAGTTCATCTCGGCCAGGGCGGGGTTGACATCGCGCGCGGTAGCGTTGATGCGCTGCAGGATCCAGCGTTCAGCCAAGGACTCGTTGCCAGTCAGGGTAGCCTCGGCGGAAGGAACAAAGTCCTCGCCCAGCTTCATGAGCGCAAAGCGAGTGGCATTCCACAGCTTGTTGCAGAACTTGCGGTAGCCGTCGACGCGCATGATGTTGAGGTTGACATCACGTCCAGCAGATGTGTACGCGCAAAGTGTAAAGCGCAAGGCATCTGAGCCGCACTCGGGGATGCCATTGGGGAAGTCCTGGGTCTGGCCCTTTTTGGCCAACTCGACCTCGCGCGAGTCAAGGTTGCCGGTCATAAGCTTGGCGTGCAAACTCTCGAGGGAAATGCCCTTGATGACATCGATGGGGTCGAGGACATTACCGAGCGACTTTGACATCTTGCGGCCCTGTGCATCGCGGACCATTGCGTGGCAGTAGACCTTGGGGAAGGGGACTTCGCCAGTGAGGTACATGCCGAGCATGACCATGCGCGCAACCCAGAAGAAGATAATGTCGGAGCCAGTCTCGAGAAGACTAGTCGGGTAGTACTTCTTAAAGTCATCGGTGTTCTCGGGCCATCCGAGCACAGCAAACGGCCACAGGCCGGACGAGAACCAGGTGTCCAGAACATCGGGGTCCTGCTCCAGCACTAGGTCAATGCCAGGGAACTTTTCAGCGGCGCGTCTCTGGGCCTCAGCCTTGTCACGCCCAACAACCCAGAACTCTTGGTCCAGCGGGTCGTTGTTCTGACCAGCGATGCGCACAAAGTACGCGGGGATGCGGTGGCCCCACCACAGCTGGCGCGAGATACACCAGTCGTGGATGTTTTCCAGCCAGTGGTACCACTCCTTCTCGGACGACTGAGGTATGATCTCGAGGCGGCCATCGCGCGCGGCCTCGATGGCGGGATCGGCAAGGGTCTTGCTCTTGACCCACCACTGGGGCTTGATCATGGGCTCGATGATATCCTTGGACTTGATGCAAATGGGCACGACCATGGGGTTGTTGGTGGTGTCGACGTAGAGACCCTTGGCCTTGAGATCCTCGACGATCTGCCTGCGCACGTGGAAGCGCAGCATACCGGCGTAGGGCCCAGCGTTGTCGTTGTAAGTGCCGTCCTCGTTGAGCAGGTTGATGAAATTGAGGTTGTGGCGCTTGCCCATCTCGTAGTCTTTGTTGTCGTGGGCCGGGGTGATCTTCACAGCACCGGTTCCGAACGCCATATCGACGCTCACAGGGTCGGCGATAATGGGAATGCGGCGATCGAGGAACGGGTGGACGACAAACTTGCCGTGCAGGTGCGTGTAGCGCGGGTCCTCAGGGTGCACGGCGATAGCCGAGTCTCCGAGCATGGTCTCAATACGCGTGGTGGCAACGACAATGCGCTCATCCGAGTTCTCAACCTGATAAGCAAAGTGAACCAGCACACCAAACTCAAACTTCTCCTTGGCAGGGTAGCCGGGAACGCTCATCAGCGTGCGGCCGGGGATTTCCAAGTTCTCAACCTCCAAGTTGGAGAGCGTGGTGTTGAGCGCATGGCACCAGTTGACCAGACGGTTGGAGCGGTAGATGATACCGTCATCGTAGAGACGCACAAATGTCTCGAAAGTGGCGCGCGACATCATCTCGTCGAGGGTGAAGCGCTCGCGGTTCCAGTCATACGAAGTACCGAGGCGCCTGACCTGGGACATAATGATGTTTCCGTACTCGTTCTTCCAATCCCACACCTTGTCGACAAAGGCCTCACGGCCGAGATCGTGGCGGGACAGGCCCTCCTGTTTCCGAAGCTGCTGCTCGACGACAACCTGCGTGGAGATTCCGGCGTGGTCGCTTCCGGGGATAAAGAGCGTAGTGAGGCCACGCATTCTGTTCCAACGGACAAGTGAGTCCTGGATGGCAATGGTCATTGCATGACCAATGTGCAGCTTGCCAGTGACGTTGGGTGGCGGAGAGGCGATGACGAACTGGCCCTTGGGGCTGATCTCGCCGTTGGGGCCGGTCTGCGGGTCGAAGAAGCCCTGGTTCTCCCACCAATCGTACCAGGAGGCCTCGACGACATCGGGCTCGTAGCTGTCGGCCATGGGCTGGGACATGTCCTTCTTCTCTCCCTTGGGGGTGGCGACGAAAGCAGCCTTGCTAGCCTCGGGCGCCGAGCGGGGCTCCTTGACCTTCTTATCCTTCTTTGTGGGAGCGGCGGCGGCCTCAGTGGCGGCGGCAGCATCAGCATTGGCTCCAGTGGCAGCCTTCGAGGCAGCCTGCTTGGCCAGGAACTTCTCCATTTTGGCTTGGCGCTTAGCATCGTTCTTTGCCTGGTTCTTAGAGTTGACAGGCGGGGTCTGAGTCTGCTCAGCGGCAGAGGCTTCAGACTGAGGTTTAATGGACATTTAATAGTTGTGGTTTTTTTTGGATAAATAAATTTGAATTTAATAAAGGAGGGAGGAGGGAGGAGGTTGGAGTTGTAGACAACGAGAGGGAGACTACTGGTTTTATAAAAAAATTTGCTGATGTGCGAGAAAAAAATACAAATTCTTGAAAAGGCAATGTCTGAAAAAAAAAGTTGATGATTCATGTTCATATTGATGAAAAATAAAGAAAAGCATGGTTGCCCATTCGCTGTCTTTTGCAGGCACAGCAGAAAAAACAACTAAATAGGCATGTAGATGCGGGCGGCTGGCATTCCGCATCAATAAGATAATGGTTTGATCAACGGCCTCGGAAAGTCGAAGAAATTATTCCCCAAACGCAGACGCAGTCCACAGGCTGGCTGTCTGGGAGATATACCGCACCCACGCCGAGCTTTTAATGGACGGACATCAAACCCACAGCAGACGCCATGTTTAGTCGCTTGGAAATCCTCAGCAGTGGGTCGCATCGTATAAGACTTTCACTACTTTATCTCACATTTCAAGGCGGTCCGTACATTCAAGAACCGCTGGACACGGGTGCCGTGCCAGTGGTTCCAGTTTGACCCGGGCGAAAAAAGCTCACCGGAGCGCTTACATTCTGCAACAGTCTAAGTCCAGGACAGCCGTCCTCAATTACTATGCACAGCGCAATCCCCCAAACTCAAACATCAGCACCAATGTCTCCTCAATGGCTATTCAAGCAGCGCCGCCACCTAATGCAAGGGAATTATTGTGAGCAACTTGTGTAGTTTTTGTTTTATCGAGTTTTTATAATAAGATTCGCACTAAGTTACTATGTCAAAAAAATAAACATGTAGATGCAGGCGCGCCTTAAGCGTTGCTATGAGGGCTGGCGCTGTTGGTGTTAGCGTTAGCGCCACCGCGTCCACGTCCGCGCGCATTGCCACGGCCCCTGGCTCCTCTGCCGCGGGCACGGCCGCCCCGGCCTCCGCGGCCGCGCGAGTTGATCACGCTGTAGTCAAAGCCGACCTGGTTGTAACCCTGGGCGGGCGCTGCGTGCTCGCTGCGGTTGGCAACATGCAGGGCGGCCTGGCTGGACTCGTCTTCGTCCTCATCCATGCTATCGCTGAAGTACTCCTCTTCGATGACAAGTGGCTTGTGGACCTTGGGGCTGCTGCCGATGGACATGGCCTCCATCGGGCCCGCGAGCAGCGTGCTGATGATGCTCTGTGCGCGCGCCTGGTCGCCCAACGGGGCTGCCGGTGCGTGCTGCGGCCGGGCGGGTTTGGGACCATTGATAAGCTGCGCCAGGATGCGGCTCGCGTGCTCGTGGTCCTCCTGGTCCTTGGCGCTACCGTTGGCCCACGGCGCGCGCCGCGGCTCAGGTACGGTCACTGCAGTGGTGCCGTCTGGCAGCACGCCGGTCGGCCGGGCAAACATCGCGCGCGCCTTGGCGGCGACGGCGGCGGTCTGACCGGCAGATGCGTTGGCGCGAGTGGCGCGCTGCGCGCTGTGCACGGTGTCGGGCGCAGGGCGGATAACGTTGACCGGGCGCGGCGCTGCGGCGGTGGCCGGGGCAGTCGACTGCGCCAGGCCCTGGCTGGTCAGGTCCAGCACGTGGTGTGGGGGCACCAGCGCACCGCGGCGCGGCGGGCAGCGATCGTCCAGAGTTGACCCGTCGAGGAACTCGCGGTCGAAGACCACCTCGATCATGTGGATCATCTCGGCTGGCACGCCCTCCTGGTGCATGCGCGCCATGTGCTGGTCGCCGGCCACCGGCTGCGGCTGCTGTGGGCTGTTTGCTGCCACCTCGCGCGCGTGGATGGCGACGACGTAGCCCTTGGCGCCAAGCGGCACGCTGCTGCTGCGATCTGACACGTACACGACGCGGTGGCCAACCATCAGCGCCTGCGCACACAGCAGGTACTGTGCATCGGCCGGCCGCAGCAGCGCCTCGCGCCGCACGTTGCGCAGGGGTATTTTGCGCGTCGCAGCGCTGGTGGTGGCAGTGGCCAGAATGGCAGCGATCTGGTCGCCAGTCAGCAGCTCTGACTCGATAGGCACCGGCGCCAGCGCTGCGCTGTCGACATTGGCCTTGTGCCACTGTTTCAGGCGGCTGACCTCGGCGGCCACCTGCGCAGAGTTTCTGCCGCCGCCATTTCCGCTGCCGTCGCCTAGCGCGAGCGACGCAGCCATCATGTCATTGCCACGGTCGGCGGCCAGGCGCGCAAACATACTAGGGAATGCCGCCTTGTACTTGGCGACCAGTGCCGCAGCGCGGTCCGAGAACAGCCAGCCGTTGGGCCCGCGGCGCGTGTAGCCGGGCACCTTGAGGCGCTTGGCCTCAAACTTAAGATCCAGCCCGATGGGTATGCGCGTGTCGCCGTGTTGCAGCATCATCTTGGATGTGATTCGCGAAAGTAGCAAAGGCGGCAGCCCCAGCTCGCGCGCCACCACGAACGACGGCCGGTAGCGCTCGCCGCCGAGCCGCGCGTGGTGCGCCAGCGCAGTGACACCGGCGGTGTTGGCGCGCGCTTCTGCGGTTGCGTCGGTCGGCTCAATGAGCTGCACGTGCGCGCCGATGGCTGTGCCGGCGGTGTCGCGGCTGTAGCCAGTGACCTTGCCGGGCGCGCCGTACAGGTGGCGCGAGCGGCCCAGGTAGAAGATGCGGTCGCGCACCGGCAGCGCGGAGTCCAGCGCCACGGCCGCGCGCTCGGCGAACCGCGGGTTGCGCGCCCAGGCGCCAGTGCTGTCGCACACAACGAGCGCTGCGTGGTACGGCTCGACGCCAAGCGCGGCCCACTGCGCCAGCCCGGCGCTTGCGCTCGCAGCCGCCGTGGGCCCGTAGTCGCGCACCAGCGCGCCGTCGGCCAGCAGCTGCATCCCGCGCAGGTGCAGCACGTGCAGCAACACACGCGGCTCATCGCCGACAATGACGGCCTGCATCTTTTTGGCGTGGTACACGGCGTCCATGAGGCGCTTGGTCCATACCTGCCGCTCGCCGGCGCCCGCGTGCTCGGCGAACGCAACGTGCGCACCGCTGGCGTCGGCCGTATACACGCCATCGACGTCCGACACGCCGACAACCACTGCGTCGCGCAGGTACGGCCACGCAACAAACACGCGCTGTGCCGCATCGCTGCCGCACAGCAGCTGCTTGGCGATAGCCGCTGCTGTGCCGGCCGCCGCGAGCGGCCCCGGCTGCAGCTCAACCACCAGCGACTCGTCGCGGCTGGGCGACCCGAACACCTCGGTAGAGTTGAACATGAGCCGCGCTATGTGCGCCGCCGAAAATAGCGACGGGAACCCGGCCTGCAGCAGCGCGCGTGTGGCGGCGCCGGCGACCAGTCCGCGCACCAGCGGCAGCGGCGGCTCGCGACCGCCCTTGCGCACCAGCGTCGGCAGCACGTACAGCATGCCCTTGCACCTCAGCGGCCGGATCGGCGGGAACCGCAGGTTGCTAGGCGGCGTGTACGAGGGCACGTCGACCGCGTCCTCGGCGTCGGCCTCGGCGTCGGCCTCAGCGTCGGCCTCGCTGCTGAGCGGCGCGTACGAGTACGTCATGTTGGTGCCGCGGCTGTTGCGACGCATCTCGTCGTCCGACAGCTGTGCTAGCTTGGGCAGCATGGCCGCGCGGATGCGGTCGACGTCGACAAAGTTGATCAGCACCACAGCCTCCCATGGCATCTTCTTTCCATTCATGTCGACGTCAAACGACGTCGGGAACATATCACGGATCGGGCTGTGCATGTCGACCATCAGCGCGCGCAGCGGCGCCGGCAGCAGCTTGCGACTGTACGGCGGCAGCACGCACATCAGCTGCTCGTACGGCGTGTACGGTTCGTCATGCGGGAACGTGTCGACCTTGTACGCTGCCAGCCCAGAGCAGATGTCGCTGATGCACGGCGCGTAGTGGTACGGGTAGTACCACGACCACGACTGGCACCCGTGGTAGTAGTACTGCAGAACCCACTGTAATGTCTTGATGTAGTGGCTACACATCGGCTCGACGGCCGCCGGCGCCTGCCTGAACTCCTGCGCCGCGCCGGCGTTGGCCCCCACTGTCGGCACGTTGTAGGACGCGTCGACCTTAGCGCGGTAGTACCCGCCCTTCCACATTTCGAACCGCTGCCAAAAGTCGCTGCTGTCGCCCTTGCGCGTGTAGTCGTCCAGCTCGCCGTCGGGAACCACCACCGCATCGTCGAACTCGCCCAGGCACGCGCCCACGTACGCGACGACTGCCGGCTGGTCGTCTGTGTCGCTGACCTGCTTGACAAACTCGGGCACCGCAGACCTGTCGCCATCTTCGGAGCCGGTGCTGCCGCTGCCGTCATCGGTGTCCTCAAGCGCGCCCAGGACACTGTAGGGAGTCGCTGCGGACACGCCGGCACGCACAAACCCAATACCACCGAGAACCACCGCGTCGTCGTCGTTCGAATCGCTGTCCTCGAGCTCCAGTTTGGCAAGTGCCCGCTCGCTGCCGGCCGCCACGTACAGCGTCATCGCGCCGTCGTGTGCGTACTCGTGCCCGACGTGCAGCTCCAGCTGCTCCGCCGCCTTGGTCACAATCAGGTTGTCCAGCGCCGTCGCCGGCCCGGGTAGAAACTGCATCTGTACCTTTTCGCCTGCTGCCGCCACCTTGGGTAGTGCGCGCACAGCAAAGCGCCGGATCAGCTCCAGCATCGCCTGCTGGCTCTTGGAGATCACAAGCTTATTGCCCTTGATTGGGATCGTCGTCTCGCCTAGCACCTCCGGCCCGAGATCAAACATCTCGCTCTCGCTGACCCTGTCGGTGTTCATGCCGAGCCCGTGGCGCTTGTGCCGGTGGCCTCCTTTGCCATGGCGCCTGGCGCCGCCGTACCCGTTGTCAACCACGATGCTCGACGCCTCGGGCGTCTCACCGCGCTGCACTGCCTTGCGCTTGTACACCTGGTACCACTGGTGGTCGGCCACCTCGAGCTTGAACGAGTCGACCTCGACCTTAGCCACCTCGCGCATAAACAGCTCGAATCGCTCAAGATTGAGCACACCGTTGTCGTGCAGGTACCCGCCGAGTGATGGGCGGATGCGCATGTATGTCGCAAACATAAAGTTGAGCGCGCCGCCATTAATCGACAGCTTGGGCAGGTTGGGTAAAAAATCGTTACCCACCAGCATGATCATCAGGATGTAGTCGTCAATGATGCGCTCGAGATCGAACGCATTGCTGCTGTCTCCGCTGTCGTCCTGGGGACCCGCCAGCTGGCCCTGCTCCATCGTCGTGTACTGCTGCGAGCTGCCCAGCTCAGCCTTGAGCCCGCTGAACTCATGGTCGAGGTAGTCGCGCAATATCGAGATATGCAGAAGATAGAATGCCTGCATCGACGGATCAGCCGACGTCGTGCCCTTGCGCGCGCGCGCGCCAAACAGAACTTCCTCGCGCAGCAGCGAGAAGTGCGGCTCGTGGCTCAGAAGCCCGAGCATGATCAGATCTGCATCCAGCCCGTACAGGCAGTGGCGCGTGTTGGCCTGGTATCCGGGCTGCGCGCGCGAGAACCGGATGTAGTCCATGATCTTGTGCTCGCCCTCGCCCGGCACATTCGGTGCACTGAGGATGATCTGCGGCTTGCGCCAGTTAGCGTCCTCCGATACGCGCTTGTTGATGTAGTACCGCAGAGCCTCAGTGAGCTTGTCCATAAACTCGGTTCCGGGCGTGATGCACGTCGGGTCAAACACTTTGTCGTTGTACTCGTCCTCGCCGGGCGGAATGACCTCACCTTTGATGCGCCGCTCCTGCAGCTCCTTGGCCTGCAGCTCCTCGAGCTCCTTGGCCGTGCGGAACCGCCGCGCGCGCTGCTCGTTCATCTTGGCCCGGGGCGCAACGCCGTCAATTCCTAAGAAAAACACCTTTTGTGGGCGGATCTTGTTGAACAAAAAGTCAATGTAGTAGAATATCGCGAGGAACCGCTCCTCGTCCGTCGCGGGCGCCGCGACCTCGCCGTCCTTTGGGTGAGTGCAGTTGTGGATGATGCCATTCATATCCAAGTACAAGTTATCGAACTCAGGGATGTTGTCGTCGCTGACACGCTCGCATACGAGCGGATACCGTCCGCTCAACCAGCGGAAAAACTTTGGAATTCCCATTGAAGACTAGTGGTGGTGGTGATATCTAATTCTAAGCGTGCTTTGAGGAGCAGCAGCAGAAGCAATAACACGTGATAATTGAGACGAGAAAAGGAGCAGAGAAGAGCATAATGTAAAATGCATTTGGTTTAGTCTTATAATTTTATTTTTGCTTTTTCTTAATTCATTAAGCGCGTGAAATTGAGATTGCACGAAGTTTAGCGTTTCAGTCCTCTTGTGTAAACACAGCGAGGGCGGGGGCATGGGTCTGTTTAGTCGATGGCAGAATCGATATTAGTGGCGGGAAATACAGCATGTTGCTAAAGCATAAAGTCAATATAATTGGTGTGTTGTGTACCTGTTAAATAAGAGGGAAAATAATAAATGTATCAAATGTACAAATAAATATAAGAAATATAAAGAAGATTGCAAAATAAAAACGAAGTAAAAAAAATCAAAAATCAAAAAGATAAAGAGAGAGAAAAAGAGAGAGAAAGAAAGAGAGAAAGAAAGAAAGAAAGAAAGAGAGAAAAATGCAGCTGAGTCCTCGAGCAGACACGACGATACCACAAGCGCCAACAGCAGCATCAATCGGCAACACGAAAATTGTATGAGAAAAAAAGCTAAAAAAAGAACGTCTTGATGTGACGTTTTCCCCTCCCCCACACTCTTCCTTTCTAAAGGCAAACTTTACTCAAACTCAATATTATAAAAATCCTTTTTGCAATCACTTTCTGCACCTGCAAAGCATTTGGCCTCAATCTTTTTTTGTATTTTCACATTTCCTTCAAAGCAAGTCGAGCGTTCTAAGAGAAAGAAAACCACCTATACACAGCCATTCACAATGTCTGAACAGAGGGGATTCGAGCTCCTCAAGAGCGCGGAAAAGAAGGCTCAGCAGAAGGGCTGGTTTAGCGGCCCCAAGTACGAGGAAGCCGGCGAGCTCTACGAGCAGGCGTCCAACCAATTCAAATTAGCAAAGCAGATGCGCGAGGCTGGCGACGCCATGATCAAGGCCGCGCAAATGAGCCTCAAGGCCGAGGAGCGCAACGACGCAGCACAGCGCTTTATTTCGGCATCAAAGTCGTACAAGAAAAACTACCCTTCCCAAGCCGTTGATGCACTGAAGCAGGCAGTGGCTCTGCTGACTGAGCGCGGCAACTTCCGGATGGCCGCTTCAAATCAGAAGGAAATCGCAAAGATCTATGAAGAGGCGCTGTCGGACGACGAAAACGCTATGGAGGCCTACCATCTGGCGGGCGAGTGGTATGCCACTGAGGACTCGATGGCGCTGGCCAACGGCTGCCAGCTCAAGGTTGCAACCTTTGCCGCTCAGCTGGAAATGTACGACCGGGCAATCAAGATATTTGACACTATTGCCGAAGGCAGCCTGGACAACCAGCTCACAAAATGGTCCGTCAAGGACTATTTTTTGAAGGCCGAGCTTTGTCGGCTCGCCATTCCCGATGATATTGGCGCGGCAGAGGCGCTGGGCCGGTACAAGGACATGGACCCAGGATTTGAAAAGACACGCGAGTACAAGTTTCTCGACGAGATCATTGCTGATGTCAAGAAGGGTGACTCGCAGTCATTCACTGACCACGTCGCCATTTACGATCAGATCTCCCACCTGGACAAGTGGAAAACAGCACTGCTTCTGCGTATCAAGCATTCAATCTCCCAGGCCGAGGACGACCTCATGTAGCGAAGAGGACCCGCTGCTGTGCTGTTCTATGCCATGCTTTCCTCGTCATTATTTTCCTTATACACACTCGAGCAAAACAAATATATTTAATTTTTCAATCACTCACTGCATTTGGCTGTCTGCGCAGCTTAGTATCCAGCAGTGTAGCAAAGTGTTTAGATACGTTTGTAGAATAGAATAGAATTCAAATAAAGAAATAAAAGAAAAAGCAATGTATTTCTGATAGACAACGATTTCTGCGAGTGCTTTCGTGCTCAGCGACCGTACTTTTGGTAGTTCCACTCGCGGTTGTCCAAGGGACACGTGTTCCGGTTCTTCAGCCAACGCGCAATGCAATGGAAGTGGAACGCATGGTTGCAAATACCCCATGCGAGAGAGCAGTCCTCGGTGCTGTTGGTGTCCTGGTCGGCTTGGCACTCAATGCACAGCTCCATGTTGTTGTTGCGACAAATGGCGCAAATGTCTGTGTCCATGTCCCAGGCCCACATGGCCACGGCGTTCCACTTTTTGATTTCGATTCTTGGCCGAGTGACTTTGCCCGCGTTGTCGCTCTTGGCTGGCTCTACAGGGCTGGGTGCGCTAGCGGCAGGGGAGGGCTTGTCAACATCCATGTCTGCCATTGTAATTTATTGTTTGAAAATGTAAATTTCTCGAGGGGTGTGTTTTGGAGCGGCTAGACCTGATTCAGTGGTGGTATAGGTGGGGTTGTGTTTGTGTTTGTAGTAATAAAATAAAAGAATAGAAAAAAGTATAGCGGGGAATGCAATTAGTGTTGAATATCGAAAGTGAGGCAAAAGTGCAAAGGTGTTTTAACACAGACATCGCGCAGCACTGCAAAGCGTGCACACGCAATTTCCTTTGAAGCCTTGTCCATTTGCATGCCTTTTTGATTTTAGCTCTTTGGCTTTGGCTTTGGACTCGACGCTTTGAAGCAGTTGATTCAGCTCGCAATTTAGAATATGCCGAGCCGACGAGCCGACGAGCCGCAAATGTTGCAATGAGTGTTCATTTTTTCACTTTTTTTTTTTTTGCTACAAGCTTGATGTGGGGTTTTGTGTGCAATGGCGCATCTTTTGGTCCTAGCAAAGAAAGTTTTTTCTTCACTCCCTTCCATCTCTTTCTTTTCTGTGTCTCTCAAACTTTTGCAGTGTTCTTTCTTTTTTATATTAGTACAGCTTTTTGGGTCTTTTTATTGCTTCTAGTTGTTTCTTCATTGACTGTATATAAGCAAAAAATACAAGGTCCAACTCTCCTTTTATCCAAACGCCTCGCACGAGCAAGCCAAGACAAAGCGGTTCCGCATCTCAAAAATACAAAAACGCGTCTTAGAAGCATATTTCATTTGCCTTCTTTTGTATATCAACACCCGCTAACAAGAACATAACTACCGTTTGCAAGAAAAATCAATCATGGGCGACAGCTGGGGTAATAGCGGTGCCGGTGGCAGCACCGGTGGCGGCTGGGGTGGTAGCAGCACCAGTGCAAGTGCAAGCTGGGCACCGAGCTCGAATAATAACGCTGGTGGCTATTCGCGCCAGGATCGTGGCAGCTATCGCTCGTACGACGATAACAGCCGGAGCGACCGCAAGGACTATGATCGCGGAGGCAGCTCTGGAGGCTATGGTGGCGGTCGTGGTGGAAGTTATTCCTCCGGCGGTCGCGGCGGTGGCTTTGGCGGCGGACGTTTTTCCCGCCAGGAGCCCCAGGAGCTTGTCAAGCCGGACTGGGACATGAAGACGCTGCCCAGATTTGAGAAGAACTTTTACGTTGAGGACCCGAGTGTTGTGAGCCGCTCCCAGCAGGAGGTTGATGATTACCGCAAGCAGTTCGAGATGACCATCCACGGTACCGGCATCCCCAAGCCCATCACCTCATTCAAGGAGGCCAACTTCCCTGACTATGTTATGGACGAGATTTCGAAGCTTGGATTTGAGAAGCCCACTGCCATTCAGGCACAGGGCTGGCCCATGGCACTTTCTGGCCGTGACATGGTTGGTGTTGCTTCGACCGGATCCGGCAAGACCCTAGCCTACACGCTGCCAGGAATTGTGCACATCAACGCGCAGCCGCTGCTTCAGCCTGGAGACGGCCCCGTTGTGCTTATCCTTGCGCCCACGCGCGAGCTGGCAGTTCAGATCCAGACCGAGTGCAACAAGTACGGCTCATCATCGCGCATTCGCAACACCTGCGTTTATGGCGGTGTCCCCCGTGGCGGCCAGATCCGCGACCTGAAGCAGGGCGTTGAGATCTGCATTGCCACGCCTGGCCGCCTGATTGATATGCTGCAGATAGGCGTTACCAACCTCCGCCGCGTGACCTACCTGGTCCTTGACGAGGCCGATCGCATGCTTGACATGGGCTTTGAGCCCCAGATCCGCAAGATTGTTGACCAGATCCGCCCTGACAGGCAGACCCTCATGTGGTCAGCGACATGGCCCAAGGAGGTCCAGCAGCTCGCCCGCGATTTCCTCCAGGACTATATCCAGGTGAACATCGGATCTCTTGATCTTGCTGCCTCGCACCATATCAAGCAGATTGTCGAGGTTATCCCTGAGGCTGACAAGCGCTCGCGCCTTGCGCGCCATCTGGAGCAGATTATGACCCAGCCCGAGAACAAGACAATCATCTTTTCCATGACCAAGCGCACTGCTGACGATATCACTCGCAACTTGCGCCAGGACGGCTGGATTGCGCTTGCGATCCACGGCGACAAGTCGCAGAGCGAGCGCGACTGGGTCATCCGCGAGTTCCGCGCTGGCAAGACCCCCATCATGGTGGCCACGGACGTCGCATCCCGCGGACTTGGTAAGTTGAATCTTGTATAATTTGTTCTTATTGTGTAGGCCGCTCACAGACCCCGTTTTTTGCTGCATCTGTCTTGTCTTTTTTGTATTGTTTTTGTTGTTGTGCGATGGCATGTTTGTGCAATTTATTTTGCTTCGGGACTCCGTTCTTTGTTTAGCAATGTCTGTCTTGCGTTGGAGGCCTAAAAACTGGTACAAATATGGCTACGATTCACAGTTGCAGAGTTTTTCTCTCATTTTTTGTGCGGGGTCATATTTGAATCAATATTCGCTGTGCTGCACTGCACTGCACTATGCACTGCAAGGTTCTATGGCAGTCTCCCAATGACTTGAGTGTCAGCATTGATCTTTTTCATTGAGCGGTAAGGTGCGTCGTGGGTTCCAATCAATTGGCTTGGCTCAGCTCTTGTTGTCCACGGCACCCGGATAGTATTTGCAAATGGTGGAAGTGAGGGGGTGGGAAAATGTGGCTGATGTTGATGTGTGATCTTCAAATCGAGATTATGACTGCGTGAAACTTATGATCTGTCGGGTTTATTTTATGCCACAATTTTACTAACTACATTTTTATTTATTTCCCTTTTTGGCTATCTAGATATCAAGGATGTCAAGTTTGTTATCAACTACGACTTCCCTAACAACGTCGAAGACTACGTCCATCGTATTGGCCGTACTGGCCGCGCTGGTGCTTCGGGAACCGCAGTTACATTCTTTACGACCGAGAATGCACGCTCCTCGAAAGATCTGGTTCACATCTTGACTGAGGCTGGGCAGGATGTCCCCCAGCCGCTTGAAGAAATGGCCCGCTACAACTCGCGCGGTGGAGGTCTTGGTCGCTGGGGCGGCAGCCGTGGTCGCGGCGGAGGCCGTGGTGGAGGCCGCGGTCGCGGCGGCTTCGGTGGCGGTAGCCGCAACGGCGGCTACGGTGGAGGCTCAAGCGGGGGCTATGGCGACAGCAGCTATGGCTCATCGAGGTCGTCGTCGTATGGCGGCAGCCGCGGTGGCAGCAGTGGCTACTCGCGCGACGGAGGCAGCGGTGGCGGCAGCCACTCGCGCGGCGGCTGGTAGTCTCAAAATTTGTCCTGGTGCATGACATTTTATAATCCCTTTTTCATTTTAAAAATAACACTTTCTCACTTCAACACGTTGTTTCTTACGCCGCGCAAAATGACTTTTTTGTACTTCAAAATCAAATGTTTGGTTACAACCAAATGCTTTTTAAAACATCTCGTCGCCATGCGGGCACTCGTCTGTCCAGTGGTCAGCAAACAGTTCGCAGTTATCGCAGTATGGCCTTGAAGAGTCGATCGAGGATTCATGCTTGAAGGTTGTCGATGATGCACCTGTGATCTCAGGGCAGTCAGCGATTCCATGGGTGTCGACGTCACAAATGTCGCAGTACATGGGCTCGTCGTCTTCGCCATCGTCCTCAGAAATAACTCCGTTTGTAGTCAAGACCGCCGGGCTGTGCCTACTGGTGCCAGCGCCGGTTGCGTAGCGAGAGGTCTTTACGTTTCTATCGGCGCCTGACGACACTGCGGCGCTGCTTGAGCTAGAAACCACAGTGGCAGGGTCGGAGCTGCGCATCCGCTTTATCTCGCGCTGAAGCCGATCGACCTCGTCTGTGAGCATCAAAATCTTGTCGTTCATCTCAGACTCGCTGAAAATCTTATCCTCAACCAGGTCCTCCAGGTTCCCAATCTCGTCTTGCAGCTTTTTGATCTCGGAGCTCTTGCGGTTCTCCAGATCAGCAAGGCGCGACTGCAGCACGGCTATTTCTCTCTGGTGCCTTTGCTGTGCGGCATCGACGTCGGCAGACACAGATGCAGGGCTCGATTTTTGGTTACTCGGGTCGCTGCTGTCGGTATGCTTCTTGACCGAACCTGCTGACTCGTGATCGTCTGTGTGTGCTGGCTCGCCGGCGAGCTTTGCGTCTATTGCTGAGCAGTCAAGAGACACTGTGCTGTTGTGAAGGCTGAAAACGCGGAGCTCGTCGGTCAGCTTATGATTCTCAAAAGTCAGCTGCTCAATGTCTTCGACCAAGCGGTTGCACTCGGACTCGAGCTTCTCCAAATAGTCGTTGAAGACGGCCTGGTCCTGGATGAACTGTATGCGCTCCTCAACAAGCTTGCTGTTCTGGCACTCGAGCTCATCAATCCGGGATTGCAGGTTGCCGGTGGGCGCTGACTCCGAGCTGCAGGCGCCACCCTCATCTGTGATAGCCTTGCTTGCGGCCTGGGAAACTCCACGCCTAGCCTCTTCCAGCGCGACCACCAGCTCGGCAATCTGCACATCCCGAGACTCGATGCCCTCGGACAGAGCAGTGGCACGCTCCAAGCTGTCGCGCAGCCTGTCCGCCACGCGCGACACGCGCTCTTTGGACATTGAGAAAAGCTCTGCCATATTGAGAGCGGCAAGATGATCGGGGCCATCTTCGACAGAGGAATCGCTAGAGTGCTGCTGGGCCAAGAGCGCAACGTCGCAAAGGCACGAATGGCACTGCGACACCAACGTGGTTTTCTCGTTGTAGTCGGATGCCCTGTTCTCCAGGCCCTCCATGTCCAGCAGCGCGCTCGCAAGCTTTGCCTCGGCCTCCGAGCGGGCAAGGGTTTCAGCCTCTAGGCGTTCAGTCATGGCAGCGAGTCGCTCCTCGCCACCAGAGCAGTCCCGCCGCAGTTTCTCAACCTGCTTCTTCAATGACGCTATTAGCTCAGACTCCTCGGACGAGTCATCCGCCTGCTTCTGCTGTTGCTCGGACACTAGCTCCTCGTACAGTTGGTTGGCGCGGGCCAGATCGGCAGTGACGCAATCGAAACGCGTGCTGAGGGAGCTCAGCTCGCTGACTTTGGCGCCCAGGCTTGCCTGCAGGGCCTCCACATCAGCCGAGTGTTGCTCAAGCGTGCGATTAACCTCAGACTGCGCCTCCGCCACCGATTCAAGCTCTGAAGCGTGGTCCCGGGTGGCTTGGGCCAGCTGCGCTTCGAGCTCGACAATCCGGGCGCTGATTTCGCGCGTGGCCTCCGCTGATACAAGCTCTTTCTCGTTGGTATGAGCCCCTTCGACATTGTCGCTGGCATTGACGTTGTTGTTGTTACCACTGTTGGTTTCAGCCATATGGGCCCTAAGCTCGCTGATCTGACTCTCAAGAGACGTGATCTGGGCCTGGCTGTCCTTTCGCTCGCGCTCGAGCAGCTGATGCGTGTCGCTCAGCTGCTGGCCCAGTTCAGACGTGCTTGAACTGCCTTGAAAGTCAGTAGCTGCGCTCGACACGGCTGGGCTGAGGAGAGATAGTCTGCGGGTGCCATCAATGGGGCCCCGCATCTGCGGCGACATCGGGCCATTGACGCTGACCAAATCTCGAGCAAGCATCTGGCCGGCTGCCAAGTGCGCCTTGTCCTGCTCGTTTTTCAAACGCAGCACCCTGTTTTCAGCCTCTAGCATGTCAACGCGCAGGCGGAGCCTGTCGACAGGATCCGTAGATCCGGTCGCCTTGGTGCGAGCCCCAGCGCCCAGCGCCTTGGCGGCAATTTCCGGCGGGCGGGTTGAAACGGCAGGCATAATCCGTCGCCTGGTTGCCGCAGTGGATGCAGACGCCTGCATGTCCCCGCCGAGAGACTGGGTCCGCCCGAGAGCAGTTGACCGCGCTCCATTAGGTGCAGTGGCTGGCTGGTCGTTGCCTGCGGGCACAAGCGATCGCGAGTTAGGCCGCGACAGAGGGGGCGATGCGGTGCGATTGCTGATGATCGAGCTGGCTGTGGAAGCGGGTCGGGGTCTGCTGGGGCCTCGAGCAAGAGTAGCTGGGGGTGGGGCGCGCGATCGCGAGGGCGACGCGTGCGCATCTAGCGCTGCATTGCCAGCTGTCACTGGGGTGGTGCGTGACAGCGTTGTGCGCCGGTTGTGAGCGGTAGACGCCAGGCTGCCGCTGCTGCTGCCATTGTTGCTGCTGCCCCGGGCAACAGGCGGAAGACATGTTGATGGTTGTGTGTCGCTCGACATGCGTGCGCGGCCGGGCTGTTTTGGCTGGGTGCGTTGCTGGAGGCCCGATGAAGTCGTCGAAAGCCGGACTGTGCGGTTTACTGTAGCAGGCTGGTTGCCATCCTGGCTCGCGCGGACATCGCCAGTCGGTGTAGAGAGTACCGATGATATTGAGCGCATATGTTCCTCATCACCATCGGCGTCGCCGTTGCTGTCAGAAAAGTCAGCCTGTTCACTCGAAATAGGCTCGACCTTTGAGGGCGCCAAAAACAGACCGGTGCTTTTTGGGCAGGCAAAATAAATCTTTCCGGCCGCGGTACCATCGTTTTTTCCCTTTCCGACCTCGTCGAGCTCAACACCGGCCCACGTACCCTGCTTGCCATCGATCGGGCCCAGGTAACGCAGCCTCCCTCGAAGACCCTGCAGCGGTATAAAGACAGGGTCGCCGCAGCGCAGTCCAGCCACAGAGCCACCCTCGTTAGAAAATGACGCATTGCGCATATGTAGCGCGTCAGAGCCCGGCCGCAGAGTTCCCAAGGTAATGGGCTCAGACGACCGTGTGAGCAAGCCGCCGCCACGGCTGGTTCTCCCGGAAGCAAAGCCGTCATGGCTGTCCGATGCCTGGGGCGAAATGAGATCATGTGTAGGTGAGCGGGCAAGTGATCTGGACAGCGAGTTTAGCCGCCCGCCATCCCTGGAAGCAGATGGCGGCGGAGTCCTAAAGACAAGCGATGATGTATGATCGGCGTTGGATGCGCCTGGCGATGGGCTGACCGAGCCCCCAAACATGTTGCGCGCGGAAATTGCAGATGGGCGGCCACCGGCTCCCAAGGCTTCGACAGGTGGCGGCGTGAGTGTGGGCGTGGGTGTGGCTACTGTTGCGCGGCGAGCACCTGCCTGCACTCGCTGTGTGAGTGCAGGTAGGGCGGCCAGGGCCGGCAGGTCGCTCATAAAATCATTGTTTGCAAGCGAGCGCGGTAGAGCCATCCCAGACGCTGGCGGGCGAATGGAACCAGGTACCGGTAGTGCCGTTGCCGCTGCTGTTGTTGTTGTTGCTGGACCCCGAGGGAGTCTTGACATTTGCTGCGTGTGATGGCGAGTGAGCGCAGATTGCAATTATTATATAGTTTGAAATTAAAGGTGTAAAAAGGGATTTTGAAATTCTGACAAATGAAAGCGAACGAACGAATGATTGAGAACACGAAAATAGTGCAGAAAATTTTGTAAATTGGGAAAACACCAAAAAAAGCAAGAGCGCAAAAGTAGGTATGCATGAGTTTGAAAATGTATATTCTTGCACGCGTGGGTTCCTATGATGGGCTTTTCTTTTGGCTGCTGTCGCCGCTGCTGGGCAGGCAGATTATCGGAGTGCAAATTAACGCAAAGCATTGCCGCTGTTGCTGCTGCAGTTACTGCAGTCACTGTCGTCGCTGCCGAGTGCATCGGCGCCATCGTCAGTGGTGGCAGTGACAGTGTCCATTCTCGGGCGGCTGCCGACACGAGCAAGCTGGTGCTGGCCCCACGACTTGACGTCAGTCACGTACGACTGGGCAAATGTTTCTAGGGTGCTAATGACAAAGTATATCAGCATAATGGAGATGCAGGCATTCCACATGGATCCCAGCAGTGAAAACGATGAGCTCTCCAGGTGGGCGTCATCGGTGCTCGGCAGCTGCCCGGCGCCACCGCCAGTGGTAGAGCCGCTGCCGCTGCGCGCCGAGCCCTGCCCAAATGCGGCAGCCTGCTTGCGCAGCACGTGCTCAGCCAGGTCGTGGACCCAGGGGCTGACATGCGCGAGGAACGACAGCACCACGGCGATCATCTCCTTGCTGAACGCGGTAATGACAACGGCGGTCTGCATTGAGGACTTGATGATGGACTTGCCGATGAAGGTGGCACCGAAGAATGTCCAGAAGGGGACCTTGAAGTGGCCACAGGTAATGCCGGCCAGATCAAAGAGCGGATTAGGAATTGCGGCAAAGACAAGGATTCCGGCAAATCCAAAGCGCTGCAGCAGGTGGTAGATGCTGAGCAGCGCGCGATCTTTGACAGAGAGCGACCCGCCTGCGGCAGCCTTGCGCCTGAGGCGCTGATACTCGACGTCGCCCTGACCAGTGGCGGAGGCGGCGCGGGCAATAAAGTAGGGTGGCAGCTCGCCTATGGCAGTGCCGGCTCCCCAGCACAGACTCTCGAGGATAACCTTGCGCATGATGCCGGCAAACGTTGCCTGCGTGGCGCCGAACGCTGTGCTGCACAAAAACGCGTTGGGGCCACGCACGGCGAACGAGGTGTGCGTGCACTCGTATGCGGTAAGCGTGACGCGGGCAATGTGTGGGCCCAGAAAGAGGACAAAGGTGTGTAGACCGGCGCCCAGGCCGATGGATGAAAGCACGCCCAACAGCACCCAGTATGAGTACCAGCCGACCCATGCGTCGACGCGGCGGAATACATCGATATGCGGACCGCTGACAAAGTGCAGCAGCGTGTACACAATTCCCAGCGCAACCGAGTACGCCAGCGCCAGTGGGTACTGCGCAATGTACCTGGCCGTGCTGCGCAGCTTCTGCTTGAGATACAGCGTCGAGTAGTACGATACCTTGAACGGAGATGTGAAAAATGTCACCCTCTCAGGGTGGTTGGCATGCCTGGCACTGTCACCAGTCGCATCCTCGGGCACCCCAGGAATTATCTCCTGTGAGGCTCGGGCACTGTCTGCTGGGTTATGCTGAGCGCCAGCGCCAGCGCGACTGTGTTTGTCGGCAGCTATTGTTTCTGTTGTCAATGCTTCTATTGTCAAATTTTCTTTTGGTGTGTTTGAGTCTGGTGCGTTGCTGCGTGCGATGCGCGCCGCTCTCCTGCGAGCGCTGGAGCCTTTGCTGCGACGAGCCATGAATGTGTTTACAGCTTGCGACAATAGCTTGGCGGTATGCTGTTTACTTCTGCTTCTGCGTCTGCGTCTGCGTCTGCTACGTTTGGCAGGCAATAATACTTACTCGGGCGATGCTGCTGCAAACGCCGGCAAAACGGTGTAAATGAATTAATGCAAGGAGCCTTGCAAATCGTAGAGGACTTTAGAAAAAAATTATAATATAAAAATATAAATTAGCAGTTTGAAAAGAAGAATAACATGAAAATTTGTTTGAGAAAAAAGCCCACCTGCCACTATTTCGTTTCCGAGGGTCTGTTTGGCCGAGGTGCAGCTTTTATGCGCCCCCGTGGCCAGGCACAATCGATAGCATGAAGTTTGGTGGGAGTAGGAATGGGAGGGGGGGCTGCTGTTTGAATATGAATTGGAATTCGATTTCAACTTCTACATGACAATGCAGTCTTTTGTCGCGCGTTTTGCAGCGCTGCGCTTGGCTGGCATAGCAAAACACTTTGCGCCCTCGTTGGTGTCTGTGTCAAACAGAAACTCGCTGCTGGTGGCGCACGACTGCAGGTCGCTGATGGACGCGCTGCTTCCGTGGCAGTCGCGCTTAGCGCGCTGCGCAGCGCCGGGGCTGAATCCGGCGACCGCTTTAAAGTCGGAAGATGTCGCTCCACGCAAGGGATGCTGCCGCCGCCGTAACAGCGTCGACAGTGCACTGCGGTCTGTCCATGCGCCGGTGCCATTCGCGGGCGTCGGTCCGGAAAGGGATTCGAGTGATGCTGTGTTTGCGCGCTGGCGCCGGATTGACTTTGGGCGGCTGAGGAGAGCGGAGGCGGGGTCTCGGCCATCGCCAGCAGCCAGCGCCTGATAGTACACGGGCTGCTGTTGCTGTTGCTGTGCCATCATTTGCATCTGCACTTGGTGCTGCACCGACTGCGAGTAGGCTGGTGTTCCAGACGAGCTGCTGAAGGCCAGTGGTGCCGAGAACGGGCCCTTGTTGTGTCGAGACTCTGGGATTTGAATGCTCACCACGCTTGGGTGCAAGGGTACCTTGGGCGACCCATACTGCTGTGGTTGCTGCTGTTGCTGCTGCTGCTGCTGTGACTGGGCGCTGAATGACTGCTTCATAACAGGCGGCGTGGTGTACGATGCACGCTCAATCGGGGCAGGGACGCCGCGGGCAGACACTGCCTCGGCAGTATCATCGGTCTCCCAGCCAGACTCTGCGGTCTCCCTGCCGCACTGTCGTCCAACTGACCGCGGCTGAGGCAGTCCGTGCAGATAGTCCTGTGCCTGCTCCTCGGCCTGCGCAATGGCAGCAGACAGCCCCATGGTGACCGCCAGCGACACCGGGCGGCCTGTATGCGCCTCGCCGACAACGCCGTCAAAGCCATCGCGAAGCAAGCCGGACCGCGCGCCCATGTACAGTGAGCCGTCAGACGACCCGATTATGCTTCCCATGACCGAGCCACACGTGCCACCAATCAGGTCGGCCATGGACGCCGAGACGTGCGAGACCTGGGAGCTCTGGCCGGTCTGGCTGGTCTGACTGCGCGCCGTGCTCTTGCGGTGAGCGCGCAGCCGCAGGTTCGGCGTTTTACTCTCGTACCGCTTGGATGACTTGCGGCTTGCCGGATACAAGAACCGCGACATGCGCATGGCCGAGCACGGTGCCAGCTGCCGCGTGCAAGCATCGTGGCACCGCGTCTTGCACGAAGAGCACTGGATAAATGCCCCACTCAGTGCCCGCGAGCACACAGCGCACACGCACACGCTGTTATTGTCGCACAAAATGGTGTGTAGCCGGTGCCGCTTCATACGTGGTCCCTCGAAAGTCGAAATCGACCCGTCGGTTTCGTTGCCGCAAGCACTCGTCGGCGATGCAGCGCCGCTGCTAAGCAGTGTATGGCCAACAAACGCGCCAGCCACCGGTGACAGTGATAGCGGTGCCAAAGTTGCTGACAAAGCGGCAACATGAAGCCCGGAGTCGTCAAAGCGGCACAAGGTGTCGGCTGAATCCGGCAGAACAGCAGCATCCTCCTCGTCGTCATCTTTTTCCTCATTTTCCTTTTCGATACCCTCTTCCGCGGCGTCGCTGCCACCACCCTCGCCAAGCGGCGACAGCGGCTTCGTGTTCAGCCTCGCTGCATCGAATGTTGGGTATTCGCTCTGCTCGCTGGGCACGGTACGCGCCATGAAGGAGGACATTTTTCGGCTGCACGTGCGCCGCAGCATCTTAAGCTCCTTGCGGTTGCGCCCGTACTGCGCTGCCCAGCTGTGCGACATGAGCTCCGCAGCGGTCGGCCGCTCGCTCGGTTCCTTGCGGAAGCACTGCAGCAAAAAGTCCTTCAGCTCCTGCGAGATGCCCTCGGGAATCGGCGGGTGATCGTCCTCCACGATGCGGTACAGTGCCGCCATCTGCATGAGATCAGAGTACGGCGGCTTTCCGGTCAGAAGCTCGATTATAGTGCATCCCAGGCTCCAGATGTCAGACGCCATGCATGCGCCGTCCAGCTGGATGATCTCGGGGGCCATCCAGTACGGCGTGCCGGCAACCACCGACTCATCTCCTGGCTTGCGCAGCTTGAGATTCAGTGACACGCCAAAGTCCGTCAGCTTTGTGTTGCCCTTCTTTGTAGTCAGGATGTTACACGCCTTCAGATCGCAGTGCACAACGTCGCGCCCGTGCAAGTAGACCAGGCCCTCGATGATCTTTATTGCGTAGGCCAGCACCAGCTTCTCCGGGAAAGACCCAAACGACTTTAGTGTGGCGCTCAGCGACCCGTTTTCGACAAACTCCATCACTAGATTAAGATGCGCGTCCGTCTTGACAAACCCATAGTACCGCACAATCCGCGGGCTCGAGAGCGACTTGAGGAGATCCACCTCCTGCATCACATCGTCCATGTCGTCGACATCCTGCCCTACCAGCGCGATTTGCTTGACTGCCACCATCTGCCCTGTCTCAAGGTCGAGCGCGCGGTATACCGATCCAAACTGCCCGCGGCCAATGCAGTTCCCCAGCTGATAGTTCGTCAGCCGCTGGTCGTTCTCGGAGTACACTGTCAGCCGCTCCTTTGGCCTGTTTTTTGTATTTGTGCGCTTCCGCGGCCGCGGCACCAGAATCGTATCCTCGTGCTCATTCTCGCTGCCTACTGGATTTTTATCGGGCCTTGACGAGCCCGAAGAGCTAGCGGTCCGTTGAGTATCTTCGCCACTCGCAAACAATACTGTATTGCTGGTTCTGCTGGCCGCAGATGCTTTCGCAGTATTATCCTGCATGTCTGGTTCTAGCCCCCGACTGCTTGAATTGGGGGCTGTGTTGCGTGTGTTTGACTCGAAGCCTACGGGCGCTGGCACCAATTTCAAAGTGTCTTGCCGAGCTGCGGTATTTTCGATTTGGGGATTCTTGAGCCCATCCTGCAAAGATTCTGAATGAACTGGCTGTGCTTTTGCCGCTGCTGTTGTTGCTGCTGCTGTTGTTGCCGCTGATAGTGGTGTGTTCGTGGTGGGCAACCGAACTTTTTCAGCTGGGCTCGGGATAAACAGCGTAGTTGCGCTTTGGCGCTTTGACCGCCGGCGCTCTTTGCGCGATCCGTAGACTGGCTTGACCCGAGGCGACCCAGGAGGCCGTCCCAACAGGACTGCTGTTGCGGTCAATAATTCGCCCTTTGGAAAGACAGGAATGTTGCCCATCACTTTGCTTGTGTTTACTAACGTGGGCTGGTTGTGCAGTGATGTGTACTCGCATGCCGGTGATTTTGGCGATGGGGAGTTGGCCCATACCGTCAGCGTGCTTGAATTCCACCCGTCCCCCAGTGTCCGCTGCGCGTCGATCAGCTTGCGATGCGAGTTGAGGGGTATGCCTGCCACCACACGCGCTATTGTCAGCAGGGTCATAATCACCCGAGGTATATTTTTACCTTCGTATAGGTCGACTGTCTGAAACAAGTCTGTGCTCTCCAGTCCCAGCTTTTGAGCTGCAGACAAAAAATTGCCAATATTCTCCATCTACACAAAGCAATACCGAAACAGATAGCAGTCCATAAAAGTTAGCGATACCATTAATCCAAGCAAGATTGCAAAAAGTCAATATTGGGCCACTGCAAGTGTCAAAAAAAGTGGTGTGCACTCACCTGTGTAAACGGAAGACTCCTAGTGTTTATGCGCTTTATTGCGCCCGGCCTGAGAGTGTTTATCAGTCGGCATAGAACAACGCCGTCACGAAGGCTGTCCTTAAGTGTAGACGCTTCGAGCTGTAGCCCGAGTACTGCCTCAATGAATTTGATGGCAGTGTCGTAGTTCCGGGTCTGCTGTTCGGCCTTGAGCTGCCCTAGCAGCTCCTCCGGCTGAAAGTCACCATAGTGTGTGCTGGAAGCCTGCTTCACTGACATTGTAAATAAAATATAGAGTAGCGCTCGGAATGAGGAATAAAAAATATTAAGTGTAAATAAAATAAAATAAACAAAAATAAACAAAACGAAAACAAAGAGACCAAAATTGAAAATAATCGAACCCAGCTCTGCATTGAAAAAATCATTCCTCATTTGGTCAAAAGGGTCGTTTGTGTTTTTGCAAAGAACGCGTTGCGATAAAAAAAACTGCAGCTGCAAACCAACCACGCATACTTTACTGTATTTGTCTGCTTTGGGGACCAGCGGGAACCAGCGCTCAGCAATCAATTTTTGCCCTTGCCCTACATACTATTGCTACACGCACTCCATCTGCGCATCTGCCCCTGTTCTTGTCTTTCTGCCTGTCCCTATTTTTTGTTTATTTTGGAGCAGACGCCTCTCTTATCAACTCGGTGCTTGGTGACAATAGCAATAGCAATGCGGTGTGTGTGTCGACTCGCTGCGGCATCGATGCTGTGTGAGCCCCGCATTCTGTTACCTGAAATGGTGACATAATAAACGATCAAATTAAATGTTTTGTCGATTAACTTTTTTTGGCAATGGTGCTCGGACTGTTTTTTTTGATAACCCGATGAATGCACGATAGGCATCATCCCGTTTGTAAATTCTCCTGCAAAATTTCACAAGCTCGCAAAAGAAAAAGAAAAAACATTTCTCGGATCTTGAACAGGCTCTTTGATTGCGCTCAACTCGCTACGAAATCCCGCGTGCTGCCTTCGTCGCCCGTTACTATGCGGCAAGCGGTGCCTCAACATCCCCCTCCTTTTTATTCACTTCAGCTTGATTGGGCAAGCGGTGGTGATCCAGGAGGTCTCGACGGTGCTTTCTGCTGCTTCTGCTTCCCTGCTATTAAATCTAGTAGGAAAACTCCACAACCAATCTCGGCAAGAAAAAAATGCGCACCCTTCTCCATCTCTCCATCACCCGATTTGGTATTTCTTTTTTCATTACGCTAACTTTTACTTTCTAATATCGCTCCACCTGCACCTTTACAGCACAAACACCAGCGAAGAACAGCCATGTCGAGCATCCCTAACCGCCGGCGCACTATCACCATCGCTTCCGGAGACAGCAGTAACAACGCTAACCCTGAGCGGAGCGCTGGGTTTGCATCGTCACTCAGCAACGATGCTGCGCAGCACATCCCTTATGACTTTGCCAGGCGAGGCATAGGCACTCGATCCGTATACGGCGCTCCTCATGCATCTGCGTCCAGGCCAAGGTTCAGCGACAGGCCTAACTCGAACTACTCGCAGACGCTAGACTCAATCCGCGATCGCACGCTGTTGCTGAGCAACTTGGGGCTGGCAACCAGCAGGCGCGAAAGCGCGCAAAGTGGCCGAGGAGATACGGCGGCTCATGGACACAGCAGCAGCCGCAATAGCAGTATGGGCGGCTGTTCGTCGATTGATATGATTCTAGCAGAGGCTGGGCCTAGGGGCAGCAACCTCTCTCGCCTGCTGCGCGAGCGCTCTCCGCAGGGCTTACTCCCTGTTTCTCAGCGCCCCCATGAGCATAGCGAGATCGAACACCTACCGCCACTGGATCCTGGCTATATGGACACTGCTCGCATACCCAAGAATGCAAAGCACCTGAGTAGGTACTCCATGAACGCGACCTCCCAAGATAATAAAATGGCATTGGGCAACTACGGCAGCATAAATCAACAGATTGACACGGGGATTCAGCAGCAGCAAATACACATCGATATGCCGAAGCATCAGACTGATGATACTATGGTGCCGGACAAGATAAACGCACAGCAGCAAACTCAAGAGCAGCGACGGCCGCTGCTACGGCTGTCTCCGACGCCATCAACCTGCTATGAGCAGCCACAGTTGCAAGTCGAGGCCGATAGCGAGTACGCTCATTTGCAACGGCGTTGGGTTGTTCTCCTCGATTTGGTGCTTTGGCCAATGCAGTACATCCCGGCTGTCATTCTGGGCCTGATCCTGAATCTGCTCGATGGTCTCTCTTACGGACTTATTGCCTTTCCAGTCTCAATCCCTGTATTCAGCAAGTTTGGCCCCGTCGGATTTTCTATGTACATGCTAAGCACAGCAGTTGCGCAGCTCGTCTACTCGGGCGGTGCCAGCGCGTTTCGCGGCGCCAACGGCAGCATGCTCATCGAGGCGATCCCCTTCTTGCACGCCATATGCGCCACAATCGTTGCAGACGTCGGCGAGAATAATCCCGACCGCATAGTCGCTACCACGCTCGTCGCATATGCTGCCAGCACGATCCTCACCGGCATCGTCTTCTTTATACTTGGCTTTCTTCGCATAGGTTCGCTTGTTGACTTTTTCCCGCGCCATATCCTTGTTGGCTGCATTGGCGGTGTCGGCTACTTCTTGTTCCAGACAGGCATGGAGGTCACCTCTCGCCTGAAGCTGGAGCTTTCGTGGTCGGTGCTGCGCGCCCTGTTCGTTCCAAACACGCTTGGGCTGTGGGGGAGCAGTTTGGCGGTCGCTATGCTACTCCGGGCCCTGAACACACGCTACACCCACCCGCTGTTTGTGCCTATCTTTTTTATGGCTGTGCCTGCGCTCTTTTACACGGTGACTATAGCGCTGGGGCTGTCCCTTGAGTCGCTGCGCGCGACCGGCTGGGTCTTTGAGCTGCCCGACGCCGGCGTGCCATTTTACCACTTCTACACACTGTTTGACTTTGGCAACACCGACTGGCACTCGGTCTGGCGCACGGTGCCCACCATGCTCGGGCTGGCCTTTTTCAGCATCCTGCATGTCCCCATCAACGTACCTGCGCTGGCCGTCTCAACCAACGCAGACAAGGTCGAAACCAACCGCGAACTGGTCGCCCACGGCATATCCAATTTTGTGTCAGGGTGCTTGGGCACGTTCCAAAACTACCTTGTGTATTCCAACAGCTTGCTGTTCATCCGCTCAGGCGGCGATAGCAACCTGGCCGGCATGATGCTCTGCGCTGCGACACTGGCTGTGTTTTTTGCGGGGCCCACTATCATCGGCTTTATCCCGACAATGGTTGTCGGTGCGCTGATCTTCCACCTGGGGCTGGAGCTACTGCGTGAGGCCCTAGTCGACACGGTCGGCGTGGTCAACCGCATCGAGTATGCGACCATTGTATCCATTGTGCTGGCCATGGCCACGCTGGGATTCAACGAGGGGATCTTTTTGGGCATTCTGCTGGCATGCTTCTTCTTTATTTTGCTTTACAGCCGCCGGTCGGCGCTGCGCAAGACGTATACGGGCTCGGCAGTCCGCAGCACTGTGCGGCGGCACTATGGCCAGCGCCGCTTTTTGGACGGAGTCTGCAAACAAATACAGGTGATGCGGCTGCAAGGATTCATGTTCTTTGGCACAATCAACGGGGTTGAGGCCTACATCCGCCAGCTGCTGGAGCAGCGCCAATGGCAGACAAACCCCATCCGGTTCCTAGTGCTCGACTTTGCGCTGGTCAACGGTATGGACTTTAGCGCTGCTGAGGCTTTTATCCGTGTGCGGCGTCTGCTCGAGGCGCGCGAGATATACATGGTTGTCTGTGGTGCCAAGCGTTCGTCGGAAGTCGGCCGCGCCCTGCACTCGGCTGGCGTCTGGAGCGGCTGTGGCTGCGAGTATGTGCAGACATTCCCCTCGTTGAACGAGGCGCTCGAGTGGTGCGAGAATGTACTTTTGCAGTATTATTACCTCCACCGGGCTGCGCTGAATGGCCCCGAGGTTCCTCAGAGTTACACATTTGTCTCGACCCCGCAACCCGAGGACGTTGACGTCTATGGCACGTCTCCGCGCAACGTCATGGTCTCAGAGGCCATGCAGTCGGCTATGCCTACCACGCGCCGCCTCAAGCCCCAGCTGCCTGAGCGCGCACCCCCGGCGCTGCCACTGCTACAGCAGGCGTTTCAGGACCTGGATCAGGAGCAGCCAGTCGACGATGTCCTTGCTTTCGTTGCCCCTCATTTTGAACGCAGGCAGATTCCATCTGGGCAGCATCTGTGGCGCGCTGGCCAAGCGCCCACAGGCATGTACCTCGTTGAGTCTGGTGTGCTGCGCGTCTTCGTCGATAATGGAACTGGCACAGACACGCTAGAGGCAATTGAATCCATCTTACCCGGCACCACGCTTGGCGAGCTGGCCCTGTCAACGGGTAAGGACTATAGCACCACTGTGATTGCCGACGGTGATGTTATGCTGTGGCAGCTGTCAAGGCATGCGTTTGATGAACTGTGCGCCAGCAATCCGGCGCAGATGTTGGCATTTGTGCGGCTCGCGTTGGCATATTCGGCGCAAGGGATGAAGGCCATCACGGCCTACGCATTTTGCGCACAATGACTGTCTTTTATTTTTGTCTCGACTCGATAGTAATATTTTTTTGCTGTGTAAGCAAAAAAGCAAAATAAAAAGCAAAATAAAAATATCAAGTGGCTTCACAGTTATGAGAGAGAAAATATATTTGCTGTGCAAGATATAAAACAATTAAAAAACAAAAACTAAAGTTGATGAATGAGGCTGAATGTCTACCGCACCGCCTTGCCCGTCATGGGATATATTGCATACCTGGTTACATGACACTATAACTAAAATTATTCTAGGAGCGGGGGGATCGGGAGTTCTCTAGACTTGGGTCTAATTGCCCGGTGGTGGGAGTGTCAGCCAGGGTTTTAGTAAAATTAAACCCGAGCACTCGATCTGCCAGCTAGAGCGGCAATCGTGGCCAGATAGCTAGTGTGCATATATTTTGTTATTGGTATTTGTTTGTGGCCATTTTGGAAGGCTGTCACTTTCGTCTTGTCTCGGATTTGGTATTCGATATGTTTGTCGAGATTGGAGTTCTCATCAACAATCGGCGTTTCTCAGGCGTCAAGGATCCCCTTGTTTCCCGTTCGATCTGGAAGTCACACTATCCTTTGTACCAGTTATGCTGTTTGTCTATGATCTCGTTTACAAACACAATTGCTTGTTTTGCATGCTCCCCTTGTAATTTCTTGACCAGCGTTATGTAACTAACCTCTGTCAGCTCCTGCCAGCCGCGCCTCATATCCATGCTCCAGCCTCTTTATCCTGGTAGTGGGCGCTCACATGTATCTCGAGTTTCTCCAATATGCCATCTATCGGTGCCGGATACACCTGGAGTCTGTTGATCGTCTCAGTCACAATAACTGCGACTGGGTCTTAAATATTCCAATGAAAGCTCTCTCGCGTTCAGAATTGTATGCTCCCATCGTGGACACATGAACGTGTGGCTCTGCCTCAATTGGCCTGACAGGTAGGCGACAGAGCATAGACGCATCTCTGGTTCAGTATATGCGTTGGAGAAGCATATATATATATTTACAACAGTAAATGGTGGGGCCACTATGCTCCCAAAAGAAGCAATGAAAGCTAAAAATCAATGCGCGAGAAAGAACTGCCGATTGGAAATTAATTTGTAAATATAATTGTTTTCTTGTTTTCCATATTTCAGCTAACCAAATGCGAGCACAACGACAGACTCAACATTTTTTGTTTATATTAAAATTTTTGTTTTTTGTATTTGGCGCAATCTATCGCAACAAACTTTCACCTTTGCAACTTTCCGCCTTTACTTCTACTTTTAACAATTGCTTTTTTCTTCTCAATTCCCATCATTTTGTCCAATTTGATCTTCTTTTCCTCCCTTTTCCATTACTTTTACCATACCTCAGTGCTTATCACACACACACACTCTCTCTCTCTCTTCCACGCTTTCTCTTTCTCTTTACGATTTCTGAGCTAACTCCTCCAAATCCAACAGGCGTAAGTACTTGAATATAAACGAATTATTATGATATTGACGAGTTGCTTGTTGTTTATTTTGCATGCATATAAAACATTTGGTCACATTTAAAGAATTTTGTTTTATTTTTTATTAGAAGAGCAAGATAGACGGCACTTTCCAAACGCCCATGAAAATTCAAAAAGGGAGGAACTGCTGCCCGGGGAAACGGAGCCCCCCGAAGTACGCGATAAGCGCCGTTAGCGGCTGCTGAAATGCCTCGGTGATAACATATGGCACAACTATCCGTTCGATACGTTTGTCGAATCGCTGGGTGTGAAGCAGCGATATGATGAGTTCATCACAGATTGGCCTGATCTCTTCCTCGACATAGCCAGGGGGTCACCAGTGGTTAGGTCCAAAAAGGTCACCGGGATCATGAAGGCCAAAGGCGAACATGTCGATATCTTCCGCAATAGCGAAGATGTGCTAAAGGACTTGAAATCCGAAGCACTTTTGTTTGGTTATCTAAAAGATCTTATTCTTGGAATGAAGGCTGCGGTTGGTGTCGCAAATTGACGTATTCAGGTAGGCAGAATTCCAATCCCAGACTGGAGGCTTATCACAATGGACCATCAGAGTGATGCTATACGAGGTACTCCACACAAGCCAGAAATCTTGTTTTACCACAAATACAATACACAGGACACCGATGCCGTTCATGCTATACTCGAGGCCAAGATAGATTTACATCCTGATGAAGCACCAGAGGATACTCGTGGTCAGCTCGCAGATTACGGCCATGTGCTTAATGATAACCAGGCAACCCGCACGTTTGCACCTGTCTTTTACCTCCATGGGCACGTCCTGAGGCTTCACGCATATTATCGTGACAAACTGTACATAATTGAGCCTGGCCAGCTATGCTTTAATACGGGTAGCTGGGCGCCTGGAATAGCTGAACTAATTCAGGAATGTCTCATGCGGTTCTGGTTCCTGCTGACGCTGAAGTTTGACATTTTCGAACATTTATGCAATGTCTCAAAGAAACTTGACTCTTTCATTTTTTCGCAGAAGGTCAATGTGGAGAGCAAGGGCGATTCAAAGATCGAAGTCTTACACTCGGTTCCCAAGGATGTCAAGGATGGCGCTGCTCTTTTTTGTATCAAGGAGACAATAGCGCACCATTCATACATGATTGGGCGCCATATCCATTTATTCAGGGGGGAATTCAATGGACTGCATGATGCTGTGCTGAAGCTTTCCTGGACCCCAGTCAATCGTTTGCCCGAGGGCGCCGCATACGCCATCCTCAACAAGAGACCAGTCGAATGTATTCCCAAGATTTTTTCGAGTGGCCTGCTCATCAGCAACCTCAATGGATACCGGCTGGAGTTTGTGCTCATGGAGTACTGCGGCCAGTCAATGGCCGAGTATCTGAAAGACAAGGCCGACGATCAGAAAGACGAACTGGTTCCTGGGTTTGTCGAGCAGCTGGCCCTGTGCCTTGCCCAGGCAAATGATACTGGTGTCCTGCACAGGGACATCTCGGCAGGGAATGTGTGCATCAAAAACGACAAGGTGTATGTCATTGACTGGGGCTGTGCCAAGGTCGTTGGCTGGGGCACTGCTGAGGATGCTGCTGAGGACACTGACCCAACTCAACTCAAACACATTGAGGTTGCCGAGCAGTGGGGGTTCAATGCAACAACAGTGGGACAGGTGGAGGTGGCCAAGGATCCATTTACAGGGACGCCGCTTTTCATGGGAATTCCCATCCTCAGCAGCAGCCCCATCCGGGGAATCCTTGATGACCTGGAGTGTTTTCTATGTCATTATGGATGCAGTGCGCCCAGCTGGTACTAAGAGGGATGATGTTCAGGGGTTCAAGTTCCTGGACTCTCCATCCCTTGCCATCACAAGGTGAGGCTTGATCCAAGAGGATGCTGTCTTGCTGAAGGGGCTCAGTGTTGATAATATTAGCCCTAGTCTCAAAAAGCTCATTCGTGTGATGCACCGGTTCCTTTTTGAACCGGAAAACAAGGTTATGAACCACTGGCTCTGGTCGAACAACAAATTTGTTCGACGGGCTAACTGGGATGCTGCTCCCGAGTTTATGCATCCCAAGGCGGTTGAGCTCCTCAAAGAAGATACGCGCACTTTAGGTTTTTTATGTTTGTTTTTAATATAACTTTTATGATTGCAAAAAATCAAAAGCTTTATTTAATGTAATTAAGAAAATAAGAACAAATCAAGTGTTAACTCTTGTCTGTCTTGTTTACAGTTAAAGTGATCGGTGGATCTGTGAGTTTGTAAATAACAAATACTTTTAAACTCGCACATTGACCAATTTTACTTAAGGTTGATTGTATCCATAATTTTTGATTTTAGCGTTTTTCTTTCTTATTTCTTAATTTACTTTATCATTTTTTCCTTTCCTTTCCAATTCACATTTCGCAATTAACAAATTACTATGTTCTTTTTTACACACTTTCAATAATCTTTTGGTAGCATAGACGATAGCTGGTACTACCTCGCAATTGGAGTTGGAGCAGCGCTCGGCATGTACCAGGTACTTTTGCAGCTGCTGGACCAATCACAGTATGAGTTAGATTTCTGCTGCACACACTGACAAAAATAGCGACAACGACACACCTGATATGCTAGGACCAGTACTTCCAAAAGGGAGTGCGGACAGTGAGGCGGCGTTGGACATTCAGATTCTCTAAATGGGTCATTTCTTGGCACAATTGGCGCTGCATTCAGACAACTTTAAGCTGCGGGAGATTGGGTCTGAGCTGGTGCTCGATATGGCCATGCGGCGAGAGATGCTGCAGCTGGTAGTCGCCCAGGCTCAGGGCAGTTCAGCAGCAGAAGGGGCTGATTGAGAACAGTTGTGTTGCTGCGGGTGCTGGTCATGACACTGCAGCGGGTCGGCAGGGTGGTTCGGGCCGGCGGCATTGAGGCGCTGGTGGATGCTATGCGCGCGCCCAGGGAAAAGGAGGCAGCGATGCGGGCAGCCGCCACTCTGCTCGGACTGCTGGACATATCAGACGTGGCAGTATCCAAGCGGCACATGCGGCGGGCAGCCGGCTGGAGGCTGCTTGAGGTGCTCAGTGAGGCACTTCTGCAGTCAGCGAATGGATCGGCCCGAGGTGGCAGCAAGCGGAGATAGCGGTCAGACGCCATGCTTGTGTTGGTCGGTATGTGTGGCCATGGCAAAGCAGTTTGCACTGCGCACCGAGTACCACTGGTGGATGATCGACCTGGCGTTTATGCCTGCATTGCCCAGTGTCACATGCCAGCCAGTTTCTGAGCTCGAGCCTTTGCGCGCGCTGATGGAGAGCCTTGTGTGGCTGTGCACTTTTCTCACAGCGTATCGGCCGTCAGAAGCAGAAGAAGATGCAACAGATGTGGCGAATCTGCAGATGGTGCAGCTGCTGGAGCTGGGCGCCGTCAATGGTATCGCCGCGTGTGTCCACCAGGATGACCAGGGCATATCCTCATGGGGCGTTGAGTTTCTGCATGAGTCTGTGTCGCGAAGTGTCAGCAAGGCGCAGCTGGCAGCGAGCCCAAGTTTGGTGCACTGGCTGTGTCCCAGGCTGGCGGTGGGCAAGTATGCATACACCAACCAGCTGATGCTGCGCTCGCTCTGATGCCTGTGCACATCGCAGGAGGCGGCTGCGGCACTGGCTGCACTGACAGAGGTCGCGCAGCCGGATAATCCACGGTACGTGTTGGCCATGCTTGTCTCTGATGACGACGCTGACGTGCACTACTGGAGTGTAGCGCTGATCAGCCACGTGTCAGTGCCAGCGTTGACGCACCTGTGGATTCTTTGCAGCCTGCTGCCCCAGGCCATGGCTGGTGTGGCCGAGATGCTGATGCCAGACTCCCACCTGACGCTGACGCCTGAGATGGCTGGCATCATTTCGCGCCTGTGTCATTCGATCGACGTGACGCCAATGATGGTCGAGTGTCCGATGATTGCAACCATATGTGTCAGGCTGCTTGTGGCTGACGTCGAGTTGGCGCACATTTTTCGGCCATCATGGCCGTCATCAACACCGCGGCGACGTCGCGCGGCTTTCTGCAGCTGCTGATGGCTGACGACGCAATTAAAACGCAGCTGGTCGAACTGGCCTTGGCCAATGGCAGCAGCAACGGTCCAACGCAGAGTTATGCAGCAAAGGGCTTAGTTGTACTGATGTACGCCGGGCAAGTGGACGTCAAGGATGTTGTGTGCAATGTGTTGGTCCCACTCCTGCGGCAGATGGAGAGCATGTATTTGAGTACTTTGGACCTGGCGTTCTATCCCATCAGTGACAGCGACGAAGCGCTGAGCGAGGTTGCCATAGCGGGCACCAGGTTGGGCCAGCAGATGAGCGCTGTCTTGGTGTTGTTCTCTGCGATGCAGGTTGTGGCTGCGCAGCAGGGAATATGGATGGATTCCGGTGTGCTTGTATTTGACGTGCTCAGGTACTTCCAGCTGGGATTGCTTGGCCACCTGGCTGCTTATTTTCGGTACGCACACAGGCTGGATGCAGATCTCATGAAGAGCCTGGGCATCTGGAGCAGCACTGTGAATATGGGTGTTGAAGCTGTGGTTGTGTCGTACTATATGGTTGTTGGTGAGGAGGACGACGCACACTGTCGCGCATGCATAAAACTTGTGCAGCTGCCGCAGGAGCACAAAATTTGCATGGAGGACATCAGCAGTGAGTGCCCATAGTTCAGCGCAGTAGGGAAAGGTCGGAGACTGGGTGCTTTGTGCGGCAATGACTCGAAGGGGGCCGGCGTCGGTGGGGATTTCCCCTGGGGCTGTGCAACATGCGGCTGCACAGTCTGCTGCCAATGATCCAGATGACGATGGGTGTGCTGGCAGACTCACTGTCGGTGGCTGGGCTCGAGATGCAGTCGCCAGAAATTACCCGCCGCCTGCTATATATACTGTGCATCCTCGGCCGTGACCTGCCGCCGGTGCTGGGTGGCTTGACGTTGCATGCCTTGGCTGCTCTCAACGTGTATACGCTGTGCCGCAGCGACGCGTTCGGCTTACTGCACATGTGTGCAACCTACCTATGCTGAGAGCCATTGTTGGCTGCTGACCTGGAAGGTGAAGCGGAAGACCAGTAAAAGTGCCCTATGGATGAGTTGGGAGGGAGACAGCAGCGGTTGCTGGAGGGATTGGGCGGGTGCTTTGATGGCTGCGGAGTGTCTGCAACCAGGTATTCAGATCAGCTCTTGGAGGTTGAAACATTGATTGTGGCGCAGTTTTGGCGAATTTTACGCGCAGTTCACAGTATATCGGTTTGCGGCCAGATGGCAGACGGGCGCCGAGATGTTTAACTTGGCTGGCAATGATATGGGCGTTGATGGCATTGGCAATGTTGAGCTGGTTGTGAACCGCTCTGGGTCATGTGGTACTGCCACTGACCACAGGTTCACGGAGGTTCTGAAGCCGGCGCCTGCTTTGGATTCCTTGATTTTGCACTTCAGGATCAAACTATCCCCTGCTGCTGCTGCAATTGTTGATAATGCTGCTGCCGTGGCAGACGAGCCCCACTTGTTGTACTTGCCATAGTGCCCATCGCTCGGTGCACTTCTCGATGGCAAAGAAGCACAGAACTTGAGCTGGAATTTCGAGTCCGTTGTGGCCACTACTTATATCCGGGAGAATGCTAGTGGCAAGCACAGCTTCCATGTAGGCCTGCTCACCAGCCAGCTAGTGCAGGTCGAGTGATGCTCGGATCAGTATGGGGTTTCCCTGAGAGTGGTGAGGGCGTCAGACATAATCTTCAGAGCATCTCCTACGACGGTATGCGGATATGCAAATGGTATGGTACAGCGACGGTGACTGCAACATTGCTAGCCCTGAGCAAGCACAGCAATCAGTATGGCGAGAAGTGGGAGGCTGGGGATGTTATTGGCACATAAATTAATTTGGATTGCGGCAGTGTTTTAAATAGCCAGTCGATAGGTAAGGAATTTGAAAGGGGCGTGAGTGAGTTTGATGCTGTGGACAAATGCAGGTGGCGGTTTCCTGCTGTCTCGCTTGCATTGGAACAAGGACCTGTTGTTTTTGAAGCCTGATGCTAAAGATAAAATATTGCTGTTGACCACAACTTTGCAATTGGCATTCTGAGCGGGAAATGACCGTTGATTGAGCCAACATGCTCACTGTAATTCTGCGCCCATTGCTAGAGACACTATTTGAACTGTTGAAACGCTTGCCAAAGATTGTGTATATTGAAAATAAGCATGTGCAAAATGTGAACTAGGATTGTCCGAATAATTTTTTTGAAGGCCTGCTGGAAAAAAACAAATTTCCAAAGCATTGTAAAAGATGCGACTAAACTGGCAAAGGTGCTTAAGAATGCCAAACCCAACATGACATTTGTTTTTTAAAAATAGAAACTACCATGCATCTATTGAAATAATTTTCTAACATGTAAATTTTGAACACATTAAGTCTGTTTTAAATGTTATTTGCAACGCCATTGAAATGTGCACTGTAGCAACTATTGTTGCTTTAATATTTTAAACCGAGTGGTTCTGCAAACTTGCAATTGTATTTTATTGGCTGGCCGCGATCAACTGATTAGCCAGTCTTGGTTGTTTAGCCAGACAAACATCCAATTAATAGTCACACAGTGACACACACCACATAGATGTACTGCCCCATCTCATCAGTGCATAGCGCCTTTACAAGACACAATTATATATACAGTGTTTATCTCTTCACGCTCACCGAACATTCATAGAACTCTCAGATTTCAAGATGAAAATTGAATATTATTTTAGAACAAATTAAATGAAAAATTAGAAAGCACCGAACGCATACCAAACAACGCCCCTTGTCGGGACCAATTATACTAGAGGTTTTAAATTCTATTGTTTGATAAAATGTTCTCTGTCAGCTCCTGCCAGCCATGTCTCATACCTAGGTTCCAGCTCCTTGTCCAGATAGTAGGCGTCCACATGCTTCTCGAGTTTCTCCAATATGTCATCTGTCGGTCCTGGATACACCCAAAGTCTGTTGACCGTCTCAGCCGCAGATCTCGCGCTTGGATCACACAGCAACGCAAATGCATGTAATCCTAATGCTGTGATATTGCATGCGAGCAGCGATATCATAATGCTGAGCTTTTTTAGCTCTTTTCGTAGTCTCCATTTGGAAAAATTTTATAGAAAGTAAAATCCTCTTTACAGCACCCTACCTTCATCTCGCCGAGATCTCGTCAAAATAGACCCCCTCCCACCCCACCCCAAAGAGACTGTCGACAGCTCTTCACAGCCCAGTCAACTGCCATAGGCTGCTCCAAGCCTGTTGTGCCCCTCCCGCTGACTGCATGCCTAGTTTTTTTTTGAATAGTCACCCCGCCCCTCGGTTCGTTGGCGCTCTGTGACCACTACAGGGAATGCTTTTTTGTTTTCCTGACTCTGCCCCCTCCTGGCACAGCTGGAGGCAATGTTATGTACATAATTTTAAGTTTGCATGGATATATTAATTTAAACATGCTATATGGCTCTGCGCATTTAAACTAAAAGCTCAGGCTCTCCGCTGATCCTAATCTCCAGGCGGCCAATTAAAAAGTTTTACATTCCATGGAAATTATCGCTCCTGTTTACATGTGAACTGGGTTTCCAAAATGTTTCCATTGCAACCGTGTAAGGGGGCACGGAAACGCGTCTCCAAAGTTTTTTTTGCAGTTTAAGGCCTTACATAGTGCGATTTCTGTTTACTATGAGAGGTGGGGACAAGGGTTGTATGGAATATCAAAAAAAAATTGTCAGACAGCGCGAAAGCCAAAAATAAAATAAACACCCAATAGTTTGCCAATAGTCGAGGTTATTTTTTCTTCTTTTTTCCTTTCGAATCATCAAAATTATTGATTTATAATTGTTATACACTCGACAGAATTTTTGATTCAATTCTTCGCATTTTTGCCACTGACACTTTTTTCATTTTTTTCATTTTACATTTGCCTCCCTTTCTCTAATCTCGGTTTTGTTTTTATACAGCACTTATACAATCAATCAAATAGAATGGTGCAGACTACAACCACTACAGTGCAAAGTCCGCGCACGCCCTCACGTCAGTTGGGTGTGACACGCGGTCAGCGCCGGACTCCCTATAACCATTCCAAGAAGCCGTATGACAGATCCAACAATTCCAATGGCGGCAATGCGCAATTTGAAGATTCCAAGGCTTCCAGGGCACCTGGATTTATTAGCGGAATGCGCAACCTAGTGTCGCGCCTGTGGGGCGCCTCTATAAAGTCGGCTAGCGGCGCCTCTGATATGGAGGCTGCGTTGGCGAGTGCCAAAGCGAGTGCTACCAATGCACCCAGCGATTCGCGCATTCAGCCGATTCAGCCTTCTGTACAGGCTGCCACGAACAAGTCTGTTGGTGAAGAGACTGTGCCTGCCAGCCAACACACACAGGCAGCCGGTGATAGCGTCCATCTGCGGCACCCGACCGCAGAGTCTGACTTTGGACCGTCGTCGTTTGCTTATAACAAGAAGCTGGCAACTGCAACGCCATTGGTGGCCAATTTGCACGATGCTGAGCGCAATAGGAGCCAGTCATATGCGTTGTCGCGCAGGCACACTGTCGGCAAAATCGAGGGACGTCAGTCTCAGCCGTCCGAGGCGGCAGCACAGGTGTCTTCTTGCAACAGCGGTGATGAGGCCGGTGGGAACCCAAGCTATGTGTCGGCGTCGAGCGCGCGCCGCCTACTGAGCACACTCGATGCCATCCATACGCCGATTCGTGACGCGCAGGGCCGCACTGCCGAGGGCGTGGCTTCGGGGCAGTTGCAGCTGAGGTCTACGACTGCTCCCGGAGAGCGCACATCGCTCGTACCACTGCGTAGACTGCCCGTGTCTATGCTTGCGCTTACAGATACCCAGAACAGACCGCCTCGGTCCTCGTTGGCGATGTCTGCCGATGTGCTGGACAAGGAGTCGCTCAAACGCGGAAGCATCCAGAAGTCTATTCCTCGCAGCTACAGCACGGCCACAGCGCCCAGCCTGGCGCGAACTATCCAGCTGCGACAGGCGCGTAAGGCAGTAACCGACCGCCTTATGAGAAGCAAGACTGTTGGTAGCAGCCTTCGTCACGAGCACAGTGTTGTTGAAAATGCCAACACTCTTGCTGGAGATGTCCATATGCGCGACAGCGACGACGAGGCGGATGGCAAGACAAACAAGCGCCGTCGCGCTGCGGATGGCCAGGCGGTAGTTGTTACAGACGATGTGGAGATGGAAGGGTCTGAGACTGCGCACAAGCCCCGTCGCCATACGAAGCGCGTACAGGGCCGTCGGCCTGTTCATGCAGGCCACATGAACGTGGACAGTGGGATCAAGTGGCAATTCTCTGCACGCCTGGACGCAGTTTCTGTCAGCGATGCTGAGTCCGAGACTGACAGCGATGAGGACCGCGACGCACTGGCTTCCAAGGTGCCTCTGTCGAAGATTGGTGGCGGTGAGCTGATTGGTCTTTCTTTGCGCCCCACGACTTCATCGTCATCTGCGCCAGGTCATTCAGGACCTGCGGTCACTGTCCGTCCGACGGGATTTGGGAGTACGCGCGCGCCTGTCCCGATGTTTGGTGAGGCTGAGAAGCCCGCTGCCCCTGTGCCAGCGGCAGTGGTTGCGCCTACGCCTGTTGCTGCACCATCCGCGTCGGCTGTTGAGTCCCCTGCGCCAGCTCCCGTTGTATCTGCTCCTGCCTCCGCAATTTCAGCCAACCTGTTTGGAAACATTGCCGCTCTGAAGCCGCAGCCAAAGGATTTCGCTGAGCCCGAGAATGCCATGATCCCGAGCACGAACAACGCCGACACGGCCGCATCCAAGGCGCCCCTGTTTGGGGTTTCCAAGCCCAATGATGCCGCAGAGGGCACGTCGACGCCGTTGTTTAGCTTTGGCAAGAGCACAGGCACACCTGCGAAGGATATAAATGAAAGCGCTAAGCCGGCAGAGGCACCCAAGCCTGCCGAGCCGGCGAAACCATCGGATCTGTTTAGCTTTGGCAAGCCGCCAGCCACCAGCGAGCCTTCCAAGCCCGCCGAGGCGAGCGACACACCCGCTATCCCTGCAGTGTCGTTTAGCTTTGGCAAGCCAGCTGCCTCGAGTGAAGCCGAGAAGCCAGTAGCGGCCGCCAAAATTGCGCCGACAAACATGTTCAGCATGGGAAAGCCGGCTGCCAACACGTCTGCTACAGCGAGCGAGACTGAGAAGCCGGCCGATGCAGACAAGCCAGCCGCAACGAGCTCTGGTTTCTCGTTCGGGTTCGGAAAGCCATCTGCGACGGCTGTACCATCTGCTGACGCCGAGAAGCCCGCTTCAAACTTATTTTCGCTTGGAGGCTCTGCAACCGCGGCGATATCTTCGGCTGGCGACAGCGCGGAGCAGCCGAAGGCTGTGCTGAAGTTTGGGTTTGGGTCGCTGGGCGCATCCGCTGCTGAGTCCGGCGCGCCAAAGCCTGCGGATAAAGGATTTAGCCTCAGCATGTCGAAGCCTTCAGAGAACATCTTTGGCTCTGCAAAGCCCGCCGACAGCGCATTTGGTGCATCAAAAACCCCAAGCACTTTTGGCGCCACGAACCCTTCGGAGAACATATTTGGATTTGCGAAGCCCTCGGGTAATATCTTTGGATCTGCAAAGCCCGCAGAGACAGCAACGGGTACACTGGATGCCAAGCGGTCGCGCAGCAACAGCGAGGCTGGCCCTAGCTTGACAGATGCGACTACAAAGCCCGCGTTTTCGTTCGGATCAACCATCGGTGGTGCGTTTGGTGCGTTCAAGCCGGATGGCGGAGCTGAAAGTGATAAAGACACTACAGTGGTCGAGGACAAGCCGAGCACCGGGTTTGCCTTTTCCAAGCCACTGCCTGCTCAAGGTGGCTCTGGATTCTCGTTTGGTGGTGCCAATGCCAGCACATCGATGACTTCCCCCGTGAAGACTATCGATTTGACTGCTCCATCTGCGCCAGCATCCAACATGTTTTCCGGGCTTGGTGCGAAGCGGCCTGCCTTTGGCAACCTTGGGATGCAGAGCCCGCGGGTAATCAAAAAGCCAGCCTCCTTGAGCGCACTTGGAAGATCTACCACGGCGTCAGAAGACGAGCCTGCGGCTAAGAAGCCAGCGTTTACATTTGGTGCTGTGCTCAACACCCCCAGCGCAGCGTCATTTGAATCTACATCTGTGTCGACCCCAGCGGTGCCATCGTTTGCCTCGAATGCACCGGCCTTTAGCGGGACCCCTGCAGCAACATCGTCAAGCTTCAAATTTGGACTAGCATCGTCCCCAGCCGCAACCCCGTCGACACCGGTGTTTAGCTTTGGTGCCAAGCCGTCTTTGCAGGCAGGCTCTAGTTCGTTCGCCGGCGGGTCGAGCTTTGAGAGTACGTCTAGGTCTGCATCCTTTGGAGCTTTGAATGCACCGACAGGTATTAACTTTGGCTCGCAGCCTACCGGCAGTTTTGGTCAGTCCAACGCTGCCTCATCATCAGGATTCGGCCAGCAGCAATCGACCGGGTTTGGACAGCAGTCAAGCACTCCGTCTGCCTTTGGACAGCAACCCAACGCTACATCTGCCTTTGGACAGCAACCTAACGCTACATCTGCCTTTGGACAGCAGTCTAACACTCCGTCTGCATTCGGTCAGCAGCCCAACGCCTTCACTGGATTTGGCCAGCAGGCTAACGCATCCTCTGCGTTTGGCCAACAGCCAAACACACCGTCCACATTCGGTCAGCAGGGTAGCACATCTTTTGCGCTCGGCCAGCAGTCTAATACTTCCACTGGATTTGGCGGCGGCTTCGGCGCCAACACCAATAACAACAGCAACTCTGCATTTGGTGCTGCGCCCTCGCCGGCTCCGGTTACTGCTAACACCTCGCAATTCAACTTCAATCAGAACGCGAACACCCCTGCCGCCAGTAGCACAGGCACCTTCCAGTTTGGCAGTGTCAATCAAGGTGGATTTAACCCCACCAGCCGGAATGTATCTGGATCCAACGGCGTCTCCTCCTTCCAATTTACCAGCAACAACTCTCTGCAGGGTGGCACGCCCTCGGCCAGCACCTTCCAGTTTACAGCTGGCGTTGCCAACCCGTCCAACAACGGGGGCATGTCGACCGGCCGCATCGGCGGCTCTAATACATCGACATCCAGCCAGGGCCGCCGTTTAGCCCGCGCACGCCCGCGCCGTGCTCACTAATGTTAATGCTAATATTAACGTTATTTTTATTTTTCCATTTTGTGCAATTGATAATCAACTGATTATTTAACTGATTAATTTTGGATGACGTTGGCAAAGGGAAGAAAGCGCAATTGCAAAATGTCAAAATGTCCAGCGCCGCCAATTTAGTTGCTTTTTGGTGCAATTATTATTTTCTTACATTCTGTCTCTTCCATTGCCAATTCGATAATTTTTATTTATAACTTTGTTCACCCCCACTAGCAAATTTATAAAACAGCACATAAATCCAACATGCCTGGTCTCGAGTCTGCCGCCAATCCGAAAAAGGTCGTAGTGCATCCGCTAGTTCTGCTCTCGGTGGTCGATCATTACAATCGTGTCGCGAAAAACACAAAAAAACGCGTCGTTGGTGTGCTTCTAGGCCAAATTGAGGGCGATACTGTTAACGTTGCCAACAGCTTTGCCGGTAAGTTCAATTTGGTGTATAATTGCTGAATTTATTTATTTTACGTCCTTAATTTTGACGAGACAACGCGCATAATTTATATTTATGCTAAAAAAAACTCCACACCCGCTGTTGTAAATTTGTGTAGTTCCATTCGAGGAGGATGAGAAGAACCCTGCCGTTTGGTTTTTGGACCACAACTACGTCGACACCATGCGCGACATGTTTAAAAAGATCAATGTTAAGGAGAGAGTCATTGGGTGGTACCACAACGGGCCCAAGCTGCGTTCCTCGGACTTGCAAATCAGTGAGCTGTTCAAGCGGTATGCGCCGAACCCCCTACTGGTTGTTATCGATGTGCAGCCCAAGGCTATTGGACTTCCGACCAACGCCTACTTTGCCGTCGAGGAGATCCACGACGATGGAACGTCCGCCACTAAGACATTTGAGCACGTTCCCTCGGAGATTGGAGCTGAGGAGGCTGAGGAAATCGGTGTCGAGCACCTGTTGCGTGATATTAAGGACAACTCTACTGGCTCGTTGGCGACCCGGGTCTCTCACCAGTTGACATCTTTGTTCGGGCTGGCTGAGAGGCTGACAGAGATTCGTATGTACTTGCAGCAGGTCCTGGACGACAAGCTTCCAGTAAATTCGGAGATTATTCAGAACCTGCAGGATATCTTCAACTTGCTGCCAAACTTGACTATCCCCGACGATGCATCCGCATTCACTGTTCAGACAAACGACGAGTACGCGCTGATCTACATCTCGTCAATGGCCCGTGCGATTATTGCACTGCACGACCTGATCAACAACAAGATCGAGAACCGCGAGGCAGAGCTAAAGGCTGACCAAAAGGAATTCGAGACCAAGAACGCCGCTGCCAGCTCTGCAACCAGCTCGACAAAGACGCAGGACCCTGAGACCAGCCAAACCACGAAATGAGTACACTTTGACATTGCCATCAATATCGCTATCAATATATAAACCCTTTAGTTCTATTTTTTATTTGGAAGCAGCCACTGTAATACCAAAAGAAATATCCTCACCTCTTATGCTAGTCCTTCTTTGAGCGCTTGCCCTTTGGGCGCTTGGCCGCGCTACCTTGCTTGGCTGACTTGGCTGACGCCTTTGTTGGAGTCGACGGCACTCCGGCGCCAGACTTGTCTGTACCAAGGTCCGAGCGATATTCGTTAAAGTAAACCGGCTTGATGCTGTCGCCATTGGTCCTATTAATCGACTCGTGGTACTTCTTGCGGAATGCCCGGGCCAGGTAGCCAACAAGGATCTGGCCGACCATGTAGACAACCGAAACGATAATTGCCATAAATGCCCACGGAGGAATGTCAAACCTGTTGAACTTTTTGTCCACTTCAATGACAAACTCTCCCAAAAGGCCACCAATGTGGCCGCACATGTTCGTCGGCGTGCACCAAAGGCTGGAATAGCCACCCACGGGCGTGTCCTCGACCCAGCCGCCACCGATGTAATCGAGCAGTTCGCCATCAGTAAAGTTCGCCGTCACAAATCTGACCTCCGGCGTCACACCCGGAGCAGGCCTGCGAATGAACACTAGCTCTGGGAGCATATTGACCAAGTAGCTTGACGAAAGGTACTCGATTTTACTGATGTCTGCTCTGGCTATGGCTACGTTGGGATACTTTTTTCTGGCCGACTCGGCAAATGCGTTGAATTCGGGCGCCAGTCCGTGGCATGCTGCACACCAGTTGGCGTAAAACTCGATGAATACCTTGTCGTGGGACTTGAGCAGCTCCAAATATTTGTACTTGTCCAACTCCGTGATATGATCGGACTTTGGCACGAGCCTCTTGGACTCGGCCGCAGATTCTGCCTCAAGTTCGTCCGAGTATCGTGTGGCTACGGTGTCATCTGCTCTGCCAGCTAGAGTGCCTGCCGTGCCAAAGAAAACTGCCAGTGCAGCGGTGGATATAAAATGCGACAGCTTCATTGTTTTTATCTAAAAAGAGAGAAATAAATAATAAATAAATAAAAAAGATGACTACACGCAGTTGAAAAGAGAAAGGGGTGGGTGATTGAATTGTTGTTGTCATGCAGTATGGCAAAGGTGCTCGCCTGAGCCAGGGCAATCATCAAGCGGGAGCTGTGAAGGAAAGTAATTACAACGTGCTCTTCGATCCGGGGAAATGTCGGCGAATTATTTTTTACCTATCTGCAATAATTTTGTCCACATGTTGCCATGCTAACAAAGGAAACACGAACTGAGGGGACTCAGCCAAGCATCGTTAGTTTTTTGACGTTTTTGTTTTGCTTATTTATTTTGTGTGTGTAAAGTTGAGATTTCGGAACAATTGGTCATCCTGCATCCTTTCCGTAAAGATCAGACACGATGGTTTTACAAGCTCCTTGCCGTTGTATTCTGGCCAGTCTGGCGCGGGGGAACGACGAGCCGACCACCGAACAGGTGGCTCGTAACTAGTGTCCGCGCTTTTGGATTTATTTTGTTCAATTTTTTCTATTCTCAATTGGCACGCGCGGCGGTGGCTAACCAAGGCAGGCGGGGCTTCATCATAATAGTGTGGGATTAAGCCGTATAAAGTCACATGATTTTATTTAATGCAATTTTTTATTCATGTTCCTTTTCCGCCCACTGAGAGTGTACCCACACAATCGAATACAAATGCATTTTTAAAACAGCTACAAGAAAACTACTGGACTTTGTCAATTTTAACAGATTCTGCTGCGGCGACTGTTGCAACTGCTGATACACCGCTTGTGTCGGTATTCCAATTTTTAAACCAGGCGCGCACCCACTCCTCAAATGAATACATTCCGTCGATTATAAAACGCCCGGCAATAGTAATCAGCGCAGGGACAAGAATCATCGCAAGCCACTTTGGAATAGGCAACGCACTGTCAAGCGCAATGCTTTTTTCGGCAATAAATCCGAGAGTCTGGCCACAGACATTAAACGGCGTGCAAAATGTCTGGCCTTGATTTTTGGACGACCGGCGGACCCATGCCTGGCTGTCCATATACTCGATCAGCTCTTCAGCAGTTTGTGTTACATCGATACTTTGCGCCTCCCACTTGCCGCTCTTGGTTTTCGCAAGCAGTCGCAGCTCTGGAATACTACAATAGCAACACAAAACAATTGTTAGCGTGTACTGATTAAAAGATAAAATAATTTCCAAAGCATTGTCATCAGCACTCTCAATATTGCGATACATGCCTTGTAAGCAGAAGACGCGCTGTCAAGTAGGGCGACTTTTGGTAGTTAATTTTGCTCACTTGCAAGTCGGGGTGTTTATCGGCTGCCAACGCGCAGAATGCAGAAAGTTCACTCAGCATGTTTGAAGACTCCTCCTGGCCTTCTTCGTAAAACCCAATCAACACGCGGCCACTTGTGTCAAGATGCTCGATAAAGTCATTCTTACTCATTTCGAGTATAGGCTTGACCATTGCGCCTGAGCCAGTCCCCGCCGCCGCGCTTTTTGAAATACAAAAAAGCGCTGCTATTGCAACTGCCACAGTGTTAGCTATGATGCGAATATATGTTGAACGCATAGCTGTCGCTCCAGGATGTACAAAAAAAGTAAAGTAGAAAAAAGGCAAAGTGAGCCAAGAAAGCAACAAAAAGGTGTTTAATCGCAACCATGTATCATTGGCACCGCCATATTCACATTTTTATTGCTGTTGTCATTGTTGTTACTTTGATTTATAGCACTACTTGTTTGCTTGAAGAGAAATAAATGCAAGTGGCTCAACGCGTGCTGAGTGGTGACGGTGACGGTGGTGCCGAGAGGTGCAATAACCATATGCAAATCGCCCAAGCAGTTATCAGCTCGCGGCTCGGCTCACTGCAATAAAAATGAGTCGATTTGCTCTATTTTCTCTGCTTCTGTACAAAATTATAATATTTCAAGTCTGGACAGAGCCTAACGCAGAAAGGGCGCAAATTCGCAAAGTGCTTGGATGTTATATGGCTGGAAATTGTGTGTGAATTTCTCGGATTCGGTCTTTTTCACCTCTCGTATACATCAAATATATTTTTGATTTTTCATCATGTCTAAGCGCGGTGCGTATCCAACACAAAAATAGGACCAGAGGGGATAGATTCGACGAGGTGGCTGTGTGTATGTGGGCAAAGGCGTGAATAGTTTTATTCCGGGCGGATTCGATTCGATTTGGCATCCATCCATCCAGCAGCGTATTTTGGTGCAATAATTGCGAATGCGCGCGCCAGACAAACTTGGATGGATGCAATTTATGAGACTTTGCCAAACTTTGTGGCTGTGGCAAATTTAAAATAAATTTGAATTTGCCCTGTTTTCACGGTTTGGTATAGCGAGTCTGCGCCCAGAGCGGCTTTTTGATTGGGGCATGTTGGAGTGCCTTTTGAGCTTACTTTGGCGCAGCGAAAAAGACGCTTTGCGGGGTCTAATTGAAATACAAATCTTGGTTGGCCGCAGACATTACCCGCAGATTTGACTTGGGACAGCGCGCTTTTCAACACACTCAAACACACAGCCATTTTAAGCGATTTTTGCAGAATTGTCGGGGATTGTGCTAAAGCAATACTTTGAATTGCGGCTTTCAAAGCACAAACAACCTATGCATTGCGGCATTGATCAAGTGAACTTGGTGACTGCACCTGCATTGACATAAAATATACAGCTTTACTAAATATTCTTTACCATTTTTCATGGTTTTACACATTTAGGACGCGGAGGAGCAGCTGGAAACAAATTCCGTATGACCCTTGGTCTCCCGGTTGGCGCCGTTATTAACTGCGCCGATAACTCGGGTGCCAAGAACCTGAACATCATTGCCGTTGCCGGTATCAAGGGACGTCTCTCTCGTCTTCCCGCCGCCGGTGTTGGAGATCTCCTTGTTGCCACTGTCCGCAAGGGTAAGCCCGAGCTCCGTAAGAAGGTCACCCCCGCCGTTGTCATCCGTCAGCGCAAGTCGTGGCGCCGCAAGGACGGTGTCTTCATTTACTTCGAGGACAACGCCGGTGTTATCGTCAACGTCAAGGGTGAGATGAAGGGCTCTGCCATTACCGGCCCCGTCGGTAAGGAGTGCGCCGATCTCTGGCCCCGTATTGCCTCGAACTCGGGCACTGTCGCCTAAACAGCGATATTGGTTTTCTAGTTTGATCAATATAATCCAGATGATTTGAAATGGATCTCTGATCCGTCGTTCACAAAAAAATTGAATATATGCTTTTTTATCTTTTGCAATTTGCCCGAAATATGCTTGTTTTCTGCTGGACGCGTTGACAACATGCATACGCTGAAGAGCAGAAAAAGAAGCTGTTTTTACTATAACTATTATGACATATATTAAATACTGGGCAAAAATACATGTCTATTTGATGCCAATATCACTCTATGCTGCGGAGCACGACAATAACCGAATCGCCACGCAAAAACATCTTGCTGATGAACCGGTCCTTGTTGATTGGCACTGCGCGCTTCGTGCCCTTGCCAGCGGAGGGTGATTCGGTCCACATCTCCTTGACGTTTTCCAGGACCATGTTAAAATGACGATCAAATGCCTTGACGCGGGCCAAGAGCTTGTGGTTGTTCCGCAGGCTGATCAGCACTTGCGTGTTATTGTGCACAGCCATCTGCAGCACAGACAATGGTCCGTTGGTGAACTCCTCCTCCTCGAGACGCTGCAGTTCTTCCTGAGACATGTCACTCTTGGACTTTGACGTAATTGCTGTGCTCATTGTAGAGTGCTGTCTGAGTGATGTGTGTGAAAAGTAAATAATAAATGGTTATGTATTTGCTACTATATGCGCAGAAAACAAAAACTAAAATTACCTCAAAAACAATTTATCAATTTAATTTGAACAACAAAAATTTGGTACATTATCACATGAGCAATTTTTTTGGATTTTACAATTTTTGAGCACTAAACAAAGACAAGCCAGTCATCCACACTAAAACAGCGTAAGGTTGGTGTTGTCATGCATGAGTGCTATTAATGATTTATTGATAAGACGATTAAAACTCCTACTGAATACCCTTTTCTTCATGAATCTTGGTCTACCGGCTTGGTATTTATACCATTTCATGATAAGTGAACGCGATCATGTTGCTAGTTGTGGGCAACAACGTACTAAGGCGACGTACAATAGAAATGTCCTTTAATATCAATTAGCGTTTGATAGGGACCAGCGACACCAATGATCAATATTGCTGTATAACAGACATAACTAAACATTGGACTCAGTTAGAATATTAAAGCCATACTAACTATTGACCGCTTGATTGCCCACCATATAACGCATCTGTAATGCGATTTGGACTAGCTAGAATATATATTAATAGAAATGAGACTACGGAAAGAGCTAAAGAGCTCACTATTCAGAATTCGCCGTACGCGTAAAATATCATAAACATATTTTACGCGTCTGCGCTGTCACGTGACTCGGCCCCCATTTCTGATGTCACATTCGCCCCTACTTAAGATCAGACTCCGTCGGTCTTGGCGATAGCGCGCGCGGTTAAATATCGTTCATATGCTTCTGTCTCATCCACGCTACTCTTGTCCTCCCATGTTCGTCCTTCTATTCCATATCCTTCCCACTGCACCAGGTATTGGCGTTTTCGCCTCCACACACGGTCGTCAACAATCTTTTCGACCTGATACTCGAGGTGTCCTGCAACTTCTACAGGTGGTGGTTCAGAGCGGAGTGCGGCACGGTGATCGTCGGCAGCATGGTATTTTTTTAGGTGTGACCACGAAATGACCGGGTGAATGCGCATGTCGAGTGGGAGTTTGAGGCGGAATGCATTTCGGCCGATCTGTTCTTCGACCTTGTAGGGCCCAGCCCATTTATGTTGCAGTGAGTTGCTGGACCGGTTACGCAGGTAAGGTGGCGTTGTAAAGTTCGTCGAGATCATTACTTCATCGCCTGGCACAATGTCGGGTGAGGTTATCTTCTTGTCGTGGTTTCTGATCATGCGTAGCTGTGCGAATTCGATGTTTTCCTTGACTATTTCGCTAATCTGTTTAATCTTCAGGATTGTATCGTCGGCGTCGGTATTGGGCTCAGCAGTTTCCATGTTGAAGGTGATGGTGGCGGCGTTCAATGGTTGGAAGCTATAATTTGCATAGAATGGGCTGTGCTGTGTCGAGCTGTTGCTGCGACTATTATAGGCGAACTCTGCATGCACTATGTGTTGGTTCCAGTCGTTTTGGTAATTGTTGCACGTCGCACGCAGCATTGACTCCAGTATCTGGTTCACACGCTCAGTCTGTCCATCAGTTTGTGCATGGCCGGCAGTGGACATGTTGAGTTGCGTTCCAGTTTGCTTCCACAGTGCCATCCAGAATGCAGAGCGGAATTTCGGATCACGGTCTGATATTATGGACTCGGGCAGGCCATGTTGGCGGTAGATGGTCTTGAAATACAGGTCGGCGGTTGTCTGGGCGGTTGCGGCATTGTGTGTTGGTACAAAGTGTGCCATCTTGGACAGGCGGTCAACGACGACCATGATTGCATCATATCCGTCCTTTGTCTTAGGTAGGCTGACAATGAAGTCCATGCTCACACTTGACCAGTTGCGTCGCGGGATCTGTAGCGGCTGTAGCGGTCCATCGCTTGGCCTGTTGCTGCCTTTGACTCTTTGGCACAGGTCACACGTTGTGACATAATTCTCGCAATCCACATACATGCCTGGCCAATAGAATAGTTCACTCAGCTTGTCGTATGTTGCTTTTATACCCGGGTGTATTGCAGCATCATGGAACTCGGCCAGCAGTAGTGATCTGTCTTGCTTTGTTCCGACGCAGCGGCGTCCTTTCTTGAACAGGACACCACCCTGTGCATGGAATTTGTTTGTAATGTCGCGCTCGGCTCTGGATGTTGGTTCTTCGCCACTACTAATCCTCTCCATAATTTTCTCCAACTTGCTGTCGCCCTTGTAGGAGTTCTCAGGGTTCGCGCTCGTCTTCAGCGTTAGCGCTTTGACAGCAGCCATGCGGACTGCTATCCTCCCCCCTTTTCCTGAAGAGCCGAACCCGTTGGCTCCACCGGCTGTCTCCTCAAAGGACTTGACCTCAGTGATGTGTGAGTGTGCGATCTTGGTTGGAATCAACTGTGCTATGCGGTCATGTGCAGCGAACGGAATCTCTATATTGCCTGTGTTGAACAGGAGTACTGAAATCTCACCGCGGTAGCCCCCGTCGACTATTCCTCCGAGCACCACAACACCCTTGGCAGCCAGGCTACTGTGTGGGGCAATGCGCAGGTATGTGCCTATTGGCGCCTTGGCGGCGATGCCTAATGGGACAAGGTGTTGGGCCTTGGGCTCGAGCACAAACTTGGTTATACAGTATACATCAAATCCAGCGTCATCTGGATATGCCTTGCAAGGCATCGTCGCATCGTCGTGTAGCAGCTGAACCTCCATGCTGTTGGCAGTTGTGCGTGGCACAAACAGTGCGCACAGTTTCCATTTTTCAAATTGGTCTATCAGGTCGTCGTTGTGCGTATTGTCCTTTGGCTGGTCAGTCTCCATGGTTGCACTCGTCGTTTCTGCAGCCACTGTCTCTTGTGTTCGTTTGGCTTCTGTTTCGGCTTCAGCGCGACATCCGCGTTGGTAGTTCTTGTAGTGCAGCGACTTGCGCACATATTCAGCACGGTTTAGTTCTCTGCGCTCATCGGCAGTCAAATATGTTCTGTCGACCACGGCTGGCGTTGGCGGAAAATTCGTTGTCTGTGCAGCTGGAGTGGTTGTCTTGATATTGGGCATGGGTATGGGCATAGGTATAGGTACGGATGTGTGTGCGGCGTCATCGTTTTTACTCGTGTTGTTCAGCGGGGCATCATTTAGTGGTATAGCTGGTGCAGTCAGTCCTGTCGGTGGCGTCAGTGCCATGTGTGGCACCTTGCCTGAATGTGACGCTGCGTATACTATGTTGTCGGGTTGCGATTCGAGTGAGCGTGACAAGCCGTCAGCAACTGCATTTTGAGCGCCCTTGCGGTAAATGATTTTCATGTCGAATTCCTGCCAGATATCCAGCCAGCGGGCCTGGCGCGGGGATATGTTGTTTTGCGTCTTAAGGAACTCGATTGATTTGTGGTCTGTAATCACTTCAAACTTGATGCCATGTAGGTAATGCCGCCAGAGGACCAGTGCACGAATGATTGCAAGAAGTTCTTGCTCGTGGACTGCATAGTTGCGCTGTGCTGGTCCCAGCTTTGCCGAATAGAATGCCACTGGGCACCACACCTTGTCATGTCGTTGGTGTAGGACACCGCCAATTGCAGAGCCGGATGCATCTGTCTCGACTCTCGTTTCGCAAGTTGGATCATACTGATGGAGTATTGGTGCTGTGGATAGTTGCTGCTTCAGCTCGGTGAAAGCCCTGTCAGCCTGGTCGTTCCACGAAAAGTCGGTATTGCATAGCAAATCGGTCAGCGGTAGTGCTATTCTAGCATAGTTTTTAATAAACCGGCGGTAGTAGCCGCTTAATCCAAGGAATGCGCGGATGTCTGTAATTGTCTCTGGCGTGCGCCACTCTTTAACGGCATCTACTTTGCGTGGGTCAGTCGCAATACCCTTGCCTGAAATGACAAACCCAAGGAAGTCGACTGTGTCTTTGAAGAATGCACATTTTTCGGGTTTTGTGTGCAGGTTGTGCTCCTTGAGGCAGGCGAGTACATCCTCGAGATCTTTTGCATGGTCGGCGTCATTCTTTGAAAAGACTAAGATGTCGTCTAGGTACACGATGCACGTTTTGCCAAGTAGGTTGCGCAGCGCATGGTTCATGACACGTTGGAAGACGGCAGGGGCATTTGTCAGCCCGAAAGGTACAACTGTGAATTCAAATGACCCTTGTTTTGTGCGGAAGGCAGTTTTGGCGATGTCTGCATTGCAAATTCGCACTTGGTGGTAGCTTCATGAGGAAGGTCGTGGTCACATGCCTGTCTGAGAGTTTGAATTCCAGAATTTCCGCGAGGTACTTGAATTGCACCACAAACTCCTCTAAGGTCTCTAATGTCCCAGGCTGTTGTAGGTGGTAGTATTTGTGCAGTGTGTCATAGTATGACACTGCACGCGAGTATGTAGTTGTCAGGAACTCCTTGAACGTTCCCCAGTCGCGGTGGTCCTTGTTGTGTTCTGTACAGTGTCTGCGGTACTCGTTTTTCTTGTCTGTTGGGATCTTGTGTGAGGCTACAAATACCCACTCACTCTCGTCTAGCTTTGCGTGGATAAAGTGTTCCTCAGTATCTCTCACCCAGGGTCCAACGGCAATTGCCACCTTCTCTGCGTTGTCCTCGTCTGGTGCCAGTGTCGGGCTGAATCTCATTGCCGATTCGTATGGCGACATTCCAGTCATGGTTACTGTTTTTTTTTTTTTTTTTTTTTTTGTTTTTTTGTTTTTATATATATATATTAACCAGTTTGTCTGTCGGTCAGTCAGTCGTTGATGAGGAAGCGCGGGTTTTCGAACTTGAGGTGCTACCAAATGTAATGCGATTTGGACTAGCTAGAATATATATTAATAGAAATGAGACTACGGAAAGAGCTAAAGAGCTCACTATTCAGAATTCGCCGTACGCGTAAAATATCATAAACATATTTTACGCGTCTGCGCTGTCACGTGACTCGGCCCCCATTTCTGATGTCACAGCATCCAATGCTGGCATAGATCAAAACAGCATATTGTTAATGTGTGGGCATGCCGAGTGAGTCTGGTTTCGTTTTTTGGTCGCGTTTATTTTTCATTCCAGCAGTATTCTTTATTTAATTTTTAATTTGAAGGTAAGAAAAAAATGAAGATGAAAAAAGATAAAGTGATGTGGCTCGTAAAGCTGAGGGCTGATTCGGCCTTGGCATAGGATCCGGTACGGCTCCCATGCCCAGGTGCTTGCGCCGTCATCAATGCATCTTGAGAAGTGTTTTGCCCATTATTGCTGGTGGCTAGTAGCGGCCTTCGTGCTTTGTGCACTCGTGCCGACTATCCAAAAACAACCCTGCTGGCAGCGGCATTTGTGATTTGCACACTTGTGCCGCCGCTTTGTTGCAATTTTTTCGACAGGGCCAGCGACATTGGTGCTATGATGCGGTGTTGCTAACCGAGCTCTGACCAGCCGCGCAGATCGCAACCGCCTATTCTACGCGCAGTGCCAGCTTGACTTGCAGAGCGACCAACTCAGAGCGCAATTGTGCAAGCTCATTGCGGCATGTGTGTATCTCGGCGCTTTGTGCAGTAATTGTGCTAATAAGTGCGTCTAGCTCTCCGCGCGATGAATCCATCTGTCTGCAATGAGTTTCCATCCGGACGCAAGCCGCACTGACCTTGGTGATGGCAGATATAGCTAGATAAATGACATTGTCTACCCTCTTGCGCCTGGTGTCAGTCTAGGCATCAGTCACATCAAAGACGTGGCGCAGGGCTTGAACTTTGACACGCAGCATTTTAGGACGGGTGAAAGCCTTGATGGTGAGGCCATCGGTTGCCTTAACAATGTGGCACAGGGAGGACTCGGCCGCAGCATGAGTGGTCACCATTTCAAATGCCTGGCTGTCCAGCAGCTTGTTCTTGGCGCTCAACTGTACGACCTGGGTGTCAAGTGAAGCGGGCTCGGCCTCGGAAGGAGCTTGGCAGGTGATGCAGAGCATTTATCTTCTCTGACTGTGAGGTTCGACGTCCTCGAGGGTCTCGGCGGTTACAGCAGCAGGGGCGACAAAGCCTGCGTAATCCTGGTCACGGCGTGTAGCGATAATCGTGCGCATAACAGTGCAAACAACGCTGATAGAAGACATTTTGAAAATGGAGAGATCGAAAAAATGACTAAAAGGAAACAAAAAAGGTGGGGAATAATAAATGTTATAAAACAATATAGAGGATGTGTTATATAGATATGTGGTAAATAATTTGGGCGAAAATAAAAAACACTCGGGAAAAAGTGCAAAGGTGAGAGAGAGGATGGCGGGTGTGTTTAAAAATGACAAGATATTTGGGTAGCGCTGCTGCTGGTGGTAATGGTGAAGTTGGTGTTGGTGTTGGAGAGAGGTGTGCATGAGTGGTGTTGGAGAAAGCTTTGCTTAAAATGGAGAAAAACGATGAAAGACGGTGGAAGGAGCGGGGTGAGAGATCCCTGGTATTTATTTTTCTGCTCTTTTTTGCTTTGTTTTGTTTTGTGTTGTGCTGAGCTGTGTGAAAATATGTGCATTTCTCTTTGCTCCTCACAAAACATAATGTGCTTTTCGGGCCGTCTCTTTCGGGTTCGGCTGGAGGGGAGTGCAAGTTCCAAGAGAGTTTTCTTGTTACATGTATATTCCTCTTTTTGGCGAAAGCATGCCTTCTTCGTATACATGTTTTTTTTCGAAGATCGTCAATATTCGAATATCCATCATAATATTTCAAAATATGCACATATTGATCAGCAGTCACTTTTACAATGCTTTTTTTCAAACCACGGTCGCTGGCGGACAGACCATTTGTATACAGAAAATTTTGATATCAGTCGGAATGTATTTTTGTAACCAAAAATAATTGTGGCTTTTTGTATATAAAATAATATTTTTTGCCAGGCTCACGTTTAAGCTGAGCCGGAATAGAACAAAGTAGTGTTATGTAAGAGGGGGCGTAAGGAGCACTATGGTAGTCGTGTTAAAGGTGGGGTGTTAGTTTATGAAGGTTTTTATTATCAATGGAATCAAAAGCGTAACTGAGGCCGACCTCAACTTATATATATATATGTCTCATTGTCTTTGTTATGCACTTCACCAGTTGTGCACTCCGTTGGCGAGAACTGGTTCTTCTGTGAGCAGACCGGTATCTTGGGAAGACAATGTTGTGGTCTTTATGTGTGCACTCACGCGTGTGCATTGCAAAATAGGGAGCATGTTTGGGCATCAATGTAATGCCTCCCTAATTTATGCCTGCATAATCCAATTAGTACCCTATCAATCGGCATGCAGATGGAAACTTGTTTCGCGATTCACTACCTCAACATCCACTTCCATATATTCAGTCTGTGCAGCAGTAGCAGCAACAATATTTTTCTTTGTTTTGGTAATGGTAGCAGTGCGAGTAAGGAGGGTGGGTATTAGCATAGTTTTTATGTGTTGGCTAATAAAAAACTTTGTTTTTCTCTTTTTCTTTTCACAATGAAGGCCGGGGTTGCTTTGAGCGATTGTTGAGCTTTCCCTTTTTCTGGTGATTCTGCATCAACCATGGCAGCTAAAAGGTTTATTTTCACACTAGGGTACATGCACATAAAAAAGCCAAAACAAACAATGGATAGAAAAGAAGGTTTTATCTGAAACACCGAACAAACTGCCGCCATTTCTGCCTCCGCGGTCTTCACAAATAGAGGGTGTTGATATCCGTATTTCATCAAACAATGGTTGACAGCCTCCTGTAAAAACCAGGGGGGGGCGAATGGGCAGTTATTTTTTCTCACTCGGTGTCAGCAATGTCAATGGCCGACAAAAATGAGTAAAGAGAGGGGTAAGCAAAGAGAGTGCGTGTTTGAATATAAAACAATGGCAAAAGATGGATGCATATTAAATTGGGACCCATTTTTTCGAAATCGAGACAAAAAAGGGAGTGCAAGGTGCAGAGTTGGAGGCGGCTGCTACGGGCCAGTATTTTGCAGCTCGCACAGGGGTCATTTTTAATGTATCAAAAAACATGAGACGAAAAAGCCACAGAGAGCCATTTCACAAGGTGGACAAATTCGAAACATTTTTGTTGTGCTTGATCTGAGACCATCATGTTTCGAAGACACGGTCATTGCCACTGTGAGCACACGCAGGGCGCAATGGGAATGTGGAAAGCTCAATTTATATATATTTCATTTTATAACGTGATTTTGAATGTTCTTCAACCTGAATTGTTTTTGGTGTTTTTGCCAAGACTGACCCAGAAAAGTCTAATAGTTGAAAAGCGCTTATATGCATAATAAGAGTGCATTGCATGTTAATTCTTACATGCATATATTTTGGAATCTAATACACTCAGCGCCTACAATCAGAATAATATAATATATTTCCACATTTATGAAAAACCATGTACTTTTCGACTTACACAGTAATTTGATAGGACACTCACCCGAAGATTCAGTACCTTAAAAGTATCTAACCATTTTGATTTCACAGAACCAGATCTAGTTCTAGGGAAGTTCATCACAGGCAGCGAAACGCTCGAAACAATGTTCTGATTGGTTACACATTTACATATGTATTGAATGTTTGAGAGTGGATGGGTGCTGTTGAACAACAAAACTAAATGCCATTTCTGCTGTGGTTGGTTGCAGCCGCGGGGTATCCTAATAGGACCTTAACACACAATTTGTCTCGTCTGGCTTTATGAATCACAGAGCATATATCCAATAGCCTCACATATTTAGTATTTAATGTATATATCCAACACTTCATAGCTTGTCACCCCTTTTTATTTTCATTTTCAAATACCACAACGTAAGTTGAAGTCTCGAGCCTGCTCAACGGATATTATGTCAGCACAAATTGACTTGTTCAACGCACTTTTCAACTAGTCTACCACTTGGTTAGCAAATACCGCTGCTGGTGTATTGTATATAACATTCATCCTAGCGCATCGTGCTCAGATGCCGCTCCTCAGCCAGCCGGCGTTCGATAAAAGCAACAATTTCCGGCGAATAGTAATCCTCTGGTGCACATTCTAGCGCATCGTGCTTATCGGCCTCAGCCCTGGTCAAGCTAATGCAGTTTCCAGTGCTCATCGGCTTTTCACGGTGCCATCTGGTCAGCACCAGCCTGTCGGTCGACCCCGAGACAGCGCTTCTGCCGCGCCAGATTTCCTCCAGCATGTATCCAACATCGTCCACGCTCATCTGCAGCATCGGCCCGCCGGCACTGGCAGGAACCTTGCTTTCGCGCGTGCCCAGCTCGCGCTGCATCCTGGCATATAGTGCGTGTCGGCCCTTGATGGCCAGGGGCTCTGTCGGAAAGCCGGCCAGCTCGGTGAGCACATTGGTGGCCATGGCAATGCCAAAAAGTGCTGGCATGGTGCCAAGCACAGGCACGATGCGCACGCGAAAGTCAGGAAGCACTGAAAAGTCGCCAGGAGCTTCCGTTTGGCTATCGGCCAGCGAAACCAGCTGGACCTTGCCAGGCTTTTCCGTAGAGTAGACCACGGGGATGCCGCTCAAGATACCGCGCGCCTTCAGGCGGCGGCGCACCGCGCGGGACATCGGGTCCTCAAACGTATCGCTGATGTCGGCAATCTGCACTCTAGACGGGTCAGCCTTCATGCCAGCACCCATCGCGCTGATGACCTTGATTTTGTTCGCCTTGCAGTACGCCAGAAGATCGATCTTGGTGTCCATGTTGTCGATGCAGTCCAGCACCATGTCGGGCTGTCCATCCAGGAGCTCTGCCGCGTTGGCTGCGCTAAACAGCGCCACGCGCGCGTCAACGCAGACGTGCGGCGCAATATCGGCAAAGCTCATCCTTAGCGCTTCAACCTTGGAAATTCCGACGTTGGCCCTGGTGGCCGCAGCGTGCCGGTTGAGAGAGCTCAGCGTGACCTGGTCAAAGTCCACCACACGGATGCGTTGCACACCCGACCGCACCAGCATCATGGCCGCCCACGAGCCCACTCCGCCGGCGCCCACAACAACGACAAATCCGCCGCGCACCTTTTCCATGCCCGCGTCGCCCAGGAATGCATAGTGCCGGGCGAGCTGCTCGCGGATCAGCGCCTCCTCGTTGGACGACAGGCTGATCGGAGTCTGCTTGGTCACCTCCGCAGACAACGATTCTTGGCTGGCGGAGTGCAACTCATCGAACTCCTGCATTTCAATCGTGGTTTTCTTGAGGTCGCGCACGCGCTTTTTGCGCTGCACCTGGCGAGTGCCCCACATCACGCTGGCCGTCACCGCGGAAGCCGCCACCGCCGTTGTCACCAGCTGCATGCGGCTGTCGCTGAACACGCGCGAAATCTTGTCGACATAGCCGTCCATGTTGATTTATGTCTCAAGTGCGTCTAGATATTATAAAAGCAGATGCTGAGCCAGTTAATTATTTCGGCTGCGAAACTCACGATTGATTAAATCCATTTGCACGTGCACTGAATTTATGCACCTCGCTAATGGGAAGCGGTGTTCTGACGGATAAATCTGCATCATCGTCTGCTTGCACGAGAATGACGGAGTTTGTAGCCAGAATGAACCCCCACGCCCGATGTTTGCTATTTCTTTTTGGGTGGCGAATCTGCGAATTGGCCTTTTGTTTTTAGAACTGAATTGCCCGCACTACTTTTTATTTTACCCTTCAAAACACCTTTTTACACTCTGCAACAGCAATGCAAATGCTAACGAGATATATTGCTGTTGGCACCATACGCCAACAGCACGCACACAGGGCCGGCTTTAATAGAACCAACTTTGCGGCTGACATGCTGTCTCGAGCCAGTGCATTGCGCGCTCGCAGGCTGCATGTTGAGCGGCTGGAGCCACAGCCGGAGCTTGAAGGCAATTTGCAAAGCAACGAGAAGCTTGCGGTGTTCAAGGCAGGCTTGTTTATGGACAAGGTATTTCCACTGCAGATCTCGTCACTTGACATCCGGCCATACATTATGAGCCGCAATGCCGAAGCCATGAAGAAGAAGGTAGCCGCGCTCATCCCCACACAGCTGCCCCACCAGTTCGCGGTCAGCGACATCGAGCCACACAGTCGGGATGGCGGGAGCATCGTCTATTTTACGTATGTTGCGCCGGAGACGCAGGAGGACGCCAAGCGCCTGGGTACAGAGCTCGTTAGTGCTGTTGATATGCATCTGGGCGCGGGCGGCGGCGGGCGCAACTGGTTTGACTTATCACCCATTCGCTCGCTGCCTGTCAAGGGCGTGCCGTTTTCGGAGGACATTGTGCGGATGCTGCCATCCAAAAGGATCAAGATCGAGTTTGTCGGCCCTGATCTGACCGTCGAGCAGATCTTCCAAGAGTTCCGCCAGTTTGGTCGCATACTAGACATTGAAATGCAGCCGCCCTCAAACAAGGACACGCCGCGTTGGGCTGTTGTGCATTTCACCAAGCTTCGATCGGCGACCAGCGCTCGCAATTGCGTCCACGGCGACATTGTCGGCGCGACTAAGCTGCTGCTGTCGTATGTCAGGGAGCGGCATGAGAATTTCATTGTACAGTGGGTCAAGGATCACCAAAAGTTCATGATCCCTCTGGCCGCCGCCGCCCTGATAGCCGCCATATACGCTGTTTTTGATCCCATTCGTGAGTTCTTTGTCGAGAACAAAACCACGCACCGCTTTGATCTCTCTCGCATCCCCTTGTTTGGCAGCGTGCGCAAGGCTGCTGTGCGCACTATGTTGCACCGCGGTGCATCCACTGGCGCCAACGGCAGCCTTGACCAGGACATGTCGGCGTGGGCAGGGCTTTACGACCAGAAGGAGCGCCTGGTATCAATTCTCAACGAACCCCCAGAGAGCTTTGTTGTGGTCACTGGCCCGCGGGGCTCGGGCAAGACCAAGGTGGTCGAGCAAGCGTCTCAGGGCAAGCAGTACCGCATTGTCATTGATGCCAACAAGCTAGCTTCTCAGCCGAGCGAGCTCGAGCAGATGAGCGTGCTGGCACGCCAGCTCGGCTGGTGGCCTGTGTTCAACTCCATCATTGGAATCACAAACGCCATCGATCTGATGGTTGCTGCGACCACAGGGAGCAAGGCCGGTATTTCAGCCACACCTGAGTCCCAGGTGCGCCGGATTCTCGAGTGTGTGGCCCTTGTCCTCACCAAGATCCGTCATAAGGGCCTTGAAGCGCTGGATGCCGACGAGAAGCGCATGCTGAAGAGACACCAGGACAACAACAGCAGCAGCGACAACAACAAGGACTCAATTAACAACGACAGTGAGTTTACGCCATCCGCAAAGAACTTGCCGCCAAAGGAGATCCCGGTAATCGTGCTGGAAAACTTTATGGACAAGGACCTGCCCTTTTCAAAGATCATTCTGGAGTGGGCAGCGACCGTTGTTGAGGCCGGCCTGGCGCACTGCATTGTCACAACAAGCAACATTAGCGGGTACCACGAGATTCTGCGCGCCCAGCCGCAGCACGCAGCCAGCCTGATATCCCTGGACGACGCCAGCCCCATGGGGGCGGTGACTTTACTCCAGAAGCAGCTGGCTTCTGTGCTGACAGCTTCCTCGTCGGACAGTGGAGAACAGGCCCAGCTATCCAATGTCAAAGATAATGATGTCATTGACGCAGAGTACCAGCGCCGGATGGACATGATCTTGGGCGACCAACTGGCGGCTGCCGCTGGCGTGCTCGGGGGCCGGCTCGAGGACCTACAGCTTTTTGTGCAAAAAGTCAAGGCTGGTGAGAACATCAACTCAGCGCTGGAGGACATTATCCAGCGGTCCATTACCGATATCCGCAAGTACGCCTTTGCCAACGACTCAGAGGTCGGCCAGTGCGAACACACGTGGTCCCCAGAGCAATTCTGGTACGTGCTGTCCGAGCTGGCTCGGAACGAAAGCGTTGAGTACGACCGCATGCGCAACTCGCCCATCTTTGCCGGCAGTGACAACGCGATTCTGGGGCTCGCCGAGGCGCAGCTCATCACGATGGTGTACGACAACGACCGCCCATCGCGCATTCGCCCTGGACGCCCGGTGTTCTACTCGGCGTTTAACCGCATAGTCGAGGACCCTGGCTTCTCCAGTACCATGGGGATTAAGATGAACAAAAAGTTCATCGAGCTGGAGACGGCAAAGATCCGCAAGGCCGAAGAGGAGCTAGCTCTCCTCAATGTGTTCAAGACCAGCGCCGAGTCGTACAATACGCTGACGTCGGGGTTGGCTCTTATTGCAGCGTCGAGGGACTCCTTCGGCGACCATCACAAAGCGCACAAAATGTTGAAGGACAAGGGCAAGAGTGGTTCCAAGAGCAAGGATGCCGACTCCGCCGATGTGATTTGCCCGGAGGCATACATTGCACAGGCGCTTCGTGCGAGCAACTATGGCCTGGCTGCAACAGTAGCGAGTGGTGAGGCTGGAGGCGTTACTGCGCTTACTGCAGGTGGCGCGCGTGACGGCCAGCCACAGACCTTACCACAGTCGCAGTCGTGGCTTGGCTGGCTCTTTGGCCGCACCGGCTCTTCGACAGGTCAAAATGGCGCGCTGTCGATCAACTCTGCAGCGGGTGCCAGCGGCAGTGAGGCCAGAGGTGTAGATGCAGAACAGCAGCCGCTGGTAATGACTGTCATTCCAGGAATCCCCTTTGAGCTGCAGGGCCGAGTGCAGTTCCTTTTGCGGACCATCCACACATCCCAGCAAAAGATCGACAAATGGGACGCTGAGAGCCAGGCCAAGACTCGCTGCCTTTCCAGCCTGTGAGCACGGAGACATTGAGATTTAGCACGATTACATGCATGCAAGACTGTTTCTTTGATACTGCGTAGTCATGGGATTTCTGCGTTTTTTAGCTTTCAATTTAATATGGCAGGAAAGAAATTGGCCGTGCGCAAAAAACAAAAACAGTTTTATGCAAGTTAAATTGCGCCAAACTGTTGTCTGTTCCAACCAGCCAATCGCTATCGTTTGCCACTTTTGAATATTTGAAAAGCGTGCACCTGTCACAAGTATTTCCTTTTCTGGTTGTGGTTGAGCATAATAGTGGCCACGCAAAGAGAATAGAGAAGAGGGACGATGCAGATGGTCTGAACTTGCTTTTTTGAATCCTCTTCACTTCGCTATTTTTTATTTTTATTTTTCCATTCTTTTTTATTTTACGAGCTGGTCTCTAAATTCCAATATTCGGTTCAACACGCTTTCTACAACGCAGTCTATTTTTATTTTTAGCTTGCTATTTATAACAACACAACAACAATACCGCTTGCCGGCGCTCGCCTCGCCCCGCCCGACTTTTATTTGCCACAATTCACTATTAAACTTTTTAACTTTTTCAATTTCTGTTCTTTCCTGCCCGTTTATCTCCCTTTTACGACCCACTTGACACGTTTGTGCACTCCACATATTAACAGCGACAACAATGCCCACCGCAGAAGCGTTTCTGGGCGTCCTCCCATTTAACCTCAAGATCACAGCATCACCAATTCCACGCAATCGAAACCAAAACCAAGGCACTTCGGTAAGTTGAGTGCCATTGAACAGAAATGGCGTAGAATGAAGCCGCTGTAATCACAGCGCATTCAAGAGATGGCGCTACTGCATTTCATTTTGGCATATTTCTGTTACTGTCACTTTGGCTAACACAGACATTTCAAACATTTTTTTGCATATGCTTTTTACCATCTTTGTAGCTCAACGACCGTTTCAGCCGGCTTTTCAAGTACCGCAGTTCGAAAGTAGTCGCCGCAGAGACCAACCAGGAACGCACGCGTGCCGACAGAGTACGTATTTAGTAAATTGGGGGGGCTTTTAATGCAGCCACCTTTCATATATTGTCATTGTCATTGTCACTGTCATTGTTGTTTTGTAATTAGTATTGATTGCACGCACTTTATTATTATTGTGTTGTATTTTGATTTCAGTACCAAAAAAACCTGCAATATTCCTCTTTGTGGTTTGAATGCTATTATTTGCCTATACCCGCTGCAAAGTGATTTTCATTTTCTTTCTGATTATGCTCGTTCGCCACTTCTCGCCCATCTCCCCCACTCTAAATTGAATGCTTTAATTGTTTTTTTTGCGCATTGAAATATTACATGTGCTAATATTTTCTGTCCCTCACCCGACTTCTCGTGCTGCCCGCTAATCCTCTCATCCAATCCAAACATTTGCTTATGTGTAGACATGCATCAGCGAGTATGAAACCCAGTATCTGCAGCAGCGGTCGACAAAAATCATATTGCAAAACGACTTTGTCCTGGCCAAAACGCTGTGCCAGCTTGACGTATCTGGCGACCGTGCCGCCATGATGGCCAGTCACCTGGTATCGTTCCTGCGCGGAAACCCGCAAACAGCCGACCACGTTGAGCGCTTTGTCATGGACGCCTTTGACATGCACCTGAAGAAATACTCGGCACTGACGGTCAACGCGCGAAATGTCTTGCGCGACAACAACTTGGCAACTATGCTTGTCGTGTGCTATTTGCAGCAAAGCTGCCGCAATTACCTCGTTTCAATTTTGCAGCCAGTTATGATGGCCATCGGCCCATTTGTTGAGAGCTGTGAGCTGGATCCCGTACGCCTTCCGCCAGGAGCGGACGGCGGAAGCACGGCGAGGAACTCGTACAACCTTTATTGCGTGTGCAGATCGGTGCTCGATGCCGTGTTCTCTGCGGGGAAGCACGCACCGGTCGAGATGCGCCGCCTGTGTGCCCTTATCCGATCCCGCATTGAGGGTGCCTGGGACACGCAGATGCCAGCCTTGTCAACGCCTGTTTTTGCAACCCGCAAATATGTTCAAAAGCAAAAGGACTCCAAGCTGCCGATTCTAGAGCTTCGCGACTGGGAGACTGAGCTTAAGTCAAATGTGCAGGTCGACATAATGTCTGACATCAAGGCAGCACTGGACGAGTGGCTGGACAATCCTAAGACTGCTGCTGCAATCACCACACAAGTCAACACACAAGCGCACGTGCACTCACAGAAGCAGATGTGGTCTCCGGATATGGCCACTAGTCCCGCATCATCAGGCGGCTCTAAGTCGCATAATAAAGCCAGTGGGAGCCCCTGGACGCCCAGCACCGAGGACATTGGCTTTAATGGGTCGTATCAGTCAATGGTCAACACGGCGTCGTCGCCGTTTTTGAACTTCTTGGAGCCAGGCGCGACATCATCTGCCAGCGGCGGAAAGAATACGAAGATGTCCCAGAGCCGCATCCCGGCAGCCAAAGAGCTTAAGGACTCTTGGCGGCAGACCCAGGCGCAGAGCCCGCGCAAAAACATGAGTCCGTCCATATCAATGCGCCTGAGCAAACACTCTAGCAAGCGCTACAGCGGCTCGTACTTCTCATCCGTAGAGACTGTCATCAGCATGCTCATTTTCGTTCGCTTCTTCATTCCGATATTGACTGCACCGGACGCCTACGGAATAGACGTGAAGATGTCGCCTGCCAATCGCCGCGGTCTGCTCTTATGTGCAAAAGTGCTCGCGGTGCTTTGCAATGGCGTATCATTCGGCATGAAGGAGCCGTACCTCATGCCAATGAATGGCCTGATTCGGGAGTACCGCCCCAAACTCCGCAGCTATTTGCAGGCTATTTCGGCCAGCATCAACCACCCGGCCGAGGACGACGATGAGTGTGACGAGCACGTGTCAGACGACGAATGCAGCGATCGCGACACCGTGACGATCGATGAGCTCGCATCACAGTTTAAGGTTGTCACTGTAGGCGCCAAGATCGCCACCAAGGAGGAGCAGAGGAAGAGCAGAATGTCGTTTTCACGCGCTGCGTATCTTAACAGTGGCTCGCTGACCCCGGACACCCTGGAGAGAGACTTTTTACCCGAGTTGCCTATGCCAATGCCGTCGATTCCCCAGCAGTACCAGGATCAGATTAGACAGCAGCAGCAGGCCAGACAGCAGCAACAGCAGCTACAGCAGAGCTTGGGAACATCAGCACACGCCAGACCACCGGCAACACGATCAACTATCGACCTTCCCACACGCGTGCCCATCTCTTCGCTAGCGCCGGCAGACTCGCTGTTCATGATGGATGCCGTGGCAGTTTCTACGTCGGCGTCTGACTCGCTTGTGGACAACGAAGTAATTGACGAGAGCCTGGTCACGATCGACTTTTTGATCAGCCTGGAAGGGAACTTTACAAAGCTGGAGTCATACGTCAATGAGCACACTTTTTCCATGCTGCCAGCAGAGCATCATCATCTACAGGCTGCGTGTCGCGAGCTCAAGCCCATCGTGCATTATGCAAAGCATCTATCAAAGCCCGGCAAAATGCAGGACACCTTCTCAATCGCCACGACCAGTAACCACAACAGCCAGGACCAGGCGCGGCGACATGACCAGCATCTTGCAGGCAAGAAGAGCCAGGAGGTGTCGCACAGGTTCTCTGAAGACTTTGTCGATTTGGGTCACCGTCGTACGAGCACGATGCCTGGAAAATTTATTTTTGACTAAACTTTATTTTCGACGTGTGGGCTGCAGCTGGGCGGCATGCGTATCGTCCTGACCTTGTCGCATTATGTTTTCCTTTTTTTACATATACTACTACTTTTTTCCTGATTGGTGTTTCATTTTTATGTGTTGGTTTTGACTCAATGCACATATATAATAATACGCAATAACGATGGCTGCACAATGGTCGGACCATTTAAAGTAGAAAAGCATGCATGGTGTCAAACTGGTCCGACTGGTCCCAAAAGCCCCGAGCGTGGTTAGCAACTGACGTTTCGTTAAGATGCAGGCCAGTTTCCGAGTCGAGCCGAACCGAACCATTATCCGGTGGGGCAAAAAATATGGTCACTGATTAGGAAAATTAGCTGGTTGATGGTGGCGGATTTTAATGTAGTAGTCGATCTATGGTGGTCTTTTTATCTCGCTTTTTTGCTTTCCTGAATTCAGCAATTTGTTATTTTTGCTCTTTCACATTTTCTTCGATTTTCTCATTTGAACATTTAAGGTACAGCTCTCTACTAGCTCTTATTTTTCCTGAAAGCAGGTGCGCAGCAGCGGAGTACACGATTCGACGACACGGACAGATTTACCGAATCGCAAACGAAGAGAAAGAATTTTCGCAAACGCTTCAGTCCATACAATTCCGAAAAGCAGCCACTAACAGTATGAATATTTTCCTGCCTTTTGCTTTCAATTTGTTATTGTAAATTCATAGGCAGCTCGCTTCAGTAACCACCAAACAGCTCGATCGACCCCGCCCATTTTCTTGCTTCAAATACGATATACAAACATACCGTGACAATACATACACTTTTTTTACAGTACTCACTAAAAAATGGTAAGCAGCATTACCCCATGTCATACATGCAGCAACGATTCGCTTAGACGATGAGAGTGTAAAATCCAGTCTTTCTGTTTTTTTTCTGGATGCATTACTAACTGATCTGAATAATTGCCTATGTAGTTCCGCTCGTCCTTGGTTCGTTCGATCGCTCGCCCGCTCGCCGCCCGCAGATTTGTTCATGTGAGCGCTGTTCGGCGGTCAGTTGAGCCGATCCCCACCCCTGAGGGATCCGGAGCTGGTGCTGATGTTGCTCCCAAGGTTTCGGCCATCGTTGATAAGGTTGCTGAGCTGACCCTGCTGGAGACCTCTCAGCTTGTCGAGGCGCTCAAGGCCAAATTCAATATCACCGAGGCTGTTCAGGTCGTCAGCGGTGCCGGTTCCCCCGCGGGTGGAGCTGCTGCCGCCGCCCCGGTAGAGGTAGTGTAACTGGTTATGTGATGTGTCTGTGTGGCTTTTTATCTCGGCCGCAACCTGCTGCTAATCCGTTTATTATTTTGCATTATTTATCTTGATAGGAGAAGCCCGTTGAGAAGACTGAGTTCAAGGTCAAGCTGGAGAAGATTGATGCCGCACAAAAGGCCAAGGTCATTCGCGAGATCAAGAACCTTATCCCCGACATGAACCTGGTTGCCGCCAAGAAGTTTGTCGAGAGCGCTCCCAAGGTTATCAAGGAGTCTGCACCCAAGGAGGAGGCCGAGAAGATCAAGCAGGTCCTTGAGGCCCTGGGTGCCACCATTGTGCTCGAGTAAAGTGCAAAAAGTTGGCAGGTGCGTGGCCAAGTCGTTATTATTTATCTTGGTGCCTATTTGCGTTTAAAAATATATTTAAATTTTCACTTGTGAAGTAAAGCTTTTTCTTATTCTGTTCATTGACCTTGGGCAGAGTTCCGTTTTGAGTTGCGGGTGTCTATGCGCCAAGTACATTTTATGTGGGCTTGGGCGTATTCGAAAAAGCAAAAATAAAATATTAGCTTCAACTGATATAGGCATGCAAGAAGCATCACCTTTTGGTGGACTGATGGTCTGTCTGATCAAATTTCTTAATTTAACTGTAAAAAAGCACCAGCCGATTGTTTGTCCAAAAAAATGCTTGGTGGCCATGTCTCCTCTGGCAGCAACAACAACAGCAACAACAGCGAATGCACGCTTTTTTATAGCATTGACGTGGCAGCCATTTGATCAACCAAAAAAATATGTGACACTGTAAGCCAAAGTTTTAGCAAAACACTCTTTTTTTCAGCCATATTATCTATTTACCAACTTATATTTTCTTGTCTTGTTCAGTTTTACTTATTTCTTTTCGGGACTTTGACGCAAAACATAAAAATGACACACAGGTTTAACTTGCTCGTGCTGCTTGCACTTGCAATGCAGGCTAAGAAAGCTTGCGGCAGCGAGGCAGTGACGAATGAAGCGTTGACGAATGAGCCAGTCTCTATTGAGCCCAAGGTCAAGCTTCCCGAGTTCACGCCCTACGCCGTGTCCAACGCAGCCATATGGGAGCAGTTTGGTGCCGGGTCCGACTCGCTCTGGCAGCGGAGCCACGCTACAAAGGAGGGCGAGGATAAGGCGCGGTATGACGGCGAATGGGCCATTGAGGACGTGACAGAGCTGGCCGGCGTGTCTGGTGACAAAGCACTCGTTGTCAAGAGCGCGGCTCACCACCACGCAATCTCAGCAAAGCTCGAGAAGCCGTTCGACCCGGCGCAGGGCGGTCTGGTGTTCCAATACGAGGTCAAGCTGCAGCAGGAGCTGGGGTGCGGTGGCGCGTACACCAAGCTTTTGACAGCACCGATGAGCGGCGAGTTCAGCGACGCCACCCCCTACACGCTGATGTTTGGGCCTGACAAATGCGGCGAGAGCAAGGTGCACCTGATTTTCCGGCATCGCAGTCCCGTCACCGGTGAGTATACGGAGCACCATCTGGATCAGCCGCCGACGCCGCCCATCGACGGACTGTCCCACGTATACACGCTGGCCATCCACACGAACAACAGCTTCACCGTGTCCATCGATGGCACAGAGCGCCGTGCAGGCTCTCTGCTGGCTGACTTTGTGCCGCCAGTTAACCCGCCCAAGGAGATTGCCGACCCGGACGACAAGAAGCCAGAGGACTGGGAGGACGACGAGCAGATCACCGACCCCGACGCCACGCAGCCGGAGGACTGGGACGAGGATGCACCGCTAATGATTCCTGATGACAACGCGACGATCCCGGAGGGGTGGTTGGTTGATGAGCCGCTGCTGGTCGACGACCCCAAGGCGCAAAAGCCCGAGGACTGGGAAGACGAGGAGGACGGCGACTGGGCCGCACCGCAGGTCCCCAATCCGCGCTGTGCTGACGTGCCTGGGTGCGGGGCCTGGGAGCGTCCGCTGATGCGCAACCCCGCGTTTGTCGGCAAGTGGCACGCGCCGCTTATTGGCAACCCGCGCTACAAGGGCCAGTGGGCGCCGCGCCGGATTGCCAACCCCAAGTACTTTGATGACCAGGATCTGTACAGGCTCAGCAAAATCGACGCCGTTGGATTCGAGCTGTGGACCATGCAGGCCGGGATCACCTTTGACAACATTTACTTGGGCAACAGCGCAGAGACCGCCGCGCGCATTGTTGACGACGTGTGGAAGCCCAAGCACGACTCCGAGCTTGCTGTGAGCGAGGCCTTGCGCCCTAAGGCGCCTCCAAAGGCCAAGCCGAGCGTGGGCCAGACGCTCGGGCTCTTCAGGGAGCGCCTGGAGGAGATCTTTGACAATATTCTTGGGTTCTATGCGGCATTTCAGAGCATTGGGCTCGTCAGCGCGCTTCAGCAGGAGCGCAGCGGGGCCTTTGCAATAGCGATGGTTGTTGGCGCACTGGGCTGGCTGGGCTGGAACGCGCTTGTCATCATTCGCTTCTTCCTTGGCTTGCTGATTCCGGCATCTGCCGCCACCCCCGCCGCCAGCGCCGCAGACAAGACAGCCGCTAAGGCTCATGCTGATGAAAGTGAGGACGCGCCAGGCGCCGAGGTGTCTGGCAGCACCAGTGCCACAGCGAAGGGCGGCGCGGCTGTCAAGCGCAAATAGAAAAATCCGATAGCTTTAAATCTCCTCTCATTCCAATCGGAAGCCGCGACGTGTCCGTAAAATGCGGGTGCCGATCAAGATCTGCTGAGTTGATTTTTTACTTTTCCTGCTGCGGCTATTGTGATGTCAGAAGCCACGCCGGAGCAACATGCAGCTTTAAACGTGCAATCTATCATTTCACGCCTGTCCGCGGTGTTTGCAAATCTGCCATTTTCGTTTCTGCAGTTTTTGAATTCTTCTCAATTTATAACATTTAGCTTTCTTTATTACATCCTCACATCCTTTTATTTTTGTCTTGGCTTTTTATTTTTACTCTGCCGCAACAGCAAATATATCGGTTTTGGAATTTTACAGATGGGAGGAGAAAACAGCAAGCTGGCCTTTAGGAAATGCGTGTTTCGTCTGGCTGAGCAGCGGGTACGTTGGATGAGAAGTTTTGTTGAACTGGTTACATACTACATGTTGTGTTACGCAGTTTGGCTTGTTATTTTGTTGTTTGGTTGCGCTGCGCAGAAATCTGGCTAGAGCAATTTTTTTGACATTTCTTTGCTAAATTATAACCACTCCTTGTTTTTTATGCATTTCAAAACATAGAGCCTACCAGACAACGCAGAAGATGCTTGGAGTCCAGTAAGTATAAGCGTTGGGCTTTCTTTAACATTACCATACCAGGCCTCGTTCGACCTAGCGACAGCACTTCTTACTAAAAACGACAAGCTATTTTTTGTGTTTTGTTTTTACTTTTTAGTTTTGGATTTTGCCTGATGGCCCGCACGACGTCTTTTCGCTGGTGACACCAGCAGATATCCGGCGAATCCGCGACACCGCGCAGGAGAACTATATAAAGCTGATCGACAAGGTGTTTGATCGGCTGCTGGTGCTAAAGGCGTCAAAAGACCTGGCGAAGAATCCGACCAGCACAAAGCAGCTTCTAAATTGCATACGCATCCTGACGCGTCTGGTTCCGTTTGTGTACGAGGCCTGCCCCGATGGAAGCTCGACAGAGGACATAATACTGTGGACACAACGACCGCGACCAGGCAGCGGCGCTGACTATATGCTTGGGCGGCAGCTAGTTTCTGCGGTGGTCGACTTGCTGTTTACATCTGGGTTTACAGTTCCGCCAGCAACGGTTGGGGAGGACGCAGTCGTGCGCTACACTATCTGGGAGAACGGTATCGGCCAGACGGCATCGCTGGGATCGTCCAAGGAGCACATAGCCAATCGCATCGAGGTTCTCCGCCTGCTTCTAGTTTTGTGCTCAAAGACCATGTACGTGCCTGCCGCCCGGTCCACCGCGCTGCCAAACAGGGCGCTGCACGCAGTCGCATACAATTCAAACAAGCGCATGGTGCTCTGCCTGCTCTGCAGCCTCATCAATACGTCGCTACGGGATCGTGTGCAGGGCTGGGCGATTCCATATCGCAGCTCGACCGCGTTGGATCCCAGCGACGAGCTCTCGCTACACGCATTTCAGACTCTCTTCATTTTGCTCGACTACCAGACACCGGCTAACAAGGCAGGCGACGAGGACGCAGACTCTGCAGAGCACTCAGCCGACGCCGACGCCGACGCCGACGCCGACGCCGACGCCAATGCCAACACACCATCGATGATTCTGGTGACGGGAACAGCCACTGGTGCACAAAACCTATTCCGCGTGTTCATTGCCAAGCTCCATCGCACGCAGGAATTCGACTATCTCATCAGCAGCATTATCCGTCTTTTGGATGAGGCGATGCGCGCCAACATGTCCATCATGGCCTCAGTCACCAAGCAGTCGACGCGGCACGCAATGCCACAGGAGGCGTGCATTCTGCTCTGGATTCTGCTCGAGAACAACAGTCCGTTGAAGAACTACATTGTGGACCACAACAACTCGCTCAAGCTGTTTTCCGTGTTGCTTTACTTTATGCTTAACGGATACAGCGATCCGTCCCAGGCAGGAATGGTGCGCACAATATCGCACATCCTACATTACTTGTCCGAGGACAGCCGCTTTGCAACTCGCCTGATGCAGCCGTTCGACCAGTCCATATTGCCCGGCAACATGCGCATTGCCGATGCCTCGTTGACGCATGCTGACTTTATGATCAACACCGTGTTCACCCTGCTCAGCGCGTCCAAGCCCTACCTGGTGCCTGTGTATTCGAATCTCTTGTTGTTGGTGCGCAATGTGTCTCCATACTTGACCCAGGTCAGCCAGACAACAGCGGAAAAGTTCATATCGCTGTTTGACATTATCTCGTCGCCAGCGTTCATAATTACCGAGCCATATCACATCAGGTGGCTGATCTACCTGATAGAAGTGTTTGACTACGTCGTCCACTATCGCGCAGCAGACAATCCATGCTTGATGTATACCATGGTCAAGGCGCGCTCGTGCTTTACTCGGCTGCGCTCTTTCGACCTGGACAAGGCCAAGGCCGAGCTAGCTATGTTGCGCGAGAAGAAGGGCAAGGCTGACTCGGCCCGTACAATTGGCAGGGCGCAGTCTCACGTGGCTATTGCGTCCATTTCTAGTGATCTGCCGGACGACGTCTCGTCTAGGCTTTCCTCGATCTCATTGACCACCGAGACTACCGATTCTGCCAGGCCACCCAGAAGCATTGACGGAGCTGCGAGCCCGACGGTGTCAAGTAAGGCGCGCGGAAAGCGTCCAGACAATGTCCAAGCACCAGGCTCGAACCCCAGCGAGCACGAGCAGTCGAGTGCGTTAGAATCTCCCACAGCACAAGTGGACAAGGGAAAGGGAAAGGGCAAAAGCCACGCTGCGGGCAAGGGCAAGTCTGTCAATGCTGCTCCGGGCCAGAAGCAGTTTCAGCCCTCAGTTGAGTGGGTGTTCTCATGGCTGCCTGATCTCCCGCTGGACCCGATCATCGGGGTGCTCGATACGCTTGCTGCGCACATTGACAGGATTTCCGAGGAGGTCCAGCGTAACGCTGATGCTGCGGCAGTAGCAGCGGCAGCAGAAGCCGCAGATGTGGCCGCTATGCAGCAGCCCGAATCTGCGGCTTCTCGAGGCGATGTCAAGGCCGACGCCCTGCATCAGCCGCAATCTCCCACCAGACAATCAGCCGACAGCACCCACATCGATTCGGGCTCTGTGTTTGCTATGGAGGCGGTTGATTCAACATCAGCCATCATTCACTGGCTGAGCTCCGACGCCATGATACAGGCGCTGCCGGATCTTGAGGATTCTATGCCCGAAATTCGGCCGAGGCTACAGGGACTCAGTCCTGCTATGATCGTGTGGTTCAGGAGTCTTCTGTGGAGTCTCATCTATGGCTCTGGGATGAAGCCATTCGGCATATGGAAAAACACACATGTTCGTTTGTTTGTTGTCAAACACTCTGCCTAGGGTTTGTGTTGGCATCAGTGCCATTGACGTTTCTCTTTGCTTGGGTTTTTTGTTGGTTTAATAGATGTTATAAATATTTGAACATCAAAACCATGGGACAGAAAAATAATGAGTGAGAATGTTATGCTGTCTGGGAGCAAATGTGGTCTGAGTAAGACGCGCTCAACACAGTAATTGGGGCTCTGTAAAAGCAAGTGGAGGATATCTGATGCTTAGAGATGTTAAAAGCACAACTGTTTCTAATCTCAAATCGCGCTCCCATTTTATTTCTGTCCTTTATTTACAATTATATAATTCTTATTGCTATTATTAAAATGTTTGTTCGCGCATCACTCATTATGCTTGCACTTGTTGCTGCGTTTTACGCAGCAGCTGCAGGTCCCGTAGACTCTGCTGCACTCCTGGTGGACCCAGCTGCAGCTCCAGCGGACCCAGTGGTACTCCCAGTGGACCCCGTTGGGCCCACTTGCAGCGCAGTCGTTGTCAATAAGTCTATATGCCTAGAGCCGGCCAAGTGCTACGTGCAGTCGACCATGATGCCGTGCAATCCTCATACACTGTGTGCACAAATGCTGCGTCCAATGGTAGTCTGCGCATGGACTTGCGGGGAAAAAGCACCGCAGGGATTCAAAAAATGGTGCAGGCAAATCAGTGATAAAGTCTGCAACTGCGAGATTGTGTGCGAAATGGACGGGCCTTGCAAGGCAGAAGGTGTCGCACCAGAGTAGCACGCCCATTTTTCAGGGGGTTTAGGCAACCCTTTTTTGTAGCATAGGGATGTATGTGTGTTGCTGATAGTTTGGCGGTTTGAATGAAAAATAAAGTCACGAGTAACTAATACAATACCTTTTCGGAAATATTGATAGAAAATTGAGTTTTAAATATAAAATGCAATTTGAATATCAGCTGGGTGGCGTTATTTTTGCATTTGATCTATTTTATCGGTGTCGTGGTACTAAACAAAAGCTTTTGATTGGATGTACTTTTAGGTGAATAATTGTTTTTTAGAAAGTTGAGATAAAGTGCAATTCTCAGAAATAATTGTAGCTTGTACAAATATCCCGAATCGTAGCGATTTTTGCTGTCAGAACAAGCGAGTGTATTTGGGATGGTGTATGTATTGACAAATGGAGGTGCATGCTGTACCAAAAACGCGGACAGTGTGTGGATATTTTGTTATACAATATAAAACTATTAGTCAAAATGTTGACAAATAAGCAGGATACATAAAGGCTAAAGATACTGCGCATCCATATCTTTCGATGAATTAAATATTTGACGTTTTATTTGTTTTGTTTTTGGAGAACAAAAAAGTTCAGATAAAATATTGAAAATAAAAAATATAAGCGCGGAATGTTATTTTTCATCCCGGCCCACATACGGCAGTGTGAATCATTGTTGACTAGTGATCGTCAACAATGACCTGCTCGTTGATGGACTCAAGGGTGGCCATGAGCCGAGCATTGTTCAGGCGGCGCTCATGCTCGGCCTCCAGCTGACCGTACAGCATGTAAAGGGCGCGCTCGTTGCACTCAGGGGTGCCCTTGATGGTGAACAGACGGTCGCCGCCCTCGCTCTCGGTGACCTTGGCGATGGAGATGCGCGAGCCCGAGAGGCGGCGAATCTCAGAGATACGGGCGCCGTTCTTGCCGATGATGCAGCCGACCATGTCGCAAGGGATGGCGATCTGCTGGGTGCGCGTGTTGGCCATCAGCGCAGCGGGGTCGATGCCGCGCTGGGCCTGGACGCTGACGGACTGCGAGCGCAGGCGCGCGCTCGACACGGCGGCGACGTTGGGCACGTAGCTGGGAGGCGTGATGGCGCCGGAGCCGGTCTCGCGCGACTGCGGAAAGGCCATCGTGGGGCGCGGCGGCATGGGCATCGACGACAAAAAGTCGGGGGCAACCTGCGCCGATGCCCGGGTCACCGACACGGTGTGCGAGCGGTGGCGGCTCAGCGAGGCATATGCATTGCCCGAGTGGGTCGGCGACGCGGTGGTGCGGTCAGAGTCGGCGTGCGTAAAGTCGACGGACGCGCGTAAGTTGTTGACGTAGGGGTTGGACGTCGAAGTCACGGTGGGCACACGTGTGGCAGGGTTGTACAACACGGTGCCGACGCCGCGCTCCCAGTCGTCGATCAGGCACTTGCCGATCTCCTCGATGGCCACACGGATGCCCTCGACGCTGCCGTGCACTTCGACGACGCGCTCGGTTGACTGCGGCAGCATCTCCTTGGTGGCCACCAGCCGCGCGCCCGACGTGTCCTGGATATGCTTGATCTTGAGGCCTTGGCGGCCAATGATCGTGCCCATCAGGTTGTGCGAGATCAGGATCCGCACGACGGTCTGCATCGGCGGCGGCGTCGCCAGCTGCATGCCCAGCTGCGTGCTGACGGCCATCGGGTTCTCCACCAGCGTCTGGGCCACAAGCTGATACGCATTGGCCACATCGCTGAGGAAGCCCGTCACCGACAGCACACGGTCGTGCACGCCCGGAACCACCTTGGACACGCCGGCCTTGACATTGGCGGCCTCGCGCAAGTCAGCAACGTTCTTGCCGCCCTTGCCAATGATGACGCCGGCCTCCTTGGTCGACACGAGGGCGCGCAGTGTCAGCTGGGTATCCTGAACTGACGGCGCATCAACTGTCCGCGACAGGTCGGCGATCGATGAGTTGGCGCTGTCATGCTCCGAGGCGCTGAGCGCCGGCTCGGGGAACTGCACACGGTGCATGTTGCCGAATCCGTTGGTGTACTGAGACATTGTCGATATCTATGGACGCAATTAGAAACAGATAAAACAGGTAATAAACGAGTTAGTATTTTTGTCGGATCTTTCGTCTCGGCATGCGTGGCGCCACGCAGAGGCAGCAGCAGCAGAAGTTATGACACGAAATATGGAAGGGCAAAAAAGCCAGTGGCAACGGTAGCAGCAACGGTTGAGGGGATTCAAATCCCCTCCTTAACCCCACGTCCTGCACGTCCCTTAGCAATTTGTTTGCTCTGCCGGCTGCCAGGAAAGGAGAGCATGTGGGCGCAGAGAAGAAAATGCAGCTACACACACAAACACGCAGCACTTGCGCACAACACAAGGGATAACAAAAAAACAAGCTATACACGTACCTTTTCTATATAAACGTGAGTTGGTCAGAGGGCGATGGGAAGAAGGCGAGCTATGCAAAAAAGAATAGGGCAGGGCAGGGCAGAGGTAGGTTGGGTGTTGTTTGATGTAAAGTTGAAATAATCCAAATTCCGGTTCAGATGTGCTGTACAAAAAAGTTGCCGACAAGCAGGAAGCGAAACGGAGGATGCGCGTGAGAGCGAGTGGTGCTGTGGGCGTATAAGTGAGCGAAATTGGTAGAGGCGGCGGAGGTGAGACGGCGGGACTCTAAGTGAGATGAGTTGAGAAATATAAAAAATATAAAAAAAGCAGATAGAATGAGGCAGCAGAAAAAAGTTATGAATTTAGGTGAAGAAACAATAAAGGAAAAGAGACGGCAGCGAGTATGGCGAAATATATAGAAACTCGAGTGGAAAATATAGAGCGTGAGGAGGAGGGAGCGGGCGGGCAGGCAGGCAGGCAGCAGGTACTCAAAGAGGATTATAAAGATGGAAAGTGTGAATAAAAAGAAAAAGAAAACGGGCCAGCCAGCCTTTGGATTTCTTGTCGCTTCCCTTGTGCAAAAGCGTGGAAAAACCTCCTTTGAAAAAAAGATAAAAAGGCTGCTTGCTCCGCAAAGACAAGCGTGCGTGCGCTCTTATTACTGCTGTCCTCCTTTACCCGCCGATTGTATTCAGCAGCCAGAGCCAAGAGCAAAACCTGGTCTCTGGCCTGGGCAGCAGAGTTGACGCTTTGAAAAAAAGCAACCGCTCGTTTGTGATTGGTTTGGCGTTGGTAGTGTGTCAGGTGATTGTTTTGGCTGGACCTGGTCTCAGTGTCCTGCAGCCTGCAGCCTGCGGTCTGTGGACTTTGGTGGAGCTGAAATGGCAGCCGAAGATCTCTGTGGGTTCCGCTTGCTGTTGCCGCTCTCAATATGAGTCTCCCCATCGCGCTCGTAATGACGAGTCGCTTGTTTTTCTGCAGCCCCCCCCTCCCTTCTTTTTTGTTTCCTTGTGTTCGCGTGCTCCACTAATTTTTCTCTAAACCGCAAAGTCGATTGTTATTTTATATTCAACAGCACATCAAATAAACAAACAAAATACGTCCCCCCACTCTGCACCAACCCACTCAACGCCGGCGCCGACCTGAATTCAATGTTCACAGACACCTACGAGCTGGCGTGCTTCGTGCCGTCGCGCCTGGACGGCCGCGCCCTCGAGACTCTGATCACACTGACCAGCAGCCGGCCCTATGGGTCCTACCGCAGCACCAGCGGTCCAAACAGCACCAGCAGTCTCGGCGCCAGTAGCAGTAGCAGCAATAGCAATAGCACCAGCACGCCCGACTCTGAGCGGGCCATCATTTTCCTTCACCCGTACGCGCCGCTGGGTGGCCAGTTCAGGAACAACATCATATATGAGGTTAACACCCGGCTGGGCCGCCGCGGGTCGCTATCCATTGCATTCAACCTGCGCGGCGCCGGGCGCTCCGAAGGCCGCACATCGTGGACAGGCCTCTCGGAGCAAGAGGACCTGCGCTCGATTCTCGACATGGTCAAGAGCCAGCGTCTGGTCCTCCACGACGCGCGCCACCCACCCGCCGAGCGCCGATCACTGCTGCTGCAGATGCAGGCGCGCGGCCACATAGACGCAGCCGTCGATATCGACCAGCTGGACGCCGTGCCCCTTCCGCGCATAACCAACACGCTGCTGTGCGGCTACAGCTACGGGTCCATGATAGCCGCCGCCATTGGGCCCGCCGAGTACCCGCAGCTGGGCGTTGACTACGTCTACATCAGCTTTCCATACAGCGTCATCTGGGCGCTTGCAATGAGCAAGCGCTCGCTGTATCTGCAGCGCATCGCCGAGACTGTCTCTGCAGCTGCGGCTGCCTTTGCGGCGGGCGCCAAGGGCAAGCACATCGCACGCACGCTGTTTGTCGCCGGCACGTCCGACACATACACGTCAATCTCGTCGTACAACAAGTGGTGGGAGCAGCTGGCCGCAAAGGCACTGCAGGCGGTGCAGGCCGCTGATGACGCGGTAGACGCAGCGGACGCCAAGCGCGCCGTGGGTCAGGCGCTGACGCTGGTGCGCGCGCAGAACGCCGACCATAGCTGGCTCCGGCGTGAGGGCGAAGTGACGGACTCCATAGAGAGCTGGTGGTGGGCGCGGCACCAAAGCCCGTGATCTCAGCATCGTTTCCAGAGTTTTTCAGGCCGCGCCATTCCACACACACTCATTTTCCCTTTTCAAGTTTCCAGCTCTGGAGTTTAAATATATTGCCACAGCGGCTCCTGCACATCCCCTTCACCACGGCCGGCACCAACGGCAACGGCAGCGGCAGCGGCCGCGGCAAATGCGTTGGCATAGAACCGCACGCCCTCGACGCTCTCGTCGCGGCAGAGCGCGCCGGCCCGCTCGCAGAGCCACAGCCGCTCCTCGGCCAGCGTCAGCGCGCAGTCCTCGATGGCCGCCAGGTCGCTGGCCGTGAGCGGCCCAAAGCTCGCTATGTACGCGCCGACGCGGCTGATGATCAGCGCGTCGCTGGCTGAGCTCGCGTCCTCGAGCACCAGCAGCCCGCTCGGGTACTCGCGCAGCCGCAGCGGCAGCCGCAGGGCCTCGAACTTTTCACAAGCCTGCACAAAGTCTGACGGGTAGACCAGCGAGAACTCGCGCGCGCGGTTGTACAGGCAGTAGGCGTCGACGAGCGCCACGGTTCCGCCGCACTGCGACACGTAGTTCTCAAGGTAGTCGCAGAGCTCGCGTGCAAGCTCGTCGTGGAAGACTGCGCCGGCCGTGTCTCTGGTCACCGGGCTGTCGATGCCCAGGTCCAGCAGGTACTGGCGGAATGCGTCGACACGCTCGGCGTTGTCCTCGTCGCTCTCGGCAGCGTCCTTGCGGTGCAGCTTGCTGGCTGCGGGCGAGTTGAGCTGTGTGGCAATGTGCTCAGCCATGCTCACAATCTCGTTGGCCTTTGCTGTCAGCGCATCAAGGTCGGAGAACGCCGATCTGAGGGTCACGTCGCGAGCCTGCTGTGTCTCGTGCGCTGTGTTGACTATGGTCGAGATGCCGCCTGTTGTCGGCCGCCGCTCGCGCGCGAGCAGTGGACTATTCGCTGCTGCTGCTGCTGACTGCTGCTGGCCCTGCAGGGGTGCTGGCGGTACTGTGTGCTCGCCAAACGAGTCAGTGCCAACCAGCTCCCACGGGGAGTTGTCCACAGCCCCCTTGAGAGCCGCGTAAAAGGCCGATGCGCCACCAGCACGGAACGACAGCTTGATGAGGCTGATTGCGTCGTTGCTATCCCTGCCCGAATTCGCCTGTTCCTGTGTGCGCAGCCGCTGGTACTCCGTAGACTTAGGAGCCGCATTGGTTTGGTCCGCGACCGCCTCGTCGGGTTTTGACAGCCCAGTGTCGCACATCTCACACCGAACCATGCTCTCGTGGTTGTCAAATGTGCACACAGGACAGCGCAGGGGCTGCCGCTTGGCACCGCTGGAATTTACAGGCCGTGTATCAGCAGCGACATTGCATGTGTCTGTGGATTCGTAGTTGCCCTGGTGTGGGACGCCACACAGCGTGCATTTGATGCCGCCCCTGTTGATCTGGTCGCAGATGTTGCATTTCCACCCGATAGGCCCGGCACCAGAGCCGGGTCTCGCCTGGCCATACATATTGGCGATTCCAGTTGTTTCGAGCAAAGTCGTGCCCTGTGCGCCATTCTGTCTGTTGTACCCACTGGTGCTACTGCCCTCTGCTGGCTGGACGTCTCTGTCGCCCCCATTCGTAGGCTTGGGCTTGAGATAGAGGCATATTTTGGCGGATGTGTAGAGGAAGCCACCGTGCAAGGTGCATCTATGGATTGCCTGGAGGTCCAGGGCCAGTGATCGCTCGTGCGGGAGCTGCTGGTCGACATAGACCAGCCGCTGTGTAGTGAGATACATTGTGCCGCAGTCGTGCTCCTCGTCACGCTCCAAGCCCTGGTACAGCCCAACCTTGTTCTGGATGCACAGGATTTTCTCGCTGCTACCGAGCAATGGTCGCTGCGTTGGTGCTAGCTCTACTGGGTCCATTCTGTTCTGAAAATGCGCAAATGTAAGAGTGAATTGGAAAAAAAAAATCAGACGAAAAACAGTGAACAAAGGACCCAGACAGGGTGTGGGGTCGGTTCTCGGTGCTTCAGGCTCTGCTCTGGCAGGCCTATGCATGTATTATGCCCGTCTACGTGAAAATCACACCGTGTCAAATCTTCCAAAAAAAAGTTCATGGAAAGCGCCCACGTGAGGTGCAGCTGAGCTTCAACATTCAAAAAAAGCGACGAAACGACAAAGCGGCGAGATGACTCTGCCAAATTTCAGACACTTTGTTTGGCCACAATTATTTTCTGTCTTTGCTGGCCAGGCGGCCGCGGCGAAACAGCATCGTCGCATATTTATTTCTCTTTCTGGAATGCAAGCCAAGCGGCGGACCCAATAGGCGCAATCATACGCCAGCCAGCAGCCAACAGTCAACACGAATGCCATTTTTATGAGTTTTTTTTACCCCACCCATGAATTGTGTTTGGCCAAAGACGGGTCTTTTATGACAATTTTTTTTTGCATTGTCGATTTTTTAAATCCTCTCGCTTCTCAGAGTTTCTTCTTTATCAACTTTAATTTTTACTAGGACTATCAAAGATCCACAACCATATTAATTCTTCCTTTTTGCACTTCTCTCTTATCGCTGCGCCTTTGTCTCGTCTGGCTGCGGCTCCAAAATTTTTACCAACTCTAAAACGTATTTTTTACGGTGATCCCACTTCTTCACACTTTGCTACTAGTTACCGCGCCTGTGCGCGCACGCATACACACAATCACACTCACTCACACAAACAAATACGCATTATTAGCGTTTTATTACTTATTGTCTGAATGAGCTTTCACTACGACTCAGCGCAGTGGAACGGCGAAAGCTCCTTTTCGGTTGCGGCCGGTCAGAACGACACAGCGGCAGCAGAGCCCCGCGAAATGTATTCTCCGGGGCTGGATGGCAAGCGACAAAGAGTGTCACGCGCATGCGACAGGTGCAGGCGAAAGAAGGTAAAGTGCGATGGCAAGCGGCCCATATGCACACATTGCGAGGCCATCAATGGCTCGTGCACGTACCTCGATGCGACAAAGAAGCGCGGCCCGCCAAAGGGCTACATTGATGTTATCGAGAACCGGTTGCACAAGGTTGAGGAGCTGCTCTGTGCACTTATTATGACCGACTCTGCTGCTGCGCGGTTTGTGCTTGATGATCTGCAGTCCTCCAATGCCAATGAGAGTGCTGTGGTCAGCGACGCCCATGGGAGGCTATTTGGCAGATTTACTATGGCCGAGCTGGGTGCTAGGGCCAGCCAGCCTCGAACGCAAGCACCGCTGGTTTTGTCGGAAAGCGAACGGCAATCGGCGCCAACGCCGGTACCCGCACCAGTGTCCACCGTGGCAGATCAATCTGACACTGGTACTGCTTGGGCGGATTCGGGTGCTGCATTGGACATGTCTGCCGATGCCTCTACTCGGATGCATGAGCAGGCATACTCAGCTCATGGCGGCAACAACAGTGACGGCGACGACAATGGTAACGGTAATAGCAACGACGACAACAACAACAATAACGATGATGAGGGCAGTCTCGACAACATAGCCAAGCTGGAAAAACGGGTCGGCCATTTGACTTTGGATCAGTCAGGGTCTTTGCGGTACCTGGGGAACAGCAGTGGATGGTACTTGATCAACCGCAGCTTGATGTCGTCGGAAGCCAGCCCGCGCTTGACCAAGGGCGTGGACGGCGCCATTCGGTGGCCACCCATATCCACCTATTCAGCCCGCGAGAACGAGCCCGCCAACGCGTCTTCAATCACCACAAGTAACAGTGGCAGCAGCATCAGCAGCCCTCGCACAGAAACAAGCCCAGACTTCGTCACGCCTGTTTCGGCCAATGCCGCGGCTTGGGTCCCTGTCGGTGGTAGCTACGAGGCGCTGGCCACAGCAACAGCCAGGGCCACAGCCACAGCCTCTGCATCTGCACACGCTAATCCGCGATCCGTCAGCAACGATAGCCCGCAGAGCCAGCAGCTTGGGGTGGTTCCAGTGCCGCGGAACATGCCGCCATGCGGAAAGCCTCCCATGCCGGACGACGAGGAGAAGGGTATTTTGCTGTCGCTGTACTTCCGCTACGTTCACCCGGGCTTCCCAATCCTGTATAAGTCGCACTTTTTGAAGCAAGCCTTCGACAAGAAGAATTCCCAGTCTCCTGCTCTCATGTCGGCGGTCTACGCGGCAGCGTCAACTTACAAGATCCGCGAAGTGGTTGGCAAGGCTGATCTGGCGCGCGCACGCATACAAATGGTGGTGCATTTCCAGCGCGCAAAACTGTACTTGGATGAGCAGTACACATACAACAACACGCCGACCATTTTGACCCTTCTGCTTATGTCGGTATACGAGCAGGGCACCATGTCGACGCGGAGCTGGCTCTACTCGGGAATGGCTGTCCGCAAGGCCTACGACTTGGGTATTCATCGCGATGTGGGCGTGGCCAAGAACAATGTCATGGCCGTCGTGTCGTCGGTTGAAGCCGAGATCCGCCAGCGCGCATGGTGGGGGTGCTACATCATGGACATTATGGTCAGCGCGACGCTCGGCCGCCCGACTACTATTCGCGACTTTACGTTCGACGCACCGTACCCGACCAACTTTGGTGAAGACGACGACGAGCTGTTTTTGGAGTCTCCAGTGGTCCCAGGCACCTACTCGAGCCAGGGCGTGTTTGTGCCGTCCTCCCCCAGCCAGCCCAAAAAATGGCCTCGACAGCACCAACAGAAGCAGCAATCAGAGCAGCATCAGCAGCAGTCAGAAAGCTCATCTGTTCCAGTGGCTGAGCGCATGCTGGATTATGTTTCGCTTACAATAGGGGACTCCGACTCGGAGGAGTCCGATAGCGGAGCCACTCGGAGGCCCAAGCAGCCGAGGCCGCCAAAGAAAAGGCGCGCGATGGGCGAGTACTACTTGGATCTGCTGCATGTTCTGGGCCACGTTGTGACAGAGATGTACACGTGCAAGCCAAACCGCGGCTACGCGGCGCAGTTCTGCCTAAATAGCGTGAATTCACGGGCCGAGCGGCTGATTGTGCTGGACCACGAGCTGCGCCGGTGGAAGCAGTTGCTGCCACCAAAGCTGCAGTACCCCGTGGACGACATCCTCGCCGCGCGCCCGCCTCGCTGCGTGTACATCGCATTGATTCACCTGGTATACCACACGGCGATGATCCTGCTCCATCGGCCGTTCATCTCCAAGCTGGGCGAGAACAACAATCCGGGCTCGCCGATGGCCACTGATGACTCCCAAGCGTCTGGATCCGACGTCGGCAGCCCTTGCGGCTCGGCAGGCACTGGGAATTCGGCAAGCCGCAGTACAGCGCCGCCGCCGTTGCCGTCGCATTCGATCTGCACGCTGTCGGCGCAGATGATCACGCTCATCGGACAGGGTATCACCCAGGACTCGAAAATATTCATCATGCCCTTCCTGACATTCATGATGTTCACTGCCGGTACCATGCATCTCAACAACGTCATTGTTGCTGCCGACAGCTGGCTTGCCCGTCGTTTCCTCAAGCGCACGCTCGAAGTCATGAGCCGCAGTGGCGCCCACTGGCAGGTATCCTACAAGTGCTACACAATGCTCAACACGCTAGTTCGCGCCAACCGGATTGGGCTGGACCAAGTCATCGACGACCCTGAGGCCGGTATTCGCGTCATCAAGGAGCGCGCGCACGAGATTTCGCGCGTCGCCCACTCGGTCTACGAGAACCGCTCGCAGTATCGTGATATTCTCGCATCTAGCAAAATGGGCACAGCGCAGACCTCAACGCCGCGGTCCCGCCAAGTCACGCCCAAGTCTGGCTATGGGTTTGAGACAAACAGGGGCAGCGCGTCCAGACTATCCATTGCAGCGGGCAAGGCAAGCTCGCCGCTGGTGGCGGACGCAGACACCCAGAGCTATTTCCCCACATCGTCCATCGTCGCTGCAAAGCGCAATGTCCCTGTGCCCATGCCTCCGCCTGCCCCTGCCCCGCGCAGATCCACGCTCACCGGGCCGCTTTATGCCAAAGCCGCTGCCCCGTTCGCGCCAGGGCCTGGGGCCGCTGGCCACTCGACCTCTGGAAGCATGACCATGGACGTCGACTCGGGATTATCTGCGTTGCCGCAGGCGAGGGGCTTGAAAAGGTGGCCAAGCTCTAGCAATATCGGCAGCACCTCGGCCACAGACTACAGCCCTCACGCCCAGATGCCACCACACGCCTCTGTGTCGACGAGCAATAAGAGTGGTTCTGGATATGCCCGCCCCGCAGCCGGATCTTCCGATGACAACCATTCTGAGAGCATGCGCCCGCCTGCCGGCACTGGCGTTTTTGCGCTGCGCAACTCGCTCAGCAAAAATGGCAAGCCTACCACGCCCGAAATTCCGTACATGACTGTCGATCTGGCCGCCAGTAAGAGCTCTGCTGCCGACCTGATGCGCACTACGCTTGTTGCTGAGAAGCACTCTGCCAGGGTTGACCCGTCGAGACCCGCATCGTCGTCGTTGGGCCAGTTCGTGCCATCGCTTGAATTTTTTGCGAATGCTGAGTTCCCGCTGGGAATTGGCGGTCCCAATGGCCAGGCGACATCAATGCATCCACCTGCAATGGGCGCGCGCAGGGGCAACAGCAACAACGATGTCGGTGGCGGAAGGGTCGCTGCTATTGGTGGCGGCTTGCTCGGCCATGCCAATAGCAGTACCAGTAGCGTCACTGGTGGGTTCAGTGGCGGCGCACCGTTTGGCTTTATGCCGTTCTTGTCCCCGTTCAGTCAGCCTCCGGGAATGTCGGCGACTTCAGAGTCAACCAGCCCGTATGCAGGTATGCCCGGCCTGAGCATGGGCACGAACGCCGGGATCTCGACAGCATTGCCAACATTGAGCCCCTCGGCCAACAACATCAACGCCAACAACTACTTCTCTCCGAGCACGGCTGCCCTGACTGCAAGTGTCTCTAGTGACGGATTTGGATACAACAGTGCCAGCAGCATGGCCGCTCCCACCGGGTTTGGATTTGGCGGGATGCTCATTGACGACGATGTGATCCGAAACCTGCCGTTTTCGGGACCGGCCTCCTTTGATCTTAACCTTGGTGGGATGAGCGACACTGCTTCGATGATGGCAGCGCTTCATCAGCAACAGCAACAGCAGCAGCAACAGCAGCAGCAGCATCACCATCATAATCTAATGGATATCAACCGAGATGGCCCAGCGGGGGTGACCACAGGCCCTATCTCTGGGGCATTTACCACCAGCGCCGGAGATGCTGGAAGCTCAGAGGACACCGCTCGCAACGCAGCAAATGCGGAGACACCGTGGAAGGACTATGTCAGCCAGGTGATCCGCATGTTTAACGAGGGCTATCAAGCGACAGATAAAGGCAGCAACGTCGAGACTGACTAGCCTCGGTGCGCGCATTTTGTAGACCAAACCCATTTCTTGATACGCTTATAAACTTTTAAAAACCACTGTAACAAATCCTCAACCATTAAAAAAGAACATTGACCAAAGGTGTTGTTAACGTTATACCTCCGAGACTGTGTTTACGCACTTTACATTTCATTAAAAGGGATAGTACGTTAAGTGCAATCATTTGGCAGAGACTCGGAAGTGGCAGCAGCCGGGCGCAGAGCCAAGGAGGCACCCTCTACAGCTACTCATCCTCGCAGGCAGCATGTGGGATTGATTTATCCACATATCGTGGCGGTTATAGCCGGCAATTGTTTATCACAAGACAGAGCTTCATCAAAGAAGCAAGCGGGTCTATGGGTCTATTTTCTCTGAGCGATGTGTGGACAGTTTTTTGTCCAGCACATCAAATTATAGTTGCTCTCTCATCAAGCGTCTTTTTTGTACTCATATCTTTGTTACTATGATAATCATAAACATAGAAAAATATTGTTCAGCGGTTGCCCTCCAGTTTCTTACTGGGACGCGCCAAAGGCTGCCGCGGTCCCGCCAGCGAGGCCTGATATGACTCTGCGCAGGAAGCCACCTGTCGTGGTTTGCGCGGCTGAAGTCGACAGCTGCGACCTCGTCTCGTCAATTGAAAGGCGGTCAAAGTAGCTGGAGCGCCGCATGTCATTGTCCCAGATGCCTCCAGAGTTGGCGCGGGCTACCGGCATTCCATCCTGGCCACGCACAGCCAGCCCTGCCGCCGCCACCATGTTGCCTGCAGAGAAACTGCCCGGACCACCGGCCGCTCCGTGTGCGCCGGTCGTGACGCCAGCGTGGGCACCGGTTGGGCATCCATAAACTGTGCCGTAGCGGCGGTAGGGCTGCGCCAGTGGGTTTGCGCGGCCCATCTTGATGCTGTCGGGGGACGAGGACACGGGGGGTTCCGAGTTATGCCGCTGCACCTGCCGTGCGGCAAGGTCCATCGGGCGCGTGTTTCCCGGATACATGTCGACAGTCAGAAGCCCGGGAACGCGCCGGCCGCGCCAGGTCTCCTGCGCTGCCGTAGTCGCTGTTGACTGATGTGTGGGCGGGCGGAACGATGGCAGATTCTGGTTTCGGCCCGCCGAAATGGTCTGCTGCCGGTTGAGCCGGAGCTCCTTGGCCCGAATGCGCAGCTCGCGGATGTGCTCGCACCCTGGCTCCGCTAAATCGTAGCACCCGAAACTGGCGCCCGGCGCACTCAGGTCTGGGCCGTACACAGCGCACTTCGCCTCGTCAGGCACAAGCATCCAATGTGGGAGCTCTGTTGGCTGCTGGCGAGTTGAGCTCTCCGTACCCGTCCGCTGATCGCGCCCTGCACCTGGCTGCGTCAATGGCGGGGGCATAAGCGACTCCCACCACTCGGCCTGGATGTCAGCCTCGGTGGGCTCTGTCGGCGTTCGGCGCGACGCCCACGACCGCGGCTGCGTTCGCGGCACTCCTATCGCAAGGCGGTACTCACGCAGCATGACGCATCGAGAGATGCTCTCCAGCAGCGGGTGTGCCACATTGCGTACGTGGGCGTATACACGCTCGGTCTTGCGCACCTGCTGTGCGTGGGCCTCGGTACCTGTGTTGATAAAAATGTGCGGCAGCATGCTGGTTGGCCGGTTGACTCGGCGAGGCACGCCAGTCAGCTGCGAGGTTGCTATCTCCATCTCCTCCCGCTCGCGTTCAACAATTCCCTGCTGCCTTTGCGACTCCATATTGCGGTTGGTGCTCATCGTCAGGTGCGCTGCAGTCCCATATGAAAAGGGTGACGTGTACTCCTCAGGTATTTGGCGGCTGTTGCTCTTGAAATTGTCGGTCTGTCGGCCCGGTTGCTGCTGATGCTGATGCTGATTCTGGGTGTCTCTTCCGCCGTTGAGCTGGCCTTCCGTGTCGGCGTATCTGCTCTCAATTTCCTGTTCCTGCATTATGTGAGATTGCTCTGTGGCAACGAGCTGGCCATGTCTGCCTACTGGCAACTCGCTGTCCGCGTATTGATGTTGCTGATGCTGATGCTGTTTCGGGCTGTGACTGCGAAGCTCTTGCAGACGAGAGCTTCGGCGCATGGCACCGCCTACAGAATGGCCGACGGTATCTTCATACCGAATAATACCGTTGGTGTCGCCATTATGCGGTCCACTGCTTGCTGCTGCTGCTGCTGGTACCGGCCCAGCAACGGCTGCAACCTCTGGTGCTCCTGCTGGCACTGCTCCTGCAGGTGCTGGCCTGTCCCTGGGATCCGCCTGCTCAGGACACGGGCTGTCCATGCTGGCCGTAGTGACCGAGTCATCAATATCTTGGCAGGCACCTCCAAGAGTCGCTGTCGATGAATGCAGGCTGCCCCGCGACTGGTCAAGCGCAGAAATGTTGGCGTGCGTTATGCGAGACATCGCATCAGCCTGGGCTCTGTTCTGCTGCTGCTGCTGCTGATTCTGTTCCTGATGATAATTTTGCTGCGAAGCCGAGTCGTCTTCAGAGTCACTATTCCCGCTGTAGTCAACATACGAACCCTCGACGTGGCCGTCCCCATCTGGCGCGTCCGCGTCGCCATTAACTCCCGCGTGCGCATGTCCCTTTGATGGAAGGTTGTCTCGGCGGGCAGTCGTACCATGCCGCAAACGCGTCCGCAGGGCCGCTGAGCTGACGGCCTTTTTCACATGAGGCTTTCTGGCGCTGGTCTTCTTCCGCGCTTTCAGCTGGCTGTCCCGCAACAACGGCGCCTTGCCTCTATCGAGGTAAAGTGCCTCTGGGGCTTCTTTGTCCTTGCCTGCTTGAATGCTGGGGTCGTTGTCGCTTGTAGGCAAATTGCTGCTAGATTCCTGGATCGCTGGAGCGCTGATAACCCTCTCGCGCAAAGCCAGACCGGAGCCCTCTCCATCTTCATCAGCTGCGTTGGCAGACTGCGCGCTAAAGCTGTGGCTGGCCGAGGGATCGGCGAGGTGCATAAGGCTGGTCATTGCCTTGCACGCATGAAGCGCTGCAGGGCTGCAGACCCGATTCTGCTCGTTGACCGGGAAATTGGGCCTGTATCCACTGCTGCTGTTGATACTGCTGCTGTTGATACTGCTGCTCATAGCGCGATCCCCGGAATTAGCAACACTACCGTTTGCATGGTTGGACCGGTCGCTGTTGTCCATAACGGCATCTGCATAGCTGACCCTCGAGTTGTGCAATCGGATTCTAGACTGCAAATTGGCGCTAGGGCTCAGCTTGTCGCGCGTGTTGTCGCCCGATGTGCAGTCGGCTACATGTTCAGCTGGTGGATTGCGCCTGCCGTCAGCGGGCGTATCGTATTCATCAGCGCATTCCAAATCGCTGACCTCCGAGTGTGACCCCATGGTGAACAAGGGCTGCCGGCTTGGCTGTGACTTCCTCAGCGAGGCAGCAGATTCCTTGAGTGCTCTGACATTCTGTGTGTCTGCAGGGTGCACATTTCTGGATGCATCCCCAGCGGGAGGCGTGTGACCCGATGGCGCATCAGGAACGCTGGCGCTTGCACTGTAGTTGGTCGCAACGGCTGCTGATGTCTCTGTGGCTGAAAGTCCTTTGGAATTACTGGCGATATCTGCTGACTGCCGAGAGCCCCGGAAGCGTGACTGCAACACAGCACTGGCACCATCGCTGAGGCTATCGCTGTCTGCGCGGCCGTCATATTCGCGGTCGTCAAAAGTGCCCACGGTAAACACCATCTGCGCCTGCTTTCCTGACGATCCAGAGTTGGGCTTTCTGCTGCTATTTGGCTTTGACCCTATATTTAGAGCTACGGGCTTTTCTCTTGTGTTGCTTAAGTTGTCGGCAACAGACACTGCCACTTCACCTTTCGCTTCGGCTGGGCTGACGGGTTCCGGGCCGCCTTCGGCGCTCGTGTCTGCTGTGGTATGTGTGTCGTGTATAGGCCTTGCGCTGCGGGGTTTCCCCCGGCGAGCGCTTCTCTTTTTGGAGCCCTGGGCAGTGCTGCCCTTTCCACTGGCCATGGCGAAATAAAACTAGGGTTGAAAGTTGTAAAAAAAGACGAGGAATCTGAAAACGCAGTGTTGTTTATTCTGTTAAACGAGCTGCGCCAATGAGGGAAATGGGAGAAAATAGAAATTATAAAGAGAGCGATGGAATAAAATACAGAATTCAAATTACGCGTTGTCTCAAGAAATAAAATAACAAGTGGTCACCCAGTTGCCAGGACACAACAAAATATAACAAAACTAGGGCGCGCGTGAGAAAAACGGAATAGGTCGGAATACAAAAAGCAAATATTTAAAGTAGAAAAGTTTAGGGGCTTGCAGAGGGCAAGGTTGTAGTAGTTGAAATTAAAGAGTCCGGAATAAAGACAGACAGAAAAAGAAGAAAGGAAAAGGAAATGTTTTTTTTACAAGTTCAAAGCGAAAAAAGGGTTGGCGGGACTAAACCAGAGCACCGCCATTCTGAAGGGATAAGGGGGGAAGGGGCGAGGCGCGATGATGATGATGCGCGAGAAAAAATAGGAGGGCAACGTAGGCCAGGCCAAAAGCCCCTCCCTCTCGTTCTTTTGTAGTGCTTTTTTACTTTTTACTTTTTTACTTTTATTCCTTGTTTCAAATTCCAGCTTGCAAATAGTTGTAAATTGACCATGAGCGACCCCGCGGCACAGAACGAACTCATTGAAAACTGGCTCAACATCAACCCTGGCACAGAGAGCCAGGCTCGGTTTTACCTGGAGGCAAACAACTGGGACCTGAACGCGGCTCTGAGCAGCTTTTACGAACAGCCACCTCTGTCTGAAGGTCTTCCGCCTGCGCGCCAAGTGGATGCTGCATTGCCGCCCGACCCAAATCCAGTGGCTGCCAGCGCCGGCTCACGTCTTTCCAACACAGCACCGGTGATGTCAGCCGGCCCAATTAACGCGGCAGCAGCGACGCCGCTGGCCTCAGTAACGCCCGCGACATCAGTGCCACGCCGCCGCCAAGGGACTGGCGCGCGCATTGCCACTCTCTCATCACTGGCAAACCAGGACAACGACGACAACGAGTCCGAGGAATGGTACGCTGGCGGTGAGCGCAGCGGCATGGCCGTAAGGCCTCCCACAAAAGATGCTGGCGAGGGCGAGAGCGGCTCGCTAGTCGACCGCATTATGCGCCGCGCCGCAGAGGGAAGTGCGGCGGCGGGCGACAATGATAGCTCAGAGGATCTGACCAGCGAGAGCGCCCAGCCCAGATACTTTTCCGGGTACGGGCGGGCTCTCGGAGCGCCGGGAGCTCCGAGCACTAGCAGCTCAGGCGAGTCGATCCCTCCAACTGCGGCGCGCCCCAGCGACGCCAGCGGGAACGACGACACGGACGAAGTTGCCGTGCGCCAGCTGACCTTCTGGCGCAACGGCTTCAGCATTGGCGACGGCCCCCTGCACAACATTGAAGACCCGGTCAACCGGCAGAACCTCGATGCCATTCTGCAAGGGCGGGCGCCGCTGAGCATCCTCAACATCCGTCCCGGGCAAAAGGTTGAGATGAAGGTTACCGACCGCCGCGGCGAAGAGTATTCGCCGCCCGCGCAACCGCCTGCGCAGCCGTTTTCGGGCCATGGCAATCGCTTGGGTGGCGTCCCTCCTGCTGCCATTGTGACTGCCGCCACGTCGGCAGCCTCTAATGCTACCGGGCGGTCCATCACGCTGGACCCTTCGCAGCGTACCGTCCAGGTCCAGATCCGGCTTGCTGATGGATCGCGCCTGGTCGCCAAGGCAAATCTCTCGCACACTGTCGGTGATCTCAGGGGCTATGTTCTGTCGCAGCGGCCCGAGGCTGGCAGCAGGCCGTTTGCGTTCAAGGCGATTATGCCGCCCAAGGTCCTCAGCGACGACTCGGTCACGATCGAGCAGGCGGGGATTGCCAACGCAGCCATCGCTCAATATTTTGTGTAGACTGCAATCATGCTTGTTTCATTACTTTATGAGCGTATTAATGTGAAGTGGCTCTCAAACCGGAGTGGGATGGAGTGTAATAAAAAGGCTATATAATATAATAACGTTAGAACAACAAATAGCGCAGCAACAGCGGTGCGGGCGCCTACATGATAAACAGCGTGTTCATGTCCATCAGCCGCCCCGTGCTGAGCTGGGGAACCTGTGTGTACTTGACGGCCAAGCGCTTGCGGACATCCTGCAGCAACTGGACGTAAGTCTGGTGCGGGTTGTTGTTCATGCTTGAGATGAGGGCGTGCGACATAGCGCCGGTGAACTTTAGGTCCTCTGTCTTTGAATCGGCGGATGTCTGGTCGTCCTTGCAGCCCGAGAACATGATAACGTCACCCATCGTACTTTTGGTCTGGCGTGCCTTTTCGAGCTTTTGGTCGCCCGTCAGCATGATGTCTAACGACTGTGTCACGCCCTTGATGGCTCCTGCAAGGTCGCCCTTCAGGTACAAGTTGCCCGCCGACAGGAAGCCCTTGCCGGCATAGGTTATGGCCTTCTCATTCTTGAGCTTGCCCTGGTGATTGTACATGAATGGCAGGTCAAGCGCAGTGGCCGAGTGACAACAATCAAAGATGGCGGTGAGGCGCGCGCCGCGAGGAAGAGGGCGGACCATCATGGTGTTCATGTCGTCGTCAATGATCATACCCTTGGACTCAAAGTCCACCGGGCAGATTGTCTCGTCATTGCCGTCAAGCTCTTCGCCTGTCTTGCTGGTAACCGTGGCGCCGTGGCCCGAGTAATGGAAAAAGAATGAATCATTCATGCGCGCATCGCTGACCAGCCACTTCATGGCCCTGATGATGTTCTCATGCGTCGGCATACGGCGGGGATTATCGCGCTGGTCATCAGTCAGTATGACAATATCGGCTTCGCGGAACCCAAAGTGCTCAATAATAAACTTATTGATGTTGTGCACATCGTTGATGCAGCCCTTGAGCAGGTGCTTGGTGCCAAAGTAGTTAATACCAATGAGCAGAGCGCGCTTGCGTCCATTACAGTTGGACAATGTGACCTGGCTGGCTTCCTGCTGAAGCTCCTGAGGAATGTTGTAAGTCGGGATAGAGCCGTGTGTGGGTTGAGCTTGGCCTTGACCTTGACCTTGACCTTGACCTTGACCTTGACCTTGACCTTGGCCTTGGCCTTGGCCGTAGCCTTGGCCCTGGCCTTGTCCTTGCCCGTAGTTTGGGCGCTGGCTCGATGGCGGGGGTGAGGGCGCATTCCACGTCGGAAAATTGTTTGCCGAAAAGTCAATGTCTTCGGGCCGGTGGCGAACGACTGGCATATTAAATGAAGGAGCAACTCCAAAGTCGCCGCCGGGTATCTGGTACCCACCATCGTACTGGGGAGGTCCGCCTGAGGGTCCGCCACCCGGCATTTGAGGCGGAGGCCCGCCTGAGGGTCCGCCCATGTATCTGCCATCCGGCATTTGAGACGGAGGCCCGCTTGAAAAGTCTCCACCGGGGAAAGACATGGGGGGCTGCTGGCCGTAGCCACCATATCCGCCACTGTTGCCGCCGTAGCCGCCACTGTTGCCGCCACTGTTGCCGCCATAGCCTCCGCTGTTGCCGTAGTCGCCTTGGCCGGGAAATTGCATAGGCGGAGGTGGTTGCTGCTGCTGGCCATAGCCGCCACTGTTGCGACTGTTGTCGTAGTAGTCACCGCCGGGAGGCGGTCCCATCGGCGGCTGTGGGTATTGCTGGTTGTAGTTTCCATGTGGGAACGGGGGTGGGTCCTGTGGTGGCTGGTAGAAGTTGCCTCCGCCACCCCAGTTCTGGTTAGGCGGGGGTCCACCATAGCCGTGCCCCTGGCTGGGCGGGGGTCCACCGTAGCCGTGGCCCTGGTGGGGTGGGGGTCCGCCATAGCCATGGCCTTGGTTGTGACCTTGGCCGTCTCCCTGCCCTTGGCGCCGACGATTGCTCTGGTCACCAGGATACATTTTAACAGATGAGCGTGTGTGAATTATGTGTGAAAGTAAAACAAGCAGGGGTTTATCGTAAATCTGATGTTAAAAATAAAATGAATCTGAATCCACCAAATACGTATATATAACAGCAAAGATGAAAATAATTAGTATAAATAAGAAATCAAAGTTAAAAAGAAAGAAGCTTTTAGGAAAGCTGGGCGGGTCGAGATATAAATATACTGTGAAGAGCCGCGGGTGATGAAGGCATGCCAGTGTCACGTCCTGTTTTGCTCATGCGCTGGTTTTTTTGGGGGAGACACTGCCGATGCGGCTTTTCTGAGAGATTGTATCTAGCAACGATCACCTGCTTTTGATGCATACTATCCCATAGCAAGCGCGGGGGCTGCACGCTGCACACGACGTATAAATTTGGGGCGGGCGGCCGCGTTCGAATATTTGAAGCTTTGTGCGGCTCGTGCGAATACCGTGTTTCTGAAGGTCCTGTACTTATATTTCCTGTGATCATATCAGAGTCATTTTCGCACGTAGACAAAGGAATTACTCTGACGCTCATCTCAACGCCGTCACTTCTCGGTAGCTGCGCGCGCTTTATAGCTGCATGCGGCGCATATCGTCTATGTGGGCTGGTAGAGCATACATTCTACAACACACCCAACACAACACAACACACCCAACACATTAAAATACATATCAATTAAAAAGCTATACCCAGACAGAAAGGCACCGCACGGTGCTAATGGGGTAAATAAAAATAGAAAGAGTGTGTGCATATGACATGAGCAGCCGCAGCAAAAAATGTAAAAAAAAATTAAAGCTGGATTTGCCTTACAAAATCCCCCCATTTGCTAATGGCTGTCTGGTCACTTTTTTGTTTCACTCGGGCGCTTTTTTATTTAGAAAATAAAAAGTATTCGCATTTAGAGTGAGCTGACTAATTCAGACTTTTTATTTGCAATTACTTGGAATACTGAGACCATGTCTAAACGCTCGCACTCTACCGCCGACTTTGACGGCGATGCTGGCGAGCTCTACGACGAAGAGAGAAGCAGCGGCACGCGCCAGGGAAGCGCGCAGGTGACTGAGCGGGACGGATATAGTGGATCTGCGAGCCCCCAGGGGTATGAGAACTACGACGACGAGGGTGGAGAGCAAGAGGGCTACGGCAGCAACGATTACGGTGAGGACGACTACACCAGCGATGGCAGCGATGTGAACGACGGACCCAAGATTGACGACGAGGAGCAGGCCAAGCTCGACTTTTCGTCGGGGCTCTTGCCCAAGGGCGCGATGAAGGGCACCGGGGCAGCCAACAACGATGACGAGTACGACGTGCTGAGCATGCCGCGCCGCGACCCGGCCACTGGGCTGTTCGGGGCTGGCGACTACAGCTACCTCAGCCTCAAGCCTGACCACGAGTCTCGGCCGCTGTGGATTTGCCCCAGCACCAGTCACATCATCCTCGAGGCGTTTTCGCCCATCGCCGAGCAGGCCATCGACTTTCTCATTGCCATCAGTGAGCCCGTCTCGCGCCCAACGTTCATCCACGAGTACAAGCTCACATCGTATTCGCTGTATGCTGCCGTGTCGGTCGGTCTGGACACCAATGACATTATCGAGGTTCTCAACCGCCTGTCCAAGGTACCCGTGCCGCAGGACGTCATGGACTTTATCAAGATGTCCACGCGCTCGTATGGCAAGGTGAAACTGGTGCTCAAGCACAACCGCTACTTTGTCGAGTCCGCCCACCCAGAGATCCTACAGCACCTGCTGCGCGACCCAACCATCATGAAGGCGCGCGTGTTTCCAGACCAGGACTCGGAGGGCGCGGTGTCCAAAGACGGCATCATTACGCAAAAGAGCTCGCAGCTGGGCGATTTGAACGTGGGCGGCCTGCCAAAGCCCGATGCCGCCGCCCAGGAGAAGCAGAAGCAAATGGCCGATAGCGCCGCCGAGAAGAGCGTGGCTGAGGGTGACGTGGACTTTAGCGCCATTGTCAGCCTGGACAAGGACGACGCAGATGACGACGACGTGGGCAACACCGTTCATGCGTTCCAGATTGACAGCGCAAGTGTCGAGTCAGTCAGGAAGAGATGCAACGTCATCGACTACCCGGTGCTGGAAGAATACGACTTCCGCAACGACACTATCAACCCCAACCTCGACATCGATCTCAAGCCTGCCACGACGATTCGCCCATACCAGGAAAAGAGCTTGAGCAAAATGTTCGGCAACGGGCGTGCGCGCTCGGGCATTATTGTGCTGCCCTGTGGCGCTGGAAAAACGCTGGTCGGCATCACGGCGGCGTGCACGATCAAGAAGAGCATCCTATGCCTGTGCACGTCGACAGTGTCGGTTATGCAGTGGAAGCAACAGTTCATGCAGTGGTCGACGATCAAGGAGGAGCAGATCGCCGTGTTCACCTCGGAAGAGAAGGAGCGCTTTAAGGGCGACGCGGGCCTGGTCATCTCCACGTTCTCGATGGTCGCCAACGAGCGCAAGCGGTCCTACGAGACGCAGAAAATGATGGATTTTTTGACCGGACAGGAGTGGGGCATGCTGCTGCTCGACGAGGTGCATGTCGTGCCCGCAAACATGTTCCGCAAGGTGGTCGGCAAAATCGCGACGCACTGCAAGCTCGGCCTGACTGCGACGCTTGTCCGCGAGGATGACAAGATTGACGACCTCAACTTTTTGATTGGGCCCAAGCTGTACGAAGCCAACTGGATGGACCTGGCCAACAAGGGCCACATTGCCAAGGTCAAGTGCGCTGAGGTGTGGTGCAATATGACGCCCGAGTTCTATAAAGCATACTTGGAAGAGACCCCGCGCCGGAAGCTGCTGTACTACGTGATGAACCCCAACAAGTTCCGCGCCTGCCAGTACCTCATCAAGTTCCACCAGAGCCGCGGCGACAAGATCATCGTGTTCATCGACAACGTGTTTGCCCTGCACTGCTACGCCAAGACAATGAGTCTGCCCTACATTTGCGGCAGCACTTCGCAGCGCGAGCGCATGCGCATTCTCGACAACTTCCAGCGCAACCCCGCGCTCAGCACCATCTTCCTGTCCAAGGTCGGCGACACGTCGATCGATCTTCCCGAGGCCACGTGCCTGATCCAGGTCTCGTCCCACTACGGGTCGCGCCGCCAAGAGGCGCAGCGGCTCGGGCGCATTCTGCGCGCCAAGCGACGCAACGACGAGGGATTCAACGCGTTCTTCTACTCGCTTGTCAGCAAGAACACAAAGGAGATGTACTACTCGACCAAGCGCCAGCAGTTTCTGATCGACCAGGGCTACTCGTTCAAGGTGATCACCCACCTGGAGGGCATGGAGGAATGCCCGGACCTGGTCTACGGTGATGTCGAGAGCCAGAAGAGCCTGCTTCATTCGGTCAAGATGGCCGGCGACGCGGCCTACGACGTTGAGGGGCTCCCAGCCGATCTCGATGTCAACGGCAACGCCGGGCGGCGGAAAGAGAACGGCGGCGTGCGCCGTGCAAAGGGCACCCTCAGGAGCATGTCGGGCGCTGACAACATGGCGTACATGGAGTCTGGCGGCCGGCGCGCGGCGAACACGGAGCCCGTCGCCCGCCACAAGCTGTTTAAGCGCCAGTTCGACGGCAGGAAATGATTTTATAATTATAAAAAATAACTGTTTATATTATTCAAATATATGGGCTTGTATATTCTCCATATCACTCGACTATAAAAACCAGCACGCACATGCGCGTGCACATGCGGTAAACTAGGATGGGATTGGGTTTAGAATGAGCGTGCGAGGCTTCAATAAAAGTCATCACGTTCATCCTCAGGCTCCTCGCAGCGGATGCCCGAAAAGTCAGGCAAGTTGTATGCTCCCGAGGCCGCCAACTCCTTGCGGCTCTGGATGTAGTCCAGCGTACGGCGGAAATAGCCCAGTACGTACGCGTTCATCGGCGCGTTGGGGGTGTAGAGTGCGTTGACATCGGCCACGCCCGCGTCAGTCGCCGCGCGCGTGGGCTCAGGTGTCGAAGTGTCAAAGGCCTCCATGTTTGCGATGGACGTGCGAATCAGGTCGATCAGGTCGTTCACGTACTTGGGCGTGACGGTCAGGCAGCGCCGCTCGTAGTGCATGGTAAACTGGTTGAGCAGCTCAACAAACAGTCTGACAGACAGGACCGGGTCCATGCACGAGTCAGCCACCTTGAGCGACCGCTGCAGGTGCGACAGCACGTTGTCGCCGTTGTTGTGGCGCTCGATGGCGCGCCGCTCGCGCTCGACGCGCTCCTCATGGGCGCGCTCAACCTCAGCCTCGTCCTGGCCCGGCGCGGCGGGCGGTGGAATGAGCTCCGAATCGGGAAGCGTCTTCCACCACAGCTGCGCGCACGCGTACGCCACGCGCGTCTGGTCGGCGCGCTTGAGCAGCCGCGACCCGTGCTGCACGCACTTGGCAATCAGCGTCTCGTAGTTTTCGGCCGAGAAGCTGCGGCTTGCGTGCAGCGCGTTGATGACGAGCATCAGCGCCTGGTACTGCGCGCGGCTCTCGTTGATGTGCTCCTCGTAGATGGTGAACGCTTGCACGATAAACTCGTAGGCCGCTTCCTCTAGTGCCGGCTCGTCGCGGAACGCGGGCGACATTGACGCGGCCTGGGCTGACATCAGGAACAGCTGCAGGCCCAGCTCCGCCGTCTGGAGCGAGGTCGCCGACCGCCCAACCAGCACGGATATGGTCGCTTGGATAAACCGGCACAGCTGCCGCACTCGCCGGAGCCATTCTGCGTGCTCAGCCTCGGCGCCCGCATCGGGCCGCATTGCCGCGAAGGGCCCCAGCAGCCGGGCGGCGCCGGCAACCACCGCCGGATACGTGTAGCTGACCAGGTCGCCGCCCTGCGAGAAGGCGTCGCGCACAACTGTAAGCAGGGTCAGCTGCGAGATGACATCGGGCCCGTGAATAAGGTGGACTAGGCGTGCCAGCAGGCCCTGCTCCTCGGCGATATCGTCCTCGTCTAGGGGCGTACTGGCGTATGACGACTCTGCAGCGCCAGAGCTTGTGTTAGTCAATTTACCCTTGTTGGCCGACAAGTCGCCCAGGGAGCCTAGCTGCGAGCCGCTTGACTTTGTGATTAGCGATGCGCAAAGACGGGTGATGCCGGCTACCTCGTCCTTTGTGCTCATGGTCGTGTTGCGCTGCAGAATGGCGGTCAGTAGCGCGACAGCCACGCTCTTGCGCGTGCGCTCGGTCTGGGCCTCCAGCAGCGAGCCGTAGTTGGCCAGCTCCAACACCTTGAGCGGGTTGGCGTAGGCACGCAGCGGGCCCAGCAACAGTGACAGCAGCTGGTTGGCTGTGGCCGGGTTTTGGACGCCTGGCGCCAGCTCGTGCGCCCGGGGCAGCGCGCGCACAAAGGCCAGCACATTATCCACCGGCGCCGACGGCTGCGGGTTGCACGATAGCGACAGCCGCAGCATTGCCGTGCATATGGCAATCGCGTCCTGAAGCGGGAGGTCGGGCCGTGCCTCGATCAGGTTACCCACGTGGTCCCAGAACGAGTCAAACAGCTTTGCCAGTGCTTCCAGGTCGCTTGGCTTGGCCTTTGCGCTACGCTGGCTGCTATTTTCTTCGCTGTCGTCGTCGTCGCCGGTGTTGGCTGCGTCCTGGCCGACTGCTGGGGCAGCGTCTTCCTGGGTCTCAATATTGGTATTAACATCGTTATCTTCCAGACTGGCGGCAGCAACTGACTCTTGGATCTCGTCTACGCTGTTGTTAGTGTCATTGGCCTCACCTTCATCTTCATCATCATCGCCGGTGGTCTCGGTGCTGCCTTGCTCTGACGCCGCAGATATGCCCAAGCCTGCAGAACCACTATTTGTGGCGTTGGGTGTAACCTGCTTACTCCCAACAGCAGCATCATCTCCAGAATCTGGCTTTGGTGACAGGGCTACACTGCTTCCGGCGGGGCTTTCGGAGCCAGCGGGCTGGTTCTTCTCAACCTCCTCGCGCCTGCGGGCAGCGTAGGCCGCAATGCGATCAACCAAAGGAATGACAATGGTTTTGATGCTGACCTTGGGGCTCAGTGCACAGATGGACTCCATCAGCTGGCCGATGGTTGCCAAGTGCCACTCATCGCTGAAAGCCTGCACCAGAGCCTCCATGAGATACTCCTGGGCCAATGTGTCGCGGCAGGAGACAACCTGGCTAAGCAGCCTGGGCAAAATGATTTCTTCATACGTCGAGCGCGGCACGCCGCTGAGGGATGCCAGGCGCAGCAGATTCGATCCAACAAGTGTGCGCAGGTCGCGGCGCTCAGCCTCACGGCGCTCCTTGTCGCGGCTCAGCCCCTGGTGCTGCAGGCGGACCCACAGCTTGTTCATCTCGACAAAATTTGTCAGAATAAAGTGCGTTGAGTCTTCCAGGCTGCCCTCGGGACTATCCTCGCCACTGCTGCCGTTAAGTGGCAGGTAGTCCTTGGTCATCTGCCCAAGGTAGTAGCGCAAAAACAGACCGCGGGTCGGGTGCTGCACGCCTCGCGTCATCTCCAGCATGTCCAGCATGACCTCGCGGACGGGGACAACCTCGTCCGAGCCGCCGGCGCCTGCAGAGACTTCGTTGCTGCGGGATCGGTCTGCAATGGTGCTGGCAAGGCTCATGTAGGCTGAGCCTATGGTAATCATCAGATAGAGCCGCGGCACGATGTTTCCAGCGTACTGCACCAGTTCATACAGGTCGGCCAGGTGGTTGCGCCCCGAGAGGTGTGCCGTGCGTAGCGCACCAATGAGATACTGCATCGCGTCAAAAGTCGCCAGGTACAGCTCGTAATAGTTCTTGGGCGTAAGCGCCGAGGTGCGAAGCTCGTTCAGCATGGTCGAGCAGTGCTTCAGCCCGTCCATGAGCCGGTCGTTGTCGACGCAGCGCTTCATCTGGAACGCCTGCACTTTGACTGCCTGCAAAGCGTCGTCGAGCAGCTTTGACTGCTCGTCGCGCGTACTCGCAAACACGTGGCTCATAGTGTTTGCTTTTTGTTCTATGCTGTTGATGCTTTCAGTGTCCTTGGTGTTGTCGTCGGCGAGTGAAATTATGCTGTGCGAGTGTTTTCTTTGTGTGAGTTTGTGTTAAAAAAAGTGCCAGCGAGAATGAACAGATGGGGGAATTGGAGGTGGTGTTAAATAGAGTAATTGCGCAAATGAAAAAGGTGCAAATAATAAAGCTATAAAAATGAGACGCCGCCGCGGCGCTGACGACGACGAACAGCGACGTATGCGCTTTGCATTTTGTCTCTCTTTGTTTCTTTTTCCTCCGCGCACCGTCATTGTCACGTGGAGGTGCAGATCGGGATGATTATATTTGATCCTGGAATGATTTTTCTTATCGCACGCGCGCAAGTGGCCGAAAATTGCAAGTGGCGCCATTTACTTTTTGGCAGTCGCACAAGCTCCGCTTAATCTCGGTCAGGCTGTGCAGCTCTTGAGGCTTGTGAGTGGTTTTTATCGAGAAATTTCGAAAATCGTGATTCGATTCTGTACTTTAAACTGCCAATTTGTTTTTTGCTTTCTTTTTTTCGCATTCGCAAACACTTGTTTGAATTAACACTTCTTTTTTCTATTTCTAACGTATAAATCCCTTTTTTTAACAAAATGTCGGAAGAAATTAAGATTGAGACGGCTCCCTTCGACGCGCGCTTCCCGAACGTCAACCAGACCAAGCGCTGCTGGCAAAACTACTACGACTACACCAAGTGTGTTGCGGCAAAGGGCGAGGAGTACGCTCCCTGCAAGCAGTTTTTCAAGGCATACGTGACTCTGTGCCCCAACGAATGGGTAGGTTTTTCTTTTTCATTTGTAGCATCGAATGCAGTTTGTGAAGTAAAGCGTGTTTGAGAGGCTGAATCCTAAGACTAATTTTTATTTTCGCTCTTGAATGCGCCTATTGCCTTTTTTCTTTTTGTTAGATTGAGAAGTGGGACGCGCAGAAGGACGAGGGCACCTTCCCGATTGCCGAAAGCTCGTAAGCGGCCGGTGCGTGTAGTTGCCATGATGCGTGTGCTCGGCCGGTATTTCTTTCTTATATCTCGCCGCTTGGAGGCCGGATCAGAACCATCCTCAACGCGATCTAGGGAGGGGCGTACAGGGACACACACACGCCCATACACACATACACACGCTTGGCTAACTGGGATCTGCCACCAAGGTGACTTGGGCGATATAGAAACTTTGCTTACTTTTTTTGTTCCGATTCTGTAACTTTCTCCAAAGTGAATAATCAACCCGAGAAATCAACACAATTTTTGAGCACAAAGTCTGGAGCGTGAAGAAAGAAAAATGGGCAAGCAATAAGCAAATAAGGGCCTAGACCCGGCGGGCCTTTGTGTGTGGACCGTCTTTCAGACCATATGACGGGACATGTCATGAAAGGCTGGTGAGCTAAAAAAAGTGAGAAAAGGAGGAGCGCAAAGGCCAAAGGCAATTTCTGTCACTTTTATAAAAGAAAAAAACAGAACCCTTGCAGCCAGCAGAGTAGAAAATGAGAGCCGGTTCAATGAATTACTTCTTTCTTTCTTGGTTTTAATTTTTTCTTCCGAAATACTCTACATTATTATATTTTATTGCATTTATGACTGGCTCAGTTCGCGCACTCTCTCGTAAAATGACGCTTCACTTTGAATTGACAGGTGCAAACGCAGCCGTGGGCGTGGCCAGCGGCGCTGCTGCTTCTCCACGGAGCGGCAGACTAGTGCTGGATCGCAGCTTGAACAGCGAGGCCAGCGCGCCAGCGTCGATATCGCCGTCGGCATCGACACTAGCACCGGCAGCGATAGGGCTGGAGACACCGACATTCCTCAAATACACACGGCACGGGCTGCAGCCGCATCTAGTGCGCGAGGTGGCGGCAGAGCTGAGCGACATGCCGGCGTGCACCCGGGTGCAGCTGGAGGACTTCCTTGAGGACGACGGCTCCGCGTGCGGGCAGCACGACGCGGGACTGCACAATTTTGTCTTTCTGGACCGCTCGGAGGTGCTTCTGCTGGACACGCTCGATCCCACGGTGACGCGGCGGGTGGGAAAGTCCACCAACTCGTTCCTGGCGATCGACTCGGAGGGCGGCACGAAGCGGCTGACACCCGAGGTGTTTGCGCAGCTTGTCGACCGCCTGAAGCCCGATATTATCATTCCGCCAGCCGACTATATCGAGGAGCCGCTGCCGTCGCTGACGCAGGGCAAGCGGATTTCAAAGTCGGTGACGCGGTCGGCCAAGTGGCTGGACGAGAGCATTGCAAAGTCAGTGTATCCCTCGGCGGTCTTTGCAGCAGTGATGGGGTCGCACAGCCCGGAGCTGCGCGACATTAGCGCGAAAAAGCTGTTGGCGCGAAGCGATGTGGCCGGGTATGTCTTCAATGACGTGAGCCTGGCGCTGCCTTTTGAGAGAAAGCTGCAGCTAGTGCAGCACTCGCTGGCGCAACTGGATGCGTCGAAACCACGGTACATGGTGGGGGCTAGCGCGCCCGACGCAGCGCTGCGCGCGATCCTTGGCGGCATCGACCTTGTCGACTCGAGCTACCCGTACGCGGTCACCGAGCAAGGATTTGCTTCGACATACGTCTTTGGCGGCGAGGGGGCGGCTGGTGAGATCGCGGACGCTTCTGCTGCTGCTGCTGCTGCTGGGCGACTGGACCTGTGGCAAGAGTCGATGTTTAACGACTTTGGGCCGCTGGTCGAGGGGTGCTCGTGCTTCACGTGCCGCAGCCACCACCGGGCGTACATCCACCATCTGCTGATGACCAAGGAGATGCTGTCGACGGTCCTGCTGCAGATCCACAACATGCACTGGTACAAGGGCTTTTTCGCAGACATCCGCAGCAGCCTGGCGCGCGCCACGCTGGCTGAGGATGCACAGCGGTTCTTGGAGCGCTACAGCTCCTCAAGCGAGGCGTTTGGCGAGCTGGAGACGCTGGCCACACAGGAGAACTCGCCCACGACGAAGATCCAGCGCAAGCGGCACGCGGAGCCACTATAGCTGGCTGCGGCTGCAAGCGGCAGTGTGAAACTCGTTTTCATTGTTTCTTTTTTCCTTTTTGCGATTTGCACAGCGTGTTGTGTAAAGTGCAGACGGATGATACATCAAGACTTTGTTTTTTTTATTGACGAATTTTTATTGTGGTCAGTTGCGCCAGCATTTATGCGCGTAAAAAAAACAAGCAGTAATTTGCACAATACACACGGCTCAACTTGTCGTCGTCACTCCTTTGTTCAAGTTTTTTATTCTGTTATTTATTTATTTTGCTCGAAATCGTTTGCCTTGTTCAATTGGCCTGTTGTATATTTAATTATTTGGTCTGATATTTTATTCGTTAGGCTTGGCGCACGGGACAGCCACACACTACTCGCTCGCATAAATTCATTTAGGCGTACGCACATACATACACATATACGCACATACCACTAGACACTACTACTGAACGTTGCACCGGCAGTGGTGCGGCAGTGCTATAGAAAAAAATAACAACAGCACTGTTTTTATTCCACACATGGACGCGACAGGGAGCTGGGTCGTGACAACAATGATATGGTCGGCGGGGCTCTGCAGCTGGGCGGCAACGCTAATGTCAGCGGCGTCGATATGGTCGCATTGCAAGAACTACAGCCAGCCGAACCTGCAGCGGTGGGTGATCCGCATTATAATGATGGTCCCGGTGTATGCGCTGACAGCGTGGTACAGTCTAGTGTCGGTCAGCGCAGGGTACTATCTGGACACGGTGCGCGACATCTACGAGGCATTCGTGATATACTGCTTCGTCAGCCTGTTGATAGCGTACTTTGGCGGCGAGCGGGCGTTTCTGGTGGCGATGCACGACCAGAACCCAACAAAGCTGTTCTGGCCGGCATCACTGGTGCGCAAGGACCTGGACCTGAGTGACCCGTACGACTATCTGTTCCTGAAGCGCGGGATTCTGCAGTACGTGCTGGTGAAGCCAATCCTGGCTGTGAGCACAATGGTGCTCCGGTCGCTCGGGGCGTATCATGAGGGCGAGTGGGGGCCGTCGGACGGATACCTGTGGACGCAGGTAGTGTACAACAGCAGCGTGTCACTGTCGCTCTACTGCCTGGTGGTGTTCTACATGGCGACGCGCTCGAGCCTGGCGCAGTGGAAGCCGTTGCCGAAGTTTATGTGCGTCAAGGCAATAGTGTTCTTTTCGTACTGGCAAGGGCTGGGGCTGTCGATCTTGGTTGGGCTGGGCGTGATCCATGACACGACGACGGTGTCGGCCGAGCACGTCGCGACGTTTCTGCAGAGCTGGCTGATCTGCCTGGAGATGATTGGCGGGGCGCTGGGGCACTGGGTGTCGTTCTCGTACGAGGACTACGTGCCGTCGACGCGGCTGGCGGGGCGCGTGCGGCTGTTCTACGCGGTGCGCGACGCGCTGGGCATCAAGGACGTGGTGGTCGACGCGAAGAGCGCGTGGTCGGGACACACGTACACATACAGGCACTTTGGGCCGACGGGGCCGGTCGACTGGGCGGACAGGCAGATGCCGCAGCCGGCGCGGGGGGCGCTTGCGGCAGATGCCGAGACCGAGACGCGGTCGCTGGTGTCGCTGGGCGAGTCGGGGCACGAGAGCGAGGACACAGCTGGCGAGCCGGTCAGCGCATCCGGCAGCTACAGCAGCCCGATCAAGGAGCGGCGGCTGCGCGCCGGCATGCGCTACACGCAGGGCGGCAAGAAGACATACTGGCTGCCGGTCGACCCGGTGGACCACCGCGCCGTCGCGTTTGCGGGCGGCAGCAGTGCCGGGCGCACGCGGGCGAAGCTGCTGTACGGCGTGCACGGCGCAGGCAGCGGCGCGCGGGCGGCTGTCGAGTTCATCGGCAGTACGGTGCACGCGCCGTCGCGGGCCGTGCACGAGAGCCGGCGCGTGTACGCATCGGCGCAGGCGGACGAGCGGTCGCGGCTTGTGGTGCTGGGCGGCGATGATGCGGGCTACGGCCTCGTTTCTGTGGCTGGTGCCGGTGCTGTGTCTGTTGGCGGGCTCGACTACAGCAGCCAGCTTGCGGAGCTGTCGATGGAGCTTGGGGCCTCTGAGGTCGCGCGCGACGACGCGCTGTACGACGAGGCGCGCGGCGTCGAAGGCGACTTTAACTACCCAGTGATGGAGATTGGTGTGGCATTCGGGTACGCGCGGCGGCGGCCGTATGGCGGGGCGTAAAATACAGGGCGTGCTGACATTGGCCTTGGCCTTGGCCTTGGCTTTGGCTTTTGCTGTGGCGTTAGATTTGGCCTTGGCCTTGGCTCTGATAATTATATTCTTGATTTAATAAAATATACTCGCAGACTCATTCATTTGCTTTGCTTTGCTTTGCTTCGTCTTCCCCAGCCAGGCTGGCCCTGCAGAAGCGCGCAATCGCGTCGAAGCCGTCACGCTCGGCCTCGACCGAGTCCAGCGGGTGGCCGACGCCCGGGTAGACGCGGCAGTGCACGCGCTTGCCGGCGGCCTTGAGGCGCGCGTAGTACTCGAACGACTGCTGCGGCGGCACGCGACGGTCGTTGGCGCCCAGCAGCAGCAGCACCGGGTCGCGCACGGCGTCGGCCTCGGCGGCAGGCGACGCGGCCCACATTTGCTCGTAGACCGGCGGCGTCAGCAGCGGCGGCGCTTGGAAGTCGTAGGCCAGCCCCAGCTCGGCCCAGCACCAGTCGGCGATGTCGGACGTCACGGCGTTGGCGGCCATGGCGACCACCGGGTTGCGCAGCACAAAGCCGCGGTAGAAGCCCGGCGCGCGCGCAGCCAGCAGCGCGCCAGTGTACCCGGCGTACGACCCGCCCATGTACACGGTGCGGCGCGCGTCGCCGCGGCCGGCGGCGTGCACGGCCTGCGCGGCGGCCTGGATCTCGGCCAGCGCCAGCGAGTCGATGCGGCCGATCTGCGCGGCCACGGCGTCCTGGCCAAAGCCCAGCGAGCCGGTGAAGTTGACCAGCAACACGCCGACCCCCAGCCGCACGAGCGCCGCCACCTGCGCGCCGTACGCCAGCGTGTGTGCTGTGTGCGGCCCGCCGTGCGGCATGACGACCAGCGGCGGCGGCCCGGCGGCGCCGGCCGGCCAGAAGAAGCGCGTGGCCGGCGCGGGCGCTGCAGGCAGCACCAGGATCGACTCGGCAAAGCCGGGCCAGCCAGTGTGGCCAGCGCACGCAGCCGGCCCAATCGGCTCAACGCTCCAGGTCACGTTCCCAGCGCCCTCGCTGCGCGCGGCGTGCCACGCTATCTCGACGTCGCCGTCGGCGCCCAGCGCGGCCTCGCCCACGGCCAGCGCGGTGGCGGCCGGCGTCGAGCGCGTGGCCGCAACCAGGTCGCCGGCGCAGCCCAGCACGTCTGCGGCCACGGCCGCCGCGCCGTCGACCGGCGAGTGGCGCGCGAGGCGGCGCGCGTGCAGGTCCAGCGTCAGCACAGCGCTGGTGCTGCGCCAGGTCGACGACAGCGCAAGCACGTCGCGGTCGGCGGCGTTGGCCACGCGCAGCCATGGCGAGCGCGGCAGCTGGTCGGCGTACAGCCCCGGAAAGCCGCCGGGCACGCGCGTGCCGCCCAGCGTCTGCGGGCCCGGCTGCGCGCGCGCCACCACCGGCACCAGCGTCTGCACGGCGCCGGTGGCCAGGTCGCACTGCCTCAGCGCCGACGCCGCCGCGTGCGGGCCGCCGGCGCCGGTCTCGAGGAACACCAGCGTGCGGCCCGACGGCGCCAGGCGCGGCGACCGCACGGCGCCGCTGTGCACGCGCTCAAAGCCGCCGGCCAGCGCGCCGACAAAGAGCGCGGCCGGGCGGTTCTGGCAGTACACCAGCCCCGGCTTGCGCGCGCCGTGCTCGTAGCCGACGAACGCGATGCGGTGCGCCGCGCCCGGCAGGAACAGCGCCTGGCCCGGCGACACGCCGCGCGGCGTCTGCAGCACGCGCACGGCGCCGTCGGCCACGCGCAGCGCCACCAGCACCGGCGGCCGCTTTCCGCCGAACGTTTCGCCCCAGTCGCCGTCGAGCGCAAACGGGCTGGCGTCGAGCGAGGCCGCCATGTCGGCGCCGTGCGCGGGCTGCGCGGGCGGCTCGGCCGCGTACACCACCACGCTGTTGTCGTTGCTCCACGCCAGGCTGCCGAACGTCGCGTCGCCGTAAAAGTCGCCGTGCGCCGCCGCCACGTCGAAGCTGCGCTGCAACACGCCGCCGCGCCAGACCTCGACTGTGCGCGCGCCCTTGTCGCCACGCAGCACGGCGCGCAGCGCTGCGTCGGTCGGCGACTCCAGCGCCTGCACCTCGCTGCTGACGTCGGCCGCCGCGCCAGCCGCCAGCTCGGCCGCGTGCCCGCCGCCGATGCCCAGCACCAGCGTCTGCGCCACCCGCCGCTTGCGCGCGCCGGTGAAGTCGCGCTGCCACGTCGTGATGCTGGCGCTGACCACGCCCGCCTGCGCTGTGCGCCGCACCACGCCTGCCGCGACGCTGGGCCTGGCGTACGCCTCCTCGAATGCGGCGCGCACGGCTGCGCCAAATTCGTCGACTGGAATTTCCTTGCTGGCGCTGCTGCTGCTGCTGCTGCTGCTGCTGCTGCTGCTGCTGCTGCTGTCGGCTGCGAAGATGTCTCTGCTGGCCATGTACATTCTTGCTCTAGTTCTTGTGCTTGTGTCTGTGCCTGTGCTTGTGCCTGTGCCCGTGCTTGTGCCTGTGCTTGTGCGTGCGATTGTGCTTGCTCTTGTGATTGCCGCCCGAGTGGAAAAGAGATGCGTCGCCCGGCCCCCTGCGCTGCGCCCGCACCGCAATGACAGCGACAACAACGACAGCGACGGCATCATTAAACGCGCCAATACAACTGACGCCATGTGATCTAGAAAGTGCATTTAATTCATGCGCATTGCGCCCGCCACAACCAACGCGATGACCCAAATGTATACCCTACAAAACAATCGGCCTTATGGTCAGCCTTTTTTGCTTTCCTTCTTCAACCTTTAATTCATTTTCACCTTAATTCCCCCCCCCCCCACCCCGCAATGGACCCCCACCGCGACCGTCCGACAAAGTACCGCTACACCACTGAGATCCAGCAGATGATGTTTGTCTTTGGCGAAGTCCAGGACCCACTGCCTGAGACCACCATGCTCATCGAGGATATCGTGCGCTCCCAGGTCATCGAGATCATCGTCATGGCCGCCGCCCAGGCCCAGCGCCGCGGCTCGCGCTTCATGGCCGCCGAGGACTTTATCTTCCTCATCCGCCACGACCGCACAAAGGTCATGCGCCTGCGCGAGTACCTCAGCTGGAAGGACGTGCGCAAGAAGGTCAAGGAGCGCGAGGATGCCGACAACGATGTCATCGACGACGCCGCCGCTGACAAGCCCGACCGCGGCGCATCCAAAGTCAAGATCAGGCTGTCATGGGAGCTCGCCACCACCTTTCTCGACAACATCAACGACGACGACAACGACAACGACAATGAGGACGAGGAGATGCTCGACGCGCAGAGCGACTCCCTGAAGCGCCTCAAGGACGCCGACGACGTCACGAAGCAGATGACGCGCGACGAGTACGTCCACTATTCTGAGTGCCGCCAGGCCTCTTTCACCTTTCGCAAGGGCAAGCGCTTCCGCGAGTGGGCCAACATGGCTGCATACCTTGACACAAAACTCAACGACGAGATCATCGACATCCTCGGCTTCCTGACCTTCGAGATGGTTTCCAAGATCACAGAGTCCGCCCTCAAAATTAAGCGCGACCTAGAGAAGGCCGCCAACGACGCCCAGTGCCTGGTCGAATCCATGCCCACGCCCACGCCCACGCCCACGTGCAGCCAGCAACAACCCCAGAAACTGCCCCCCAAGCTGGCCACGTCAACCGTCTCGCTCTTCTCTGGCCCCCCAACAGCACGCACGCCGCTGGACGTCCAGCACGTCCAGGAGGCCTTCCGCAGATTGCAGCGCGCCCCGCAACCCATCCGCAACTTCAAGGGCGGACTGACCAGAACACGCGTGTCCTTTATTTGACACTTGACATTTGACATTCGATGGCCATGTATAACTTTTTGTCTGCTTGCTTATGTGTTTGTTTATTGTATCTGCTATCTACTTGACTTCCACGGCCACGCCATCCCCCTCCTCCTTTCCGGCTTTTTCATCGTTAAGAACCGCAAAATCACGCGTCAGCAAGTTGAATATCCGCCCAAAGAACAGCGCGAGAATCGTGCACGTAAATGTAATGACGTTGTAGGGCATCGAGAAATCAGGCGTCGGCAGGCTGGCCAGGAATAACTCGCTATACGCCCGCACCACGCAGCCGCCGCCGCCGCCGCCGCCGCCATCAACAGCCGTGGTGTTGTCTGCCAGCAGCAGCGTGGCCCCAATCGCGCAATAAAGCGGCTGCTGCCTGCCGCCACCCGCATCGCTTGTGTATGACACTATAGCCGGCCCAATATTGAATCCGCGGTTGGCATCCGGCGGGTGCTCCGTGTACTTTAAAAAGCCCTTGTCAAAGCTGTAGCGCAGCGTCGTGCGAGACTGCGGTCCCAGCCTGAGCGCCAGCTCCATCGTCGACGGTCGCCCGCGGTCAACCGCAGGGCTGAAGAGCAACCTCGACGGCACCAGCCTCTCTGCCACTGCACCTGCACCTGCACCTGCACCTGCATCTGCACCTGCATCTGCATCTGCATCTGCCGCCCCCTCGCCGCCCCTTTGTGTGCGAATCTCCAGCGTGTGTGAGTATACCCGGAGGTACCATGGGAGGGTGTCCATGTACGTGACATCCACAGCCTTGTCGCCGCGATTGACAATGACCGCCTCGACGCCCCCGCTGCTACCGCCATGGCCCGTGACGTGGCGGTGTACGCCCAACACCGGCAACGGGCTCTCCTTCGCCCCCATGCTATCAAACTCAAGCTCAATCTCGCCCATTGACCTTTGGCTCTTCAAGTCGAAGGTGTGCATGTCCAGCCCCGCCAGCTTTCCCAGTGCTGACGCCGCAGGCGTCACACGCACGCCCGACCCAGGTGCAATGATGACGCGCACCGTGCTCCGCTCGGCAACTGGGCACGCTGGTGCCAGCTGCATCCCCACCAGCTCCGAAGCCGTCCACTTGCTTCCCAGACCAAACGTGCGCGGGTCGAGAACCACCGATAAGTGCTGCTTATACCGCAGTGCTGCTGGCCGCCCACCGTGCCTTGTCCGGCCCACAGGCTCCAGCGAAATGCCCATTGAGTTGAAGTGCATATTGTACAGCCGATGTGGGTTGAGCAGCGCGCCGACGCCACTCTTGGACTGGCAGGGCAGCTGCTTAATCCACGGAGTGAGGTTCTCCGTGCACACGTTCTCTCGCGGCAAATATCCCTGCCGCAAGATGCCTTCTTTCGTGCTGCTGGATGCGGACTCGTCGGTAAATGTCAGCTGCGGCGTGATAGTGTTGGTCTCGTCAATGAAATTCAGCGACGCGCAAAAGACCCCCGACAGCGCGTTCGTCAGGCCCTTCCACTGCGCTGCAGATTGCTCTTCGGCGCCCCTAATCCGCGCGCGCACCTCGGCACCGACGCCCTGCGAGTTGACTGGCGGGTACCCCCACCTGGCCTCTCTCCAGTTTCCCTGCGTGAATGCCAGGTGCAGCTCGTCGACGTTGTACCGCTGCGCGATTTCGCCGATTTGCCGCGGAAACAGGTGGTAGTGGTGCGCAAGCTGGCTGTCGTTGCTGGCGCCTGCCAGACTCCGCTCAATCACAAATTCAAAGTGCAGCAGGACCTTGCCGTCGGCCAGTGGCTTTATCATAAGGTCCTCGGTAAACGACTCGCGCCGTGTTGTGCCTGCGCTTGTGCTGGTGCTGCTGCTAGTTCTGCTACTAGTGCTACCTGAGGCTGTGTCGTCCGATTCTCCAAGCGCTGTGCCGGATAGCATGCTCCAGCTGGCGGCCGCAAGTGCCGCGGCGCACCATGTAACTCGCATTTTGGTATTTTTGGCGTGCTGCTGCGAGTGGTAGCTCAAATTTGCGAGTGGATGAGGAATAAAAACAGAGGGAGAGAGGAATAAAAATAGCAATAACAATAAATAAATAACACAATTGCAATAAGTGCGTATGCGGAAAGTAATAAATATTGGCAAAGCGAAAAAGAATAAAAAACGAGTTTTTGAGCTTCACTGTGTCAGATCACCCGAAGAATGCGCGTGTTTTAAACTCGAGCTTGAAGCCCAAGTGCAAGTTGATCACCTTCTGTTGCCAATGCGCAGCAGCAAGTAGTAGCAGCTGGGCCTATGCAGAGAATGCTCTTTTTTCTCAACGCTCACTTGGAGTAGTCGGCAATTGCGTTGATGATTATGTTGGTGCACTCGTCCAGCTGTTCGGCCGTGATGGTGAGCGGCGGCGCGAGACGAATGATAGTGTCGTGGGTGGGCTTTGCCAGAAGGCCGCGGTCGCGCAGCAGCAGACACAGGTCCCAGGCGGTCTTTCCCGGAATCGCGTTGACCTCGATGGCATTGAGCAGCCCCCTGCCGCGCACCTCCTTGATCAGCGGTGAATCGATCTTGCGCAGGCTCTCGCGGAAGCGCTTGCCCAGCTCGTACGCGCGCTCGGTGAGGTTCTCGTCGCGCACGACCTTCAGTGCAGCGACAGCGACAGCGCAAGCCAGCGGGTTGCCACCGTATGTCGACCCGTGCTCGCCGGGCTTGATCGACATCATAATGCTACGCGAGCTCAAAACAGCGCTCACCGGGTAGACACCGCCCGAGAGCGCCTTGCCTAGAATGACAATGTCGGGGTGGATATTCTCATACTCAATGGCCAGCAGCTTGCCGGTGCGCCCAATTCCAGTCTGGATCTCGTCGCAAATGAACAAAACATTGTGCTTTTTGCACAGATCATAGCAGCGCTTCAGGTACCCAGCCTCGGGCACCTTGATCCCGGCCTCGCCTTGGATGGGCTCAACCAAGAACCCGGCCACACGGTCGCCGTATGCCTCGAGAACAGCCTCGAGGTCCTCGGCATGGTTATAGCGGATTTTGGCGCCTGTGTCTGGGTTGACGGCCGTGATGTTTGGCATGAATGGCCCAAAGCCGTTGCGGCACTCGGGGTCGGTCGACATCGAGATGATGCCCATGGTGCGGCCGTGAAAGTTGCCGTCGACGCCAATGATAAAGCCATTGTCGTTCAGGCCCTTGTTTATGTGGCCCCACTTGCGCGCCAGCTTGATTGCTGTCTCGACGGCTTCTGCGCCCGTGTTCATCGGCAACATCATCTCGTAGCCAAAGAACTCGGTGATAAACTTTTCAGTGGCGCCCAGCTTGTCGTTGTAAAATGCGCGCGACGACAGGCACAGCCGCGACGCCTGCTCGGTTAGCGCGGCCACAATGCGCGGGTGGCAATGGCCTTGGTTGACTGCCGAGTATGCCGAGAGGAAGTCGTAGTAGTGCTTGCCCTCGGGGTCCCACACATGGACACCCTCACCGCGCGAGATGACCACCGGGAGGGGATGGTAGTTGTGTGCGCCATGAGTGTCCTCGAGGAATATGGCCTCCTTGGATGTGGCCGCCGTATACGTTGCTGAAAAATAGGGGGGAGGAGACATGTCTTGAATTGCGTGTAGGCTTGAGAGAGTGTAGTGTTAGTTGGGCCTGCTTGCTTGGTTGTGTATGATTTATTTTGTGTGTATGTGCTGGTAATAAAGTCGGTCGGTAGTTGTGGATCTATCAGCAAGTGGCGGGAGGCCTTCCCTAACCCCCTCCCCTCCTTTTATAGCTTTTGCACGCGCGGCCATTACATTGCTTCTACTTCTGCTGCTGGTGATGCGGCATGGATCAGAGTTGTTCTCCTCTCCTGGGCAGCCAGCCGCCTGATCCATGAGAAATATTTGTCGCTGGCCACATGCCCAAACAAACTCAGAAGAGGGGAATAATGGTGGGATTCTGGCTCTGGTCCTATTTCTATGACAACACTATTTTCCCAGCTGCCCACTCTCTGCCGCCACCACTTTGCTGCACATGACCTGCGCTTTGCCCATCGATAAGTTGAATAATGCCGCTGATGACGGCGTCAACGCAACTAGCATTCACATTACCATTTTCCCACGCTTTTCACGTTTGCATTCCACCGTTCATACGCATTTCGCGTCCTCTTGATCACCAAATCTAATATGCAGTATTCAAAATCACCATCGTTTATCACGCCAAGATAAAAGCTGATCTCATCTTCGTTTTGGGTTCCCCCGCTTTGTGTAGCAAGCAGCAGCGCTTCAATTCAATTCAGTTCAATTTCTTTTCTTTCGCCCAATTCGAATTTCGGTGGTTTTTATTCTAAACCCTTCATTTTATTTTTTATTTTTCACATTTGCTCTCTTTTGCACCCAAGGAATAAAGAGATCTTTGCAATGTTTGCCAATCCGCTCGCTCGCAATTTGAAGAGTAAGTTCTGTCAGAGCCCCGATGCCGGCCGCACAATTCCCTAGCAATTCGACCCCACCCAAAAACGAAAATCCTAACACATGAGCCGGCAAGGAACTTTTATTTTGCACCTATTTTTTTGTTCCCGCGCAGCTGTAGGCATGGCTGCTCCGGCAAAGCTTATCAAGCGCGGCAAGGCCGACATTACGATCCGCAAGACCACTGGTCAGACAATGGTTGGGCGCGGCACGTACGGGCGCCAATCGTGGAATGGACAGACTGCCACGGTGTTTGGCTGCAGCGGGTTCCTCGGCCGATATGTGGTTGCGCGCCTCGCGCGCCAGGGCACCAAGGTCATTATCCCATACCGCGGGCTGTACGAGTACGTCCGCCACCTGCGGCCCACCGGAGATCTAGGCATGGTTGTGCCGATGGAGTTTGACGTCCGCAACCCCAAGCAGATTGAGGAGTGCGTGCGCTACTCGGACGTTGTCATTAACCTGATTGGTCGCAACTACGAGACAAAGAACTTCTCCTTTGACCAGGTCCACGTCGAGGGCGCCCAGCGCATCGCTGAGATCTCGCGCGAGGCTGGCGTTTCGCGGCTTATTCACGTCTCCAACATCGGCGCGCGGACCAACGCGCACTCTGACGTGCTGGTCAGCAAGGCTTTTGGCGAGCAGCGTGTGCGTGAGAGCTTCCCTGGCGCCAACATCGTGCGCTCTGCCACCATGTATGGCTACGAAGACGAGCTGCTGAACAACATCGGCATGTACAAGCACTTTTACATGACCGTCAACGGAGCCCAGCAGAAGCTGCGCCCTGTGTGCGTCTCGGACGTTGCCCATGCTATTGACATCATCCGTGACAACGAAGACACTGTTGGCCAGACCTTTGAGCTGTTTAACCCGAAGGAGTACTCGCGCAAGGATATTATTGAGCTCGTGCAGTTTTTGCTTCATGAGAAGGTCTGGCAGGTCAACGTCCCGACCAATCTGCTGCGCCTGGCCGCAAAGGTTGCCGACATGATGCCCTTCCACTACACCAGCCACCACGAGGTCGACCTAATGTCCGTCAACGAAGTCCCCACTGTTAACGACCCTGCCATCCAGACCTTTGCCGATTTGGGAGTCGAGCCCCACACTCTGGAACTCGCCGCCCTTCAGTACATCCGCCACTATCGCCCGCCGCAGCACGAGGAGGAAAACATGGAACCCAAGGGATACAAGGCCTTCCGGAAGTTGTCTGTGCCCATCAACAACAAGGATATTGTCGCCTAGATCTTTAAGCAGCGAAAGTGCCCACCCGCATTGCCGCTGCTAGTGCTGCCAGCGCCGGCTCTGCATTTTCGTACCTGGCACCATTTGCGATTATCCAAGTCGCGCGTCGGCCTGTCCTACTCTACTACACTTGCCTCTTTACTTTCTTTGTTCTTTACACATGCCTCTTTTGTCTCAAATAAAATAGTTATATATATATAAATGACCAATGTACTCTGCAAAGCTCACGCACCTGTCGTATCAGCGTTTGGGCGTGTGCTGATCTGTCTGGGGTATGTACCGCTCGGGCTCCTCGCCCTGTTTAGATCCCATGCACCTGAAGTATACCTTTGCGGGCGCCCAGAACTCGCCAAAAAATATGCCGTCGAGAAAGTCCTGCAGGTGCTTGTCGCACCTGTGCGGCCTGAGGTGCGGCTGTGGCAGACCCTCACGGCCCCGGCGCCGCGACTCGATGATCAGCGAGGCGTAGTCAGCAGGCGGCTCTGCATCCTCGCCCAGTATCTTCTTCACGTAATCGCGCATTATCGGGTCCTCCATCATCTTGTTTGCGTCCTTGTCACTTGGGCGACTGGAATGCTTATCTGCATCGCTGCTGGCCGGACCAGTGTTATTGTCAGCCATATTATGTATATGTGTGTGTGTTTCGAAAAGTCAGCAATTCCAACGCTGAGAGCTAATTTCCAACCAATGTAAACCACAAGAAGCAAATAAAAGAATGGAAGTTTTAAAGAGAAAAAAGTAAGAGGAAATGAAAGAAAAATTTACCCGCAAGATCAAAGAAGCAAATGCGTGCGATTGGCCGCACACATAAAAAAAGAGGGGGAAGGGCGTAGCGCAGGGAACCAGGTTGGATCAGTTCAACCCATTACAGCCACAGCGCCTTGTGGAGGCGGCTGGACATTTTATCAACCAAACTGAGGCTATGTTTTGCTGTGGCTACGCTGATGATCGGGGCGTCCACTATAAAGCGGCTGCTGTCTATTCTGTTCGCCCTGAGAGCTGCGGAAAGCATCAGCGAGCACAGGCACTCTGCAAGCAGGTCGGGCGACTGATTTTCAAGGGATCCGAGCCGCGTGAGAGACAGATCGGCTGCATTATTGGCCGACGACGGCCCGACAGCCGTGGATGTCTCTCCAGGCACACACTGCATGACGACCTGTGCCTCACTGACAAGCTTGCATGCGACGAAGTGCACGCCACAATCGCCAGATAGCTGCTGCTCTGCGGCCGATGGAGGGCTACTTTGCTCTGCAGCAGCCTCTGAGTTGCCAGCCACCCGCAGCCCGTGTCCGTGTCCGTGTTCATTTGATTTGGGCCTGTCAGCATCGTCAGCTGGCATCTCGCATTCAGCAGTGCTCGACTTGCTCTGCGGACTTCCAGAGTTGAACCGAGCTCCAGCCGCGTCAAAGTATAGAACGAGCCCATGATTGCGCGCGGGATCCAACGCCTGGGGCACCTGCGTGTCCGTGATATAGGCGCCGTACTGCACCCTTGCAAGCCTTGATAGGTCGATCCGCAGCACCTCTGACACCTTTTCCATCTGGTAGTGGTACCGGCAGATATAGACAGCCGCCGTGGTCAAGATCAAAACTGCGTCGCTCGGACCGCGCAGCTTGAGCATATCAAGCGCCATTGGTGACTGCACTATGCAGGCCAGCTCCACATGCTCACCGGTGTGTACTGCAGTTGCAATGCTTGCCTCGATGGCTGCTTCGCGCGTGCGCGTCAGCTGCAACGCGTGGTCCGGCTCGCGGGACCGCAGATCAATCAGCGTGCGGAACACGTCGCCTGCGCTCTGGTAGCCCATCGTAAAGTCGAGCACAGACTGAGAGAAGTAGTCGCGGAACGTGCTGATCCACAGACGTGCCAGCGAGTACGAAGCGTCGCTCATCACACCACTAAAGTTGCGCTTGCCCGTCCTCGTAAAATCACCCTTCATAGCCGAAGTTCCGGCGTACTGCTTGCTGATGTAGTCGCCGTTGTTGGCCCACAGATGGTTGAGCGTAGACTCAAGCCCGTTGTATGCCACTAGCCCCTGTTCTGGTGCAACGTGCACCCCCAGTCGCACTAGCTGCTCGTTGAGCACAAACCGAGCAAGTGTGCTCTGAACCACGTTGGTCCGGTCCAGGCAGTCCATGCAATTTACTCTAAATACGCCGCGCTGCTCTATGAACACCTGCCCGCCCGTACACCAGTAGTAACCCATGTCTGCAATCTCGCGCTGCAGGTGCTCCAAAAGCTGCTGAAGCGTCTCGTACCGCATGCCACGAGTTTCCTGGTGAAAGTCCCATGGAATATACCGGATCATGCATGCATCCACCATTTCGTCTGCCACGCACTGCCCGACAATACTTGCATACTTTGACCCGACAACTGCTTCGCGGCCCTTCTGCTCGACCAGGTTGAGCAAAACCTGCCTGCCAAGCCTATCGATCTCGCGCTGCAAGTGCAATGCACAGACACTAGTGTTCTCGGCATCGCCCTTCACCACCACGGGTGGTGGCTGAAGCCCAGCTGGCGGCTGTTTCCAGTAGAAAGGCATCGAACCGCGCGTCTGAACAAAACTCGCGTGGTGCGTCTGCTGGCTGCCCATTTCGACGGTTAGTATCTGCTCAGTCTCGACAAAGTTTGCTACATGGCCTTCGGCATCAGCGCCACGACGCTCGTAGCGCATGCCGATGCGCCTCCAGTTGCGGCGAGACAACACGCACACTTGAAACGAGTCTCCATCTTTGATCTCGCATATGGCTATCTGGACGCACCCCTGGATCAGCGGTAGCGCCCACTCATGGGCATCTGCCGCCAGCATTTGTCGTTGGATATTGTGATTGAACCAGTAATCCTGAGCGGCAAAAAGCGACAATGGTGCTTTTTCGGTAGCTACACCCTGTTTGCCCCTCTCCTGGAGCGAGCGCGTCAGATCATGGTCGTAGGAGTAAAACATGCCACTGGACCCGAAAATTCGAATTAACTCTTCGATAATCCGTCCCTCCATGCGCTGTGCTGACAAAGAGCTGTCACTTTTATTTTCTGGATTGACTGCATTCTTTTCCTGAGCTGTTGCAGCTAATGTATCTACCACAATACTGGCTGTAGACGGGCTGGCTGAGGATGCTGTAGCTGACGAGCTCACAGTGCTTGCCCGACTGCGCCCAAGCAACTTAGAGAACTGAGGTGAGAGCCAGCCCAGAGATCCATCCTGTAGCGCCCCAATGTCGCTTTTCTTTTGTATGGCTGGCTGCTGCTGCGACTGCGACTGCGACCGCAACCGACTGTCGCCGTTAGTGCTGCCACCCGCAATTTTTTTGGCCGAAGTGTAAGAGTGCCGATCCAATCCAGCACCAGGTGCAGTATCGTTTTGCTGGTTAGACAGCGCAAGGGGCTGCAAGGCTAGGCTGCTTTTTCGGTATTTCTGCGCGTCTACACCACCAAGTAGCTGTTGCAAAGCCGCTTTGCCGCTATAGTAGTCCAAGGGCAGGGCCGCCACTGAAACAATCTCATACACACTCTTCCCGCCGATTGTGCCCCGACAGCGGCTTTCGGTGACAACCAGGATGTATGTGTAAAGGTCCAATGTAAACATGCCGGCAACAGCGAGCACAGAAATCTCCATCTCGACGTCCTTGGAGTTGAGATCTTGCTGTTGCTGCTGCTGCTGCTGCTGCTGCTGCTGCTGCTTTAGGCAAGAATTGTCCGCCGCGAGCTCGTTGTCCATCACATTTATCGTGCCATCAAATTGAATCCAGAGCGCTTTGGCTGGGTAGTCGGTGCTGCGCAGGCAATATCCAGAATCGGTCAATGCAAGCGAACTGGTCCTAATCTGACGTCTCTGTTCGCATGCTGTGCTTTCTGAGGGCGCTGTGTGCTGCCCCAGCCCTGCCTTTCTGCCAGCTTCGGCAGCAGACACGTTTATCGCGGTGTGTTTGAACTGCGTCTTTGCATCGTCCATTTCGAGCGGCCGAGTCCCAGTCTCTGCCGCCGACAGCAGCAGCCCTGCGGTGGTCATGTCGAGGCGGGTGGTGTAAAATGCAAATACAGAAAAATCAGGACGCTTTACAGTTGACAGGCGGCCCGGAATGAGTTAAAATTAGTAAAGTGGGTTGTGAATAAATAATTTGAATTGAATTGAATTGCAAAAGTCGAAGGCAGACAAGGACAGACAAAAAATGAAAAGTGAAAAAGAAACGAATGTTGTCCACGGGGTTTTCGCCCAGCTCTTGCAAAGACTGTTTCGCCAGTGCGATTCAAAAAGGAGCAAAGAGAATAAATGACGTAGCAGATTGCCTGCCTGGGTCCCAAATGTTGCTCTCCGCATATGATCTTCAACCTGTCAGCTTGCGACTATAAACTTTTTCAACCAAACAAAATAAAAGAAGCCAATCCAATCGCTGTGCTCGCATGCGTGTGGCTGGCAACCTGGAGCCGGATGCGCAGCGGGTGCGTAGAGGGAGGGGCAGGCTAGAACAGCTTATACCGCAGATATATGATCAAAAAGAAGCCCAAGACGATTGCCACCGGCACACCATACTTGCGGATCTGCAATTCAAGGTTAGCCCGCCACGCCTTCTTGTGGAATGTTTTGGAGTCTTCACGCAAGCGGTCAGACAAGGAGCTCATGCGATCCAGGCTATCGCCACGCCACAGCAAATCCTCCATGTTTTTGGTCATAATCTGTGTCACATCGCGCAGGTCCTCGTTGAGCTTGGACAGGTTCTGCTGCGTCCGCGAGTCCTCGTAAATGCGCTTGGTCTTTTGGATAAAGGTGTCAAACTTGATGAATGCATATGGACGCAAGTTAGTCTTCTCTACCTCGCTGCCGTAGCTCATGTGGAACTCTTTTGCGAGCTCATCCATGTAGCTGAAAGCCAGCTTGCGCGGGAAAGACCTTTCGCAGATGCACAGATAGCAAACACCCTTGTCCAGCAGGTAGTGCAGATAGTATGGACCGGATTCGATCGAGCACATTGGCTCGGACTGTGAGTTTAGCTTTTTGAAAATTGCCTTTGCCTGCGACTTGTACCCAGAAAGCTCTGACTCGGCCTGCTCATCGTCCATCGATGCCGCTAGGGGCAACCCATCCGTTACGCGCGCAATTATTGTCGATTTGACCATTGAGTGTAGATGTGTGTGTGCGTGTGCGTGGGAGCTTTAAAAGTGCTAGCTGTGGATTCCAACGACCGAATGTGTAAGGTTGAATTGAATTGAAAGAATAGACGAAAGAAAACAAACCAATAAAAAATGTAAAGTGTGATTTTGCAAGTGAAGGGCAAAAGGTCCAAAGGTCCAAAGCTGCAAAGCTGTTAAAAGGCGCAAAAACAAAACCCTACCGATGCTATTAATGTCGTGCACTGTATATGCTGGAGCAGCATGATTGGCCGGGTGGCGTCACAGCCGCACAACCATAACTTTTGGCCCACTATTGAAAGGCTGTGCGTCTGTCAAGTCGTGCGCGGCGCTGGGCGCAAAATAATGAAGAGCACCTGCAGCCTTATTTTTCCCGGCACCATATTGCCATTCTGCTAAATCATCTCATAACCTTGCTTCGCCGCTCTCTATTTCACTGTTTCTCTTTGGCACCATGCTGCAAATGATAACAACACGCAATGTGTTTGTCGGTGGGTTGCTGTTAAGGGTGGGTATGCTTCTATTTGGCCTGTGGCAGGACGCACACATGACAGTCAAGTACACCGACATCGATTACAGCGTGTTCACCGACGCTGCGCGCTTTGTGTGGGCAGGCGCCAGCCCTTACCAGCGGTCCACGTACAGGTACACACCACTGCTGGCGTGGCTGCTGACACCCAACATCTGGCTGCACGCGACATTCGGCAAGTGGCTGTTCGTTGCCTGTGACTGCGCTGTTGGTGCCCTCATCACACGCATACTTAGGGCGCGCAAAATTGACGATTCCACCGCAGCTGCGTATGCGGCACTGTGGCTGCTGAACCCGCAGGTGGCCACCATCTCGACGCGCGGTAGCGCCGAGTCTGTGGTTTGCGCAGCCGTGATGGCGGCTCTCTATGCGTTCCAGCGCCGGAGCCTGGTTCTGGGCTCGGCGCTGTTTGGCCTGGCCGTGCATTTGAAGATCTACCCCATTGTGTACGCACTTCCCCTTCTGGTCGCGCTGGACAGCACAACGTACGGCGCACAGCCAAGCTCGCAAGCCAGGCTGTTGAACGTGTACCGCGTAAAGTTTTTTGCCATCGGTGCCGGCGTGTTTATGTTGCTGAGCGCGGTCATGTACGGCGCCTACGGCCGTGAGTTTGTTGACGAGACTTATTTATACCATGTCACTCGCAAGGACCATCGCCACAACTACTCGATGTGGTTCTTCCCCATTTACTTGGAGTTTCACTCGTCAGCAAGCCTCGTTATGGGCCTGTTGTCTTTTCTGCCCCAGGTCGCTGTCGTTGCCACGATTGGCCTTGTCTACGGGAAGGACCTGTACTTTGCTGCTTTTGCCCAGACATTTGCATTCGTCGCATACAACAAGGTGTGCACTGCACAGTACTTTATGTGGTATGTTTGCTTTCTTCCCGTTGTTTGGCCGTACAATTCCCAGAGGCTTTGGCCCAAGGGTGCCGCTCTGTTGGCCGTATGGTTTGGCTCGCAGGCGCTCTACCTGCAACAGGCATACCGCCTCGAGTTCCTTGGCGAAAACACTTTTGCCTGGCTGTGGCTCGCAGGACTGGCCATTTTCGCGTCGAATAACTGGATCTTGCAGCAGATAATTGCGTCCCAGCGGATCGAGCCGCTGTTTACAAGCAGCAGTTTGGTTTCGGCATTGCGCCCTAAGGACCGCAGCTCCAAAAAGGACCGGTGAACGCACTCCTATGTACCCGTGCAAATCAGCCAACACCGCTTAATCTAAGAGCAACATGTATATTTGAAAGAAATGTTTGCATTATCTATTGTGAGTTGCGTCAAGAGAAAATATCAAGATGTATAAAAATAACGAAAATGCTGCAAGCGTGTGACCACCGTGGCTGTTGCGGCTGCTGCTCTAGTCAAACGCGTAAGTGACATAGTCCCGCTTTCTTGTCAGTTTGGTGGAGTACAGCGATTTGTCAAAAATGTAATGCATGACGGCATCCGGAACCAAATATTTGATTGACATTTTGCGCTTGACAAAGAGGCGCACTTTGGTCGAACTGATGTCATTGTAAATGACCTGCTTGACAACGTGTATGTTGTCCTTGTGCTCATACAAAATGTCGTGCGACAGCAGAAACTCCCAAACATCAGTACCCGTCCTTTCAATGACCATACATCCAAAGTGGCCGAGGATGTGGTGCAGCTACAGGGAATTATGCGCGAGAGAGAAATATGAGCAAACACATTAGAACCACTTTTAACAAACAATCCACGCACAACCAGGCAGGAAAATATTACAAGAGCCAACTTACATCTTCGGACGCCCAAACATCCTTTTTGCCCATCGACTCAATGAGGTCACCCCCCGCAAGAAGCAAGATCTGGATCTTGCGTCTGGTACCATCAGGAAGAACCATCCCCCCCAGTTTTTCGTTCAGCTCCTCATCAAAATGATCGAGGACAACTGCAGTGCGCTGATATGACGGCTGAAGCGCCTCCCAGCTGTCCACCATCAGCCATGCCGAGCTGGTCTCGGTTGCCAGCTCGCACATTTTTACGCGGTGGTGTGCAGGGGCCAGCCCCTCCTTCTGGTAGTAGTCGGAAACGGGTGAGAAGTAGCCACCGATCAGCTCGTACTTTGAATGGACGGTGAAATAGTCGGCGGCCATCTCTACAGGTGTGCCGTCCGCGGCAATGCATGTTGTAACAAGAGACGATTAGAAAATAACCAGGCATGGTGGGTTGTTTAAGAAATGATCTGGTGCACTCACAGTACTATTTATAGAGCATTTGGCCACATGCTACTGAATCAATGCCTAGTTGATTCGGCAAAAAAAAAGTATATGCGCGTGCCCAATACATTTCATGCTCGTTTGTGTATATATAGCATCCGCCTTGGAAAATCCGCGTTGCTTACCGAACATGCGCATATGGAGGTAGGTTACAGGGGAGTACGACCCGCATGCGACCAGGACCAGCGGGGTCTTGCCTGTATCTACATGATGCCAACGAAAAAGGGAAATAAGATAATGGTGAAGAGCGGCAGGGTTCACAGCCAAATAAGAAAAAGACAAGTATTTGTCAGTAAGTACCAGCGTTAGCGTTGTTTAACTTATTAAAAGGATTGAAAGCGGCATTTTCATGAGTGTGTGTGTGTCCGGGTGGCCGTTGCGTGGAAGCATGTCGCTAATATACCAACCTTGCAGCGTTTTTGCCAGCTTGTGTGTCTGAAACTTGTATCCGGGCGGCGGCGTTTTCTGGCTATTTGTGTCAATTTGTTCACCGTCGTGGCGAGAAATGCCGTCGGTAATTGGTTCACCCATTCGGAATATGCGTTGAGAAATTGGTCGGGCAAATTAATAAATATAAAAAACAAGAATTCACAATGATAACCAGCAAATGAGTAATAAAAATAAAGTGCAAAGCTGCAAGGCGGGAGACAAACAACTCAAAAAGTCAAAAATAAGGTGCATTACGGATATGAGAGCTGCGCAGATGCAATCCCGATTGCTTACACACGGTGGCGCTGGGTCGCGCAGTTGTGAGTCAGCGAACACCAATTTGACCATCATGATCACCATGCCTTCCTATTTTTCTTTCATTTTTCAGTTTCGGCAAATTTGGGCCTCTTGCTGTCGAAAGCGAACGTCTGCCACTCATTGTTTCCCGATCTGGCCGGCAAAAGCGGCAGCAGCAATATGCTATTTTTCACGCATGATTTATTAGCCCAGACCAAAAAATTAAAAATTCCCGCAAGTTCTCTGCGCCAGAATCAGCCACTGCAAAAGTGGTGAGTTTGATATGTGCATGCGTGTTATTTTGACATGGCTGGAACGTTGCACGTCTCGCACTCGCCTTTGTCCTGGCGCCGACCAGTGCCCGAGTCATCTGCCATACCCGAAACTTTTGCCTTATCTGTGTTTCTACGTGCGATTGAACGATTAGACAAAAATAAACTTCAAGATTAGTAAACTTTACCAATATTGTTATTTTGGTAAGCGTAACATCTGTGCTACAGTTCTATGCATCCTGATACCGACCTTTTTCTCTGGCATGCTTGCTGGAATTCACTCCATTCCTTCAGACATTTGCTGCGATCGCCGCCGTTTTCCTTCAAACAGCGTTGGAGCGGCTCATAATTGCAGAGTGACATTGATAACAGCACAATAGAAATATTGTATTCTTTAAAAAGCAATCGATGTTACAATTTGAGAAGAAAAGTAGTTTTGCTGACTTCTGGATTAATGTAAACTATTAATAAACAATAAATACACAAGAGCAATTGCATTAGATTCTGGCCGTTTCACAATGAATGAAAATTGAATATTATTGCAGAACGAATTAAGTGAAAATATAAAATAAGAAAACACCGAACGAGTACCCAAACATCACCGCTTGTGGGGACCAATTATGGACCTATGAGCCTGGACGAGTTATTAAAAAGTATTTCAGCTGGAAAGAGCTGACAGAGGACAGGTACACAACGCTGGTCAAGAAACTTTAAGTGGAGCGCGCAAAACAAGCAATGGTGTTTGTAAACAAGATCATAGACAAACAGCACAACTTGTACAAGGGATGGTGTGGCCTACAGATCGAATGGGAAATGAGATCCTTGACGCCTGAGAAATGCCGATTGTTGATGAGAACTCCAATCTCAACAAACATCTGAATACCAAATCCGCGACAGGGTGATGCTGATGGCCTCCTGAAGTGGCCGCGGATGACACCAATGAGGATGGCAACTATGCACACTAGCTATCTGGCCACGATTGATGCTCTAGCTGGCAGATCAAGTGTTCGGGTTTAATTGTATTAACACCTCAGCAGACACTTCCACTGCCAGGCAATTACCCCTAAGTCTGGAAAATCCTGACCCCATTGCCCCTAGAATAATTTTTGTTATAGGGGGCATATATACAGATATGCAATAGAGCCCATGACGGAAAAGCTGGCGCAGTAGACATTCGGTCTTATTCATCAATTTTTGTTTGTTTCTTGTTTTATATTTCGCTCAATGGATCTATTTTCCCTCCACTAGAAAACATCTCGTAGCATGTGTGTGCAAGGGCCAAGCCAGATAACTCCACAAGTGTCACCCCCACTGAACTGCAGAATGCAACCATTGATCCTTTAAGCTGATAGAATTACTCGTAAATATATGTATTTATTAACCCCTAAAGTTTAGTTGAGAAAAGAGAGTGGGAATCACAACAATTATTGTTGTGATTGTCTCATTGTATTTTCTACAAAGGCACTGATCATCGTTGGCTCAACCAGCCAACAGATCCAGTGGCTAGCGGCTGTCGTGCTCTATAAAAATGTGGGTCTAAATCGATATATTCAAGTCTTAAAAATTACTTAACTGAAAAAGGGGGCAGCGCTGTGTGGGCAGCGCTGTAAACATCATGGTGTTCCTTGATGTCAGCCAGCAATAACAGAAATGTGTATAGTGGCCATGAGGGCGATCTTGATTCTTGAAAAGGGAAGATAGTGGCTTGAAATGTGTGTTGGGCACCACAGCGGCCAAGTCACATGCCGTCGACGCGTGGACCACAGCAGGCAACCTAGACCCAGGGTATACCCACTGCATGGCGATATCACATAGGTCGATTAACTATATCTGTGACATCAGAAATGGGGGCCGAGTCACGTGACAGCGCAGACGCGTAAAATATCATAAACATATTTTACGCGTACGGCGAATTCTGAATAGTGAGCTCTTCAGCTCTTTCCGTAGTCTCATTTCTATTAATATATATTATAGCTAGTCTAAATCGCATTACAATATCCTTTTTTGTCAAACGAATGGTGCAATAGCCTGGTTCAATGCAATATGACGACAGAATTATCAGAACTCGGAGAAGATTACTACCAACTTTGGTGCTGATACTAGGTACAATGCCAAAAATTCCAACCAGAAATTCCACTTTGTACACTCCCACCCCCCTCTCCAGACACCAAATGGTGGGGTTCTTATGAGATAATTGGGAGGCACTGACCAAGGAAATAGACTGCAACACCCTGTAGTAGAAGAGAGTAGGTGAACAGCACAGGGATGCTGGAAGGCAGACTAGAAGGGTGGCCTGGGAAATCACCACCTATAAATGAAGACGACTTTTTGGAACAGATCACAGACGCTGTTAGCAGGTGTATTAAAAAAGAACATACTATAATCTATAATAAGTCTAAGAAAAGAGAAGAGGTGAGAAACATACTGAAAAGACTATTTTTAACATAAAAATAAATACTGTATTATACTAAATTCCCAAAATTCCTTCTGGGAAGCCTCCTATTGAGTCTTCCCTAATTGCCCTTTTATAGGCAATGTAAAACTCCTCAAATGCTACTGCATTAATGCAGTAGCTTGTGGCCTCTCATGTTGGGCACAGATTTCCTTAATAGGCAATGCTCATCAGTTGCCCTTATCTTTGTGAGTGAAAAGACAGTCATAAAAAGGGCAAAACAACAACAATATTTATTAGTTCTCTGCTCTTCTCTTTTCCTAGTTTTAGAATATAATTTTAAGTACGTTTATTGAATTCACCCGTTAACATCTCAGCTTAGAAAAGCTTATATGATGCTCTGTCAGCAGCATACATACTGTTGTTGTTTTGCCCTTTTTATGACTGTGAGGCTTTGTGCCCCAACACTTACTTGCTTGCCCTTTTTTGTGGGTTTTAAGGAAATGCATGCTCAACAGACACAGTCAGATCCATGTTCCTGAAAAAGTCGGCTTGAGCATGCTGAGGCAGACCATGGAGGCTGATCAGCTGTGCTTGCCACATGAGAATGCTGCTTAGGTCTGCTGTAATAGAACTTAATACTACTAAATATATTATCTCAAAAACCTAGTATAAGGGAGCTTAAAAAGCTCTGCTTATCAATTCAAAACAATTGCAATTGTCATGTGATATTGGAATAATTGATGTCACATCTGCAGCCCGAGAGTACCCATGACAGCCATACTGACTGGAGCAGGTGCTGTGGGAGCTAGAGGCCCTCAACTCAAACGATCTGCCGACATCATTAATTGCAGCCATTTGAGCAATTGCAACTGTACCCAGGGTACCTGCAAAGCTGCCATGGAAACCGACCCAAGCAAAACCCACTGTGTAATGCGATTTGGACTAGCTATAATATATATTAATAGAAATGAGACTACGGAAAGAGCTGAAGAGCTCACTATTCAGAATTCGCCGTACGCGTAAAATATCATAAACATATTTTACGCGTCTGCGCTGTCACGTGACTCGGCCCCCATTTCTGATGTCACACACTGGATCACCATGGGCAGCCACACGAGCAGAGCAAATAAAAATGCTGGCTAATGGGTTATTCCCTGGGCTAAAGTACCTCATAGCATGGGAAGCCAACAGTTGGAAGATGCAGCAAATCCACAAGACCATTAACAACTGGGAGGACAGGTTTTATGGTGTTTTGAGCCCATTGGGAAGGCTTTAATTTGAGGATTCCAGCAATAATCTGGCATAGATAGAGTGCTCACAAGAACGAGAGGATATCTGCCTAGTCATCAGACCAGAGGAGGTGATGAGTGACATCAATTAAGGTGATGGCATATGACGATTGTCATTACTATTAATCGTAGTTATATTTTACTGCTTGCAGGTTTCAATTGATAAGGGATAGTGTGACATCAAAAATGGGGCCGAGTCACATGATAGCGCAGACGCGCGAAATATGTTTATGATATTTCACGCGTACAGCGAATTCCGAATAGTGAGCTCTTTAGCTCTTTTCGTAGTCTCATCTTAATTAATATATATTATAACTAGCCAAATTTGCATTACAGATAGCTTCTTTAGCTCCCTCATAGTTGATTATTATAGATTACATTTAATAGACCATATATTAATTATTACATTTGGTAGTGCATCACCAGTACTAATTAAAATCGCTGGCACTTCCTCTTTCGTTACCAAACACACTAGACCTGACCAACCAGACTGCCAAGACCAGACACAATCATATTTGACCATGACAGCCTCTGAGGAAATCACTGTGGAAGCTGATTTCCAGGCCCTGCAGCCATGCAATGAGCTAATGGCACTGTATAAATATGTGGGTTGATTAATTCAATCACTACTCCCTGAGGGCAAAGAAGATACAGATGCTCAGTTTAACGTGGGCTGATGGATTGACGGTGCCAAGCTGGTGCTTGCTGCTGAATCCATGGCTGAGAACACCTGGGTCCACATTATCTTCTGTGTTTGTGGGATAATTGAACAGGTGTACTAAAATATATTCTCCAAAATTTAAGAAAAGAGAAGAGAGATCTCAACACTATTGTTGTGTTGCCTCTCCTTTTATAACTGTGAGTCCCAAGCTCACAAATAAGTAATTGGTTGGTGTTGGACTACAAAGAAAAGTGGGCCAACACTCCTCCATCCTAAGACGTTAATGTCTGTAATAAGGCTTTTCTTGTGCTAAATAAATATATTTCAATAATCTACTATAAGGGAGCTTACAGGGCTCCGCTTATCTATTCAAAACTATTGACAGTGAAAATAGAAATCGCGATTGGCATGTGACATCGCAATAATTGATGTCACACTATCCAATCTAATTAATGTCTAGCCATGCTAGCATCAATGTCGCTGCCATTGATCCATGTAGACGATGCTGCTGAGTAACCTGTCCACCTGATAATCCAAAATGTCGTCGATCTCATATCAATATGAAATATTGTTGACTGGTCTTGGGCATGCCAGCTCAGTTTGTGACATCAGAAATGGGGGCTAAGTCACGTGACAGTGTAGACATGTGAAATATGTTTATGATATTTTATGCACACAGTGAATTCTGAATAGTGAGCCCTTTAGTTCTTTTTGTAGTCTCTTTGAAAGTAATATTTATTATAACCAGCTTTATTCGCATTACACAGTTGGTCTTGAAATGTATGTCTTGAGTGACAATATGTGGAAAACATTATGTGCATGGATATTGGGTTGCAGCTCAATGCAGTATGTGACAGATGAAAGTGCCTCTAGGATTTTGTATGGCCTAAACCAGTGGTTGCTCAGTTTAGCAGATGGGTAATTGCACTCATAATCGGAGTTCATCATGCTGGCACTTATCATGCGATCTTCATCCTTGAGCTGTCATTGCATCCTGGGCAGCAGCCAGAGTGTCATGCAGTTGATGGATGACTTGCTGGTGATGGTCCATGAAATCAGATAAGGTAAAGTTGGATGGGTTAGGCTATGGGTTGAGGAGAGCATTTGGTGTGACTAGTCCATGATCATGTACAATATGCACCAGCATCAGCTCAGCAGCAGCTTGCTTGGAAGTGTTAATAGCATACTCAGCAAATGACAGTATGCTGTCCCAAGTCTTTTGGTTGTAGTTAGTAAAAGCATGCAAAACTTGTTTAACTGTCCAATTTCTCCTCTCTGTCTCCATCTCCTTTGGCATGTCTTGCTGTCATTATATTTGCCTTGACATCACACAACTGCATTAGCCCCTTTCAAAAATCCGATTTAAAATGCTGGTTAGAGTCAGAGACAATGACACAAGGGATGCCATGGTGTCAGCACACAGCCTCCAAGTTAAGTCGAGTGATCATAGGTGGAGACGTCTGTTTCTCCTTCAGCAGGAACAAATACAAAAACTTGGTCAGCTTGCACACAATGACAAGGGTTGTGTCATTGCTATGGGATGTCTTTGGCAGAGGCATGGCCAAGTCCTTCAATATTGAGTGAAAGGAAAAGGTAGGACAGCATGTGGTTGCAGCAGGCCATTCCTGCTGATTGTAAAGTACTTAATGTGCTGGCAACAGTCGCAGGAGCCTATGTAGTACTCAACTGTTATGTTCATACATGGCCAGTAGAAGTTGCACAAGCATTCAAATGTCAGCTCCAC